GGCATTCAAGGACGCAGTCGTCGTACCCCTAGGATTCTCTACGGCTGCCATCGGGCTGTATTCGGACGACGACCTCAAGCTCGACATCCCCGTTGCCGCAAGCGGGACCTCGAAGCAGGAAACCGGGGACAAGGGAGCCTTGATCATCTGGGGAGCAGCGACATCCGTCGGATTGAACGGCGTCCAACTCGCCGCTCGTTCGGGTTACAAGGTCTACGCGACGGCTTCCCCTTCCAACTTTGACCTCATCCGATCCCTCGGTGCGGCCCAAGTCTTCGACTACTCCAGCTCCTCCATCATCGACGATCTCAAATCCGCTACCTCTGGCCAGCCCATCGTCGGAGCTTTAGACTGCGCAGGGAAAGCAGGATCGACGAGCTCGTTAGCCGAGATCTTGACTGCGTCCAAGTCCGAGCAACCGGGGACGAGGCTATTCATCTCCTCCGTCCTTCCCGTCAAAGAAACTCTCCCTGCCGGCGTCGAGTCGAACTTTATCAAGGGCGTAGCACTGCGATACGATGACGACAAGTCCAGAGCGCTCTGGGGAAGCTTCCTGCCCAAGTCTCTGGCCGATGGAAGCTATCGAGCTTTGCCGGAAGCGTTGGTCGTCGGACACGGACTGGACAAGGTGCAAGAGGCGATGGAACGGCAGAAGAGTGGGGTGAGGGCGCAGAAGGTGGTCGTAACAATGGGGGAGTAAGAGCAGGACATCGGTCAGAAAAGACATGGAGCCAGCAGGGAGAGTGCTGCAGATCTTAGGCATGTATCGGGCCGGACCCCAAGTTTCACTATCGCCGCGGAAGACAACAAGAGCGAACGCTCACGTTGTTGTACGGTGTTAGGGATCGATGATGGCATCACAATGTGCGACGTTCGAGCCGACAGGAGGTACAATTCCCAACATACACAACCCGTTATTTTCACAGCATCCTACGATCCGTATTCGTTTTTACAAAGGCAACTTCTCTCACCCGTCTCTGTCGCCGTCTTCCGATCTGCCGAACTAGAAGTAAGGATGGGGGCTGACGGTAGTGTTGTCGACGGTCGCAGCGGCCATGACGTCCCAATGCTCGACGATGCAAGATCCTTCGGTCCTGTAGACGTCGTAGACATTATAATTGGGTTGCCCCGTAGTGATCGCCTTGATGTGTATGACGGTGTATTCAGGACCGACCATAACACGGGCGATCTAGGTCCATGCGATGGCGTTAAACGTCAGTATCCTGACCCCCGTTCCTTCGGCTGGCTTGACTCACGTCAAACGAAGTAGTCGGACTGCTGAAGAGAGGCTCAAGTGCAGCGATCGCGGCGGCCCGACCATCCGCGATGTTGGGATTATGCTGGACGTAGTTCGTAGCGACGTATTTGTCGAACGCCGCCGTGACGTTCTTTGCCGTATAAAAGAGGTACGCAAAATCGTCCATCGCGCATTGCAGCTGCGCTTGAGAGAGGTGAGATCGGGTGGTCGATGGGCAGTCGAACTTGGTGACGTTACTGGTATAGATGCCGGGGATCGTCACGTTGCACGACCCGTCGTGGTGAGACGTCGGGGAAGCGAATGCGGGTGCAGCGCAAGCCAGAAGCGAGCAAACAAATTCCAAGATATGCTCGGCATTGCAGTTGAACTTTCTAGAGAGTTCTGATGCACGAGTGCAAGATCGGTGCTGAGATGATATTAGTGTGGATCTCCCTTGTTCGTAAAGGACGGGGGCGGTACATCACGAGTCAGATTGAGACGGTGTCGAATTACCCATCGACTCTTCGATCATCAAATATCGATATAGAAACGCTTGCCAATGTCGAATAGTAACCAGGCAGACACGTCGTGTCTCGGATCCGCAAACTCCGGATAGTATTCGTCACGGAAACCCAATGCCAGCAACGGCAACACCTGCAGGTATACGTTTCCGGAGCGTTCTATATTTGAACGCTTTGAAGTGGACTACGGCCTCGACATCTTGCGCAAACGAACGCCGAAAGTCAATCGATGTTGCGAAAAGCCAATGTTGCGAAAGTCGTGGGCGTATTCGGGGTATGTATGTTGTCACAAGCTACATTGAAGGGATAATCATTACGATGATACAGTTGATATCGCGAACTGTGTATCCATTCCCTGATACATCATCAGAGTTCGAGAGAGCGTTGCGTAATCAGCCCCGAAGATGTGTCGGGCATGACGAGTCCCTGCTCGATCTTCGCCTCAGCTTGCTTTTACGGATCAATATCAGGAAGACAACTTACCGTCCCCGAGCAGTGGTCGTTGGATTTCGTAGGAATGCAAGACAGGTACTTGCACCATTGGCAAGCGGCGTTTGGATCATCGGTATCTGCGAGGCCGGTGCGATGAGTATGCAAAGCGATCAGGATACGCAAGTAAGGCACTGACAGAAGTTCTTGATCGTCAAGACGAATCCAGCGATAACGAGAACAAGCGCAATCGCACGCAGTACCCAGACTATGACAGCCTTCCTCTTCGTCGGACTGGAAGACAACGTGTGCGAAGGCCCGATAAGCGGACAACGTCGAGGCGGACAGGGTACATGACGACCTGCTCACAGTATTGCCGGCATCAAGATCATCCCGCACAAAAGGCCCATCGCGTATCCCTGAAGTCGGAACGTGGTCAGCCGCAAAGATACCCTGTTGTCACGATGAGCTCGTCACTCACTCCAAGATGAGCCATTCCGTCGACGGCGAAAGGACTGCAGTCGAACGATCACATCAGTCTGATTAAGCAGGCGTGAAGTGGCGATTCCGCTCACATGTAACCTGAGGAAGCGAGCCAAGCACAGTCAGTATCAGGTAGTGTCGATACAGAATGACATCCACCTCGACTTACCGATGGCTATTCCGACGCCAAATTCCAAGAACAAGAAGAAAGCCTAAGTATTGCAATCAGTAAGCAGCCGCACATCCTGTCCACCAGGAAACCATGCTAACCTTCAGTCCGGGTCGATCCTCGTAACTCCAATGCAGAGCTAGGTCGACAACCATGACGGCACTGCAAGCGAACAAGGCTCCCGAAGCACCGGCGCTCGGGATGCCGGTACGAGAGAAACTTCCACCCAATCTAGGATCGGCATGCCAGAGGATGTCTCAACAGTTGAATTGATGTTACTTGACGTCCGGCAAGAGACACTCACATGAAACCGTAGATTCCGCCCGCAAAGTACGTGATCACGAAGGCGACCGTCCCTGTATCCTGCCTCGATCAGTAATCGAGATCCCCATTCCGGTTGTCCCGACGATACCCACCCATCTCTCTTTCCACTTGAGCTCCAATGGTGAGCTGAGCCAGCATGTTGAGCAGTAGGTGGACGATCCCCACGTGCAGAAAGATCGGGAGGATGAATCGGAACCACTCTGTAGAAAGCGATGCTATGTGAGAATGCGAGTTACCGACCAGATCATCTCGTGGCTTACTCACGATTCGGAGTCTCGTCGTCCTTGATGCCGCCGAACCCGCAGATCGAGCCGAGCGAGCAGGACGATTGGGGAGGGCTGCCATCGAAGCCCTAGTCAGCTTACGATTCTATGACAACAGTCTCAAGATACTCACTTGTTAGTATCGTTAAGGCAAGCCAATGGGAACGACGGTGGCTGCGAACGAAAACAGAACCACTCTCAGCTACAACCCCACGGAGATCCCTCAAAGGCAATGCTCACCAGATCCGGGACCCGTTTGATACATGGCACAAACCTCGCTCCGTCGCTGATCAGCACTCCCGAACTCGGTCCTATCTATGACGCCAAAGTCCGACAGGCAACACATGTCAGCAGAGGATTCGGTAGCCTGAATGAGGAGAACATCCCAGCAAACAAAGCGGATCCGAGCGGGACGTACCATATAGTTGAAATTCGGTTTGATGGCGATTGGCGTCCCCTGAGCATGGTTCTGACTGATCATCTCCCAGACCATCACCCCACACATCGCTGCGAGAAGATACAGTATCGTCGCGGCGGAAGAGTTCAGCTTTCTGCATATGCTTGATGACAACCTGTCCTCAGACGGATCGTCATCCGCTTGGACACCATCGAGACTGTCACAACTCACCCAAAGTCAACACCCAGCAGGCGTACGGCCATCTCTGCCTGCCCAACCCCCGTCGTTTATTCTCGATTTGTTGTTCGATAGGATATTTCCCTTGACCGATCCCCAGGAGCTGTTCGTACCACTTGGGCGATCCCGGGACCGAGTCATCGAGCCGCGAGTCGATCGAAGGTGGGTAAGACGAAGAGGTGGGATCGTGCTTGTGGTTGTGCGCATGAGCTGTAAGCGACGAGACAGGTCGTTGAGAAGGTATCAGTAAGGCTGATAACTGTCCCAGGTCAGGAACATCCGGCGAGCCACCTCCCATAGCCACTCACTTTCCAAGAACGGCGACCCAGCCGGAAAAGCCGCACCTCCAACCAAACTCTCTCCTTCTTCCTCTCCTCCATGCTTCTCCCCCTGCCGACCTCCGAAACCTCCCACGTTATTCTTCGAGCCAGACCCTGAACCAGAACCAGAACGATAGTACCCCCCTTCCTCGTCTACATACGACAACCCCGAGAGTCCTGCGGCCGAGACGGGACGACCAGCCTCCAAGCCCGAGTACGAATGACGTTCCTGTTGAGGCAGAGGAGGAAGAGCTTGAGAGCGAGCTTGAGCTCCGAATGGATAAGGACCCGGTGGATAGGCATAACCCGTTGCCGCCTTGTTGGTGGTGTAGGGCGATCGACCTTGCTCATCTTGTCCATCCTGATATCTGTAACCATATCCATATCCTTGTCCTTGTCCATAACCTCGAACATCGGACTGCGTGACATCTTCCCCCTCTTCATCCAACGGTCTTAACGTGCTCTTCTGCCTGCCTAGCCCCGCTTGTCCTATAGCGTCACCACTCAGTTCATCCCTACCCCGATCGTCTGCATCCGGCCCAAAATCGAAGTTGCTCGCACTATCGCTCGGAGCTAGCGACCGTGACCCGACGCTCTGGTTCCTCTTAGGACCCAATGCATATCCGTTGTAAGAAGAAGGTGCGGCTGCCGGTGTATAGATGTATGGATCGAGGTAGCCTGTGGTCGGTTCGTTTTCCGGGAAAGGAAGGGATGTACGGGAGGTACTTGTGTGCTTGGAACAGGTAAGATCAGAGTTGGAGGTCGGAACGGTGCTAACGGTGCGTATAGTCGGAGTCGATGTTGTGGTGGTCAGGGGGATGAACTCTGGTTGATCTGTAATTGCAACGTATAGGGATCGGGGGAGCGAGAGACGATGGCCATCAGATTAGATTGTTCGCTTCGAGTAAGTATGAGTCCGGGAAGGGTGCTTGCTAACCTGAAGGTAAAGGACCTCCACGTTCCTCGGCCGTATGAGTTGACTGCCTGGTTTGATGACCAGCAGGTTCCGGGACGTCTGAAAGAGGTCGTGGTCCCGAGAGCGGCATCACTGATCGAACGAAGGTTCAGAGTTTGTTATCTCGTACTATTTCTCGTGAGGTGTGCTTCGTCGCACAGAATGGAGGTCGTTATCGTTGAAAGCTGACTGGCATCAAGAATCGAGAAAAGTAGATGATCAGGCTCTCAAAACTTTTTCGTTGGTTCTCGAGCCAGAGCAGTGATCGACTCTTGTGATGCCAAGCGAGACAGGCGGAGATTGATGATGACGGCCTGTCGCCTGTTGACGTCAAGATTCGAGTATTCCTTTCAATCTTCGAGTGGCAATGAACTGCGGCCGAAGACAGCACTGCGCACTGCTGAAGGCATCTCCTTGTCCTTGATCACATGGTTGTCTTTGGGTGGGATGATGCTCGTTGTCGTTCTTCGACAAATCTCGATCAAATTCTAATCTTTTCATCAATTCTCTTGGAATCGACAACAACAACAGCTAATCCTTCAATTCCTTCAACACCCTCTTTGTTTACAAAGTGCTAATCGATTGATGACATCACCGACTCAGCCGGACCTCCAAGTTACCTCCGAAAGTGGCATACAGCGCAGGGTTAGGATCGAATAAGGTAGAGAGAGGCGGGTAAAGGATGCACTTTTGTCTGTCTTACGACCCCGATATCGCTTGCTATTAGGTATATGACCGGCAAAAGGGTGAATAATTCGCTAGGCAGTGAGTGAGCTCCAATCTCGCAGGCCACGCGCTTACCGCACTTTCTGTAACGCCACTTCAATCGCAACAAGGCAAATTGGGAGATTTCCATCATGATCTATAAGCTATACAACGGTCTCGCAAAACGATAAACCTGAGCCAAAAGCGATCAAGGGCGCACATCATCACTGCCAAGTTCATCGCGATATGATGTGATCATCGTCACTTCAGTCGATGAGCGCGACAAAGGATCTGCTTTATGACGTACTTAGGCTCATGTCGACATGGTATCGTCATGCTGATACGGCGCCTATTCGCTATTTCAATCAGCGCAACAAAGGACGTCGTGTATGACGTGCTCGCCGCCAGTACACGAGTGGTTACTAAGTGTTTGTCAGGTGAAGCCTATATATACCGGACCGATTGGGGAGGGAATTCGCCTTGTATATCCCTTTCAACCAAACCATAAATCTTCAGCTCCTACCTTACAGCATCACAATTTCGCGAGACCTTTACCATGCCTGACTCTTCCCTTAACCCGAACGATCCCTCATCTGCTGAACAACCCGCTCAGTCTGACGTGTCGAGCCGCATAGAAGGCACCTTACCTCCAGGTTCATTCCTGAGTCCCAGCGGAGGTTCGGTCAACCCCTGTTCTCATGGCACGATCTTCAAATTCCCCGACGATCTGCACCGGTACCAAGATCCCTATTTGCGATCACTACAAGAACGATCTCCACTTTGGGGCCCAAAGTCTGCTGGCGGTACGGCCGAAACGCAAGCTCACAGAGAGGAACCGTCAGGTGGACCTGAGGTATCCATTGCTCCAACTTCCGCCAGCGTCTCCGCTCATACAGGTGAGTCGAGGTCGATCGAAAAGCGCGGCGAAATCTGACTTACTTACTGTGTTGGACGCAGACCTCCCGGCAGGCTCGGAGCTCCTTCAACCCTCGACTCGCCTTCCTGGTTCCCAGATAAACGGCTCTATGGTCACAGGTTGGTGCCCTTCTAGCGTTGTGGGACCCTCTGATTGACTTGCGCTTTGATTTCACATATATGACAGCCGGAACGGCGAGCGTTCCTGGGGAACTCTCGACTCGGCAAGGTGATAGCCTCACGACAGGCTCCATAGTCACCACAGCGCCTACTCAAGGTGAAGGATCTGCTGGCAGGACGACACGGAAGGCGGGGTCCAAATGGGTTAGGGAACATTCGAAGAACGGGCTTTGGGAGTGGACGTTCGTCCCGAAGCGCAAGGGAGACAAGACCAGTTATCCCACGGACTCAGATGCTCCCACTCTCCAGCGGCGGATTCGAAACCACGTACTCGTCCTGGATGGACAAGCCCCTAATTGGAGAGAAGGAGATTTGTCGATCTTCCTTAACCAGGTCACACGGATGGAAAAGGCTGCGAAGCTTGCGCGATCAGACGAGGTGAAAACGCAGGAAGATTTCGAGCTGATCTTCCTCGTTGACATGGGTCGGTGGGTCTACGACAAGCTGGACTGGCATCTAGAGCGGATGGCGCAACAGCGTGACAGCGAGAACGAGAGCCTGAATTGGCTTCGAGAAGTATCAATTCACTTCCTTGCCATCGCTAAAGCGGAATCCCAGCTGCTTCTCTCTACCGGTGGCCAAGAGGACTGGCGTCTCACTTCGATTGGCAAAGCGAAGGGGTTGTTGTCCGGCATGGCAGAGGAAAAGAGGGACCACTTTTGAGGCGATACGTTGTTCTGCGCGAGTTCTCTTGAGTTCATATTGCAATTGTCGCACCAGATTTTCAATGTTCCCAGCCATTGACTACAAAGCTTGTTCCACCTTTCAATTGCGTGCCCATCTGGCGGAATCATTTCATGCTCAACATATCATCGAACTCGTCTCTATTCAATACCACAGTCGATGACTCCGAAAAGCTGCACCAGGTCAGATGTCGAGAGGAGGTAGAGGAGGCCGACTTGTAACTCCTCCCGTTCACAGATGTAATCGTTTCATAGCCCCCCAAATGTACGGAAGTCTGCTGTCTCGAATAGCTCTTGTGATGTCCAGCACATATTCAGATCGTATGCAGATACAATCAATCCATTTCTCAAGTTCTCATTAACTCTTTCGAAAACGACAAGTAAGCATCAACAGTCCGTCCGTTTACAAAGTGCTGAGTAGGATTGATGACATCAACGTCCTCGACCTCCAACTGGCGAACTCAGTACTATGAGGGCGGCGAGAAAAGTAGGGGTCATAGAGGAGGGTAGCAAGGGTACAACTCTATCCGCTTCTGCCCCTTTACATCGGTCATCAAGATTACCGGGATAGGAGCGATCAATCCGCTGAACCGTGAGCCAAAACCACGCAGGTCACAGATCGCGCGCTTACTGCAACGCCACTCGTGTCGGAATAAAGCTGATCTGATCTATAAGCTACCAGCTATACGACGCTCTCGCAAGACGATGAGTCTTCGATTTGAGCATCGATCAGCGATCATCGACGGATAACGTCATGTGACATTTCAAGCACTGGTCGAATAACCGATGAGGAGACTTGATAACACCAAGATGAGCAGCACTCCAAGCGAGAAGCGTAACAAAGGATCTCGCGTATGGCGTACTGATGCCTCATGCCGAGATGATAACGCCATACCGATCGCCGATCCAGGACAACATGGGTGTTTCATTCAGCGCGACAAAGGATGTCGTCTAATCTATGACGTGACATCGCTCATCATATTCACGCAGCTATATGCTAGGCAGCGCCTATATATACCGGCCCCGATTGGGGAGGATTTGCCTGATACATCCTTCCCCTTGAAGCATCACACCGCAACAAATCCCTGCTTGACAGCTTCAGGAACTCGCAAACTTCTGACATGCCTGACCCTTCCCTGAATTCGCACAAGCAACCAAGCACTGATCGGAACTCAGGTTCTGATTCGAGTCAAGCCGCTGGCTCCCTGTCTCAAGCTCATTTGCAGGCTACACCTCTGCACCGGGGTCAGTGGATAAGCTACCGCCCTTTGATATAAGGACAGATCTTCTACTTCGACGCCAGCATCCGGTGGACCAGGAACTCACGGGAACGCCTGAGGACCACTGGGAGATCCTTGCAGATCGGTTGCGAAATCAGCCATTCGCTCGGATCCCGGGGGCATCTCCTCTGGTCAAATCGCAATCGTCTGTGCATCAAAGCCTTTCTACCATCGTTGAGTCGCGATGCGTCGATCAGCCGCCCTCCGAGCATCACATCGCACCTGACATGCTCACAGGTCAGTCCCTTCTCTGGTCGTGTCTGAACTGTCAATTGACCTGCGCTACGATTTGACATATACGGCAGGCGAAGAGGCAATATTCTCTGTAGAATCATGGACTCCCGACCAATCGAGTAAATCAAGCTCGAGCATTTTGACCGCTCAGCATGGTGAGCTGGTTCAAGATGTAACAAGGAGGGCACAGCGAAATTGGAAATATCGATATACGCCCGACGGGGTTTGGTGTTTTGTGCTGACCGAGAAGTCCGAGGAACTTGTAGGCAGTTTCGATCCGGAGGAGACTACCCATCGTTACTTGCAGAACCTGAGAGACGCCATAGATTCGTTGGATTCAGAAGGTCTCGCGTGGAGACATGAGGGTGCTGCGGAAAAGACGACTCTATCGGAGCTTGTTGATCTCCTCTCAGACACCAAGGATGCCTTCACCGTTGCAGGTTCGAATCAAAGCAGGAATCCTAAACAAGAAAAGATCCTCTTTCTCGGTGAAATGGGTCAGGGCGTGGTCAAGAAGTTGAAGTGGCATGTACTCCGGATCGCAGAAAATGCTGAGAGCCGGGCTCGATGCTTGGCTTGGCTTCATGAGGTTTCTCCGTGGATCGTAAATATCGCTGGTACAGAGGGATTGCAGAAAACCCATCGCTTGACTTCGATTAGCAGGATCAACAAGAATCATATCCCCAGTGCCGAGAGAGAGTATTGCTAACAAAAGATGTGTCGCGAGGATCCACTCCTACTTGAAGAATTGATTGTTCAATATGCTTCGACGTAGTAATATCTCTATGCATGTTTGTTAACGAGCAGTGTGCGGTAGCGCTCACATTCACCTGATGATCGGTATGAACGCTGTATTTGGTATTTTCACTGTCTTTAAGCCGCCGACTGTCCTCCATCGATCATCTGTACAGAACCGGTGATGAACTTGGATCGATCCGAGACCAAAAACGAGGCGAGATGGGCGACTTCCTCGGCTCCACCCAAACGCTGGATGGGGAGCGATCGGGCCATGGCATCCCTTTTTTCGGCGTCCACGGTAGATCGTAACATGGGGGTGTCGATCGGGCCCCTACGATGGATGACCGCGAGGCCAGAAAGAGACGAACCGAGACATATCGAACATGTTTATTAGCTTTGTGTCATCGACAACGCCTTTCAGTCGAAGTAAAAAAACGAACTCACGGGCATATAGCGTTCACCCGAATATCATGAGGCGCAGCGTCGATAGCGGCAGCTCTCATCAATCCTACAACAGCATGTTTGCTAGCCGTATAAGCCGCCAACTTGGCTCCTCCCTTTACCGAGCAGATCGACCCAGGACGACGATTGACCGGGACTCCAAAGAATCCCCCTTGACCTCGTCGCGAGCGCCGACCATCCACCTGAGTTGCGCACGGACGAGGTTGAGTGTCCCCCTCACGTTGACATCTTGCGCAAACGCCCAGTCGTCATCGGTCACGTTCCATATAGGTTCCTTCCCCGATTCCTTCGGATGCACGCCAGCGGCATTGACGGCCCCATCCAGCTTCCCAAACCTCCTCACGGTCTCCTCGACGCACGCATCCACCTCCTGTCTATCAACAATATCCAATACCCGCCCTAATACGTTCTCCCTGCTCGTCACCGTGCAGACCAACTCGATCGTCTCTTCGAGCAATTCAGACGACATGTCCGTCAGGGACACCTTGGCGCCGTCCTGAGCGAGGCGGATCGCACAGCTTCGTCCGATCCCGGATCCAGCGCCGGTGATGCTGATGACTTTTCCCGCCAGCAAGGGGGACGACATCTTGTGTGTAGAAGTGTGGGCGGGTGGGCGCTAAGGTATGGTTGCAGGCGGTCCCGGATACCGTCGCGTGTGTATGGGTGTGTGCGTGGGTATATGTGTGATACCGAAAGCCCTCTTCCCGACTATCTTGTTTCGTGATCTCCAATCCGGTCGCCCAACACCTACGTCGAAATTCCACTTCATTCGTTCCTATAAATATATACGATTCCCTCACATACGATACTGTATACTCCACCCGAATCCGAGCTCGGGCACCTCGAAACCTCCACCCAATCCAATCCAATCATAAACCAGAATTTCTCGGGTATGACACACACCATGCTAAACTCTGCCCAAGGCCACCCTCCGCAAGACCAGCCAGAACCGTCCTTGACCTCCACATCGGATCCTCCCTCCACCATTTTTAATCTGATGGTACGCCTAACTGAGACCAGACCTTGGGAGCCGTCCTCGCCCGACTCTTCCCCAGGATGATCATGATAACATGACAGATCCAGGGCGCGACCGAATGAATGGGTACGCAGGAAAGACAAGACCGTATTATACACTGCAGTAGCTTAGCTAACACCTTCTCTCTGCGAGGTTGACGTACCGAGCTGTGCGACAGCACGTAATCCATGAATTACATCTCGAGAATGTCGCCCGAACATATCAAGCCGCGCGCCTGTTCGCCGCGGGGAGACGGATTGAATCCCTTGTACGACCTCGGAACCTGGGAGAGTATCCCATCCAGGGGAGAAATCCGACACGGTCTGCGTGGTTTCCCTTTACATTTTGAAACGAGCATGCAAATCAAGTTGCAAGTTGAATGCTGTTCTGCCCGTTCGTTTCATCGATCGTCGAGGTCTTTCGAGAGCAGTTAGGCCGCCGGATCCGGTAAAGTTAACGGGGTCTGAAGTCGTTTGTTGGGTTGTTGTTGGTCCACATGACGAGGTCACGACCTCGAGTTCGATCTATTCAAAATCGCTCACCACTTCGCTTTGTGCCACTCTACCACACCAGAGCCATAGTAAGGATGATACCGAGAACCTCATAATAGTAATCACACCGAAAATTATAATCGAGAAACACCGGGATAGAAACATCGCTGGGCTGAAATCTTGGACCAACCTGGATAAAGCTCGAAACCTCGAAACCTTCAAACCATGTCGACCAGCTCCGACCCCCAGACACCCGGCCCCGAGCAGCCTAAACAGGAGACCACCACACCCGACAAGACATCCAAGAAGTCGAAGATGGACACCCTCTTATCAAAGCTCCCACCAAGCATGGTCCGCAACCTGAAAGACACCCGCAAATGGAAAAACTGGTTCAGGTCGATGGTGGTCATCTTCGTCTGCGTGATCTACTTGGTCGTACAGAACACGTTGGAGGTGCTCGGGCAGGCTGGGTTCTTTTCCCGTGAGTCGAGATTGGAGACGGGTTCGAGTTTTCGATCAGGGCGAACCGGGCTGAAATCGTATCGACTTTCTGCTTGTTCTGCTTTTGCTTTCGCTTTTCGCTTTTGCCTGACGACTAGTGATCGTGGCGATCATGATGCCACCCTCGATGCCATTCGCTACATTCTTCTTCGTAAGCTCCTACAAACCAACACCTCAACCCTTCTGACATTCACGCCTCCAACATATCACTAACCTTCAAAATGTTCCCCTTGTACCTTGCAGGCCATCCTCACCCTCGTCGTAGGCATGTGCCTAGGCTGGGCCTGGGGCGCAGCAGCAATGGCCTCCGCCCTCCGAGCCCGTTCTGCCACCCTCCTTGCCTCATCCTACACCCGGGCTCAATCACAACTCATCTCCGGAGTAGCCCCTGACAGCCAATTCCAGAAGTTCGTCTTCGAAGGGGTCTTCCTCGACGCCCGGTCCTCTGCTGTCTTCGGAGCTTTTTTTTTCGTTGGGATGTTCGCGTTGGCTGGGTTGAAGGCTGTTGCGCCCAAGTTGACGTTTTTGGCGATCTTTGGGATGATCGTGATGGTGAGTTCTCTCAGAGTTCACGGGTTCAGTTGGGGGTCGTTCCCCGTCTTCTTTCGTCGTCGCTGTCATCGTCGTCGTCGTCGGAGAAGAAACAGATGGCGATGAGGTGGAGGAGGTGGCAGAGGTGGATCGGCGGGTCGAGGTCCTGCATACTGACACTCAATCGACACCTTTCTGTTCTCAGATCGTCTTCTGTTCTTACGGCCCGTTGTTCCCCTCGGCGCAATATACTATCGCCACGCAGTTCTTGATCCCCACAGGTCAGTCGTCGATCGTGAATTGCAGCCGCTCCAGATCGTGAAGCTGATCTGCTAACGTTCCGATTGTGACAAACCCGTGACAACAGGCTTCTACGTAGCCACAGCCTTGGCGTCGATCATCCTCATCTTCCCTCAAACCGTCAACCACATGGTCACCGACGGCTACATCAAAGGCTTCCTCACCCCCGGCAACGGAGTGATCGCCCTCCAAACCCAAGTCCTGCAGACCGACCCAACCGACCCGAAAGCCTGGGAAGAACTCGCGGAAAAGGTCAAGGAGCTTCGTACGGCAGCTTCAGAGACGCTGGTTGGGCTCAACGGACAGATGGGCATGTTGGAGCTCGAAGTCAGCAGGGGGAGGATCAGCGCAAAGGATCTGAAGACATTGTTGGTCAAATCGCGTGCTCTGATCGGACGGATGGTCGGGGTGTCGAGTTTCCAAGTGCGTGTCAGCTAGAGTTGCCGGGGATCGTTGGATATTTGCTAACGAAATCGCACTGGACGACTTTATGCTCCTAGCTACTGGTCGCTCGGCAGCAGAAATCCGCCATCCCCTCCGGGACCGAGGGCAACCACGACGAAAAGGAACATCTCAATGGCGATTCCCGGCACCATCACGTTAGAGAACTCCGTTACCAAGAATTCATGAAACAAAAGGAAGCCGAACGGGGTCACCGTCTGAACGATCTCTTGCCCATACTAGATTCGAGCTCGGAACGACTCCGCCGGGCGTGTACGAGCGGGTTGGCAGACTTTACCGGGTTCCTGGATCATACCAATCGGACCCGATGGGCAAAGGGGAAAAAGGTCTACCCGGAGGGAGAGACGGCTCAGAGCGGACTTGACAAGAGGCAGGCCAACTTGAACGAGTTGCGGGACGCTCTCAAGGCGTATCGGCAGTCGGACCATTTGCAAGTCCTCGGCAAATTCAGTGACTTGTTCGACGAAGAGACGGGCGACTATCGGCGAGACCACCCGTCCTTGCATTCGATCGAGCGGGACCGACCGACCTTGTCGATGCGTCAACTCTTTCTCTGTTTCGTCTTTTCCACCAACCTGACCAGCTACGCCATGGCCCTCGCGGATTACTTAGAGACGGGTCTCGAGATCGAAGCCAGGTCGAACAAGAACCGGTTCCAATGGCCCACCGCTTTCAACAAGATCGGCAAGGTCGCGCTCAGTCGAGAGGGCGATAATGTGAACCCGGTCGAGCTGGGTAGCGATGACAGGGACGATCAGGGTCGGGAAGCCGACGAGTATTCGACGACGACGAGTGACGACGAGGACAGCTTGGAAAAGCCTTCCAGCAAGACGCAAAAGAAACAAGCACGAGCCGCCAAACGGGAGAAACTATATCGTCCCGACCTCGACGCATTGCCACCTCGTAATGGGTTGCAAAAGTTCATGCGTGAACTCTCCGTCGTACTGAAATGGTTTGGGTCACCTGAAGGACTGTTCGCCTTCAAGGCCGGGCTGGTCTCGGTCGCCCTGTGGATGCCAATGGTATTCGAGTCCTCGGTCTGGTTTGCTTATTCGAATCGGTAAGCGTCCGCTGTCTTGAATCTTATCTGAAGTCGGGGCGGAGACTGATCACAACCTGTTACCTGAACCTCTATCGCAGATCTCTATGGGCGCAGATCATGGCCGTGACGGGACTGGCAGTCTTTAGCGGTGACCTCGTCGTGGGCTTCCTCGTTCGCTTCACCGGTACCGTCTGCGGACTTGTACTGGGCATGCTAGCTTGGTACATCGGCAACGGTAACGGCAGCAACCCGTACGGCACGACAGCCGCGCTCATGGTGATGATCGCGCCCATTGTCTTCTGGCGACTGGCTGCAAAGCCTGCTACCATGGCTTTCCCCTTGATGATGGGCGTGACCGTGGCTTTGATCGTGGGATATTCCTGGGTCGATTCACATCTTCCGCTACTTGTCAACAGTGGGATCGGTGTCGACGTGGCTTGGAAGCGAGCGTAGGTTTTGGTTCCAATCGATTTCAATATGGCCCAGATGACTAACGATGGCTACCGATGTTCACACCAGATTATTGGTCTTGATCGGTTTCACCGCCGCCTTCATCATCAGCTTGTTCCCCAAACCGATCACGGCGCGCAAGATAGTCAGGCTACGAGCTGCCAAGATCATCGACGTTCTTGCCGAGCTATACGTGGACGAGCTGAAGGGATTCCTGTTGGAGGCGAAAGAATCGAACGAGCCGTGGAACGAGAGCAAGGTAGAAGAACGCGCGGGTCTGTATCGAAGCAGAGTTCTTGACGTTGTGGTGAGTCCAGCTCTAAGGTTTGCTCTGCCGATTGCGCGACTCACTTGGGCTGTTTATGCACGTATTCACCAGGGACGACTCGGCACAGTCGGGCCTCAATTGGCGTCGGCCCGTTTCGAGCCCAGCTTCCGCGGACCCTGGCCAAAACAACGTTACCACGATCTGTTTGGTATCATTCGGGAGTTGACCGGAGTACTAGCTCTATTGAGCAATGCGTGGACCAGGATCGAACCTCGGTACGCCAAGGCTATCACCGAGACCCCCTTCTTTGATCCACCAATGGTACGTCGACTTGTTGGGCATGAGCAACTGAGAGGCGCTGACGTTGAAAATCTCCTCTGCGTGCACAAAGGTTGCGGACACGCTCGCATTGTTTTCGCTAATCAGCAGTTCCTTGCGAGATGGACGGTCCATGCCTGTTTCTGTGCCGTTAATGGAGCGGATGGCGGGACTAAGTATACACACGGCGCAAGATCAGCTCGAGCTCTACCGAGTCAAGCTCAATTGGAAATCTCTTCAGGTAAGCGTACTCGCGTTCGTGGCAGTTGTTGGCAAGAACCACTTTTTCAACCCTCTTACATCATCCCGCTTCACAGAACGAGCAGACCGCGGTTTACGCCACGACAATCGTTGCGCTGAGTAACATGAGCGCTCTGCTCGATCGTCTGCACGACGTCGTGCGGCAACTCGTCGGGACGAGAGCCTTTGACCTGTTCGAGGAACACGCCGAAGCGAGGGCTGAGCGAGACATGGAGTTGTTTGGAAAAGCTTGAGAGCGTCTGTACAAGATAGAACCGTAACTGCGATGATACATTGGTTGTAAATCCAACGCAACGACAATGGAGCAGACAACACACTCTCTGCTCCTCCCGTTGGCACAATGTTTCGGATGACCTTCAAATCGGGCACCAGCTCTGTCGCCACCCCCAACCTGTCACGCGACGGAATCACCTATCGGCTGGCCATACTTGACTGGTCATCATTGTACTAGTCGTGGCTTTTCTTGTCCTCGGTAGCTTGATCGTCGTTGTCCTGGTTGATCACCACGTCTCCTAGCTTCCAACCATCGCTGATCGCAATCTCTTCGGCCAGTGCGAGCATTTCTAGGGAGATGTCTGTAGTCGGAAAGTCTGAGGATCGTCCGTCGATAGTTGCATAGCGTAAACGGTGACCTGCCCATCGTCCTTCGGCAAGGCCAGGTCCGTCGTACGAAAGTCCAATGCTTCCTACCCGCGTGTGATAAGTCACATTACATGCGAGAACGAAGCCCGCATCGATTTGGTAGTCATCGCTAGAAGGCGAAAGTACCGGCCTTTGATGTTCTGCAATGACGGACGGGTCCAAGTGTTCTCGGGTATCCAGGTTGATGATGCGGAAGGGTCTGAAGGCGCAGCTAAGCTCGACCCATCGAAAGTCGTTGCGACTACGCAAAACCCCAAGGAAGTCTTCTTTGAGCAAGTCTTCTTCGGGCTTGAACCAATAATCACGTACAACCTTTTCGCAATCACGCATCTCCTGCTCACATCGCTCAAACCTATTGTCCTCCTTCATCCGCCGAATGACCTCCCTCAAGTCCCTGCTCTGGCTGTCAGTGCTTCGACGCTTGATCTTTTGCGCAAGTTCATTGTATTCCATCCGGATAGGGAGTTGGACCAGCATACGCTGATTGATATCGAGATAACTCATATTCAGCAGGTCTCTCAATTCTCGCTCGCGGGATGCGTGTCTTGGTCCGCAAGTTACGTATAGGTGGGATTGGGATCCCGTTTCACCGGCTAGCGTGTCCGTGCGCTTTTTCCTGACCGAGTCGAATCCGTTGCCTTTGCCATTGATGCGACTTGGCTGCTCCTGATCTCGGAGCTCGGGCTCGGGAGGATCACGTTCCTCTAGCTCACCACGGGCCGCTTCAGGGTTTGCTTCGTCACTTCCCTTCTCGTCTTCCTCGTCGCTTTCCTCTCCCCCTTGCTCCTCACTTTCATCCCACTCTAAGTCCTTAATCGGGCATCCGATCTTCAAAAGCGACGACATGGCCGAGGCGATATCATCTTCTAAATCGGTACGTCCTCGGCGAATAGCTGCTTCGTGTATCTGCGTCCTGACGAGCTGCTTGGAGTACGCCCAGTCTTTTCCCGGTTTGGTGTAATCGCCCACAAGGACGATGCGCTTGCCACTCCACTCCCGCTCGAGAGGACATTTGGCTTCCATAGCCTTGCGCATGTTGCACCTGACCTGTGTCGTCACAGGAGTCAACAATCGCAGCATCGACATGCACGTCATCGCCACCGAAAGGAAGTCTTGGTAATAAGGATTGACGTGAGACATTATCTCCCATTTTATCTCGTCAGGCAGGCTCAAAAAGGCGCTGTCCTGCGAGTAATCTTCAAGCGTAATCCCGGCCTCGACACGCGCTTCCTCGATGAATCTAAGCGGGATAGCGAAGTCTGGGAAAGGATTATTCCAACCACGTAGGAGAGTGATGAGGTGCCAGCCGATGTCGTATATGATCTCTCCCAGCTTTCCCTGGCTTCCCGTATGGACCCGGTCAGTGAGATTGGCGAGATAGAAGTATTCTCCCATTATGATGTCTCTTCAAGGCAGTTAACGAGGTATAGTAGAGGTCTGTACAAAAGAAGGTGAGGGCTCGATGAGCAAAATTGTAGTGAATGGCCGACTGATTTTATAAGCTATAGGTCGTAGCTGATTCACCCGCTTGTCGTTCACAATCTGGAAAGATGATTCGACTCTCGGAGGCAACCTTAGAGCAGCCCTCCCAAATTAGAGGGTGTCATCGTGGCCTCTTCGAAGCGTATCACCATGAACGCACAAGGTTAATTGTTGGAAACAGCCTTGAAACGCCGCTTATGGGCTAGGGGCGGGGAGAGTCACAAATCTTCAGGATCAATGAGCGAGTCTGCGCGTTCTCTGGTGTTGCACCGGTCCTCCGACCCGCAGTTCAGATCGCTTCTGTTCCTCTGCGAGACAGACCCCGAGATACAGATAGCGTTTGCAACGGAACGCATAAGTTGAAAGATGCAACTGCTGCTTTATTGTAGAGTACAATGCACGCCTGCAATTGTCAAGAACGCGCGTTAGCTTAGTCGGACGAACCTGCTGGCGGTGAGACAACCAGGATATTGGGCACGATATGATGCGACGGCTAAAGGGGAAGTTAATCACTGCTTGATGGTGATTCGCTTTGTTACAGATTGACTGATGTTGAGATTATTTTGTGATGTTGAACCGCCATCAAGCGAAAGCGGCGCGACACGCAGTGTGATGGTTATTTCCAAGACCCGGTTCGCTGATATATCTCGAGCATGATATTGATAATAGGACCGACTTATGAGACACCTACAATCTAATCCTATCTCATCAACGATTCCAGATAGTGGGCATGCCCCAGACCTCCGAAAAGAAAAGAAAAGGTTCAGTTGCACGAGGAGGACAAAGGAAAGGGAATTGAGCCAAGGCGAGAGCGCGGGTACTGAAACCCGCCCTGCCGCCGCGTCAAACAACTATAGCATACTGCTTTTTCTTCCTGAGAAAAGGTCTCAATGACGAAGCCTGACTCATGGGTAAGCTAACTTCCGAGGACGATTGAACCGAGACAGGTTCTGTAGCACATGACGCGAGATACCTCGTCAGCGAAAATGACAAGTGCCAGTGCGCGCGATGGCTCACCCAGCGGCCCAGCGTCTAAATCGATTGTCTGCCATGTCTTGTTTGCTCAGATAGAGTCAATCGCACAACAAAAAAAGACGATATCCTCTCTGTGCACCCTTCTTTCTGTTCTGTATCCTATCTTGCAATGACAATCGCGACATTTAACTGCTATCAGAGGCTACACGTCTGGATAAGTACTGGCTTCCCTTGATGGCTGTGCTGACCATGTCTCTTGCCACTAGCTGGCTGTCTTCGACTGACTGGGCGGGCAGGACAGTCTTCTTGGGTACCCGGGCTGCAATACTCTGGGATGACAACAAAGGGGGATCGGGATGCCCCTGTCCCTCACGTAAGCATTGAGGGGGAAAAGGGGGTCCAGGAGATCGTGAAAGGAGGCCGGGGACAGGAGATGGCACCGGGGTGGCGGAATTTTCAACGTAGCGGGATGAAGATGAGTATATATGAACATTGCGAAACAGAGCTGACTTTTAATCTTGACAAGCTTGACGATGTCCGATCAACTGTATACCGTAAAACTTTCAAAATGCTTCCAGCGTCTTTTGTTGCCCTACTGCTGGTCGGAATGATGCCCGCTGCTTTGGCCCAGGATTGGAACATGCCGGTCGATGCACCAAACTCTGTCAATCCTATGAAGCGGGGTGATAGTCATTGGTTGTAAGTAACTGACGATCCTCTGTGGAGATTCATGTTCAACACTTAATTGAGGATGCCTTTCGCTTACACTGGGCACAACAGTCTCGGTCAGTCATATTCCGTGCTCTAAGCCATGAAACCTTCTGATATCTGAGAGGCTATAGGATATTCGCAAGAGAAGATGAAGGGAGACCTCTGGAGGCCTGATGGGCCCAGCTGGAAGGATGTTACGCAGTCAGTACACCTCAGACACGGCCACTGAGCTCGGCAATTCCGGCTTGCTTGACTCAAATTCCTGTATGCAATCCAGGGCAGCTAGAGGAGACTGCTGGTTAGTTGCTGTTGCTGCAAGTATAGCATATGTAGATGCCAACAAGATCAAAGAAATGATGATTGACAGACGTGTGAGTTATCATGGTGTGGTATGTTAGACTCTTACACTGATGTCATGACCAAGGTAGAACGACAAAAAGGTGGACGTCACATTGCATATATCTGAAACCGAAACCAAAGTTTACACAGTACGCAGGCCCAATGCTGTTGAGTCTGCAAATGACAAATATGGTGTAACAGATGGTGCACCGTTATATGATGGGTACAAGCTGCTCCCATCTTTGTCCAGGGCCAGCATTTACATTAGCTGATTTCATGTCCCACAGCACCGCTATGTGGCCAGCTGTGCTGGAACTAGCTATGATGGGTACGTTGTCATGATCTACTCCAATTCCATTTTGCTTATGCCTGTCTCCGTCATACAGAGTATGCCAAAGATCAACCTGCAAGTGGGATGGCCGCAGATCTCAATGGTGGTTTCCCCAACAAGGCATATGAAGCTATCTATGGCAAGACTAGCTTTATGGAGTGGATCCCAAACTTGACTGAAGAGCGGCTGGTGGAGCTACTAACAACCGGAAAGCCAACTGCTTTGACTCTATATTCAAAAGAAGTTCTGGGTTCAATGGCTAATCCAGCATATGACAACCAGTAAGTCATCCCACGCTCATGAGGCCTTGAACTCCGGCAAAGAGAGAACAGTGTGACTAACAGCTAGATGTTTCCGTACAGAGGATTGCCTGTACAACATGCCTACACTGTCATGTTTTATGACCCAGCAACGTTCGTGGCTCAACAGCTGCAAAATCTCTGCCTTGAGCTTGAAATTTGCAAGCTGAAAAGACTGCATTGTTCTTTTACCATCATACAGTAAGCTTGTTACGATAAGAAATCCATGGGCATCCATGTAAGTCTCTTGGAGTGATATCATCTTGCGGCTCGATACTGAAAGTTGTGTATTTGTATTTGAACAGTGGGAGTGGTGAGCTCTACAGCAAGGTTTCTTGCCTTGAAATCAAACTGATTGCTTACTTTTATGAAGATGATCGGGAAGGTCTTGTCGCCCAAAAGAATGGCCAATTTGAGCAAGTGATACAAGCTGCTAAGAGAGCTGATCTCCGCTGACCTTTGGTACACTTGCCCTGAGCAGCCTCAATTTAGAGAACTTCCGGAACACCTGGGGGGTGATCACAGGGATGTAATACCTCTCTCTCTGCAGAAGTTTCCTTGATCTCGCTCGTTGCAACTGTACATGACTGAGTAGAATAGAGCCTGTCATCTTCCATCCGCTCCTATTGCCAAAGTCACAGCCGCTCATGCCACTTGAGAACCTGCAGTCTGATGTTGACGGCTCGTCGGCTCTGGTTTCTTTATTCTGTACATGAGTAAATCTTGACACAGGTCGGTCCCTAGAGACACATGCAAAACATATCCACCCATCGAGAGAAAAAGGGTCGCAACTGCTCGTTCAAAGTGCACAGGGCTAAGGCTCCCTCGGCACATTGACGATAGATGGCTAAGCTGCGATATGGTCGACGCCTGGTCTTCCTCTTGATCGAAAGATACCGACAAGACCGACATCAAACAAGAGAAGAGGTGGCCAATTTGAACGCACAGCTACCAGCACCATTGCGGCGGAATGCGGTATGGCGGGCAATCGGCTGAGTGAACGAAAGCAAGCAACCGACGCCAGAGACATTCTTGTAGGGTTAGAGATGTTCGCCTATCAGAAGCGTAGTTGGGGAATAATTTCACCTTCCATCATCGTCATGCCAAAGTCGCTGGCCATGCCTGGATGACTCTTAGGCAGACGCGCTTCATTTGCAAAGCCGAAGCTCGCCGACCGTGATGGTATTATCCGCTGAGGCGGATCATGTTGTCTTCTAGATACGCGACACTGAAGCTCTGACTCGTCTCCACTCACTTCTAAACTGCTGTTTCACAAGAGAACTGGCTTGCTCGCACACCATAGTGTTAATCGTAATCCAGTCGCTTCCGCTTGGCGCGCGCCACTCTCCTTTTTGCTGAAACGCGAGACGATGGCTCTAGCCTGCGGGCTCATAGCTGCTTAATCTGTTACCATCTCTGCTCACGTCCTAACAGAGGCATGATCGCGGTCTGTTGTTATCACATCCTAGAATAGAGGGGATCATGATCGCATCATCGATTTTCGTATGGTTTGCTTAAGGTGCCCGATGGTACAGCATCGAAGAAAGACGGAATCATCCAGTATCACAATGAAAATATTCGCAGCGACTGCAACAAGCGCGACATATGGTATGATGGTTATCGTCGCAGCGCTATTGCCTGAGCCCATATATCATTAAGGAAGCTTGCGAGGTCGGGTATAGAACAAGCATGCTTCAGACCCGTTCGAAATTTGCGCTGATTACCTTGATCGGAAGAACAATGAAGGATTCTGGGCGAAACCTGTGTGCTTGACATGCGACACTTGCAGCACTACTCGCTGGTTCGACTTGCGTCCGATCAGATATTGCACTGATCGTATGTACTTCGCCAAGATCACCCCGATACTAATCGAATCATATCGCTGGACACGGTGACCATTGCAAGGCCCAAGCAACATGGCATCTGCGAACGCTGACCCGCACTGCCGACGAACATCCCGCGTTTATAGGTGTTTCAAAGGAGTCCCAGTGTTTCGGGAGCATGTTCCGGTTGTAAGGAGATCAAACACGGATCTTCTAGGGGTATTCAAAGGAGCGGATGATCCTAGAAGGGATCATTCGACCCTCATGGAGCGTTCACGATCGCTCATATAAGTCGCCACATCAAATACTCAAAGAACTCGAGCTGATCAGATAAAGGTTGCAACGGCCACCCATCATCAGATCTCTTATAGCATCAGGATGCTGTTCAAGTCGTTACACAGTCTCATTCTCATCGGCTTCCTGCCCATTGTATGGGCCCAGGATTGGAACATGCCGGTCGATGCGCCAAACCCTATGAAGCGTGGAGATCAATATTGGGGGCAAGTGATACGCCCTGATGAACTTACAGCGCTGCTCAAGTAGCTGACCTCAGTTTGATCCTAACGCTTCTGCACGTTAGCCAACGTCAGTCATAGATCAAGGGGGTGGTTATCGATCAACGAGCTTACACTTACCCCATTGGGTTGACAGAAGAATTGACCAAAGCCTCACAGGGGGATCTCTGGCGATCTGGAGGACCGAGTTGGAAAGACGTGACGCAGTGGGTTTCACTTATCTGATCACCTCGCTATTGTCTTGGAAGCTAGACAATATTGCATGTTCCATACTTCAGAGCGGCTAGAGGTGACTGCTGGTTGGTTGCTGTTGCTGCAAGTGTTGCCTATGTGGACCCAAATAAGATCAAAGAAATGATGGTAGATAGGAAAGTAAGGCACTCAACTGCAAGTCGGCGTTCAAGTGGTAACATAGCTGACTACTGGATTTGGGACTCTAAAAGTCAAAGAAGAAAGTAGATGTCACGTTGTATATCTCCGAGACTGAAACAAAGGTCTACACCGTAGAACGTCCAACAGCTGCGTCCTCCCAGAGCGACAAGTATGGGGTGACGGATGGTAATCCCTTCTTTGATGGGTACGCAATGAGCCCTTCGAACGGAGTAATTACCTATATATGAGCTGATCCAAGACCTTACAGCACGGCTATGTGGCCAGCCGTGCTAGAGCTAGCAATAATGGGTAAGTGAGCGATCATGGTGTCTTCCATACATGATATATGCTTATACCTAATCTTGCAACTCAGCCTATGCCAAAGATCAATCTGCAAGTGGGATCGCCACAGATCTTAATGGTGGTCTCCCCAACAAAGCATTTGAAGCCATCTACGGCAAGACTAGCTTTGTGGAGTGGATTCCAAGATTGACAGAAGAGCGATTGACAGAGTTACTGACAACTGGAAAGCCAACCGCCTTAACTTTGTACTCCAAGGAAGTTCTTGGTCAGTTGGCCAATCCAGCATATGACAACCAGTAAGTATCAAGCAGACTACGTCATGCTACAAGTTTTGCCGCAACACAAACAGCTTGACTAACCGCTAGACTTAAAGAGGACTGCCAGTACAGCATGCCTATACTGTCATGTTCTACAACCCAGACACGTGCGTGTCATGATTTCCACAAACTTCCTTCAAGTCCTGCGAGCTGATGAGATTTTATTGTTTCCTGCCACTACATAGCAAAACTGTTACTATAAGGAATCCCTGGGCTTCGATGTAAGTGAACAGCTGGCTGTATCACAACTTGGTCCATACTGACTTCAAAGGCGCAAATCAACAGTGGAACTAGTGAGTTTACAGCAGAATTCGATTCTTATGAACCCGGTTCTGATGCCATTGCCGTTACAGAGGACCGTGATGGTGTCGTCGCCCAGAAAAATGGACAGTTCGAGTAGGCTGAGACCAATCAACCAGGAGTGACGGGCACCCGCTGACCTGCTTGCTTGATCAGACTTGAGCTGGAGAATTTCAAAAATACCTGGGGGGTAATCACAGGCATTTGAATGTGTCATGTACCGTCTGAACGTTGTTCTGTACTGCCTTATTGGCCAATCGTAGTCCACTGAAGCCCCTCGATCGCCGCTCCGCTTGTAGCGCGCGCCTCTATCCATTCCCTGAAAGACGAGACGATGGTTCGATGGCTGCATTTTATCCTCGCCGCTGTTGACTCTCCTCCAAGGTCAGAACATTATTGAGAGATTATACAATCTCGTGTCGAATCCTATCAGACCTTAACTTCGAAGGTAGCCGTCAGCCTGAATATCCCGGTTGGACTAAAGCTATGCTCGTGCTGCTAGCGCTAGAAGCGCATAGACGAACCCCACCATGGCTTCTTGCGAAAGATCAGCCGCCTCATGTGTGACCATACTACGTCTTCCAGGTAGGTATTCCGAGCCGATTCTGCTATGTACTTGGCCAGAAATCTCGCTGCAAGCTTTCATAGCCGGATCAGAGTCAACGTGGGTATTCATGATTGAAGCTGCAAGGATAATCACGACAAGGCGCCCTAGGACAGCGTAGTGATTGAGAGATGAGTCGACAAGCATATCATCAAGAGCAAACCGGCAATTCGATGATATAAGGAGGAGTGCAAAGCAAGCAAACAATCATTGCTACCCTCCCGACGTTGTCATCGCTAATAACTGCTGAAATTCGATAGGCCCGTCAGCCATACATAGCTTTCTGAATTCGGACTCCTCCTTGTTGATCAGCGCAGCGGGTGAGTCGTTCTCGAGGATGCGCCCTTCTTTCAGCACGAGTGCTCGATCGTAATTGATAACTGCAAGCGGATATCGAGTCAGCAATATCTCCAGAACTCGACTTGATACTGTAAAGGACCGTAGACCAGCAAAGCAGCGTGATTATGGTCGTATCACTCACTCGTTCGTAACCTGCATGTTTAATGATGAGACTACACAAATCAGCAAATGTGTATTCTGCAGCACGACCCGGCTAATCTATACTGACCTATGGGCTATGGTTATCACTGTCACCCCTTTCATCTCTGCAATGGCCTTCGTCACCTTGGCGTCCGTGTCATAGTCGATCGATGAAGTCGCCTCGTCCATGATGATGACCTTGGCGGACTTGAGCAAAGCTCTGGCTAGGACCAAGAGTTGTCTCTCGCCCAGACTAAAGTTTAGACCTCTGCCCGAGTCCACGATCGACGTCAGCGACAGTCACCTCCGAAGAATAACGCGCTTGTACGTACCCTGTTCGTATCGAAAGAGCTGATTAGCGCACCGTCCTCTTCAACACGAGACCGGGATTCGTTCTTACCTGCAGACACTAGTGTATCTAGTGAAGAAAAGGGAGATCCTTCACCAACGTCAAGATGCACCTGCCTCATAGCGGCGTAGAGTTCATGGTCATCCTTTTCACCGCTGATATCTAGTGCATCTCGCAACGTGCCTGACGTCAAGAGACTCTCTTGGGGAATGTAAGAAATTTTTGAGCGGAGGACATGCAGAGGCACCTTGGCGATATCTGACATGCGATTAACGCGGCATCAACAAGGCTTCCAGTGTCATCTTGAACGGGTGTACTCACCGATACCATCTATCTTGATGCTCCCGGATGATGCACTCAGATCGCGCAGAAGACACAGAGCCATAGTGGACTGATCCATTGACTGTCGGTGAGATCGTTCGACTCTAGCGGGTCATAATCCGGCATACCTTTCCTCCGCCGGTTCTTCCAACGATACAAAAGCGCTCTCCTGGCTACGAGGTACCGTCAGCCTTGTCTATGACCTTGCGAGCGGATTCGCAGACTCACCTTTGCAGTGAACGAGACACCCTGCAAGACCAGTGGCAAATCGCTCGCGTAACGTGCCGTCAAGTCCTGGCACACGATCTCGCCTGTTCGCGGCCAAGCTTCAGGCACAGTATAGCCTTCCTCCCCTATCGCTTCAGACCGTATCTGCGCAACTATGATAGCACTCATCAGTGATCTGACCGAGGGCTACGGTCAAGCATGAATGTCCGACGGCGTACTTTCGGCGATCCTTTCCACGGATACCATGTGTTCCTCCAGGTCTACGACACGGTCGAGCAGCCAGAAGATTTGGGACGACAAGTCCAGAGCGAAGGTCAAAATGAATCCTGCCATTGGAGCATTCATGTCGGATCGAAGCACAAAGAGTCCAGAAGCGCCGAGGACCAGGGAGGTCATCGTAAGCATAGCGCTGGCGAATGCCACCCAAATCTGTATATAACGGTGTTAGTGGATATGACCTGTGATGGTCTTGCCCCTCATCACTCACAGACCAAGAACACATAGACATCCTGTTCCTGACGTCTTCGAAAGTCGCGAATAGTTGACACAGAAAGCGCGAAGAGCCGAACGCTCGAATTGTCACGATGGAACCTGTGATGAGACGATATCAGCTTCTAAGCCTAGCTTGGCGTGTGTATGCGGTCGACGTCTCACCTAGGGTTTCGTACGTTAGACCGCTTATGGGACTAGCCAATACGGCATCCAAACGGGCTAAGCTTGCTCGCATTCGGCCGAAGCTAGAAGATGGCGATCAGTTCGGGTAGCTCCGAGCCTTTTGCTTGATACCGGACTTACAATTTTCTCAACATATTGAAGGGGTACGCAGCTATTGCACAGGCAATAGCGACCGGCTGTATGGAGAGATATAAGACAGCGCCTTCCCCGCGCCCAAAAGCTTCTTCGACTCACCGGCAGGCTGATCCCCAAAATAGTGATGTTGACAACGACAGTCAGGCTTTCCTTGATAGTCCTTCCCCACGAATCTGGGAGGAGCCCGTCTACCTTCTGTATATCGTTGCTGAACCGGTTGAGAATGCGGCCTGACGGAAAGATGCCAACATGTCATGTTAGATCTCGGACGAAGATCAATCAAGGTAATACACGTGAACTCACCCTCTGGGGTTCGATCAAAGTACCGAAGGGGCGCATTCAAGATCCCGTCCACCATCGCGTTGTGCATCTTGGCGGCTCCACGCTGGCTGAACCCCCCGGTCTCGTTGCCATAGAGCCAAAACCACCAGACCGACTGGGTCAGAACGCGCATTAGAGCGACCACCGACCAGATCAGAATCCAGTGATCGTTACGCAAAGGTTCGGTGGTCCATCGTCGTACCACGAATCTCGTCATGATGCGGAACGCTTCTTGTGCGACGACAAAGAAGAGAAGGCCCGCCCAATATCCTTTGCCTCCTACGCTATCGATCACGAATTGGTAATTGGACAGCTGAACATTGCCCCTTTCTTGATGCTCTTCTTCATAGATGCGCCGAGATGACGTAGTTGCCACCATCGATTTGGGCTTCTCCGCATCGGTATCAGGAGGGAGCATCCTTTCGAACTCCTCGGTCACAGCTTGATCTTCCTCCTTTAGCAGAACCTCACGGAGATCGTTTGGTCTTCCAGAATTGGCAATCTTTCCTTCTCGAAGTTGTATAGCTAGATCCGCCGCGGGTAGCAACAAGCTGACGTTATGCGAGACCGTGACAACGCGCCGTTTTTGCAGCAGGTTGCCACGTAGACAACGAGCGTAAACATACTGCGACGTAGTAGCATCCAAAGACGATAAGACGTCGTCAATCAGAACAGTACCCGCTCGGCTGTATACAGCGCGCTATGTTGTAGTGACGTCAAGGAGGATATTGTAAGATACAAGATCAGCGCTCATCATATCCGTAGCGGTACACCAACACTCACTGCGAGACTAAGCCTTGCCCGCTGGCCGCCACTCAAGGTAACGCCATTGCCACCGATCTCTTCCTGATCGCCGTTGGCAAACATGCTGAAATCCGACGCCAATTCACATTGTTGCACGACAGTCTCGTAGCGAGATTTTCTGAAAGGAAGTCCAAACAAGATCATGTCCCGAAGTGTCCCATGTGTTATGTAAGGAATCTGAGCTAATGAGCGAGTCATGACGACCGTATCAGTCGAATGGGCCGCATGAGCAATAGTCCCCAACAATTCTAGCCCACCTGCATAAGCGACCGTGTCTTCTTCGATCCACCCTGCTGGATCGGGACCGTTACCCATGTCCTCATGCGAGATCTCGTCCGACAGCGGTATCGTGCCGTATCTAGATCTCGGTGCCGTAATTGAACCGCTCAGCAACCTTGCCTCGCCCAAGAGACTCAGCAGAAATAAAGTCTAGACAAGCACAGTCAGCTACGTCATTTGCGAGGGAATCAGCTTCACTCACTTTTCCCGAACCTGTGGCGCCGCATACCAATACGAATTTGGCTTCATCCGGAATTTGCAGATTCATATCCATCAACTTGAATGGTTCGCGATTCGTTGCTTCGCCTGGTACGGGACCTCGGGAATGCCACGTGACAGTCGCATTGTCGAGCGATATGCGGGATCCAAGCTGGACGTTCTCGTGTGCAATCTCATCGGAATTTAGGAAATCGCACAGTCGGCGTAGCGAGACCATCGACATCAGCAGTCTCTGCAATATATCTGGTATCTGTCCTAGACTCTCTGTATGAACTCGAGACTGCGATCAGCCGTGACGAGATATGAAACCGAAATCGATCGTAAATCACCTTGCACCGATGTGAAAACGGTTGTAGCGACAAAGGCAGAAGCTGGCGTCAAAGATCGACCTTGCAATTTGGTGTAAGACACGAACATTGCGAAACTATAACGGTGATCGTATTCGATAAACCGCCCTCATCATTGCTACGTTGGAAGGTCATACTCACATGCCGACCAGTGGGGACATGAGCGCCAAGATATTGAAGCTCGTACCGATCGTGTATCGCCACCGTTGAAGACGTACTTCCTTTGCCCTCAAATTCGAGATGCGGCGGAGGTGATGTTCTGTTACGCCAGCGTTAGTAATTAGCGTGTGTGGCGTTGCCACGACGAAGCAGTCTTACCTTCCCATGCGTTGAGCTGAGCGACCGGCGGGCCACAAGCGTTTGAGCGGTTCGCACCAACTCAAGCTTTTCACGTTCAGCTGAAACTTACTTTGATCACCTTGACGCTGATGAGCAGTTCTCTCATTGCCCCTATCCGCGCGTCCCTAGCTTTTGCAAGAGCCTTGTCGCATTCTACACAGGTTTCGACGGTATAAGGGCCTCTAGCGACGGAAGTGATCTTTTCAATTCGCGGTGATGATGTGCGAGACTCACTGTAGGTAAGCCTCGCAACGAACCCGCTTAACGGACTCATCAGCGGGATAGTCGCAATGGCCACTAGGGCTGACCAGCTGAACATCGAATAGAGAAACCCGCCGGACAGGCCAACTACCGGCGAAGAAACATCAACTCTTTGCCTCGACGCAATCATCGGATTCGGCATCGAGACCTACGCATCAAGATGGCATTACTCAGCGTGAGAATCCGCTTAGCCAGTGAAGCGACGACTCCCACGTCCACATTTATCAAGTTCAGAATCTAGGGGAGATTTTTCAATATCGTTGAAGCCAGATTTACAAATGGGCTCGCACTCACCTGAGCGCGCCCAGACCCAGTGGCATCGGGAGATTGATCGTCTGTTATCGATAGAATCTTGTGGAACAACTAGAACGGCACCCGATCTATGGTGAGCATACGTTCCCAGGTGTATAGCGCAAGCGGGTTGAACATGCTGACCATCGTGCGCAGATTGACCCGAATCGCCTTGTGATTGACGATATTCTCTCGGATACTATCGAATCGGCGTGAGCGGACTTGCCAGAGATGATCTGAGGGGGCGTAGCATTGTCAACTTACCGCGAAAAGCTGCTGATCAAATCTGCCCGATGCATCGAATGAAGCCATCTTAGCTCGTTTGTTGCACAAACCAGCTACTCGACTTACTGCCCATAAAGCTACCAAAAAACAGACCGAAGGCCATAAGATAGGCATAAGTCATATCCGCTCGCCGATCGGGCATTTCGAAAGACAGGGTAATTTGGTGCATGCAATAACGAGGCAAGAACGTCGAGGCGTTGTATATCCATTCGAACACGGCGGCTGGGACGAAGTAAGACCGACTGCCATCAGTGTCATCTTACATGATCGCGTGGTGCTAGATTCATCGTCCAAGCTTGACTCACAGCTCAAGATCAGCCACCCTTGACCGCGACACACTTCCCTCAGTAGCGTCCAAGGCGTCCAGACCTTGCGCTTCGCCCCTGCCCCTCCGCGCGCCCCATCCCCTTGCTTCTCATTCCATTCCCTCTCTTCCAGCTCTTCGGGTGTCAATACGAACCTCTCTCTCCGCCCCCCAGACTCGAATGTAGGGGGAAGTAGCACATTCTCCGCTCTCAACGCCTCGGGTATATGTGGTAGATCTTCCGGTCGTAGTTCCGGTCTCCTCGCAGCTATGGAAGCGACCGACCAGATGTACCCGATGAATAACAGACTGAGGATGCTGCATTGATAGTAATCCAGGACGTTCGGAGCCGGTTCTTTCGAAACCGGATCTTTGCTCTGCGCCGTAGATTCAGGTGTATCCGTGGGGGACACCGCTGTGGGGGCCGTCGAGGACGATCCCAGTAACGCAGCGTCTTCCCCAATTCCTGCCTCATCGTGTCCCAATCGTCCACCTGCATCTAGCCGTTCCGCCTGACCCTGCCCATTCATACCCCACACCTTCCTCCCCCACCACCACCTCCTCCTCTTCAACGCCGCTCTCAACCTCGAAATCGAACCCGAAAACCTCCCCTTAACACTCTTCTTCACCGCCCCATCCGCCTTTCCCTTATCTGCTGCCTTATCGACCTTATCGACCTTATCCTCCATAGCCCACCCGTACCCAATCGACAACCTCTGCGCATCATAATAGAGCTCCGGGCCTCTTCTCATCGTCCCTACCGCGATCCACGCCGCTAGGAGCGCGACCAGCTCCGTAGTCCTAAGGGCTTTCAAAAACCACGTCTGATTGGCATCCGAATCAAATCTGGACGATAATCGGTGCCGATGTTTGAGCACGAAGAGTAGTGTTGGCATAGGGTAAGTGATCAGGATGAAGGTGTGGAGGAAGAAGAGGGCAGTGGTGTAGTTCGAATGTCGATAGTATGTCGGATGATCGGTCGGATCTGCGTGTCGCTCGGAGAAGAGGGGGAAGAGGTATAACAGGTAAACCGTTGCAGAGAGCACCTGCGACAATGATAAAACATTTTGATGGTTCAAGTAAGTATGCGAGTCGCAAGCGGTAAATCATAGCGTAGATCACATGGGGCCATAGGAGCAGAACGTCGAAGGGACGTACCAAGAACCCCAACCGAACCCATCCCCACCCCATACTATCCATGTACCAACCCCCTTTCTTTCCTGGCCATCCTTCCAAATCCCTCAGAGCTAGCAAGGTCACTCGGCATAAGATCGCGAGAGGGATAAAGATCCCTAAGACTATTTTGCGTTTCTTGATACCGTTCTTGAACTGGGCAAGGCGGACGGGTTGGTCTTGTCTGTTCCTCCTCGACGAAGGAAGCGAAAACTGGTGAGAGGTAGATGCATGTTGAGTAAAGGACATGATGAGTCACTTCGATGATGTAGCGTCTGAGCACCCTTGAAGTAGTCTTCTGTCATCGATATCGATATCGAACATGTCACGCAGCTATATACATCGTTGCTGGGCATTTCGATTCCCGCCTTTGTGTATCGCCCGGCAGGGAGTGGTGTCTAAGATGGTGGGACGTTCCGCAAAGTGAGTACAGTCGCAAGTACCTTTGACTCTTTTTTGATCGCTCCCTTTCCCCTTTGTCTCGAAAGACGGGAGTGCCACGGCCGGCTCTCCACTTGATCGACCACAGGGCGCGCCATCCTTGAACTCGATTGTTTGTCCTCTCGACCGGATGAGCTAGAGCTGGGAGGTACTTCGCTATCGTCCAGACCGAGTAACTTGCCCAGAACGAGCTGATGATCTGATGATCGAGCTGAGTGTTCGTGTTCTGCGCAACAAGGGATGTCGAAGTTGAGATGATGGATGATTGCCGGATCCCAGGTCAACTACAAGTCTCAGCTCAACTTGAACATCGCCTTCGGCCGAACCCGTCATCTCGCCAACATCCTTCGGGATATCTCGATCGATAGATCGATGGATCGATGGTGATATCATGATATTTCACCAGGTCAGGGGAAAGACTCGTCAACGAATAACGAGGCATCTATCACGCGACGATAATATACGCTTGGCCCGAGACCACGTCTCACTTGATACTCATCGTCCGATCGGCATGTTATCCATCGTCGACCCGAGTGCAAGCCAGGATTACACGGGCCTCGAAGCACCTCATTATCAAATATTTCCAAATCCGACCTCAACAGATAGAAGCCGGCGACCATGCCGACCTTCCGTAGATCTTCATTTTCCCGAGGGTGTAACGCAGCTCGAAATGTCCTGCGCGCAACGGCACACGGTCGAAAGATCAATGACGTCCCGTCTAGATCGATATGACGACCCCGGGTAGAAGGTGCTTTCGATCGTCCGCGATCGGCGTAGAAACTTTGAACGTCGATCCCGCTGCCTAGCTCGAGGTCGTCCTAGCGTGTCTGTGGGCAAGCTCGCTCGCCGAGCCTATCTTGTTCGGCTCGATAGCGTTGCAAGGACGACCTCGACCTCGACACCTCGAGAATGTCCGCCCGCGACTCGTCCCAAGTCTGGCGGCCGCCCGGATAAATCAACTCGTCCGTGTTCCCGAATGTCGATTACGACGGCTGTGAGTATGTACCTAGTCGAAAGTTGGCCAGGTTATGGGTTATCCTCCTCTTCATCCTCGTCACTCCCATACCCCGCCAGCCCTCCTAGGGCCGTGATGCTGCTTGTCGGGTTGGTTTTCGTTTTCGTTGTCGATTTCGGCACAACCTTGGATCCCGAAATCTTGATGATCGCGGCTTTTCCTCTCCCAACCCGGTTGATCTCGCTCGACGCTGATGCTGATGCTGATGCTGATGCTGGTGCCAAATCGAACGGGTTGTACCTCTCCACCGTATTCCTCCTCAACGTCGTCGACAAGTCCCCCACCCTTTTCCCGCTCGACACAACAGCAGAAGAAGCAGCCAGAGTCGACCTTCTCGCTCTCGCCCGTTCATATTCCTCGTCCGCCTCCCCCGGTTCGAGCCTGACCAACCCCTTCCCCTCCAACCCCAATCCCAAGCCGTACTTGCTCTTAACATCCTCATCCACCCGTAACCTATCCCGTTCAACGCGTTTCTCCTCTCGTAGCCGTTGTCGTAAATGCTGGGACATGGTATACGGATCAGAGGTTTGGCGGTAAGACAGTTTCGCCAACGCTTCGATCCTGTCGGATTTCGATTGAGCTTGGGTGGCTTGGGTAGTGGATTTCTCTAGGGCTTGGAAGGCGTCTGCAGGGGGTTCGGCGGCGGATGGTCCTTCCGTGTCTGATGCGTGAACGCCGTGATGATTATCCATATCAGTAAAACCACAAGAAGGCTCGGCGAGATTCAGAGGAGGATCTCAAGGAGAAAAAGAAAAGGAAAGAGGAGTGATAGCGGGGCGGGATCCTTACCGTGCGCTCGATATCCGCCGTTCTCCTCCGGGTCCCAATCTTGCTCTTGAGCCCGTGCTCCTTCTTCGACGACATACCTGGCGTTCTATAGATGAGTAAAGTTCATAGGTGAATCCGAGAACATAAGCTACGAACTCGCCGGTTGCAAATACGGGCTTCCAACGAGACGAAGAAGACTCGACCTGTGGCTCACCTTGGGGTCCGTACGGATCTCGAACCAGCCGGAACAGAGATGACATTTACACCGAAAGGCGTAGATGGCCGTGGAATAGTATTCGCCGACTTTTCGTTTCTGAGCATTGTACCGGACGCCTGCTCCGAGGTGGGACTGCGAGGTTAGAATGGACTTGCTCATCAGCTCGGGTCGACATGATCCCGCATTCTCGTCTGCTCACGTTGCAATGGCCACACCAGATGTTGAAAGGGAGTTCGAATCTGTAGCATTTCGAAATCTTCCAGATCAGCAAAGCATCTCAAGTTGAACATCCCGAGACGATGCACTAAGGACCAGACTTTGGGGAGACGTTACTTACCTGACGACCAAGATCCCTTTATCGATATGCTTTGCCCTCACTCCGAGCGCGTGAACGCCGCGATAACTGTTGAGCGTCGACGTCTCCCTCGAATCATAGTCGGGCGGGTAGTACTTGTTGAAGCCTTGCATGTTTCAGCGAGCAGGCCTATGAGAAGGGGAAGCTTGACGGCAGGGGTAGAGAAACGTTAGTAGGCAGGTAAAAGAACGGTAGGATCAATCTATCTGAGATCTGATCATGAGCCTCTTCGGATGCAAAAGTGAAGCGAACAGGCATGTACAGTCGCTCCCCGCAGACGAGAAAGAGTCGGACGCATTTTTTAGCGTTTTCTCGTCTCCTTTGTGCAGGTTTCCCATTGCCAGGGTCAAGGACGGTAATGCTTGACTTACTATGACGTAAAAAAAGACATAACAATATAGCAAGCCTCAAGAAAACACCTGTTATAGTGTTACGGGATCATCACGTGAGTCGACTACCGACACACAGGCTCGATCTACGGACATCAGCATACACCTAAGTCCGGCTCGACGAGGCGAATCCGATTCCCTCAGAGCAGATTCGGTCGTCCCTACCATTCGCCTTCACCATTCACCGAAACAACAAACCTTCCCGACGCATATCACAAACAGGTACAGGGACCTCGAGGTACACGACAACCTTACTCAGGACCTCGACAACCTTACCCGACGTACCTAGGGACAATGCAAACACAAACTCGCCTCCTCTACCGAATCCGGTTGCTCTCGACAGGATTCGCTTGTTCGCCATCTCGCTCTTCCAGTTTCGCCATCTCTCGTCGTTCTATCGTTCTGGGATCTTTTCAGCTTTCGTCACTCTCTTCTCCTTACTCGTCTCCGTATAAATAGCTAGAGGAACTTGACCGAATTCGATAGAGGACGCTCTGTAATAGTTAGAGGTCAAGTTCCGATATCACATTCAATACACGCCTATCTGACTTGTTACAACATCTTCAAGACGTGTTGCGGAGAGGTTACAACCCAAGGACGTCGCTAAGTATCTACGCTTCATCGTTTTACCTTAGACTGAATCCGGTACTTCACACCGAGTGATCACCTTCCTTATCCATATATCTCTGGATTCGTATCCCTCACCCGAACCCGCTTCATCTAAGCGAACTTGCGACATTCTCCCGACTACCTGCGATTTACCTATAAGCACCCTACGCCTTACGACCTAGGACCTATCTCGATTAGCGACTTCCGCCGTAACATATAGCATCTGCGGTACGCATACCAAACAACTGTTTGGGTGGTTTTACAGGGATGTCTGATGAGAGTTCCCATATGGAGTATACTTAGAACACCCCCTATGTGTTTACCGTAACATAGTACTCTTCCACTATATCTGTTATTACATTCATTACCTTACCCCTACCTTTGAGTCCTGTGTGGTACCATTACAGGCTTGCTGGCAAGCGTAATGTCAACTTTATGGCTGTTACATGGCTTGCAACTTTCGTTACATGGCTCAGAGACCTGCTGTTATAGCCATCTTGGTACATGATATGCAATGATACGCACCCGCATAGGGGATAAAGTGTGTGTTTACACCCTTACATTTGTAAATAAGCTGATTTGAGTTGATGTTTCTCATCAATGGTACACTAAATGATTTTGAAAATGAGAAATTCTAAAATCCATTCTGAGATATGCTCAATTCTTGTTGTTGCAAAGTGTGAGAAGACAAGAAGTGAGAAGTTACAGCCTTACCTAGCTTGTGGGGAAGCAAGTAATTCCACAATATCCTTCTCAGAATTACAGATTTCTCATTTTGGGGGTGTCTCATCTGCGGGGGAACGATTATGCACCTCGACCTTGGCCGTTATTCTTCAAGTCTGCGACAACATATTTATAAGCTATAGGACGGTGCTCAGTACCGCAGTAGCGGAGTAGGTTATCTTGCACAGTGGATCAAACGATCGAAGATCTGCCACACGCCCGCAATCGTCAAACACACGGTCCAGCCTCTCAACGTCAGATTTCACGAGCCACCCTCTCGTACCATGTCGGTGCCACAGGACATAAGTCAAACAAACCTCCGTCTCCCTATCGAACTCGTTGAGAAGATCATTGAAGAGAGCTTGGATCTGAGACGTCGACAGAAAGGAGGTCGCAGGGAAGATCCGCCCCGTCGATTCCCAGTGATAACGATCCAACAGAATGCCATCGGGCCGTTGATACGGAGTTGCAAACTCTTCGCCAGTATCATCATCCCCAAGCTCTACCGGGACGTCCTCCTCAGGAAACAATACAGCGTCGAAGTTTTCTTGGATCGGGCTCGTTTCAGTAGCCTCGGGCACATGAAGACCCTCCATGTCGACTTTTTCGCCGTCCAGGACCTCTTTGACAGAGCTCCCTGGTACGCCGGAAGGCTACCCGAGCTCGTCGATCTCCGGCGCATGCAGACCCATCTCCATACGCCTCGGGACTTTACTGCCCGGTATGGAAACATCGATGGTGGCACAGACTACTGCGAGGAAGGAGATATCGCGAGATACATGATAGCCTGGGAATTTCTTCGTAGACCTCGTCTTGAACATCTGGAAGTCAACGGGGACATTGCGAGACATTTGCTACCGGATCTGCTTAGATTGTCAGTTCACTAGATTCTTGCTATTACGGTCTGTATGCTTATTGATGAATCGGAGATCTGACAGCTTCACGCCACAACGACTCGTGATCAATGGTTTCCATCTCGGGAACAGTCGATCTCCACTACCTTACTCGTATCTCGCCCAGGCCGACGCCGCTGCCTTCCGGCTTGCAGGGGATGTGACACTACACTGTGATATGAACTTCGACTTTCAATGTCAAGAAGCCTTTCAGGCTCTATCCCGCACTCATCTAGAGCCAGGGCCGACGAGTCTGATCTTGACTCTTGGATGGTGGCAACGTGGCGCAGCCGATCCCTCGATCAAGGCTAAGGGTCCCGTTTCCAACCTTGTGGCGTGTTTCCTTAACCTCATAAACGATGGAGGCACCATCACCATCAAACCCTACCTATCGGCAAATAGCCCAAATCAACACGCATATTGCTTTGCCGAGGCCATCGACCCTATCATTACAAGGGAAGAATACCCAGACGTATATTTCCCATTCGAATGCGACTGCGGACATGGCAAAGAGACCGGGTGTGAGTCTACAAAAGCGTTGGTACCCGCGCGACAGCATAGCTCATCGAATAGTATCTCCTCCCGCTAGTCTGGGACGGCGTTAGGCAAGACCTTTTGGATTACTTCGAGATGATATATGGCTTTGACGACGAGTATGCAGCAGACCTCGGAGCCTGATGGGCGGCGCTGTGAGTCTAGTCCGACCTCGCTTATCGAAATGGCCAAGACTAATCATGCTGCTACCAGTCTTCTTTCTTCCATCATTGTGATGTCGTCTCGAAGGCTGCACGCCCATTGCCGGGACCGCTCGGCGACGCATCTGCCGATACGCACGAAGGCCCATTCCTCTCTGCCGTTCAAGCAGGGGACGCCCTTTTCATCAGAGGGGATCATCAGAAGGGAAATGCATGATAACGGTCTGTCATTCAGCACACCTCATCCCGTACCAATGGTTGTCGATAGTGGAAAAATAACCGGCAACCTGGACGAAGTTGAACTGTTTATCGGCGGAGGGGTTCGCGAAGCGGTAGAACCGACAGCGAAGTGAAGTGATTATCGAAAGAACAGGCGATGATTTCGTCGCGGACTGTCTGCAGTCGAGAGACATCGCTCGTTGAAGTATGATGTGAAAGCATATGCCGTATCGCTTGAAAACCGCCTTGCCACGAATAATCCAACGTCGAGTCAAGACCTTATTGCTTCGTTTCCAAGACAAAGGTGCATGCAACGATTGGCAAGTCGTCTCTTGGTGATTGCATGTCATCCTCAGGTTGTTCTCTCCAGTCCAGATCGAGCGGGAAAATGAGCTATCGAGCTGACAGATCGTTGAAGCTATCCCCGCTTACCATCGGTCATCGCCGTCGAGACTTAGCGCTTAGCGAGTGATTCAACCACCTACGAAATGGCCCCATCCTCCTGTAATATTTTGCTTCTCGACTCTCTATCCTGCTACTACATACATCATCACTGAGTAAACGCAAGCGGATAATACATATACATAGATAGGCTCGCATTCGATCGAGGTAGAATTCCGGGAAACGGTGGCGACCAGTGTTGCCGCTACGAAGCCTGTCCTACAGAAAAGATTGAAGTCGGAGACGGGAAATATTTCACGGAGCGATGGGTAAGGACATGGTGCCATCTACCAAGGGCTCAAGGAAACCCACCACAAAACCCAGTATTCTCGATCGGCTGTAAGTCTTGTCTAGCACTTCGAGGTTTCTTTCTCGTGTCTCGTCCACGCTGACGCTGCAGTACAACCTGTCTCGCTGCCCGACGATAGCCTGACGCCCGTCAGGAAAGCAGCGAGACGTGCTATCGAAGCTACGATCGGATCGAAAGATGCGCAGACAGATCCCGAAGTAGATGCTCCGGGCTCTGCTCAAGACGATCCCGATGTGGATGACGCCACTGATCATCATCCGACCAGATCGACGCAAACCTCCGTGAATGCAAGGCCCGTCAATCCTCCCCTCGACTTGCCACACGGTTCGCTAGCCTCGCCGGCGATGCCAGTATCGACGAAATCGTGAGTGCTGCTTTCTTCGATGCATCAGTGTTGATCACTTATTCGTGCGTTAAGCTGATTGCGGGATTGAAAAACGGTTCGCGGGTTTTTTTGATAGGGTCGTGAGGCGACCATCACCTGTGATCGACCAGGGTGCCGTCAACGCTTCGTCCGCTACCACCTCCGTCCTGATTCACCAATCGGGTCGGACCGGTAGCTCCTCGATGGATTCTTTCTTGCAGTGGTTGCCTCCAGGTATATACGCAATCGAACGGAACGCGCGCTTTGGCAAATCGCTGACATGTTGATCCTTCTGCTCGTGAACCTCACGGTACAGCCCGCCAACTCGTCTACGAGACCGATACCCTTCTCTATTGGTGTGCGGTGCTTGGCTATGTTGTGACAGGAACTCTATATAATGGAGGTTCAATTGATTTGAATCAAAAATCAAAGACCACTAGGAAGGAATCTTTTCCCCTTTCCAGGAACTGCAGGAAGAGATCTAAACAAAAGTCAACTATCATCACAGTTGACCACAACAAACCAGATCTCGTTTTGACCTACATGTCATATGGTCTGTACGACACTTGGAGGGTGTGCATGGTCATTGAAGCGAAACCTGCAATAGAATGGGGCACTGTGAGTTCCGCGCGATCGTTTCCGACGCCCCAAACCACGACGATCTTACATCGTTCTGCTCGCGATCCATAGGCTATGGCTCAAATCATCGTGTATATGATGAAAGCTTTCCTAATGGACGGCTGTACCATGGGTCTGGTGGTAGCGGGAACCGAATATCGCTTCCTCTTCTGGTCGGTCGACCCGAACGGTGTTCAGCGCCTGTACATGGTCGTCCCAGAAAGATATAGTGTCTCCGGGAAGCGAATTGGGAAGTCGATCACGTTTCAAGCAGCCGTCGACAACTTGACAGACAGTGGGATCGAGTGGTGCCTATCGTCATCCTCGGACCAGCTTGCTTCTCTTTCGAAGCGCAACCTATTCCGGATCTTCTCGCACCTCGAGCGACAAACGGCTGCAATGGATCAGCGACGAACGGCAGCACTCGACGGACAAACCGGTCTCGCCTTCGACGGTTGTCCACCGGATCTCGAACAAGCGAAACGGATCGAAATCACGGGGAACCTGTGGGACCACATGCCAGGAAGCGATCTTCCGGCGACCAACGGACTGGGTGCTCCTCGGAACGTAGACGGCGGCGATCCAAGCGACGCGGGCACAAACGGCGAGGCGGACCAGATAGATAACGATGATAATCCTGAACAAGGAACGGATGGGGCTATCCAGAGCGACGACGGCCTGGACGATATGAAGGAAGAGACTCGACAGTTGATGTTGATGTTCGGGAGGTTCCAAACGATGGGGCGAGTCAAACACCAGGTCGATACTTGGCGCGCCAAAACGAACGAATCAGCGTCACCTGCAGCGCCCGGCATGGTCGCCTCGACAAGCGACTCTGCTACGAAAGAGAGCGCTATCGGATACGGCCATCAGAACTATACTGCTGAAGACTGGGATTTCATCTTCCAAGAATAGCCTCAAGAGAATTCTGCTACAAGCCACCGATATCATATCCCATAGATTCCGCGCATCTCGCTGTCTAACACATATCATGTCCGCAAGGTATTACATCTCGAAATTCTGTCCGGCAGAGCAACAGGCACCGTCCTCGTCATGAGACGACATGGAGTCGAGCCAGATTTCATAACCTGAATTCGGCGCCGAGCACTCAAGACCATGTACACAACTGCAGCGCCTCGTCGGCCGGGGGGGAAGGGTTTAGGCGGGATGGGGATAGGAAAGGCTTATCAAGGGACTGATCAACTAAAAATGAACGTCATATGTTATACACCATGTCTTGTACATTCGGTTCCATGTTGCTATGCTACATGCATTCATGTTTCACCCGCTTTGGCTCCTCTTACGCCAGGGTCTTGCTTCTGATAAGTGAATCAGCCACGCGCGCTAAAGAGGAATCGGACCAGAAAGCAGTGTCCCACCTCGTCGAATCGATGCGATGGTCTTCACGAACGACACCCTTCTGGTCCTAATTGATCCTCAGTATCAACCTACCTCGGAACTACAGCTGTACCTCTCCATTCTCCAATTTGCACTCAAAACCCCAAACCTAGCTTCCATTTCGCCTTCGCAATGTCTACTCTCGAGCCACCCACCATGTCCGCCGAGGACGTAGAGAAGACCGTCAAGGGTTGATTCAGGTAGATGGAAGAAGGAATTGCTCGACTGAACGACTGCATCGATCGTCAGAGCAGGGAAACTCGGGAAGCCAGGGAGGAGATCCAGCGATTAAGGGATGAGGTCTCGCGATTGGGAGGAGGTGAAGATCAGCGCTTGTGAGAGCAGCGCGACAACGTGAGTATCATCCTTGATCCTTTATCGCGATGGAGTACTGAGAATGTTCTGTCAGGCTTGGCGTCCTATCCCACTACACGATCGGTGACATCCGAGGAGGCGCTATAACCACGGCGATATCCTGGCCGTGCTCGACAAGAGATCACGAACAGGACCGTCAGCAAGTTCATGCGGTAATCGAAATGCTCGGAGGCTTCGAGTTGAGGGACAAGGCAAGAAAGAGGAGGAGGGTGTACAGCTTCTGTATCGGCATTAGAAACGAGCCGGTCGATCTTGTAGTTTTTCCAGTACAATTCCATGGACAGGGTATATTCGCACTTCTCTATAGATACAACGTCGAATCATAAAACTCTGTTGGTGAAACCTTTCCGACTACCGAAATCAAACCCTGCGCAAGTAATTCGACGGGGCGATCCCTGTCCGCCCATCGTCGTAGCTCAACTCCCACCATCCGGCATCGTAAGACGTGCCTCTCCTCGACAAGTTGTAGGTGACACCCTTCTTCAGCGCAAACTCGTCCGATTCTGCTGCTGTATAGTCGTAAAGCGCCGTGACTGCAGACATCGGGGCGAATATCAGCATGGAAACATGAATACAGTTCGAACCTTCTCTCACCTTGACCGAAAGCGCTTTGGATAGGTATGCTCGGCCGGGATTGCAACGGCGGTACAGGCGGTGAAGAGGGCGAGTAGCTCCCAGGCATGGTTGGCGGGTTGAAAGGGAATCCAGGCGAAGCGATGTGTCTCACTGGACTCGAGACCGGAGACATATGATGCGTGACGGGTTGTGCGACCGGGGAGACGGCCGGTGAGACATGGGTCGCCACTTGCGGGCGGTATTGTGGCGTTGTCGAACCCGTTGGGAGCAACTCTACGTACCCAGCCGGCACGAGTCCCTCGAGAGAGTCTCCTTGGACTTCTAGCCGGACCTTGATCCACCCTTGCCCGTCATCCGGTTCGATAACGTGAACCATCGCTCCCTCTATCGAACACGTTGAGTTAGCACCATACGAAGGCGATCTTCGCCGACTTTCCCTGGGCCATACTCACTCTCGACCGTCAACTCGTCATCATCCGCCGCTTCAAAATCGAACAAGACCTTGGCTCTCGGCAAGCCTCCAGGAGTTCCATTCGGACTCGGGTCCATCGATCGAGTCCCGTTCATCCTGTAAGACGGATCAAGTCCCCCTACCTCTTCCTCGATAACAGGTGAACCGCCCGGCGAACCTCTTGAAGGCCCGCCTAGCATGTCTCCACTCCTGCGTCTCATGGGTGAGCCTCCTGGAGACACGACCCCACCCGTCGGCGCGCCAAACATCGAGATCCTCCTTCCCGTACCCGCCTCCCTCTGTATAGGCGATGTCAAGACCGGTTGAGAGGCCGACGAATGTAGTCTGCTCCCATTGCTTCCCATCCCGACGATTCCTGTCGTGTCCAGGTTGTCCATATCCGTCATCCTGTGCGGCGGAGGCAAGACCGGCGTGGCCATCGCCAGCGGGCTCAACCCTGGAGGCGGGGCGTTACTGCTGGACGAATCGCTCGAGTGTAAGCGCGAGGTGAAGGACCGCCGTATGGCCCGGAGAGAGCTTTCCTCCTTGTCCTTGATCGTCGAGGCGATCGAAGCGAGGTCGGAAATGCTCTGCGACGTCGAGGATTCTTTACGGGGGAACATGTACGACCTCCGCCGATCCGAGGCCGTCGTCATAGACGAGCCTCCGGTACATTCGGCAGGGACCTGTCATGAGCAGGAATGCGCGTCAGTCGATGGCCCGTGCTCTCATCGCAGCAACAGTGAGGGCCTACCTTGTTCGCGCACTTGACATGCACGTTGGATCCACACTTTCTACACGTCGATCCAGGTTTCGTGATGCCCCAGATGGAGGACTATGCTCCAGAAAGGTAAATGATCAAGCCCATGTCAGCGCTTTCGTCCCTGCCGATTACGTGTCTCTGAAGAACGATTGAGGCAGCCCAGACTCACCTTGCAATACTCGCAAGGCGTAGGAATCGCAAACGAAGCGTTTCTAAAATCATGCGGTTTCTGCGCTCCCTGGTCGTCTGTAAAGTGGGGCGTTATGCTCTTGCGGATCAGCTCCGGCCGCGTGTTTCCGGCATCATCAAATCGAATGGATTCGGAACGAGAGGAAAGGGGAGGGAAGAGACTGACCTCCAAGAGCTCGTTCCAACAAACCAATCTCGACGTCCAGCGCTTCGATCCTGAGTTCGGCCAACGACAAGTCTTTCAGGGTGATCATCATCGCCTACCCGTCGCCCCCCAAAGTCAAAGTCGTTCGGGAACACGGCACAAACGACATCGGATATGGGTTCAGAAGGGAGAAATATTAGCATCGTCTCCTTTCTTTCACAAGGACAATCCCACCCGCGGGCTCACCTCGACGATCTCATCCGGATCCCCCAGCCCCCTATTCTCCTCGTAGGCCTGTACCACCCCCCTGCCCCTCCTGATCTCTCCTCTCCAGCCGACACACAGCCCGTTCAACCTCGTCCGGCTCTCTCTGGCTACAGCCAGCTTGTTCTGGAGGACGACGACTTCTTCCCCTTTGTGACTCCCGTTGGGACAATTCGTCGGCGCGGGTCCTAAACCGGCCTTCCCCCCAGGTTCGTCGAAGCCCAACTGATCCCCGCCACCGAGGGTGATCACCCCCTCCTCCAAGAACCCCGGACAAGGTTCAAACACCCTCAGTACCGGGGCTTCTTCCAACTTTGGCCTCAGATTCCATTCCGCGTACAGATCGGCGTCTTTGGCCGGGTCGACTTTCCTGTGAGCTTCGACGATCGATTGGGCGTAGGTCGCTTGGGCGGTGTAAAAGTGGGAATAGACCGTCGATGAGTGGGAGAGGAGCGAGTTGAGCCGGAGGGTCGAGGTGTGGAAGAGCGTCTGGATTTCCGCTTGAGGTCGGGCTATACCGGGTCCGAAGGGGGTCACTAGGGGGTCCGCCGTACCCGTTTCCCCTCCTGGTCCTCCTGCTCCCTCTCCCAAGCCCTTCCTCTCGGTCCGATCATAAAAAACCTCCTTGTCCCGATTCCCGACCCCCAAAGCGATCACATAATTGTTCCTAGCGTTGTTCTTCGCCACAAGCGCTGTCCTGTACGACTTGAGCAGTCGGGGTAGGTGTTTATCGTCCCTGGGCGCGCGGGAATGTTTGAGCCTGGCGGTCTCTAGGTCTGTGCATGCTTGGTGGTACTGAGAGGTCGTATGGCGTAGTGTGGTGTGGTGTGTGTAACGTGATGTGATGTAATCGGGGTGAAGGGTCCGAGTTGAGGCCGGGGTGAAGTCGAATATGAAGAGAGCGGATGGGAGGTGCAAGGAGATCGAACGGGCGTGATTTGGGTTCCGAAATGAGCGATAAGATGCCCATAAAAGACGATCCGATATGGATATAACCGCACGAGCGCACGATCATAATACATATAAAACGAAAACATATGAAATCAGCGTCAGACTCAATAAACATCAAGTACCAGTAAAAGCCATCAGACTCTCCACCCGACTCCGACCCTCGACAGCCAAAAACTCAAACTCACCTTCCCCTCCCACCTCCTAACCTCCCCCTCCTTTTCCTCCCTCTCCCCCTCCAACCCCTCAACCCACCCGACAACCTTCTTCCTCCCGGCCTCTTTCTTCTCGCCAGACTTGCGTAGTTCGTCGATCACTTGAGATTGGAGGGAGTCGGCTAATCGGAGGTGTTCGTCGGCTATGTTGGTGAGGGTTGTGAGGTGGGTGTGGAGGGAGGATAGGAGGGTGCTATAGGATAGGATAGGATCGAGATGGCGAGGTGGAGTTGGTTCGAAAGAGGTGATATCGAAGCCCCGTGCGCAAAAGAGCATCAATAAACGTCCAAACGAGCTCGACGAGATCCGCCAGAAGAGACTAGACTCACTTTCTCATCTCCAACCCCTCTTCCCACCCTCGACTACTCTCCTCCCCGACAGTCAACAACACAACCTTGCGCTCCTTAAGTTCCTTCTCCCTCAATTTCCCTACCATCCCCTTCAACTTGACCGCATACTCTCGTTCTAGCTGTGCTCGCCCTTCTATGAACCCGCGCAAGTCGGCATAGAGCGAGAGGTGGTGAGAGTAAAAGGAGAGGAGCGGGGTAGCTTGGTCGGGTAGGGAATGGGGCCAGGGGTGTTGAGGTGTCGAGGTGGTGTTTACCATGGTCGACCGAGTTTGATTGTCCACTCGAAGGTGGATTGTGGTGAGTGTATATAGGATAGTCCGAGGTCGAGGTCGAGGTCGATCGATATCAAAGGCATATGTGTTCATCTCTTGGCGACACAGCGTGACCTCCGGAAGCAAAACAGGTCACGCAGCCGGATGTATATATCTGACGTAATCACAGCCGCAGTATCACGTGACTGACTGATCATGCCTGACGTAATTACCTAGCGTAATGATCATACTATCGTCACGTGACCCTTCTCCCTCGGCCCGGTGCGAGCGAGGATGGCTAGGTTTATCCAGATAAGCGGGTAAGGGCGGATGAACGATGGTTGGGGTTTACCCGGGGCTTAGTGGGTGGTAATCTCTCTGCTCGTAGCTCGTGATCACACGTCGAGTCGAGTCGAGTACATATACAGGGAAGAGTACAGACCCTGACCCTCTAAGCATATATACACATACACCTACTTTGAGATGCTCACGAGACGTCTCTTCTCTGCATCCACAACAACGCTCATCAAACGAATCCGCACGTTTCCCACAACCTCGACCTCGACCTCGACTTCCACCTCATTCCTTCGTCACAAGCATACACATACGCATACTCGTAGTACAATGTCCGAACCCGTATCCCTCACCTTGCCTAACGGACAGACCGTCCAGGTGCCTACCGGGTTGTTCATGTGAGTCTCCCCGGGGTCAAGTCTTTTGTACTTGAGAGGTTCAGGGTGCGGGTCGGGAGCTGAACCCGGTATCTTTATCTTTATCGCACATCACATCACACCTCATCTCACCTCCCTCAACCCTAACCCCCAATAAATCCCGATAACAACAGTAACAACGAATTCCACCCCTCCTCATCCGGCGAGACCTTCCCCATCCTGAACCCCGCTACCGGCGAGCACCTCTTAGATTTCCACGCCGCTACGGAAGAGGATGTCGACAAGGCGGTCGCGGCGGCTAGGAAGGCGTTCAAGACGGTTTGGGGGAGGAACGTGGCTGCTACCGAGAGGGCTAGACGTGAGTCGTTTACAGGCGATGCTTTGCAATCCTTTTCTCGAGAGAGAGGGGAGGGAGATCTTCGCTTTTGACATGATTTTGCTTACCCGATGAGATGAGCTGACTCTCACATCTCATATCTCATACCTCGCATTATGTTTTACCTTCCACCTCCCCACCTCCCCTCCCTTCACCTCCCCAAAAAACTTCAAAAGTCCTCAACAAACTAGCCGACCTGATGGAATCCGACCCCCTCCTCCCGCTCCTCGAATCCGTCAACGGCGGAAAGGGAGTCCGGATCGCCAGAGAGGCCGATCTGGCGGATAGCGTGGCGTGTTTGAGGTATTACGCTGGGTTGGCTGATAAGCCGAACGGTGAGTCTGGTGTGGTGTTTTTTTATTTTGGGGGGGGCGAGGTGGTGAGGGTCGTGTGGGATTGTGGGCTGGGTGGTGTTGTCAGGACTTGGTCCCAATACACCATGCCCCACCACGCCACACCACACCTTATCGAGTTTCGACATCGAAATCACCGAATGACCTCATCCGACCCTGAGACAAAAAAATGAAGATCAAGATGGCTGATATTTCGTCTACTTCCATCTCATCTTGTTTGCTTTTCGCCCCCTCTCTTGATGGGGTGACTTCTTTCGTACGATGATGTTGACCCGGGCAGGCTCGACCATCGGAGCGTTCGGGACGGAGAAATTCATTTACACCGTCCAGGATCCTATCGGGGTCTGTGGTCAGATGTGAGTGATGCTCCGGGGATTTTCAAGCTGAGCTCGAGTCAAGGCGTTTGTCGATTGGGAATTGATGCGATCTTCTGTTTTCGGGTCTGGATTTGGTTGATGACGTAGTATTCCCTGGAACTACCCTCTGCTGATGTGGGCTTGGGTGAGTGAAAAGAGTCGCGGTGAAAGTGGTGATGAGGTTGGAGAGCAGGGAAAGCTGATTCTGGAACTCGTTCTGTGGTCGGGCAGAAAATCGGACCTGCCATCGCTGTGAGTCTCCTTTCTCTTCCATAAACCTAAGACCCACCTTTCCGTAAACCGACACACCTGACTGACAAACCGATCTTCCTCCTCCCGCTCAAACCTGGCAGGCCGGCTGTACCGTCGTGATGAAACCCTCCGAACTCACCCCCCTCTCAGCGACCTACGCCTGCAAGCTGATCAAAGAAGCCGGATTCCCGCCTGGAGTTATCAACACCGTCAACGGTACCGGAGCGGTAACGGGGAACGCTATCGCCAGCCACATGGATATCGATAAAGTCGCCTTTACCGGGTCGGTGGTCACGGGACGTAGAATTAGCGTGGCTGCCGCGCAGAGTAATTTGAAAAAGGTCACCCTGGAGTTGGGTGGAAAGGTTGGTGTCTCGGTCTTTCGTCCTCGAAAGGAATAGGTCGGACTTTATACCATGCGCTGACGCGCGACTCCGGCTCGTTCATTACGATCGACAGTCCCCCTCGTTGGTGTTCAACTCGGCCGACGTCGACGAAGCCGCCGAATGGCTCGCCCTCGGGATCTGGTTCAATTCGGGTCAAGACTGTTGTGCTGGATCTCGACGTACGTGCAATGCATCGGACTTGACATCCTACCGTTACGCACGCGGGCCTTTGGCTCACCATCAACGAATCCGCTTTCAATTTCGTTTGTTTGTGCAGTTTACGTACAGTCTGGGATTTACGACAAGGTCATCGAGGCGCTCGTCAAAAAGGCCAAGCAGAGCGCGATCGGGAACGTGAGTAGGGTCTCGATCCTGGGTTCGAAAATTATCGTCGACGTCACGCTGACAAGGCGAGTCTTTGCACCTCGTAGCCCGCCGATGAGGCGACTTCGTTTGGGCCCCTGGTAAGTCGCGCGCGAGACGACTTGTCATCCCAACTCCGAAGCTGACCCACTGCCCGTCGCCCATGCAGATCTCGGCGGCTCAGCGAGACAAGGTCCTCGGTTACATCGAGGGAGCCAAGAAGGAAGGCGCCAAGATCGCGACAGGCGGGAAACCATGGGCCGAGTCCAAGGGGTTCTACGTCGAACCTACGATCATCCAGGACGTCAACTCGGACATGACGTGTGTCAAGGAGGAGGTGAGTTGCTCGGGATTGGCGAGGACGGGCCAACCTTGCCTTTTTACATTCATTGACATGACACGCTATTACATTACGCCCTGCAGATCTTCGGACCCGTCATCTCCGTCGGCAAGTTCGAGACGGAAGAAGAAGCGCTCGAACTGGCGAACAACACCAGCTACGGTCTCGCCGCCGCCGTCTTCACCTCGGACGCCAAACAGTCCATGCGGGTCGCCCACGCTTTGGAAGCTGGTACGGTCTGGGTGAACAGCTACGCGCTCTTGCACGTTCAGGCTCCGTTCGGGGGGTACAAGATGAGCGGGATCGGACGAGAGTTGGGCGTGGAGGGTCTAGCGGCTTATCAGCAGACCAAGGCGGTTCACCATTCGTTGGATCAGACCATGTGAGTGTACAAGTGGGGCGTGTGGACGCCTCAGGGTCGTATCATATCGGTCACTTTGGGGATCGGAGCTGAAACGACTTCTGGCTTGTCCTTTTCGACCAGGTCGTGGCCCGTATAAACGTGTGTAGGTAGACACGAAGAGCGAAAAGTTGGAACAAGGTCGCCGAATTTTTCATTTCCTTCTCTTGTATATGCCGAATGGATATCCGATCAAAAGATCATACATGATATCGGCTTGACAAGCGATATACGACATTACATTACACGAGTCGGGCAAATAGAGGCAGGAGGTCCGTAATCCTCTCCTAGTTGTCCCATATGGTCGTTTCATCCCCCCCAAGGAGTCTATCCGGTCCGAGACCCATCCCGATCGAGTATAGTATACGCCTTGACTGTAGGGGTCGTATAATATACTCACGCACTCTCGTACGTAGCGCCTTAACCTTTTTTGATAATCGATAACCCCCAATAAGCGCGGTGATCGTCGTTCAGCTCGTTTCGAGCTCGACGGCAGACGATACAGTTATAATACTGTAATGCCCTGTCCTGCTGAATGCTGTAGGGATAAGAGGGAGTGCCTCGGGGGTTGTAGTGAAACACGACATATGTACAAGGTTTGAAACGATCGAGATACAATGACGATCACGTGATTGCCCTCTGTCGATGACGAATTGGCGTTTCCGATCGTTCGATCGAGCGATCGAGAGAGTGTGTCTCCATCACTCACGACGTCGTCGTCGGTCAAGAAAAGGGTCGAGAACGTCTTGCGACAACATTAAGGTCGGGGTACTACTATCAACCCTCTCTCGTTCGCAAGCTAGTACATGACATTCGGCCTTGCTGGCACATCAACTCGTTGCATAAAAAACCAGCTCGGAATCAGGCCGTGCCGACTTCTTTTTCCCGCCGTCGGCCATCAACATCATCACCGTAAACCTCAACTTCCATACCGCTACAACAACAGTAATCGCTTTTCCACCATGCCACCCTCATCCAAATCTCAACCTCAAAAAGTAGTCATCCAGCTGCACTACAATGACCTCCGAACGCACGATTCGCCCGTACTCTCCCACGTGCATTCAGCCCAGTCTTCGGAGAAGGGGATCACGCACTTCTTGCCGATCTACGTATTCGACGAGAGGGTGGTTGCGTTGAGTTGTGTTCCTGGGTACGAAGAGTTTGCGCTCAGGTCCACTTCTACCTCGGCAACAGGTCAGGAAGAGAAGGAAAAGAAGGAAAAGAAGGAAGAGAAAGACGAAGCTAGACCGACTACCATCCGGGGCCTGGGTGACCTTCCCCGCCTCCCCCCCTCTACCTCCTCCTCTTCCCCATCCTCCACATCCTCTCCCGCCTCTACCCCCACACCCACCCCAACTAAAATCCCGCACCCAAAAACCCGCCTAGGCTTCTTCCACAAGACATCCCGCCACCGCCTCAAATTCCTCACCGAGTCCGTCTTTGCACTCCGTCAGTCTTACCGGGGGATGGGTGGAGATCTGATTGTGGGGTGTGGGTTTATGGAGGTTATTTTGGGGGGGGGGTCGTTGAGGCTTTACAGAAAGGGCATGGGGGAGAACAGGGGGGAGAGGGGGATGGGGGGAGGTATGAGGTTACCGAGGTTTGGATGCAGAAGGAGGTAAGTACACGTTTCGGGGATCGGGGGTTATTTGCCTTTTGGGGATGGCTGTCGGTGGGACTGACTTTTTTTTGTCCATTACCATTCCCTCTTCGTCTCCTCCTCGTCCTCGTCCTCTTCGCCACCAAACCACCACCACCACCACTACCACCACCATACCATACCACCCCACGCATTGCAGGTCAGCACCGAAGAAGTCCACTTCCAACGGCGCCTCCGCGCCATCCTCGAACCCTACGGCACCGTCTTGAAGCTGGTGGATTCTAAACCGATGGTCGCACCCGAAGATCTGCCTTTTGGGATCGAGGATACGCCGGATTTGTATACTAGTTATCGGAAGGTGAGTTTCCTCTTTTTTCGAAGGGGGTTGTGGGTTCCGCTTGAGAAGACCGCTAATTCGACTTGAATCCGGGATCGCTTGCAGCAAGTGGAAGGTCTAGGCGAAGAAATGATCCGCCCCCCCTCCCCCCTCCCTGCCAAGCTCAAACCCATCCCCCGACTCCCTCCTTCCCTCTCCCAATCGATGTACCTTCTCCCGGAGAACCTTTGTTCGACAGAGGTTTTCCTTCCATACCTCTTGGCTCCTTTACTAGCCCAGCCAGACCTCGGAGACCCTCTCGCCCCGATCCCGATCCCCACCTCCGACAGCGAATGGGATTCCTACACTTCCAAACTCCCTGCAGACGACCCCCGCTCCGCCTTCCCCTTCGTGGGCGGGGAGACCTCGGCCCTGGCCAGGCTGGACGACTATCTCGGCAAACACATCTCCCAAGGGAAAGTAGAGGGGGGGACTAAGGCGATGGGGTACAAGGATACTAGGAACGGGTTGTTAGGTGAAGGGTTTAGTACCAAGTTTTCAGCTTGGTTGGCTAATGGGTCGATGAGCGGGCGGTATGCCGGATGGAGGGTCGGGCAGTTGATGCAGAGGTAAGAGTCATCATCTAAAACATGTTGGTCATGGACGGAAATTCTGATCGTCATCTGGCTTGGACGACAGCCTGGCCAACGAGGGCAAGCTCAGCAAACACGTCGAAGGCAACGTCTACTGGATCCAATTCGAACTCCACTGGAGAGACTACTTTTACTACGTCTCCCAAAAGTTCAGCCGGATGCGTTCTTTCAACACCGAACGGCTCAGAAAAGCGCGACGTATGCCCCCCGACTCACCAGCTCCGGGGGAAGCGGGTACCTCCTCGAGCCTGTTCAACCTGGGTGGGTTCCAGGAAGTCTTGAAACCACACGAGAGCGCCAAGACGATCGATAATTGGAAACCTTTCGACCTGAGCGACCCTGAGGACAAGGCGAGGTTGTTCTTCCAAGGCAAGACCGGTGTCCCCTTCCTCGACGCCGCTCTCAAGGAAATCTCCGCTACCGGCTACATGTCCAACCGGATGAGACAAAACGTGGCTTCGTACTTTACCGTCGACCTGTACATCGACTGGCGGGTCGCCGCCGAATGGTTCGAATCCCTGCTCGTCGACCACGACGTCTGCTCGAACAGCGGGAACTGGCAATACCAAGCCAGCGGCGTCGGCTTGGACGCCAGGGCGAGCAGACAGTTCAACCAGATTAAACAGGCGAATCAGTACGATGTTGGGGATGATTACGTCAAGACGTGGGTGCCTGCGTTGAAGGATGTGGATGAGACGTTCATCCAGACTCCTTGGTGTGAGTCGTGCCGAGGGCGAGAGGCCGACCATTCATAGTATAGTACCAGCCGAGACTGACTTCTGATTATTTCCCGGACGTCGATCTCTCAGTACTTTCCGATCAAGAAAAGGCAAAGCTAGACTACCCGTCCAAACCGCTCTCAGAAGGTCCTGATTGGAAACGACATTACCGAACGTTCAGTGGGCATGGAGGAGGCGGTGGTGGCGGTGGTTTCGGGGGAAAAGGTCGCGGTGGACAAGAAGGTGGGGGTAATCGAGGAGGGAAGCGCGGTCGGGGCGGTCATCATGGCCATGGGAGCGGCGGTGGGAAGAACAAGGGTAAGGGTGGACGTGCGGATCGGGGCAATAAGCAGCTCGCCGTCGATTAGAGACGGGTTTGTCTGTCTGTAAGCGTGTGATCTGGGGTTGTCTGTGTCATCGTTCACACGGATTGTACATATTTTTTGCTTGCATGTCATCTCCCCCATACATGATTCCGTGTGATCCGTTGGTCATCGATCGATCGACTGGGGCGATGACGTAACGTGGGGACACATGACCCTTCCGGCGAGGTCACCTCTTGTTATATACCCACTCACTCTCTTCAACGTCTCTGCTTCACCGTCCGTTCTCTCACAGTAATCATCGCATTGATGAACAGAACCTCGCTCAGACTATTCACACATCTCAAACCAGCATTCCGTACCGCCTCATTCCGACCGACAACTACCACCCCAACGCACCGATTCAACAACATGTCCACTTCAACTTCAAACTCAACCTCAAACTCGAACTCGAACTCGACCGACTTCAAGCCCAACTGGGCCTCGGAGGATGGGAGCTTTAAACGTCAGGTCAGCTCTTTCAGGGATTCTATCGAGAAGGGCGGCAAGTTTGAGCCCGAGAAAGGTGAGTCTGGGCTGAACAGGCTGATTGGAGGAGGTCGAGCGGGGACGTAAGCTGATAATCGATGATCGAATCGGGCTGATTTTGTAGGACGATACCACCTTTACGTTTGTAACGCTTGGTGAGTTCCGTTTGCCCTATTTAAGAGGAAAAGAAGGTAGTATCGAGCTAATCAATCTGTTCTGGACGGCTAGTCCCTGGGCTCATCGAACCCTGATCGTCCGCAAGCTCAAGGGTCTCGAAGACTTTTTCGGCGAGTACCCTCAGTCTTCCGCAAGACATCCACATCTCCCTCTGACCAGCGTCTATCGCCCACCAAAACCTGCTTCTTTCTTCCTCACCGCTTCATCTCTCCCACTCTCATCTCCCCCACCCCCATCTCTCCCACCCCCACCCCCATTGTCAATTTCGATCTGTTGAACGGCAATATAATATAACAACAACACAGACGTCTCCTACGTCCACCCCCACATGCTAGAGAACGGTTGGAAATTCGCTATCCCCGGCGGCAAAGTCCCCTCAGAAGATTTCCCTCAAGCGACCGAGGACAAGCTTTTTGGGAGCAAGTACATGAAGGAGATCTATTTCAAGGCTGATCCTGGTGAGTCTTTTTTTGGAGGAGTTGGGGCGAGGGAGTTACGGTGTGGTAGAGAGACTGAGAGGTTGATGTTGATCGTGGTTCTGGTTGTCGCCGTGGCGGGTATGCGGGGAACATATAGAGTACAACGCTCGGTACACCGGTAAGCACTCTATACGTGAAAGACTAACCCGGAGAGATCAAGATGCTCACGACAAGCTTCTCCTTGGTGATGATATAGTCCCCGTCATCTGGGATACCAAGCACAACACCATCGTCAGCAACGAGTCTAGCGAGATTATCAGGTTCTTGAACACCGTCAGTCGCGACGCTATTTCCTCTACTTTTCGACGACCGGGGCACTGAAATCGGTGTTAATTCTTACTTACTGCGGTGACAGGCTTTCAACGACCAACTCCCCAAGGAAAAGGCCGAGCTCGATCTTTATCCGGACGAGCTCAAGAAGGAGATCGACGACTTGAACGAGTGGTACGCCCGTACCGATCGCACCGTCGTTTTCGTCCACCCTTACCGAACCTTCTTTCTGCCTCGCAGGGTCTACCCTTCTATCAACAACGGAGTCTACAGATCCGGATTCGCTACCACCCAAAAAGCCTACGAAGAAGCCGTCACCGAACTATTCGGCGCTCTGGACCGGGTCGAAGGGATCTTGAAGGACGGTCGAGAATACCTCATCGGGGGGAAGTTGACCGAGGCGGATGTCAGGCTTTACACCACTATCGTGAGGTTCGATATTGTCTACCACGGACACTTCAAGTGTAATCTCGGGTCTAGTGAGTCCAATTTCTTTCCCCTCTACGTCTAGCCAATCGATTTCCCCGGCATGCGCTGATCATATCGTACATTACGTTGCGCTACGCTACGTTGTTTTTTCGCTGCAGTCCGTCACGACTATCCCGCTCTCAACCGTTGGTTGAAGAACCTCTACTGGAACAACGCCGCCTTCAAGGACACTACCGATTTCGAGACGAGCAAGGAGCACTATTACTTTTCTCACAAACAGATCAACGGGTCGCAGGTGGTTCCTATCGGTCCGAAATACCCCGTTGAGCCTTTGTAGGATGTTGGCCCGCGTGGGATGAAGCTGTTCTATGTGAGAAGTAACAAAGTAAAAGAGTCGAGACGGGAGCATGATTATTATGTATTTATCGATATGTTTAAAATTCGAAGTTTGGGCGCAAGGTTACGTTTTTGGATACTCAAATGGAATCTATATGTTTGTGTTACATACATCTTTTCAGTCATTCGATTCATCGGTACACATATACACACAGAGATTTGTAAATATGTCCCAAGCCTAGCGTAATACCGGCCCCTTCACAACTGACTCTTGATGAGTTCGTAGTATTGACCACGTTTCTCCACAAGATTGTTGTGAGTCCCTTCTTCCACCAGCTTTCCACCGGCAATGACGAAGATACAGTCAGCGTTCCTGATGGACTGCAGCTTGTGTGCGATCACAATGACAGTGCTGGAGTCAAATGAATCAGCAACGGTCTTGGTGGTTTTAAGCATGCCAGGATTACATACCGGCCTTTTGAAGCGTTCTGCAACGCCTTTTCGACCTCAGCCTCATTGACTGCATCAAGGGATGATGTAGCCTCTGTGGGAAATATTGATCACATCAGCCACTACCGCATCAGAGAACTATAGGACCACTCACCATCTAGCAGAAGAATGCTTGGGTTGCGCAGAAGAGCACGCGCAATGCACAGACGCTGTTGAGATTGATGATTGATGAGCCCAAGGCAACAGCTAGAACATACCATCTAACAATAAGCTTACTTGTCTCTGGCCACCAGACAGTCTGGTGCCCTTCAGACCGATATCTGTTGCAAATCCGTCTGGCAAACTCTGAATGAAGTCCAAGATGCTGTGATAGGTTTATGCAGCTTCAGGAGTCCACCTCCTCAGTAGTAATTGGAGAGATGACTCACCAGGCCTGTCTGCAAACATGCTCAAGTTCTGCTTGCAAGACGTTGTCTGGATCCTTGGCACCCAACTGTTATTGGCAGGGTCAGACTTTTGCTCAGGATTTTACTGAATGGCTGGTACTTACGCTCAGGTTGAACCGTATGTCACCTTCAAACAGCACAGAGTTCTGGGAAACAATAGCAAGGTGTGACCGGAGAGCGTCTAGAGGGATAGCCTGAGAATCAAGGCCCCCAAATGTGATTATGCCACTGGTAGGGTCATAGAAGCGTTGCAGTAATGCCAGTATTGCTGCATTCACACATTGCAAATCTGTTAGCTAGTTGCAGAGTATAGCATCGGGCAGACTTACTGCTTTTTCCACCTCCACTGGTACCAGTAATTGCATTGACCTGACCCCCTCTCAAATGCAACGTGAGATCATCCAATGCAAGATGATCTTTGCGTTTTGGGTAACACATTGTGACATTCTCACTATCCCATCACACCAGGTTAGAATGGCTTTTGGATTGGTATGAGGGATTAAACATACTAGATAATATCCCCTTGAATGGCCTGATCAACAAGAGAACCTTCATGTTGCAGTTGTCCCTTGCAAGCATGACGGGGTTCCCGCTGTAAATAGCTTCTGACTATCTTCCAGCTGTGAAGAGCTCGTGTGGCAGCATTCAGGTATTCCAGTAATCTGATCAATGTAGGTTGATGTTCAAGTCAATTCTCCCAAAATGTGAATCAAATGGAGCCATGGTACATACGGTGTGATGACAAAGATCACGGCAAACAAGCCTTCAAAGATGGCAAACAAGGCCACTGGTGACTGCAAGGTAGAGACATACTCAGTGGCTGACGACAGGGATTCCTATGAATTCAGTTAGGAGCACTTACAATGTCTCCTCTGACGTAAAGTCGGCCTCCCCACCTATCATAGAGCAGCAAAATGAGAACTGTGACCAGACGCCGGACGTGACTTCAATGGTCCCAACCGGTCTCTCACCAAAACAGTAATGCTCCAACCCCAAACACAAGGGATTCTCCAAAAGCTTGTGCCGCATGAAATATGCTTTCCCATTTAGTCATCTGACCGGTAACTCCACTCAATCTTTCGATAGAGTTCACAGTCTTTCCCTCTTGACCAAGGATCATAATTGTTGCAATGGAATCCACCGCCTCATTGATTATTGTTGAGATACGGTCTCCTGGGCCTTGACGTAGCGTTTCAAATATAGAGAGGGCTTTGATTTGTAGCCATCCTGCAGCTCCTGCTAACAGTAGTAATGGGAATATCAAGGCACCAAATTTTGCTGACAAGATCATGCTCATCACCAATGTTCCAAGTGACGCAAGAGCCAAGGCGCCGACCTGTAGAATGAAATATATCAGTTGGACATCAAGCTGATGCAAAGACAGATAAATGCTCACCCGTGTGAGGCTGATGGTGAAGGTCTCTGCTATACCTGATGTATGTTTTGCCAGATTGGCGGTAAGCATCCCAGCTGATGAGAGTTCTTCTTCATAGTACGAGATTTCCTGCTGAACCAGGGACTTGGCACTAGCCAAGGCTAGGTGTCTTTCCACTGCCTTCTGGGTGATCCCTGATGAGCTCTCCTGCCCATAGGTGACTGCAAACCACCAGAAAGCATAACCAAGCCAAATGACTGAATGGACTTCTATGCTCATGGGATCCACAGCTCCGCTCAGCTTAGCATTGGACTGTCCTATCCGTAATTGGAAAACTACCCTTGTGCATGCATTGAGCACAGTGAAGAGTATCATCATGAAGAAGGGTATCCTTCTGGTGGTGATATATTGCATCAAACCTGATGCTTCTTTTCTTTGGGCTGGGAAGCTGTTGGTGAAGGCATCATCACGAGTTCCTCTTGTGCTATGTTCCAGGCTTGAAGGCTTTGACAGCTTGGTTTGAGAACCGTCTGTGTCGGAGATTTGGCTGCTCTTGTCATCTTCTTTGAGATGGGCATGCAGAGTCTGGCTTTCCTCAGAGGAACCCTTGTTCAAGAGACGGGCAAAAGTCTGGTCAGGGCGTTCTGGTGATGATAATTCTGTGTATGTGCCAGTGTCCACGATATGACCCTGCTGCATGACAACAATTTTGTTGGCATGCTGAGCAAACTGTAGACGATGAGCAATGGATATGATTGTCAAGCCTCGCTCTTGCTGTTCCTTTTCCAGGTTGTTTCGAACTTCCAGTTCAACATTGCTTGATAGGGCACTTGTGGCTTCATCCAAGATCAAGATAGCAGGGTTACCAATGAGTGCTCTTGCAATGGCCAACCGTTGTTGTTGACCACCAGATAAGATTCCTGAGCGACCTCCTGTAATTTGGGTGTCCATTCCTTCCGGCAGATCTTGGACAAAATCCCAAGCCTCAGCCTTCTTCAGTGCATCGATACAGAGCTGCCGAGCTGATGCATTTTTCTCTTGATTGCCCTCTTCCTGGTTGATTTGGCAATTGTCAGGAGACATGGAAAGTCCTGCAACTATGTTGTCAAAAACGCTCCCTGATATCAGCTGAGGTTCCTGATGTACCACACTGATTTGTGACCGAAGGGAGCGTAGATTGTATTGACGCAAATCAATTCCATCCAGAAGTATTGTACCTCCTCCTTCTACACTTTCAGGACCCATCTCAGAGCTGTTAATCCCGGGTGCAATGTAGCCCTTCTCCATGTTGTCAGTGGTCTTTGTTTTGCTGCGAGATTCAGGAGGTGTATCTTTCTCCATAGTAGTGCCCAAGTCGTGAGGATTTGGTTGATTTGCAGTGCTGGGATCATACTGCCGGACAAGTAATCCTGCTATTGATGATTTTCCTGCTCCAGATGGGCCAACAAATGCTGTCAATTGACCTGCCTCAGCGACTAGTGACACATTGTCAAGGGCCTTGATACCTGGTCTGGATGGATAGGCAAAAGTGACATTGCAGAGAGTTATGGTGGGAGTGTATCCGCAACCAGCTGAGAATGGCTTGAGGTCAATGCCAGATCCGTCTCGGATGTCAATGTGGGGCTGTCTTTCAATGTGATGACGCAGGACTTGCACACAGGCGGTGGCACTGTGGAAGCTAGAAACAGAGTTCAAGCGGTTGTACACCATAAAATGCATAGCAGTGAAGCAGATGATGGTCTGTAGACGCAGAGAGCTTTTGTCAGCATTTATCTATTCAACTCAATATCCAAGGGAGATGGGCTCACATTGAAGATGGATCCAGGCTGGTAGCCCTCATCCTTGAGAGACCACCCGTAATAGTATCCAGCAGCCAGGATGATACACAAGGCAAAATGACACCATGCGATTTTGATGGACCGCACAAGTCCTGGGCGGGTCTGTAGCATCTCTACTTTCTTCAAGAATTTGGTATCCCAGTGCTCCATCAATGGTTGTGACATAGCAAATGTCTGAACCACCCTGATACCAGCAAAGCATTGCTCCAGAAATGTGTTTGAAAGGCCATATGCCGCCTCAGCTTTTCTTGATTGCTTTTTGACAGTCCACTCAATCAGGAAGAAAAGTCCAAGCATCCATATTGTGAAGGGAAACAATACTGCGGCCAGCTTTGGAAGTGAGATAAAAGCCACAGTCATGTTCTGCAGGGGTGAATCATTGTAGTTAGTGAGTTGGTGATTGTGTTAGATAGTGTAGCACCTCACTCACCGCAATCACATAGCAAATCAGGTGCATAGATCGGCCCAGATGTTCCCCATAGCCTTTCTCAATCGTATCAATGTCTTTGTCTGAGCGAGTAGTGATCTCTCCACAGCCATGGGTGTCAAAGTAGGCCGTGTCTTGTGACAGAATAGAGGAGATGTATTCCAATCGCATCTTTGTGGCCAATGACCTTGAAGCCCTGGCATCTGGTTGATGACAACCCAACTTGTCAAAGAGGCAATCTTCTCATATATGTTGTAGAAGTATGAGATGACCTACAACATTGGAACCAGAGGTAACTGCCAAAGAATGCACCCAGCAAAGGGCCCAGCATCCAGATTGCAGCATCTGATCCTGTATCCTCCCTCTCCTGAGTAGTCTTGCTGAGGTCGGTGATTCCGTTCATCCAGCGGCCAACAACAAACAGGAATAGGGGCCATCCAAGGCTTGCTATCATGACACCAAATGCACCAATCGTGTATAGAACCCAAGGGTGACAAAAGAACAGTTTAGGGGAACTCCATATTGGTGGAAGAGGACCCGCAAATGACAATGGGTAAAGCAAGTTTGGTAGCGCTGATTGGTGACCGTATTTCTTGCTAGTACCGGCAGCCGGCTTCTCTTGGCAGACTTCTCCACAAGCAATGGCTGCGCTTGTCCTTCTCTTGAAAGACCACATCTTGATGAGTTGGTTTCCTTCGGATTGAATTAACGAACGGTAGAACTCAATGCAACCACCCTGTCAAACTGGTCTCCTAGAAGCGTTTATATAGATGGGGTGCACCCTAGCCAACAGTCAATCACGTGAAACGACACCATTCCACAACAAAGGTAAACCCCTTTCATGATTGTGTTTCACCCCTGAGAAATCGTGTGACCAGCTGATCAGGTGCGATCACAACAGTCTGCTGCAATCTTGCCTTCCCTGGACACAAAGGAAGGTTGTAGCCATGAAACAGGGTGATACTGCTGTGCTACCCCTGTCATCAAGTGTGACTTGGCACAGCAACAGAAGATGTCGTTCCAATTGCACTGTATATTCACAGATGTACTGCTTGAAATTCTTAGGGGTTAGGGGTTACCCATCACTCAGAGAGGTCCCATAGGTATGCTGAAGATCCTGCGGAGCGAGACTCCATCCTCGCCGTACCGCCTGGATCTCCCAGACAGCGACCGCAACGATAGGCCCGCTTGACGACTCCAACAATTGCCGTCGATACTGAAAGTAGCCTCGTTTCTCATCCAATTCTGACAGACGAAACATGTCTCGCAGCTTTCGACCCTCCGGTAGGTAGCGGCGGGTTGGCGCGATGTGCTTGTCGCTAAATGCTTTGACCTTGTCGTCCAGAGGTCTGTATTCGGGATGACACTGGGAGAAAAACGAATTCTGTACCTCGGCTGACACAAAGCGTGAAGGACGTCCAGTGGCGGGGACCGTAGCAGCATATCGTGGTGCAATCGCGTGCTGCCCAGAACGTGGACGTATTTGGTCTGAATTCATCTCATTACGACGATGCCGTCCGAGCCGGCATTGAGCGTGAGAGCTTCGTAATGTGTTCACGTGTCGTCGAGGAATGGTGTAGATAGATTTACGTTGATAAATAAAAGATTGAGGAGGGGGATCTAGATGTTTTGTCCAGAACTCGCTGGTATCGCAGGCATAAGTGTCCCTCGCGGAGTTATACCGATAGCATATCTACGTCACAGCCAAACGAGTGAGGACAAAGGTTCACTCAGAAAGGTCGCAATTCGCGCGCAATGTCGCTGTTCGTCGTGAGATCTGCTGCATCCGCTTCAAGCTGTGACATTCATGGAGAGAAGGAAGTTGTCTAGCCAGATGCACCCAAAGCGACCGACATAGCTTGCAATCGGGCAAGATCCGTCGCGGATGGTAGTAGCCTATCATCACGTCTGTCAATAATGCAATAGCCGCTAGTCAACGCATCTGTCGTCCGTTCGTCTCGTTCGCAGTACATCGTCAACGAAATTCTGATGTAGATAGTCACTATAGAATACTCGTGAAGCGCGGCACTATCTGCGTCGACTTTCATGCCGTCCTTGCGGTCCAAGCAGTCGTCAATCCTCCCAGTCATGAGATCCAAACGCGACTTGAGCCAGTGCAACCTGGACGCAAATTGTTCATATCATCTATAATACAACGGAAAGGGGAAAGGAATCCCTGGTAGTTGATGTTGTATGTCCCATGACAGTGCGGAAAAATATGATCAGAGCGTGTCCGGACTCTCGATACGGGTTTTACATAAGCGGAATCATGCTCCAGTGACACGTGTCACTAGGTCGCAACGTCGATTTTCGGTCAATCATAACAACGAGTCTACCAGGATGTAAGCGGAAAGCTTGCGCAATGCTCGCGGCGGCAGGTGTCTGGACTTGAAACCTCGAAAGTGGACATGTCGCCGCCTCGACCTGGAGCGCGTGACTTGTAAACGGCTTCTGATAGACAATTCGGGTACATAGTGTTTTGCCTGGGAATTATAGCTCTCTATATAGGAAGATCGTCCCCTCGATCCCTTCGGTATGGCAGGCGGCAAACATCAACGAAAACGCTCGAACAGCTGCGGCGTGTATCCTGAAACGAGGCGCGAGGTTACCGGTAGCAATAGCCTCCGTTCGTGGCGGACAAGAGTCGCTGACTGATGTCCGTGAATCCATTCGGACGCTTTTCTCCTTCCGGCACAAATGTCTCGAGTAGAACGTCATCCAACTTGGATGGGACGGGATGGCTGGTCGAGATCGGCATCCCCGTCGCGCCATCCCGGGTCACTTGCTCTGCACATATCTGAAAGAGATGATGTTCGATTCATCTCGATGAGGAACCCTCGCATGTTATTCCTTTCGGTACATACTGCAGGCTTTTCTTTTTTGCTTAGACATTCGTTGGATCTCGGACGCTGGACGTCCCCACACATTCGGCTTGACGCCCACTCATAATACCTATTCGACACCTCGATTTCAGCAAGGTTCGACATCATGCTGGTTTCCATCCCTCTTGCTCTCTTGGCTCTCAGCTCTGTATTACCATCCTCCGAAGCTAGATCCTGGGGATCTCTCGCTTGGGGACGCGCCAGGGAGCATGCGCGTTTGATCGAAGAACGAAAGTTGCCCATCACAGCAACGACTACCATCACGGTACATGCTACTCGGACGAATACAGTATGGGTAGCGGCGACTGGTACGACATACCCATCGTCGTCGATGGTCGATCCGGGCCGGAATGAGACTGTTATTAGCACTGCGTCTAGCTCACAAGCTACCGCAACCGAGACGATCTGGACCAGTTCCGTGGAAGCCATCCCCACTTCGCCCTCTGGCAGTATCCCGGGAAACAACGGGATCATGACCTTGTCTTCCTCGCAAGTCACCTCAACGACCGAGTCATTCTGGTCGAGTTCGACAGCGGACCCCTCTGCCTCGCAATCCTCTACAGAAGAACTCCCTAGCTCGACCACTGAGACGACTGGATCGGTCTCGTCGACGAGTCTGTACGTACTTTCTCGCAACCGGGACGATACCAGTACCAGACCTGTAGCTCAGAACTAATCATCTGTAACTGCTTCTTGTTCAGGACTAGTTCTGGCACAGTCTCCGCAGTCTATCCTACTTCAACCCTTTCCGAGGCGTCTCCCACCTCTTCCGCTTGGTCAATCGCGTCTGAAACCATCTCGAGCTGGATCTCGGATAGTTCAGCTTCGGAACCGACCAAGGCCTTAACTCAAGCGGTCTCGACCTCGGAAGCCTCAGAAATTGCCACTGCGGAGACATTCACTGCCTCGGCTACCAGCGCAGCTTCGGCAATGGCGAGCTCGGCGTCGACTCGGGCTTCGTCTCAATCGGTTACCATGTCAGAATCTTCAAAGACCGACATTTCTGCACCGACCGCTGTTTCGAGCACGGCCGCTGTCTCTGAAACCAGCTCTGATTCCGTCTCGCAAACTCAAGAGGGAAGTAGCGAGACGGAACCTACCGCTACGGCCAGCGCCTCCACCGTAGCTGCTACCGAGGGCACCTCGTCCGCTTCGTCCTTCTCGTCGATTCAGACTTCTGCTACAGGACCAGCCAGCGTGTCCGGACCTGCTTCGAGCGCAACCTCGGACCTCAGCGGTGTCGAATCCGCGTCCCAGACCACCTGGGCGACTTCCTCTTCAGCGCTTCCCACCACCACGGCTTACGTTCCACCTTGGAACGTCCCTGGGAATATACCTAGCTACCCTCCTCGTCCTAGCGCTTCTAATTCAGGCTCAAACGTCACCTCGACGGTCTCTTCAATACAATCCCCATCCGCAACGCCGTATGTCCCCCCTTGGAACGCTCCAGGAAATATCCCCAGCTATCCGCCTCGGCCCAGCGCTTCTGAGACTAGGTCGAACGCCACTTCGGTAGTCTCATCGAATGCGTCTCCGTCCGTGACGCCTTATGTTCCCCCCTGGAATGCTCCTGGAAATATCCCAAGCTACCCGACTGTGGTCAGCGCGACTCTCTCCGCCAACGTCTCTCAGCCTTCTTCAATCGATACCTCGGCTGTCTCTTCGGCCTTAGAGACCACAACGCAGACTCAGGCGCTCGAAAGCACCTCTGTGGTCACTTCCAGCAGTACGGCTCAAGCCAGCAAGACTTATGTGCCGGGTTGGCAACCTCCCGCATCCATCCCCGGCTATCCATCTCGCTCGTCCTCCAATGTAGAAAGCACGTCGTCTACGGCAAGCGCAAGTGTTTCCGCAACCTCGTCGGAATCGACGTCTTCGGCATCATCATCGATTCTACCGACCTCGAGCGAGTTCAGTTCAACAACCCAGAGCGCTTCAATGACATCTTCCGGCTGGTGGTCTAGCTGGTGGTCGCAGTCCTCGTCCACTCAGGTGTTTACTTCGGCTAGCGAGACGGCTTCCCTTTCCGAATCTACCACTTTCGAATCTACGATCGCCTCAAGTCCTACCACCACCGCAACTTCGGAAGCGTACAGCACTACCAGCATTACCAGCGCGAGTGCGAGTGCGACCGAGACGAGCGCATCGAGCACGTCAACGCCGGTCCCCACGCAAAGTTCGACACTCAGCACGGCCATCTTGCCCGAACGTATGACCTCCGGGTATTACCCCGACTGGTCCGTCTGGACCTTCCCCGTGAGCCAGATCGACTGGAGCAAGCTCGACCTCGTCGAGTTCGCTTTCGCCATCCCCAACTCGAACTACGACCTCGAGTTTACGCAGTATAATTCCCTGGACACGTTATCCGAGCTGGTCGCTGCGGGTCATGCTGCTGGGAAAAAGGTCAGCTTGAGTATAGGAGGATGGACGGGGAGCGTCTATTTCTCCCCTGCTGTCAGTTCCCCGTCGAATCGAGAGCTTTTCGCTCAAAACATCGCCAAGGTCTACAACCAGTATAATTTGGACGGGATCAATATCGATAACGAGTATTGGGGTGTGCAGGGAGCGGCGGGGAACATCTTCGCCCCAGAAGATTCCGCCAACTTTTTACTCTTCCTGCAAGTGCTCCGACAGACGCTTCCCCCCGAGGCCATCATCTCCGCCGCGACTCAAGTCTGGCCGTTTGCCAGCTCGACCGGTAGTCCGCTTACCGACGTCTCCGACTTTGCCCGTTACCTGGACCACATCACGATCATGAACTACGACGTCTTCTCATCAGGAGATCCCGGTCCCAACGCGCCCCTCTCGGACGGGTGCGGGACGTCTAGTATGCCACTCGCCAATGCCTACGCGGCGATCGCGAGTTGGACCCAAGCGGGGATGCCAGCAAACCAGATCATGCTCGGTATCGCCGCCTACGGGTACCTTTACAAGTCCTCAGCGTCTAGGCTTCGAACGCGACGTCGAGGCTTGGAACCTCGAGCCAGCGTGACCGTCTACAACCCTAACGGCCAGACCGACGGCGGACAAGTCAACTTCGCTTCGCTGATCTCACAAGGCGCTCTAGCGCAGGACTCCGACGGCAAATGGGTCGGAGCTGGCGGATTCACTCGGGAATGGGACAACTGCTCTAGCACCCCCTGGTTGAAATCGTGGGAGAGCGGGCAGATCATCTCGTACGACGACCCCGATTCCATCTCGTTGAAGGCGCAGTTCAGTCGACAGGCTGGATTGAGGGGGGCTTCTGTTTGGGAGATTACGGGCGATATGGGACCTGCCGATTGGTCGATCTTGAGCGCCGCGAGGTCGGGCTTGGAGATCTAAGGAAGACGGGCTGGTCCCGCTCCTTGCGCATGATCTCCCGATCTTTCGTAGGTTATCTTGTAACTCTATAGGACTGAATGCTTTTCTATAATCATACCACGCACGCAAGAACATTCCTGCTTTGACCTCGGTGATCGCCGACCCTTTTCCTTGGATTCGCGTCGCCTCCTTCCATCTTTCGCAGCGACATCCTGCGTTTTGTTGATGTTGTTCTTGGCTTGATGATCGATGATGCATGACTTTATGTCCAGTATCTACCGTTTGATGATTCTTCATCGAACCAGGCAATCAGCATAGTCAAGCACAGAGAGAATCTTAGCAGTCGACCATCGTAGTGAAGCAACGAGCCTGTCAAAACAAACGGAACGCAATAGCTGGAAAGAGCTCATTAGAGTACCGACAATATGCCTCGAGGGTGGCTCAGTACGTTTTCCCCCGTTCGCCTCGTAGCATCTTGAGTCACTGACCGATCGGAAATCCATCCGTAGACATCGAAGCTCCTGGAGATACGATCTTCGGCGGCGTGAGTAGAATCTCAACCTCATCACTTGCCCACCTGCATCTGTCGTATTGACAAAGGAATCTTGTCTCGTGCGGGCGATGGCTCGAACATACTATCATAGCAAAAAGCAGCTTTTGAGGATATCTGCGGTTTCAAATTGGGGTACAAGATGAGGCTTTACGGGTTTGCCGCCTGTAAGTAACACACCATGTCGCAATGCCTCAGCTTGTGTACTAGTATATTCGTCTTGTGACTGATCGGAATACAATATACGTCTCTACGCTGTATCACCGTTGCAGGTTTCGTCGCAGGGCTGATCTTCAGTATCTTGGGGGCCGTCCACCTCTTCATCGGATTCTACGTGTACGTCACCATACCTCGTCCGTCCTGACTATTCCTATCTCACAATTCTTGAATTTCGCATCTATTTACTCGGCTGACCCTCGTGGTTTCATTTTGTCTGTGTAACCTACAAACAGGGTTTTCGCTATCCTTTTCACCATCGGGATCATCATCAACATCATCGGGACCGGGTTCTTGATGTGAGTCGCTAGTCTTATCATAACCTGGGTTACATCGCTCGGATTCGCAGATCTATCACTGACCCAATTCCACAATTTTCATTTACACCTTGATAGTGGACCGAAGAACCAGATGACAAGCGTGAGTCCGCCTACCTATCAACATCCCGCTACATGTTCTTATCCGTTAACTCATGCACCGGTTTATACCGAAATCCGCAGATGTTCAAGCCCGTCCGAGTGGTAGCTACCGTAATACTAGTAGTCGCCATCGCTTTCACCTTCATCTCGGCGTTCGTCATCAAGTCGGCCATCGTCTGCTTGATCATGGTCATCATCGAATACCTCGCGTATCTCTGGTGGGTGCTTCATCTTTTCCCTCTCTCGACGAATCGCCCGCAGCGTTTGCTGATTAGGCGCTATACCTATACCACGACCACGACACATTGCACCACAATGCAATGCAATATTCGGCACCAATGTTTGTGTCCGAAATATGCAGGTACGCATTGAGTTATATTCCCTACGCAAGAGATCTCGTCTGGAACCTGTTACCGAAAGCGCTTCGCTGGGACTGATCTCAAGGGTTCAGCTGGGCTGAACGATGTGATTATTCCTGGCGGGACGAATGGTTATACCATAGATGTTTTTTTTCGAATGAATCGCATATGCAGGACAGAGCAGTAGTGCGTGCCACTTCGGTACCCCACTACAATAGGAAATTTCGGCCTGGAAGCCTGCGGGTCGGGAAAAGGCCTAGCAAAGGTCAGACTCCGGCATTCTTTCATATCGTCGATCCGCACAACAACATAACGACTCGATACGCGAAGGAAGACTGTATTACAACCCTATCATATTGAGCTTCTTGTGTTACCACTACTGACTACACCTGCCGAACATTGTCAAACAGTTCGGGGCGACCACACCTCCAATGGTGCGCAGGGACATTCCGTAGTTCCTCAAAGGTCTCTGACAGACTCGCAAATGTACTCCTGAAGTAAGGCACACCCCGCTTAGCGACCTCTTCTTGAAATGTAGGACATCGACCCGAGGCATGTATTGCCAAAATCCGTTCCCGACATCGAGTCAGATATTTGAAAGCTATCTTTCTGGTATCCGGGTCCAGAAAGACATTACCCATCTTTGCACCGCCTCCATCCTGAAGAGACCTGTTTGACGGCTGGAATACACCCCAATCCAATTCCGTCTTTGGAGGGCATGAGCGCATCTCCTGGCGCACGTAGATATACCTGAAAAGCTCCAGGTAAACTCCGGTCAATGGCTGAGCCGACTGATAGTCGGAAAGCCATGTGCAACGAAGAAGCGACTCCTCCAGCCGGGGGGGATTGTAGGGGTTGGCGCATGATTCGTACGTAGTGAAACCTGTAAATGCTGTCAAACGTGAGGACGTGATTTCTAAAACAGTGCGCTGATCAAGACCAATGTGAATACGTAAGCCTTACCGTTGTATTCCTGCGAGTTTTGTAGGTCATCCCCAAGATCAATAAGAGGTACAAGATTTGGGATTTGGCCAAGATAGGAAACATCCGTTTCGTGGGATGTTCCGTCACCGAACTCCTCGAGATATTGTCTGCCATCCTCGAGATCAAGAAGAGACTCAAAGCTTGGGGTTTGATGAAAGGACAAGACTTCCATTCCTTGCAATGTCCCGCCCCACAAAATCGAGTTGCGCCCAGAGTGACTGTCTGGTACTGCAAGAGAAAGGTGAGAATCGCCCGTTTCAAGTTTCATCTCTGGGGGCAAGCTGGGCGGCATCAGTACAACCTGATTGTCTGACCTGTCTTGTTCGACGATCTTGTGTGCCTCGTATAGCGCCAAATTGAAGCATATTTGTGACTCCTGTGTCTGCTTCGCAGTGATTCTCTCTTGGGGATATTGCGATATCCGCAAATCAACATCCGCAAGAAACCGCTTGAAGGCAGATTCGGAAGCGGGAAGGTCGCTTGACGGAAGGCTGAAATGACTGATCAAGATTTTGACTCGCTCATTGATCGTTTTGTCCCCGGTGATCGGGCCTTCGAACCGATTCCATAGCCAGATGACCAAATCTGTCATCCTTGCGGGAATTGGTGAACTGCTGGGTACCGTTTGTAAGTCGGATGGGGCACTATTAATGAAACTCCGTTCAGATTGAGATTGGGAGTATTGATCATTGTGATCTATCTGTCTGTACGAAGATCCCATTGACGCTGACGCCTGAGAGGGAAAGAAAAATTGTCTCGAAAAGCTGTCATTGGCCGAGCTGGTCGAAGGCGACATCTTGGTAGCTTGGATATATCGGCAAGCCCACAGACATATAACAACAAAAAGGCTTGCCGAACACCTGGGCCCGTTATATCCATGTGGACGAGACTGATTGAGAAGCTTGTATACAGTGAGTATTGAACTCCGACAAAGGAGGCGCGCGAAACCAAGCTTCTCCAAGTGGATGGCAGCACTTGCCTTCACAGGGCCAGCATGTCATGTGAGTCACATGAGATTCTATCTCAAAGGAGGACTCCTTCCTCCAAGAGCGGTAACATTCAACATTCCCAACTTGACGCTGGACAGGATTGTAACATAGCTCCTTGAATGTTCCCCCTGCAGAATGAATGCCCTAGAGATCACATCGCGATACTGGTCAAAAGGGGGTTCAATAACTTCCAGATCATTCGCTGACGACATTCAGCAGGCCAATCAAGTCGAAGCCCGTTCAAACACAAGTATAGCTATCGGTTAGGCAATGGGATCATACGAGCGCCTTCGCAAATCCATCTGAACGGACGGTTAGCGACCGGAATCTGTCAAAGAGAACACCATGGGGAAGAGAGAAAGACATCTCGCCTAAGCATTCCGTACTGGACAATTCTCATGTTAGCGCCATCCGACCGAGCCTGAATAGCAGGTGTCTCGAGACTCCGCTCTTCGTCCTGTATCTTCAGTCTCCGACTACATTGTGTGGTATCGGCGTCTAGGACGCAAAGCTCACCCAATGTGGTGCATAAGTTTTATTGTTCTCGACAGACACCTGAATCAGATATCGATGATGGCAGGTGATGCGTCGCTTTTACTGAATTTGAATTCCTTACGCATCTTCGTAAATCCGCTGCAACAGATCCCTCCCACAATACACCCTCCCTGCGTGGTAATTCATAGAGGCGCATTCGATTTTTCAATAGCTTTGCGGTCGACGCCGCGCATCCGCATTCGGTGGGACTGCAAGACTGACATGTCGTTACGCCAGCGCTGTAGTAAGCCCCACTAGAGGCCTCCGTAGGGCTGTCTCATTGCGAAATCTGGCCTTCATAGAGTACCTCCCTTACCCTCGTACCCAATGGCGAAAGACCTGATCCAGGCTCCAACTCTCAGGATCTTGCGCGCCTGTCGAGTCCCATCAACATCCGCGCGATTCAATTGATATTTCTTCCGCGCGATGTCGGGAACAGTGGAGACAGGCCAACCAAAAGTGGCCAGATTGATCCGTGATAGGGACATCAGTCTACTTCTCTACCAGTTCCTTGGAAATGGAAAGAATTTTGCAGTGACAGACTATACTACAGTGTGTTGAGCATTCGCCACCAACCTCGCTTCCGCTGGTACGTGCTACGTAATGCCCGACCAAAACAGCGATGGCACTCTGTCTCGCGCACAGATGCACAATATCTCCCGCAAGACCTTGTTGGCTGACGTTGACGTTGGTATCGATCTGAATTCATTGGTTGCTTGCTGTGCCACCGCTACGCAATCCCTGCGAGGGTCCCATTGATTTTCGAATCGCACAGTGAAACAAAGGGCAAACATTCTCTTGGCATTACAGAACCCCGATGCCACCCGGACGTCGCTCGCCCAACCGTGATCATAGACGAGATGAATCGCACACGAACTTCCTGAACCGAATATCGCCAGTCGTCCGTCAAGCACAAGAGGGAGGGACCGGGTGGAATCGCGATTCGTGAAAGACGCGCTAATGAGCACGGGACTGACTAGTGCCCAGATATAGACCTGAAGAAAGTCCCGCTTGTGGTGCCTGCAGGAGCGCCGCCAGATGAACCGCGGAAGGTTTTCTGAGATTCGAAAATGAAGTAGTCACCGAGCCCGAGGATTCAGACATGAGCAGTCGTCCGCTCACCAACTTGGGCTGGGCAGTATGAGGATTTCGAATCGCTTATCGATTCCGAGCTCGAAGGACCTTTTCACAAGGATTCGCATGGCCCCAGATTGCCCCTCGGGGTACAGTCGAACCTGACCGTCTGGGGTCGGGAAGGTTGAAATGCAAGATATATAGTCTGCAGCGCGAAGGTCTTCCAACGTTCAGAAACAGAGTGTCGATCGAAAGTCCAGCAGCAACCTTGTTCAGCAGGTCTTGAACAACTTTGTCGAATTCTCACAGTAGCTCCACGTCCAAGATGTCCAGCGCTCAGCCTCAACTTTATCGTCAGGAGACCGACGTCTCCAAATCGGATATCGGAACCATCGATGGAGAGAAGGGAAACTATGACCACCGGGAGACTCTCAAAGTCCCCGACACCATCGCGGAGATGGACGAGGATACCGGCGGAAACGTTGGTATCGCCGAGTATGAGAGGAGTAAACAGATGGCGGAGATCGTGAGTTGTGATGAGTCGTCCATTGATGTGAAACGAGGTCATGGTCGATTGACGCGCGCGATCTGTTCTTGCGCGTTCTGCTAGACTCCCGCTCAGAACAAGGCTATTCTCAGGAGGATCGATTGGTTCATCCTGCCTCTTTTCTTGATGACCCAGTGAGCTACGACAGAAGAGCTGCTCGTTTCCTGATCTCGGTATTGACCATCTTTTCGCGTCTATAGGACTTTGCAATACCTTGAGTAAGCCATACATACGCGCCTGTCGGAGAGAAGCGCTATTTGCTCAACCCGATCGTTCTCGTAGCAAAACCGCTTTGAACTACGCCAAGGTTTTCGGAATGGAGAAGGCCATGGGTCTCCACGGCCAACAGTTCAGCACGGCCGCCTCGATCTTCTACGTTGGATACCTGGTTGCTCAGGCGCCTTGGGCTTACCTTATCGGTCGTTTCCCTGCTGGACGAGGTAGGTCTCGATCGGCGCTTGGACGATACGTATCGCACAGCTCGCTGATATGTCATACACATAGTCTTGGGTGTCTCTACCTTGATCTGGGGTGTCTGTGTCATCACTATGGTTGAGTAAGTCGAGAGTTTGTGACTTCGCCGTGGAATGTGCGCTCGGTCTGATCTCGGTCGTCGTGCCATTCAGAAACAAGAACTACACCCACGTCTTGGTCTCCCGTTTCTTCCTCGGTGTCTTCGAAAGTTCCGTTACTCCCGGTATGTCGAAGCGTTCGGTTGCATTGCGGCTTATTGGCTTACGCCACCTCGGTTCCCACTACAGGATTGAGCTTGATGACTGGTTTCTGGTACACCCGAGAGGAAAGTCCTCTGCGACAGACCATTTGGTACTCTGCTATCGGTTGGGGTGGTATGATCGGTGCATTGATGGCGGCGGGAATCCAGGTGCGTATTTACCTTCGGACCGCTGCAACAGATCGGGCGGCGAGATCTTATGTTGACCTTACTCTACTCTTTATACAAATTCAGGGTCTCGGCGATGATCCCGTTCCTCGATGGAAGCTCATCTTCTACATTTTGGCAAGTCGTCAACATTCAACCTGCTGCCTCTGCTGTATCCTCATTGTCGTTCGATTCCTTCGAACAGGGAGCTATCACCATCGCTTGGGCTTTCGTTCTCTGGTTCTTCTTAGTAAGTTGATGTTTTCAGATGCCTGCATTACGCCCATCGATTGTACTGACCATCTGATTCTCATTTCAGGCCGATGGGTCAGTCGGGCTTTCCTCCGAGGCGCAACACTCCCCATTTGTACTGACTTGGTCATCATTCTCTCTCGTAGACCTTCCAACGCGAAGTGGCTCAAGGCAGAGTACAGGTCGCTCGCCGTCGCTCGTGTCGCCAAGAACGGTACCGGTATCAAGACCACCACCTTCAACGTCAGGCAAGGTCTCTCCGCGCTCTACGATATCAAGGCTTGGATGTTGTCGCTTGCCATGTTCGGTTCCTCGGTTCCCAACGGTATTCTCACCAACTTCTCCGGCCCCATCATCAAGGGTTTGGGTTTCAGCACTCTCAACGCTGCTCTCCTTGACTGTGCCGGTCGATCGCTTCAGGTCATCTCCTTGTTGATCGCTGGTATCCTCGCGTGAGTTGGTGTTTCAGCCGGGCGCGGCCCTTTCAAACCGCAATTTTGGCTAAACCATCCTGCAATTTGATATTCTCAGTACCAAGTTCAAGAACAATCGTATCATCATGGTCACCATCGGAAACTTGATCTGTGTTCTGGGATCCGGCCTTATGGTGAGATATTACTGTTGGCTCTTACTTTAATCATCACATCATCGGCTAACGTTACCCTCAATTTCTTTTCTCGCTCAGGCCTTCTTGCCCTACGAGAAATCCTACACCTGGCCCCGACTTATTGGTTTCTGGTTGATCAACTGTCAATCGATCGGTTTCACCCTCGGTCTCGTTATGATCTCTTCCAACTTTGGATCTTACTCTAAGCGATCGGTCACTTCGACCATGGGTAAGTCTAGATTTGAAAAGCGGATTTGAGAAAAGCTTGCAATGATCTGAAGCTGATACATATCGCTCGCCCTACACTTGTAGTCTTCATCTGCTACTGCGCCGGTAACGCTGCCGGACCCAGCTTTGTCTACGAGAATCAGGCACCCCAATACCCCTCAGCTGCTCAGGCCATGCTTGGAGGATACGTCGGCAAGACCATTTGCCACTGTATTTTGGGAGCATACATGTGGTACGAGAACAAGCGAAGGAACAGGGTTTACGGCGAGCCCGACCCTGTTTTGGCCGCCGACAACGGTATGAAGGGAATGACCGAGATTGAGAGTGAGTCGGGAATCTTTGCAAGTTTTTCCCAGCCATCCTTGCAAGACCGCTCACCTTTGCCAACATTTCTACAGACATCCACTTCCGATACGTCTTGTAAGAAGCCCACAAGAATGCGTCCGAGTCGAGCGTGCGCTTTCCGCCCTCCTCCGCAAATATATGGTCCTTTCCCGTTCCTGTCTCGTCGCGAAGCATTTTTCAGATTGCGTAAGAACCTTATACTAGTATGGATATACATCAGGTTGTCATAAATATATAGGATGAACATGTTCCGTGGGATACATTGAATTTACCTTTGTGAAAGATGAGCCTTATATCGCTTGTGACTGAGGTTGACTGCGGCCTATGATAGGCATCTTTTGCCTCTCTTTCAAGCACTTCAGGGGATTGTCTGGAAAAGTTACTGTGGGCGGCGATGGACGAACATCCGAGGTCTGCTCACCGTTACATGAATGCGACCAGCCGGTCTATGATCAGAATTTGACAGATTTATGATTGATGCGTTCCAGCCTCATGTACTTGTCAACGAGCTTTGCCTTCTCCATGGCCGCCGCCGTAAACTTGTCGAGAAGCTTTGCCTCCTGCGTCGTGCCTACGTGCTCGCAATGGCAGAAGTGCTTGCGATGATAGATGTGCTCGCAGCGGCAGACGTGCTCACGATGGCGGGCCAACTGACGTGATCCGTGTATCCGCCCCAAATGTTCTCCATAGAGGATGAGGATGCCGCAGGGATACGAAACTTCCCTTGTAAATCGACGGCTGGGGGGTCGCTTGCGGCTGGGGCCATGGGTTTTGCCGTATGCTCATTGACAAGCTTCTACTTCTTCTTCGAAGCAGATACCCCAAGTTCTTTCAGAGGACTTGTACACAAAGTCTGACATCGACATCAACGTGTCCCGGTAAATTCATTTCGCTACAAAGAAAGCTTCTTTCATTTTACGCTAACGACTAGATTCGATACAAACAGTTCGTCTCGCTCTTGGTTTGACCACGGTCGCTCCAGATCTAGACCAAGTCCTGCTTCAAGACGTATCGGTATCGGACCGTGTTCTTGGCGACCCCCTCGATAGCGTCCCCAGCTCGGGACATGGGCAAGACCTCGTGGATGATCGGCTTGATGTTCTTCTCAGCGGCGAGGTCGAGCATCTCGAGCATCTCCTTCTTGGAGCCTTTTTTATGAAACAAGACGAGTTCATCGTTCGACCGGGTATCGACTTAGCTCTGGAGCGTGAAGTTGAGGAACTGGATGTGAGGAAACTCGGCTTACCCAAGTGCGAACCACCGAAAGCGGCCGAGTTTCCAGCGAAAGCGAACCCGGCGATCGAGAAGGGCTGGTCAGGAAGTCCGACCGTGGTCATCCTTCCGCCGACCTTCAACAAGCTACATATAGACGCGTGGTAAAATCACACTCTCTATCAGCCTCGCCGCATTACGTCGATATAGCATTATGTGGGTGATTCTGGGACTCACGGAAGGAACTGGTCCAAGGGAATGGCGTTCGAATCGGCACAAGAGAGGATGAAATCGAATTCCCTGCCCTTGTTGGCAGCTCCGAACCCGGCGGTCTTGGCAAAGTCCTTGTCGCCAGTAGCGATGAACTACGAATGGAGATCCAAGTCCAAGAGTAAGTCAGCTTTCCGCATACATCGAAGCGGTCATGAGAGGTGCTACGGCGGTCGGAGGGGGGGACGAACCTTATCAGCACCCAACCTCAACGCATCCGAAGCTTTCCCCGGAGAATGCGAGAAGAGCACGACCTCGGCCCCTAGAGCCTTGGCGAACTGCACAGCGAAATGACCTAATCCTCCCATGCCGACGATCCCCACCAATTTCCCCGGGCCGGTCCCGTTCCTCTTCAAGGGAGAGTAGACGGTGATACCAGCGCAGAGGATGGGGGCGGCGTCTTGAGGGGCGATAGCGGAGGGGATGTTGAAGACGAATCCTACCGAAGTGGACGGAGAATGCGTCAATATTATATGTATAGCGTTGAGGGAGACATCAGATGCCCCCCGTAAAAGATCTCCAAGGACTCACGTTTATCAGCCCTAATATGGGTCGAATACCCTCCCTGCAAGACATCCCCCGCAGCATTCGTATCATTGTACGTATCATGCTGCTCCGGACAATAATTCTCATTATCCCCTTTACACCTCTCGCACTCCAAGCAGCTCTCCACCTGAGCTCCTACACCGGCGATGGACCCGATCTTGAATTCGTCGGCGGCTTCGGGGCCGACGGCGATGACCTTGCCGACGATCTCGTGGCCCGGGCAGACCCAGTCGTTTTTCAAGGGACCCCAGCCTCCGGAGACGGTGTGCATGTCAGAGCCGCAGACTGCGAGACGCGGGAGGATACAGAACGAGGGATGGATGGGATTCAGCAACCGATTTCTGAATCTGCAGCAGCTCCTATCGGAAGACATGACACCAAGCGAGAGAAAGAGACACGCACCTCCGCAGTACTCGATGGCGATGGTGACATCCCTAGGTCCGGGAGTCTTGAGTTTGAACTCCTTGACGGTGAATTCGGTATACTTGCTGGTATCCGAGATACCGTATCCTCTGTAGCGTCGAGTTTCGAAAGTGTCATTGAGCGTAAAGAGGAAACGAGAATGAATATAAAAAGGTGAACAAGTACGATAAATAAGTACACGGACGTCAGTATATGTACGTTCTGATCGAGCTCTTCTGTTATGACTTACCGGGCGTGGGTCTGTTCGGCGGACATGGTTGCAAGTGAAGCGGGTAGTGGTGGTGGTGACAAGTTGTTGATATGAACGGGTGCGGGCGCCGTTGGTACTGTGAAGTGTGTGATGACCTTTCCTAGCCGGGTCATCGGAAGGGTCCCCCCTAGCCCCCTAGGGTGATCCGCATCTCATATACCTTTACCTCGATGCTACTGGTGACGATGCACTGGATGCTGCACGCTGCACGCTGTATGCTGACGTAGTGACCTCCACCTCCACATCCGATCGATCCCCTCCCTTCGTGACGTCACCCCCACGGGACCTCTCACCCACCACGCTTCGGAAGCAATCCGCCGCAAGTCCCGGCGGTATGGGGGATCAAACTCGAGGCTGAAACAACAACGTCGTTAAAGTCGTGTGGTCGGCCATCGGTACAACGACAATGCTCATATGATCATATGCTCATGACGTACGACGTACTAATATCTATTTTATACTCATACCGACCTTACCTTGAATCGATGACGTTGTCTGATCTCGCAGACGTCCTCAACAGCTTCCAACTGGAACGGTCCTGTGCCTGTAGTCAAGGTAAAGCCAAAAGCTTTTGGGTAGCAGACATGGAGTCAGATGTCGATATATCATTATTGTTATTATATTATTATTATGTAAAGGTAAATTCGACGCTGGGTGCCCCGGGATGCTATCACACCGCTGTCAAACGTAAAGAACAACAACATCAAGCGCAATTGCAGTTCAACCGTGCATCGTTATTCTATACTTCTTTTTTCACTCTCGATAGACTCTTACTCGTCCATCAAACCCATCGCCAAATGCCGGCTCATCGTGCTTCGCATGGAAAGTAATCACGGAAGGAGCTGCCCTACCCAAGAAAGAGGAATGAGCGACCCAGTTCCTCTCCCAATGGACCTTTCGAATCTCTCCACGTCCCCCATCCGCCATGCACGAAGCTCAAATCATCGGCCAATCGTCACCTCGATCAACTGCCAGCGCTGCGCCCTGGATTGGATATCGAGACGCACCGCTCTTGCATCGAGATGGATGCAGTGCGCCAGTTTTCAATCAAATCAATCAAATCTTGTACCATAATTATTTGCATACAGTAACGTCACGAGCTAAAACACGACGACCGGAGTGATCTCGGCCAAGGAATACAGACGAGTTCTGGAGTAGCACCCAAGCGATATCTCTCTCGAGCTAAACCTACAAGACCTCCTTGGGGAGGTCCTTGATGCTGGTCAACTGAGGGAAGCCCGGAGCGGGCGGAGCACTGTATCGAAAGAAAGATTGTGATCAGCTCCTTCAACGTGACGTTCCGTGCAGTCCCCCAATCTCACCTGTGCCTGGTCTGAACGAAAACCTTCATAAGACCTCCTTGACGCTTGTCAAAGGCCTGGTAGAGCTCCGCGAATTCGGAGACGTCGATCCTGTGGGAGACGAGGAACTTGGATGACCACTTTCCTCTAAAGAGACAGCGTAATGGAGGGACGTTAGATCCAGTCGAACGAGTCAAGGAAGATCGTTATGCAGACTTACTCCTTGATCATGTCCATGATCTCCTCCCAGTAAAGCTGTAATAGATCCGACAATCACGTCAGAATCTGCAGTCGTCAAACCGCAAACGAATCCTCAGCAAAACTAACGTGAACAGGAGCTACAACGCGAAACGATAATATGGTGAGCATTTCTCGGCAGCAATGCATAGGCGTCATCACCACTCACCCTGTCCGTTCCCGATGAACCTGATACCCTTCTCCATCAGAGCTCCGATGTTGAAGTGGTTGGTAAGAGCAGCGTATGCGGCAATGATACCGACCCTGAAGTGCAAGGACCGTCATTCACACGAGATCAGCTTACACATCGGCAAACTCTCCACAGATCGGTTTCGCACGCTCACCTGCCCATCTTCCTGGTGGCCATGATCATCTGGTTGGGTACCTCCGAAACGTCCGTCTCGAGCATCAAAGCCTTTTCGACCTGCACAGTCGGGATGAAATCGACGAGTCAGGATTTCTCTGACGGGAAGCGACGAACCGTCCTCGTTCGAAATACTGACCTTGTGGAGCATCGTCTGGGGCTCGCTGTGTGATGCGGCAAGTTCAGCGTCCGTCCGCATCATACCCATCTAGGTGGAAGGGGACTTACTGGAACGACCCACAATCAAGAGAGCTGCGACGAACCACCGAAGCATCAGTACTGCCCAACATCATCCCACCATCCTCATGCAGTCGAAACCCATGACTCACACGTCGAGTCCACCGGGGTACCACTCGTTGAGCGTTCCAGCAACGTTGCTGACCTCCTTGAAGTTCAGGGTCCTGACCTTGCCCGGGGCGGCTTCTTCGGCCATCTTGAGCCTTGCGGGGACGCAGTCGATGGCAACGACTTCCTTGGCTCCCTTCAAAAGCGCCCATCTGATGCAGAACATGAGAATGAGATCATCGAGTTCGGGTCGTCCTATACGGCATGAGAAGTGATATGATACGATACGTACCGGATCGAACATTGTCCGATCTGAACCAAACACACGTAGCCGAACGATCAGCTCCCACCAAGAGATCCATCCGATCTTGCACAGACTCACAGGTCCCAAACCCCAAACACCGACTACGTCGCCCTCCTTGACGCCCGTGTCCACGACGTTATGGTACGAAGTGGGCAAGATGTCCGAGAGGTAGATGGCTTCCTCATCGGGGACCTCGTCCGGGATCTTCAAGCAGTTGACGTCACCGATAGGGACTTTGACCCATTCGGCTTGTCCACCGGGGTATCCTCCTGTGAAATGGCTGTACCCGAAGAACCCGGCGTCGGCTTGGTCGGCCTTGGGGTTCCCGCCGTACCTAGAATATCGGACACGGATCAAGGTCAAGGAATGTATCAGTCGTAAACCCAGTAATCACTCGAAGTAATCGCTCGTCGCGTGATTCCAAAGACTCACATGGTCCTCATCAACGTAGAGTTGTTAGTCCTATCGCAGAAGCTCGACAGCTCTATCGTTGCGTAGAAGACAAACAGAAATAACGGCAGAAGAAAGGAGATTCGGAAAGGTCGTACGTCAGTTCGAGTGATGGATTTCTCGCACCTCGATGTCGCTTTGCACTCACTCTGCTTGCAGAATCGGCATTCTCCACAGGCGATCTGGAAGGAGGTGACGACCCTGTCCCCGACCTATAGAGTACCGTCCCGCATAAAAATAAATTCATGGAAGAAAAGAAGGAGTCAGTCTAGCTCCACACGGAGAGAATGATAGAACGCGCAGACCGACCTTCAAGTTCTTGACAGCAGGTCCGACCCGGTCGACGATCCCAGCAAACTCGTGTCCCAACAAATCCCCCTTTTGAAGGGCGACGATCTCTCCATGATACAAATGCAAATCCGACCCACAGATCGTCGTCGCAGTGACTTTGAGGATGACGTCGGTATCCTGGGTGATGTCCGGGATGTCGGCGTCGATGACCTTGACGCTGTTGGCGCCTTGCCAGGTGAGGGCCTTCATCCCCTTCTCACCGCCCTCCCGGACCTTGTACTTGTTCTCGACGATGTTGTTCTCGGCAGGGCCGGTGTAGGATTGGAAACTGCAGAAGAATATCGCAGGGGAGAGGATGGAAAGGTATGATCATACACACACATCACACGTCAGCCAACATGATACGTCTCGCCCTGTCAGTGAAGCCGGCTATCGCCTCACGCATTGGCGACGGCTTGCATGATGATGGGAGTTCTGTAGCTTGTAGTTGTTGTTGTTTTTTGCGTAGATTTGGGTTGAAAGGTTGTTGTCGAGGTTGATCTGGTTAGGTGTTTACGGTACGTCGTAGGTATATAGGTATAAGTCGTGGACGGTACCTCCCCAGATGTTCGATGTCCAGAGGATTACGAAAGGGAAATGCGTGCAAGAGAATGTGACCTCCACCTCTCGATCTCGTGTGCGCGCCCCTGATGAGGTGGTGACGTCACACCTACAGCTACGAATATCCTTCACCGGCGCGAGGCGGACAGCGCGGTTCAATTCGGCCGATGGGGCCGTTGCAAGAGCCCTCCTTTCGATCCTTCTGAAACGTGTATCATGCGAGTCCAGCGCTGGGGTGGGTCTGTCGCAGTAAACCGCATGCAACCATGTGCTGATTCGATTCTGGCGCTCGAGCTCTGGTAGCATCGGGACATCCCGGAGGAGGAAACTGATCGTAACGATCTCGAGCTACCTGTCGCGCGCGCGAGAGTCGTTTTCAGACCTCTCTTCTTTCGATCTCTTGCTCGAAGGACCATCGGTCTGTCGCACGTCAATCTGAAAGAGAGCACAGTGGGCCGGTTTAGGACTAGTTTTGTGGCGTCATTGTCAGTACGCCAGGTTGAACACTATCGTACCAACCCGGTCTCCGTTCTTGCCAAACGTTTCACAGCGAAACTTCGTCCGTCGTTCAAAACACCCTTATTCGCTATCTCTACTCGCACTCGGCTTTGTTGCTCTACTTCCTGAAAACCATTCGTTTCCCTTGCTTGTTGTTTGGGTGACCTTGCGATACACATAAATACCATATAAATACCAGTATGCATCAGTGGTGACATTCGATGTTTACTGTACGTTCTCGTCTGCGAGGCGAGTGTTCGCACGCTCAGCAAAGGGTAGGAAATCACACACTGAGCTTACTCTGAGTTTGTTTCGGTCGAGGTGTCCGGGTCTCGCTCCGAGCAAACAACGCTACTAGCCCATCGCTTGTCAAGTTGCCCAGTGCTTCGATCGTTCTGCATATCCGTCCCGACCTGTGGTGCTGGGATCGATTGTGATCTTATCTGTAGGAAAAAATAAAATAAAGACGAGACAACGAGGACAGTCGAACGGGATTTTCATTCCGGGGGCTTGGGATGATTGACCCTGACATGACATGCTGTATGATCCTCTATTGGTACTGCTGACCTTTCGCTCTACCTTGACATCGTCCTTTTCCTCGTTCACGTCAACAGACTCGTTCTGCCCGGTCCATACTACGAGGCGGAAATTACAGCCCCTAACAACGAGGAACAAACTCCGGCGGAGCTAAGACTACTATCTAGCTTCCCTTGCACAGTTGAAGATCCTGAAAGAATGCGGGATCCTCTCCTTGAGCTCTTTGATGCTCAACAAACAGATATGCCATCCACAGTATGAATGGTGGAGCTGCTATTGGCAAGAGAGTGTTTCTCAACAAATTCCTTGGTAGATAGGCTGTCAAAATAAGTCAGTCGAGTCCTAAAAGGGTTCCTCTGCCTTATCAGAACTCACAACTTGAAAGACCCAGACCCTCTGAGATTGTTGTGTCCATCGAGTCACCTGGCACCTGCTCGTCAGACGAAATTACGGAACACGGCATGCCTGCAACATCTTGATCAAGAATATTAAAATTCGCTGGTTGCGACGGCCTGGCCATCAGAACTCGACGTGCACAGCGATGTAGCTGAAGGTAGTGCGCTCGCGACGGTCGAAGCTTCACTGGGTAATAACGCTTTTCTCTCCTCCAACTCGTCTCCGTGGTCTTCTTGTTCCTGCCAAAAGATCATTTCCTTACCAAACAGGCGTGTTTCATAGGAGCTATCGAGACTCATGGAACGGTTTGAAGGTCATACATGCGCGGATCGCAATCGATAACTCGCACACTCGGTCTAGTTGCAGAGCTTCTTTCAACGGTCGGAGAAGAGATGACGATCGTCCAGCCGTATTCATGGTCCATTCAGATGGATTGCTGTCGCACGATCTACCAGTTTACCATCGTGGCCTGCAAATCGCAATGCTCGGGACGGTTGCCATCAGCACAACGTATGAAACCCCGCCACCTTTCGCACGACAAGCGCTGTCGCAAATCTCAAGCAGGATGCGACACCATCATACGACCGCTGTATGTCGAGCATCCAGTGTAAAACCCGCGCATCGTATGTCAGAACGAACGCGCCCCGTTCTCGGGCGCCGCTATGGGTCCTCCGCTGCAACCAGTAGTAATGTAGTGACCTCGGGCATTGGGGGTACGTTGCCCCAAATTGGGCTCACTCCATTTTCGAACACCATGTGATCGCTCGGTCAATAACAATGACGTCACACCCTTTCCACTCAAAACTCTCCGATCAGCTGTGTCGGCTGCTGGAACGGAACACCTGTTCCAACTTTTTTCTTAGCGCGCACTTGTCCCCCGAACGACTTGCCGACCAGAACGTATTGCGGCAACGTGCCAGACCGACCTCGTAGGCCCCGAGACTGCACGTCCGAGCTGAGAGAACGGATTAACGGAGGATATTCGGACGGTTCATACGTTATGATCACTTCGTCGATCGACCGAGCATGTATCAACCTTTTTCGAAAACCCCGGACAACTCCGTTTCGTCTTATTGTATATAGTCGTCAGGTGCGATCGTGCGCCCCGTTTCGAGGCATCCGCATGAAGTCGCATGTATCAGTCAAGGAGATCATAGTTCCAACCACCCTACATCATGGCTAGACCTAAATCGTTGAGGGTTATCGGATTCTGCGTGTTCGCAGCTCTAGGAGGGGCTTTGTGAGTCTACGTCATCGACGAGAAGGGGCACCACATACAACACGGCGGGCTGAGGATGGCTTTCGATAACCCCACTCTCGCTCGATAGGTTCGGTTATGACATCGGGGTCATCAGTTCATGTTTCACCATGCCCGATTTCATCGAACGGTTCGGTGAACAACGTGCCGATGGGACATATTACCTGGATGCGAACAGGCAGTCCATTATCACCTCGCTCTTGGGAGCGGGAACTTTTGTCGGATCCATCGCTCAGGTGGGCGCGGGCGACGTCTGGGTTGTATCTGGAACAACAACGTTCGCTAAACGATCTTCTTCGTTGTTGTACGTGCAGAGTTTCACCGCCGACTTGAAATGGGGAAGGAAGGGCGCCATCTTTTTCTGGTCGGTCGTCTTCGTGAGTGATACACCATCGGTCCATACAAGCCCAGCGCGTCTCAAACTGAACTCGCCCTTTGATGTGGAAACAGACCATCGGATGTGTCATCCAGACCGCTTCTATGAGCGGTATCGCCCAAATCACCGTAGGTCGGTTCATCGCTGGACTCGGAGTCGGAGCGTTGTCCGCCCTCGTACCGCTGTACAACGGAGAGGCCGCTCCTCGGGATCTGAGAGGACCGCTTGTCGTGCTCTACCAAGTCATGATCACCATCGGGTAAGCTCCATGCGCTCGCCTTGCGCGGCTCTTGATTACGATTGCTTACATACACGTCTCTGATTCGGCAGCATCATGTGGGCTTACGGTCTCGACTGGATCACCCACGGTATCAACAGTTCCGCAAGCTGGAGGATCCCCGTCGGTTTCCAGCTCGTCTTCGGTCTCGTCCTCTGCTGTGGGACCATGTTCCTCCCAGAGAGCCCTCGACACTGTCTCAACTACAACAACCCGGAAAAGGCCAAGAGGTCGATCGCCAAGATGAATAACTGTGATATCGACGATCCGCTCGTTCACGAGACTATGGCCGAGTTGGAGACCATGTTGGAGTTGGAAAACGAGGGCGGGAAAGCTAGCTGGTTCGAGCTCCTTAGCACTAACCATCAGATGTGGAAGCGTACTCTGAGTGAGTTGCACGATCTCTTCCAGTCTCGCGCTGGCATGCGACGCTGATGGAAAAATCCCGTTCTCAACTGTTCGTGACGACTTGCGCGTCTCCCTTTGCGATTGATGACATTTTCTCCAACCAGATGCCTGCATGATTCAGTTCGTGCAGCAGCTTAACGGTCAGAACTTCTACTACTACGTGAGTGATATACGTTTCTGAGCCTGCGATTTAGTACTGCGATGCTAATATCATAATGTCTCCCTTTCGGCAGTATGGGTGAATATTTACAACCTCTTATTGATACGGAAGCTCTGCCAAGTCCGGGTTTAACTGAAACATACCCAATATTTTTTCTAGGCCCGCGTTCTTCGCGCAATCGGGTACTGGTTTATCGACGTACGCCATCCAGTTCATCTTGGGAGCAGTCACCTTTGCCGCCACCATCCCCGCTCTGTGGTTCATCGAGAAATTGGGAAGGAGAAAGATGCTATTCATTGGTTCCGTCGGAGAGATCACATGCGCCGTCATTGCCGCCGCCGCGGGACACACCATGTTGGCTTCCGCCGATACCCCTGCCTCCGAGTATACTAGCCGGAATACTACGGGAGGACAGATCTTGGTGGCGTTTGCGATCATCCAGGTAAGTCTAGCGGGAGGACCTTGGTGTATTCCCAGACGCTTACCTGTTTCTTTTTTCGTCTCCTTAGATCTTCTTCTTCGGTGCTTTCTGGGGACCAGTTCCTTGGGTAAGTGAAATTCCTTGCCAGGTCCTGATGCAAAAAGAAATTCAACTTACCTGTGATCTCCCTTCGAACCGACAGGTAATTTCCGCAGAGAGTTTCCCCCTCCGAGTCAGATCCAAGGGTATTGCTGTGGCAACTGCTACCAACTGGCTGTGGAGTAAGTCAAAGGATCGTACGAACGGAGTCGCGACTGCCTAGTGGCTAAACGAAATTCGTACCTATAGACTTCTTGCTCGGATTCTTCAGTGCGAGGATCGCCGATGAAATCGGTCCTCTTATCCTGCTCGTTTTTGCTGGTGTTTTGCTCTATGGTCTCATCTACAGTGAGTCGCATATGCTGCCACTCATCACCGCCCATTATCTCTGTATACGATTGTCTGACGGAACTTGTCGCCATTCAGTCTTCTTCATGTTGCCGGAAACTAAAGGTACGTTCACGCTCAGATGGTATGGCGAGTCTAGTAAATCGCTAACAAGGTATTCCGTCTTATATTGCGCAGGCCTTTCTTTGGAGGAGATCGACGAGCTTTATGCCCTCAAGATCAAGCCTTGGAGGTCATCGAAGTGGACGCCACCAAACCGACGAGACGAGATTCCCGAAGTCAACGACAAGGGAGAGATCGTGCATCGCGAGAGGAGGAAGGCGCCTCCCATGATGATGGGACATTAAAGGAGTACCTTGTCGTCTTTCCATTGTACAAAACCAGATAAAAAGTTTGCCATCGACTAATGTGTATTTGTAGCGCACCTGTCACAACGCATGCGTCGTGGTCTCGATTGGAGATGAACCTGTTACAGAAGACTGGCGAAAGGGTCGACAGTGCCGGACGCCGAGACTTTTGCGGGGGTGATGCATATGCTACGAAACTGCCATATGTCTGCGAGGACGAGCGATACATGTGAAATCAGTTGAACATGCAATCCAGTGTCTGGCATCAGCGACGGGAACGTCTCCAACCTCAATCGTGAGCCGTTCGACTCTTTTGGCCGATGGCGCGTTCTCGTTCCGCGTCTCGGCGGATACTCTCTGTCGCAACCTGAAACGTGTCGCGCTGACGGCCATCTGATCCTGTAGGCTCATCACTTCTTTGCAGAGACTGTCAATCTCCGCATTCCGCTCTGAAGGCTTTACCTTGAGATTGTTCTCCTTCCTTTCAAGCTGTAGCGCAAAGACGTGCGGAGGTAAGCGTAATTCAGGGACTTTGATGCGATCTTCCCCTATCAGCGCACCTTTAACAACTTCACATCAAGGTCAAGTCGGACCTGTTGCTCTACATTGAGACTTACCTGCAGTGTTTGACACTTTGTTTCAAGCCTCTCCTTGCGAGACTCTTCAACAGGCAGAGCAACAGCAGGACGCAAGTTCAGTTCGACGGCTTGACAGATCCTAAATGCAGGGGAAGAAGGCAGCTTGCAATCTTGTTTTAAATTGGGGTAGAAACCGGAATTGAGGATGTGATCGACCTGGTATGATGCGGGGCAGTCAGAAAATTTGTGCTCGGCAATAATTGCCCCCTCCCATATTCGTTGATCTGAAAGTAATCTGGGCTGTCAACAGTCTCAAGAGGTCCATAAATGGTGGATAATGTGGTGATGTAGCGGGTCTGATGCTGAAAAGAGTGGGGTGGTAGAACCAGTGTAGTGACGGACTCAAAAAGACAAAGTCAAAAAACTCTTCGGAGTCCGGTTAGCAAGCGGATTTGGGGCGCTTACAAGCCATGGTTAGCATAGATACTGTGGTTAACAATTCTTGCTCGCAATAAAGTGTGCAAGGGGTCTTACCTTGAAGGTCGGCTATTTTCCATTGAGCCTAGGTTCTGAGACATTCATAGTCGGTTTAGGCAACGGCATGCGAGGTGCTTTCGGTCCTCATGCACCTCAGCGCCAACTCAGTAGCGGCTTCTCGGATCCCTGCCAAAAGCGTCGACATCCTTAACGACCTACGTGTTGCGCGGGTTTGCGTTATTTAACATATATATCAACAGCGTTACCACACGAGCAGAGAAGAAGGCTACGTGAGTTCGATCTGGTCAGCTGAAACAGGAGCAACCATCGGAACAGTGTTGGCGGATAACTCGGCGCATTGAGTCACTGCAGAACTGCTCAACTCCTCTTGACTAGCGACAGTATGTGTACTGTATAGACTTACTGAACATAGGCGCTGAGGGTGTTCATATCGTTCTTGAATCGCTGGTCTGACCAGAAGTATACATTCATCACGTCGGGTGCGAATCTTATGCGACACGAGCCAGGATCTCCACGAATCCATTGTTTTCATTATAAATACGATCTACACCCTCAAACCTAGGAGCCTATACAGAGTAAACGTCCGCTTCAGAAGGGGTTACGAGGCCGGAAACTCTCAAACGTGTTCAACGCAGTCGAACTATCGCCGTGATCGGCCGTATGAGCACCGATACTCGACTCGTCATCCAGAGTGCGACGATTCAGACCGACACGATAGGGTAGAACAGGATGCTCCTGTAGTGAAGAGGCAGGGCAACCTGTGGTTAATCGGAAGGCTTGTATATGATGTTGAACGAGCCCGAACGAACCTCTCGGACGGTGGTAGTGTCAATCTTGATCTGTTCCAACTTGCTATGTGTCGGATCCTGGCTAGACGTACTCAGCGCGAACGTAGCGTCCTGCAAATAGCGTCGTTAGCCTACTTTGACACAAAATAACATTACACACGCGTCGAGCTTACCGAATCCGCCGAGACTCCATTGGACGTAAAGCCTCGTTGTAGGTCGAGCCTAGAGTTGAGGACCGCAATGAAGGGTATCACATAAAGCTTCGGGTGGAACATCTCCCAGAAGAGCATGAACAGGTTATCGCTCCCGCAGATGCAGTAGTTGATCATGAATCCCACAGCCGCCAGTGTTGCTGCGAGGGAAGATTCGACAGTAATCCTACAGAGCGAAAGGTATTGCGAGTCAGATGGGAATGTATGCCAGGCGTGATTCTGTTTGTTGGAAGCGGACACGACATACATGACGAGCCTGTTGATCAAACGAGACGTCTCGCTATAACCGGTCTTGCTCTTCAGCAGACCATAGATTATGGAACCGGTCAAGCACAAGTCGACGAAGAGCGTCGCAGTGAGCTGCAAAATCATTGTCATGAGTACAGGTTGATTGCCATATAGGACGGAGCAACAACTCACCCAGATGTAGACGACCGCTTTCGTTGCCTGGCGTCCGAGACTCAGCATCCACGTCAAGAGTTGAGTAGCAAGCAGGCACGGGGAACTCACTTCGACCTGTTCGAACCCTGGTGTAGTGGCCGTGATAACCGCAACGGCAATCGACGCCGAAGCTTGACAGGCCATCCCGAGGACGATGACACCGAGCAACCACCAATTGTTGCCCATCAGGCGGAAAGCCCTCTCCGCATAGAAGGCCTATGGGTTGCAGTGGATCAGGAAAGGTAGAGTTGCGAGCGAGGATTTGGGGTTGACAGACTCACTTGGACCGGGATGACGGTGATGGTATCGAATATGGCCCACCAGCCGACCCCTACGTAAATGAACGAGACGATCATGGATATGAGCGATAGCAGCGGAATCAAGACCGCATGTACACTCACACTTGGCCATGACGAACGGCGTCCATTTGCCAAAGTTCTTTCAGAGTGCACAAATTGAAGCGGCGGTTAGGGATTGGCTAATAGATGCTCCGATACCAGCGGGAACCTACTTGGATGAAGTGATACCATATCAAGTGACAATTATATCCTGTACATGCGACGGCGCAGAGTACGACCCATACCTGTCACGTATCACAGACGGTCCAAAGGACGGCGTGCGCAGGGAAGAAAGGGGTTCGAACAGCAACCGTAAGTCGTCCATACCAGTCTTCGCAATCGAACAAGGTCAGACTCACGAGGATGACCTTGACGTGCAGCCTCTCTTTGGGGACGTAGCTGACCCAGTATCCGAGCATGACCATCATCATCCCGAACAACGTCGCATCAACAAGGGCACCGAAGAGGAAACCGCCCAGGTTCAGGAACTTGTGCTTGGAGAGCTCGGCTTTCAAGATGGGCTCGAGAAACTCGGGCGAGAGCCCCGGAGGGAGTACGGGCATTGCGTGGTGAGCGAAGGAAGAGGGCGTAGGTATATGATGGACCGTCCGGCGAGTCGAAAGATATGATAAATCGAGATCTTGACCTGTCGAGGAGATTGCCCGAACGACCATCATCCTGGCAACTTTCCCCTTGGTACTCTCTATATACTGTTCATTCCGATTGTTTACACTTTGTGGATGATGCAAAGGAAGACGGCCAGCGTGCGAGTTGATCGAAAGGAGATCGGGGGGAACAGGAAGATCCGGTCTCTTTCAATCCAGGAGGTCCTTTTGCGCACCATCGGCCGTCACAGTCATGTTGATCTCGTTCCCTTTGATGGCCGTTCCAGAGCGTAGAGGGGGACATGAAGGGAAGCAGGAGTCCCGATCATGTTTCAGGTTTCAACGACGACCTCGGTGTTTTCTATGATGATCATGATGATGCATGTTCGGGATCGTCGTTCCATACGTCTTCTCGCGAATCCTCCGACTGCGTTCGAACGAGCAGAGCAGGCAGCGACATCGGGTGGACATGTAGAAGGTCTCAGTCCGAAACGGCGAGAATCTCCATGTGGGCAAGGGATCATCGCTCGGGCAGAATGTTTACAGTTTGGGCGGAAGGATGAGAAGGATGACGAGCGATAACAAGATAGGGAGAAATGATCAAAGGGGTTGATCAATACCGGATGCGCCCGGACCGGGCAGCGCGTCTCATCAACCATCAACAACCCCGTAGCGACCAGGGCGACCCCTAGGTCGTCGCTAAGATGATGATGATCGATGATGATGGACGTTTCAGATCCTGACAAAATGATGTGATTGAGTTCATCTCAAACCGAATGAGCGCGGGCGCCAGGCTTCCACCCACCGACCATCCTTTGAACCTTACCTGTGGCCTGTGAGCTTGTGTCTAGTGAAGATATGATTGATCGAGTTCTCGAGCCCGTGAGCTGTTAACAATCCGGCTGGGAACTGCCACCAGAGCAGGAATGATAGCGTCTACGCAAGGTTCGTTCTGAATTGCATGGCCTTTCGATGCTTGCTGAGAGAACCTGGGTGTGCAATCTAGTGTACAGAATTACAGATCGTTATAGTTGTCCAGTACCTCGACCTCTATCTCGGCGGACCGGCGCCGACCATCCAGTCCGGAATGTCCTCAGGGAGATCCGGCATCGATGGCTCATCCTCTCGCTTTCGCTTGACAGCTAATTGGTCTAGACCGACCTCTTCGCTGAAACCCGTCTCTACCGTATCCCCGAGTCCGACGGTGTCCTCGTCGGTCAGCATCACGATCCCATGTCGGTCCCTCAGGAACCCATCCACAACCCCGACCTCTACGTCCTGCTGCCGCACCTCAAGCTCCGTGGGCAACATCGGCAAATCCTCGAATACTCGTCTAGCTGCGGCAACTCGACCCAGGTACCCTTCCTGCGTCAAAGCTCGTAACGAGATCTTCTTCGACTGGGCCTTTTCCAGGATCGTCTCGATATTCCCATACTCCTTGATCAACTTCAAGGCCCGTTTAAAGCCGACCCCGTGGATACGCTCGCAAGCGTCCGTCCCGTTGAGGATGAGGAAATCGCGGTATTGCCCCTCAGACAGGTCCAGGGCGCATCGGAACTCTTCCCCATCGATCGATTGAAGAGGCTGGGTGCCCGTGCCCACGTTCCTGAGGAGCAAGGCGCCGTAGACGAGTATGTCCGAGTCCTCCGTCCCTGCATAGTCCGCCATGCCCCCAGCCACCATGGCCGCGGCCAAACCCTCGGCTTCGTAAGGCGAAGGAGCCTGGACGATCGGCACCCCCATGACTTGGAGCAATTCCCGGCTTTCCTCGATGTCCTGAGCGGTCGGTTTGGCATGACTGCGTTCGTAAGTCCGAGCGACTTCCCTCGCTCGGTCTTGCAGGTTCCTGAGTTCCTGTTGATACTCGACAAACGTCATCTGAGTGGGCGTAGGAGAGGTCGAGGTCAGGGTCTTGATAATGTCGGAGAGGAGGTAGTTCTCGTTGGCCGTCAGGGCGGTTTGACGGATGGATTCGGTAAAATCGTGAGAGGGCTCGACGACGACCGTAGCGATATCTTCTACATCAACGTCGTCTTCCTCCTGCCCGACCAAAGCTTCGTCTAACGTCTTTTCGTTTAGTTCGAGACTCGGAGCGGCCAGGGAAATACGTTCCAACCCTTTCTCGATGGCAACGAGCCCATCATCTGGGTTATCGCCATCGACTTCCAACCTCCCCGCATCTCCGACAGTGGATTCAGGACCACCCCGCCCAATCTCTCCCTCCACAAAGTCCGTTACCTCGGCCTCGGTCTCGGAATCTTCCTTTAAGAACCGGTCCTTTAAGAACTGATAATTAGACCTGTTCGTATGCTTCTCCCCGGGCCGACTGGACGCCCTGCATTCCCGCAATAGCATCAAGGCGGCCTGTAAGACCTTCTTCCCCGGATCGAGTTGGAGATCGAGATCGAGAACGAGAACTCCTTGAGAAGGACCGCCGACCTGGACATCTTCCAGGTTCAAGAGTTCTTTTTCTATATCAAACTCCGAGTCAATGTCACTCCCGGCATCGTTCCAAAGAACCGGCAGTCGATCCTTTTGCAACAACCTCCGTGCATCAATCAAGACCTGTTCGATCTTCCCCAACCGTTCTCTCCTAGCGTCCTCGAGTAACGACCTGGCGAGGTGTAAAGACCGCTGATGTTGTCGTCTGACGTGTTCACGGGCTTTCCATTCCCTTGGTCCGGGTTCGTCAAAGATCGCGATGGGTTTGACGGAAGCTCGTTTCATGCTTTTGATGAGCCTGATGACGGGGAGAGCGATACCGTAGGATGATGAGTTTAGTTTGTAGGTGATTGATAGTTGATCAACATTATTTCGAATATTTATGATACTGTAGACCCCTACAGTAATCTCGCTTGGGGGAGGGGCTTACCGATGCCATCCCATAACGATCCTCTTGGTCTCCAACGAGTCGTCCGACGATTGAGTGTAAAAGAACCTGGTCGTGATCAAGGTCGCATCGAGAGCGACGGTCTTGCCCTTGATGTTCGGGTCGAACCACCGTTGATTATAGGTCTTGACCAATTCCGGACTGAGTACAGTATCGCCCAACGTACCAAGCAGAGTCAGAATCGGAAGCTGACTCTCATCTCGGTGTGGGATGTTTCAAGAGAGTAGAGGACGACACTCACAAGTCCTTCTTGATGGCCACTCCCAATCCTTGAACGCCGCGGACGATAAGAGAAGGTCGCATGATGGCTCGCTCGCTATTATATCGACGATTTGGATGGAGGGTGTAGTTGGAGTATGGGTATCGTCATTTGACAGTGAAGCTATACCGGAGACTGGCTGGAGTAAGTTTTTTCTTATATACTTCTATGGCATGGCATTATGATCACATCGCTGGACGAGTTGGTTGATATCGTCCGAGTATCGAATCGACTTGCATGAGATTGATGAACGAGAGGATTGATCGGATCAGTCCCTGGGCATCCTCGCGCGGATGCAAATCAAAAGACGCCACGATCTCGTCAGGGAGGTCAGTTTCGTGCAACCCTGGGCGCATTCATGCTTTGCGGTTTTCCATACCTGATCCCGAGAAGGTCACTACTATCGTAGCGGCTGTCGATAGATGTTCGGCTGGAGTCGACCGTATTGAGCATGGTCACTTCCACCTCCATTCCAACGCCCAAAATGTCAACAGGGCGGCAAGATTCGACCAGCGAATAACATAAGCAACGGTTATCATAACTATCACACATGGGTTGTGTTTACAAACGATCTAACGAGAGTGAGAGTTTATCTATCTTGGACTACGATGTTCAGTAAGTGTGAATAGAAGGTGATCTTCATTGAGCGGGGCCGTAGGCGTATCGTCGGCCAAGATCAGAGAGTGTCCCCGTGGAGGTGACCAAGGAGTTTCCGTTATCCTTGTCGCTGTTTCATATTATAGCCGAACAGCAAATGCCATGCCAAAGCACAGGATCATTTCAGGACCGGGGTATGTTCAGCCGTCCTGTTCATCCTCAATCTAGACTCAAATCGATGGGGACTTACGAGCCAGCGGTGACGAACACGTCGAACCAGGCGTACCGATGGACCCATTCGGTCGAATCAGCCCAATCCATCACTACAGTATCCCCGTAAACACACCGACAGAACAAGTTAGAATCAGCCTTACTTCTCCACCAACCCTCATATCGTTATGGATAGCATTGTAATTCGAAGTTTCGAACCCGAATCCGAATTTCAAGGAAATTTTGGAGAGCAGTGTAAAGTCGAAAAGGCGAAAAATCAAAGGGCAACTCACGCGCACGCGCATAAGCGTCGGCCGCTTCGGCAGGACACCCCTGGGCGGTCGATAAGTCCCTACAGTCCATCTCGACGATCCAGATCGGGGTGCCGTTGGATGCACCGAAGAGGTTGTACCATTCGGTCTATGGATGTAAAATGAACGTTCGAGACGAGATGAGGAGGGAAGACGGTGAGCGAGGTGGTTCCCAGCGGGATATCAGACTGAGAAGGGATGAAGGGACTGACGATCTGTCCGATGGACTTGGTGATGTCCGTACCGTAGATGGCGATAGGCAAGAAATCGATAACGCACCCTTGGTCACAGGCGACGTAAAAGTCCTACATCGTCTCACAATCATCGCACCGCCGATGATGAAGGTAAAATATATCAGTCTAATCGACTCGTTCTAAGGGTGAAAATGCGTGACTGACGGTGTACCACTTTTTCGCCACCTCGATCGACCCGGTAGTGTCTTGGGACATGACGGGCCCACCGATCTCGTAGACTCCTTTCATCCCGTTCATGACCTCTTTGTGGATCCCAGCGGCGTTCTCGGCGGTGATGTTGGCCCTTTCCGCGAGCTATCAAAGAAACAGCAGCAAAAATACATAATCTTCTGTCAGTGCCTGAGCGATACTTTCTATCCTCGCGACAGAATAAAGTCGTTGCACAGTTCTCGCTCACGTGCGGCTCGTAAAGACTCATCACAGAAGTAACCCCGAAACCCCATTGATCTTTAGCCTCCCGGAATCCGCTGATCGTATCGTTATCCCCTCCGAACAGGATCGGGACAAAGTCGAGGACGGCAGGTACGAGCTCCCTCTTTGCGCTCCAGTTCCAACCCCTATCAACGTCAACGGTAAAGGAATCAGCATGATCGTCGAGGGGATTGAACTTGAGCTGAAAATAAAGGAGGATGCGCACCAGCTAACTTTGTTTCCGGGTTGCAGGAAATCCGACGCGCATTCTCCGGAATCCTTCATCCATCCAAGACCTGCTTTACCTTTCCCAGCCTCAGCCGGAGCCGTAGCGTTGCACCCACCAGGTGTCTCAGCAGTCGGGACGGGTTCAGATGCCGACATGGACATGGTCCCAGTAGGCACTACGGTAGGCAAGATGGAATATCCACTTTCCAGGACGCTGGTGATCGGGACGATCTCGCCATCGGTAGGAACCCCCTGACTAGGATCGGCAGATGCGGTCATTTCGGCCTGTGTGGCGGAAATTGCGGTCTCGGTTGCGGTCTGCTCGGGCCCATCGGAAGTGACAGTCTTTTGTCCAATGACGTCCGACTGAAGAGGAGCCGACTCGGCGGTACCGGTACTGGTGATTCCTTCAGGGGGACCTTGAACGGTCGCAGTGGGCTCAGCAGGGTTCATACTGGTCAGTCTCGAATTCTGTGTCGCCTCTGCGGTACCAGTGGAAGATCCAGCCAAAATCGTGGAAGCTGTCTCCTGAGGCGGGACGGCGTCTTCAGGCAAGACAGCCGAAAACTCGCTGGTGATCACCGCAGGGGGAGGAAGCGAAGTAGTAAGCACATCTGGGCTGACGACGGTCGTCCCTTGTTCGCCGGTAACCGCCGCTACAGGAAGCTGGCTCAAGGCCAGTCCGACACTAGTGGTCGACATGGGAACCTCCCGGATCAAGGTCAAGGTGGTCGTCTCGGTGACGGTCTTTTCGATGACGGAAGCTTGAACGTCAGTTTCTCCTACCGGAGCTGCGAGGACTAGCGATCGAGAGGCGGCGAGCGCGCTCAAGACGGAGAAGAGTACGTGAGGCTGCATGACTGAAAACGGACTATGGGGGCTTGAGGAATGTAGGAAGAGAAGGGTAGCGCCAGGCTCGTGGACATAGGATGATCGATTGAAGTTCCGAATCATGTAAACTTTGTTTATCGATAACAATCATGGGTATCGATCAGACCAAATATATACTTGTCTTCAGACAAAGGGAAAGTAATATCCTGTACCGACGCGCTTTCAAGCACACAAAGGATAAAGTTTGCCTTATGAAACAGGGTCTCTATATCAGGCGCAATCCAGTCCCTGTTGCCGCGCTCCACATTTGCTGCGAAGGGATCCTTTGACATGTTCCGCGCCGCCAAACAAGGGGCTCAATGATGATCTTTCGGGGGCCCAAATCAGGAGAAGGCCTTTGACAAGGGATCCATTTAACGTATCACCGGTTCCATATCACGATAAAATCTTTTTACCGTCGTTCATCGCTGAGCTGAGTATGGTGAGTCTTGCTACACACAGGATCTCGAAGCGAGACATATGAGCGAGGTCGCTTTCGGTAAAAGGGAAACCCGAATGTATAGATCCCCTACTGCCTCTTGGATTACAACCTCGCTTGAAAAGACGAAATCATCAACGCGATTAGACGAGTAACGATGTACTGATGATGAGGTACAAGTGATTATATGCGAGTGATCATATACGAGTGATTATATGCGAGTGATCATATACGAGTGATTATATACGAGTGATTATGTACGAGTCATTATATACGAGTGATTATGTACGAGTCATTATATACGAGTCATTATATACGAGTGGTTTTCTTTGATATGTAAAAGCTATTTCCTTAGCTAGGAAAGGTTGAGGCCGTACCTTTCGTGGCTCACGAAAGGTACGGCCTCAACCTTGCCTTTGCTATCATTATACCAAGGCACACAAGTAGGATATGGTTCTCCTGCGAGTATGGCTATCTCCTCCAAAGCCAACCGCACAAAGGTTGTGCAGTCGTAGCCACCGACAGTAGTGTAGCCGCCGGACGACGCTCTGTGATCGACGTCAAATCCATTAGCAGCCACTTGTGATATTGATTGTATCCAGATTCTTACATGTAAAGCCTACGCGCCGCCCTACTAAATGCGTTGTGCAACTGCAGTGGAGAGATCCTCAGGTCGTCGAAAGATCGAACATAGCTCTTCATAACATGACCGCCGAGAGGCTGCGCCGTCACCCAGAGTCTGTGTTGATCGCCTCCCTTGTAAGCGAGGTGGACGGTTTTGCCATTTTGCGATAATCGATAGGGTGCGGTAATCTGCTGTAAGAGTCCAGCTTCCTCGACTGTCAGGAACGCATGAGCGTCGCTATATCCAAAACCGATCCTATACGCAGATTCCATGACATCGCTGCTGCTCTCAAACAGGGCTAAGTCAGAACGCCTCAGGATTGCCGCTGTACAATACAGTGAGCTTTGAGCCTTTGTCAGCGATTTGTTATTCAAGCGCAGACGTACCTGTAGGCATTCTATTCAGCCCATTTATGGGGTCCGGCAGAATACTTGTCTTCGTAAAATCGGCATCCGAGGATACAGCGCAAGGCTTTGTGAAGAGCGTCCATCCATCTTAAACCATACGCACTATACGCCTAGCAAAACTGAAGATGATTCTTAGCATGGTCACTGTAACGTCACTCACCACCGCAATCTCTGATTAACTACCGCCACTGCTCGGCTGATCATGATTGACGAGAAAGGATGTTCGCAAATACAATGCATGATCTGGACTAGGGGTGGGACGGCAAGCGCGCGTCGCGCCGCTTCGATGCAGGCAGCGCCACATACATAACTACAGTCGCTGATTGGATTTCGTTCTGACTGCAGATGATTCATCCGATGATGTAAGTAGCAACGACATACGTCGTCGATTCTCTTTTCTTTTTCTGCGTCATATCCAGTCTCCTCACACTACTAAAGGACCGCGAGATCGATCGATCCCCTTCAAGACAACATCGAGATGAGACGCATCTTTCGCACCTCGTTACCGAATCTCAGTATGGTCACCCGTACTTGTTCTCACTGTCATCCATCAGCAAGAGAGTTTGCGGACCGACCGGTCATGCGAGAACTACCCTGGCCCGTGCAAGAATGTCGGTTGAACGGGCGAAATGTAGTAACAGGCCGCTACGGCCATCTCAAAACCTTTTACTCCGGGCTATCGGCCAACCCTGACGAGTTCGGGGCTCTGGTCCAGTACATAAGCGTTCATCACAAGGTCTACGAGAGGAAATATCAGGAATACATCATCATGCACGTCGTCCTTCAGGAACATGGCTACCTCATACAACTGGAGAGGTTTGAGCACAATGGCGGAATCACTAGCGAGCGAGTATTGTGGCAACGCGCAACGCCGGCAGGGCTAAACCGGATGATGGTGAGCTTGTTTGAAAGTGTAACTCACTACCTGATCGACAGTAGTCTCATGAGCGACAATCTTACAGATTGCTGCCACCTTCCGGATGGAAGTTGCTTCTCGACTGGAACTTGGGAAGGCTATCGAAATGGCGGTGGCCGTAAGCGCGGCGTCTGATTCCAGAATGTGGGCTCGAGCGATCCTCTATCGCCAACACCTGGCCGTTCCAAGCTGCCCCGTCGAATGGCGAGAACCCGCCTACGACATGACTTTCCCTACGTGTATCGCCATAGATGACTCGTCGCGTCTACGCGAAATCTTGCTGAGCGCCGACTTCGGGATGACAGTCCTGAACGAGAGAGAGAAGCAAGCTAAGGGTTATCTGTCGGATCTCGTCGACAAAGCGTTCAACTTTGTTCGTAAGGTCGGCCTAGCCGTCGATGATAACATCGAGTGGTACTTCATGATTCAGGCGGAGATGCCCACTTGCAACTCGAAATGGTATCGCGAGAACCATCTCAGTGAGTCAATGAATCCGAGTCAGCTGTTCGTCGAGAACGACTGGCCTCTGAACGACATTGAGCTGATGAATATGACGTCTTTCTCTTTTCAGTCCGGATACCGATATATGAGCTGGAGGCAGGATATCTCTCTTCAGTGCTACCGTCGTTACGACCTTATCTCGGTGAGGAACAACACTGCGCCAGTTAGACGTCGACGGGGAAAAGACCGTTGACATTGCCTCTCCCGTTTCGCGCTTCAGAACCCTTCCGACTCGATGATTAAGCTGCCCTCCTAGTGTACCCCTTCTGTTTTCCGATGGTAGGGGGTTTCAGATCTCAGATATTGGACGTCGAAGGGATCTGAAAGCCATACTCCCAATGTGGTCGGATGTAGGCTTTAATGGGCTGCGAGTTTTTTCTGTGATGAGAGCAAGGAGTCAGCGAATCTTGGGGATCACGCCACTCGAGGCAAGATCAAGATCGGCGTCGGATGTATTCATTTCCCTATTCAGATGATCTGGACGAAAGGCAGCGCCATATAGGGAAGTCCTCGGGCAATCGATCCTGAGCCTCCAGGAAAGGCTCGTCCGTGAACATTAGGTTGTGACGCGTCAACTCTTGGCTCCTGCGAATCTCATCCGATTTCACGGCTCAGGTTGAAGGGAGATATCGATCGGGCAACAGGGGGATGAGATGGCTATTCAAGTTACCATGGTCGGTTTAAATTGCATGCGTTTCACTCATACCTCCGGTAGCGGGGAAACGACCCGTCGAAACGCCTTTTGTTTCGAATTCATCTCGAGTCGAAAGTAAACCATGAAACATGGTAAGCTAGGAGTTCGCGCGTTTCAGAATCACGCGTTTCACTTCATTCTGCTATGAATCATGGTTGAACCTATGGCGAGAGCATTTCCCCGATACCACTTCAACCATATAAGGGGAAGTTAAACACCTGCCAGCATTGAACGCAGTACTCTCCCTATCTTCTGCTTCCTTTCCTGGGCTGAAAGGCCTTTTCAGCACAAAGGATCGGCTAGACCCCTGAAACAGCGCGCCATCCGCTTGGCAACCCTGTTTCGTGTAGAGTCCATAGTCTGACACTTGACAAAGGGAGTCTGTTCTGGACGGAGTACTTGGTTTAACAGAGAGATATAAGGGCCAGTCAACGTGATCACACCTTTCACAGATAATTCGAATTTCCGTGTCTCCCATCACCCCTTCTATTGGCAAACCTTCTCGCCTCCTCCTTCGTTCAACGGTTGACCAGGCTGCGCCTGCCCCATTTATCGCTCGTTCATACCAATCTCTCATTCACGCAACTCCAGCGCAGTCTTCGATTATGATTTACAACTTGAGCGCCGTACTTTTGGCGTTGTCTGCTAGTGCAGCGTTGATTCAGGCTAGTCCTGTGGAGGTGCAGAAACGCGCCGGAGGAGTAAGTGCAGAGTGCATCGGCTGGCGGAATCCAACCTGATATCTGCTTCGATGATCAAAGAAAGCGGGAGTAGGCTGGCCTCGACGATGTGCCAAGGAGAAGGCGGCGTCATTGGGATCTGGGGTGAGGTCATGCGAAGTGTACGGATTCGAGAGCGACGATACTGACGCTGAGAGCGGATTAGGACTTGGCTTGGTACTTCAATTGGGCGCCTAGCACCCCTGGGAACATCGCGGCCGAATTCGTCGCTACGGTTAGTAATCTTGTCGGCCGTGAGCCTTTGCCCATATTTGCTAAAGACGGCATTCACAACAGATCCATGACGATCAACCGCACGACTCGCCTGTCCCCCCTGTTCCAGCGGGCGCAGTCGTTCTCGGTTTCAACGAACCGGACCGTGAGTCCCATGTTGTAGACCCGCTTCCTTGCGCAATGCTGACTGAAAGCCTTCCCATTGTCAGAGTGTGGTCCCGGGCAAGCTTGTATGCCAGATATTAACACGGCTCTGGATTCGTGAGTTTGCGAAGTGCTGGGAAGACCTTGAAAGCTTCGCTGAAACTCGCCGCCTGACAGATGGATGCGAACTATGGTCCCGCTTGCCAACAATGGTCACAAAATCTGCTCGCCGGTCGAAGCCGGAGACAACGGTTGGCTCAAGAAGTTCATGGACGCTTGCAAGAATCGAGCAGGCTGCCCCATGCCCACTTGCGTCCGCGCTCATGTGTACCAGAAATCGGTCGACGCTATGGCTGGTTATCTCGTGGGTCCGCCGCACCAACGACCCGTCACTTCTAAGCTTACTAGACCGTTTCCTTCAGACCAAGGTTCACAACACCCACAACCTTCCCATATGGGTTACCGTCAGTATCACATCACGGTTGATTGATGAGACGTCTCTCGATGCTGATATTTTCTCTTGTTGCCTGGATCGTAGGAAATGGCGGACCACAACTTCGGAAGCGGCGGCCCACCTGACATCCAACATGTGCACGACTTCATGGGTAAGTCGCTCTTGAAAAGCACCCTACGTTGTCAAGGCGAAACCTAACGTACGAGAACTGGTTGCGTCTCGACGCAGGTGCCGCGACGGAGTGGCTCGACAACACCGATTGGATCGAGCGTTACGCTTGGTTCGGTGCTGGTGAAGCGCAAGACCTTTACGGCGTCAGCACCTTGAACAGGTTGCAATTCGACGACGGAAGCCTCACTGCTCTGGGTAGGCAGTACGTCGGAGGGAGGCACTCCTAAGGGAACCGTCTTGGTACGATGATCCTGGTGGACACCACACAGGTCATCTCGTGCCCCTTTCAATCGTTGTCTCTTGTATCGCTTGCCGCTTCCGCGCGTCGTAGCCTTGTCCAGCCTGCTTTGCGCTCTACGTCGACTGTGATTCCCTTCTATGAACAATTTCACTGCCTTGCGCAAGTCGTTGTCGTAAAACAATTGTCGTCATAATCGTTCCGGCGGTCGATCAAACCATTCAGTATTACAGTCACTCGCCCTTAGCCTCAGCAGCCGCCCTTTTCCTCGGCTTCGCTCGCGCCTTCTTGCTCGTCCCCGGCTGTCCCTGTGTTTGAGCCTTACGCTTGAGATCGGTCTTGGTCTCGACCTTGGGTTTAGGAGCAGTAACCTTTGGCTCGGGAGCAGGCTTGGATGCCGGAGGAGGAGGAGGAGGAGGAGGAGGAGGAGGAGGAAACGTGTAAGGGAGTTTGATCTGAGCCCTGATCTTCTGCTCCAGAGGGAAGGGGGCAGCCGGGATCGATTCGGGGACGACGATAGACCAGGTCGAGACCTCCGGGACAGGGCTCTGGACCTCCTTGATCGTGCGGGGGAAATAGGCGAATAGCTCTTCGAGCCACTTGGCTTTTGTTTCCCGGTCGACCCATCCGTCTCTATCGCACTGTGTGTAACCGAGCTCATGACAAGCCGTCATGATCCTGAACAAGTGCTCGTAGTCGTCGACGTCGGTCGCCCCGCCCCAATCTCTGGAATCACCGAGACTCATAGTATTCTGCCCGATAAACTCGTCGAGGTTCTCGAGGTTGTCCAATTTCAGCAATTCGGGTACTTCTCCCGTTATGGGATCATCTTCCTCGTATGCGTCTTCAGAGCCGAGGGAATAATCCGAATCTGGTTCTCGCTCGGATTTCTCTTCTACGCCGAAAGGTTCGGTCGGGAGGTCACACGTTTCTCCGGCCTTTATGCAGACGGAGCATCCGATGGGAAGGGATCTAAGGACGACAGTAATCAAGAAGAAACATTATTGGCGATCACAAAAAGATGGCAAAAACTCGCCGGCGACTTACGGGTACTTCGCGGGGTCGACCCTCAAGCAGAGACCGTCAATCTGCTGGCATTTCGTGCATTCAAAGCCTGACTTGGGCTCCCGGTACTGGATCGCCCTCAGCGCAATTTTGGCGGATTTACTGGGTGGCTCCTGCTGAGCAGCCATCTGATACACAGCTAGCATGCCAGTGTGGATATACTGGCCGGTAGCCGGCCAGCTCTGTGCATACTTGGCCTTTTGTAAGAGTTCGTCCAAGGTGAATTCGACCGTACTTCCGGGCGAAGATTCGAGCAGACGTCGAGTCAATTTGGTAGGGTGCTTTTGTATCTCGAATGAGTTCATCTTTGTAATAATATAGTGATGACTTGAAGTGGTTTGCTTTGCAGAATTTGCAGCAATATCGATCGATCAAAGGTAACAATTGAACCCTTAAGCTGAACTCATCAGGGACGTTGGTTGTCGGCGACAGCGCCTTGAACTGCGCGTCACGTGAAGAAGGTCAGGAAATGGCTCGATAGATCGGTAGGCTTGTATCTGTATATCTGGAGAATAACACGCTAGACTATGCGAGGCTCCAACTATCAGCCCATCCAGCCATTATAAGGCGTCCCGAACGAATTGGGCATCTCGTGAGCTCGATCAACGCTCGGCCATACGGCATGAGCAGGATCGCCGTTATAATCCGTCAACCGGCTGGAGAAATCGGGTCCGACGACCTGTTGTTGATGGGGCGAAGGAGGACGGCTGGGCATGAAGGACGCCAGCATATTTTCCAGCTCCATATTATCAAAGTTGACCGTTCCCATTTGCGGATTCATGCCCAAGTTCGTCGCGCCGCTGACTTCCATCGGGAAAGCTCCGAAACGAGGAGTTTGAGAGTCCCACTCGAACAAGTTGCCTAGGTTTCCGTAAGCGAGGTCCATTGCCGCTCGATCGTCGTGTACGGTCGGTTCGTGTACGTAGTTGTTGTGGAAGTTCATCTGCATCGGCACATCGGGCGACGTTATCGAGGGTTGCGAGGCGTTTGACGGGAACGGTTGAGGCGCAGTAGACGGAGTATTCGTTTGCACGTCGGTGGTGAGCTTTTTCACGACCCGATGTAGTCCGTGAGCAGCGCTTATGACTCCGGACGAGTCCTGGATTTCCATGGGAGACGGTACGATGCCAGCTCGTTTCTCCTCGAGCTCGGCTACAGAAGTGATGCGCAGTCTCAGCGCGAGATACGTTATTTACGCTTCGAGACCTCGAAAGGGACTCACCTAGTAGCTGGTTGATTACCCGTACAGAGCCCTTGGCAGAATGGGACATGTCTGCTATCTGACTGATCTGTGCTACTGCCTTTGTAACCTCTTTGCGCTTGATAAGTGCGTCGCCGGTCTCCAGATCGCCCGACGGGGTCCGAAGCAGGTCGATCAACACAACGACGGCTGCTACGGTGACTGTATATTCGCAACGGATTGATCAGTCTATACTGTCAAGGAGCAAATGACCACTGGGTCTCACCATAGAAGAGCGGCATCCACCATCTCTCCAAAAAGACAGCCGTTCCGAAATCGTCAGACATGAGCTTCAAGCAATTCCTGGCCGCCTGGATGCACTGCTGTCGAGAATAGTCGTACCTGCGACGAAACATGTACCTTGGTAAAATCGACTGCAGGATTGCGCGACACGCCTACTCACTTGCGATCTTTGTAGCCTCGCGACAACCATGGTCGATGTAGCCTCATCAGCCTCGATTGACCACTCAGGTTGATGATGATCTTCTCCCAGTAAAACACCATCATCCTCGAATCCTGAGGTGGCGGTTCCAAGTTGTCAAAGTCGCAGGAGAAAAATGCCGGGAGGTCCGAGATGGCTTTCCGCAGATCTGTATCGACGCTGAGGCTGTAGAGGGTACGAATCGTATAAGCTTCGGATATCGGGAAGTCAGCCAGATCATTGACTTACATGAACGAGTAGGGAGGATGAGGGGACGCATTCGCCTGCCAGATCTGCCGTTGCGAGATTTCGGCAAAGCGTAGTCGAGACAGCTGATACGACAGAGACGTTCGTTCGGAAAGTGGCCTCGGTCTCAACGGCTGGCCTTCAACAAGGTCCTCGTCGTTGATATTTGCAGGAAGCGCGGTTTTGACTATCGACGCAAGCTGAATCAGGCAGAGATCGAGACGCCCCATGGGTACCATCGCGCTCACTCTGATCGGGTTGGATACTGCTTGAAAAGTTGTATGACGGTGCCAGACTCCAGTCCATGAACACCAACTGAACATCCATCGGCTCGTAAGCGGCCTTCGAAATGAGATAGGTGGGCAAGGGGATTCTACTCACGTTCCACCAGAGCCGTCGACCGACTTCCCGCTTGATCAAGCTTTCCCAAGGCGCTTTCCATACCGGAGGTTCCTCGCCAGGCTGCAAATCCGGTTCGGCACCTAGTCTCGACAACCCCATGCCTTGACCCATCTGGCGAAATGATTGCAAGATCAACGACCGCGAACATTCGTAATTACGGCTGATCGCTACGAACCTTGATTGCCGCTCCCAACAGGCTCCATGCGGCGTCGGCACGATCCCGCGTGTTCAAGAAGATCCCCATGAGTGTTATCGTCTGTAAGTGCTCTATGGTGTGTATCGCCATAAAATCGCTTTGCCACAAGCTCTATCGGACACAATAAGAGTTACCGACTGATCATGCGATTCCGTCCGCCAACCAAACGACCAACTTACCCCTCGAGCCGCATTTAGCCACGTTTCGGGCAGGGTATCCCGCTCGTGCTGTGAGAAATGCTCGAGTGCCTCTGTCGGGTCCATAAAGTACAGCCCGAGCTATATTAATCCATTCGAATCAGCGAATGGACTGACTGACGAGATCCTGTACTTACGCAAAGGATCGTGAGGTACAGGCTGAGAAAGGGTGTATACACTTCTTGCACGATATTTTCGGGTGGCGTATCCCACATCTCTTGACATTGCTTCAGAAACGTCGGAACGTGAAGACCTGTCCGTTGCAAGATGCATCCGATCAGGTTCGCCAATCTTGAAGCGATCATAATATCGCTCAACTCACATCGATGAAGCCATTCCACCCGTTCCAAATACTGCTTGACCAACAACTCGCCGCGCCTTCGATCGGGCACCACGCTCAAGAGAGCTCTGACGTAGACGTCGCTCCGCTGATAGAACAGGCTGAATACCTCGGTGGGATCGAGCGAGTCTAGGATGGCCGAATTGACCTTGCTGCTCGATGCCTTATTCCTAGAGACCTGAACCTGACTCGGAGCACGGCCGTCTTTTACTCCTGACGAACCAGATCCATTCAGATCCTCTCCATTGGTGCCTCTCATCATGGCCAAATCGTTGGCAGCGATGAATCCAGCTGTCGAGCCGCTGAAAGACGCTCGAAGGGCACGTTCCATCTCGGCGACATCTTCCCTATTATTGTTATTGCTACCAGAGACGGACGTTCTCCTCGCCACGTCTCCTCCACTCTGCGGCACGAATTGGGAGGCCAAATTGTTCCCTGATGCTCCCTGACCGATATGACCGGGAGGTTGTTGTTGTTCCGTCTTCCTCTGCCCGAAAGCCAGGTGTTCAAGCGTCAACGCCGCACCCTCGGTATCGCTGTCGATATCCAAATCTCTATGTCTGTCGGACGACGACAAGGGAGCGTACCCGTGTGTATGCCCTGACGAACCGCCGGTTTTCAGACCGTTTTCCAGCTTGGGAACCCCGGCCGCGGTAAGGCTCGTCCCGATATGTGTATGAGCATGTTGAGACGACTTGGGTTTCGCCTTGGTCTGAGGGTTGGCGACCAGGTCGTCTAGCGTGCCGGGGGCGATGATGCCCGATTCCGCCAAGAGGGATTCGAGGACGGAGAGACGATGTTGCAGAGCCATGAAGTCCGTTGTGGATGCGCAGCCGGTTCTATGAAAGCAATGACGTGCAGATGAATCGGAAAGAAAGGCAGGTCAATTCAGGCTGGACCGTCCCATTTCCTCGATGCCTGAGCGTCAATCAGACTCACGTCGTCGGGGTATGTTTTTCCACCTCTCTACAGATACTCTGGTCGTTCCGCGAAGTACAGGGACCGCAAGGGAATCTACGTATTCGGTTCCGATCAGCCACTCTGTCTCGCATCCCCGCTGTTCAAGTGCCTCTGGAATGGGTACTTACTTCTTATCACACTTGATCTTCCTACGAGAAGACAAACAAGGGTCGACACCCTTATAATCAGCTGACCATCCTGGACACGAAACTCAAAAGTCCTGACCCTGCACAAGCGGAATATATGAAAGAAACAGGCGGGCGCCAAGGCTTACCTCCTCCGACACTCGGAACAACTCTGTACTTGTCTTCGTTTCTTCTCCTTCTCCTTCCCCTGACCTTGTTCTTGATTCTGAACCTGACTCTGACCTGGATTCTGACGAACCCCCAGATCTTGGTTTCCCATCCCGTTGTTAATCGAGGTCTTCCCCATGCCCATCCCAACACCCATTCCCTTCTGCGTGACTGGTACCGACGCCGACCCCTGCATCTGAGGATCGGTCGTCGAATACTTTCGTTTCTTCTGCACATGAACATGCTCCGTCGATCCTCCTCGACCAGGTCTAGGTCTACGATGTCCGACTCCGACCTCCCGGTCGCTCGTCTCATGATCTTCCAGGACCATCGGGTCTTCTTCTTCGTCCTGATCTTCTTCCTGGTCATGATCGTGATCGTTCTCGTGATCTTCTACATCTACGTCATTCTCATCGACATCAGCGTCAGCGTCGACGTCGGCTTCAGGATCTACGTCGGCGTCTTCGTTGTGTTCGTCGATATCGCCAGGATAGCGAGAAGGGTTTGAATAACGGAGATCTGGTCGGATTTGAGGCCGAGGTTGTTTCTGTTGAGCCGGGTATTGGTGTGGATACGGAAGTTGTTGTTGAGACTGAGGCGGTAACCGACTTGGAATTTGAGCTTTTTGTCCTTGTACCATCCCTTGTCCCTGCCCCTGTCCCTGTCTCACAGATCCCTGCCCCGACCCCGACCCTACACCCAGACCCATGTTCAGAGCCCCGATCTGACTCTGACCCAGGATATAATCGTACTGCCCATACCCCGTCATGATTGGCAACATCGACAAGTCCTGTTGGTTTACAAGTTGCTGTTGATGTTGATGTTGATGTTGGTGTTGATATCCTGACGAAGACGACGTTCTCCGCTGAGGAGGATGTGAAGGGACCGAGACGTTCGTGCTCGAAGCTCCTTGAGACATGGGCGGTGCTTTCGCCGTCGATGGGTTGGGTATGGACGGCCTTCGAAGGTTACTTTGGTTATAGCTTTGGTTGTTATTATGATTGACCGACATCCTGTGGACAACTTCCAGGTCGAACAGTCCGATTGCAGGCGTTTAGGTCGTCGGCCTGACCCTGACCTCAACTCAGCCGGTCCGAAACGATTGCGCACCCGTTGGAGACCTAGTGGGAGGATGGCGTGTCCTTGACGTCGAAGCAAGATTTCTCCTCGCTCGGCTGCAATTGTGACGACTCTAAGCTGTAACGAATACAATATCTAGGTATCTAGAGATGCTCTGTATCGATGAATTGAGAGTTGGAGTCTGGCAGGTCGACGTCCATGACCCAATGTGCCTCCGCAGAAATCGAGGTGGAGGTACCCGGTCGATCACCGGCAAGCGAGCGAGAATGCGGGGCAACGAATGACAGTCGATGCGTTGTGGTCATGCCCCTCAAAGACAGCCAATTCTCACCTCCTAGCTCCTCGATACACTATATAACAGCTATCTAAGCTAGATCCTTGGGTGACACGACCAGCCATCAGCCTGCACTCGGTCGATGTTGAGCCATAAAATACTGTCCAACATGTCCAGAGTGGTCTTGCGATCTGTGCCGTTCTCTTTCAATCACGTTTAGCGCAAAAAGGACGAAATACTTCCGTTCTCATCGTCGACCAGCTACCAGTGTGTTACAAAGTCCCTCACAAGAGGTCGAGATGTCTGGTGAAATATCGCAGACGCAGACCACGGCCCATATAATACTCCCTCAGTCATTCCGGCCACAGGCGGGACGAACCAGACGGTAAGACTCAGAGCCTCCTGAAGAGGGCGCTTTCGAGACGCAAGCGTTCACCCCGACGACCCAAGAGACACATTGAAATGCCTCTGCAGAGTGTTCAAAAAGTCGTAGTGGATTTTGAGATTTCTTTCGATGTCGAGGACTTCAAATAGGGCTTTAAGAATGTGCTGTTTCGCAGCGGCGAGCAAAGGTTTGACTTCCTCTTCGCCCCAAATTTCGATTGGAGAGGTGGTCTTGATAACAACATCAACAAAGGAGATAGACATGTTGTGCGTCTTATAGGGTATGCAGTATGTGAGCGTCTATAGGCTGTAGTCGAATTTGGACATCTAGATCGATCGAATGGGTACAGAGAGAACGAGAGATACATACATGCGCACGATCGTCAACATGCGGTCCAATTCATAGATTGATCAACCCTCAAATAGCACTGCCAAGAAGAAGTGTTTGGGTCAATCCAATGAGACGGACGAGGACAGCCTTGTCAGTTGCCTCGACGCGATAGCCCAGGACACATTTCTCTACATGCACAGGTGTGCTGGTGTCGATCCCAGTGACTCCCTTCAGTTGCAAGCGGCCCGAACCACTTCGCAATAGATCTTTCTCGATGTCTTTCAGCGCCCTACCGACCATCATGTGGTAGTTGCTCACGACGTTCTTTCCCTGACTCGGGGGATGTACGATGGCCGGTCTCCGGATGAAGACGCAGCCGTCTATCGAAGGGATCAGACTCGTCATACTCCTCGTCTTCGTCGTTGTCGGATTGACGGCAGGTAGCGCAAATCACCCGCTATGCTCGTGCATCTTCTTTGGGAGACCAACTTCCGAAGCGCGGTCGACCCAAGAACGCACGCATACGGGGAAAGACTCCTCAACTGGGACTCATGGACCTCTCTCTCCTGCAACTTCAAGCAAGCACACGGAAACATGTCCGAGTGAATCCATGGCCTACCATAAACAAACTCGACTGATATTGCAGACTCACCCCCACCGCTCTTTTTCGTGTTGTGCCGGGCAGCCTCTTCCGGTGGCAAGGTGAAGTAGCAAGACACCGTACGTCATATCTCGAATCACACACCCAGCATGCTTTAAAGTTCAGGGATCTTGTCAATATTATCTGGATCGACTGTTTTGAGGCTTTGTCTGATGAGTCTCGTTTTATTTTTTATATTCGCAAACGCTGGGATCGACGATGTACGTGGATTCAACGACAGCGCGTGGAAGGTGATTTCTAAGCTATTCCTACGGAAGACGAGATGAAACTGAACAGGTGGAACCGACCAGGGAGGACTTGACGATGATGCTCGGTCGAATTCGATGGGCGCGAGCGTTTATCCGAGCTTGATCGACTCTGACTGCTTGGACCGTCCAGATCGACTTTGACTGCTTGGACCGTTTATCTTGCGGTTCCTACTCCACAGCCCCTGTATTGATGAGCAGCAAACAAGACTTTGTGCCCGTGTGGATCGTCCTTTGCCGGTCTTCCCGGGTAGTTCTCCTTCCAAGTAGGTGTCATCAGCGCCCGACTAGTTCAAAGTCAGCTGGTCTACGATCTCGAATGCGTTATGAAGGGACCCGGGTGCCGCGATCAGGACCAGATCAAGATCTGGGCTGACTGTCTGATCGTCCGAGGATGCAGGAGTCGGTTCGAACAAGAGACATTGCGATGATGATCCGACTCAGACAAAACGACGCCTCCCTCTTTGAGATCTGCCGATCACTGATCACCGATCTGTCGTGTTGGCTTCTCTCCTCCTTCCCGAACCGGCGGGTGGCTTGTGGCGGAAGATGGCGGGATCTATTTTTACGTGATTGTTCCATGGAAAGAAAGGTACGCGTCCCGATTCATCAAATCAAGGTTTCAGCGGAAACGAGCAGGGAGGCCGGAAATCTGGTTCCTCGACCTGCATTTGTAAACAAAATGGCTCTTGTACCTTCTCCTCCTTCCCCCTGCCTGTCCCCTTCTCTATGACCCAGGGGTGGATCGCTCGGTCATTCAAAAAGCCTTCACGACTGGAGATCGCCTCGCCAAGGATGACAGCCACACGCAGAGATTGTGCCTATAAGGCAAAAGTTGGCAGACGATCATCGCCTCTTGTGCAAGCGAAATATCTTGGATGTCTTCCAAACAACTCGAGTATATACATCTTTGAGGCTTTCGTCTCCTAACATACCATCGGCTGGCCCGCGATTCCTTCTGGCAAGGACTCTTATTCAGCAACTTTCTTTTTCTGGTCATTATGGTCGCCTTGCTTCAAGTTCCGGCGATCGCCGCAACCACGCTCCTTTTCGCATTCGCTACCCAAACCACGGCTCTACCGAGCAATTATCGGCTCGAAACTAGAGCCACACTCGACCTTCCTACCGGCTGGACCGACGTAGGATGTGTCAAAGACTACTCTGCTCGAATCTTGTCGTCATACCAGACGAGCAGTAGCACGATGACACCGCGGTTCTGTGCAAACACCTGTCGCGGTCTCGGTTATGTGAGTTTTGGTTCACGCTCATCAAAGTCTAGTGTATGAGCGAATACTGAGCGGACACCTGCGTTGCATATCACAGTCATGGTCGGGAACTCAAAACGGTGTCCAGTGTTTCTGCGCGAACTCTGTCTGTGGGTTTCGCTCGAGTTGCGATCGATATTGCTATTGCCTTGAACAAAACTGATCATCGATGTCGTTGACTTCGCCCTCACAGCTCGACAAGACGTCTCGACCGGCTGCACTTCGACGTGTTCTGGAGACAAGGCACAGACATGTGGAGGAAGTTGGAACATGAACCTCTATAGGCATAGTTCGGCAGTAACTACCACCGCCGTATCCGTACAGCCGAGCACTTCCACTTCTAGCAAGCCGACTACCTCGACGGTCGTACAGCCAAGCACTTCTGTCAAGCCGACGAGCACATCGACTTCCACACGGCCAACTACGACGGCTCAGCCGACCACTACTTCTACCTCGGTTCGAAGCAGCACAACCGTCAAATCTTCCACTTCGACCCAAGTACCCACCAGTACAAGCGTCAAGCCTTCTATCTCGACCCAAGCAGCGGCTAGCACAAGCGTCAAGCCCTCCACTTTGACGTCCACGGCGGTATCGTCGATCTCGACCTCGATCGCTTCTTCGACTTCGGCTGCGCCTGCTGCCTCTGCTACGGCAGTGAACATCAAGATAGCGAGCAGTAACACCGAGAAGAAAGTATGGGCTCAGTAAGTATCACCTGTCTTTCCCGCTACACTGCCAATTGCTGACACATCCGAATTGATAGCCATATGGTCGGCAACACCTACCCATTCACTTACGATACCTGGGTCGACGATATCACCCGAGCGCAGAGCGCTGGGATCGATGGATTCGCCCTGAACGTCGGACCTGATGAATGGCAGCCTTCCCGGGTTGCAGATGCGTACCGCGCAGCCGCTGCCCTCGGCTTCAAGGCAAGTTGAATGAAAAGGGGAACCTGAATCATGCACGAATCGCGGTCTGATCTTGTATCTTTGTGGGAAATTGTAGATGTTCTTGAGCTTTGACATGTCTACCTTCAACTGTGTGACCGACGAGCGGATTGTCTACTTCCAGCAATACATCTCGACATACCTGACTCACCCGGCCGCCGGAAAGTACAACGGCAAATCGATCTTGAGCACGTTCGGTAAGCGACTGACTTTGGTATTTGTGCGCAATGTCGAATTTCGGCTGATATATCTGTGCGGGAATATTCTGGACAGGTGGAGAATGGTGTACATGGAATCAGGGTAGCGGTGTAGATGCCGTCAATAAGGGATGGTCGATCATCATGGGCAGGTATAGGAACAACACCTATTTCATGCCTGCCTATACCATGGGTGATGGTCCTAGTAAGTCGGGCCTTTTACGACGCCATTTCGCGCTGTCGCTTACGACGAAGCTACTTACTCTCAGGGAGCTTGTCGCAATACGATATCGATGCCGAAATCAACGTGAGTAGCTTCTCCTTCATGAACGATCGGAAACGTCTCACTGATGTCGTCTGTGAATCTTTGACAGTGGGGCTGTACGTATGGGCCTGATCCGTACTGAGGACGGTCTGAAACTGACATATGCTCTTGCCATACAGCTGCTTGGCCTAACGGTGATACAGACCTGACTCTGGACAACGACAACTACTGGTTGAGCTATCTCCCGAACCAATACGTCGCCACGGTCTCGCCCTCGTTTTTCACACACTTTGGCTACAAGGTAATTTTGAAATCTCCAACTCGTTCACATCTGGAATACTGATCGCTATCCTGTTGTCTAGAACTGGGTTTACCGAAGCGACGACTTCTTGTTCTCCCAGCGATGGGAAATGCTCCTCGCTACGAGGGACCAGATCAGTCAGGTGGAGATCATCAGTTGGAACGACGTGAGTACCGTTGATCATATCAGGCACGCGCTGCTCCCTGAAACCGCAACCTTTCGCGAACAGTATGGTGAATCCCATTACATCAACGTCATCAACGGAGACCAACCTCCCGAGAGCAAGGTCTGGACCATGAACCCTGACAGTGAGTCGTGCCTGTCAATGAAGTTCTAAATCACAATTCCAACCTTTTCGCGCGCTATAGTCGATCACACTCCTTACTTGAGCCTGCAAGCATTCTACTCGGCCGCTTGGAAGAACGGCGCCGTACCAGCCATCACGCAGGACAAGGTCTGGTTGACCGCTCGACCTCATACCATGGCAGCCATCGGTACTGCTGACTCGGTTCCTCGACCTGATGGATGGGACTTGGTGAGCCCTTTGACCCGCCCTTGCTTGCGGGGTGAAACGCGAGCTGAGATCCTATCGCAAAATACGTTTGTAGCAAGACGACGAGTTTTACGCTCAGGTCCACTTGAAAGCGGACGCCAGCATCGTCGTCTCGACGAAATCGGCTAGTCAGACGCTCTCTGGAAAAGCTGGTATCAACCGTGTATCCATGCCGCTCGAGGTAGGCAGTGGGATCAGGATCCAGGTGGTCAGTAGTACAAACGTTTCGAGATCGGATTTTTGACAAGCAGATCTGATGAAACTCGATCGTTCGGTCTTGCTCAGGTCCGCGGTACTTCGACTGTCATCAACCTAGCACCTTCCTTTACCTTTACCGACAAGCCTGTTACCATCAGTCATAGTAAGCCGAGTAGCTAGTTATATATTTCGATATCTCGCTCACCAGTTCTCGCCCCGCAGATTACCTTATCTGGCAGAGCTAGAATTGTTGCCGTACGCCAGGCATGTCCTGTATCATATAAGGATAGAATACTACATCTCGCCAGGAGGACAACTCGCTACCTGTATCATAGCATCAGTCACTCGTTTATATAATCATTTGACTCTCTTCCTCTTCCCCTTTCTCCTCGCTGACGTATACCCGGACCCGATGTTCAGACCTAGGTCGTTCCGGCTGAGCTTTTGGCAAGCTCGTAGTAATTATCGATACACAAAGTTTACATAAGAGATCAGGCAGCACTCCGAAACGGGAATCGAGTGTGGCGATCTGGGCCTCCGTCTATCGATTGCGATATTCGAATTTCCCGCCTGTTCGCGTTTCCTGCCCTGTCGGACACTCCCCACACGTCGACGTCGCCATCAGTCCCGATGGCCAACCCGGGCAAGTCCGACTAAGTGGTCTTCTCTTCAACCGGGATCGCATTGGAGGGGCCGGGAATTGTCGCCATCTCCAGAGTTGCCAGGGGAATAGACTGAGAGAGGGATTGGACCGGTCAACTCGGAACTAGTCAGCGGACCCTGTACCCTATTCGTAAAGCTTATCGAACACAAGGATGAATAGAAGTCCAAACTCGAATACAGCGATGGCAGTTGCAAAACCTAGAGCAGCCTCGGTTGCTGGGACCCTTCATTGCCCGTCCTCCGAAAAGATAACAGCCTGAGCCAGAAGCGCCGTCCCGACCGCCATAGCCGATAGGAAAGCCCAACGGGTTTTCTCCAGGTCCGTGAGGTGTGCGAGCGAACCACCTTGGCTAGACGGTTGGGACGTCGAGCCTGAGAGCTTATTGATGAGCCGCACAGGAGCCCCGTTGTAGATCGATAGGATCGCCTGGATGATCAAGAGCCATGCCAACGTCGGGTACGGGTGGGGCGGTAGAGGGATGCCTAGGAGATAAGCCGCCGCGGCGTAGATCAAGGCGACTAGCAGTAATCCTTCAGATACTCCCATTGCGCAAGGTTCATGCAGATTCGGAAGGGGATTGACTGAGGAGGTGTTGAGCGCTGGGACGGATTATCGCTTCGATGATCATTCAGATGCGTCATGTGCGTCAGACGATTTCACGCCCTCGTCGCCCTTGTCGCTCGCTCGGATCCGATCGTGTTCGCCCGGAAGCATTATCGGAAGCTGATATAACGGCAATCGTGACGGAAGCATTTTGAATCGGTTCCGTCCTTTCCCGCCGAAACGATCGCCAAGTGCCGTACGTCGACGTTTATCGAAATGTTCATCGTCGACCTTGATCGATGTCTCCAGTATCTGTGGATCTGTGGCCATTGTAACGATCAGCCACAAATTAAGAGGTACAAAGACCATCTACCCCACAGTTATTGCATTCTGCGATCTTGCCGGCCACCAAGTCAGACCGCGATGGACGATCGCGTCGCCGGCGGCGCTGGGACCGAACGTGCGGATTCATATGATCGAGAGGACGGGACACCTTTCAAGAGGAAGAGGTTGACAGTGAGGCGTTTCTCCGACCAAGTTGCTGATCTAGGCATACCTGGCGACGAAGTGAGGTTGATCTGACTCCCTTTGGCCTTCCTTGGTTTCGTGGTTGTTGGTAGTTAGCTTGTCTACCTTGGTGAGTTGCAGCGCGAGCCTTCTGCTTTACCTGTCTCATCGTATCATCGCTCACCAATTAATCACGCCTCAAAATCTTCGACCTATCTGAAGCAAACGCCGTAAAGCCAAATGCAGCAAGACCCGGCCTTGCACCACCTGCGTCCTCCGTGACGAAGGCGATCGATGTGAATACGATGATGGCACGGCGTCCACCCCTGCGCAACAGCTCGTCACGTGGGACCACTTCCTCTCGCTCCAAAACAGGTTGGAGAGGATAGAGAACATCTTGGAGATACCTGATGGGCCTTCTGGGAGTGCGAGTGCCGCCGGGGGTCATGAAAGCGGGACACATCGCGACGTACACGGCAATATCAACGGGCTCGCGACAGGAGGCTCCAACTCCCCAAGTAATCCCCGGAGTCATCCTCATGCTCATCGCCATGACGATCCTCCTTCCCAGAACCAGTTTATCAAGCGTTATCACCGTCTGAACGAGCTCGAGGATGCCGCCAACACGCTGGAGGAACTCGCCGTCGCCGGTACACAAGCGAAATCTCCGAACGAGGTGAAGCCGCGAGAGATCGGCAACGGACCATATCGAGACCCGCGAGCACAACCATATCCATATGCACCGCCGCGGTTTCTAGAGCCGGAACAAAGACTCCCGGATCAACACCCTCATCTCATGCTCTACAACCAAGGTCAACGGGCAATCTCGCCCGACCTCGGCCTCGGACCTGCAGGCCAATCTCAGACTGCCCTCTCGTCCTCTGGTTTCCCGACCCAGGTTCTCAACCGAAATCAAGTATCGAGCACGAATAGAGTACCCTCGTTCCAGCAAAATTCTCAGCCAACAACTCCAGCGACTCAAGCGGCACCGTTGTGGCCTTCGATAGCTTGTCCGCCCGAATCTTTCAAGAAGGGCGATATCAGGTGGATGAGGAACATGAACGAAGTCTTGCAGGCTATACCGGGTAATCAAGTCATCATCCCGTTGGTCAACGAGTTCTTTCTCGAAGCTAGGAGGTCTTGTGAGTATCCTTAGAGAGTGCAATCGATCGTTCCCATTTCTCGCCACCTTCTTCATGGCTTCGTTCCTCGCTTCACGCTTCCTCTTCCCATCCGCCACCTCTGCCATCCTGCTGATGCGCTGTATATACGGATTGCGTGACGACGACTCAGGGCATCCGTTACACGAAGTTCTCGTCAGGGAAGAGTTCCGGCAGTTCTTGACCCATCGGTCAGATCCTGGGTTCGCCTTTGATCCAGCTTGGCTAGCTCTGTTCTGTTCGATGCTCTGGTCAGTCCTGTTCCCCTGTTACTAGCGCGTGCCAAATCAAGCGATGATGTAGGAAATCCAAGGGCTGAAAAATCTCGATCTATTGGCATGGGACAATCACAGTACGAGCGCCATCGATATTCAAGACAATCCCGCCTCGTTTTCTGCCAGTCCGATCGAACTTCAACGGATGGACTTGTCCAGGCTGTCCAAGGACCTTCTATTGGCTTCGGACACCGCGCTGCTATGCTCGGATTGGATGATGAGGCCGCAGATGAGGGTGCTCTATACGTACCTTGTGAGAGTTTCCAGATCGTAAGGCGAACAGTGAAGGCGTCTACGAAGAACGGTCGCTAATCGAGCGCAAACGTCGATAGTGTCGATCTCGAGATGATGACAGGAGTCGTCCCCGGTGCGTATCAGACAACGATCGTGGGGACCATGGCTGGGTGAGTCTGTCCTCATTCGTGCAGTATGGGCTGCATGCCGACCGCGACACGTGGGCAGGATCTGCAAACTCTTGAACCTGGATCAACTCGGCTCGGATCCTCTCAAGATGCCGGACGACGATCCCATGTTGCCTCCCGGATCGAGCACGCTGAAACGTCAGCTCGCCTGCCAAGCTTTCAACGCCGTCTTTTTCTACGACACCTTTAGCGAATTTCGGCAGGGTCTCAATCGGAACAGCCTGTCATACGCTTTTGTTGCTGGTAAGTCGGTCATGCCTTTGCTCTCGAAGGACTTTCGAACTGATATCGAGGAGCTCCATCGGTATGGACAGGCTCTTATACAACCGAAGCCAGTCAGAATTTCAAGGAGACGATGAATACCACGTCAATCGTGCCCCCTCGCCCGTTGACCGAATACACGGAAAACACCTGGGAAGTGCACAAGCATCGGCTCGCCATGCATTGGCGCCGTACTTCGGAAAACTTGGCGGTAGGTTTCGGTAGCAAGACGTACGAGACGTTGTTAGCTCGGGACGCCGAGCTCCGTGAAGAGCATCGAGAGTTGTTGGACATCGAATTTGTCGGAATAAATCCCAACGATACCAGTTTCGGGGTTATGGACAGGTACGTGATTTTGTTATCCTGTCATCTTTTGGACGCGATCGAAAGTTGACGTACAACATGGCATACGCCTCGTCAGTGGATATCATCAAAGGTTCCTGAATCTCCATCGACCCTTCCTCATAAGGAGTTACCGCGAACCGAGGTATATCTACTCGCAAAGATCATGCGTGGAATCATCGTTTCGCATTACTTCTCTGCATCGCGAGACATTCTCTCGACCGGGACTCAAAGGTGGGCGAGAGATGCAGCATGGTGAAAATCCGTGGCTGATAACGCGTCTGTCATAGCATGGTACCTGTACCGCCACCACCTGTCTGCCATTACGGTGCTCTTCATCCATGCTCTACACACACCATATGAAGTACCTCGGGTCAAATCGGAACTCAGAATGTCGCTCGAACTCTTCGAAAAGTCCAAGGTCTGCAAGCTACCGTCGATCATCAGGGCCGCAGGGAGAGGCGACAGCATCATCTTGGCCATGCTGCAGGTCAGTCCATATCGCACGACCGAGGTTGTACTGCTGATGTCGTACGGCTGACCGAACGGTTTGGTCACGTACAGATGCTGGAATCACCCGAGCGAAGCGCGAAATCGATCGAACACATCATGAAGGATGTGGTCCGCAACGTTTCGACGCCGAAAGCGACCAAGAGCAACGCGCCATCGACCTCGACTAGCAATCCGGCCTCGCAGGGTCCATCGCCCGAGGCCCAGGCCGATCCCGTCAACCCGGTCGCTCAAATGTTCATGTTTGACGATACCGACCGCATCCTCCAGGCGTTCGAGACGAGTCAGACCGTCGACGAGATGAGCGGATGGATACCGGCTCGGCTGGATCCGACGATACCTTACGAGACCGATCAGGATCTGTTGGCGTCGATGTTAAACTGGCATGCGGCAGGATCGTGAGTCGCTTATAATGATGTCTTCGGCGTGAAGCGGTTCCAAAGATCGAGCTAACACCGTCGCGTCAACCCAGGTATCCTATTGGTCCTTTGGAACCGTCCGTCTTTAATCAGAGCACATTTTGAGCGGCAGGGATGCGGACTCGATGGCGGCTATTCGTTGCAAGCGGAAGTTGTTTCAGCATACAAAACAGGAGAGTTCAGAATACTCTCTGCTGATCGTCCCCACCCCAATTCAGGTCATGGAAGTCTATTGGATACCGAGTTCTTCACCGCTGTATGGGTTGCACAAAGGTGTGACTGCAAGGTGATCCAGCCAAACGGGGACTGAACAAAATAATATGATGACGATCCTAGTCCACTCGTTTCCATGTCCGTCCCTCCCTCTTTGTTTACTTTTTCGGAGGTTGCGCCAGCTTGATCACCCTCGCGACGGTCTGTCTGCTTCTGGCTTCTGGTACAGTTGTACAACCATTGCTGTCTTCTTACATTTTGAGGTCTCCCATAAAGCTGAGCTGGAGAGTAGTAGTAGATACTTCGCCACTTTTGCCCAAACATGGAGAAATACAGCAAGTGGAGGGTGGGTACCGGTCTTTTTTTTACTACCCGCTTGACCTCTTGCTGACCACGCAACGTGAGCAGGACGCCGGTACGGGGGTTCAACCTTTCCTACCACCAGTATCATCATCTGGAGCACCGATACCAGTACGAGCATACAAATCTCTAGCTTACATCGTAGCTACCTTCAAGTTGGCTGTGCTGGTGGTAATTGGAATAGCCTATGCGCTGGTAGTAGCTCTTCCGGAGACGCTGTTGGTGAGTCTGGTCTGAGATCCTCCAAGTCATATACACAGGCTGAAAGCGTCGGTCTCAGGGCTGGGATTCCGGATTGATACCGCTATTGCTAAAATGGCCAGCAGTTGCACTACTACGACTTGCTCTACTGTTCATGGGCTACATCAATATCTCCACGGAGGTGGTTTCTACCAAAAGAGGGTCAGTATATACAAGTCAGTACACGTCGAGCTGATAGACTTATGTACACCGTTCGATCGCCCACCAGACGTATGAAGAGTAACCCTGCTATCAGACCGGTCAAAGGAGATCTCATCGTGGCCAATTGGACGTCGTACATTGACATCATCTACCTTGCATTCCGGTGAGGACTTTCCAGAACCGCTTCGCTTGACACGATGGCGATGCTGACTATGAAGGCTCGACCACCACAGCTTCAGCCCCACGTATGCTTTACCCGTACATGCACCTCCTGCGCTGGATCCTTCGAAAAGCGTCAGCCTGACAGGCCGCCAAACCGGTACCGGATCTTCCAAGATCGACCTCCCCTCCATCTCGGCCGTCCCTAGCTCTCCTCTGCTAGGCTACGTCCCAGTCGGGCTCTTGACAATGATCAACCTCACCGGTCATACTCCGGCTCATACCTTCGCTACTCGGTTCTCTGGCAAGGACGTCAAGCTGTACAGTCTAAAAGACTTGTGCGACAAGGCGCCTGGACCGGTCGTCCTGTTCCCCGAGGGTACGACGACCAACGGCCGAGGACTGCTTCGATCGAGCGAAGGACTGTTCGGGACGGAAGGTTGGGAAGTTCCTGTCCGCCAACGAGCCGTATGGATGTGTTGGTTCAAGTGAGCTACGACCACGTTGGAGATCATTTACGCATCGGTATCATGCTAAAAGCTTCGGTTCTTCTCTGCATAGACATCCTCCTCCTTCGGAATTCTCCCCCTCGGCGACCTTGTCTATACCCGACTCGTCCTCTTCGACGAACCCCCTCTCGCACCTATTCCACTCGCTCCTCTGCACCATGACCACCCGTTCTCTGACCGCCCGATGGCTCCATCCAGACTGTTCGCCCAGCAGCGGGGACTTCCTACCCAGCGAAATCCTCGGACTCAATACCGGCTCGTCTTCAGCTCAGAACAAGAGCGTGTCTCGCTCGGCTGGGAACATGCAGAACGACGTCCTAGCTCAGTGTCTGACGTTGATCATGCTCCAGCTGGGCCGGGCCAAGCAGATCGGGATGGGCTGGGAGGACAAGACGGCGTTCTTGGACTTTTGGCGGGAGAAGAATAGGCGGATCGGCAAGACGAGCAACAAGACGGCGGAGAGCGCTCGTTTGAAAAAGAGGAGATGATCGGGTGGATGGGGCTTGGTTCTTACGTTTCTCATGTAAGATTGAGGTTTCTCCTATATGATTGCTGTTTGGGGAGGGGACGCTTTCGCGAGTCGGGCTGTGTCTTCGTCCCCCTTGCCTCCGATGTCGCCCTACTGCATACTGAGGGGTCCGAGTACCCTTCCGCCCTTTATATGTGTTGAAAGAACGCAACGTCCGTGTAAAGAGCCATTTCGGCGAACCAGATGGCATCGGGAGAGGTGCAACGCTGGCATCCTTGTAGCGTTTCGTGTCGCCCGCTCCTTCTCGCTTACCAACGCTGTTCATGTATTAGATTCGATGAACTGGATTACGCACATCGCAAGAGTTGCCTTGCGACCCCGGCGCATATGAACGAAGAAGCATACATGCATCCGGATGTTTGCGTTCGGTCCCTTGAAAGACGGCAACTACAACCCACTAATCTACACACTAAAACCTAGAAATTCCTCCAGAGCTTCTTGGCAAACGAATCCTTGACCAACGGTGTACCATCATCGGCCAGCGAAGGCGTCTCGTCCTTTTGATCATCGAGATCTCGTCTCCGGCCGTAATCCAGGTCCACCTCGGCTGAACGGGCGAGTTTGGTCTTGAAGGCGAATTTGTATACGACAAAGATGACGGGGAAGAGCGGGAGGAGGATGTATGCGTCGACAAAGTTGCCGGCGTTGAAAGGCGAGAGGGTCGTCCAGCCCTGGACCAGTGCGAGGAAGCACGTCATGAACAGGCCAAAGTAAGAGAAGTAGGGGTACCACAGCGCCTTGAAGGGCAACTGATCGGGAGTCCTTCCCTGGACTTTCCAAGCGCGTCGGAATCGAATGTGCGTGAAGCTGCAAGATTTCGAATACCGGGTTAGCTTTTGGAACCCTTCGTCTCGGGACCGAGATGCTCAAACTCACCTGATTCCAGCCCAGACCAAAAAGGTCGACACACCACTTAAGTTAACGATGTAAGAGTAGGCGGCGGCGGCACCGGTGCTCAAGTTCATCAACGAGAGACACCCGAACAGGTTGGTCGCCAAGACGGCCCATACGGGAACACCTCGCTTGTTGACATATCCGAGGATCTTAGGGGCCATACGTTCCTTGCCCATGTAGCACAAAGTCCGGCTACCGATATAGATCGAACTGTTGACCGCGGAGAGGCAGGTGACGAGGATGAACGTGTTGATCAGATGGACACCGCCTTGCCAGCCGGCTTGTTGGATGGCGATGGTCATGGGCGACTTGAGCGCACGAGATTCACCGTTGATCAGTCCCTCTGCGTTGGCGGGACAGGTCGCACCGAAGAACAAGGCGCTGCCCATGTAGACGAAGAGGATACGCCAGAAGACTTGTCGGATGGCCATCGGGACGGCTTTTTTCGGGTTCTTCGTCTCTGCGCTCATCAATGCGACAGATTCAACGCCGGAGTAGACTATTATCAAGAATTGGTTAGTTCAGATCGACAAGGGCCTTCTTTGTAGGTCGAGAACAGGCGATGTACTCACAAGTACTGCAGAAGACGAACACCTGAGCGACTCCTCGGAACCCATTATTATTGAAAGCGCCGGGGTCGTTCCAATATCTGAACCCGACCTTGTCCCCGTTGACTCCTCCGCTCATGTAGACGATCGAGAAGATGAAATAGGCACAAAGGCCCAGGATCTTGGCCAGAGCCAACCAGAACTCGACCTCTCCGAACGTCTCCACACCGAGGAGCGCGAACGCGAGGAAACTGAACCAGAAGATGAGGAAGTAACCCCATACGGGGACTTTGTCGCTCCAAAAGCTGAGGATGGAGGTGAGGACGTTGTATTCGTTGGCGAGGACGCAGACGAAGACGAGCCAATAGTTCCAACCGACGGCTACTCCGAAGGCCTTGTCGACGAATCGGCCGGAGAGGGAAATGAATGCCCCTCCGGTAGGGTAGAGGGTGGCGAGTTCTCCGAGAGATTGCATGATGGACAGGGCGATTATTCCGATGACTCCGAATCCGATCAAGAGGGAAGCTGGGCCTCCGATGGCCAAGGCGCCTCCGGCACCGATGAGCCTGAACGTTTTGATGACCAAGACGCGGTCAGTCGACCGTTTTGGACAGCAGGATGCGACGAGCAGGGAAATCTGCTTACAATCCTGGTCCGATGATTCCTGCCAAGGCGAGCATACTGTAAGATTTACCAGCCATGTCAGCAGAGTGTCGCCTGTTTCTGCGAGAGACCACACGAGTACTGACCTAATATGTCTTGTCGCCAATCCTCGTTTGACCCCCGAGTCGGGATCGATGGACGAGTAATCCCCTGACGATCCATCGGTAAAGTCATTGTCGTCCGCCTGCGCAGACAGGTAATGGTTCTTGTCTCGTTCCTCATCGTATGTCCCGGCCTTGTCAGGCGAGACGGTAGGTCGTAATGTAGCCATCGCGGATTCGGACCTTTATTGCAGTCACGTCTTTGGATCGTCGAGGATGTGACAAGTGTGGGCAACCAGGCTAACGCGACAGGTGCTTGAGTTGAGGAGAGACAATGAGAGGAACCAGGAGGCGAGAGCGTCGATCATCTTGCTACACTTGCGTGTATATAGGCCATGGACAACCTCAGACGCAAATTCCTCGCTCGATACCCGCACAATGGCCCTGCCGCTTCGGGAATCGGTTGATCGGGGGCGACTGAGCACGGCGATCAGGCGATGATGATGAAAAAATGGCGCAATCCCGAGAGGAAAGCACGTGTTTTTTCCTTCCCCCGTCATGTTCCACCTCGGCAAGGGCGGGAGCTGATAATCGAGAACTTTTGACGATCGCCGATGTCGCGCATTCATTGTCGATATCAAACTTTGCTGCCTTCATTCGTCACAGCCATTGACTTCAAGCTCACCACTGTCAATGGTTGAACACAATGAATAAACCATGAGAAGCCGTCCGGTATCATCATATACTAGGACGGGAGACGCTAAAACGGCCGTTCTTTCTGCACACTGAACTATCGTCATTCATACAAATGATTTACTGCACAGTCAACATCGCATCCAGATAGAAGTTTCCTTCGATTTGATAAACATAGTCGAATACACACTTGACGTATGAGACTCGTCCTTTTACAGCTACGGCTTGTCTATCCCTGATTCTGATGGGGGTTCCGATCTCGAATAGCATCCTGCTTTCACGACCGCTTCTACCAGCCACTCTTCTTCAGATAGGCCATCGCTTTGTTGACCCCAATTTCCTGCCCGAGTGATACCGGAGAACTGCGTGATCGGGGCGAACGAGAAGCGCGGGTCCATCGAGCTGTCTTCTTCCTTGGTAAACACCGTACTGGACGCCGGATCGAGTTGATGCCTCTTTTCAGCACCACCTGTGTCTGAGTATGACTGTGCAGCAAGCACTTGAGGCATCTCGTTTCCAGAACCCAGAGGCGCGATGTAAAAGAGCGGCCTCGGCTTGATCAAACGGTATATCGGGTGGGTGGCAGCATATGCGCAAAAATACGAGACAAGACTGGCAGGTTTCGGATTGACGGTCCATCGACAGTCTAACCTCTGCCGAGCGCATGGAATGCATTGATCCCGCCAACGTGAACCGTTGCTGAATCTCAATTCGCACGTTTCACCAGTAAGATGACATCCATCGCAAGGGTTCGCAGCTGTGATCGGGTGCAGCCAAGCTTGTTCGATCTCTCCATTCCGGCACGTGTAAGCTTGGCCAAAGCATTGCTCGCGGTTGCAGCAGACTCTGAGTCCCTTGTAGTACAACAAGCAAACAAAGGTGCATCGTAGGTCGTTTTCCTCGCAAATAGAACACCTCTTAGACGCAAGGAAGTCGTTTTCCATAGGATCCCGGAGAAACTCTGTGATGTCGGCCTCCGAAGTGATTCGTCGGAATGTCTCCTTGTAGATATCGAATTGACTCATGACGATGGCGCATTCAAGAGTATGTCAAACCGAGTGAGGGTATATCAGTACTTCTGCATTTCCTTACGGTCACCTTCAGCCTTTTCATTCGTCATCAACCATGGCAACCACTGCTTGAAACGCCGCTGGCATATTCCTTTGTCCGTTGATCCTCTAAGAACCTATGGGAATATCGAGGAACCAGTATGGCAAGGTGACTATTCGGGTACTGAGCTACGGAGGCGGTCGAATGAAATATGGAAGCAGGTTGGTTGTGGCGATATGCAGACAGTGATCACGCCTGAGCTGCCCGAGCGCGATGTAACGGGGTATTTCTTGACGATTCGTAGCGGACAAAGAGGATGTCAAACATACAGTCAGAGAGTGGAGTATTCACTAGACAGTCGAGAAGCTTGCAAAGACTGAAACGCCAGTCGTGGTTGACATCTCCTTTGTTGACGTTTCAAGGGGAAGCGAATGATGCATTTCCTTTTTGAGCATCGGTCCGGGATTCGCTATGACCACGACCACGGATAGATTATAAGCTCGACTTCACTATTCTGATCTCTTCACCAGATATTCCAGATAATCACGAGTATCCAAGCGAAATAAAGTACATCCTTTCTGCAACATCCATCGCCTCACGACCTTCTGTTTACGATGTGTGTGTTCACGTGATGTCCCCCTTACGGGGTTGCAATTAGCATGGCCCTTCCCTTCCTCGGGTGACTACATGGCTTGTGTCCAACGCACGTAGGTATGTATAGTAAGTAAGCAACGTAACAGAAAAAGCCAAGTGTCTCGTTAGTCTAGCCAACTCGGGACATAGGGTGCAGTGACGACACGGAATGACTGCCTTTGCCCGAATTGGAACTGTCCATAGTCCCCCCCTCGTATCGGCTGGTCGAGCGGGGTCCCTCCTGGGGGATTGATCCCATCGGGCGGTAGCTTACAAGCAAGCGTGGCAGGGGAGTGCGACCCGTGGCTGGGTCGTTAACTTCTTGTGGGTAACTTTTTCTTTTTTGACTTTTTTTTGATCGAGCCGATGTTCGTGTTCATTGTACTGTACTAAAACCTGCTACCTGGCCATATCACAACCAGTATATCATGGCTCATATCTCACTGCCATGATCGTCACCTCATGCCATATGGCCAAAAGCCGACGAAAGCTCGTTGAGGGGAACACATACACTTCATGAACGATCGATGAACGGGTCCCAGTCGAACCACTTAGGATACCTCGCCTGTCGACCTTGCTGAATTTACGAATTAACTAGCCACCATACGTCATCCTTTCTCACTCAAATCATCGAGCTCGAGCTCGAGCGACGGGTGCCGGTGCCGGTTCCGACGTATTATTCCTTGGCCCTTTCGGATGCCCAAGAAGATGGACGAACTGGAAGATGCAAGGAACGCTGGACGAAGCTTGTTACTGCATATTGATTCCTTGGCTGGCTTCTTCGGCAGAGTCGAGAGCGATGTGATGTGATGTGATCTAGGTTCCGGCAGCGGTGGTCTCGAGGTGGTAGGTGGTAGCCAAGGTATTAAGGAGGAGGATTGCCTTTCACCAACATCCATCATGCCAATACCCGAGGACGAGAGAGAAAGGCGTTTGCCGGGGAACGGGATCATCTATATCCGGGGCGAGGAGAGGGACCAGATAACGCGAGGGCAAAATGTAAGGTGCCCCCTCCTGATCAGCTGACGACCATCGGGATCATCATCGCCACAGCAGAGGGATTCTCGGCTTGACAGAGGGAGTGGGTGAGATGCCGTTTGCCGAGCGATATCCGTTTTGCATTGTTCGCCATATAGCTATTCCGCAGTCGTCTTTCGCTCTCGCCTCCCCCTCAGTTCGCCAAGCCGTGGGCTGCCGGTGCCGAAGCGATCCTCGATGATGATGGTGACCGATGTTGGGTCGTTAGCGCGTAGAGGATCGCTCAACTAGGATATATAGACCACCACCAGACCCCGATCTCGATCATCATCCATCATCCATTCGTCATTCCCCTCCTTTCGCCTCTAACCAATCCATCAAACTTGAACCAGCTACCTCCTTGACAGTTAGCTATCACACACACAACACCCTCACAAGAATGTCTTCCCGCATGACCAACGCCAACGCCAACTCGAACGACATCTTTGACGCCGTGACTGCGGACGATCCGCCTCGATCCGCCTCGCCTGGGATCACGCTCGCTCAGAGCGGTAGCGGGGGGTATCATGCCGAGCCGAACGAACATGTCAAGGGCAAGGTTCAGGGGGATCCTCAGGCGCCGATGATCGTGAGTTGCTCGTCGTCGTCATCGGACTGGAAGGTGTTAAGATCCTGACGATCTGCCTGGTAATTCCGCTCACAGACCGTACAACCGCTTCGAAAGCAAGAGTAAGTCCCCCTCCCACAGTCTGCTTTCATCTATCTAAATAAGAGTTAGATATCAGTTGTTGACCGACCAATCGCATCGTCATGTTTGTCCTTATGATAGGATGCAGCCCTCGTACGCTCAAGATCTAGGAGCTTCGTCCACCGAGCACGGGGCGTACGGGTCGTTCATGCACAGTCTAGGTGATTGTCTAGGAGCATTGGGTAGTATCCCTTGTTGTCCGGTGAGTCTCTCGCTCCTACTCTGCTATCGCACCCGATGCCTTCTATGACCCTTCAAGCAAGCTGATTTTGATTCGTCTTGATCACCGGCCTTCTTTTCGACTCCCGTCGCCAGTTCCCCAACCCGTACAAATCCGTCCCGCAAGGATCCGTCGGTCTCATCTCCCGGTTCGGCCAGTTCTACAAGTCGGTCGACCCTGGGCTCGTCAAGGTGAACGTGACGAGCGAGAACTTGAGGATGGTGGACGTCAAGATTCAATTGAGTACGGTGCCCAAGCAGGCGGTGATGACCAAGGATAACGGTACGTCCGGGGGTTTTCCAATTCTCGTGAACGCGAAGCGATGAAGCAGGGGGACTGATTGGATGATGCTCTTTGATACGCTGTTACGGTCTGTAGTCTCTGGTACGTTCACGCCTTGTGGGAATGCCCTGTTCCCATTAAGAGAGAAACATAAATCGCTCATAACGTGTTATTTGTTTTACATCAGTCGACGTCGACTCGGTCATCTGTTGGCACGTCGTATCACCTTACCGAGCGGCCTTTGGGATCGCCGACGTCAGGACCGCTTTGGTCGAACGAGCTCGTAAGCCATAAGCCTTCACTACCCCTACCTACCTCTAGGTCTCGAGTCTTGATGTCGTATCAGCTAACGAATCGCGCGGATGCTGTCCATAGAAACCACGCTGAGACAGGTCGTGGGGAGTCGATTGCTCCAGACCATCATTACCGATCGAGAAGGAATCGCTGCCGAGATTCAGGAGATCGTGAGTCGGCTTCTCATCGCCATTGACCCCGCATGATCCGCAGACCATCGAACTGACCCGATCCACATGCTTGTTGTCGCTCAGCTTGAAGCGACCGCGGAAAAGTGGGGTGTTAACATCGAGTCCATCTTGTTGAAGGACATTACGTGAGTACCTTACTTAAAGCGAGCGACCAGATGGAGGTATGTTTTGTGGTTACTAATTCCATGTCAATTTCGTTCCGCACGACAGGTTCTCCGAAGAGTTGCAGAACCTCTTCTCTAGTGCCGTAAGCCATTGTTCTGTCCCTTCTGTGCGAGAGATAGCTTTTACTGATTCCGAGATACCGCTTTTTCCAGGCTACGCAAAAGCGTATCGGAGAATCAAAGGTCATTGCCGCCAGAGCAGAAGTCGATGCAGCCAAGCTCATGCGTCAAGCCGCCGATGTGAGTCCACGTGGATCTGGACAACCAGGGTCGGAAGCTAGGAGTCCACGCTGATCCGCTTTGCATTTTTTCGCGCAATAGATCCTGGCTAGTCCTGCCGCTATGCAGATCCGACAGCTGGACGCTTTGCAGAACATGGCCAAGACTTCGGGTAGCAAGGTGGTCTTCGGTGAGTCTCCTCGCATCCTCCCGCCATATCAAATTCGAGGATCTCGCTGATAGCGAATCCCTGTCTCCCTTTATACCTGCAGTACCCATGAATCTGAACAGCATGGGAGGTGCGAGTATGGCAGGCTCGTCCAGCACGGCCCGTCAACAGATCGAAGCTTCCGGTACTCCGGAACAGTACCCGGACGATATGAACGTGACCGGAAGCGATAACCATATGGGGATGGGGATGCAGAGCTTTGGTGACGAGGCGAGGAACGCTTCTATGATCACCCATATGGCCAACATGTGATTATGAGCGACAAACACGGCGATAAGGTAGGAAATGGCATAAGGAGGTAGTGCGGTCCGGGATTCACTCAATGCTATAATGCGAATCGATACTTTGCCTGAATGTAATCATAATACAATTCCGACATGTACATTACTATGCTAGTACGGAGGTTGATTGACAAGTCATATTCCCTATTACCTTGATCAGTTTGGCCTAGCCCTAGCTGGATACCGATCGAGATATGAAGTTCGTTCAAGTCCGCGCCCCACAAAATTGATGGAGATAGGGATGCTAATAGAACTATGGGTAAATCGGACCTCATGTCCTGGCGAATTATCAAAGCTCGGACTGACAATGTTCGGAACGAACCGTTTGGTACCCCTGAAGGTTTGGTACCCCTGAAGGTGATCAAAGTAATGAGCGGTTCCGATCTGAGGGAATACGTGGCGTCGTAGCCATTGCCTCGCCTCGAGAGCAACGGGAAGATCGTCTAGTATGAAGCCGCAGGACAGATTCGGTACCCGCAGAGACCCTTCCCGTAACGCCGACTCGATTCCCGCAGCGGGGGTGGTCTCGATTCCCGTGACGCAATTGCTTGTTCATCTGTTTGCGCGTGGCCGAAAGCTCTTTGACCCATCATTCGTATATCCAATATTGGGAATGCCTGTTACAATCCTTCACAGTATACGTTTATCTCGGACTTCCTATACATCAATCCTAACAAAGCTAAATTACAAAGGATACGAACACGCTGTTGCGCTCGAAACGAGAAGCGCGCAAGGAGCGAATGCTCGGACCTGCGCATCTCCAGCGGCATGTGGAGAGTAAGTTGAATTACTCTGCGACCTGGACGATCGTGTCCTCGCTGGTCTTGGCGACAGTGACCTTCTTTCGGGAGGCGAACGGCGGGTAGTTCTGGTTGTAAATCTCGTCCAACCTGCGCAGAGAGAAAAGGATATGGTTTAGCTATTCGTGTCATCCGACAGTTCAAGCACTGAACCAATGGTACCCACTCTTCGATGGTCCTTCCAACAGTCTCCACACCACAGAACCACCAGATCGCCGTCTCGATGAGATCCCAGACGACAAAGACGAAGATGTATCGGTTCTTCATCCTCTCGAGCGCGATAGGTCCGGCGTAGGTGTTGATGAATCCGAAAAGGCTGACGATGATACCCGAGGCGGCCAATCCCTTGGCACGGGTCGAGCTGGTCAAGTTTTCGGCGGGGTAGACTCCTTGAAGAGGGGTGTAGGTGAAACTGTAGACGACGCTGAACAGGTAGTTGGCTAGACGGCATGGCGGTATGAGATAGCTCAGCATACTATAATTTGATTCTGTGCCGTAACTTTTGAAAGCGCAAGACCTACCCGCAAGAGCTCCCTGACCGAGCTTGTTGTTGGGGTTGATGAATTTACCATCTGCATCCTTGGGTTGTTGAGCGATCAATTCGGACAGTCCTCCGTTGATGGCCAGGAAGACCGAGAGGAAGAAGGTACCGATCGTCAAGACCTTGACTCGAGGCTGTCGAGAAAAGCATCCCGAGAACGACGAATGTAAGCGCGGCTCGAACGCGAAAGGGAATCAAACAGGGCATCGATCTCACCATCTTGTCGGCAAAGAGGGCTCCCGTTACTCCACAGACGGCACCCAAGAACGAACCACCCAAGTTGAGCGCGAGTTGAGTCTTGACGTCGGTGTAACCCAAGTTTTCGTAAATGACGTTTTGGACTGATTCAAGATGATACAGATTGTCAGATTCGACAACTGCTGTATCGCTACGTGAACGGAATCAGAAGATCGGTGCTTACAGTATCCCAATCCGTTACCACTGAATTGACCGAATACCGAGATCAACAGGACCGAGAGCATTCGGTATCGCGAGTTCTTGGTCATGAACAGACCTGTCGACAGGAAGCAGGCAAGAGTCAGTTCAATCGAGCCCAAAGGCGTTTTCAGTTCGTTCGCCACCAACCTCGGTAGTCCCACCACCGCTTGTCACTGCCAGTACTTTCCGCAAGCGCCTCCTCCATCTCTTGCATCTCGAGCTTGACCAGGGCAGAGTTGGGGTTTCCGTTTCCATGGTATTTGACGAGGAAAGCGAGCGCCTCCTCTCGTCGACCGTTGGCAAGCAACCATCGAGGCGACTACAGGATTGTTTGGACCGGTCAATGAACGATCCTGCCCAATATGACGGCTTGACACTCACCTCGGGAAGGAACCAGACCAGGACCATGACGGCGATAGAGTAGGATCCCTGTCCGATCATGGGGATACGCCAAGCCCAGTTGCTCTTGATGTTGTTGCAAGCGTAGCAGACAATGGCGGCCGGAATGGCACCTCCGTTCCATCCGTCTAAAGGGCGATCCGGATGTCAGCGTGCAGTGTGAGGGATCTAGATCAAGATGAGATCTTGGCTTACTGTTGTACAGTCCGACAAATCGACCACGCCATTGAGCGGGCGCGATCTCGACGCAGTAAGCGGGAGCTCCGACACTTGGTGTGGCCGAAAGATATCAGGAAGATCAGTTTATACAGGCGTGACTGACGAAAATACAAAGCCATGGACTCACGTCATGATAGCGATACCGAAACCCAAGACGAAACTGTTTACAGGACAGTCAATCAGACATGCGCCCGTAGATATTGGTTAAAGTCCCAGCTTACCGTCCTCCAACCAACTGCCCGATCGAGTTGGCGCAGGAGACAATGACCATGCCGACCACGATGAAGAAACCTGTCGACCGAGAGGTCAGCTGCTTGATCTCAAAGCGGATCACTTCGAAAGGCTGGTCTGCTCACCTCCGACGAACATCCCCATACGCCTACCGTATTTGTCGCTGACGGGACCGGCAAAGAGCGCACCGATCATGGATCCCACCTTATTTATCAGGAACCGATACACGATCAGCCACAATCGGACATGGTCTCGATGTCGAATTTCAACTAGGACTTACACCATACATGGAGAAAATCTTGGAAACGTCTTCTCCTGTCGTTTCGACCTATGCGTCAAACAAGAAATAGGGCTCATTAGATTGTTAGACGGGAAGGCGAATCTGTTCGCACGCGTTATACTGACTTTGAAGTGATCACGGTACTGGGTCATCGGAGAGATACCCGAGAACAAGGAACCGTCGTACCCTGTAGTAAACAAGGAAGAACGAGTTAGCATGCGATTGATCTGTTTATTTCGATGACGCCTCGTACCGTTGGCACATGATCCGAGGAAGGTAACGAAACTGGAAAAAAGGCGCGCTTCTCGTCAGCCTGCCTGAACCACGTTCCGATCGCCCCGTTCATCGAGCTGGAAGCCCGCAAACCAAACTCACACGCAAAAGTATAGCAAGAACGACGCTTTAGACCTCGGGTTGAGAGGGTCTTGCGCGACAGCAGCAGCGAACGCGGCCGATCGGACTTGCATCAGTTGCGTCTCGGTCATCCCCTTGGTATCGACGTTGAGCGGGTCAAAGCCGACCGAGGGGACCTGTTGAGCGTATTCATTCTCGTAGATTTCGATCTTCTTCTCGTTGGTTGGCGAGTCCAGTTGGGTCTCCTCGATCTTGTTGGAAGACATGTTGGGCAATGCTGAACCGGTCCTCGAGGGATGTTTCGACAAGTGTGACACGCCGACCTGGTCACCGCGATCCCATCCCTCTTTCGATCGTCCATCGTCGCGCTTATATGTATTATGGGTACGGTCCTCCGTGGGGACCCAGGACATTGCTCCGGCCCCGAACGAATTTGATGAGTAGCTCGTATCCACTCGCTATTGTCGAAACACGCAAGAGAATTACCGAAGAGACGCCAGATGTTTCGCCGTCCTGTCGTCTGGCTGCGCTGCAGTGTCCTCGTTGGATCGTCGCGCCTGCCCCGGCGCGGTGCGATGGCGTTCCCCCGACCGACGCCGGCTTTGCTCTCGCGCTCTCGAATACGGCTCTCGGAGTTTGTCGTCTCCTGATGCAGGGGAAAGGGGAAGATCACGGGATGAATGTCTGGGCCTACTCGGAGATCCATTTCGGTCGGTGAGTGGTAGGTTGTCAAACGCTTGGCGAGGGCGAGCACGAGGAAACGCGGAAGCACGTGGATCGAGCACGGAGTCGAGTCGCGAGTTACACCTTGCGGCCTGCATGTGCCCTGCACCTTGTTGTTTCCCGTTTCGCGAACATGCGGATGCTGAAGCGCGGGGACTTGTCGGTTCGACGACCATGTACGTTCGATGCTCTTCACTGCGATCGACCAGGCAAGGCCGCAAGCGCCGAATCGTTTCTTCTGCTGCTCCAGTATCGGAGTCGTCTCCTGTGCACTAGCGTCAGACTCGTCTCGTGTACCAACATCGGGGTTGAACGAGTTGCGTTTTCGGATGCGAGAATTCTCTTCGATACTACTTTTACTGTACATGCCCAAATTCATCTTATTCTTCGTCGCTACTGTATCCGTCACCGTCACCACCGAATTCGATGATCAGCTCATCCAGTCTAGCCTTGTCGGCGACAAGACTTGAAATGTCTTGTTTGATCTTTCCCCTCTGCACACGAAGAGCTGCCGCGATAGATGCCCTTCGTGAAGGAGCCCGCTTCGCGATCGGTTGGTCTCGCACGTAGGATTCGCCGCTTCGTTGGCGACGACGGTCTCCAAATCCTGCGTCTACAGATCCTGCAGCCTCAATCCCCGACCCCGACCCCGACCCCGATTCCAAACCTGACCTGGAGCCCGACCTTGACCTCGACCTCGATCCCGACCCCGATGCGACAGGCTCGAATCCGATCTCAAGTGGGCCGCCTTCGTCGAGAAGACCGTTGGGTCGAAGCGATGGCGACCGAGGTATGGGTCGAAGCGATGGCGACCGAGGTATGGGCGAAGGTGGTGCGACCGCCGATCTCGACCCTGATCCCGACGCCTCAAGGATAGGGACGTGGACATCGACTCCCGATTCCGAACCCGACCTCGAGCCCGACCTCGACCTCGATCTCGACCCGGATGCGATAGGCTCAGAGGGGCCGCCTTCGAAAAGACCGTTCGGTCGGAGTGGCGAAGATGGAGCGGGGGAGGACGAGAGCACAATCTTGTGACATCGGCTAGGGCCTGTGCGGTAGACAACCATCCTATTGTTCGAGATAGGAGATGGCGAAGGACATGGCGAAGGACATGGCGAAGGAGGAGGCGAGGAGAGGAAGAGGGGCTCCTTGCTTTTGCCCTGGTCGGTATTCTTCTCGACAGCCTTCCCTTTGCCCTTGTCCAACGCCTCGACAGCCTTCCCTTTGCCCTTGTCGGCTCGACGGTTCGGCCTCGCTTTGTTTTTCGTGGTCGACGAGGGTCCGCCAATATGGACACCGGCAAACAGGCTAGCTGCGGTGCTAGCACCTGGGAGCCTATTCAAAGAGGGAGCTCGGACGTAGTGATTCACCTCGAGATTCTCTTCTTGATGTCGGCCACGTTTTTCCTTGGAAGATACGGTATACGCGTCATCATCGCCGATCGTGCGGTCAAGGTGTTGTCTGACGAGATCGCAAGCGATCTGGACTTGGATATCCATGGGGGAGGCATCGTCCGATGTGTTGAGGAAGTAGCTGACCTGTGGGAGTGGAAGGGGGAGAATGGAAGGGATAGCTTCGAGTAAGCACGGGCAAGAGACGGGACACGTGATTCCGCGAATCTGACTCACCCTCAGATGAGGTCGGGGAAGATAGTCTCGTACGCGTCTCCTTCCCGAGGAAGTCTGGACAGGCCCATCAGCTTCGTAGGTGATCTCAAAGGGTTGCGTTATGCCAGGGGTACTAGCTATAGCCCGAGCAAACCTTTTGATGTCGGGGGTTTCGGTCAGGAGGTCCACGTAGATCGCACCTAACGAGAGCGCGCCGGTCAGCCTGTGATATTGTTATCGGGATACAAACATGGACGATCACGTACCGGTGACCTGTTCAGGGGTCTCGTAAAACACCCTCAGAGCGCTGCCATGACGAGTGAATCTGCGTCTCGCCACCAAGACGTAAAGGTCCTTCCGATCATCGCTGTCGACATGATAGGCCACACGGACTCGAGGTACATCGTTGTGTTCCGGCCTCACTACGATATGAGCCACACCCTTGAGGCTCAGTCCTGGTAAGGCCAAGTCGTCCTGTACCTGTTTGAGAAGACGGTTTCCCGCCTCCTCGCGGGCGTAGGAATCTCCCGCCTTCTCGCGGGTGAAGGAATCGTCCAGGTCTTTGGGAACCTCTTCCCGATCAGTCCAGATGTAGACGTCGGAAGTGTCGGGGACGCATCGAAGAGTAATGTTGTGGGCGGTAACGAGGTCGCGCATGATTCAGGATTGACGATTGTGTGCGTGCGGGTGCGGGTATGTGTGGTGAGGAAGGGTCTGACGATGATGTCTGGATGTTGGAATGTTGATGATCAGGTCAGTACTACCGAGCGTGTCTCGCGACTTCCAAAGACTTACCGTCCGGATGGGTCGATTGTGTGAGGTGTGTGTGAATCTTGAGAGGTCGAGTCGTGCCGTGCAGGCGAAGAACGAAGAGTAAGAGAGCCGAGTGAGATCTAGGTCCAAGGCTTAGGGAGGCCAGGGGGAAGGAAGAATGTCGTCCCGAAAGAGCTGAACCACGCACAACCCGATTGTTGTTATTGTTGTTGTTGTTGTTGTTGTTGTCGCTGCGAACCAAGAGCGCAAGAGGGAGAGGAGGCCGATGGGAGAACGACAGGGAGAGCTGGAGAGCAGAGCGACCGTGTGTGTACTGTGTACTGTGTACTGTGTGTATACACCGTGTGTGCGTGCGAGTGACGCGTGAGAAACGATTCGAAAAGGGGAGAGGCGAACGTGACACCACACCTTTTTTCGAACCACGTGACCCCCAATTCCCTTTCGTGTCCTCCCTCGCCTCGCACCAGCGAGTATATAAACCCCATCGATCCGGTCCATCGACGACGACCAACCATCGTTCATCATCACCTCCTCCTCCTCCACCAGCAATCTTCGACGACGACGATGACCAGAACGACCAGGACCAGGACCAGGACCAGTACCACCACCACCATCAACTCTCCCTGTGCGGGTTTGTGCATCCCATTCGTGATCGGGGGTCTCGTGTGGGTTTCGCATAAGGGCCGACTGGCCTCGGGGTGTCCGCTAGTACCGGTTCAACCACTCCTGATCACGCTGAACACACGGAAACCCGCATTCCTCCGAAAGCCCGTCCCCATCATGAGATAGCTAGGTGCTTTTGCGCGAGGTCGGGACCCCTCTGGATCGGCGAGGGCGGTGACCCATGTCGAGGATGCGAGTGCGGCAGGGGGGGGTTCGGGCGTCCTGTGAGCGCCGAGCGAATCGGGCATATCTGTGGCGTGGCCACCTCCCCTGAAACCCTTCGTAGCGGACATGGGAGGACGACTTTCGACGACAACGACACGGCGACCGGGCGGTTCGAGGGACGACTTTCGACCACGAGGATGGGGAACACGCCCGGACCGGATTCGACCGCTGCTGAGTTTCTCGATCTTTGTGCTCTCCTTTGCCTCGAGCTGATCCTCCTTTCAACCCGATATGGTCCACATCCCGTGTTCCCTAGGCCCCACCCTACTCCTTTACCCCCGCTTTACTCCTCGTCGGCTAGGACCTCGCAACCGTACCGTCCCGGAACGAAATCGGACTCTGTCCTTCTTTCCCCTTGCGTAAGTCTGACCGTCCGCAGGCTCCACCCGTCACTCTCAATCCTTTCCATACCCGTCAGGTCGTACTCGAACTCGTTTATCATCGCTCATACGATCCTCCATCCTCTTCTTCTTGTTCTCAGTACCTCGGCTTGGACCCGCCAGGTGAGTCCAGTCCGCACGATACTCGGGTTCGGTCAAATCTTCTTCCGCCTTTTGATTTCTCTTTGTTGTCCTTTGGGATTCGATTTCTTGTTCGAGATTGAATCCGGACGCTGATCTGATCCGATTCTTTTGATTTCTTCTGCTCTTCCCGCGATGACTTGCCCAAAAAGCATCGTACTTCAGGTCCCGGAGCCCCCGCTTCCAACACCTCGCAAGGAAGCCGGGATCCGCCGTCTCGTCCTTTATCCCATTCGGCATGTCTTGATCTTCCTCCTCTTCAGTTTCCGGTTTTTCGGTGAACTTTTCCCTCCGTACGTTTCGATCTAGTCATGCTGATCGAATTCTCTCGATCTGTCCTCCATCTAGTATCGCCATGCGGGAGGGAACGACCACAAAGTACCTCGTCCAGAGAGAGTTCGACTTTTGCCAGGTAAGTCTTGGACTCTGTTATCACCGCTGTGTCCGACAAGGAATCGTCTGGCTGGCTGACTTTGTCCCGACATGCTGTTGTTCCCAAAGCACTGCACCGCCTTGCCTTTGGCCGGGCGACTCAACAGTCTCGGCCATTGGGTTCAGAAGAGCCGTCCATACGGCAAGGAAAACATTTGGTATGTTCCCTACCGCAAGCTTTTTCCGATCCGCATAAAGCCGGTGGCTAAACCGCTATCGACGAATCCCTTGTGATGCAGCTTGATTCCGATCTGGTCTTCACCACATATCGGGCCCGGAGGGGGATAGGGGAGGCTTTCGTCAATGGTACCCCGGGCAACCGATAGGTTTTCCTTTGTATAACCTCGAGGACACGAGCTTGTATCGAAGATGTTATATAACTCAGGGCTTTGCTACGATATTGAGATGTTATGTTCAGTTCCGGACCTGTCAAAGAGGCGAGGCTAGCGATGTAGATGCAGACAGACTGGACTTACGATGCCTGAAGCCTGAAGTGTCCCTCATGTCCCGCGCGCGCGTGTTTCTACTTTTCGAGTCTAGTTGCGAATGGTCTTCTCCCGACATGCACTTCGGGCAAGGTAGTGTGGTCTGCTGATAGTGCATACGGGTTTGTCCAAAATCCCTTGGAGTGGCTCGAGCAACGGTCGTTCCGAGCTACCCCGCTCGAAAACCATGACGCGCTATCGCGAGATCGCCATCAGAAATTGAGCCATCCGACCGTAGGTAGTTGAATATCGACAGCTTTCGCGATGCCGCGTGCTTGGTGTTGATCCTCGTCGTTGAATCTGAACAGAATTAGACTTTTGCAGGAAAAGCGGTTTCGTGTTTCGATCCGGTTATTCATTATTGTGGATTGACGAGCGAGATCTAGGGGGGATATGCGTCTTGCTTCGGTCTCCGGTCTCTGGGTACGTCGCGCATGGATGATGGATGATCAAGTTGAAGTCATGATCGTACCGCCAGCCAGGTCCGTGCTCCTAATAATAATCCTTCTGAGCATGGTCCATCTGTTGACAAGCAAGACCCAAGGGGGGTTACAGAGGGGATCCATGTCTCGATTGACTATGCCAACTGTGTATACCGTAAGTCAGATCCTGCCGTTATCCGTAGGGCGAGAATCGCGCGACCTCATCTCCGAGAGACGTCATCCAATTGCAGGTCTGTCCGCCAGAACATCGCTTTTTGGTTCGACCAGAGCTTGTCGGTCACGATAGCCCGACGGCCAGAGCGAGCTAAGCGTCTTATCGAGGAAGAGCTTCGCGCTTCTCGCATCCGGGTGATGTCGCACGGATGTAACGGCGCTCTTTGGCATAACGTTCGCAAGATGGTTCAAGCCGGATGTCGTTGTTTCCTTGCGACCGACGAAGCGGATTCATTTCCATGATCCGACTGACTAGCGTCGTTCGTTATCGGCTCAACGGCAGGGATAGGCGGCTTATGCACATACGTGCAGCGCGGATAGTGTCCTGATCCAGAGTCGCTCGGCCGTGCTGATTTCGTTTCTGCGGCATGGCAAGAATCTGCAGTAGACGGAGAAAAGGAGTAATGTTAGATCCGGCTGTGACCGCATCCCAATGATAGCATGACGCAACGCTCACCATGCTCCTCGTCAATAAAGGTAATGCCGACTCGCGATTCCTGTCTCTGAAAGCTTCATCTGGCCCCAAGCAAAAGCTCTAAGACGGGATCACAGAAGCATCTTCACCAGTCGTAGAAATGTCTCGTGCACAAAGAGCAAGCTCTCTAAGATTGTGTCAACGAGAACAAATTGGACTATTGGCGGGCGAGGGTCAGGCTAATCGAGGTCTGCTCGGGTGATTTTTGACGTTCCGACGGGAGGTACGATTCCTAGACTGCCTGCGAGTAGCGAAGGCGCCGACATCGCTAGGACACTTGCACAATTATCTATGAATTTCTGTGTGTTTCCGAGTCATCGAACCATTTGATAGTAGCAAATCTAAGTCGCTTATCCCTGAAAACCCCGATGATCCTCGACCACCTCGTTTGCGGATTAACGTAGGTCGCGCGGGGGGTTTTCTATGACGATCTCTGATTGGCTTGGGTGAAACAGGGGAGGCGCAGAAAGAAGGAAGCGCAAGCGACGGATGCAACAAAGTAAACAAGAGCAAAAACGTGACGATCTGGATCGTCACGTTTTTGGCTGCATCAATTATATCGGGTCGATGGTTGAAGTGACCTAATCGACCCGGATTTACCACTCGATACTGCTTGCGTCCTCCTACTTGATGCTGACTAGCAAGTCCCGTGTTACCCGATGTCGCATTGAGAGTCGACAAGCAATGAGCTTTTCTCCAGAGCCTTTTTCACTTGAAATCTAAAATGAACACGGTCAGCTCTCTTACATGAAAATGAGCTTGCAGCCGGTCTGCCCCATGCGCTTCGTGTACTTCGATTGCTTCACCGCAACTGTTTAGCCACCACAGATTCTTGACCTGTAGTGAGTTCATGCGTCTGGCTGATATCAACCTGTGGGAATGCTTAATGCGATGAGTGTGAGGTGATATGTACAATGTTGTAGATACGAATGTGTGTATGCTAATGCTTGTCTGGTCCATGCAAATGCGAAGAAGGGATGTCCTGTTCTATTCAATGCTGATGCTGCCAATCCTCCTGCCGACCTTAGTTGGCGACCGTGTTACTGTTATCCTTGCACGAAAATGCTCCTCCGACCTTTCCGTTGTTGAATGCGTCGATGATGTCGACAATGACGGCGCTGTGAATGGCGACGTCGAAGTCAGCTTGAGCATTCGCTTGATGACCAAATAAGTGAGCAAGAGCGACTCACTAAGTTCCAGCCACCGTGACGAACGCGCCAATGAGGAAGAAAAGCGCATGTAACCCCGCTCCCAACTTCTTCTTCATCGCGCCCTTGAACGCGCCCGGGTTCAGACTGAACCACATGAGAGCCGGCGCCATGATCGAGATCGGTCCGAAACACAGGCTTCCGATCAGACTGATGAGCTGACCAAAGAACGGGATGGCTTCGGCTAGCAGCCATCCGATGAATCCGACCAAGAAGGTGCAGGAGAGCCAGACGACCCAGTGTGTTTTCGTATCCGAGGTCAGGTGGCGCGAGTCTCGCAGAATCCTGACGAATAGGGATTTGGCGGCGATATGAGTCAGAGTGGCAGCTGGAGGATCGGAAAAGGATCGCAGGTCAGTATCGCTATCTATATTGGCTTGACCTAGATGCAGGTCGACTTGCCTCCAGCGATCAGTCCGGGAATAGCGATGGCGTAGGCGATGATCTTCAAGGTAGGACCAGCTGAACCAAGCGCGGGGGAAGCGACCCATTGACCGCAGTAGCTGCAAATTCGAACCAGACCTAATCAGCTCTCCAAGTCCGAGAAACATCTTGGTAACAATTTCGCGCGTGGACTTACTAGAAGACCACGGTAGAGAATGCCAAGTACGCCGCATTGATCCATCCCATACAGACGTATAACGCCTTGTTGTAATCCTGGGGCCGTCTCATCTCTGCCAGGACGGGAATGTACCCAGGCGTGTTCCCGGAAGAAGAAAAGATGGCCAGACTCGCCGAAAATGCGCTGGTAAACGTCGTCGCGGCTGCGGGGTAGGCGGAGAAGCCGAGTTCGAAAGGTCCAGTTTGCGGAGCAGCGGCCGGTCGATCGGGTATGGTCACCGCGATGACGATGATCATGATGGCGACGACGATACTGAAGAACCCTACCCAGGTGACCCAGGCGAGATGGGAGATCTTGCGGATGCTGGCGATGCAGGTGATGACGATGTAGCTGACTACGCTGAAGACCACCGTACACGTAGCGTGGGAGGAGACGGCGTTCAGAGCGATCGTCAGACCGAGCATGGAGACACCTGCGGCGAGGATCCAAGTGAGGAGGTAGAGGGCTTCCGTGAGGTACATGGCGATGTTGGCAGTTCGAGGTCCATATCCCCAGTCCGTAGCCATGATGCTAAGAATCGGTGCAAGGTGGAAAATAAGCATTGCAGCGGATTCGAAGCAAACATGATACACGCTCCTACTTACTGAATTGCATCAGGCAAGGCGTGGAAAGATGGGTGCTTGATCTTGAATTTGCCCATGAGGTACGCCATATCTGAATGAGGCGTTGTGGTTTTTTTGTAACCGGGAAACAGAAGTCGGCTTCGGGATCGCATGACGTCCTGAATTGATCAGACTCACAAGTATTAAGGATACCCCAGAATAAGACAAAGATGATCCCCGCTACGAGGCCCAAGGTGTAGAACGACGTAGGGATGGACAGCACACCGATCCCAAAAGTCATTTTGGTGAAAAAGACCGATGCTACCCAGTCAACGGAACATTAGCATCGTCGTCCGTTCCAGGGAAACACCCTCTGCTCTCCAGACCGACTGACCTTTCATCCATCCGACGGTCCGGAAATCAACCTCTCCCTCTGCGAACGGATCCCGCTCCACCTTGCCCGCAGCATCGATCTGGGAACGCGAGTCAGGCGTAGCGGTCCCTGCCGCATGAGCTTCCTTGGCCTCGAGGGCAGACATTTGTGGCTTGCTGAGGGTGTTGTGGTTGTATCAAACGACAAGTATGAGTTGCTATGTGTCTGTGTATACCTAGTTGCTATGCTGTTGCCGTGCTGTTGTCAGAGATGAAATAGGGGTAAATTTCGAAGTTTCATCGGGTCCAGGAGCGTTCCTTCCACCAACTTTCTTGCCGCCGGTGGATCCACCTACTGATTTCGGGTAAGAAAAGGATTCACGTCACGTGACGATGACAATGACGGGATCAATTAGCCGCCCGAAACTCAATAGTCTCCGATCAAATCGGCGATTCTCATGTTCGATCAAGAACATCCCGAACAGCATGTACGAGGGTATATGGTAGACCTTCGGCTTCGGTGATCGGTGATACAGGATTCGAGACGAAAATACTTTATGTCTACTGTATTGAGCGATTCTCGGGTTCGGACAACCGAAGTGGCGTTCTTGGCTGTTTCGATGTTGCACCTCCAGCCGAGAACTGTTTGATCTTTTGCGTTTCAGACATCCGGTCGATTATCATGTGCCGAGTGGATTTCATGGTCGAGAGCCTAGCAAAAGAACAGTTCGCCCTGCCGATCATGACAGAGAGACTCGAGATGTCGTAGCGGGCAGCGATACTATCTAAAAAAAAAGTCCGCGACTGGGCTGCAGTGAACAGGCGCACCACCCGATTGATCACAATACATAGCTACCAACATGCAGTGTACAATTCGTCGATTTCCCTGCAAAGATCTCCATCTCCGAGGTCGAGCGCCATTGTATTAGAATTTCTTCCACGCTATATGACATTAGCTGGAGGCCGATATAACACGTCCGGCTGGCGAAGACATCAAACAACCTTGTCAACCCATAATTCGCAACAACTCCCTTGATAATTCTCTGTTTGATAGCGTTCAACATCAGATCTTTGTCTCGCTCTGTCCTGGTGACCCAGTCACATACCTGTTATCTTCATGTTCATTCCGTCGGAGCATGCTCCAATAGTAGCACCGCCTATGAAGGAATACCTGTCCTGGAGTTTTTTGGAGGCAGTGCGGACACTGTTTGGAGCCACCTTGTACAGCATACATCGATTCTTGTTGGCATCGCTTTCCTCCGTGAACTTCAATCCTCGACAATAACCCTCGTCTTCATGGTAGGAGACAAATATTGTGTTAGTACGAAACTCAAGGTAGCTTGAAAAGCGGAACACCGTTCGTTACATACTGTACTGATCTTGTAGGTTAGCGTTCAGCTGATCGTCGGGAGGTGCCAGACGTTGACACTCTGTGATACAATCAATGAGAGTTGCCTTTTCTTGAGCTTCTTTGAGAACTGGCGACCGAGATTGCTGCCCCTCGGGTCGCTCGCGATCAGTCTAATGGATTCACAACATCGGTCAGTCACATCTTAGCCCTGGTTAACCTGGTAATCACTAGATACAGGCTCACGAAGTGGGAGAACGAAACAGTCGCATTCTCGAACACGGCGAAGACCTGGACATCCTCTCCTTGAGCGCTCTTGTCTGCTCCGACACAATATCGCGGTTCCGCTTGACTAACAGCGAGGCCTGTCGCCAAGGCAATGAGGGTTGCAAGAAAGGTGTACCTCATGGTCCGCAAATTTCGTTTCGCTTTGTCAACTATCTGCAGGCAACCTCGAACGAAACACACGCGACGAGGTTCTTGAGCCATCTACGATCACTGTTTTAGCTATTCCCTGACCCGTGAACCACCGCCTGACCGATGCGCGCTTCCCCTTGAAACGTTGACAAAGGGACCACAAACCCCTGAATCCGCCTTGAGCTTTCCCTTGGCTTGAGCGAAACCGGATCACTGAAGCCCCTCAGACTGATAACAAGAAGCGTACAGATCGACAGGAGACACTTGGCTAGTTATTTCTTGTTACGTTGTTGTCTAGTTGTCTGTAGACAGCCAAAGGACACAACATGTAGCAGGTAGGGCCATGCTAAATCTTACTCGGGACATCGCGTGAACACAAAGTAAACAGAGACCTCCGCAGATGAGGTCGTCGGGCGAAGGTCGATTCAAGCTAATAAGCATATCGACGACATCTCATACCAAATTCTGCAACAAATAAGAGATATCATGTCCACCTTGACTCTGTTGCCTTGTCTCCATCCAAAAAAGCCTCGAAATACCCTACGACCACGATCGCCAACGCGTTATCGACGACCTCTGACGACTTCCTCTGAACGATCCTCGACCGTCGACTAAGCCCATCACAGCAACCCACATCACATACGATTCACCTTCACCAACAAGCACAAGTAGACAGGAAACAAACTCGAAGCCGCCCCGTCTAAATCTCCCACCAAACCACAACACCCACTATGCCTTCTGATACTGAATCCATTGAACACCTGGCCGACTACAGCCATAGGTGGTACGAAGATCCTCCTACGTCCTCCTCGAGCAAGAAGACGCCTTACGAGCAGGTCGCCATGTGTATGGTGAGTGTTTTCTTCTCTCCACCTGTCTTAGTCTTCAGTCTATTGAGCTTCGAGTTTGAATCGGAGGAGCTGATCATATCATATGGTGTTGATGCTATCGTTACGTATCGTATTGTGGACACTTCGTAGTGGGGAGAGACGAACACTTTTTCACGGAAAGGCAAGAACGACCTCAGAGATCTGCCGGAAGACCACGATGCCAATAATAGTCACAATCATACTCCTTCTACCTCTCGACCCGGGACCTCGGTAGCCGGACAAGTACAAGTGACAGGCTCGACGAGTACGAATACCAATACCAATACAAGCACGAACACGAACAGAAATACCCAAACGATCTCCAAGTCGAACACAACCGCAAACTCGGCTCATCCTAAAAAGAAAACCCCACCACCACCTCTAACAACATCATCGACCAAATCACGGACACAGACACAAACACAAACGCCCGCCCCGGGAGAGAAAGCGGTCCACCACTGCGTAGAATTCTTCCCCTTCGGCGAACCGGACGTCGAATCGCTCCGCCGGACGCTGGAAGAAGAGATCAGGCAGACTTTCCACCGGACTACCCGGGATGCCGAAACAGGTGCAGATGTAGATGTGAATGCGAGGTCGGCCTATCTGGAGGAACAGCGGCAAGATGTGGAATGGATAGAAGAGCGGATAGCCGAGTTTCGGAAGATGGTGGATGAGTGGGCTGGCACATTTGCTGTATGCGGGGGACAAAAGGTGAGTCGGGACGAGTCTTGGAAAGGTAGTCCGATCTTGTTCCAGGGCGAGGTTGTGCCACACGCCAGAACATGCACGCGATCTCGATTATGATCCTTGCGGTGGATAGGCATACGGTACTGATCCTACAACACGATTTTGGGTTTCTTGGGTCTTCTAGCTGATTCTCGCTCGGCCGTCGGAAGACACAAAACTCGATTTTTTATGGGAACTCAATATAGAAGACGTAAGTCCGATTAAACGCTGGAAAACCCCCTCGTGGGTCGATGAGATGAGGAACTGAGAGCTCACATCAATGCATCTCGTTCTTCCCCTTTACAGGACGACCTTTTCCACCTTTCCTGGTCTTACGATGAGTACGAGTACCAACCTTTAATCGCCCTCGCTGGAGCCATGGGTGTGGTCTATATCATCGAACCCGGACTGCAAAGGATTCGGAGAGTTTTGAAGGGTCATGGCGATGTGAGCGCAATGCAGATCGCACTGACAAGTTTCGTCCGGACACGTTTCTGACACCTTGTTTGTTTTTTCTCCTGACGACGCAGAGCATTCTCTCGGTCAAGTTCTCCCCTCGCGCACCTCATATCCTTGCGACGGCATCCGGTGACCGCACAGTCCGGGTTTGGAGTGTCTTTGGTGGTGATCTCGCAGAAGACCCCGACGTCAACGCTCGATCACGCAACTACCCGATGGGCCAGGCGGACGAGGGGGACGCATGCCTATTCATTCTAGCGGGAGAAGGTCCAGCGGGTCATCGGTGGGATGTCGTCTCGCTCGCCTTTCATCCAACAAAGAGGGCGATCGTCACGGCCGGTCAAGACTATACCGTGAGGATCTGGGCATTACCGGAGTACCCAAAAGTCACGGATCCGTTCGAAATCAAGAGGACGCCACCGGGATATCATCCCGAAATCATTCAGTTTCCGGTCTTTTCCACCTCGAGGTTGCACGACGATCCTATCGATTGCATCGAATGGCAAGTCGATTTACCATGATCGCCTAACTTGCTCCGCACTGATACTTGATGCCCGCGCTGTTTGACGTATATTTAGGCTTGCGGACGATATCCTCGTATCCCAAACGAGGATTACGCTCATTGTCTGGCAGTGGCTAGGTTTCGCCCGCTATCTTAACGGAGACAGCATAGACAAGCCTTTACCACAACGGACGGACTATACCAACTCTCGTACGTCTTTGGCGATTTCACGATCCATCGCCGCCGCTCCGGGTTGACATCCGACGTTACCTCTTCACACCATAGATTCGTTTCGGATCGTGGCCAAATACGATCTCGATGGGGATACGTGGTACCACAAATTCAGCGTCCATCAGGCGTGGGGCGAGCACGATGAGGATGCCGTACATTACGGTCACACTACCGGATTGTTGCTCGCCTGCATCGACGGGGACGCAAAACCAGCTCGGATCTTGCTGTTCAACCCGGCTCATATACGATATCCGGACCCCGATACCCTCCGGCCACCCCGGTTCGATGGCACGAATACTGAATGGGAGCCGATCGACATCGAGGGGTACGATCGCGATCAGGCGACCGTAGCAGCGGGACAGGAACGAGCATCGACATCGACCGAAGCTGTCAAGGAAGAGGAAGAGCTCGAATCGACCGCCAACGCACCTGGCTCGAAACGGTCGTCGGCGCCGCAGATCCCACGGCTGCTACCTTGGATTGTCAGGACGCGAGGGTTGAAATCCGCACAGCAGAGGCGGAGCGGGAACAAGTCGGATAAGCCGCTGTCTTTGGTATCCGTAGCTATCAGTCCGAAGGGTGCAAAGTATATAGTTGCCACGGGGCAGTTTGGCGCAATCGTCTTGTTCCAGCTGAAGCAGAATTGATCTTGATCGATGTCATGAACTGAAGCAGAATCAATCTCGATAGAGACCGACAACCCCTTCCTGATCTTCCGCATGTCCCTCTCCCTCTCGTTCCACCTCTACCTCTCGGTCCACCTCTACTTCTCGGTCCACCTCTCCCGCTCGCTCTTGCTCTCCATGTCGCTCGCACTCTCCCGCTCGCGGTCGCTTCTGGTCTACCTCTTTCACTCGCCCTGGCGCCACGCTGGTGATCTGCGAGTTGTACAGTCCGGATCAATACGCCGGGACAGTCCGGATCAATACGCGTGCCGGTAGTCGACTCACGCAATGATCCCGTAACAATACCGTCTCCGTCTTCTTGGCCGAGGTCTCTTGCTGCTTGGCCGCCGAGGTCTCCTGCTTCTTCTTGGCCGGGGCTTCCTGCTCGTTGGCTGGATCCGACCTTTGACGGGACCGCGGCAGCTCGAACGCCTCGCTCGAATACGCCTGGCTAGAAGACGAGGAGGCTGCGGAGAGGAGAGTCGCGGAGAGGAGGGATGGCTTGAGGTTGGGTTTGAACTGTTCGACGATTCGGGGTCAGGGGTTGTAGTTATTCAAGGCTGATCAGACGACACCTGACTCACTCGCATCTTTCCCAAGCCTTTACGGATCTTCCTAGTGACAGACACCGTAGTCGAGACCGTAGTCGAAGTCTTGGCATCATCAGTCTCGACAGTAGCAGGCTGTTGCAGCTCCGCAGCCGAGTACCTAGCGTAGGCAATGACGACACTCTCTCGCCTATACCAGCCTGGCTGGACTAGTGTCGCTCCCGCCACCCCGGCCCAAGTCTCCTTCATGAACTCGTCATCTTCGTCTTTGGTAGGCTTCGAGTCCGAGTCGCTGACGACGTAAAGGAACTCGTATCCCGTCTTGCTCTTCCTGACCATATCGAACGTCGGCGTAGACGGCTGGAAGGCGGCCCAGTCCTGAACCGAAGTCTTGAGGTCGACCTTTCGCATCCACGAACCTACGGAGCGACGATCAACGGCGAACGCTTCGGTCAGAAAGTGCTACTCGAAAGAAAGGTCACAAAACGCCGAAGATGGACTCGCCTTTGACCCTACGGAGTCGGACCGTCCATTCAGATATCCCTCGTTGTCGCCAGACCCGCTCGATGTCCTTGGGAGAAGCCGAGATCACGCAGAAGGGTGAAAGGAAGGTAGGTGCCACGGAAGGATCCCCATCCGGATCAACACGCTCTTCTGTCCATTCGATGGCGATCCACTCGAACTTGTCGTCCTTCTTCCGCCCGTACCGTCGATTCACCTCGTCAAGAATGGCGATACAAGCTTGTTGGCACTTCTCGGTAAACCCGTTGAAGACAAGGGCACCGGATTGGTGTTTGGTGGTGTGGTACCGGACCTGCTCTCGAAGTTCCTGCGTTTGGATCAGGATTTCGCTCATGTTTTCGAGAGAGAGGTGCGCGAGATGATGTGAATACGGAAGCTTGTGACGTCGAGAGTCTGGGAGGTGAAAGTTTGTTTCGAATAGATTGGCATATTTGACATGTTCATTCCGCTCGTCATCACTCTCTCCGAACTTCTTCTCTTCTCTCGAGGCGACGGTCTCCCACACGTACGCAACGCGTGAGAAAGCGAAACAGACGAGAGGGAACCGATTCCTCTCGCCCCTGACCCTTCGAAGCGCGTCGCCCAGCGAGCGAGCGAGTGGGTATATAAGTGGGACTCACTCGCCAAAATCCTCCTTTCGTCCTCCTCTCCGCCATCCATCGACTTCCATCAACTCGGCCATCACCACATGACCCCCCTCGCCACTTCACTGCCACCAGGCAGCCACCTTGAAGACCGACAAACGTTGCACCGGCGATGATTCGTATCAGAGTGTTGTGCGGCCGTTGTCCATAGCTGGAGGGAAACAGTAACGTCCGCGTTACCGTTTCCCGGATCCTCATCACGAGATAGTAAACCGCCACCCGATGAGTGATCTGTGACGTCGGCAGATCGAGACCACCGTCCAGCTTCCTGGCCTCATAGCGTGCCGGGAGCAAGATCTTGCCTTCTACCAATGACCGGTGACCCGTTGACCTGCGTCGTAGCCTGCGTCTATAAGTCTAAGGTGTCTTCCTCCTCCTCCAGGGGCGGGGGAAGACATCGGAACGCGTCGTAACGCACGTCGTAGGAGGACGACGGGGATTCTTCCTCTTTCGACCTTCGACTTTCGATCACGACCACCAAGGACTATCGGAGACGACCCGTCTTCTTCCTTCCCATCGCACGTTCAGTGGCTGATCTTCATCTTTTGCTTCTTTCCGGAACTTGCAGGTCCCTTCCCTTCCTCGCCAAAACCAAGCCTTCCCAGGTCCGTTCGACTTCGACAACGACTTCGACAACGTTTCATCGGAACACAAGTGGGTACCGTGGCTTCGCTATTATTGAGTTGTCCATCTGGCGAACCAATCCCGGCGGGCTGGAGAGGGGATCCCCGATCTCCCATTCCACGGCCCGGATCGATCATCCATTAGACGTTGAGATCGCATCTGTTACGTCCGGTAGAACGAGACAACCGTCCAGCTCTTTCGTCCTTATAGCGTGGCGGAGCGAGTTCTACCTTCAATCAATGACCGGTGACCACGTCGAACTGCGAGAGCAACCTGTCGTTTAAGTCGAGGCGGTTTACACCGTACGTGTCGCAGGACCTGACTCGCAGCCGGACGACGGGATACGATACGATACGACGACGACGACGATAACGACTGCTCTCGAAGAACAATAGACTCGGTTCGTCCTTCCCGTTCTGCGTCTCGTTTGCTGACCATCATCTGTCCTCGAAGTTGGATTTACAGCTCGCAGGTATTCGGGGAGGCCGCCATCATCGTCGTCGTCGAGACTTGTCGTAAGTGTGTTACCATCCTGGTCCATTGGTCTCCTTTGAACTTCTAGAACGAGACTTCGCTGACCAGAGATGACTTTCTTCGGCTTCTGTTTGTGCTATCTCTATGCTTGCGTCTCTATCTCTATTTTATTCAGGTAGATTCCATCGTCCCGAGTCACGCCGCCGCTCTATCTCTCTTCTTCGATCAGCTCACTGGACGTCCGGTATGTCACGTCATGGTTCCCCTCTTTCGACGCATTGCGTTGCTTTGAGCAACTGTTTATCAGTTGTACGACAAGTCCTTTTCGCTGATCGTCTCAATGCCCATTTTGCCTTGCGTTTCGTTCGAGAACAGCGCCGACCCATCACCCGCCTTTCGTCTTGAACCCCGAAGCAAGGGCTGCGCAACGCATGACTGCACTTCCAGCGCTATTGCCGTAAGTCTACCGGGTTGCCTTGCCGTCCGGGCGAATCCTGTATGCTGAGCGTCGCGTTGATTGAATAGCTCGTATCTGGCGGCGACAGGTCTTCGGGCCCGCAACAATCTTCACGTTGGAAAACATCAAACCTCGATCAGGTACGTGGGACTCGCTCCGTTTCCCGCGGCCCTTATCGTCCACCCCCAAGCACGACGCTGACCCGTATTGCCTTCCTTTCTTCCTTTTCGCAGGAACGACATACGGATCTGAACTTCGACGCCCGGGAGGGATAGGGGAGGCTTTTCGTCAAATGGTTTCCCGGGCTTCTTCTCTTTTTCGTTCCTTGTATCGAAGCCGTCGTCGCAGTGCCAATGAATCTGGACCTATAGCGATCAGATATCGTCGACCGATTTTGAAGAACGCTCCCGTCTCGATCCCATGTCTTTGATATCGTTCCATGCTTCAACTTCGAAAGCACTTGATCGATCTTCCGTTCTAGTCCTGACTTGCACGTCCTCCCGTACCATGGCATACCAGTATGAGAGGTTCCTCGGTCAACTTGACGGAATCTGCTTGTTTTAATGCTGAGGTGTGCTGAAGTCCTGGACCTACAACCCTTCTCAATCCTGCGCGCCCGGCCGGACGAGTTGCACCGAAATCTCCCCTCGATCAGATATGTATGAGACGCGCGCGTATCGATGAGACAAGGCTTCTTTGACGATCGCTCGACCTTGCCCGTCAAAGCTTCAGATCCCCGCGATTATCCTCGTTCATTCGGAAGATGGTAGATGATCCGAGGTACAGTCGATCGTCAAGCTAGCTGTAATTTGCGACTGCTGGCCCGGATAGGGTCGGCGTCTTGTTCAGTTTCATGCGCGGGCTTCGGATCCCTTCAAGGTAAGTATCAAAAGCAAAACAAGCTCGCTCTTGGTCCTCCTCGTAGCCTGAATCTAGCCTGATATATAGCTTCCACTGCTGGTCGCGCCGCTCCAACTTGCAGGGAGCGAAAAGACTATTGCCCTCGCCCGATCGGATGGATAGGTTGATTAAGTATGGGCTAGGGTAAAGTGCAGTAGATGCTATCTCAATGTTGCTGACACGATCCCGCTGATAAACCGGACTCTGGCGTAGCTCCGATTCCAACCTCGGGTCCCACCTATAACCATCGAACCGCTTGTCCTTGAGATGGCAGAGGAGAGGTGCATAACGCTCCAGTCAGACGGAGCGGTAACCCCGAGACATCGGTGCAGCGAGTGCTCAGGCGAGAGGTGCATAACGCTCAGGCGCACTCGATTGCGATGGCATTTGGGGCTGATGGATATAGAGGTCGCCAAAGCCGATGAGGTGCGTAAGGCGTCAGCCGATCTATCAGACGGGGTGTGCGAGCTCAGCATGGTCGCCAGACGATTCAGGTTGAGCATTGCCTGAAGGTTCTGCGTGTATTGTTGATTCATCGCGAGTGTTGGGTTGCGGATGGGAAGGTCAGAAGTCGGGAGGTCGAGCACCACGTCCTTGCAAGACAGCCAATGTCTTTGTAGATGAGAAAGCGCGTTGACATCGCTGTCCGCGCAACCAATCCAATCGCTCCATCAGCTCAAATGGGAAGGTTTGACACGAGGCGCGGAACTTTCTCTCTGCAAGCCAACACGCGGCTTCCTGCAGGTTTGTTGCGTGATCGACGATCATCTGGTTGTACAATGTACCGATCAATCAGCAACTCGCCGTCAGAGACAACGACGCTCAGGACAGCGAATCGATATGGATCTACTTGTCAGCAAGTCTGGCCAACACCAGACCTCTCTCAGAGAGGCTTCAATAAGGCGCAGGCCCCTTGCTGGTCTTATCGATTACCGCTGATCCGTCGGGCGCATTGCTTTCCCACGCCGGCGCGGCTGATCCAAGCCATTCGCGCGGGCTCAATACGTTGATTCGCTAGACCGGTACCGTCACCCGTCCAAGTTCAGGTCTGCTGTTTCCATACGGCTGATCTTAAACCCTGGCGACTTTCATTTACACACCCGATTTAACGTCACCGGAAACAGCCCGGTTCCCAATCGACCAGCATCAATCGACCGATTTTGCCGACAAAGGGAAACGCGATAGCCTCTTTCTATCATGATTGACAATATCAACATAGATCATCGAAGACAGTCATATCACTTGTTCGAGCTTACAGACCGGTATGGCCTCAACAGCTCGGTAGTGCGATTCGCCCTTTTGATAGGGGAGGTAGCTTTCGAGTACCTATGAATCGCCCTGTTTCACCACATGGCCAGGCGGATAACGGCCGAGACCCATGGATCATCTGGATTACCAATCCTCTTGATTGACCTTGAAAAGGAGACTTGGAAAACTCTCTGATGTACTGGTGATAACCGGCGGCGCCCGTCTGTCCCTTGCGCTGCAAACATCCAGGACCGACCTGAGTGGGGATCTCGCTGGAATGTCTTCCGTCGAAATTGTCTCGCTCGTTGCAAAGATTGCTTCTGAGCGAATCCGATACCTGATGCTCGCACATCTTCCATCTTGGTCCATAGCGCCTGGCTTTGGGGCCGGGTGTTGGGTTTGAAACGAGACGCAAATAGGGTGAGTGAGAGATTGTCGAAAAGCAACCTGACAAGGCTAGAAATTCTTCTTTTCTCATCATGCAGGCTCGACAAGCGGAAGTGAATCGCAACGCCGTGATCCTCTTTCGTCGATTTCGAAACCCCTGATAAATCTCATTACCATTGAACTTCGGCTTGATGGAAGGCCGAGCAATTTATTTTATATCAGCATCCAACCTGTCTCACATGCGAACCGCATTGCGAAGGGCCATCCAAGGTCGCTCATGCTGCACAACAGGATCGGATGGTCTGCGCCCAACGGTGTCTTAAGGGTCAAGGGAGTCCAAGCGCTCAGCATCCCCGGGACCAAGAGAGATCAACCCTAATCGACCATCCTGTCTGGAGAGACGAAGCAAAAACCGCGCGACGAGGCAAAGTGAAAGTTGAGATAATACTCGATATCGCTTACCAGTCGCTCAAGCGAGACCGCGAAAAGATGGCGCATTTCAAAGTCGATACGGAGTCGAAAAGCGTTCAACACAATGCGAGAGATCGAAGACGATAGATATCATAAGGATCACGGACGTCGTTCGGAACGAAGTAGATACAAGGAGGTGCAGACTGGCAACCCGCTCAGAGTACAGCGACAAGCTCGCCTCAAGAAAGGACTATGGGCTCGTATGTCGCTTCAGCTTCACCCTGAAGGTTTGGACTGAGCTCGACATGAGCGTCTCATCATGTAGGGTTCCCGATCACCGCTGGAGTGTTTGACGTCCTACAACAACCGAGATACAACCTTCAAAAGCCGAACGGCCATCAGTACAATTGTCGGCATTTGATACGACGGGCCATATGACTCACAAGACGCGGCCATTACGACAACAACGAAAGCATTTTACAACAACCTATAGACCAACCGGCATCAGGCGTCAGGTATGCGAGACGGTGCGAGAGAATTCAAGGAGCGGAGAACTTACAGGAACAAGTCCATCCCACGGTCCAACGTCAATACGATCCATCATCCGGCCTGGCTGTTCGTATCGGGGAAGGCAGGTCGACTTATGAACGGGACGATCACGAGCACAATATCGAAGCTCGAGATTGGGGACTCACCGATCATCCGATAGGTGAACGCCCGTGGTGCTGCCACTCGGGATCGATGGGATCCCGGCCCGTATACCCTCCATGGGCCGATCAGGTCTGGAACGCAAAGCCATTCGGAGTCAGCGACATGACGTCATGATCAAGACAAGGTACGATGCGAGTGAACATGTCGGGAAAAGGAACAGGAATACCAACAAAGCTACCGAAACATACCTTGAAGCAGCGAGGTCCATGCTGATGATGACTTGCCAGGGTCGCGACAAGCTGGAACCCGGGTACCTCGCTGTTGCCGCCGTGTCGCCCGTCCTGGTGCCTACAACCTACGGCCTTCCGGAGGAACGAGGAGAGGAGGACCAGCCGTTCGTGCGTAGGAGCAAGCGGGCAAAAGCTGCGACGGGACGACCTGTCATGCCGCTCGGATGGTGGGATGTCGATGCTTTAAGCCCGCTTGAACACACCGCGCGGTACGTTTAAACCACGGGCCTGAGCAAGTCGGGGTACTCCATCCCATACCGAGAAGCCAGAATAGGTCAGCGTTTGCGATACGTGTGGCGTATTGTAAGGCGGGTGGTGGGGGCAGGGGGTGGAACGATACGGTGTCGAATGGGGTCTCTGCTCGTCGGGAACATGTCAGCATAATGCGTCGAGAACAAAAGCACATCAGATGAATGACGACATACCTCTCTGAAAGCTATCAGCCCGGATCAGATCGGTTGAACGTCAGCGGTGTGAGAGCGAGGAGGATACAGCTGCTGAAGATTCGATCATCCGAAAGGGCGACTACTCTGAGCTCACCTTGGCACCATCGCCGTTTCATCGGACCTGCGAACATGCGAGCGAGGAAACGAGGCCAGGTCAGCATGCAGCAAGTGGAGGATGAGGTGATAGTCCGGATGGCGATGAGAGGAAAGGAGATTTGGACTGGTCGACCTCAAACGAATATCCGGACTCGCCAACGATAACTCACCCCAAGCTGTCATCAAGTTCGAGGTCCGTGGTCATCGTCGTCGTCGTAATCGTCGTCGTAATCGTCGTCATCCTCGGGAGTTGATGATCGAGGTGCGAAAAGATGAAAGTGATGAAGATGAAGAGAGAGCAAAGAGGGGGACTCGACGCCGGGGGGGGGGGAGCAAGAGCTGTCAGTCTTATAGCGAGTTCGCGTCCTGCGCACATCGACCGCCCAACCTGCACGTGATCACCATCACCCCCATCACCCCCATCTCATCGTCCAATCGTCTTGCATCGCTCGCCGAGGAAACCCGATCCGACCGATGACGAAGCCTGGGCAGGCGGCGAGCAGCGAGCAGCAGCACAGCAGGCAGTAAGCAGAGGAGCAGGAGACAGCGCACAGGCCCGGAAATGAAGAGGAGGACATGACACGAGGGTTCCAGCACGTAGCACGGCGGGAAACGGAGGACCAAGGCAGGAGACGCAGGGGATCTCGACACGCGAGAGGCTTCCGCCACTTTAGGCATGAGAAGCAGCGAAAGTGAGCAATTTTGTACCTATTGGTCTTATAACGTTTGATGGCTTGATTTAGGAAGCAAATCCGGATGTATTTAGCGACGGGTTGCGATGTTGACGAGCCGGGGAATGACTATAAAGATCGAGGCATGGAAAAGGGACTGTTCGGGTTGGCCGCCAAGTGTCTCCCGAGCTTGATTCCTATCAGCGACGCCGCAAGTCAACGTTACCGTCTTTAGCCTTAGTACTCGACATTAAACATCAACATAACACGACGCAACGTCTTGCCATGTCCGCCACCCAAACTTGTGAGTAACGAGAGCCTCGCTCTGCCTACTATTATGATCGTATTTGATGGATGACAGCTGACGAATACATCCAGCTTACGCCGATGCCGTCAAGGGAATCTCACCCAAGGCTTCCCCTGAGCCGGTCTCTTCGCCTCGACCCGCTTCACCGACTACTATCTCATCGAAAGACACCCTCGGCTCCTCTACTACGGCTCCTCCTCCTGCCCCGAGCTATGTCACTGAGACGGCTGCGAACGACATTATCACGGCCGAGAAAGCGACCCCCGTCATCACGGCCGAGAAAGACGTTGAAGAAAGCGTCGTCGAGCGGAACCTTGCCGCCAACGAGCGAAACGTTGCCGCCGATGAGCATCACGCCAGCCCCCTTGCTCTTTCACTCCCCGATACCCCGTTGAGCTTCATCTCCGAGCTCATTCCTGCCGAGGAAGACATTATCGTCGCTGCCACCGGGAAGCAAAAAAAGAAGCTCGGCCCAAAAGTAGTCGACGTCTATCACGTCTATCGGACCCGAAAGGAAGACGAGATAGACGTCTATCGGACCCAAAAGGAAGACGAAGTCGACTCTGTCACCTCCGCGCCGTTCCCGCCCGCGCCGTTCCTGCTCCCCTATGCGGTCGAAATCGAGCTCGGATATGAATATATACGCAAGGATAAGAACGCACGCAAGGCCCTGAGTCGGATCAGCGAGGCGCTGGGAGGATCGGACGTGGGAGGGAATGGATCGGAGGTGGGAGGGAAGGACGACGATGTCAGTAACAATATCGGTATCACGTTCGACCGGTCGTCCACGGTCGCCCTGTTCCGACATGCAAGAGACGCCGAGCTGTTCTTGGCGCTCAGTGGACAAGTCTTCGAACCATCGGAGGGAGAATGGCACTACGTGCCCGGTATGTCCGCGGAGGTCTTCCTCAAGAACGGCGTCACGTTCCAGTCGCAATCGGGATATCGCGCCGTGTTCGATCGATTGCGGGGCTACGGGGAGATTGTCCAGATCATCCGCAAGGCCGAAGAGGATGAAGAGGACGACGAAGGACCCTCTTCGTACTCGTATTCGTACTCGGTCTTCTTTCGTACCAAGGTCGCCTCTAGCGCTGCATTGCGGGAACCGGAGTTGCGCAGATGTCGGTACAATGAAGGGGTCGCTCCCAAGAGGAAGCCCGTCGACGCAGTAGTACAGGTGCGCCAGAATCACAATCAGAATTGCTATCTTGGAGAGGTTCGTACTAACGACGCTTACCTTGCCTGTCATACAGTTGGAAAAGAAACCCCGAAAGAAGAGGAAGAGTGGTCAATCCCAGCACTCGGCCTACTCGACAGATGTCACCACTATTATCGATCTGGACGCCTCTGCCGAGTCGACCTCTCAGCCTTCTTTCACGATCTATGAGTGGTTGACGATATCGGCAATTCAGTACGACGTCAGGCCGCTTTACGCGTGGGCTTGCCCGTTAATTACTCCTTCTCCGGTGACCAAGATCGACGAGCCGGAATGGTCTTGGGAAGCTCTACATCCGCCTCCTCCATCTTGAAACATTCGTGTTGTAGTAATAAACTCTTGTACTCGTACGACTCTGTGAGCCAATCAGCTATGATGAACGATGCGATGATCTGATGGATCTGATGATATGATGACGAATCCGACAGCCAGATCGAATGGGTAGCCCTAGCGAGCGAGTGAGCGATCGGCCGAGCTGAATCATCTTTTCCCTCTCGACTCTCCTTCCCGACCTGGGCTGGGCGCTGGATATGAATAGCTACATATAACGACATATAGCCAGGCAGCAGGCAGGATCATACGACGTCCTACGGTATGATACCAGAGTCATACCGCTCGCCCGAATGGTTTTCATCGAACGAGGACTCGTAATATGGAACTCCTTCGTTCCGCCTTCGAGTTGCTCGGAATCTCCAAAAGACAGGCCGATCCGGCTAGTCTGCGGATCCGTCTGAAGCAGGACAAGCTATCCGATCCTGAAAAGTGGCAAGGTTACCTTCTGTTCATCTCGGCCACCCCATTCGAGGGCGAGTTCGTGAACCACGACAGGCTGAGCGACTTTTATCCTTCCAAGAGCCTGCGCAACTGGGAGGAGAACACATCCACCAGCTACGCGTCGTTCGATGGCTCGCGGCGTAAATTGATCTACTATATCGCTTTTCGCTATGATATGACCTTGGAAGATTCCCATGTTGTGAGTAGCTAGTAGCTTCTTACAGAGGCCGGTGGCTTATAGCATTCCCGACTTCATCGTCTAATCTCGATCTCGGTCACTTTCTCGCCCGACGACAGATTGAGACGATCCATCGATGGGAGATTGCGTTGGCCTGGGAAACCCTGCGCCAGATAGCATTGACGAGGACGTTGTTGCTCATGCTAGCACAACAAGAGCCTGCGACCTCGGACTGGGAAAGACCGAATGCGAGCGCTTTGGCAGAATTGGACGAATGGGCTGCGGTCGTGAGTAGATCTTGGCTCTTTGTGTTTCGAATACCGACTACAATAAATATATAACGCTCTGTTTCTTTGCGAATGTTACAGGCACGATATGACTTCAGCACGTCTTTTCCTAATTCGGAGCCTCTCATCAAGAGCTGAACCCATGATTTTTTCCCCTTACAGAGCGGCTCGACAAGGCTCTACAGCAACTGGGGTGGTTTGAGATGCGAGGCTCTCGCGTCAGCGACTGGTCCTCCGCCGACCAGCACCAAAGCGCAGTATGGCTTCCAGCGATGAGCGATTTCTCTTACAAGATCTTTGTCCATTGCAAGCGTATCATCCGTGGCGAGGACGTTCTTTCAGGAAGGACATCGACCGCCTTGTCCGCTGGGGCGATTCGAGCTCTGGTACAACAGTATCAACCTTTCAAACCCATCGCCAAGGAGGCAGCACCTGTGAACTGGTGGCGGTCGAGGTTGAAGGAAGACCCCTTTGAGTGTTGGGGTCAATATCGGGAGCGATCGGATTTCAGCCTCGACGTCATGTCGCCGTACGCAAAGGTCAGTCTCAAGCGGGCCGGGTCGATCAGTCTCTGTCGTGACGGCTTCCTTTGTCATCCCGTCCACACACTGCACAGCGTGTACTGATTGGGCACCCTTTGAATCTGGCTGCAGGAGGTCGAACGTTGGCTCCTTCCGCCTTCTTTCGATAATGAAATCGACCCTCAGCGCAACGCCGCGCCTCGACCAGAACCCTCACCCGAAGCTCAACTATCAGCCCAAGCTCAATCCGAACCTAAAGCCCCATCACGACCCGAACACGAAGCCGAACCTCAATCCAAATCGGCCGAGTCGGGACATACCGAAATCTCTTCATCGGACCAGGCTGGCACGGACGCACCTGGGATCCCAGAGTCGGACTCTGCGGAAAAGGTCGACCGTCAACTGGGCGGAAGGTTGGGAGCGGACGAGAAGAAGGCCACCCCAGATGCGCTCGTCCTCGCCAAGACTTGAGGGCTGGGGTCGATCAACCTTTCGCATGTTCCGCACAGGGATGAATGACACTTCGCAAATCGCAATATAACTCTCAAGGCAAGACGCTTTTCGAGGCGGGACCGTAGGCGAGTTCCGGCTTCGAACGTGTCGAGGAGGACGCTTTCGTTTGGTTTTATCACAACACCGAGGGTAGACGGACTGGTTCCCTTTGGGCTTGCCGCCCATCCACTATACGAGTCATAATCGACCCGGCCCTTCGAGTCTGGCCTAGATACTTTGCCAAGGCAGGAACCAGACGAGGGGCGGCGGAATCCGGACGGTCAACAGATAGTCAGGCTTCGAGAGGGATTGCTCGTCGTGTAGCCCGAGATGGGCTGGCGGGCGTATCATTGTAGCTCGGAGACGACTCGGTTCGAGGGCTTTGATTTGTCAATAATATTGTTCCATTCTTGACTTTATTCGGGTATCGAATGGTGTTACGGGGCATAAACAAAGCTTGGCTGATGGATATCGAGTCTTCTATGATTCCGTTCGTACCTTGCTACCTTGACCGGATGACGAATCCAAGGAGACGAAGCCGGCAAGCCTGCCACCCTTGGATCGGGGTCGACCGATCTTGTCGTGAATTAGAACAAACGTCAAAGACCAGTCGAAATATTTCAAAGCAGCGGACCGGATCCAGCTCAGCTGAGGAAAGTAATCAAGAGCTCCAAGATCTAGCGAAAGGTCCCGGGAGCACTCGAACAAGGCTGAGATATGCCGCCGAAAGTCAAGAAGGAGGTCGATCAGTGAGCATGTTGAAGTTGGGGTTATCGTAGAGCTCTTCTAACTTTACCGGGTGTATACCGATTTGCAGGCCGTCGATATCCAGCTTCTTCAAACCAGCTGCAAATGCCGCTGCTTCTTCTTCCTCTCGTACAACACCGTCGGATTCGCAGAATGTAGCTCGTACGCCCAAGAGGAGAAAGCTGGGAAGCCCGTCAAAGGTCGAAACCGCGCCTATAGAGATAGACTCTGAAGCAAGTAGTGACGTCGAGATTCAACATATAGCCAGCAGGAACGACGGAGATCTCCAGGAGGATATCATTACACCAATAGTCCAAACGGATCATCGGACCAAGACGTCACTGCAACAGAAAAACAAAGATCAGCATTCGACCACGAGTGCAGGACACTCGGGTCTCTCTAAATACACCGCTCCGGCCTATCTTCAACAACCTGAGGACCAGCATCTCGATACCAACGGCAAGAACGATTCGACCACGCCTCGATTACCTTTCCCGCTGCTGATAACCGAAGACAAAGATCCCCTCAGCCAGATCGATGAGCAAGAGAAGAAGGATCGTAAGCGGCGGCATGAGCGTTGGCAAACCCGGATAGGCCAGGGGTTGGTAGCACCTAGAAGAAATAGTTTGCCACTAGATCAGGCCGAGGAGGAAGATATGAATGGGCAAGAGGCTGAAATTGAGATGCTTGGAGATGAGGAAGAGGATGTGGAGATGACTACCGGAAGAGCCGGTTCGAAAAAGACAAAGACGAAAGCGGGGGCTGGGACGAGCAAGTCTATCAAACCGAGCAAGGGAAAGAAGAAGGACGAGATAGGCCCAAGTGGGATGACGTATACTCCATTGGAAAAGCAGGTAAGACTCGGCCACTCGTTACTGCTCGCCTAGACGGTTTGTGCTGTGCGCGCTGACGATGAGATTGTGGTACTTGATACAGTTCATGGAGATCAAAGCGGCGAACCCGGACGTACTCTTGGCTATGGAAGGTAAATCTTCACGATTGGCGATACTCAAACCGGCCCTCGAGCTAATCTTGTCATCGAAACAGTCGGCTATAAATTCAAGTTTCATGGCGAGGATGCAAAGATCGCCTCCAGGGAACTCGGGATCGCTTGGTCAGTCCTTACGTGGCGAGGTCTTTAATCTGTTTGAGCGTCGATGATCAGCTGATATGCAGACCTCTGGCGTTGGCTTGATCAGTTTCCCGATGAGGAACTTTTACAGCGCGTCGATCCCGGTACATCGCGTGCACATACATGTCAAGAAGTAAGCCCGTTATCCCTGCTCACCTTGTACATCTAATGGAACGCCCATACCTACCATCTGTTGCTCATTTCCAGGCTCATCGCCCGAGGTCATAAAGTGGGCGTAGTCAGACAGACGGAAACTGCCGCACTGAAGGCCGTAGGCGACAATCGTAACAAGCCTTTCGAGAGGGCGATGACGAACCTCTATACTGCAGCAACGTATGTCTACTTTCTCTGTGGGAAAATCACCGAGTAGTACCGACCGCCCGAATCTTCACAGCTACGTGGACGATTCTTCTCTCAATGACGACGATTTGTTAACGGATCCGGCCCGGTCGACAAACGCTTTCGTCTGCATAACCGAGAGTAACGCGGGCGGGAATGGTACCGACGATCAAGTCCGTATATCGATGCTGGGGGTTGTCATCGGGACTGGCGATGTCACCTACGACGACTTCAAGGATACGCATCTACGGAACGAATTGGAGGTATGTGGCGAGGTCGTCTGGTGACTGGGCTGTCACGCAAGCTTACATCGTAGGTACACATAGACAAGGTTGACACACATGTCGCCTACGGAAATACTTTTGCCTGAGAAACCACTCAGTAGATCGACGGAAAGAGTCATCTCGAGCTGGATCGATCGCTCAGAGTGAGTAGACGGTCAAGTGGCCACCGCGGCCATTTCTCATGGGTATCTCTTCTTTAGGAGCACTACCGGTACGGGAACACGATTGGAGCGGCGTCCATTCATGAAAGGTCGAGACAAAGCTCTTAAAGCGATTTCGCGCTTCTATCACGAGAGTGTTGCAAAAGACCCGGCGGATTCTTCTTACGTGGACCTGTTGAGCGACAACGAAGATGGTCAGGATGTTGCAAAAGCGGGCGCTGTCGCTTCTCAACCTGATAGTGAGTTCGCTTCCACGCGGGACGGATCGAGCCGTGAGGTTGACGACTCCCATGCCTGCCCAGTCGAGAAACGCCTATCACAGCTGGAGAAGCTACCAGACGGTATCTCGTAAGCCAATCCTGCTATTATAACCATTTCGGAGCGCTTCTGACGGTCAAACAGGTCGTGTACAGCCGCTTCTATAGAGCATTTGCAGCGCAAGTCGCCGTTTTTTCCCCTTTATTTGATTGGAAGAATCCAAGCCCAGCGATTGACGATACATATCGTTACTCTTAGGCTTTGGTCTAGCAGACGCGCTACTCCATGTGGAAACCTTTTCCGAGTTTACGACTCGGAGCACCATGCTCCTCTCCGCCAACACGCTCATCAACCTCGAGATTTACCGGAATCAGACCGATTACGGGTCGAAAGGTAGCCTGTTGTGGCTGATGGATCACACTCGGACCAAGATGGGCAAACGCTTGCTACGGGATTGGATAGGTCGTCCCCTCGTCAATGTGGATCTGCTTGAAGAGAGGCTCGACGCGGTTACGGAGATCAAGGACAATGCTAGCCTCACATTGGAGAAACTGAAAGGGCTGTTGAAAGGGTCAATACCGGACCTCGGTCGCGGGATGAGTCGTATACAATATGGACGGGTAAGCGGTTATAGCCCCTGTGAGGGATATCCATCTTCTGACTCCTAGCCTTCGACATTTAGGCTACTCCTGGAGAGGTTGCTACAATCTTGGTTGCGTTTCAGCGTCTCGCGGAGGAATTTCAGCCAGACATGCCAACGGGCATGCCTCAAAGCACGCTTTTGGCTCGTATAGCCCAATCTTTCCCGAAGATCAAGGAGCCGGTCTCTCGCCTTCTGAGCGAAATCGACATACGAAAAGCTCGCACGGACAAGCCCGAAGACATGTTCAAGATTGTAGATACGTATCCGAAGATCGCCCAAGCGCGTCAAGTAGGTTATCGGGTTTGAAAAGCTTGGCTAGAAGGGCAAGACATCGCTGACATTACGTTCCAAAGGCCATTGAGGATTCCGAAGCCCTGCTTGATGGTCATCTGAAAGACATACGGCGCGACCTAAAGATGGGCGCGCTGCAATATGTCACGGTAGCTGGAATAGAGGTGGGCTTTGTCCGGCATTCGAGCTGAGGGTCCGCGTCCTGTTTTTTGATCGCTTCGGTTCGCAGCATCTGATCGAATTACGACTCAAGCATGCGGTTCCGGATAACTGGATCAAGATTTCGTCGACCAAGCATGTCGCTCGATACCATACCCCCTTCATTGTGGCAAAGTCAGTATGTCCGCGAAAGATCTAATCTTACAACGAGACTAACGAAGCCACATCAGATTGAAAGAGCTCGAACAAGGCAAAGAGACCCTCATCGCGGCTGGCAAGGAAGCTTTTCTCGATTGGCAAGCTCGGATTTCGCAGCATTACGATACGTTGCGAGAAGCCACGTTATCGCTCGCCACATTCGATTGCTTGATGTCAATGGCAAAAGTAGCGATAGGATCGGGATCGGAATACTGCCGACCGTCATTCGTTCGAGAAGGCAGATTGCTCGACTTGCGCGACGTCCGTCATCCGATGGTGAGCTGGTTATCGATCGATTGTGAACGTTCGAGGAGGCTGATCTTGGTCAATGAGTGTGCAGTCAGAAGCTCTTATGGAAGACTATGTCGCCAACGATATCAAGTTCTCGGACGAAACATCACGACTCGCTATCCTAACAGGACCAAATATGGCCGGTGAATTCAGGTCCGATCTCCTTCGATTTGGCGAGTGCTGAATCTGGTCGTTTGGGAGCAGGCAAAACCAGTTTCACCAGAGCGGTGGCTCTATGTCTGATCATGGCTCAGGTTGGCTCTTATGTGCCGTGCAGCCGGGCCGAGCTTAGCGTGCATGACGCTGTCTGGACGTGAGTTCGGTATGAAGATGATGCCTTCTGAAAATACCTAATTGTTTGCATTCGCGCGATACAGGAGGATGGGCGGTACGTTGATCGTCGCTGCGGTATACTGACTATTTTGATGACAGCTGACGGTTGGCCGATGATCCGTAGCTTCCGACGACCTGGCTCGAAACCGATCCACGTAAGTCCCTTGAACCGACTGATGGTATATCTCAGATCAAGAGCTGATCCTATCTTGGTCTGGACATAGTTTCATGGTCGAGCTCAAGGAGACCTCGGACATACTCGCTGGGGCGACCGTGAACTCGTTTGTCGTTCTCGATGAACTCGGTCGAGGTACGTCTCTTTTCACTCTTGACGTAACGAGAGCGTAATTAGCTCGTATGCTGACATGTGTGCGTTTTTGATCAGGTACGTCAACGATGGACGGCACTGCTATAGCCTGGGCGGTACTCGGTAAGAACAGTTTGCATTTCAGAATGGAATTCGATGTTGCTGACGCATTATCATCCAGATCGGCTCGTGCAGCAGGGATGTAATGCCAGTCAGTACAAGTGGCAAAAATCGTTAGCAGTATGAGAAGACGAAGCTGATAAACCTGGATTTAAACAGTCTTTACTACCCATTTCCCTGCGCTTGCCAGGATTCACGAGCAGTACTCACGTAAGCGCCTGAACTGTCTCGAAGGTCGAGCATTCCGTTGATAACTTGCTGTGTGATCTTTCAGGCGAGGTGTCTGTGCATCACATGGGATTCACAGAAATCGAAAGAGCGGGTGAGTCGCGCTCGACCTTATCTGGTCAAACGCAACTGGGGCTAAGACCCGGTCGATTATATCGCAGATGGCCAGCCAGAGATCGTCTTCCTCTACAAGCTACTCCCTTCGCTCTCACATCGTTCATTTGGCACCTACGTAGGCCGGTTGGCAGGTCTACCTCAGGGGGTACTCGAACGCGCAGACCGTCAGAGCGAGTGGATGAGGGAAAAGGTCAAGACGCAGTGGGTGGGCAAGCTGGCGAGACGACTCGAGGGGAAGGTATTTGGGGGAGAAAGCTCTGACGAGGATACAGGGGAGAGTCGGGGGCAGAAGGTTATAGAGGCTCTTCGGGAGATAAAAGGCAGCGGTGGATAGCTGTACAAGCACCAAGGCATGTGATTGAGAGAGATCAATGATGACGATCCGGATTTGACCGAAAGCGCAAGGATTCCCCCCTTGCTCGCGCGTATCATGCTGCTAGCTAGGATCCCTTCAAGGTCATCTATCGTCATCAACAACTGCCGTATCTTGTCAATTGATGCATACCGAGCTGTAGACGTCTGACAGGTCCATCTCCAGCATCACGGACAACTTGGCAATGTCGGAGAACGCACCTCTCCTCCCCTCATCGGCAGACTCGCCGCCTCTCGCCGGTCAACAACGAAAACGACCCGCCCGTACGATCCTCGTCGTCCTCGCCCTTATCGGAGCGTGCATCTTTGTCGGGATCAAGGGAGAGAATGGACTCTTACCCAAGAATCCTATGAAAAGGGCACAATACTTTCTGTCCAATTCTCCTGTCATCGACGGTCATGTGGATCTGCCCGAGCTCGCACGGGTCATGTATGGCAACAATGTCGACGAGTTTAACCTGAGAAAGAAGACTGTGAGTCACGTTCATTTTCCCCAGGTCAGCATCATCCCTTTATCGCATCATCGATCTGAAACCCTTATCCTTCGATATAGGTCGGTCAAGTAGACATTCCTCGTATGAAAAGGGGTCATATGGGCGGGATGTTCTTCTCCGTCTACGTCGACTGCGTGGAAGACGGACCCGACTTCTTGCTCCCCACGAACCGGGTCAGGGACACGTTGGAACAGATCGACGTGGCCAAGTTGATCATGGAGAGGTATTCGGACGTCTTCGAGTATTGCGAGTCTGCTATCCAGGTTCGCGATGCGATCTATGGAGGCAAGGTGGCTGGGCTTTTGGGGGTCGAAGGGTGAGCCCGATCGTCCTTCCTCATCGGTATATCGATTTGACCGACTAGGGTCATTTTCCCTCAGAGCGCATCAACTAGGAAACTCTCTCGGAGGTACGTATGCAGTAATCAACCCGATCGTAACCGAATTACCGACTGACATCCATAATCCCATACTTCGAAATCGCAGTGCTCAGACAATACCACGCCCTAGGTGTCAGGTACATGACCCTTACGCATTCTTGTAACAACGCTTTTGCGGATTCGTATGTCCTTTCCTCACTCTTTTCCCTTCCGACTCGCCCACGGTGACAGTCAAGCGATACCGTAACATCGCTTTGAGGATGAGACTGATCCTTTGTGGTTGATCGGAATATCCAGGGCTGGAATCTTTGAACCGGTCGAACCGGCTCATGGAGGATTATCGTGAGTATCACGTTTTAATGAGAGAGTTCAGTTATCGCCGTGATGTGATTCTGACTCGTATGACTTGCGTGCTGTTTGCTATAGGTCGTTTGGAAAGGATTTGATATACGAGATGAACCGGGTCGGAAGTAGGTTTATCTCACCTTAACGGTGGTTGACGAGGCTTGCTGATGCTTTGAGAATCAGTCCTGGTTGATATCAGCCATGTTGCCGATACGACCGCTCTGCAAGCCCTGTGAGTCGTCCATTTTCATGCTATATTGGGTATCCGTCTGACCATTCAAACCTTTTTCCCTATCCCAGCGAGCTCACGCGAAGTCCGGTTATCCTGTCCCACTCGGACGCTCGACACTTCAACAACATCTCACGTAACGTGCCCGACGAAGTGCTCCGTAGGATCGGTAGCGGCAAAGGCAAGAACGACGGGGTTGTCATGGTCAACTTCTACCCGGCATTCTTGCTCCCTCGAGGACAAAAGGCCGACGTCAAGACCGTCGCGGACCATATCGAATATATCGCTAGCATTTCCGGGAAAGCTCAGTGAGTTTCTTGTCGAAGCGTATCTTTCCTGTAACCAGTCGAGTCAAAACACTGACCGATGGGTCTTTGGGGACTGTTTGTACAGCGTCGGAATCGGGTCGGATTACGATGGCGTCGAGACCGTGCCGGAGGGTCTCGAAGATGTCTCAAAATACCCTGAACTCGTAAGTCCCCTGTCCTCGCTTCAATCCACAGCGTTAGATTTGGCTGACAATCCGCTTCCTCTTGTTATCGTATGGCCCAACAGTTCGCCGAGCTCATCCGGCGAGGTGGATGGTCCCAAAAGGACCTTGCCGGCCTAGCAGGGGAGAACTTGCTCCGAGTGCTCGAAGGTGCCGAGCGGGTCGCTTTCGACATGAAGAAGGAGGGGAAGCAGCCTAGTATGGCCGTCTATGACAAGAGGACGGACTTGGGCAATGGAGGGGAATATTAAACTTTCGGACGGCCCTTGGGTTACTTTCTGCTCTCTCCTGCATGATCTAATAGGACATAGTTTCGGACCGTGACGGTCATACAAGTCGGAGCTTTCCAATCATTGCGTCCAACATTCTGGTCCCCTTGACTCTCGTTCATTTTTGCCAGGCCCGTACAAGAGATCGTTGACCCATTCGACGAAATTATCGGTCGAACCTGTATTTATTCCATCTTGGAAGGCCACTTGTGTGTCTCGATTATCGCTTACATGCTGATCTGCCGCGCTTTCGAGCCACGGGTAGATCCCCGGAGGTAGATTGTACTTGAGGGCACATACGAACCATGCTGGATTGGGCATGATCCAACCCGTTGGAACGGCGAGATAGAGGCGAGCTGAAGGGTTGCGAGTGCCTTGGATCTGCTTGTCCCGAGATTTCCTGCAATCGCCGCGTTTGTGGGTAGCCATGTGGCGGTTCACAACTTTGAAGGGGAAGACAAAGCATCGAACCGTCCTTAGTTTTCGGTTGAGCGCGTTGGGAAAAGATGGAATTGCCATGTGGGCCACAACAGGGTCGCTCTCTTTAAGGTAGTGTCCCTGCCATTCCGTGTCTATTATCTCTCCGAAATAGATTCCTAGGTCGGTCAAGGTTTGGGATTGGTCGAGTCGGGCTACCAGACGAGGTTGTTCATCCCCTTCGGGGTTGGCGAGGAGCACGAACAGTTTCTCTAGATGCGTGGCGACGTCCAAGACCCGGCTCAGCGACTCGTAGGAAATCAGGGCGCTTCCGAAGTGAAAGACCTCGAGATGCTTGAAAATGGCGTCGAAGCTTTCCTCTTTCTCGACTTCTATAACCCCTAGGCTAGGTTCCTGGTCATTCCAACGCGCTTCTCGAACTTCTTTAAAGGTCTTCATGACTTGATCAAGGGACGGCGTCTTATCTCTCCCGGTGATCAGGGAGGTCAACCGGAACTCGGGTCTTGGCCACAGCCGGAATCCGGGAGCGTCCAACTTGATAGGATGCTCATAGGGGAAATGAAGCTTCAAGGTAGGGAGTTCTTCCGTGGGCGTGTAATTGATTTCCGCAGTGTAGATTTCTCCATCCCAAGTTGCTGAAATCTTCAAGGTTTCCAGGCGCTTCAAGTCCTTGCGTACCTCAGAGGCGATGGAGAGATCAAGGTGCCGAGCCGTGGCTTCTTTATAATCAACAACAGAGGCCTTGTAAAGCGCCTCTCTTTCCTGAACGAGCAAGTGGCAGACGACTGTGAGCTAGTCCTTGCTCTGAACTACGCTTGGCGGCTGACTTACCGGCGCAATCGCGATGACTTTTTCCAACTTGAAAGACGTCGTCTTGCGCCACAATCCTTGAATAGCAGCAGGGAGACAGTCCTTGGAGATGCACGTCATTTTCTTGAGCTCGGATCGGTCTTGAATATGAGCGATGATGAGATCTCGGATATGAGGGATCTCGAACATCTTCTGAGCTGGAGAAGAGTCCTGCAGATTCAATCGCAAGATCAGCACGGGCGACGAGATTGAATGACTATCATCTATGTAATGGTGGCGTTCCTCACCCCGGCCTGTATTTCCGCCATTGTCGCTGTCGTGCGGATAGCTATATGTGCGTAACAAGTCGAGGAGGGAGGATACGGGGCAATTAGGAGCTTTGAATTGTGTATCAGACAGGATTGACAGGACTGAGTGATCGTAGACTCAGTCCCATAAAAGTCTGCTGGACATTCGAACAGGCTGATTGTACTTTCCGGCGGAAACAAAGTGCGATCCGTCCATGACGTTATCAACTACAGTATTTCGAATCGCAAAACATCATATCGCGAGACGTGCGATTTGCATATATCATATTGCATTCGCGAGGTCCAAAGTATACAGTAGTACGTTCCGCAAGCAAATTGCGTTGATATAGCTCAGATGGAGAAATGATTGTGTGCGTTAAACGAACCTTGGTCGATCGAACTTACGCGCACTGTAGTCGTACTTTGTCATACCTAATCGTATGACAAGATATGTAAAAGACGCAGGGATCGTAGCTCATCCGCCCAGAGCATCATTATAATAATAATTCAGCAGTATCTACCATGGTGATGTATTCAAAGGTTACGGCAACTGTCATCCGCGGTCCACAAACACCGGATGGAGCATGCGCGTCGTGTTCTGAAACACGGAGAACAAAGAGAAAACGATGGCGCGAAGGAAAGCAACAAATTCACAAAGCGGGTCGAGCCCATCAGTTTGATCACTTCATCAAAGATGAAAGAGTCCGACCTGGGACGTCGTTGTTTCCATACTCGACCACTCCTTGCTGTAACACTCATATCCGCAGATTCATCTGGACCTTCCCGTCGTCCTACGCAACTACAACCACGCTATCCGATACCAAATCGCAAAAATTGATCGCCATCATCCCACAAATCACCATGAAAGATTCAAAAGAGATGAACGAGGAGATTGCTGAGGTAGAGGATCACTCTGCTTTGGCAGAGATCCATGCGGCTGTTTGCATGGCAAGAGATGCTCGATTGGCTCAGAAAGTAAGCGAAGGCTCCACTTCAGGCCTTATCTCCGTGTATAGGTGTCTGACCTGGATGCCTTGCAGGACCTACATAACGATAACGAATACACGTTTACCCGGCTGGATTTCGCTGCGATCAAGTTCGAATGTGAGTCTCATACGGGTCTACACGTTGTTGTTACTCTCACCCGTATATCTGGCATCTTTATCAGGCGGCAAACCTGATCCTCTTTTCTTCACACCAATCCCGACAACCCTTTATCTATACGAGGGCTGTCTGACGAGCGGGCTGGTCCAGGGAAACGACTGTTTGAAGTACTGGATACACCCACCAGGCCAGGTCCTGGATTTGAGGGACGATCAAGTTACGAGGGTTCATGTTCCCGGGCAGACGATTCATCTCCTGAGAACCGCCAAACAGCGAGAACGAAAGCAGAGCCAGGAAACCGCAGGTATTCCCTTGGGAGAATTCACTACACCGGTAAACCAGGTAAGTACTAGTACAGCTTTTCCACTTCCGATTGAGGCTAAGTTTAACTTCCGCGTTTTACACTATCAGATCATCCAAAAACGCATGTCTGTACCTTCACTTCTCCCGAAGCGTCATCTCAAACCAGAAACACCCTCACCGCCGACCAAACCCTCCTCATCACCTCCCGCCGCACCTCAGGCGCCATCTTCAAAGCTCATGCCAAGAAGGCCCGGGAAGGTCGGCTCAAGAAAGCCCAGGAGGATTGACGCTTAGTGCCGAGATTGTGTCTCCCCAGAGCAGCAAGCCTCTCTTTTGCACGTGAGCTCCAGGTCGATTTTATCATGTCGAGATTTCCTACCATCGCTGATCCGTACCTTCGCGTCTAAAGACCCAAAATGAAGATTTTGCCATCCGGTCAAAGCCGTGGCGAGTCCGTCGTTCCTACTACCGGCTCGAGCCTGCTCGAGACTACTGCGAAAGATGAGGGCCGATCCTGTATCGGCAGTGAAGATATGGAGTGTGCAGGTTGTAGTGACCATCATCTCCCGTGGCGAATGTATTACTTGTCTGTTTCGGCGGAAGTTCTGCGCCAATTCGATAGATCGGAAGGGTGTTGCCAATGGTTGTTACCGGTCATGGCCAGCAGCTTGACGTCAGCATACCTGGATGTTGATGTCGATCGCGACGTGTCCTAAGGAAGCGAACATGACCGTAACCCTAAATTCGTTGTAACGTGTATTCACCGGGCTGAGCCTGTTTGAGATCTCAATGGAGATAGTATGATCTCGGCACCCGCAACCTCGAAAGCTTCACCACCATATGGCCGATTCAGCCGACTGTACATGAGCGTCGAGACGCTTTGTCCCGCTGCGCCCACTCGTGATGTGCATTCGACGACGGTAGGAACACATGATAGATCGCCCGTTCAACTTGTGTTCAATGCCCAATATTCGGTCATTCTAGTATGTAGAGTATCAATCGATATGATTACGCATAAGGTAAACAGCTCTAATAGCCATCTTAGATCCATACTGAGCTTTCAGGTCCGGCGCTGTTAGAGGGACAGACGTGTACGTATGGTAGCTACTGATGAGTACAGGACGTTAGTGTCGGTCCTGTCTGCGCGTGAACACGAAGACAAACCGTAGCACTCACGTTGAAGCCGTCCTACAATACCCGGACCTCTTTCGCCCGGGACAACCAAGTCACTTGTTCCGCTACTCCAGCCTTGTCTAGGGCCTTCCTGAGATCGTCCTTCAACTCGACAAAGTGTGTCCACTCTTCAAAGTGCATAGGCACCAACCGATCCGCCTCGAGGTCTTTGAAGAGCTGAGCACCGGACGCGCCGTCAAACGTGATCATCGTCGGTTCGCCACCTCGACTTTGGAAAGGGAAGACCACGCCTGCAAAGTTGAGCACGGCGACGGCGATATGCCACTTCTCCTTGATCTTTTTCAACTCGTCGATGTAGATCGTGTCTCCCGACACGTATACAGCGTTAGGGCGACCGTCCTCGGCCTTTCCGAAAGAGTCGAGCTCGATGATGAATCCCGTGACCTCGCCGACCTCGAAGTGCATACAGGGGGTTCCGGTGATGGTGAATTTTTTGCCCTGAAGAACGAGTTCAACGGTTTGCCATGGCTTCAATCCCTGAACGGCAGGACGAGGGGCGAGCTTCTTCGCTCCATCCATCGTAGTGAGGACATGGCGTCCGTCGAGCATCTGCCTGCCGAGCGTGTCGAGGTTGTCGTCATGATCCTCGTGGGAGACCAGACAGCAGTCGATGACTGGCAGGTCTTCTAATTTCATAGCCGGGTCCTGCACCTGGGTCAACGGGACACCGGGCATGGACTCGTATACACCGGCCGGCCCGAAGACGGGGTCGGTAAGGAATCGGACACCTTCGATCTCGATGATCGCGGTGGCGGTACCAATGTGGGTGATTGTGACATTCGAATTCCAGTTTTGCGTGGCGACCATATTGAGTACGAGGTGATCGATGTGAGGGTATGGACTTTGGGGGGTTAGGTGAGATTAGGCGTTGGATTACGATCTTTCTGGTGCGGAAATGGGTTTGTGGAACCAGCCTGTTTGAAAAGAAAGAGCGAACAAAGGCCCTCGGACCTTGTTCTATATATCCTCTGCAGAGCCCAGCTCGAGGCGAGATAGCCGAGCTGAATAACCAGACTGGAGACAGCAAAGTAAGCCCATCGTCTGAGGTAGCGGTTAGTAAACGTTCAAAATCCTCGGTCATCATCGCTAGAATCGCTTATCGCGTATCGCACAGCTCAGCTTGATCATCAAGCGCGCGGGGGACTCGGACGGAAGCAAACGTCGATCAGTTTTGTCGAGCCGAGGTGTTTTGGGTGAGGGGACGAGGTGTTGCGGCCTATTTATCAGTCGCTGGTTCAGCTTATGGTTTCGCCGGGGTGTAATGTCGTCTGGACCTCGGTCCTAGTGAGAGAAACTATTTCCTGGCAAAAATTCACCGCGAAGTATGTCGAAGGACATCCGTGATGGCGAAAGAGATTGTCAGTACAAGTCGCGCGCGCGAGATCAAAACGAACCTTTCTGACGTCAAGCTCCCCAGATCTCAATGGCGAGCTCTTGTTACGACAAGTCAGCACATACGCCACTCCCACAGATGCTTTCGCGGGATTGAGTGAGACTGGCAACGAAAGTCGCATCAAAAGCAATGTTACCGACGCCGACGAACGAGATCCAGACTTCGAAGTCGTCTTCGTGCAGGGGGACGGCAAGGATCCTCGTCTATGGCCGAGGTATAAAAGGATGTATCATCTTGGTACACTGAGCTATATGGTCACGGTGGTCGCCCTGTACAGCACAGCGTATACGTCGGGGTTACCTTGGATCGTAGAAGAGTTCGGGGTCACCCGGCTCGTAGCCACATTGGGCTTGACGACCTATCTATTTGGTAGGCCTTTATCGCAACCGAGTGCCGCGCATGTTTTAGATCAACTGATCCCTGAAATCCTACAGGACTAGCCATCGGAGGAATCTTCCTCGCACCCCTCAGCGAGATGTACGGAAGACAGCCTATCTACCTGATCACCTACAGCTTGTTCCTCATCCTCATCCTCCCTTCAGCATTAGCGACGAATTTTACGGGACTGGTCTTGCCTCGATTCTTCGCTGGCGTGTTTGCCAGCGCGGCGTTGACGAACGGGTCGGGAACCGTCAGTGATATCACTACACCTCGTCACTTAGCCCTTGCCTTTGGGTTCTACTCCATCGGACCGATCAACGGACCTGTCCTTGGGCCCATCGTCGGGAACTTTGCGTATCAATACTTGGGATGGAGATGGACGGTCTGGCTGGTCTTGATATTCGCTGGCGCGGGGATGTGCATGCTGGTTCTATGTCGAGAGACATACCCGCCCGTCATTCTGCGCAAGATGGCTGAAGATCGACGCAAAGAGACCGGGGATCATCGCTGGTGGTCGAGATACGACGAGAAGAAGGATCTGATACCCTTGCTCAAAATCAATCTGAGCAGGCCTTTGGTCATGCTTTTCACCGAACCCATCTGGTGAGTTCATTTTCTCAATATGAACGCGAACACACCGATATTCCGGATGGTTGACGATGATACCGATTTGAACAGTATATTTTGGGACCTCTACGTCGGATTCGTTTACGGCGTGCTGTACCTCTGCTTTGTAGCATACCCGATCGTCTTCCAGCAAGAAAGAGGCTGGCAACCAGGACTCGCCGGGTTGGCCTTTTGCGGGATCGGTGTGGGTAGCCTCATCACGATCTTCACGGAACCGCTCATCCGCAAGGTCATCGACGCCCACAAGAAGGATCCTGCTACCGGTCGACCTGCTCCGGAGGCCGTTGCCAGCGTCGTCTGTGTCGGTGGAGTCCTCCTCGCTGTAGGCGAATTGATTTTTGCCTGGACTTGCTCCCCTGACGTGCACTGGATCGGACCTATACTTGCGGGCGTCCCATTTGGAGCTGGAAACACCATCGTCTTCATCTACTCGGGCAACTACCTCATCCAAGCATATGGCAATTATGCGGCTTCGGCACTTGCTGGGAACGCCCTAATGAGGAGCGTCATGGGTGCCTGTCTACCTTTAGCAGGAGCGAAACTGTACCACTCGTTGGGATCTCAATGGGCGGGTACTCTATTGGGTCTCTTGGAAGCTCTGTTCATTCCGATCCCCGTAGTATTCTATTTCTACGGGCATAGGCTGAGGAAGGCTAGTACGATGATCGCCGAAGCGCAGCTAGCGAGTCGCTAGGCGGGAAGGGCCCGAAGACCTGACTCGACTGTACCGTGCTGTGATAGCGCAACCTGGTATAATTAGACATATATGTATGATCATATGCACATAGATTTCCTTCCCACGAACCGTCGATGAACTAACTTGTACGACGCCTCGATGTCATCGCCATCGGCAGCGCACCTGAAACTCGTACGCGCATACGAACGACTTTGCCGAGGGCCGGTCGCTCTTGACCTTTGTTTACAATTCGAGTCGCAACCTTGTTGTTGTTGTTGATATTTGTTCCTCCTTGTTGACTTGGTCGTCCGATCTCGTCGTTTCTTCTTAATCGTCCACCATACTATTCCTCGCATGGAATATATATCTACCGACCCTGAAGCCCATCTCACCCTCTGACTGAATTCATTTCTGAATCCGAGGCACCCGCAAACATGGACTATGACGACTCGGTGATGCTCCCGAGCCAGGATGACGATTCCTTCCTCTTATCGACCCGACCCATCTCTTCACCTCTCAGGCAAACACAGATCCCGGAACGGAAACCCATAGAGAGGGAAATTAGGAGAGCAACTGGCGGCAGAAAGTTGGAGGATGGGCGTCGAAGGACGGAGGAGATCGTAGCCAGGCTTCGCGAGGAACGCAAGAAACGGGAAAGTCGCGATCGAACGGTTTCGTCGACGACAAGCGGGCAAGGTATGCAGCCTCTGTCCACTCGGACGGTCTCGAAAGAAGATCGTGGTGATGACCAAGAGAAAGGAGAATGGGAGGACATTCAGGATCCGGGGAAAGAGAACGGTGAGCTACCGGATTCCATCCCAAACTTTCAGGCTAAGCTGACGGGACGCCTATTCTTGCTCGGTTGCATGGAATACAGACTATACGAGGCAAAGAGCTCGTTCGACCCAAAGCTCGCCTTCTTCTAGAGAAGAACATGTTGCCAAGCTCAAAGCTCGGTTGGCCGAATCCCGGATGAGGCGAGAGAATAGCTTCGTCAAGAAGGACAAGGGGGACGAAGTCAGTTTCTCTTGTTTTGTTATAGGCGATCTATCTTGAGTACCCAAACTTACCGATACGCTGTTCGTCGTCTTCTTGTTCAGGATCAGAGTGGATCTCGAACAGAGTTAGATCAAGCATCGACGTTCCGTAACAGCGCTCTCGCAAGGATCATGTCCCGGGGAGATCGACCCGCACGACCCAGAGTCGACAGGGACGCATCCCAGCCGAGATCTTCCGCTTCCAAGGTATCGACGAGCACACATCACAGTGAAGAGACAGCTACTAGCTCGGCTGTACCTCTCCATCAAGAAGACGGGAAGAGCAAGGGAGAGCGGCTGGTAGAAAAGCTGCTTCGGTCGATTCCAACGAGCTCAGTGAACAGGACGGAGCGTGCCGATGAACCAGAATCTATGACAGCAACACACCCGGGCGAGACAACATCTATGGTATCTACGGCTCCTATAGCCTCACAGCCGACAAGAACATCTCCTACCACAGTCCTGGAGCGAATCGACGAGCAGACGCAGGAAGGCCAAGAGTCGTTGTCATTCACATCGCCACCTCTGACGACTGGAAAGGACGAAGTCGGGGTCGCGGCGGAGGAAGTCGGCGGGAATACCTCGATCAACACGTCGTCTTCTGCATCTACTTCCGTGCAGGAGAACAGATTACCCCAAACACCACTGCGCAGCAGCGAATCTCAGGCCACGTCGACTCCTTCCGGCCCTGTTCAACCTGCCTCTCTCACCGCCTCCAGCTCAAGACCCAGCCCTGAACAAATTCTCGAGACGGACAAGCAAGAAGGACAGCTGCACGATATGGATTCCGCTGTTATCGGCCGGGAGGAAGCGACAGCAGAAGCCATCGATGGTTTGACGCCGACCGCTGCGCCTAAGGTTGTTCCGGAAGAGCAGCAATGGGAGGATGTCGAGACGGTGCATGTCGGTGCCGCTTCTGTGGTTCCGGTAATGATGAAAGAGTGAGCACGGTTGCTGTGTTTGGGTCAAGAGCAAAGAAGCTGATTCGTCTGAGTCTCTTAGGCAAGCGATGATGCCGAGCAGCTCGATAGACCCTCGAATAGCAGCATTACTCATGCCAATTCAACCGCAAGCTGGTCCTTCCACCATCACGTGAGCTACACGTCGACGGTTTGCAGTATCTCAGCATTGAAGCTGACTCCGATTTAGATCACTTAGCCGAGTATCTACGACAGCACCAGCCGTTGCGCAGTCTAGACGCCTAAAAACGACCTGTCCGCGCACACCGGTATTTGCCAGAGCCAAACGGCCGGTAACAAGGGAGTCGCCAATCAAGCGGGTAATGCAGGCTCGGCCGGTTGATCGTCTTGTTGATGCTGCATCGCGATCGTCCGTTCCGACCAAACCTGTTCGTCTGCCGGCTATGAATCCCCGCGCCGCTTTCGATCACTTGGCAACAAGAGGACCCGACCGGTCGAGTATGAGCAAGATCGCACCGCCGGTTGTCGAAGGCATCCCCCGCAAACCTTCTTCAATCGTTAAGATCCCCGATTTTGAGAAGGCTCACAAGGCTGCCGCGGTCAAAGTCAAGCGAGCACCGCCCCGATTGACTAGACCTGATAGCGGCAAGACACCTGGTCGTACCAGTAGAGCCAGGATGATGGAACGTGCTGAATTCGACAAGGCGAACCAGGACTATCAGAAACGACGGGAAGATGCCTTGAAGCGCTACAAACAGGAAAAGGAGGCAAGTCTTTGCTGGACGGTCGCTTCTGAAGTTCAGCGGTATGCTAACGTCTGATCGTGGTTCAGGATGCCGCTTGGGCGGCGGAACTTCAAGCTCGTAAAGCGATCGCTTTCAAGGCAAATCCTGTGCCCGACTTTATCAAAGCCTCACGAAGTACGAGCCAGGCTCCTAGTTTATAGTTGGATCATTCACAGTTACCGATACAACCCTGTACAACCCAATACCTATCCTATGCTCAATTTATAATGCTTGCTCCTAAGCGTTCAACGATCTGCCATGCTTGCACAGCATCTGCCTCGGTAGTCCGCAAGGCGCCCATGGCGAACCTCATGCAATCGATCGACGGCTGCCCTTCTTCCCCTGGCAAGACTGTTTGCGTCATGTTAAAGTCCTTCTCAGCATGGACTAGCTCTTGCAGTCGCCTGTTTAGTTCGTTGAGCTGTTCGGGGGTGTGATCGCCAGTCGAAGGTTTAAGCCGGAAGACAAGCAATGCAAGCGAACGTGGTGTGACAAGCTCAAAGTCTTTCGATTCTCTGATACGTTTTTCGAGCGCAGCGGCCATTTGTACTCCCTGAAAAACGTGAATGTATAAGTGTGAAGCGTAGCTAAAGTTTGTAGTCTGCCTGTCAACAACTTACCTTGCGGATATGTGCACGGAACCCTTCGACTCCGTAGCTTCGCAAAACGAACCAAAGTTTGAGGGAACGGAAACGTCGCCCGAGCTATAGCAGTCGCCCAGTCAGCTTGCTGCATTCGATGATGCGAAAATGCACGAATTATCGCGAGGACACTCACGGACAAAGACCAGTTTCGGTAATCGACGACCAGACCGGTATCCCCATGCTTGGTCCGCAAGAATGCTGGCGTCACATCAAGCGCGTTCGTCAAGACCTTTCTATCTCTGACCCAAAGAGCGCTACAGTCAAAGGCGACCAGGCCCCATTTGTGGAAGTTGGTACAGATGCCATCGGCGTATTCGTTGACGGCGTCGAGCTGCAAGGCCTCTCTGTGTTCAGGCACGGCCAAAGCGGTACCGGCCCACTAATCGCGTCGAGAGGAAAAAGACAGCCTCAGCCAATGCCAGGGGGAACTGGAACGTCACGTGTACTCACGGCTGCATCGATATAGAGGAAGACGGTAGGGTGGTTCTTTACTATTACATGGCCAGTTTCAGAACCTCAGCGCCATTCGAATTTTCGAACAGCAAACGACGTGATTCTCAAAAACTTACAGACTTGGCCAATCTCTGATAACCTGTCGACCGTTCCTGTACTAGTCGTTCCGATCGTCCCAACTTCGTGACAGATAGGATCTCAATCTCAGTCAACGAATCTCGTGCTAAACACGTAGCTGCGATCATTCTCACTCAGCATGAACGGAATCAGGCCCTTCTTCTCGTCCTCCTCCAACGCCTTGCGGACCGTCTCTCCGGTAAGGGCGTAATGGTCCTTCTTGAAAGTCGGCAACGACCTCCATTTGAGACCCAGAATCTTTGCGGCCTGGATACGAGAGACATTCCAATAGCGTCGGCCAGTCAGCTCGCGGACGGCGTCTATGCCCGCGTCACAATGCTCCGCTCACCTTGATCCCGATACTATGCGTCTGCGTGCTCCCGTACATGACCAACTTGGAGTGATACTTGTCCCTGATAGTATCATCGACATCACCATCCGCATCATTGATCCGCGTTCCCAGCTCGTCGGTCTTGACAGATGTGTCGCTTTGTCCATTGTTACTCAGGCCGTGATTCTCGTCGACTTCAGGTGCACCTTGCAGGCTGAGCATGCGGAGACATCGTTCCCTGGCAGCTACTGTAGCGACGATAGCGGACTCGGACGCAGCTCCCTGGTGAACAATCATAGTCAAAGAATTCGTCAGACCAAAGTCATGTTATCTCACAATCAGAATGGTGTGGCTTGATGAGCGAGGAATTGCAAGACCTGATACTGACGGTAATCTGACCTCCCCCTTGCTTCGAACTGTTCCAGAACTTTTCCTGTAGACCCAAGAGCTTCGCGGCCCAATCGAGCATGACCTGTTCTAGCTCTGTACAAGCTGGGGAACAGCTCCACTAGAATCCAAAGTAGAAGCCGGGATTATACCTCACTCAGCTCCTGCTTGATTTCCCTAGCTCCAGCTTGAACGCCTCTCCTCCCCGCTCGGAACTGATACTCACGTTGAACCCCGGGTTCGAGACCGACGTCGCCATCATATCAGCCAAGATGGATTCGAAGTTCGTGATCGCCGGGAAATAAGCAAAGAACCGAGGGTGACTCCAGTGTGTGATTCCGGGGAGGATCTTGGATTGGAAGTCGGAAGCTACGAGGGAAAAGTCTTCCGGCTCTTTCGGTGCCTCGGCTGCAGTAACAGGACGGGCGTTGTAAGTGGTGATAAGTAGAGAAAGTGGTCAGCTAACAATCCAGGATCCATGATATATGCACTTGGGGAGTAGGGTCGGACTTACTGGGTAGATCGTTGACGAGATAACCAGGCTCGACCTGAGCAACCACGGGTAACTCGTTGAGTCGTGCATAGTAATCGCAGATCTGGTCGACGACCTTGTACCCATGTTTCCGGAAACTGAAGCAGGAAATGACCAAATTATTGTCAGATCTAGATCTGGCCTTTTGAAAGCACTCTGAGAGGTGAATTGCAGCAGGGATGCTCACGCTTCTATGTCCATCCCGCCGGTTTGCGGAGGGATTGTCATGTTGCGAACGAGAATGACTCTAGGCGAAAGTGGTGTGACTAGGAAGCCTCTTCAAGAAGCCTCGGGGTGTCTTTACGATCTCTGAGGGGTATATCTAGATGTCGAGACCTGACATCTGCCCACCATACCACTGATCCACTCATACTAGTACTAATAAGTACTACTGATAGAGCCTCGTCGAGACATGTTCTGCTTCGGTCATCGCGCGTGGACATCGAGGCAGATCGGCAGCTCGTGCTTCATGCTTTGAACAACAATACTACTGAAAAGCGATGCGATAAACGAGAGTGACAATGCAGACCGGATTGTGACGCATGTGAATGTACCAGCTCTATTCTCCAGCTGGAAGCAATTCATCACCTATTGCCCAAGGGCCAAGGGATACATCAACCACCCTTAGGTATCTGATGTTTACCGGCTACAAGCCCAACGTGCGGAGCCGTGCCGCACACATCGCGCGCCGGACGATGAAGCTACAAATGTCGATGCAGAGTAGAACAATATGCTTGTTTAGATCACATACATTTGGTTTACATGATTCAACCTCCGGCCACACGATCAAGAGCCATCCGTTGTGCAACCTTGTGTGACACAATACCCACGACGAGTCAGCATACGGGTCTTTTCAGCACGAAATCATTTTCCGAGCCCTGCTTACCGTTCGAAGCGTCCGACACGCACTGGGCGTACTTGTACAACAACCCTCGCTTGAACCGAGGCTCGGGCTTGACCCACTTTTCCTTTCGCTTCGCCAGCGTCTCATCATCGACGAGCAGGTCGATCGTGTTCTTCTCGGCATCGATGACGATCTCGTCGCCGTCCTGAACCAGAGCGATGGGTCCGCCGTGGTACGACTCGGGTACAACATGACCGACCAGGAAACCTCGGGAGGCACCTATGACAATCTGGAGTTGGTTGCTGACTTGTAATGACGAGATAGTCGCCTAGACTCACCCGAGTATCGTCCATCGGTCAGCAGCGCGACATCTTGACTCAGACCCGCGCCTGTAGAGGAAAATAGCGTTTACATAGTCAACGATCTGGTATCACCCAGTTCAACCTAAACGCCCGACTCACCCATGATGGCTCCGGACAACTTGAGCTGTTCCGGCATACCCGGAGCTCCCGCCGGTCCACGGGTCCTCAGGACGACCACCGTGTTCTTGATCATCTTCTTCCCCTTGAGCGCATCCAGTGCGCTCTGCTCGTCCTCGAAACACATGGCCTTGCCTCGGAACTGCGTGCCTTCCTTGCCCGTGATCTTGCCCACAGCGCCTCCAGGGCAAAAGTTTCCCTTGAAGATCCGCAAGTGTCCCGTCGCCTTGATCGGGTTGGAAAGAGGGCGGATGACGTCCTGCGTGCTGAAATCGAGCGAGGGGACCGAAGAGAGGTTTTCGGCGAGCGTCTTGCCTGTGACGGTCATGACGTTTCCCTCCAGGAATCCTTCCTCCAAGAGGTACTTCATCACGGCCGGGGTACCTCCGACCTTGTGGACGTCTTCCATCTGCAAGTGGGGGTCAAAGTCAGCTACATTTGTCTAACGTTGCGAAAGTTCGAGTTTGGGACTTTACCATGTACTACAAGCGAAAGAGAATCCAAGTCAGCACATCTATCTGGCTTCCTAGACGACTGTCCCTCGACTCACTCTGCCTGAAGGCTGAAGATCGGCGAGCACCGGCGTCGTCTCTGCGATCCTCTGGAAATCCTCCATATCGAGCTTGACATCACAAGCCCTCGCCACGGCCAACAAGTGTAACACGGCGTTGGTGCTCCCACAAAGGACCATGGTGATGGTGATCGCGTTGAGAAAGGCCGGACGGGTCATGATGTCCAGGGGTTTAATGTCCTGTTCGAGCAGGTTACGGAGGTACTTGCCGGCTCGAGCGCATTCTTGCTTCTTTTCCGGGTAGAGGGCAGGGATGGACGCCGAGTAGGGGAGCGTGAGGCCCATGACCTGAGGAGGCGGTACGAAATAGGATCAGCTAGTCGTCTCGTGTAAAGTGAGCTAGAGTCGAGACGCGAAAGGGACCCACCTCCATGATCGAACTCATGGTGTTGGCGGTGAACATCCCTCCACAACTTCCAGCTCCGGGACAAGCATGCTTGATAACATCCTCGTGCTGTTCAGCCGTAATCTCCCCACTCAACACCCCTCCATAACTCTCGTGCAAGTTCCCGATGTTCAACGGATCTCCAGCTTTGGCTCCGAGGGCAGGACAGTCCATGGTTCGTCTCCCAGCCAAGATCGCACCTCCGTAGACGAGGATGGTAGGTCGATTGTACCTTGCGGCGGCGATCATACAGGCGGGCATGTTCTTGTCGCAAGAAGGGATGAGGATGGCCCCGTCGTATCGATGGGCTTCGATGTTCATCTCGAGGGCGTCGGCGATGATGTCTCGGCTAGGAAGCGAGTAGAGCATGCCATCGTGGCCCATCCCGATGTTGTCACTGCGAGGCGTACGGTGCAAAGTCTCGGTCAGTCTAAAGAGGTTGAATATGAAAACAACTAGTCGTCGTACTGACCTGACACCTGGGACGGCCGTCTGGAAACCGACCATGTTGGCCTGTTCCACTCCGGTCTTGACGATATCTCCCAAGTCCCGAGCGTGAGAGTTGCAAGGGTTGCCCTGCGCAAATGTCAAGTCGTTTCAGTGTCGATCGATGACAGCACCGGTCTCTCGCACGCCCCGACACCGACCTCGAACCATACACTGGCGATACAGATCTGCGCCTTTTTCATATCCTCCTTGGTCAGCCCAAGCGCATACATGTAAGCCTGGACGCCTCCCCGACTGGGGTCCTGGGTGAGGAGCGCCGAATGCTTGTTGATGGTGCCATCGTTCTTGGGAGGTTCGTCGGGAAAGATCTCGGCGGCCTTTTTGAGCGAGTGGATTCCTACGTCTCCCATCGACATTTTGAGAAGGGTTATTTATGAGGTTATGGTATGGATTGATTATAGAGGCAGGGTGGTGATGGTATGATGTTGTGAGCAAGAATGGAGATGTGAGTTAACCCTTGCTCGTGTGTCTTTTGAATATTCAGACGATCCCATTCGCCCCGCCAGCCAGGTCGCTAGTCTCGGTGGAATCCCGTCCATTTGCACCGAACGCCGTACTTGTCGATGCCGATGTTGCCGTAGCCGTGGGGGGATCGGACCGTACGGGTCCGGCTCTAGTCATCTCCGTAACGCATACTCGCTATGAGAGACTTACAACGTTGATCGCCATAATTCGTCAGACTCGCTTAAGCTACGTCGAAACTTGTCGCTAATTGCTGTCATTCAGGCCTCATCTTTGACGAGCTAGCATGCTGCCTCCCCACAACTACATTCTGAATGGTACCGCGACCAAGTTCCGAAAGAGGCTCAAAGGTCACCGCTCAGACGCAGAATTCGTGTTCACCGCCGAGGAGCTCATCAGCGAGACGGTGCGATTTGGAGATGCCGACGTCCTGATGGATATATTCAGTCTGATACACTCTGTGTACGTGAATGATCAAAGTGATCGCTGGAAGTCGGATAGGTGGCGAGGTGGTCGCATGCTTGCCATGGCAGACCAGGATGGGGAGGAAAATTATCCTTGTCAGCGATGCGAATCGAGATCGGAACACTGTTTTCGAGCCAATACCCTCGTCGAGTAAGTTGTGCAGACTTGCTGTTTATCATCCGCTCTTGCTCAAGACGGTAATGGTCATCATTTCATAGTACACAGTCGAACAAATGCGCCGGGTGTGCCAGCGTGTATGCTCCTTGTCGATTCGACTTGGGCAAGATCATACCACCATTATCGGGGGCCAGGTACATCGTCAACTTTGCACGGCGGCATACTCTCCAGGGGGACCTCTCCCGCATGAGAAGCCGCGAATGTATGAGAAACCAGCATGACAGGCACTTATTAAACATAAAAACATATCAGGATCTGTTGGCCATCATCTGCCCTACCGGGAGACACTATGCAAACCTCCCTCCAAACTCCCCGGAAGCTTTAGCTTGGGTTCGGAGCGTGCTTGCGATCCTCGGGTATGCCCCGGTCGATGATACTGGACGGTAAGCCTATGTGATTGGCGTGAGGTTTGCCATTCTCCTTGACTGTGATGTCATACTGATTCCACAACCTTGTTTTGATCAGCTACCACGTCGTCCTCTCGAGCAATCGGAACATTGCGGTATTCTGCTCCAGCGCTTTGCACGAAGTGCGCGAAGTTCCGAAGCGGTCTCGTCGACGATCCAAGAGGATCCCCTCACCCGACAGTTCGAGTGACGACGAGTCATCTTCAAGACCTCTGAACAAACGGCCTCGTACGAGACGTCACGTCACTCCCGAGGAGGACGAGCTGGATGGATCATCGAATACGAATCCAAAGTCGCGGGATTCAAGGTCGGGTGTGACTACCTCGAGCAGCGAGCCGGAGCACACAGGTGTCGACCTCCCTCCTTCCACCACATTGATGTCGTCGTCAACGGCGGCCGTAGAAGAGGATATCGACGAGCTATCTACCGGGTCGGGATCACCGCCGCCTAGAAGTCCTACACCTCCTGTGAAACGGAGTGGAACCCCACCAGGATCTATCCCGTCGAGCGATCAGCAACGAGTGCAAGTGCGGTCGAGCGTACCTCTGTTTGTCGGGAAAGCTACTGCCGCCCATGTAGGAGAATCATCAAATGAGGTCGTTACAGGAGGCTCGGAAGTCGTCGCAGGAGGCTCGACGGTCGTCCCAGGAGACTTCTCCGTCGTTCCGGAAGTTCCGCAGGCCGTCCCTGTCGCATGCCCGAGCCTGACAGAGACAGCTGTTCCGATTTCCAACCCCGAGCAAGAACCTGGGTCAGCTATTCCAGTGCCGCCACCGGTGTCAGCCTCTTTTACTGCGGAACTACTAGCGAGGGGGGAGCCAACCTCGCATCAAACGGCAGATGAGCGTGTCAGTACAACAAGAGGAGCGGGATCTTCAACTCGGCTCTTGACAGGTCAGGGCGACAACGCGGCTGAATCACACCCCTCATCCTCGACCTCGACCTTACAACCTACCTTGTCGTTACGCAGCGCGTTACATACATACACCAAGCTACGAATCGATGATCTGGCTCCAGGTACAATCGACTCGGACGACCTGGATCGGCAGATGATCGAGTTGAGCGGGATGTTAGATGGGTGCGATGGGCTGGACCGACAAAGGGTGAGTTTTGGCCCTTTTGTTTGTCTCCACTATTGTTATCCCCGTCTTGTGCTAACGCTTCGAACCTGGTTATCATGTAGCGCCAAGAACTGGAATCACATATGCACGAATGGCTGGTAGCCACATTCCGGAGGTATAATCAAGCACAGTCGCAGCGATAGCAGGATCCTTCGGCTCTCGGCTCAACCGTCAACCGATCGCGGCCACCGACTTAGTATCGACGTCTTTCTGCCGATACCGTGGTGATGGAGCGAGAGATACGGATCTCAGACATGTACAAGCAGGATGCGCCGAGTTGTTCGAAGACTGGAATTCTGATCTAGACGAGAAATCGATTTCCTGAAAAGTTCATTGACGATCGCGCAAGCCCGATGAGGGTGGAGGTAGAGTGAACTGTTTCTTCTCGATGTGGTCGCCCCGAGCTTGACTGGGCGTACGAAAGCGGGAGATTATGTGATTATAAAGGTCACCGTCCTCGCACCGGTCCTGCCATCTTGCGCTTCGCTAAGCTGGCCTTGAAGCTTGAAGTACTACTGATCACGTCCCTGTTCACGACCCGTATCAAAGCTACAAAATTCGCACCACCTTGAGGACACCTCGGATCGCAAGGGGATCAGATAGGGCTGGTATAATCGACTTCGTCAGAAGTCGAGATGCGCATGAGCATATGTTCGGATTGGCGCAACTGGACGAGTGGGATCGAGAGGTGCCTTTGGCTTTGTTCGATTCCGCGACTCGGAAAAAGATGAAACCGACCAAACTCGTTCTCGCTTGCGGATCCGAGGGAGAGATTCGACTCCTCGGGCATCGGTCGACTTGGGCTTGCAAGCGAGTGCCGTGGCCGGGAGAATGACCAAGCCCCGGCACAAAGGCAGGAGAGACAGGGGCAGGGGGAAGCGGCGGAGATCCGTTTTTAGCGCGAGACGAAGAAAGAAAGGCAGGGCGAGGAGGGGGGGAAGGGGACGAGGTGGAGGGAGGAGGATCATGTGCGACGAGGGATTGCACTGTCCCAAGGTTCGAGGAGGATTTGACTCAAAGGATGGTTGTTCTCACGATCTCACCGCGGCTTGCAGTCGAGTCGAATCGATACCATACCGCCATTTGATCCAAAGATAGCAGCAAGCAGCAAAGGCTCTTATCGTCCTACAAAACATCTCGGACGCGGGCACGTCGAACCCTTCAAGCACGTTCTCACCACAGCCTGACAGCTAGCAGCCTTTGACCGGATTCATTCTCAGCAAATCTCGACCTCTATATCTTCGTCCGACCTCGTATCGTGACCTACGCAACACCAAAAGTCGCTCGTCGTCAAGAACGACACATATCGTCTGCATAGAGACTTGAAAAACTTGAGGATTCGGGAGTTGGGCGATTCAAATTCCTGTGGACGGACGAAACAAAGAGCAATGCACATGTCGAGCACATGAAAGGAGCCGACCTATACTACCTCTATCTCTCTCTTTGGATCTCTCTCAATTAGACTCCACTCCAGCCAGCTCTTCTGCCGTCCTTCTTATATCCCGCCTCATTCCATTCACATACTCGTCGCCCAAGAACAAACTCGATTACCGGCTCTCGACGATACTATCAACTTTGATCAAGAAGGAAGGATCCATATCATTCCCCCAAAGCGCCAGGATCTTGAACAAAACCCCCATACAGTATAACTCAACATGTCTCTACGAAGCTGCACATGTTCCTCTCGGCTGTTGCTTCAAGGGCAGGGCCGAGCACGAGACTTTAGTCGGTGGACCACCGCAGCGACAGCCGGGTCGAGTCTAGGGATCATCGCTAATCGACGATGGGCGACCACGTCCACTTCTACTTCCATGGGGTCGAGGCGGAATCCTCTTGGTCTCGCTCCAAGGCCTTTCGATCACCACCGCAACCATAATCCCCATTCCCAACCCGCCATTCATCGTGATCTCAATTTGAATCATTCTTCGTCGAATATGTCAAGATCAGCAACGACGATGCCAGCGAGGACGTTCATGACGATGACAACGGGGCCGATCAGGATGGAAAGGGTTCAAACAGCATATGGAACCACACAGGGGACCATACGGACGTCAAGTTCATTACCGACGGGGATGAAGGGGGTCAGAGGGTTCAAGACGAGTTCGAGGAGAGAATTGGCGGGTGCTTCCATGGCGTTCGGGGCGATGGCTTTGTTAAAGGTCAGTGACCAGGCTTGATCGAGGTTGAAGTGGAATACAGTGTGGTGCAGCTTTTTAGTCACCTTTGGCTGATCAGAACCTTGACTTTACTGCTTCGTTCCGCCACATGATCACGTTTGACCTTCCCACTGCCAGTCTTCAGCAGCTATCACTTGCATAGCCGGTGTATCCCGTTTGCTCCTCACCCTCCTCCCTTTCGCCGCCATGAAGACCGTCCGGATGAAGTTCAATCGAAAATGGCACGCAGCGCACTTCGCCCGCTTGCAAACACCTCCCCATATCGCCGAATTCTACGAGAGGGAGTTGTCCCACGAATCGCCCGTGGAGCCGGATTGTCGGAGTTGGAGAGAGATGGAATCGCCAGAGATCAAGAGGATCAGGGATGATTGTCCATTTTCATTCAAGGAGGTCTTGAAGCGGATGGTAAAGAGCAAGACGACGTTAAAGGCGGGGAGGTGGCCACCTTGGGGTAGAGAACAGATGGTGCCGGCAAGCGAACAGGAGCTGGACACGAAAGAGTTCAAGACGAGCGCTTCGAGGACGGAGATCTGGAACGAGGTCATTGCGTGGACGATCAACCTCTCTAGGGAACGGACCGGGTTGAGCAAGACGTCCGAGACGATCGACGTGGGCCATAAACCGTGGAAGAAATGGACCGTGTTTTACCTCCCTCAACCTTCTCCCGGAGCCATGAAGCAGATCCAAGAGCTCTCGTTGGGCGACAGGGAAAAGCTGTACGAGCTCAGGAGATGGTTCGCCAAGGAGAAAATGTTTGTCAGTCATCTTCGACGGGGGAAATGGATCATCTGGACCTTGATCTGGCTGCCGGTCATCATGTTCGGCGTGGTCGCCGCGTTCAGCCTCGAACGGGTGCCCTTTACGGGAAGGTTCAGGTTGATCATGTTATCCCCGGAAGAAGAGGAAGGGTTGACCGACAAGCTCAGGGGCCCGGGATGGTACAAGACGGTGTTGAGCATGTTTACAACGGCGGAGAGCCCGGCCCCTCCGGTCGTACCCATGGCAGATTGGAGGTGGAATTGGGTCAACGGCGTGATGAGGCGGTTGGAAAGAGGGATCGAAGAGCATTGTCGGGCGGAAAAGGAAGGGAGGGACATCTTCTCGTCACAAGCGTTTACTGGAATGGGTCCGAAGTCGGTTGGGGGGCTCTTGCCACCCCCGCCTCCGGACCACCCATTACATCCGCGATCGAGAGGATCGGCCGTGCTGCACGGTGCTCTCGAGGGGAAAGAAGCCGATCATCACATCGCCGTCGGGCCACCTTATGCACTCCTGTTGCTTGACAACGAGGAGAGGAACGCCATGAGTTATGGTTTCGGGGAAGGAGGAAGCGGAGGCGTGGTGGTCTACACCGGGATCCTGGACGAGATCTTGAGCTCGAATCAGCAGGAAAAAGAGGTCAAGCCGGTAGACGATAAGACGAGCATGGTATCGACGTCCAAGCCCGCGAGTGGCATCTGGGAATTCCTTTTCGGAAGATCGTCTTCCGGGTCACACCTTTCCGACCCGTCGAGAAACTACGGGACCACACCCTACCCACCCGAACCCACGGAAGAACAGACCTTGCAGCTCGCCCTCGTACTGGCGCACGAGCTGTCCCATCTGGTCCTCAGCCATCATCTGGAAAGTCTAAGTTGGAGCGAGATTGTGATACCGGGAGCGACTGGGTTGGGAAGCGATCTGATCAGGACCATCCTTTACCCCATCACGTGAGTCGTCGAGGAGCTACAGGATCGGGTCGTCTCATATGCTTATGGGATTACCTTGTTGTGCTCGACCTTGCAGCATTTTCTTGGGACCGTTCGTTAACGATGCGATCAACGATATCACCAAGAAAAAGGCCGAGGAGACGACGGCGTATTCGGACATTCACTTCTCGGTCAAGCAGGAGCGGGAGGCCGACGTAGTCAGCTTGAGGTACATTCCCCTGGCGGGTCTCATTCAGCCTCAATTCGACTTGCAAGGCTGACATTGTTCCCCAATCTTCTCGTTACAGAATCCTGGCCTATGCCGGTTTCGACCCCAAAAACGCCGTCCAATACTGGTCCGACGTGCCTCAACCGGCTTGCACGAATACGAAATCGGCCATCGAACACTTGCCGTTTCAGTTCCTCCGGGGGACCGTACACGACGAAAAGAAGCAGAGGTTACAGAGGTTGTTGGATGAGCTAGAAAGGTGGAGACGGTACGCGGACGCCAAGCGGGAGGAAAAGTAGCAGAGAAAGAGGATGAACCAGGTGTGAGGATGCAAGGGCTGCCTTTACACGTCTCGTTATACGCAACCCTTTTCAGAATTACAAGTCACATCAAAACCGCTCCTTTTATTCGCCGGTCCGAAGCTTGTACAACAGGGATGCAGGCTGAGGAAACCCATCGTATCTATTAGCTTTGGTCAGAGTACGATACCCTACGGCAGCTTGCCCCAACTATTGGAAGCGGACAAGGTCCAACTTGGACGATGCAACTGAAATACCGAGTTCGCGATCGACTGCTGCTTGTAGTGTCCTGGGGTATAGCGTTGAAGCAATACGACGGGGGTCTTTCGGAGAATAGTGCGGCATGGGCGCCGCCGTGATGGTCGACTTGCTGCGGTCAATGATCGACAGGGTCCCCGTCGTTTAGCTGACATGCTGTACCTCGCCTCGTTCCGAAGGCCAGATGGGTAGGTATCACGCGGTCCCTCGCACGTACCCCCGACAACCTCCTTTCATGAAACGTGCCTCTCATCATCATCCTCACCCATTTCCCATGGTGATTTCGAGCGCCAAGCGATCAAGTGGTCGTCAACGACGAACGTGTTCGCAGCTGATGGGGATTCCTGACCTTCCTTTGGTCTTGGCATCACTGATCGATCGCACGACCCGTAAAAGCCCCGTGTGGGCGTCCCGCCACGTGAGAATCCGGTTCCGTCATCGTGATCAACGCTCGGACCTCTTCTTTTTGAATGGAAAAAAGTCGGAAAGGTGAAACTGATTCCTCGTCCTCGTCGCTGAATCTTTTGAGAGTGGGATGCACGTTCATGGAAACAAGTTGTGCGAGGTGTGCGTCACATTGTACCAACAGCTAGCAGGGATGAATCGCTGCCATGACTATATCTATATAACGACCCCCTCCACAATCCGTTCGCAGCCATCCGCAGTATCTCGACCTCTTTCGTAGTCTCTTCTTCCTAACCGAACCCAACCTCGCAGCCAAGCGGAAAAAGTACCTCGTCCCGACACTAGACAAGGTTCTCTCCTCGCTCCTTTCCGACCTCTACACCTGGAACCATCTCCTTGGCTTCGTTGGCCTGCTTCCCATACCCACTCTCAATCGCCAGACCCGATACTTCCGACGACTCATCTTTCCACCATGGGTTTCACGCTGCTCGATGCGTTCACGCGACAACAGAAACGGTAAGGACCTGGGTTTCAACACGCAACATTCCCCGGCCTATAACCTTCTACTGACCGTTACATCCTTTACATTTGTTATTGGTTGGACTTCTAGAGACATCGCCATCTATGCTTTCGGTATCATGTGGTGAGTCGACCCGGCTCAACTTTCCCCGCCAGCGCCAAAGACTGACAACCATACCATACGATGTCCTACCCCCAATAGCTACAAGTTCGGCCTCGAATACTTTAACGGAGCGTTCATCACCCTCGCCAACGAGCGATTCACCAAAGAGGAGAGGTACCAGAAGATCGGTATCTTGACGGGTACGAACGCCGCTATGCAATGTGTGAGTGTCTCGTCGGCCACAACCATACCTTCCCCTCGTCTCGAGCTGACATTCTCTGGCACTGTTTCTGGACGCAGGTCGGCTCGATCCTCATCGCCCCGCTCATCAAACGATTCCCCACCCGTACCGTCCTGTCCTACGCCGTCCTCACCTTCGGACTTATCAGCATGACCCTCCTGATCTGCGACGCGGCGACCGGTGGGAAACCCAAGATCCTGAACGGAGGGAAGCAGAAGTATGGAACGTGGAACCCGAACGGGTTGTTCCCGATCTACATCATCAGTGGGGTGGCTTATGGGATGGTCGAGTTGATAAGGAGGGTCATCCCGAGGAACATCGTCGCTGGGGATGTTCAGAGGGTGAGTCTGGCGACATGTTGTGTCTGGTTCTATCTCATGTGACTGGGGATGCTGATAATACCTCATCCATACAATTGACAGCTTCGACGAATGGATGCTATCGTTCACGTTCTCTACGAGATCGCCGGAACGACCGGTGCCTTTACTTCCCCCGCCCTCATCTCCAAGTTCGGATACAACTACTCTTCCTTCCTCTCACCCATCCTCTTCGCCTCGGCCGCTCTTATCTGGCGGTTCGTCTCCAACACCGAAGCCGCCGAACGAGCCGCTGCGGAAGAGTCGAGGCTGGAGCAGATGGAACACGAAGATCAGGTCAAGAACACCAACTATTTGAACTCGATCTGGGTCGGCTTTAGGAGTTTCGGAAAGGCGACGTATTTCGGAGGCAAGTTGGTGTTGACTCGAAGGAGGTATGCTTGGTTGGTCATCGGTTACAGGTAAGTACCAAGCCAGGTCTTTTGCTTTGTTGAAATCTGTGGCTCATCCTTGCCCCCGGGATGTGTCTGTAGTGCCGCCTTGTACGGTCACCGATACCTCGAGAACGGTCTCGCTCCCATCTTTGCCAAACAGTGAGTCGATCTTGGAGATCTTGGAGAACCCATCGTGGCCATCCTGAACTCATCGCTGATCCATTGTCTTTTGCCGTCGTCATCCCTCTCAGAATCCTCGGTACCTCGGCCTGGTCTCAGATCATCGTCGGAGGAAGCAACTTTGGTGAACTCCTCGGTGCTCTCAGCGTCCTCCTCTTGACCAACTACGTCCCTACCCCGATCCCGTTCTTGCGACTGGACGCTCTCGCTCTCAACTTGGTCTGGGTGATGCCCTTCATCGCTGCCACCAAGGGAGACGTCGCGGGTGCTTGGAAGGTCGCCGCTTGTTTCATTCCGATCTCGTGAGTAAACTCAGTTCGGATGGAGGTTCCATATGAGAAGAAGGAAAGCGTGATGTTGACGAGTCGCTTAACGGGCTATACAGGTTCGGTTGGGCTGCTGGAGACGTCAGTTTGGCCGCTTACATTCAGTCGACATTAGCCAAGCTCGAGAACATCGACCCGGATGTCAGCGCTTTGGGTGCTGTCATGGCTTTCGTGAGTCACCGTTTCCTCCGTCTTATTAATCTCTCCGAGACACTTGCTGATCCGAGGTCTTTCACCTTGTAGTTGTACGTGACCTACATCGTCCTATACGCCGTCCTCAGCGCCGTGCTCGGTAAATGGGTCGACAAGCAGATCACCGCCGGTGTCTCTGCTCGTGAAGTCTTGAAGTACGTCGGAGGAACCCAATTCAGCATCCTCTGCGTGCTCGTCCTACTCGCTTCGTGCATTCCTCGAGGTGCCATCTCGTTCAACCCTCAGCTCATCGAGGGTCACAGTTCGAACGAGGAGGAGTCGGACGTCCCCGAGGCCGACGAGTACAACTTGCAAAAGGACCAAAAGGAGGCTGTCGTCGGGGCCGGAGTGGATGGAAAGGACAACTACGTCAACGGAGCTCAGGTTCCTTCCGTCAACAAGTACGACAACTAGTGGTGTTCTTTGTTATAGTCCGGTTTTGGGAGAACTTCCGGTGGCCGTTCTTTGAAGTAGTAACCAGGTGATTGTTTGTCTGTCGATATTTTGTATTGATCCCCCTTCGATACCCACCCAAGTGAGGATATGTCATAGATGGCCTATGTGATACGGATTTGGCTGCGGCAACCAAGATCGAACCTTGATCGCTGGCAACACCGCGTACGCCCGGGATAGGTCGTGTGATACGTTGGATCCATGACAATAACGGTACGGAAGCCGGCGAATGACTTGTTGTTGAGCTGTATGTGATCGAATGAGACCGCATGTCCTCTTCGGCAGTTTTCTACCGATGTGTCACCCGAACCGGGAGTGTCGCTGAGGTTCGGTAATGAACATGAGGTATTCTTCGCCCCGGTTAACTAACTTGTTTGGGTGGTCCCTGATCAGCTGACCCCGAGTTCCGGCTATCGACACCGTTAGGCAAGCACACGCGCGCGCTATTTTCTGCTCTCGCAGCCCGGAATCGGTTTCGCCCTCCGAAGGTGGCAGCATGCAGCATGGTCGTCGTTCAGGTCGGGTTTGATCCCCCTCCCCCCTCCCAGTCGCATGATTCTTCGAGTCAGCCGTCCCATCCTCCACTTCGGCCACGGGTCTTATCGCAGTGGGACCAACTGGGTAATTCCCGGATGTACAGAAGTCGATCGATTTCAAAGCTCGGTTATTCGAGACTCGCCAGTCGACGAACAACATGGTTGTAACCGGTTCCCCGTACTTATACGAGATGGGCGGGCCCGCCAAGCCGTATCCCCACAACAGATCCCCGTGGCCGCTTTTGATACCCCATCTTCTCCACACTACCCCGTCCCCGTCTCCGCAACCGAATCTTCAACCCCAAGCTCCAAGCCCCAACCTTTCCCCGCACAGCAACAATGTCGAACCTGCAATCTGCCGATCCCCACGCTTACCTCAAGTGGCCGCGCTTGATCATGTTCAACCTGAACGGAGCGCTGAGTATCGCCGCTACCGGTGTTTCAGCCCGATGTACGCATCTTTCCCGTTTCACCTATCTCTACATGACTCATGCGCAGCGCTGATCGTCTGAATCGACTCCGCAGCGTTCGTCGTGCTAAACCATCAGAAAGCCGAGTTGGTGAGTCTGTCGAGGACAACCATACAGTAAGGCGGAAGATTGTTTGACTAACTTTACCTAATCTTGCATTGCAACTTTGTTGTGATACAGGCAGCGACCATCCCAGGCGGGAAACTCCATGTGACCGATGTCGTCGCCGTCACCGCGATCATGTGTACCGCGGCCGGTCTCGCCTCCATCTACACCGTAAGCCAGCGACCGACCTCTCGATTTCTAAACCGACGCCGGCTTACACTTCCCCACGTTCACGTTGAACTACAGGCCGTCCTCTCAACTATCATCACGCTCAAGCTGCAAAAGGTCGAAACGCTCAAGACGATCCGGATCAAATACGCTATCATTACCCTGCTCATGTTATTCCTGCTCGGATCAGCTATCGCGTGAGTAACCCTTCTACCAGACATGTACAATTACTGTAAGAAGAAAGACTGACCAGGCCATTCTCGTATCGGATCTTTGCCAACCCGCAGTGCTACCGTAATCATCGTACCCCGAAGCGCAGGCGCAACCGCCCCAGGGATCCCTGATGCGCTCGTCGCCCGGCTCATTCAGGCTTCGGGGAAGTCGTTGGCGTACAAGGATTCGTTGGCTTTCCCTACCCGTGAGTCTCGAGCGCTCGACGACATCCCGTTTGACATCTACCGGGATTCTTTCCATGCTTACCGGCGTGTTCTTCAATTTCACAGTCATCCTCGTATGGATCTGTTTCGGTACGACGACCATCTGTTTCATTCTCGCCATCCTCGCGGCTAGGCACATCCGCAAGTACGGACCCGAAAACACGACTGTCTCACATGCCGTCTCCAAGCACAACGCAGAGCACTCCGACGAAGGACTCGTTCATTCGGACAAGCCGGCGATGAGCCATGTCGAGCGAGCTTAGACGCGAGGTTACGGTCGCGCAACAGAAAGTCGGGTAAGGCGAAGGCAAGTTCGAGGCTTTAGTTGTAGGAGAGTTCGCATCGAGATTGTATACAATTTATGAATACATGAAGTTTCATTCCAACAGACTAGTCTGTACGCGAATAGCGCAGCGCGTTCAAATTCAAGATTTCGATGTGTAGACGACCGTTCGGGATCGCAGGCGTCTCGTCGTCGTCGAGGGCGTCTCGTCTGGCGAAGACTTCCGCTTAGCCTGTCGTGTATGCACATCGGCTATGGCATCTTCCTCTTTCGCTCCAGTGGCGAAAGGTGTGGCCGCTTCTTCGTCTTTCGCTTTGGCAGAGGGTGCGACGTCTTCCTGCTTCGCTTCGACGGCGACGTCCTCCTTCTTCGCTTCGGCGGCGACGTCTTCCTTCTTCGCTTCAGCGGCGACCTCTTCGTCCTTCATCTGTTCAAGCATCTTCTTTATCTCTTCGTGAACTGGTTATAAGGAGAGGTCAGCCTTGCACTCCGAATGATGCGTTGAACGAGGCGAATGAGAAGTTGGATGAGGAGTTTCCTGACTCACGCTTTTCTACAGTGGTGACCTTCGTGAACATCACTGCGCCGGTCCTGCAACCCTCCCACTTGTCGATGTAGTGTTCCAGCTCGGAGGATCTCATGAAGACCAAGTCGCCCTGCTTGTATGGGAATTTCATCCCTAGTGCAGGTACCACCAAGTCTCCACCGGAAAACACCCCTCTCACAAACATAGCCGCCCAGCCGTCTCCCAAATCACCGTCGTCCATGTGGGGTCCTACGGTGAGTTCATGCACCAGCGCAATGGTGGAGAAGACTTGCCAGTTGCTCGATTGAATATTCCCTAAGCCACCCCTTTGGGCCAACGCTTCCCAAATAGCTTCATATCGACGAAAGGAGTCAGGGTCGATCGCTTTGAAAAGCTGTCCGATCACCTGGAAAGCTGGACCCATATCCCGATAGAAGTTGGCTACCTTGACAGCCCTGACATCCGATGTTTGACGGGTATCTCCTGTCAGACCTATAAGACAGGGCGTCTTGTCAACACGATATACTGAATTGATGCCAGACTGACATACCTAGCGAGGTCTTGTACCGATTCGCCCAAACCCCAAGATGCAATGTACCGAATTTCTCTTTGTCCGTGGGTTGCGAATGTGCGGGGTGACGGGTTTCTTTCCCACAAGGGTTCTTTGGTATGATGTCCTTATCAAGGATAAGCCGTTCAACAGCCCCAGGCATGACCCGCATCAACTCGTTGGATAGCGCTGCATCCGCAAACCCCGTATAAGACATCCCGTTCTCAAACTTCCAAAATACATCCCGTCCTTTTTCATCCCTGACCCTGGCACTCCCGTCAATTCTGACCATGCTAGCTGTCAAGTCGGCTATCTGCTTCTCAGTGTTGACCTCGACCGTCTTTTCCGAGAAGCGGACCTTGATCTGAACGGCGCGAGAGCGAAGGTCGGCGCGAGAGCGAAGGTCGAACGAGAGCGAAGGTCGAACGAGAGCGAAGGTTGAAAGAGAGCGAAGGTCGAAAGGGAGCGAAGGTCGAACGAGAAGGTTCACAGGAAAGTCGGATGAAGCCGGGAGGTTGACGCAGGAGGTCGAGTCCGCAAGAGAGAAAGTCGGATCCACGAGAGACAGGGTAAGCGATGAACCAAGCACGACGACAGAGATGTCATAGCTCACCGTTCGACAGATCTGGTTGACTTTCCGCCTCAAAAGGTTCCCTCTCATAGATTCAAAGTATCCGCCCCTAGACTTGGCAGCGTATGCCCGTAACAGAGGGAATCCCGTGCCAACATTCAGCGCAGCTCTCGCGCCATGTATGGTTCCAGCGGCATTGCTCCTCGCTGCATCGTTGTTATTATGAGGTTGCAGGTACTCGTGTCCCTCCAGAATTTCACCAGCCTGTCGGACCCTGGTTCGGCCCGCATTGCCACAACCACCGGCCATGATCGTCGTATAGCTCGAATAGCGATTTCGGAGTCGAGCGAGGTTTGGATTCGAGCGGGGTTGGCTGTCGGGCAGGATTCGGGGTCGTATAGCGATTTCAAGGTCGAGCGTACAGCGAAATCCAGGTCGACCGGGATTCGAGGTCCAGCGGATGGATTCGAGACTCAGACAATAATCAGCTGTTGGTGAACAGGTTGCATGACATGACGAATCTTGTGTGGGATGAGATGTAGAGTCGCGAACGAAAACGCGTGAGAACTCTTCGACGCCCCCCTCCTTTTTTCTTCCTGCCAGCGTAAACCGCTGCGATCATCGTCCAAGCATTCGTTCGTTCGTTCAGCTAACCGCAATATCAGTGTAGTTTTCTCGCCAACCCAAAGCAAAAGAAGAGCCATACAATCTGGATACTAATTACTAAACCTCAGAGCAAAGAAGACAGAGAGAGACAAGCAAAGGGATCTGGTATTTGCTACCAATCTTTTCAGAGCGGCACCGGGGACAGGTTTTCAGGTATTTGCTACCTAGCCTGGGGGGACTGTGGGCTGTCTCTCTCTGTCACATCGTCGTCTATCTCTTTCTACACTATACGCAAATGTTTCCGGCTCTTTGCGACCGGACTATGGGCGTCCCCTCGATACCTCGGCTTATCGCTATCGCCAATATCTCGATCACGCCTCTCTCGAGCGATCGCATGCTCGAGGTTCATTGCGGACGAACATCTACCGTCGATTCTCAGTCAGATTCATCATGACGATCACACGACCTATCAGCGTCTCAGATGCAAGCGAGAGCCTGTCGTGCGAAAAGAGAGGGGCTGTTGTCGGAAAAGGGGGGAAACGCTGCCAATTTTTTTTCCGGTCAGTAGCGACGGCAGTCGTATCGTAGATTATCCTGAGCTTACAACCTTTAATTTCCTTCCGTAACAGCTTAACGAAGCAGTCGAGCAGATCATCTTGGGTTTGAAATCAAGATGAAGAGAATTCGTGAGATATCGGTCTCCAGCCGCTTCGTTGCTAGCGTTCTACCTTGGCATGGTTATGGCGGCATTCACGCTCGCGGATCTACTCGGAAATCCTAGAGAGCACGTTCAAGAACGCCCAAAGGCGCAGAACATCGACGGTATGGGATGCTCAAGCGGAAGGTTAGTCCGAGAAACCAAGAACATTCAGCATGAACACGTTGCATCGATGTCGCAGTCAGCCACGTAGCCGCTGTAGATATCTTGTCCGTACGCTTCGTCTCGTCGAGATACGATAGTCGTCCGCCATCTTCCTGCATATTATCATCAGTGACCATATCGTTTCCGCATCTCTCACCAGCCTTCTCCTTGCCTCTTGTTAGCCGTCTGAGAACTAGAACGCTGCCCTGTACGATACTTCTTGCCATTACCGATTCCTGTCGTGGGCCCGCTCCGCATGTTCTCCCATCGCGCGTTCCGAGATCGGCGACTTAATGGGTATTGGCTACGATAACGAATCGCTATTGATCGTCCATCCCTACGTCCTGGAGAACCTTGATACGAGACTGTCGCTGCAATAGTAGGCTACTCTCCTCGATGGAACGAAGTCTTGCCTGCAGAGACATTGCTCGGGCGACGGCGAGTGGCCAATTCGTTTTTTCAGTTGAATCGCGCTCCCTTCGAAACAATATCTCGTCCACTCAAATTCGAGCGCTTTGATTTCGTATACCTTGTTTTAACCGTACATAACCTGGACCTCATGGTATAGCTAGCAATTACGAAGCAAGTCGTCCTATTCACAGACCCTATTTACCCCTGCTGCATCCTCCGCCTGAAAGCCTCCTTCTTTTTACCGATCACTTCCATCTGGGCGAGGACTGCTTGCTCCTCGGGCGCCTTGCTGATGAGTATGGGCGAATCAGATCGTTCGCTAGACGACGAGTGTATGGTAATGATCTCGTCATCCGGCTCTGGCCGAGTCTTCATTCGACGTCGTTTCGCAGGACGGCGCGGCGTAATCATGTGCGAGGCGTCCGATTCAGATCCCGATATGCTGTAGACCCGGCGACGTTTGCGGTCTGGAGATCGGACTGTGGTCGCGCTGGTACTCGGGACCGGCATGGCAATCATAAATTCGGGCTCGCTGGATGCCGGCGTTGTAGGATCGTTTATGGCCTCGCAGCATGGGTTCCCGGTTGAGGTGTTCACCCTGGACTCGTTGCGGCTCACGGCCGGTGAGGGAACTTTCTCTGCGGCCTGACGAGATGGGCCCGGGGTCGCCGAGCGAACGGAAGTTCCACTCTCCTGCATTGGATCCGGAGTCAGGGCGAAGATTTGCTGTTCGTTGTCGTGGGCAACCGGAGTAGTCGCCTGCTTCTCGTCAAGCTCTGCGGCCGACGAGGCGATCCTGGTCCGCTGGCCAAATTCAGTCAGACCAGAAAGCCCCGGTTCCTCGTTGCGGTCGACAGACGGGGTATCAGCCTTGATCGATCTGCGCATGGATCGGGTCGCGGGCGTGGTGTTGGCAGCCGTCTGTGAGATCGCCCTTCGAGTTCGTTTTGAACCCTCGGGAAGGACGACGGGCACGAATGCCGACGCGCTCTCGACTTCGACCCATTCCCAAGCCTTCCACAACCCGTTACCCTTTTGGATGTTGGCACGCTCCTCTTTCTCGGTCTGGCGTGAGGGTTTGGCAGATTGTTTCGAGCGAGAAGAGCCAGGAGCTACGGGTGGTTCGGTAGTGAAAGGGAGAGCCATGGATGGTGGCGATGCAGCCTTTGCTTTCCCCTTCTTGCCTCGACTGGCCGGTAGCAAGGGTACTTCCGGTTCCGGTTCGGGGAGTGGCACGAAACTCCCTCCTCGGATGTGAATAGCGGTACGTAGCACTTGGGAAGCGACGACGCCCAAGGGTATTTGTAGCGGAGTCGGTTTCCACCATGCCGGGCGAAGGGATTTTGGTGGGTACGCAGCCACCGTAGGCGTCGTCCTTGCAGGCCAGGGAAGGTGAAAGATCTTCCAATGGCGGTGACATCTGATGTGCGGGAAAAGTTGGCGAAACAAGTTCAAAGCCTGCGGGTTTCGAACAGATTCAAACGGGCGAGAGCTTACCTCCTGCACACCGGCGTTTTCGATCTATTCCGGCCACGTCGAGAAGAGCCACGCTCGCGTGACAAGGGTATAGCCGAGAGACACTGTTCACATCGTATCATATCGGGCGGATCTAGCGATATCGATCCCGCAACAGATCCTGATCTAGATCCAGATCCTGCGCTCGACGCCAAAGCGGACGCCGTTCCCGAGGCATACTTGACTGCCTTGCTATTGTCGGCACCCCACTTTGCTGCCTTTTTATCGTACTTGCGACGGTATACCCCAGCCGTCAAGGTGAGACATTTCTTGGCTGCTTCTCGTTTCTCCCTTGAGCTGAGGGTGGGCTGCATCGTACTGGCTACGCTGGGTATCACACCATCGTCAATCTCGTCCTCCTCGATCGTCCGTCCACTCCCGCCGGTACTCCCGCTTGTACCCGACGCATACCACCCTTCCCCATACCTCTCACATGTGGCGCACAAACACTCGCAATTGCCAACCCCGAAATAGTTCGGGCCATAGAACGTCGTCAACTCTTCACCGACTTGAATCTCCTTTACGACCCGAAAGGTCATCGCCATTCCACTCTTGGCGGTGAGTTGACAATTGGGTTGGCAATCATGGTTGACAAAACGTCCGGGCCCGAGGTACATGCAGGGACCGAGACGAGCGGACTCGACGATGGAGAAGCCCCGAATGGATTTACGGGCGAGGGTGTTCGGGGCGCCGGAAGGGGCTAGCTTTGCGGCAGATGTTGATGCGACAGTGTCTGGAGTAGGTGCAGGCGATGGAGATGGTCCGAGACTTGGTATCTCGAGGTCGATAGCGTGAGACACCGTAGTCACGGAAGACGATGACGGCTCTCGATTGCGATCGCGGTTCCACGTCCCATCTTCTTCGGCTTCCCTCTCAAGCTCCTGATCCCACGTCAGCGGCATAGGAGCCAGAAACCCCTCGCATTCGTCCAACAAAAGAGCGGTTCTGTCCTTCGCGTTCACATCCGGGTCGTATGGTGATAAACGCGCCGTAGCAAAGACCCCCAATTCTGCTTTCCCCGTAACAGCCCCATATCGAGAAGTAGGCAGGATCTCCACCCGGGAAGCCGGATGATAGAGCCGAACATAACGTTCGAGATGGGCGGCGAACCTATCCAACTCGGTCTTGGATTTGGATTCGCAGTGCGTTGAAATGAGAGGTATCCCCCAAAATCTATCCCGGTCGGACCGGTCGAATTTGCCCTGACAGATTGTTTCTTGCAAGATCTTCAAAGGTCGTATCGAAGAAGAAGACTCCTCGACTTCGATATCAGACGAGAAGGAGGAGATATCTTTCGCTTTCGGTGTGATCCTCCATGTCCTTGTGGCCCAGACTGGGTTTTGGTAATGCGCTCCCAACCGCCTTCGAGAAGAAGTCAACGTATCGAGCAAGAGGTAGACGAGCAGGTCGTCGTTGTCTACGAGTTCTTGAGCGGCTCTAAGTCGTTTTTCTTCGACCGAAAGAGAAGTAGCCTTCGGTGTTATCTTCGTGGCCGCCGTCTGTATCGTTGCCAATGACCCGGGAACGTTGAGGTGAAGAGGAGGATCGAAAGGCGGATGGAGGGCACCGTCGATGCGATCAGTCGATGGGCACGCCCGGCCGGGATTGCTCCCAACCTCCTGACAGTGACCGCACATCCCGGATCGATCTCAAATGGTCGCAAGGAAGGAGAGAAGGGTCTCCTTAACAGATATACAAGAAGAGAGAGGTCGTCGAGGTCAAACAAAGTCGATAGTTGACTGTGTTTGCAGCTTCGACGTTGTTGTGACCCTCGGATGTAAATTTCATCCGGCGAAACGTTTACGTACATTCTCGACTGACGTTGGAGGATGGACCTGAAACACCAAAGACCACCGTTGCTATTTTATTAGCACAGCGAATCTAGCTGCTTGGAGAACGTATGGGGGGACTTCCTAGGTGCATAGCTGTAGCTTGTCGCTGAAATGATCTGTGCTGCCGCTAAATGTTCGTCCTGCGCGCCAGGCGGAGGGTTGCAGGGATACGGTGCTTCTCGGTTCGGCCCCGCTTTCCGAACTCCTTTGGGTCTCTTCGGCTTCTCTATTTCGTTGCATATGCAGGTGTATATACTGGGAAGACATCGCTACGGATGGTCCAGGCCCCCTTGGAGGTGCGCTTGAGGACTGCGGGAAAACGAGGAAAGCGATGGCAGCCTGTAACGGTCCTGACCTGAATGTCGGAAACGCTATATCTCGACAGTATGGTATGTTCGAATCCAGGGTGGTCTAGATTTGTAGGTTGAGATCTATATCGAATTTGACTCTCATTGGAGTCGTAGTAGACGACAGTGCTTATGATGTGCGATTAGCGACTACGGCTTAGGATCAGCGATCAGCGACTACGGCTTAGGATCAGCGATCAGCGACCGACGCCGGATTTCACAGAGGATCAAGCGGAGGAAGGGATGGTATATTGTCGAATCGCATTATCGGGGGAAATTTTTGTCGTACAACCGGACAAGATGGTGGTATTTGAGATTGCCCTCAGGGTCAAGATTGCGCTTGTCCATGAACAAGGCCCCGGCCAGCTGAAACCATCGGCTTGGCTGAAACCTGAAAGATAGAAGGGGAAATGAGGAAACGACAAAACGACTCAGACTATATACCTTCCGAAGAAGCTCGAAAGCGATGTAAGCGAAGTCACGGGACCCACCGATTGCATTTGTCTTTCCAGTAGACGATTTCACTGTTATATGAAAGGGAAGGTCAGCGTTGCAAAGATCGACTTTGATGAGCTGATTATAAATCACCTCGGGATCCTTTGATCGTAATATCCTTCCAGCACAAATGCTAGCCGCATATGCTGTCTACCGAGCTCCTCCAAGATATCGAGAACTTCTTCATGTCTGAGGTCCGGGTCCACAACGGCCAAATCCAGAAAGACTGTGTCCTTGCAGTCCTCGAGCTCTTGGAAACCAAAATCGACCAGGATTCTGCGTCGGCGATCCTTGTTTTTGTTTCCAAGTACAACACGGGGGATACGAGAGGCAAATCCTGTTATAGTCCAGGTCATCAGCTTGTTTCAGTAGACGATGTTCCAGCCGGAAAGGAAAGAGGTACCTGTGACATTGTCTTTGAAGCGGCGATATTCTCTGTCGATGTCGATGACCCCCAGCTCCTCCAGCGCTTCCCGCATGTTGGCAGATGGTATTTCGTACCAGTGGCTCTTATGCCATCTTCCGTGGGATTCATACCAGCGCATGTCGTCGAAGATCACCTACGCAGAATGTCGACGTCAACGACCGTTTGACCGGTCAAAGCTTCCGATTCGATAGGGGAAAGCAGCAATCACCATCACCAACTTCTCCAATATGTCTCCAAAGAATTTCCCGATACAGGAATATCCCGAATGTCCCTCGGTCCTCGTCCTTCTCAGGTAGCCCGGTGCGTCAGCAGTTACCACGATATGCGCTGCCAATTCCCGGGTAATATCGAGCTTGCTGGTTGTTTACCGAGTCAACGGGGGCGAGTCAAAGGGCGAGTCGACAGGGAGGGGGCGAGTCGACGGGGAAGGGGCGGTCGTTCGAGTGGATTACGGGGGTACGGGGCGGTTATTTGAAGCACGGATCGGTGGCGGTGGAGTCGATTACAGGAACTCACTAGAACGCCTCATTCGAGACAAATTTGGCACAGTGAAAGTATAAGGCCCCTGCTGATGGCCAATACTTAGGATTTGGGGTCCCCAAGCATTGCATGGCTGTTACCATATAGCTTTCAAAGTTGACAACAGCGTCACCTGCTGTCTCTAAGACCGCTCGTTCCGTAACGCGGATCATGTATCAGGCCTTCCGCAACGGGAATCAGGCGCTTCATGGAACGCACCTATAGCCTTCTCTCGGCGATCAGAAGCGATCCGGTAAAACCGGTCATGGAGATGTCGAAAGCGATTGGGCACCCGGAAGCCATGGTTCGGATCGTGGTGGTTCGATTCTTTGGACGATGTGTCGATCGATTCTTTGGACGATGTGTCAACATCGTACCATTTCTCGTTGTCATAGCCATTTTGTAGTGGGACCTTTCGTGATGACATACTAGCTTTAGTTGGAGTAGGAGAATCGTCAATAGGATGATGTGAAGGGAAGGTGTTGACTGGGTGATGCAAATCAACGTCTACTGGGTCGACATTTGTGACGTTCGTCGAAGTGGTCTGCATCGCAACACGATCATCAACTTCGACAACATAACGTCATGCCGAATCATGCCGTGATTCATGCCACAACATGATGGCCGAGGCAAGGTCACTGTTGATTACTCGGAAGAAGCCTTCAATTTCAAGTTGCGACAATAAAACCACGACACCGTGCGGTTGCCTTGATGGGGTAAACGGAGGAGGCAGATTACGACATCGTCGCCAGGCCTGCTATAACCAGATGGGACGCGCGTTCGATTCCAGCATACGCCATAAAATAAAATAGATTATTGAGAGAGCTTGGGCCGTAGCCCCTCAGGACCTTTAAAACTTTTTTTTTTACGGACGATCATTCCACTTGTTTCTGCTAACAATTCTTTGCATCCTAGCTACACGTCATTGTTCTTCCGAAGATTAACTTGTTTCAGTCGTTCGGCTGGTTTCCTTTTTACTTTCCACACAATTTGGAGTTGAGAACATATCAATTCCTAACTCCGAATACTATATCACGAGCTCGACGACAAGCAGATTAATGGAATCGTTTGGTGATCCGGTGACAATGGCCGACGTGAGAGGAAACAGATCTCGCGTTTCATTCACTTCGGAATTATTCCCGTAATGGGGGAACCATTTCCCGCAACGCGGACAACATCGCCCGCTGTTGACGTGGTTTGTATTCGTCCAGATGTCTAGGGTTATAGTCTCGTGAATCGCATTCTCTAGTGTTATAGCTCGTCAGGTAGTGGTGTCGTCAATATCAGTCGTCCGTCAAGTCAATCGTTGCTCCGTCGTACCCTCTCAGCGCTTCCGTCATCTCGCTCTGCAACTTTCTTTTCAAGACGGCCTTGTCGTCAGCGTCGACGTCTTCTTCCCCTCGTTTCCTCTTAATCGAGGCGTTCCCAGCACTTGTATCGGTAGGGTCGACGTCGACGCAAAGACTGGGGCTTTGGGCAATGGTGCGTTTAGCTTCGATGGCCTCGGGTGGTGGGGTAGGTGTACTGGCATGCAATTCGGCGGGTGGGGTAGGAGGTCGAGGGTCGCCTGAAGCGGATCAATGGGTACATTGTTAGAGGGCATAGACAAGGAGCAGGAGCTCATACGAACTTACGAGGGATGATGCCCATCGCTTGCAGAACTTCCTTCGAAGCGTAGCGGATCGTCATCTTACAGTACGGCAAACCTTCCTTATCTTGCGTGCTCTTTCTCTTGGACGTCGTCCTATAACTTTTCGCGGGTACTGGGGGACCGTATCTGGAAGACAAGGTACTTCGTAAGCGAGACTCACTCGACGGTTTCATGACCACTCTCTGCTTACTGAGTCACGGAGGTGAGTAAACCCTTCTTATGCTTCTCCGAGAGTGCTGGAGTCAGATTGACCACCTCTTTGTACGTGAAAGACTGTTTCCGAGGGTAGTACTGTACACGACACAGTACTATCTCAAGGGTTCCGATGGCAGTGTTGATTGTAGTCTCCGAACCGTCATCGCCATCCTCAGCCCGTAGTTCCTGCAAAGTCAAAGGTGAGCCAGCCGTTCGCGCGGTTGAGCGGAACATGACACTCACCGGCTTCTGGAACACGTACGGACGACGCTGTTTGTTGTGATCGATAGGACCTTTGAAACGGAAGCGCTCATCGAGATGATAAACAGCTTGACCTTCGGTCTTTACACCATCGATTCTCAGATGTGCTGAGATATCCTTGTGCTTGGTGCGAGGGTCTATCCGAGCGTGGTAACCTTGTGACTCAAGACCGATCGTGTACGACTTCGAAGAAAAGCAGTCAGGTTTACAAAAGCGATCTCGAGCCAGTATCCAGATCCGGATGCTCACCTTGCCGACTTCACTGCAGATCCAACCTTCCGACCTCGTCCTACCGACTCCTTCCTGGTGATGCTTCTCTTGATAGACGGTGGCGTCTCGTCCGTCAATCTTGACCGACATGGTGAATTCACCAGACCACGAGAACAGCGGCATCGCGAATAGCTTCAAAGGGTTTCTGGCTTCTCGCACCCTTGTCGGTAGATTCCGGATCTCCCGAAGACACCCGGTGACGACGAACGCTGCAGCGTTTTAGATATCCAAACATCGTAAGTCGAGACTTGAAGGTGACATGATCAATCTACTCACCTAATCACAGTCACAATCCGTCTCTTACGTCTTGTATGTCGATTACTTGTGCTAGAAACAGCAGCTTCCTGAAGACCTTTTACTAGAAACAGCAACTTTCTGAGGATTTTTGACCATTGTAAGCCGGAATCTTAAGCAACATCACCAAGCTGTTCGCTCACCTCAGTCGACTTTTCTTTGCCAGCGTTATCGCTACTGGGATTCAGGCCATATAATGGATTGACGTTCGAGGGCGTCTAGCCGGTATGAACCCCAGTATCGTTGAATGTTGAGCATGAGTGTTGGTGATGTACTTGGTCGAGGTCGGTAGCAGCTGATTGTACATTTGCACCACCCACCTTCCTTTGGCTTGCTCGGCGACAATCGGAAGTAAATATGCCGGCATCGGAAGTAAACCCTTGAATCGGCACCGGACATGCCGAGATTGTGCGGATCCGGAGCTCGGGATCTTGCAAAGGGTCGACCTCCTTGAGAGAGAGAGAGAGAGACGATAAGATTCATAAGATCTCTCTCTTTCTAATCTGTGGACTGTGGGAAGCTATACAAGACCACAACTCATCAACAGTATATCATAGTACTCTCGAAGATATACTCGAGGAGTATAGGGCGACATGACCACCGGGCCCGCCGCTATCCACTCTTACGGCACGCTTACTCCCACCGACCAACGTACACCATCTCGAGGACAAAGGCAATCATTTCAACACCTTCATCCATCATTGCCTTACTCGACGCCGACCCAGAAGCGACAATCATCAGGAGGTGTGATGAGAAACAGGCAGGGATATGAGGCGACTGGAGATGGGGACGACGAGGTCTTGAAGGGAGAAGGAGAGTTTAGCGACGAACTGGACGATCGAACGGATTGGATGAGGAGCGGGAGACAAGGCAAGGCGACGATAGCGAGTTGTGTCAGCAAGTGAGTCGATAGTCTTCAGCTATCAGATGAGGTGAGAGGGGTTCTATTGACGTATACCATGGCTTGCGCTTTGGCAGTCTTGCCAATACCATTATCGGATCCGGAGCGCTTGCATTCCCCTCGGTAAGTAATGTCGTACCTAACTGATCGTGATCCTTTCGTTGACAATCGCCCATCCCGTCCCGATTCCATCTCCCGTAGGTCTTTGCATCAATGGGCCTCATCCCCGCCTTCTTTTCCTGCATCTTTGCCGGCGCATGCTCCGCCTTTGGGCTGTACCTCCTCTCCCTCTGCGCCCGTCAAGTGGGAAGACCGACCAACCAGCCTTCGACAGCGTTTTGCTCTTCCGGACCCAATACGCCTGCCAAACAAACCCCTCTGGGTTCTAGGCGAGCCGATCAGATTGAGAGTGGGAGCGACGAAGACGAAGCAGATGACCGAGATGTCGGCGACGTCTCGTTTGCCAGGACGGTCACTTCGAGAAGATCGATTCCGATCACGATCAAGGGTTATGAGAAACCGGAAGCTAGTTTCAATCAGATCGCCAGGTTGACTTTTGGGGAAGGATGGGCGACGAGGTGTTTCGACGCTGCGATCGCGATCAAGTGTTTCGGGGTCAGCGTCAGTTATCTAATCATCGTCAAGGTAAGTCTCGCCATCTCTTCTCGGCTAAAGAAATGATTGACCGCAGGTATAGATAGGAATGATAGCTGACATCCCTTGAAACGAATTGACTCGCTTTCAACTCGATCATCGTAGACTTTGATGCCCCAGGTCATCCTCTCCCTCTCGCACCACCTCCCCAGCGAGACCCTCCCGGAAGACTCGATGTGGCTAGACGGAAGACTCTGGCTCTTGTTCTCCCTGGTCATCGTCGGTCCACTGAGTTATCTGAGGAGGATGGATAGTCTGAGGTTTACGAGCCAGATCGCCTTATTGAGCGTGGTCTAGTGAGTCGCTGCCCTGTCTACTCCCTTTGAGAGACTTCGAGCTGAAGTTTCGGTGATATTCGTTGGACATGGAATGCCAAACAGCCTAGTCATCATCGTCGTCGGCTGGTGGGCTCTCGGAGTGCCGACAGGGAAAAAGAGGGGGGACGTCGTCCTCGGCAGATTCGGGAGCTCGACCTTGGGTTCATTCCCCATCCAGATCTTTGCCTATACATGCGCCCAGAACGTGAGTTTTCGTCTGGACACCTGTCGATTTGTCTTCCGGAAGATGGAACTCGAGGCTGATGGTTCTTCTTCGTAACTTGGTCTTGGCCCGATGCGTTACAGATTTTCGCATGCTTCAACGAGCTCAAGTTCAACACTCAGGCTAGGATGAACAAGGTCATCACCGTATCGATCGGATCGGCTGCGATCACGTACGAGGTCGTAAGTCAATTTTGGTGTGATTCGACCCGGCATCCACCGTCATCGGACAAGGCTAATGCTCATCCGTCGTTTTCTCAAAGCTCGGAATCGTGGGTTATCTGACCTTTGGGCAGGGCGTCAGCAGCAACGTGATCGCCATGTACGTAGCCTGGAAAGTCTAATGTAAAATTCGGATGTCGGCTGACGAGTCCCTTGCAGGTACCCTTGGACTTCGGTCATCATCGCCATCGGCCGTCTCGGAATTGTTCTCCTTTCGGCGCTGTCTTACCCCTTGCAAGCGCACCCCTGCCGTGCGTGCATACATACTCTGACTGCGGGCTTGCGCAAGAAGAGCCAGTCGCCAGACGATAGCGTCACCGCGGCGGACGATACGGACGAGGAGGACGAGCTTATGAATGAAGACAAGGACGATCACGGACTGCCTGTGGGCAAACCTATGGGTCGAAAGAAATTCTTGACCATCACCACCGGGATCATCGTGTTCGGATTCGCCATCGCCATGGTCATCGATGAGCTCGAAACAGGTCGGTTCGCGGTTCCTCTCGGATTGTATCACGATTTGGAGCTTATATCGACTTTGATCGCACAGTCTTGAGTTTCGTCGGATCGACCGGTTCAACAATCATCTCCTTCATCCTGCCCGGAATGTTCTACTTTTCGCTCTTTCGACACGAACAGGGTATTACGAAATGGATGGCTCTAACCCTATCGATATATGGTATCGTCGTGATGGTATTCTGGTAAGCCGTTGCGCCAAGTACGCGAATGCTGAAGATACCATCAAGCTGAAACGTGTTGTCTCGTTGGTAGTCTATCTTTCAACATCTACAGACTGGCTCATCATCAGGCCATCAAGCATTAGAGACCGCGAAATCTTGTACATTATGTATTTGCAGATATTAGACGCAATCAGTGGAAGACGATATGGGCACTGTCCAGGATCAGCTTATGTCGACCTGACAAAAGCCAGACGTTGCTTCAAGACGCGCAGGTCCATTCGAGGTTCCGCTTGACGAGGCGATATCAACGCCGACGAAGACATGATTCAGTATGACGCGAGGCCGCCGTAATCCTTTCACTTTCCTCTTCTTCCTCCATTCTGGTGAGGTGGCGCGGGTTGCGCCACTTCAGTGTCTTTGAGCTTTTGGGTTTCTTGTTTCGTGCTTGATAATGCCGAATCGTTTTCGAGCGGTAGTGTCGTCCCGGAGTTTTGCCTCCCTCGGCGCAACGGTAGATTCGCTCAGAGAGACCAGCCTTCCTCGACCGGACGTGACTGACTTACGTGAGATGCAATCCTCAAGTCTTCTGCCGTTGTCTTGTTCCTTCTCTGTTGTTGAATGATGCCCTGTTCATTAACGCGGGTGATGCGGGTACTGCGCCTCAGCGGTATGATCACTTCAGACAGTCGCAGGGAGGAGGTGCAAGGGCATAGGGAGCCAGCGGAGGAGGAGCGTCAGAAGATTCCGGGGTCGAGTGATCGTTCGGAAGGACGCGCTTCATCACGACGAAAGAGAAGCGAAGTGAAATTGTGTCAGTAGCGTGCTGTACTTGCGCACACGGCGGTTGTCACCGCACGCAAAAAGCCAATCCGAGTTGATTTACTCCGAAGGCCGGCTCGCTTCCCCAACCGCGTTAACCATCTTGCTCGCCTGTCACTCCCGCTCAGAGCATCCGGTCACTCGGCTTCCTCTGCGAGTTCCTCCTTTCTTCCCTGCGATCGACGGCACGGGGGTAATAACCACCGAAGCGCGCGCGTGAATGTCTCGGATGATTCGATCAGCCTGGGAGGGGCGACGGCGATCTTTTCCTGTTGTGTGCCAATCCCCGATCAATTCTTTTCCCGTATCCCGTGTGTCTCATCTCCCTTTGCCAACATCACTCCCGTCAACTACATCCATCCCGTAGGCACTTCATGATAATCACGTCGCGCTCATCATCCACCTTGCCATTGAAGGGAAAAGCTGAAAAGACAGGCAGAGAGACTCTATATAGCAGCCGCCATGATGGTACACTTTGCTTCATCCCATTCAGTCTTCTCTCTTCTGCATCAAAACATCAACCTCAACATCGTCCTAGTCCTCCCTAGTCCTCGCACCTCCTCTCATCCTTTCCTCGCTCTCATCGCGGCCGCCTTCCACCTCTCGCAAATACCTGGTTCTCTCCCGTCACCATGCGATTCTCCATTTCCGCCGCCTTACTCTCGCTCGTCGCTCCCCTGGCCCTCGCCTTGCCTTCGGCAGCGCCCGCCTCTCCCGAAGCTCTCGAGACCGATCTCGTCTCATCGGTCCACAATCTTACCGAACGTACCTACTATACTACGACTTGGACTTCCTTGCGTTGCGACCGCATCTCGGGTTACTACGGCTTCGGACTTTTCGCCGTCAAGTACGATTTCGGGTGCCTTTGTTACAATGACGTGGATACTTTCTGCCGAGTCAACGGATTGAGCTATACCATGAACAGTTGGATCAAAGGGCAATTCAATTACCAGTCGTACAACAAATATCCTACCGGTCCGTATCTCTTTAAAGAATCCATCGTCGCGCGCGGTACTGATTGTTTGTCTGATTTTTAGGTTCGCAGCCCACCTGTGACGATAAAGGTGGATACACCTGCCCGTTCGGCAAGAACAGCGATGGATCATGTGCCCAGCACGCGGCTTCTTGTGGCGATGGTCGTGAGTAATCATCCTGACCTAAATTCTGAGCGATCGTTACTAAACCTCTTCGGCCGTCATAGAATGCTTGCAATCGGATGGTACTTGTTGTCCGCGAGGCACTACCAAGATCAACGGCTTGGTAAGTCGATGCCTTTCCAAAGTTGCCCTTTTGACACGCGTGCTTACCTCTCCGTGATATGATATAGTGCTGCGCTCAAACCTGCAAGGGCACGTCCGGCGGCAAGTGTTATGGAGCCGGTAGCTGCGCCGATGGCAAAGTCCTGAGCAACGAGCTTTGTTGCCAATCCGGTTGGACCGGGTACGACACCGTATGTTGCCCCTCTGGACAGATCGAGGATTCGACCAAGCCTGGTACCTGTACCTGCTCGAACGCCAACCAGGCTATCGTGAACGGGGTCTGTCAGAACCGATGCACTTCAGGACAGACCTGGTTTGCCGGAGCTTCCAAGTGCTGCCCCTCGTTCCAGACCATCATCAACGGTCAATGCTCGTGTCCCGCCGGTCAAGTGCTCAACAGCGCAAAAACCGCTTGTACGGCGCAATGCACGACTCAACAAAAGTTCGTCCCCGAGAGCGGCACTTGCCAGCCGAAATGTGGATCGGGCTTTACTTGGTCGTCTTCCGCCACGAACCCCGATGGTCTCTGCTGCTCTGGCGGAAGGGTGTGCAACACGAAAGTCTGTTGTCTCACGACCGAGATCGAGAGCCACGGTCATTGTTGCCCCAAGGGATATACCTGGCGAAACAACGCTTGCCAGGCTCCCAGCGGAGTTCCCACCGCTCCCAAGCGTCGACGAGCTCTCAACAACCAGCGAACCCTTTCCGCATCGGAAAAGACTCGTCTAAGGATCGACGACAAACTCTGTCCCAAGAACCTCTCGGCTTGCCCGATCGACGGATCGGCATCAGGCGGTTACGAGTGCCTCGACTCTTTCACCGATATCAACTCGTGTGGTGGATGCGCAACCATGGGCGAAGGGCAAGATTGCACTGCGATCAAGGGAGCCAAATGGATGGGATGCGAACAGGGCAGCTGTGTGGTATACTCCTGTCGACCGGGATTCAAGCTCGTAGATGGCAAGACCTGCGTCAAGGCATAGGGAGAAGGTCACATTTCTTTATCATTTTGGGTCTCAAGAGCTATCAGAAGCGCCTCACATAGACATACGCAAACACCTCATAATTCCTCAAGCGGTCTCGTCGACGCTTGAATTTGTCAATCCTTATTATATTAGTCAACGCGCAAAGCGATACATCCATCTATGTTACATCACATGAGCTCCTATCATGCCTTCTTCTCTCCGTGATTCTTCAGAGCTTGCTCGCGCAGCTTCTGTCCCATGTCGTCCGCTTCCCTACTATACGGGCTCTTTCGCCGAATAGTACGACCAAATTTGAAGAAAACGCTATCGACACAAACAGTCAGCTCATCCATCATCCCGAGAGAGTAGCTGTCTGGCGATACACACTAGGGCATCGGGGCGCAGGCCAAAGACAAGAAAGCGACCAAAGTACTGGCCCAGTTCACGCCTGCATCAACAGCGTTATTAGCCAAAAATCATGCGGAAGATGAAGATGCAAGTTTCACTCACCCAGATTGGCATACATATTCGAGACAAAAAGCGGGAACGCTACGCCGAACAATGACCGTAACACCGAGTTGGCCGCTAGCACTGACGCCGCGTACAACAGGTACGAGTCGATCAGATAGTTCTGCGGTCGAACGATGCTCGTGAGTCAATCGTCGCCATCGGTCGAGGTCGAGATAGTCGCTCCGAAAGGTCGAGATAGGCTTCGAACTTACGAAGATTGACAAGAAGACGAGAACCATCCCTGCGAGCCAAGTAGAAGAACAAGTAAGCATACGACCGTCTAGTGCGTGTTCATGGAGTCGGCCCGCGTACCCATTCCAAACGGCATCGAACAGATGATCGGTGCTATCCAATGGATCGATTTGGGCGAAGCGGTCCATGCGAAAGCGAACAGTCCCTATGTTAAAGCAAGGTGGAAATCAGTTCCCACTATTGTCTCCCTTGTCGACCTTGAGGATGGCGTACGATTCTGCAACGGGAACATAGATTATCAGTAAAGGTTAACTGCTTGGATGCGGTTCTCGCACGTACGGTAAAAGCAGACCTCCTATCAAAGCGGGAACGAGACGCTGCTCTGGCGGAAGCCAACCCTCAGCGTCGTTCTTGCGGGTGTAGCGAGGGTTTTCGATGAAGATCGTCCACAAGACGGCGATGGCGAATCCTACGAGCACTCCCACAAAGGCCAGACCGCCAATGCCTGGTGACCATCCTCGCTCTTGCTGGAACACAATCGGGAACGCCCCGAACAGCATCTATCGAATGATGAACGATACAATCAGCTCGGTGTACATTCACTGTTCAACTCGACCGGGACTCACGTAAAGAGTACCATAGACGATTGCGAGACTAAGTTCGAATTAACAAGGTCGACGATCAGCACGAGCGCGATGCGCGCGAATCAGGAGAAACTAACTAAAGCGATAGCAAGAACACGATGGGTTCTCGAAAGAGCAAGATCCAAGGCTTGGATAGAGCCGTCTTGAAAAGTTGTTTGGGCTGGACCTTTTTGGGCGATCCTTTGTATCGGTACACTCTACCGGTGACTTTGCTAAGCAGTGCGGCTCTGCGCTGAAGCAAGACCGGAGCGTAGGTTTCCGGGGTAATCAAGAAGCCAACGATGGTAAGGATGCCGCTGAACATGGCGATCAACGCAGCGACCCAACGCCATCCACCTGATTGAAAAAAGGCTTATAAGCGACGTTGCGTGTCGCAATGACCCGTCAAGACGTACCAGTCTCTCCTAAGAAACCTCCGATCTGTGGGACAAGTGAAATGAATCGTCAGCTAAGTAGCTCTCAATGGATATGTGACTCAACATTACTCACGATAGGACCGATTCCGGGACTGTGAGCGCAAAGCTTCTCATCAGCATCTAGCCGATCTCGGGGCGCCAATCGTATACTTACCCAAGGAAGGGCGCAGCCGAGAATACAGCCATACCGAGTCCTCTCTGATTGGCATTGACTGGAGCGCAAGATAACTAGATCAGCAACCCGGAACGAGCCTACAAGACACACACCGGAACTCACACATGTCCGCTACGGTTCCTCTATTTACGATGACGATCAGCATCAATCCGCGGAAATAATACCAAGTTGCGGAACGGCTCACCCTGCGTTCGTCAATGGGGAACTACCCGCGGTACCAGCGAAGAATCTCAATACGATCAGGGTCCAGATGTTTTGAGACGCGATCACGGATCCGTTGAAGATCGTGAAAAGGATGTAGGTGAAGATGAATAGGTTCCGCCGACCAAACAGTTCGCTGCTAGGCGCCCATAATAGCGGTCCTGAAGATGAGGCCGAGATTAGCAAGGGTCTTGACGACTTTTGATGGGCACTTGAGTGCTGCAACTCACCGACGACGAAACCCAAGACGAATCCGCTTGTTACCATCACGTATGCTTGTACCTTGTATCCAGGGAAGCTATCACGAATCGAGTTGGTGGCAGCAGATCTATAGCATGCGGCATGAGTTACAATACCATCAAGCGATGAACGACGAGGCTCACAAGGTACTACTGGCCATCGCAACAGCTAGAGTGGCAACAGCTGCCGTGACCGTCACTACCCATTTGTAGGACGTCTTCCACGTCATAGGATTCTCGGGATCGGGCTCATCGCCTGGCAGCCAGTCGATCAGGTAAGGATCCTCCTCGGTCCCTTGTCCTGGATAGTCGTGCGAGACGATCCGATCCCAAGGCGTGATGTATCGTCTCCATGGACGAGCTTTTAATGTATGATCGGACATGTCCGAAGACTTTCCTTTTTCTGGAGGCGGTGTGCTCATGACTACTGTCGAGGTTTCTGATCTTGTGGGATCGCTCATGTCGCCAGGCATGTCAATCGAGCGAGATGTCGCAGTTCAGGAGCTGCAGAGGCGACAGATCGTTGGAAGAACGTTGAGTGTTCGTGTTGTGAGGCCTGCATGTCGCTCCATCGATCTATATATATTCCCCCAATTTTTCGATGATTTTGAATGCATCGCTGACGAATGCCCCGCGCCACCATCCACACGGACGCCGACGCCGAATCCAGCCAGCTGCCAGCTGCACGCAACAACACAGGAGAGGCAGGGCGTCATAGGGGCAGACGCCGGTGTTAACCTGTTTGAATTGGCATGAGTATGGCGATTCAGAAGCAACCGGCAAGGAGAGACCTGATCCCTACCAATACGTTTCTCGATATTCACTTCTATACGTGACCTCCCTATCTCACTGGTATAGGTCGACCCTTGACTCTTGAGCTCTTTGCAGTATCCCGAGTCGGGATCTGAACACTCACTCGCGGCATGTCTCCCGTGCCGTGACAAGTATTTTACTTCCGATGCCGGCATGTTTACTTCCGGATTCGTGCGATCGAAAGGCAGCGAAGACGATCCTTTGACCTTGTTTGCCCTTTTGATCATTCTCCCTTTTTCAGATAGAGGTTCCGAAAGAGCGAAGAGCGTAAATCACAACAGATCAACAGATCCAAGTAGAATCTATTCGTTTCATCTCATCAAATCAAAACAAATCGCTGCGCTCAGGATGGGTATAAGAAGCCAGCCGAATCCGTTCGCCCATGCCTCGAATCCCCGTTTCCCTCGCTCAACAACATCCTCAACCAATTCCACTACGCAATAGCAACCTAGAAACATGATCCACGTTCCGCTCTCATCGGTACCAGCGCAGTCTTCTGCTGAGTTCACTCCCACCGAACTCGACCGATTGTTCGGGATCTTGATTCCCACCCTACCCGGATCGCGATTCTGTTTCGCCAACGGGGTCCTTTGTGACCGAGGTCCCGACCAACACCGACCCAACTTTGCTATTGAAGGCAACAATATCATTGATCAACAACCTCTCAGGTTCTTTGCTGTTGACACCACTAGTGAGAGGAAAGTTGCAATTGCAATCGACAAGATGTGGGAGAAAGAAGGCACTTTTGGGATGTGCGCGCTCAATGTTGGGCTTGACGTGATGGAAGCGGTGAGTAATCGTTCGTCTCGCCTGGATCCCTTTTGCTGATCTTGCCCACAGGTCAGGCAAGAAGTTCTCGAGACAGGGTGTTACAGGGTCGAATCCTCAGTCGCTCTGGTTCTCCTTCTATTGGAAAGGTCATTTGACTGCTGCATCCCCCCGGCAGCTAAGTGGATATCTCTTTTCAAGACTATCCTCACGATGCCCGACTTTCCGGTCAAACCTGTGATCGGTAAGTCTCACATACATTGTCGCATTTTGTTACCTATACGCAAGCTTCACATAGCCGACTCCTCTGTACCGACTTAATGTTACACAGAACATACTGATCTGCTCTCTGGAAAATGGGAGAGATGGGTCAGACAGACGGTCCCCGCACGATACAACAACCTCTGCTACGGAGTCTTCTATGCTGCTTCGGACAGGCATCGGGTCAGAGCTCCCAGGGTGATCTCGACACCTCCTCGGGTCCAATTGAGGCAGGCAAAAGTCAAAGCGGAACTTACCCGAGCCATCAACAAAAGCAAGCTCAAATAGACTTGGAAGGACCTAGACGTTGTCGCCTACCCTGAAATCGTATGTCAACCGAGCGTGTCGGAAGGTCATTGAACCTCACTGACTTTCCTCCCGATAGCAGCTTTCACTGGAGATTTCGCTAGAGTTGCCTCTATCCTTCTTTTCGTTACCTCTTGAATGTGAATTTGGTTGATTCATGTACTTAATGGTATACAGTACCTAGTAGCTAGTAGTAGAATGCTCGGAATTCCATTTTGTGCTTCGGCGATCGACGACCTGGACCGCGATACCTTTTCCGGAGCACCTCCGCTGCGCAAGATCGCACTTTAATATTCTGATATTGTCGAGCTCCTGGAATCTTGCTCTTGATTACGAGGTCGGTACTGTTTCTCTGCATCATGGCTGTGCCCCTGTTCGATCGTCCTATCGCTCTCATAATCCGTCGAGCATTCCGTCGACGTCATATTCGAAAAAGTAAACAGGACTCGGGGTCCTGCGCTGATCGCAAGCTGATCCTCGACATCATGACTACACGTCTTTCTTCATTCCCATCAAACCTCTCACATGCTACGCAGTATCAGAAACACCGCTCCCCTTGCAAGACATATCGCAACGATGACATCTTCCTCTATTAAATTTGCGGGTACGTTGAAGTTCAGGTGTGCAGGACCGGAGCAGGCCGTGCTAAACCGCTCGCATTGTCCTCGTCAGATATCGCCGTCAACCTCACCGACGACATGTTTCTCGGTCGATATCGGGGCAAACAGTTACATGAAGGTGAGCTATTCTGAAGGTCACTCTCGTTTGGTGGAAGTAGATCGAAATAGCTCATGATCACTATACGTCGTTCATGATCAGCCGACCTCGACCATGTGGTACAGAGAGCGAAAGATCGAGGAGTCGAACGAATGATGATCACAGGGACCAGCCTGGAAAGCTCAAAGCAGGCTCTAGAGTTGGCAAGACGGTACGGTGAGCCTCGAAGTCGAGCTTAGGCACTGCTGGTTCCCAAACTCTTGGCTGACAAGGGATGCGGTACGGCTACTGGTTAGACCTACATGCGACTGTAGGATGTCATCCGACTTCGACAGCAGAGATCGATAGTCACAAGACAGGCGTAGATGGATATAAACGGGACCTAGAAGAGTTGATCGATAGCGAGATTGCAAAGGGAGCAGAATCCCGGTTGGTCGCTATCGGAGAGATCGGACTCGGTGAGCACCAGCACATCCTCTTACGCTTTCAGCCTGTCATGCTGCTGAGCCAAACTCTGTTCCTTGTCTTGTCTTATTCTCTCGATCTTGGCGATATCGCAGACTACGATCGACTCCACCATTCCCCAGCTGATACGCAGCGACAACACCTGCCCTACCTCCTTTCTCTTGCCGAAAAATACGGACTACCGATGTTCCTGCATTCTCGCCATCCAGATGCACACAAGGACTTGGTCAAGGGTTTCAAAGCGGCAGGATGGGAGAAGGGCGCTCAGCAGATGAGAGGGAGGACGGGCGTCGTACACAGCTTCACAGGAAGTCGGGAGGAGATGGAAGAGCTGGTGAGTCGGACTTTACCGGTGCAATCCGCTCTGCATCTCGAAGGCTGACAGGCCATTGTGGCGATAGTTGGAATACGGGCTGTATATCGGGATCAACGGATGTTCATTGAAGACGCAAGAGAACCTGGAAGTCGTCCGAGCCGTACCCCCAGATCGGATTATGTTGGAAACAGGCGAGTGGCACGAACCCTCGGCAGACGCATGTGACCCGCTGACCATTTCCCCCGACCTGCTCGACACAGATGCTCCATGGTGTTCCATCACAACCACTGCGGCCTCGCACGCATACCTGCCAAAAGATGGACCGTACGGCGCGGTAGAAAAGACCAAGACGCTCAAACCGGGTGGTCAGACTGGGGTCAAGGGGAGAAACGAGCCGGCGGATGTGAGTATCGACAGGATCGGTAGCCGCGACTAGTCCGACAGACTAGAGATAAGGCTGATTTATGCGGTCGGCTGTTGTACAGGTGACGACAATCGCTTGGGTGGTCGCACAGGTGAAGGGTGTACCGGTAGAGGAATTGGTCAAGGCCGCTTGGGAAAACTCGCTCCGGGTCTTCTGGCCAGATCGGTTGTAGCTCTGCTTGCTGATATTATGCATGGTCATGTTGTTACACAACCGTCGAACTTCATCGTGAATCTTCACATCAACTAGCAAGCTCAGCCTTCGGCTTGATTTCAGGATGTTCGCCATTTACAACGCCCAGCGGTTTGACATCGGCGACGGACGGCGGTTTGACGTCGGCAACGGACAGCGGTTTGACGTCGGCGACGGACGACGGTTTGACCTCGGAATCTTCGCTGTTCTCGACACCCGCCTCCACCTCAGGTCTTCGTTCGCTCTCTTTCATCTCTGAATCCGACTCTAGCTCGTCGACTTCGAGCTCATCGATTTCCTCTTCTTCCGAGTCATCGATGACAATCACGTCGTCTCGTGTGGCGATCACTTGTCCGGCTTCATCGTCCGAGTCGTCGATGACGATAGCGCTGCCTCGGCTGTTACCTAGGGATTCGACCTGGGTAGCCGCGGTCTCGATCTCTTCCCGGGGATCTTGTACAGCTCCTGCCGTCTCGATCTCTTCTCGGAACTCCTGTATAACTCTTGCCCAGAACTTGAGCGCTTTATGCTCTTTCTCTCCTGGCTTGCAAATCAAGGTCCGGGTAGCTCGATTCTCTCCCCGATGTGGATCCCAAGACGAGTTGCCAATCCAATCAAGCTCGGGATTGTCGCCTCGAGCCATGTGATAGAGTTCCGTATTACGCAGCCGGCGTGCGTACTTCTGGTAGAGACATAGACCTGTGGGCGAAATAAGCCTTCTCGGTCAATGGCGGTACCCGCTTGCGCAGAGACTTACTGTTTTCAAGGTCGATCAAGTTGACGCCCTCATAGGCAAGCATCCCCGGCGCCAGGTCCTGCGGTACCGGTGTGTACCCCAGTCTCGCCCACTCTCCCCATTGCTGCTCCCTCAACCACACTAATCCGGCATTTATATCCTTATCTCGTCCCTTGATCGTCGGTATGATGAGGTTCAACCCGTTGACGGCGCCTCGACCCCCCGCCATCCATTCCGTGGTCGACAAGTTCACGTAGTCGGTGTAGTTGAGGTCGAGGGCATACTGAAGGGAATGATAAGGCCCCATGCCAGGCCAACTGGAGAGGTACTTGTACGCTTCGCTGAGAGTGTTCACACTCGCCATTGTAGCCGGAAGAGGGGAGAACGGGCGGTCCGTGTATGGCGGGAAGGGCACGTTTCCGGTCATGAACGCTTCGACCGACGCTATAGCGTTGCCTTCCGGTGTTCCCTTTCCGTACTGCTTTGGCGGATGGACTTGGTAAGACCCAGTAAAACAAGCGATGTGCGGGAACAGCCTCAGCTTCTTCTTGATCACCGCGTAGTATCGTTCGTACGTGTACGTCTTCCACCTGATATCGCCCAATTCTCGAAGAAAGTACTTGTACGTTTCCGATTTACCGAACCGCCGCAGCAGCGTCACCCGAAACAGCTGCTCTTCGACGTTGTCGATCCATTCGCCCGCAGCGTTGTAGCGGTTGTCCTGTCCGGAAGTCCGATATGCGAGATCGGGTTCGGGGTGGGGCCGGTAGTTGCGGACGACGTCTTCGATGATGAACTGACTAAAGTCGTCCTGATGGCGGTAGGAATTCGTGACCCGATGTGCAAACATGGGATCCAAAGACCAGCATGGCATGTCTGGCTTCCCTGGGATCTTGATATTCAAGATCGGTGACTGACCATCACGTCTTCTGATGTATAAGCGTTGCCGTTCCGCCAGCCAGTAGAAATACTGACGCAGATGCTTCGTAGAGACCCAATGATCCTGACCACCTATGACCGCTCGCTCAAGTGGACCCAGAGTAGCCCCAATGTCTTCCAAATTCTTTGATATCCCTGACCCATACAACTTCAACCCCTCGTCAAGCTCGACAATCTCCATCCCTCTCCTTGGAAGCACCGCGTCCATGTCATCCTCCTCTTCCCGCTCTTCCCGAGCTGACCCTCGAACAATTTGCCGAGTTCGGATCCGTTTGATTGATCGAGATGAAGACGAAGATGAGGATGCTAGGGAAGAAGGGAAGGACGCCCTCTTGCGGGGTGTCAAGAGCGGAACTTCGACGTGCGAGAGGAAGGATCGTTGATCGTCCGGCATATCGGCGAGTCGGCGAGAGGGTTTCGAATCGGAGACTGTCTAGTCAAGGAAGCTAGCGATATGAGAAGGGCATCGAGTTTGGAAGGGTGACGACTATGTATGAAGCGATGCGATGTTTGGGGTCAATCAAAGAGAGAAGTCGTTTGAAGAAGTGATCACGAAGTGTGATGTAGGCCTGCTCGACTGCTCAGCATCGTCTTGCCCGTTCGGATCCGCGCGACTCCTGTAGGTGCATCGTGATCGCTGTAATCAGCCAGAGGGCGATCGATTCAAGGGTCGTAATTTGAGTGATAGCATGTCATGTAGCTTGTAGTGCGTGCAGTAACGCAGTAGTTATGTATGTTGTACAATTGTAGAAGGGTAAAGAGAGAAAATACGAAATTGTCCAGTGTCGCTCCGGGCCGGTACGGTACCCAAGCCGACTGTCGCTGTCGAGGGCATCGAATAGACGATCGAGGACCGCCTGTTCATCCTCGACGCATGGATCCCCGTTCCCCCATATCTAGGCAGCGACGAGGTAACCCAAAGCGAGCATACCAGCTCCGCCGAGAGCGAGCATGTTGACCCCGTTCATACCGGCCCCATTACCAGCGCCTTGCTACATCACAAAAAAGCACGACCGAGTTAGTCGATCTAGAGCATCTGTGCAGTAAGACCGCAAACCAAACTCACGCTAGAAGAAGGAGGAATCCCAGTGCCCTGAGCGTTCCCGGAGTACGAACCCGACGAGGTAGACTGAGGCTCGGCTGCCGAGGTCATGGCGGTAGGTACCGCGACCGACGACCCTGATCGCGTGGAGGTGCTCATACCCATGGTCGAGCTCATCGAACCGGACGCAGAGGTGGAAGATCCGGCGGTCCCAGAAGAGGTGATGTTGAACTGGTCGGACGAGGCCTGGAGGGATCACGGGAAAGACCAGGTTGGTCAGCTCGGTGCCGATTGCAAAGGTGAAGTTCAATCTTCATCTCCGTCCGCAGAATCATATCGCATAACGACTCGATCGGGCTTGACCTCGGCGGAACGAGACGATATAACAGAAGGTACTTACGAGAATAGCGTCATCTCGGACCAACCTGATCCTGTAAGCCTGTCCGGCAGTCCAACTCCCACTACAGTTTAGATCAAACGATCAAGGTACGAATAGATGGAAAACGAAATCAGCTTCAGGAACTCCATCATCCTATATCTATACGTCAACACGCTTGCCCATGGCATCGCCACGGGCAAGATCGATCTTCAAATCATATCACTCACCTAGGAGGAGAGACGCTGACAGACCCCGCCGAGGTGGATTGGTTGGCAATCAGAGTGACCTGGCCGTCAGAAGCGGTCAATCGGTTCTACGGATCGTCATCGTCGTCGGAAAACAATGGGCCAGGACGCAAAGTCAGCTTTCTCTTCTCGTTTGGTCGATCGTATCCGAGCTCGTTCGAGCTTGCCGTCGCTCTCTCCGAGTAAGAGCAGAATGTGAATGAGGGGAATGGCAAGAGAGACTCACATCGTTGACGAGGACGACGGAAAAGCTAGTAGGATCGGTCGAGACGGCCTCCCAAGAGACAGTCTGAGCTCCGGTCGTGCCCCAGTTCTGGCCCTCGGTGGGCGAGGTCACGGTGACGGCCTTGACGGCGAGAGCGAAGAGGGGTGCGATGGTGAAGAACTTGACGAGCATCTTGAACTAGTCTGATTGTCTGGATTAGGTTTGATTTGAGGTGGTGTAGAATGAATTGCTGGTGAGTCGAGTCGATTTAACGTGTCGTGTTCTGGCGTTGACAAAGGGGCGCGCGTTTGTAGGATGATCGTAGGTCGAAGAACGAGGTCAAAGTCGTATGATGTGCGTATCGAAAAGGAGCGTATAAAGTGTTTGTTCTGGATCGATTGCTGTGTATCGAGTTCGTGGAGCAAGAAGGGAATCGTGGGGGCGGTGCAAGAAATCGAGTCGCGAGTTGTTCGAGGTAGTGTGGGGATGTTTTGTATTCAGATTTGTGATGATCGAGAATAGCCAGGGGGAGGATATGCCCCGGGTTTACGCCACGCGGGTGGATTCGTTCTTGACTTGATCGCTTCCGCGTTCCTTCCCGCCTGCGCCTGCCCTCCTGCCTTTGTTGTTCTTTGGTGGCTTTTCGCCGCAAGAACGGGCACAGCACTGGCGAAAAAGGACAACAACAACAACAACAACAATCAGAAGAATCGACAATCAACAAGCGAAAACGGCAAGCTGCAAGCACAACCAAGCCGAAGCACAGTGCCATAACCGGGCAGCCGGATGTTTCGCCGTTGGCAATCCTTCAGCTGCTTAATGATGATGATCAAGTTTCGATCCCTGGGCGCGTATTACATGAGGAGAGCGGGCTACAGCGAAAGCTACGGGAACGGTATATGATACAGCCGGTTTCGCGAGGAACCGACTCGTCGATCGACCAGCGACCAGCGAGCCGGGAATGGTCCTATCGGTACAGTTTTCGGAACGGTAATGTGAATCGGTAAAGATCGTGGCGAGTCGTCAAATCCCTCGTTGCAAGATCCGATATGCAGGAACGGCGTATGGCGTATGGTGGCCATCCCGCTCAATCCAGAGCCCGGTCCGCTCGTTTAATCATCTTGCCCTGTCCGCTACCCAGCATCGCCTTCCATCCAGATCGTTTCTCGACCTCGACCTCGACCGGGTCTTCTTCGAATGAACGGACGACGTTGACAGGTTTAGCTGGGGACGAGGCGGTGGTGCCGGGACCCGCACCGTAGACGTTGAAGGCGTAGGCGGTACCGCACTGTATAGGCACGATGCTGTAAGCCTCACTGTCCTGCCGGTCACACTAGTCCGGAGCGTAGCAAAACGAGACTCACAGTCTGGGCAGAGTTTCCGGGACAAGGAGCGGTACACAGTCCGGTCATGACAGGAGCACTGTCCTTGATACCGTTTGAACAGATGCACTGATAGATTCAGATCGAGTTCAGCATCTGAAGCGCCTCTCTTGCTCATCCTTGATCTTCGGTTAGACGGCACTCACGTTATCAGCGTGGTTTCCGACCGCGGCAAACTTCTTTCCATCGGTCGCACAACGCTTCATGCACCCATCCTGCGTCAAGTTCTTGGGCCAGAGATACGCCTTGGCATCGATGAAGCTGCCGGTCTCCTTGACGCATCCAAGAGGGATCCAACCGGCGGAAGAGGGGATGGGTCGGTCTCGACGTTGAGAGGAAACGGCGACCATAGAACCGTCGGTCGCTTTGAATCGGGAGATGTCATATTGCGGGGCAGGGCTGGAGCAGGTAGGCTTGTTGGGAGTGTTTCCCCCTACAAACGAGAGATATATTTGCGCGACGGTTAGTAATCATGTTCTCCCGGTTGTGACCGACATGATGACATCGGACGAAACTCTGACCCACAAAGAGGGTTGCAACCGGGCAAGGTGGCGATGGTGATACCATCCCCATTTCCAGCTCTTTCAGCCAGAACTCCAGCGTCGGGTTTACAGTTCCTAGCCTTGGTCACGTCCATGTTGGCAGAAAAGATGGAACATTCATGCGCGCCACTGATTCGGTGGAACACACTTGGTCAGCATGCAGCATGCAAGCAAGTAGATAGAACGTCGAGCGAGACTGGGACATACATGACGCTCCCAGAAGTGCAAGACTTGTCGGCCATAGCACGGGCCAACAAGCTTCGGTCCCATCTACACAACACACAGAGCGAACGGATTCGAGTCAGTCTCTGACGATAATACTTTGACTAATGAGACGTACCCGTTGGTAAAGTCGCCGTGAATCCCGTATCCAGTGGTATCTCCGTTGGCCCAAGCGAGCTTTCCCTTCAGAGGAGCAGTAGCACCGTCCTTCCACTGATGAGTGTACCAAGCATATCTTTGGTGATTCGGAGCGATGAGCTTTGCGTTCGCCTTCTCAAGCGAATGTGGACGGGACAAACTTACTCCAACATGATGCTAGGCAGCTTGATAGGGTGACTCCAGGGACAAGAACCGCCTCGGTAACTTCCTGCAGCAGTGGGTGCCATATGAGCGCCTCCTGGCAACCAAAGGTCCTTTCCGTTCCAACAGTTGGGCAGGTAGAGGTTGGTCTTGATCCCCTGTATAAGCGCACGAATGATGGAAGAGAAAGGGACGCGATGAGCGAGATTGATGGAGCGTGACGACGAGGCGAGCAGACCTCTTACCCTCGGACAAGCAATGTCAAAGTTGAAGTCGGACCGAGTGACATCCTGATCTCGGTTAGTCTGACCGACCTGGCAGACATACGCATAGTTGTTGGGGTTCGCAGTCTTGCTGTTCGGGTTTCCCGAAAGGATCCTTAGACCGTCAGGGAACTGGACGACCGGGTCGACGTCGTTGTTGGGTGCGATAAAGTAGTAGAACCGGGTGGCTACGCCGATAGGGGTGAAGCTCTTGCCACCGTCGTTGATTCCATAGAGCTGGAAGGCATCAAGATGAGAGACGATGTCAGTTTGCGTACGGAGCGTGAATAGTCCGTGCGCGCCGACTGACCTGAGGCATCCAGTAGTTGGACTTGTCCCCCTGAACGCCGACCGTACTACAGCTCCCGGATCGTGCCGCATCAAAGCTATAAGCCGCTCGGAAGTTGCTTCCTCCAATCACCCGGTGCATATGCGTCCCCTGCGCATTAGGGTTGACGATCGGGTCGAGCTGTTCGGTGACGAGCGTGTAGACTTCGTCGAAATGCCATCCACCTGAAGGGACGGCAGCGGTCACCGGGGTTGCGAGCCTCGCCAGGAGAAGCAGGACGGCCGAGGAAGTGAGGTATTGGAGGAACATGTCGAACGTTCCTTTCGATGATCGAGGTGTGTTTCGCGAGAGTGGTATGGACACTGGCTAGCAGTGTACTGGTGTTGATTATCAGGAAAACGAGTGGTGGTTATCCAAAGGAATGTGTAAGGTCGTCAATAGCCCAGCTATTATACCCGTTTGACCTCAAGCTCTGCGTTCAGAGTGGAGTCGGCAAGATCGATCGACGTCCAGTGTTCAGTGGCGAAACAACAAGAGAGGGAAAGGATTGGCGTTTGTGGAGATCGTGCATGTCCAGATGCAGGACCGAAAGACTTGTCAGGGCCGATGGATCGACCTGGGTAGATATAGGGATCAAGCTAGCGTCCCCTGAGCGCCCTCTTGCCTGCTACCGCTTGCCCCTTGCATCTTCCCTGCTATCGGATCGTTTGTTTTGTTTGTTGTTGGATGTTGATCGCCCCCGTGCCCCTGCAGCCTTCTTCGCCACGTGTCACGTGGCTTTCTTCTCTCGGTGGAGGTTCATTCTACGCCCCTCGATTCCCACCGCAACTGGCAACCCTTGGCACAACAGCTTCCTGGAAGAGCCAGACATCACAACAATCGTAGCGAGCGAGAGGAGCAGTGGTGCCTGTATCAGGACAAAGAAGGGGACTCTCCATCGGTGATGAAGTATACACAAATCGCCGTCGCCCGTTCCTCGGAATGTGGACGTGGAATGTCGAATGGAGCGGTTGATCGCCGTTCATATCGACATGACACATTGGCCTTGCCAGGTCGGTAGGCTGCGGTGGACGAGGCCGAGCTGCGAGTCGGAATCTGTGAAGTTTACGTAGATCGGGAATGTGATGACTCTCCTAGCTCCTATATACCGACCTGCAACGTCATTGACCTTTGAAAAAATCTCCTGCTGCCATCTGCGTGAGCGACGATGGTAGGAACAGTCGAGGCCGATCGCCCCGTTGTCCTGCTGGCGAGTTGGTGGCAAAAGAGGCCTGCAGACACTCGCACATCACGACTCACAGGATACGTCGACGCGACGTTGATTTTGTTACCGAAATTCTGGTACCGTACCGCGACAACCCTCGAAACGGAGGTGCCAACCTGTTTTGATTCCATTGGTATTTCGAGGGTCATTTCCATCAGGACATCAGAACCTTCGGTATGCAACCGTTCCGTTCGTTTCTCGCGCACTTCGCATCGTCGGTAGATGGGGTAGTAACGTAGTGTCACATCCTCGTCGCATTACAGCCTCCAGGGTCACTCTAAAGCCTTAATACGGGGAGAAAGATGGCGATCGCGACCACCACAACAAGTAGATCGTTATCCCCTATTCAGCGTCTCTTGTGACTTGCCGGGCCGTTCAGAATCGTTCCGGTTCTTCATGTGTCTTGTCAGATCGAAATCAGGGTGACCTCGACCGCGGTGCAACATCGGTAGCTCTAGCTTGTTTACGCCTTGCAAACTCCCTTGAAACGGTATGATTTCAACTGCCTATTCGAAAATCAAATCGCATCTCTCTACTCCGTATTCACCTCCGAGAAATCTCCCAGAGCACATTCGCAATAGCTCGATGAAGTTCGAATTTGCTGTGTCTGCATGTGCACCGTTCACCCGTTCAACCGATTTTTGATTCGTCGGTCGCTGCGCGATATTGGCCTGGGCGGATGCAAAACCAATTTTGTCGCACAAAGTCAACAATGCGGGGGTGGGGGAGCTCATTTCGCTCGAGCAAGAGTGTCCACTTTCAGCAATTACTACCCCTTCTCGCCTGTCGCCTGTCAACGGGTTATTATTCCTGTCGACGGAGGGATACATGTGCTGCCACCACCTCCCTGACATCTACCATCCAGGGGTTGATGCATGACAGTACGCAATATACGAGCGTCTGGACGTCTGGCCATTGGTCGCTCAAATCCCTCAGCCAAAATGCATAGACGTCAAATCGTCCGTGTGCTGCCATCTGTACGAGGAAAAGATGGTCCACCGTGAGGAAAGACCTGATTGATACGATGGGTACAACGAAGACTGGGATGGTATAAAGAGGGGCAGGGGGAGTTGGTGCTTGGTGCATGACCGAGGGTAGGAAGATGAACATCACATCAATCCACCTCGCATACTCAATCCTCAAGCACAGCGAATCTTACCAGGTAGGTAAAGGCTCAAGTCGAACGATTATACGATCACATTTGACCCCACCTGATTTATAGATCAAAGATGCCCGAATCCAAAGCCTCATTCGACGGAGAGTCCGATCTAAAGGACCCCGACCTGTTATCTAGGACCGAATCCGCTACTTCCGAAGGACCTTACACTCCCGTCCGATCCGTCGTGCTCAACTCTTCAGCTCCCTACCCTCATCGCGGACGGAGGCACCAGAGGTCGTTGACTATCCACGAAAATGTCACCGAAGGTTACGATGGCGAACATCGAGGCCGCGATCTCAGGATCCAGCGGACCAACTCGATCAGCCTCGCTACGGGGCCTATGAAGGGTGACCGTGAGGCGAGGACGGTCGCGGATTTCCGAACTCTAAGTTTAGGAGTCAAGGATACTCAGAGGAGCGAAGTACTCGGTGATGCTCAACGACGTGGAAAGAAGGAAGTCAAAGGTATGTCATGTCTCGCACATCCGATGGATACCGCTTCAAGCCTTGTGTGCTAAGTCTCCTCTCCGCTCTCTTTGTTGATGTTTCGGCAGACCTTGCCACCCTCGACCACCACACCTTGTCCATCGACGAACTCCTCCGTCGTTTCTCCACCAGCGGAACTCAAGGTCTCGACTCTGTCCAAGCTAAACGTCGATTGGGTGAAAACGGTCCTAACAAGCTCAGTCCGCCTCCGAGGAACCTCTTGAGAAAGTGAGCCACGTACACGATGCAACCTAGCTGGTCTCAATGAAGCTAACGTGACTGATGTTTGATAAGGTGGCTTACCTACGTCTTCGGAGGTTTCGGGTCTTTGCTCTTCACCGCTTCGGTCTTGTGCTTCATCGCTTGGTACGTCCGTGTACAATGCTCAGGTGTGGATACTGCGTCTGAACGATCATCTCTCTTGGCGCCAGGCGACCCTTGGGAGACCCTGCACCGGCTGTTGCGAACTTGGCTTTAGCGATCGTAATCCTCGTCGTGATCGTCGTTCAAACCGCCTTCAATGCTTGGCAAGGTTAGTCGTCATCTAGCACCCAGCACCATTTAAAAAACATCATCGCTGAGTAGCTGTCAATAGATTATTCCACTGGGAGGGTTATGAACTCGATCAGTGGCATGTTGCCGTCCAGCGTCCAAGTCATTCGGGACAGTGTCGAGCAGGAGATTTTGGCTCAAGACCTTGTTCTTGGCGATATCGTGAGTTGGCCATCGGATCCGTACGTTCTTTGATTCAGGACTCAGCTGACGTGACCTGTACTCTCCCTTGTTCCCCAACAGGTCCTGCTCCGACTCGGTCAGAAGATCCCAGCCGATTTGCGTTTCATCACCGTCTCTTCGGATTTCAAAGCGGATCGTTCGATCTTGACTGGAGAGAGCTTGCCTATCCCCGGGACGACCGATTCCACCGATGCCAACTTTTTGGAGACCAAAAATATCGGTCTACAAGGTACTCTCTGTGTCAGCGGGAGTGCTACGGGTGTGGTGATTCAGACTGGTGACAGGACTGTCTTGTGAGTCAGGCGTTTGCGTCTCGAAAAGATGCTCGACCGGCGCGGCCACTAACGTTCACTATGGATGAATAGCGGCCGTATCGCCCAACTATCGAGCAAGGCCAAAGCGCACGGCTCAACCACTTTGCAAAAGGAAATCTACCGATTTGTCCTGATCATCGCGTCCATCGCCCTGACCTTGGCCTTGACGGTGATCATCGTTTGGGCAGCTTGGCTCAACAAGAAGCACAAGGGGTTCATCTCGGTTGCTGCTCTCGTGATCAATGTGGTCTCAGTAATGGTTGCCATGATACCCGGTGCGTAGTCAGGTCGGAACGAGTATATTTTCATCCACGTCGCTAAATCTCCTGCCTGTGTAGAGGGATTGCCTGCAAGTATTACCATGTCGCTGGCTATCGTCGCAAACAGTCTCGCTCGCAAGAAGGTTCTTTGTAAGAGCCTGATGACTGTCGAAACTCTCGGTGCATGTGATACGCTGTTGAGCGACAAGACCGGCAGTACGTATCTGAGGTGTGCGCTCGAGATGAAAAATCACTTATTGATGACCTTACTTCGATGTAGCTCTGACCCAGAACAAGATGACAGTCGTCAACGCCGCCATACTCGACGATCAGTTTTCGGTGCTTCAAGCTCGTGACTCATTGGCGACCAAAGACGAGCGGTGTCACGGAGTCAGGCAGCTTGCCGCCATCGCTGGAATCTGCAATGAAGCGACCTTTGACGCCTCGAGCAAAGGAGAGCCTGCAGAGCTTCGCAAAGTCAACGGAGATGCGACCGACTCGGCTATCCTCCGGTTTGCGGAAATCCTACGTCCTGTCCAGGACAGCAAAAGCGAGTGGCGCGAGGTGTATGGAACTTCATTCAACTCGAAGACCAAGCATAGTAAGCACAGTGCCCGTTTGAAAAGCTTGATATTGTAACAAGCTCATTGTCTTGCTGTGTAGTGGTCAAGCTGTTGAGTCTCGAGTCGGCTGGCGAGCATCCAGAGGCCTTGCTCGCTGATGCGACCGACTTCGAAGCGAAAGACTACGTGCTATTAGTCAAAGGAGCTCCGGACGTACTCTTGACCCGGTGAGCGCCGTTTTGCTCGCAATACCCTCGCATGATATTCGTGCTGACTTGCTTCTGCTCAGCTGTTCTCGGATCCTGATGCCAGGTCAAGCTCAATCGGTGCCGTTGACCGATGAGCTCAAGAAGCGACTGACCGGTGTCCAGGAAGCTTGGGCTGGACAAGGCCAACGCGTGTTGCTACTCGCAAAGAGGATAATCCGCCAAGCCGAAGTTCCCCAAGAGCTGTTGCGATCGGAACAATTTCCCGATCATGTCAACATGCACATCAACATCGACTTGACTGTGGTCGGTCTGGTAGGCCTTGTCGACCCACCCAAAGCGGACATTCCAGACACGATCAAGATTCTCCGGGGTGCCGGTATCCGGGTTTGTATGGTGACCGGTGATTTCGCTTTGAGTGAGTTACTGTGGACGTGGATTCTCTCGTGTCCGGGGCTGATGTGCCCTGCATCTCTGCTGAAGCTGCTGTCGCCATCGCCCGGCAATGTGCCATCGTGACAAACCCGGGCCGATGTCATGGGCTGGCCGACCTCGCACGAAACTTCGACACCAGCAAGATCGACCGATTTGACATTGATGATCTCAGCAATTGCAAGAGCTTGGTGCTGTCGGGCCCGGATCTGATGAGCATGGTCAGTCTGCCTGCACTCTCGTGCTAAGCTAGCCATGAACTGAAATGGAGTTTTTGCGCATCTAGGACGAGTCGCAATGGGAGCAAGCGCTTACCGGATACGAGGAGATCGTCTTCGCCAGAATGACGCCCGAGATGAAGTTGCGAATTGTGAAGGAACTCCAGAATAGGGAACACATCGTCGCAGTCACTGGTGATGGGGTCAATGATGCACCCGGTGAGATCTTTTGTATGTTCAACAAAATCCACGCCACTGATCTCAAAATCATTACAGCCCTCAGCCAAGCCGATATCGGAATCGCGATTGGCGGCGGCTCCGATGTCGCGATGGAAAGTGCAGACTTGATTTTGGTAAGCTTTGTGTCGGTTGTTGGTCATTCTCACCATAGGCTCATTGGTCCTTCGCTTCTCTTCCATCTATTCTTCTAGCTCGAATCGTGAGTCGGCTCCGGTCACATGGCTCAACTATGCGCGTAGCTGACCAAACATTGCCATCTAGATTCTCATCCATTGTCGTCGCGGTCGAATACGGTCGTCTAGTCTTTGACAACCTGAAAAAGACCGTCACCTACCTTTTACCCGCCGGATCCTTCTCCGAGTTGATGCCCATCCTGCTCAACGTATTCCTTGGTCTACCGCAGGCCCTCTCTTCCATTCAAATGATGTATGTTTACGGTCCGGTCATGCTAGATTACCAGACTTCATCGCTGACCCGATTCTTTCTGTGTCTTAGCCTTATCTGTGTTGTGACCGACGTCTTCGCGGCGGTTGCGCTCTGTTTCGAAAAGCCAGAGGTCGGACTGCTCACGCGAAAGCCCCGAAACGTAAAAACGGATCGACTGGTCGATTGGAAACTGTTGCTCCACGCTTACGGAGTCCTTGGAGTGCTCGAGTCACTGTGCGCTATGAGCATGGCGTTCTGGTGAGGAGCATCTGCATGGCGCGTATGTCCGGCGGTATGCTAATATTAATGCTGAAACAGGTACCTAGAACGAAATGGCGTGCCTTTCAAGGATATCGTCGCCGCTTATGGTGGCTTCCGAGGAGGACTCAATAGCGATTTCGTCACCGAACAAGTCTACAAGGCTCAGAGTGTCTACTTTTTCACGCTGGTGATTATGCAATGGGGGTAAGTCCGTTTGGCTGCGATATCCCCCGACAGCGAACACTGATGACAACTGTACATCTATCTAGAAACCTTTTGGCCACCCGAACACGCCGCTTGTCCTTGTTCCAGCACCCCTTTATCGGCAACCCGAGGACGAGCAACAAGTACATCATCCCTGCCATGATTGCAGGATTGGCATTCTGCTTCTTCTTCAGCTATGTGCCGTTTTTCCACAATACTTTCCTTACCAGGGGTGTCCCTGTCGAGCACATCTTCCTTCCATTCACTGTAAGTGATGTCCTGGCTGGGTACGGCGCAAATATGGATTGCTGAGCGAACGACGTGCCTGTTACAGTTCGCGATCTTTATCGTATTGCTCGACGAAGCTCGAAAGTATTGCGTCCGCACCTACCCTACCGGGTTCCTTGCGAGGATCGCTTGGTAGACGGCGTTCGCTACAGTGATTCGTTCTCGCTTGGACCGTGCCTCTCGTAGAGCATGCGCATAGAGCCTGTTCCGTACCGCGATGTATCCTAGGTCTCCGTTGTACATCTTAGTCGTATACCCTTATACCCATGCTTTTGACCGGAAACGTACGCTTGAGGGGAACACAATGAGGGAAGGGGGACGAAAGCGGAATTTTACACATGTATTCATGGCGATGTTACAACCCTTTGGACTAGACGAGAAACCAGAAAGCACCCAGAGATCCAGCTCAGAACAGCAGACGCGACAATGCCTGCTCCGCCGGTGCTTCGCTGCTAGTTTGAAAGTCTCGCAGTCATTTATCGATCATCGAAAGTACCCTCCCGACTTGTCCATCGAGCCTGTCCGTCGCGGCGCCTGACCCTGGCTCTGTCCTTGTGAGGTCATCTCGGCAGCCGCATAACTTGGAGGTGCAGGCTCGTATAGCTGGGCGTCGTTCCTCGGTGGACTGACGGGCGAAGTCATCCCGTTCAGAGGGAACTGGGGTGTTCCATCGTGCAACTGCGTATTGACGCCTCGAGGAATAGGAGAGACCACGTTGGCGGCGGGCGGGTAAGATTGCCCATAGCCCCCTCCGCTCGTATAGTTATCCATCGGTCGGGCTGTATTCGTCGCCTCGTATCCACCGTACGCATCTTGTCCCGGATACCCCGCTGTAGGAGGGGATTGAGCCTGTTGTGGCGGATTGTGGTTGGGGTAGGGGATCTGGTCATGCATGTAATCTGGGTTGGTAAACGGGTCCACTCTGTTGGCAGTGTTCTGTGGTGATAATGCTCGAGCGACGGGCATGGGCATAGGTTGGGTGTATGCAGGGTTGCCGTCTACAAGCACATGTCAACGAACCAACGAATTAGCTCCTCGAACTCTGCACGGAATCGATGCAATCTCGCGAAACTCACAAGGCTCGACCGCTTCGTGCTGCTGCTGATACGGGTACGACTGCGACACCGCATGTTGGTCGTAGCTCGCTTGAGCGGGATACTGCTCGTACCCCGCCTGAGCCCCATAACCTTGAGGTTGCGCCTGTTGCGGCTGCTGCTGATACCCATCATATCCGTGGCCTTGCGCTGACCCGGTCCGATTCCCATAAGCCATCCCTCCTCCTACTGCTGCCGCTCCGGCTCCCACCCCTGCGTAAGTCCCGGCCGCCCCAGCACCCAAGTCTCCATCCTGCTCTGCTCCATATTCGCGATAACATCCCGTCGAATACGGGTCCCTAGGCGGATAAGTCCCATGGTCCTGACCGTGCGTATAGCTGCTACTGGGTTGTCGTCGAGGCTGATAATGCTGATCGTTCGAGCTGTATCCCAGTTGATGGTTGTTCGCTCCGTAAGGGTTATCGTCTTCCCCGCTCTTCTTGCCTTCGAGGTCTTGGTTCCCGTTTGCGTTCAAGGGTACGCTGACTTCCCTCTCTCCGTACGTATTCAGCGGAGGACCGGGGACCCTAGCGTATCCCCCGGCACTCTGAGGATACGCTTGATCGTCATGCCTAGGAGCCTTTGGACTTCGTCGACCTTCGACCTGGCTGATACCGCAGAAGCAGCTCGCGAACACCGGCAAGACCCAAGCGACGAGGGTGAACCATACGCTCACGCCGATACTGGCCGAAGCCCCGTCTACCGAGTCGATACGGGCCTTGGCTATGTAAAACATGGCGAGATCGACGATAAAGGCCGCGAACGTGCACGCCGAGGTGAACCACGAGAGCAGAGCCGGAAAGCAGAGCAGCGAGACGTTGTCGACAGTATCGATCAGGCGGAACACGACAGTGGCGACGCACGAGACGAGGGCTATCGAGCCACGATGTAGCGTTCATGAATCAGAACAATGAACTCGTATGCCGAGTAAGAAAGAGAGACGGCCTTGGACTTACCGACGATGTGCAAGATCAGGACGTACGTGAGGTACTTGCCGATCGCCGCCGGGATCTTGATCAATCCTGCCCCATCGATCCCGAATATCGAATTCAAATCTACCTCGACGTCCCCCTTGATCAATCAGCCTTGCACTCTCTATTCCCGTATATATGTGGGACGGCACAAAGACGCACCGATTTCATAGCCAATCTTCGGCCCTGTGCATACCTGCCCGCCGCCAGCTTGATTCAAGCAATATCCCAACGTTCCAAACGAGACGTTCCCGGCATTGGCTCCCTGGCTGTAGGTAGCTTTGAGGAAGTAGAACGATTTCAAGAGGGGAGTGTTGAAGGATACCAGAGCGAGGAAGATGGCGGCGGTGAGATAGAGGATGTGGCCCGGAAGATGAGCGATAAAGTTGCCCTGATAGCCCATGGTTCCGAGGTGTCGAAGTCGATACGGATCGTTGGTCTCGGTGCCGGTATGGACCTGATTGATTGTATTGTGTGGGGAGAGTTGGGCGTAGTGGTGAGAATGGGGGTAGGCGTGTATCTAGACTGTCGTCCTTAGCGATTGATGGTCTCTACGAGCGCCGTCTTTCCTTCTCACGTCTTTCTCTCGGTCTTTCTTGATGACGACTAGCTAGTTTCCTTGCGAGCTTCAAGCACGATATCGTCCTTGCGTTGCTGCCCGGTTGTGAGAATGGTCTGTTTCCAACTTGTAAGACCTTCGAGAGTCTCACTCCAGGAGGTTCGATGGTCGAAGGAAGCGAGAGACCTGCCCTGATTGTTTGTCGTTTGATCCGCGCAGTGACTGCGTAAAGGACAAGGTAGGTAGGTCGGCCTCTTTAACGTGTCTGAGTCCCCGACGGAGATCCGGGCTGTGCTACAGGTCGCCAGAAGGTATATGACGTAGTTCGACCGACGAGTGAATGTCAAGCAAGACCGACGGCAAGATGGTGGTGCTCAGGTTTTTGTGAATACAGAGCAAGAATACCAGAGTTTGATGTTGAACGATGATGATATCGACACAGCCCGCCAAGGATGGGATGGGAGGGAGATGCCGAGGAATCTCCTTCGCTTCGCTCGTTCCGGATCCGGAATATCGAAGCGCGAAAAGGGGCGTGTCCCGCCTGGATCGTCTACATCGTTGAACATTTGGCCGATGTCGCTCGAATCGATACAGAGGCAGTAGTCTCATCGTCCTCGTCTTATTGCCACACTTCAATCATGCTGCATATCCTATATAGCGAGTACTATCGATCGGGGTGGCCATACGCGTTTCCTCCCGCAAGTCGCGACAGGGGACAATCTCACAAACTACGAGGAAGGCGGATCGCAAAATAGGCAGACATCGATCTAAATCCCTCCTTCTCGAGTCCGCCATAGAGATGACAATAATGCTTTCGAGTATGAACACGATTGACAGCGACGGACAGGCTTAGCCTCAACTCGACCAGCGCGATTCGAAACATGATATTATTGAACATTGGCCCTGAACTTCGTTGAGCGGGGGAATCAGACAGATTGAATTATGAAGTTGTAGTTACCAGCAGCTTTGCACCAATGCCGTTGATGCTTTCCCTTTTCTCTCTCCCTTCCCTTGACCCTATACCTTTCCGTCTCCCGCCTTCTTCGCCTTGTCGACGCTCTCGACCTCGTCGCTCTCCTCTGCCTTGTCAGACGTCTCGCCGCCCAGGGTAATTCCCCCCTGCTCATCCCTCCGAGCTTTTTCTCAAGGCGTTTCATGGATAGAGGTCCCATGAAATTAGGCGCCTTGCAGGGAAGTAATCAGGTAGGTCACGGGTGAGACGATCAGTTGCTTAGCCATGCGTTCCAGATGATCTCGGATCAAATGTCGAGGACCATTGACGATCGACTCGTTCAGCCCACAAGAAAACCAAGGTCAATAAGGGCGCAGTGAACGACAGCTATACCGTTGATCACAAATTAACATATGAAACGGCATAGCTCAATCCGGCGCATACTTGCGCCTCTCTACAAAACACATCACACTTTAGCAAAGAACACCTCTGCTCCGTTCCTAATCCCATCTCTCTCCATGTCCCCGTCAGGGATTCCCTCTCCCGCACCCCAGATATGCTGGAACCCTACCCCACCTTCTCCGAAGTTAGCTCTGATACCTATCCCGCTGATGTCCCATATCACCGCATCCGTCTTGGGGTAAACCAATTTAGCAGTGACATCAAACACATCACCATCAAAGTGTTCAAACAGGTATTCTTTCACCCAGGATTTATCAGAGTCTACCACAAACGTCCAAGGCGTCTTGTCTTGCAGAGCATCTTGGTGGGATGTCGATGTAAGGGGACGTAGCTCGATATTTCCGTAAGCCGGGTGGCAATACACTCCTGGTATGGAAGCGAAGCCATGAGTAGGAGGCGCAGGCTGAGGTGGCTTGCTTTCCCTTTGCTTCAGCTTCCTCTCGTCTAGATATCTCTCCAGTTTCCTGGTGACACGGTCTCGGTTATCAGCAAAGATTTCGTGGTGTTTGATGCTAAAGGACCTTACCTAGTTTTGAAATCGATCGGTTTCAATCCAAGCAGATCGTCTACAATTCTCCACTTTGCCACCTCATTGAACAACTTCCCCAGCTGCTGATCGTTCACCATGATCACTATGCCCATCATCTTTTCAGGCAGCCTCATGATGAGTGATTTTTGACCCGGCATAGCTCCTGTATGTTCCACAATGTCAAAGCCTCTATATTTGTAGGTCCATTGAGCCAGTCCATACATGGGTACAGTCATTTCTGGATCATCTGATTTAGACTTCATCTGGAGCTGAGGTTTGACTGTATCCTCAAGAATAGACTGTGGGATAACCTGTTCATCTGTTTCAGGGTTCCGACCGTTCAACAACAGCGTCTTCAACCAGATCACCTGCAACGAGAGAAAGCTTGAGCTACCAACAGAATTATCAAGGCGCGACAAGACCTCTGCTCACCATGTCTCGCGCACAGGAAATTACTCCCACAGCGCCTGCAGTTCCCTGCCAATGCTCCTGAAACCAGCCGATCTTTTGCTCAATGCCTCTGCCCTCGTCGCTGAGTTTGCCGCCGCGCGTTTCGATGTCTCTGCGACAGACATCGGCGTCCTCGATCCCAGTCCTGTCGCTTGTGATTCGACGAGCGAAGCCGCTGACGAGGTGTCCCGTCGCTCTGGCCGCTTCGATATCGTAGAAAGTGTTTTCCATCCCAAGCGGTTTCCAGATATTGTCCTTCACAAAGTCATCAAAGTTCTGCCCCAATAATTGTTTGGGCAGGTGAGAAGCGGCTGCATAAGTGATGTTATTGTACTGCCACAGAGTCTTCATGGGCGCTGATGGTTTCAGGTGGCCTAGCGAACTGATCATGTCCTCGACCGTAACCTTTGCACTGGAAGCGTAGGCCGGTGGTAGACTTGAACTGGTGCATTCGCTGAGTTTCGTAAGACTGAAGTTGTGAACTCACTCGTATGAGAGATCATGTCTCGGGAGTCCAGATTGATGGCTCAACAACTCGATGAACGTAACCTTTTCCTGAGCTTCTTTGTCCATCAGCTGGAATGATGGTATCAAAGACTGCACAGGTGCCTCCCAGGTCAGCCCCCTTTGCGATAGAGCCAGACCAGCAGCGATTGCAGTGAAGTGTTTCGAATTAGAAGCAAGTGTAAATAGCGTCTTTCAGGTATACATCACGGTGAGCATGCATCCACCGGAAGTCTCAGGAGGGAAAACTCTCAACCTACCTGATCAGTCACCTGATTCCCTTTCGAATCCATCCTTCCTAAACCGACTGTCTGCTGTTTCCACTTTCCTGCCCCATCCATTTGTACAATTGCGAGGGAGACACCAGGGATCTGCCAATCAGCCCGCATCCCCTCCAAATTATCCAGAGTGCCAGAAGAAATAATCTGATCGCCGGTAGAGTGAGACTGTGACATCTTCGGAGGTTTGCATATATGAGCGATAGGTTAAGTCGAAGACCAGGCAGAGAAAGAGCTGCAATGACTAGCATCGCGGAGCTGTACTTATATAGCCGTCGGATACCTATCAGTCTAAGCCTGAGCATCAAAGGATCTTCCTTTCATATACGGACACCCAATCAAAGGGTTCTTGTTTAGAACCATGACGTAGATACCTACGAATCGGAGTGTACGGGAGCTGAAACGCTGTTGGCAAGCCTCCGCGCAGCGTTCTTCACTAAGTCGGAGCAAGCTTACAGTATACTGCATTTTGAGGCCGAATGGAGGTGTGCAATACCGGGCCTGCGCAGGTATGGAAATGCTCATCTTGGTAATACAGTTGGCTCGAAAACAACGGCGAGAATATTAAGCTCTGCGGTCCAAACTTTCTTCTAGAACAACCACCTGGTCAAACGGTGATACCACTTGTTACTGATTTCTTTATCGAGACCAAGTAACGCCAGTTCTTCTTCGTGCGCTTCGATTTCTTCCAGTCCTTCGTACAGCTGAGCTTCGCTCGACTTGACCCAGCGCTTGCGATGGATCGCTTTCCAACCAATGAAAGCAATGATGAAGATGATGGGGGCGGCGTATGCGAAGATGCTAAAGTGATAGGTGCATTTTCGGCGTCAGCATGTGCTTTTGACATCCAACTATGAGGCGTCCGCAGCAGGTATATGACTCACAAGTCAGGCGTGGACCAGCCACCTTTCAGGAAGACAGGGTATCCGTTGATGAGGAGGACGACCGAAGAGAGCGACAGCGCGTACCAAGCCGCATAGGGTTGTAATCTCGATCGATACGGCATGTCGTCCATTGAGACTCCTTGGACTTTGCAAGCCTTGTGGAAGCGGATGAATGTGACGCTCATGGCCATCCAGGTGACGATCTGACTACTGGTCGAGATGTTGATGAACCAGTCCAGGACGACGGTGGACCCCGCCGAAACCTGGAGGAACGATAAACACATGACGGCGAGGACGACCAAGACCGTGCGATGGGGAACACCGTTCTTGTTGGTCTTGCGCAGGAATTTGGGCGCATAACCGTCAAGAGCCAGACCGCTATCATGAGAAGGGATGATTTGGTAAGTCAAACCAAATCATCTGTGATAAGCTTTACTTACTGCAAAGTCCTGGAAGCTCCAAACAGGAAAGCAGATCCGCTACGTGCAGATAAGAAAGCCCGAAAAGCCGTTCAACAAACGTTCCTTGTGCACTACTACATTCCCATCCCGGAGCTTCACTCACGCCGAGAAGATAGAGCTGGCAATACCGGCGTTAACGATATGTGGCAAAACCCCAATCTTCATCCTGGTCATGGCGGCGACATAAGGAGACCTTCCCGCACCCGGCAGTCCATTGGCTACAGCGTTCGTCAAGATTTCGTCCTCCGAGCCGACAACGATACCAACAGCGAGAGCTGAGGCGAGGAAGCTGCAACCGGATACATTCAGCTGAATCGTCAAACCGCAACATGTTCTCGTCGGGTCATCGACGTACAAGATGATGAGTCGGACATAGACACTCCTGAAAGCTCCCGGCAAGACTTTTCGGGGGTTGATAGCCTCGGCAGACTACAAGAGAATGTACTCTCTCAGCTTCCTGTTCTTGCCTAATGGGACAGCGATCAAGCGAGATTCCCGTGAGACTTACGATCAGACTCAACATGTCCGGTCCAGCTACGGCGAAAGCGGCTCCCAAAATGGAGGCGAGGAAAGCGCGCAATTGGGCTGAGTGTCCAGTCCCGTAAAACTCCGAAATGGGTCCAGGGTTCTTCCAGTACCTGAAACCGTAGGCATCTTTCAAGGGGTTGCCTCCGACCATGGTAACAAAGGTAAACATGAACAGCATGATCATCAAGACGATCTTGCCTGAGGGTTTTCGAGAAGGGTCAGCTATATGCATACCAGCACCGAGCGCGGGTGTAGCTTACCGAGAACGATCCAAAATTCGGATTCTGCGAACCAACGGGAAGACCAGACGTGCAGCGAAAAGTAGGCGACCAGGCAGATACATGGCATGATGGCGGGATGCAGCTATTAAAGCAGAAGTAGGGTCAGCACTTGGTTGTTCAATTTCATCAAGTGTTTGGCGCTCGGCCTACCTCATACCAGAACCCGATGACGCCATGCAAGGCAGTCACCTCGAAGCATAACAACGAGCACGTCTGGATGAAATAGTTGACACCGGTTGCGAATCCGAAAGCCTCGTCGACGTAGCTCGTCGCGAACCGGGTAAAGGCGGATTCACGAGCGATCCGGGAGACCATGATCCCCTGACCCTCGTTTACGCAGTAGATGACGGAGCACCAGATGATGTATCCCAATAGCAAGAACAGCGGTCCCGATTTGACTGCAGCGGGACATCAGGGTCAATCCGTTGGGTACATCTCTCGCAGGGATGTCTCGGCAAATGGCTTACGAAGGTTGGCACCGATCTATCATCATCGTCGATACAATTTATAGATATCAGTTCCGTTCCGCATATAATTTGACGATCACTTTCCGCCCATGTGCTCACCGAAACGAACACAGCTGTCCCAATAGTACCTCCAATCGCATAGAACTGGATCTGCCGGGTGGTCATGACCCGTTTCACTGCATAGTGCTGCGTAGCTGGATTGGCATCCTCCAGGACGACGGGTTCGACCACACCCTCCTGAGCGTAGTAGGCACTGGGGTCTTCTTTTTTGCTGTCATAGTCGATAGAGGTCGACATATTGAGAGAGTATGATAGGTTCTTGTCGGTGGAGTAGTAACCTGCGTCCGAACCTCTGGCCTGCGGGTAATCTTCATCTCGCCCATCTTGGTCCCACGACTCATATACTCCTTCTTGCGAGACCGACTCCGATTAGCCCAAAGACTCTCGCTTATACCTACTGTCGTAGAGCCGACAGAATACTTCCTTATCAGCCAGACTCCACTGAAATGAAGGTAGCCAAGACACCGAACGTCCTCCTGACTGGAGGTAAACTGTGCGATATAGTATATCCTGTGATCCTGAGGAGATTACCCCTATCCCTCTGCTCTTCCTGCGTGACCGGCTTATCACGCGCGACTGTCGCCCTGAAAACCCAGCGCTTAGAGGATATGGGGTAGGGCAGGACGAGGGTGTGGGGAAGAAAGTTGGTAGTATTCCGAATATTCCGAATACATCATTCTGCAATGCTCCTGGCCTCGAGAGATACGAGATATTTCAGCTCAAACCTGAACAAGTATGTGACCGGAATACGATACTTGCAAAATCGCGCAGAAGGTGAAAAAGAATCAAAATATTTATCGCTTTGCGCTTCCTCGAAAGAAGCCGACTCGCGCGGGTTGACCTCCGCGAGAACTGCATAGTTTAGTTGAGGTCGACCGCTTCACGACAATTTCGCCAAAGTTGTGTGCCGAGGAAGTCTCAGGAGTTCTGACCCTTCAAAGAGCTTACGGCGTGACTTACCAACGTGAAACTTGAAGGGCACTCTTCATACCGCTGAGATTGCGCCCGAGCCGCGCACCCATCAAGATCAAAGCCTGCACACTTGGAAACAGCTAGATTGAGGACCGATTCTTACCATTTGACTAATCCCAACGAAGCAGATAGATTGCGACTCGACTTGCATTGCGGCGATCTAACAGTACGATGATGTCCTACTGATAAGCCAACAATTAACTTTTACCTGAATACAGTCTCGAAACCTGCGCGATGTCACGTCTTCAATTGAGCGGAACAGATTCCGCAACCACAATATCCATAGCAAAACATACCCCTCCAAGCCAATCATATGGACTTCCAGGTCCTTGCATGCGGATAGCCTTTGTGAGGATTGTCAATAACTTGTTCCTTTGCGAACAGAAAATGGCGCTATACCAGCGGGGATCCTGGCTTTTCTTGCTGGTCCCCTTGAATAAGTTGACGGGACGTGGGTTTCCGAGTCACGTAAGATTTTTTATCATCACTGCGAAGCCTTTTACCTAACCCCTATCGGCATCAGGAGAGGACAGCACTACAAGTGGTCTGTTTGAGCGAGCGATAGTGGCGGAAACGATCGGACTCTGCAAGGTCAAGCGGACATGCCGCCGCTCGTCGAGAGGAACCAGCTCGCCCACTACACGGATTGAACGGTTGTTGCTTGTGATTCTTTTGTTAAACAAAACGTACTCAAGCCAGTCGAGCGCCCACCCCATTACCTAAAGTATGCATCGAGCTAGAGCCCCACCAGACGAGTGTCTGGCTAGTCCATTTCATCTCGAATACGCGACCTTCAACACACGAACATGCAAGACAAAGTCCCTTTTCAAGGGCTTGCAGAGATCAAGCTGGGTGAGCTCTCCTCGCTCAAACAAACCACTCAGCAAGGACTCGACTTTAATCTCCGACTCGCACATCAAACAACTCTCTACTACCTCGCCTTCAGCTTCCCCCCGGAACTTTGACCCGGTGAGAAGGCAGAAGGCGATGTGCAAGATGTTACACTAACAGCGACGCAGATCCGCCGTTCACATACGAGAGGAAGACGGATCTCGAAGGTCCCCGACGGGAAATTGTACCCAATTTGTACCCAATGCGACGACGACGACGACCTCGGGTATCTCTGGTATCCCAGGGTCGGACAACTCCCTGTCACTGTCCCAAAGAACCGGAACGTCACCGTCGTCCCGGCGCAGGTCGAACTCGAGAAAAAGCCTAAGCCCGAATTCAAAACGAAGCCTAGGCATACTGAGAAGTCGTAACAACCCAACTCGAAGTAAAAAAGACCCGATTCCTCGAGCTCCAAGTCGAACCAGCTCGAGTCCTCCTCGAGCTCGAAACCGAAACCACTCGCTTCCTGCTAATCACCTAAAACAACAAGGATACCAAAGCCCGCCTGGACAAACTTGACAGGGGAACCAACACCCGTCTCGACATGATCCCCTTCGATCGGACGGCCCTCTCCTCATGAAACAATCAAGGTCGAAGCAATCAGGACCCTGTCAACATGAAACAACTCTGGACAGGCATCAGCTTTCACGAGTCGCCATCATCGAGGTCCGCGCTGCGCATACGCCAAGAGAAATCGAGCTCTCGCGCGTCTCGTCGTCATTCGGATTTGACCGAAAAAGGGAAGAACGTGCCAGATGCCCGCAGCGACGGGTTGGTGGCGAAAGGAATCGGTTGAGGATGACGAGGTGGGTAGAATTCTCCGGATGGACAGGTTTTGATTCGGGTATGGAAGGGAATCAGGGGGGGTTTTGGGTGGGTGATGAGGTGGATAGCCGGCTTCGAGCTTCGAGGATGTTCGCTGCGAGGTATCGGATCTCTCCCCGTATGGAGTTTGCACATGGTTCATCGTCACTAGCGTGAAAGCTGCGTAGTTTCGCCAAGAAACAGGTCCGGCATCGAGGGGCGAGGGGCACCGTCACGATGTCCGGTCTGGTACAATCAGCCCGGTGCCAGCATGATCGAGGGTATCGTACTTCGGGGATGAGCGATGAGCAAGTTGCGCGGTCTGGGCTGTGTGTGTGTGCTTGCAAGGAAATAGATAAAGGGACGAGGTCCATCGCGCGACTCGTCATCCCCCCTTTCGCCACGTAACATACCTCTTCTCTCTCTCCTTTCAATACTCAACCCCCAATCAACCTCGTCTCTCATACAAAGAGAGACTCAAAAAACACTACAACCACCTCGATTTACATCGTCTTTCCCGGTTCATCGCCACCCAATTCACTCTCTGCCCGTCTTCACCACCCAGCAGTCGATGGTCGAAGTCAACATTCCCGAGCAAGAACCCGAACCCGATATACGACCTTCAAGTCGTCAATCACTAGCAACCACATACCCAGAACCACAACCACAAGAAGCACAGGCTTTCCCATACACGAACAAGCAGCAGGACAAAGTCGAATCATTCTCCGATGAACACGCCGTGAGATACTCGCCCAATACACTCGCCAACGTCGATCAAGACGACCTCGCCGCCACTACCCGCGCCACCCACTCTCAGACTCCCTCTCTCAACGAAAAGCCTCGTAACGACAACGCCCACGATGCACAGCTCCCTCTTCCCCACTCCCGACCCGACTCGGTCGACCAGCCTTCCGCTCAGAAGAGCAACACCTCGGCCCCGATGAAGTCCATCTTGCAAGGTGTTACTTCCAGGTTCACATCTTACCCCAACCAACATCGACTCAAGAACAATATTCACGGTGGCAACGTCGTCAGTCAATCCTCGCCAGACTTGTCTAGGGTTGACGAGAAGGACTATGGGCACGGCACCAACCCGTCTGGTACGACCCACTTTTTGGGGTTGAAGAAGGGTCTTTACAAGTCGTCTTCCGCCTCGGCGACCAAGAACGACCTGCATGCAAGGTTCAACTTGTCAAAGGATCATCGACAGTCGTCCCCGCTCGGTCTCGGTCGTGGTCCTGCAGGAAATGGCAACAACGAGAACGTCGGCCATACCGCCAACAACGGGATGGAAGATGCTGCGGCTGCCATCCCCACCGGTGCGATCGGCATGGTCGGTCCCATCAGGCCGACGAAAAGCATGGCCGAGTTGTTGGTACCCGATAGGAAGTTGGGATCGGACCCCACATGGAGCGAGTCGTTGAAGAACACTGTCAAGTGTGAGTCTATCGAGGATCTCATTAGTTTCGTACCGTGATCGTGGCTAACAACGCTGCTTTCGCTTTCTACCACAGCTTCATACATCGTCTACCTCCTCCCTCTCGTTCCCGTCGCTTGGGCTTTACACTTTTCCCACCAATCCGACGTGATCGTATTCGTATTCTCCTTCCTCGCCGTCATCCCTCTCGCATCCTTGTTGTCGTTCGCGACCGAGCAACTGGCCCTCCGGACCGGCGACGCTCTCGGTGGTCTCTTGAACGCTACTTTCGGAAACGCCGTCGAACTCCTCATCAGTATCTTGGCTCTGGTGAAGGGGGAAATCGGGTTGGTGCAAGCCAGCATGATCGGGTCCATCCTCAGTAACACGTTGTTGGTCCTCGGATGTTGTTTCCTCGCGGGAGGTTTGAGGTTCCACGAGCAGATCTACTCGACCTCGGCGACTCAGCTGCAGATCTCGTTGCTCGGTATCGCCGTAAGTACAGTCTTGCTTCCTTCGTATTCCAGAACATTCTCTTATTGACACTTCGTTCAATATTCCTATAGATGTGCGCTCTGGTTCTCCCCGCGGCGTTCCAGTTCTCCCTATCGTCCTTGTCCACGACGGTGGCAACGCGTCCGATAGAAGAGATCACCGATCTCGATAGCAGCCAGCGGGCGACCCTATTGTCGATCTCGAGGGGTGTCAGCTTCATGTTGCTCTCGACCTACGCGGTCTACCTGGTCTTCCAGCTGTACAGTGAGTTAGCCTTGCATCGTGGGCAATTGGGAATCAAGAGGACGTTGGCTGATGTTTTCGCCCGTTGCCTTGGATAGCCCACGCCTACTTGTTCAAGCGTCGCCCACAAGCCAACAAGCGACCTCATCACGAGCCCGGTGAACCTCACCCGAACCATGAAAAGGTCATTCCGATCAACGAATGGGTGGCTGCCGTTCGATCCCGTGGAAGCGCTTCGAGCTCATCGGACGGATTGACGCCGACCACGACCAGGGACACTACCTTGATGCACACCAACACCATCGATGGTACTACTGGAAACAGTACTGCCATCGACGTCGAGCTCGGTGGGACCGCCCCTCCTTCTATCAGGGACAACCGGTCCATGCTCGAGTTCGGCACCGACGACGATGAAGAGGAAGAAGAGAAACCCTTGGTCAAGGCCATCTTTGCTCTCGTGCTCTTGCTCGCGGTAACCGGTATCACCGGTGTCACTGCCGAGTTCCTCGTTAGCAGTATCAACGGTGTCACGGAATCGACTAGCATGTCACCCGAGTTTGTCGGTATGATCCTCTTGCCCATTGTCGGAAATGGTGAGCTCTCTTTTTCCGCGCCTGATTCCGGTGAACCGACATACTGACCCTTGTTCTCATTTAGTGCCCGAGCACGTCTGTGCCGTCACGGTCTCCATCAAGGACAAGCTCGACTTGTCCCTCAGTATCGCCGTCGGGTCGACTATCCAGGTCGCTCTCGGAATCCTTCCTTTGTTGGTCCTCATCGGATGGGCCATGGGTCAGCCCATGTCCTTGTTCTTCGACGCTTTCCAGATGTAAGTCCAGCTGCCATCAGCCGATCAGTCTTGCTCGGTGCTCATCGCCTCTGTTTGTGCAGCATTTCACTGGCGGTATCGCTCATCATCGTCCAGTTCGCCATCTCGGACGGTCGAAGTTGTTTCGCCGAGGGATACATCTTGATCATGACCTAGTGAGTCTCTGCTCGTGCTCCTCTGATGATTTACATCGCTACATCGTGTTGACCATCGTTTTCTCCATCAGCTGTATCTTCGCGCTCTGTTCGTGGTACTACGATCCTTCCAAGATCATCTAAGCAAACGAATATCCGAACGGATAACAAACGGGACCACCTTCGGTGGGACGGACATTTTCTATCTTAGCCGTGATTGAGTGCGACTGTTGCGCTCTGGCATCAAATCTGTTTTGTATTCGGGATCATACACGAAATCTCCTAATGTCGCGTTAATGTATGTACATATATCGATCGGTGTCTGTCTTTACATCTCGACGGTTTCGCATCAAGGGTTTCTACCAATCCGTGCAGTCAATTAGACACCAGCACATTGCTCTTTATCGAGCTTAGAAAGTCCACTTGTCCAGCTGTGCGACCAACCCCGCCTCTTGCGGTCTCCAGCCCGTCACCTCGTACGTATAATCCGCCTTGACCGGCTTGGCGAGTCCCATCAGGTTGCCCAGGAAACCGAGCTGCGACAGCTCCTCTCTGTCAATCTTCTTTGTAGGGACATCGAGTTTCGTCGCCAACTTGTCTGCCACCTCCTCGAACGGTATCCCGCTCTCGTGGACCAAGTGTAAGCTGATGGGGTTGGCCAAGACGTCTAGTCGTCCGATGGCGGCAACGATACCGTCAGCCGCCGCGTCGTAGGAGCACGCCGCCCAGGCGCCCTGTTCGGTATAGGAGACGTGTCCTGCCTTCTTGGACTCCCCGGCCCACATGGCGATAAAGTCATGGGGCTTGACGGATCCATACGTGATGGGAGCCAAGCGCAGCTGAACAACATGCAGCCCCTTGAGAACGAACGAGAATGCGGCGTCGGTCGACTCGTATCTCGGCATATGCGGGCTGCGATGCGCGCTCGAATGCTCGTCGTCGCCTTCTAGACCGAGCGTACCAGATGCGAACATGAGCGTCTTGCCTTGAACGCCTGCCGCAGTGAGGGACCGTCCGATGACTTCTATCACAGACACGTCCTTTTTGCATGCGCCGATAAAGTCGCCCGAGAACGCCTGCCCATGGTCAAAGCCCATGTGAATGACCATGTCGGCGTCAGAGGCGGCCTTGGCGATGGTGTCGAGGTCGATCAGGTCTCCGATCACCGCTTTGGCCCCGAGCGAGGTCACCTTGGATGCAGATGCGGAAGAGCGAGCGAGGCCCGAGACGGTGTGTCCAAGACTCAGTAGCTTGGGGATCAGGATCGAGCCCATACCGCCGGTGGCGCCGGTGACAAAGATATGCATCGTGGTCGAAGAGTGCTTAGTTGTGACGGTGTAAGTGGTGTTCAGCAAGTGAAGGCCGATCTGAGGTGGGGGAAATCGTTGAGACTGGTAAGTCGTCGGTATGCGTTGATATGCATGATGCAGAAAGACATTACTTGTCGAGGCAGGGTGACTTGATATATCATACTTTCTTGAGCCGGGTGTCCGGCATGTCTATCAACTCAGCAACTGACGCTGATGCAACATCCTCGGCAGGCAGGGTCATCCCTTGACACGCGACACGCGTCGCCTACGGCAACACCCCGACCTTTGGCGGTGAGAGTGGCATCACGGATAACGGCATCGACATTCGTAATCGTGTTTGTTATGGAAGAGATATGGCAAAATGCCGCTGCATGCAAAGGATTCACTGCTCAGTGTGCAAGAGAATGGAGGGGACCCGGACCTGGTCCTCTTGACTTGCTCAACACACACAACGGATCACGGGCATCTTGTTCGATACTGGATCTGCAGCTGCGCGCTTCGAACGTGAAACGCGTTTCATATCTCTCCCTCTCGAATTGGTTGACTGTGCTCAGGCTTCGTGCCCGATTTCAGCGGTGGGATGGCAATGGCAGCAGAGCTGTACATGTTGTCTTCCTGTTCTTCCGTCTTTCACGTTTGGCAGTCAGGTAGGAGATACAATTCGATGACGCAAGTTATCTAAGGCTTGCGTTCGAACCCCGCGCGAAACTGATTGAAGGTTCAGCGTAAGCTTCGATGCAATCCACATGCCACATGTCGATATGGCACCCGAACCTGAAATGGATATCTTAGAGGATAACAAGAAGACGAGCGAGTATAACGCTATCGTTACAGCGACCCTACTGACGATAGAGACACGAAAATGACGATTGTTTCTACCTCTGACGTCATCTTTTGATCGCTACGTGGGGAGATTTGGAGAACAAAAGAGAAACTTTTTGATCAAAACAACAAGATCAGTCGCGATCAGTCCGAGCCTTTTTGTGTACTCACCTTCACACTCATACATCCTAATCCTGTACATACATCGTTCCGACATCAACGACCGCCACATCGCCACAGCATAGAACACTGAACCTTCGTCTTCAAAATGTCACTTTCCGTTCCCACCTCCGGTCAGTGCTCGAACGACGCTGCATCTCCCCCTTATCGAACCGCCGCAGAGAGGGTCTATCGGATACCGGGATTGCTCGAGAACATCGTGTCTTTCCTGCATCGCCAACGGGACTACTTGAACCTAGCGTTGGCGTCCAAGGAAGGATTCGCTATTCCGGCTTCGGAGTTCTACAGGAGTACTAGGCGCGAAATACTCGTCAAGTCGTTCCAGCGTGGCTGCGATCCGGTAAGAACCAGCCATATCGAGCTCCCGAAATTCCCAATTATCGTGACTGATTGCTCTTCTTCGGAGATATCGCAGGATCGTTTTGCTATCTATGCAAAAGGTGTACGCGAATTGAGTTTACCCAGCGCCAACTTCAGCTGTTCGGTACGCCCTCCACTGGAACTACAGAAACTTCTCGGGCAGCATCCGAGGTTACGAGAGATCAGTATCTACTGGTGCACATATATAGGGCAAGAGACGGCCCAGAATTCCCAACTTTACTCTTCCGGACATCAATCTGTGGAGGTGCACGGCCTCAGTCTGAAGGGACATCTGCAGCATGATCAGCGATGGTTCGTTGAAGGACCCTACCAGATCGATGATGATGCGCAAATCAAATGGAACGGATGCCTGTCATTGCATACCGACCAGCTACCGCAGCGCGAAGCCGTCCGGACAATCGACGAGATCCTTGGTCATCTTGCTTCGACGGTCGGCAATGCAGTGTCGCCCTGGAGTATCCTACGCGACTTGCATTCGCCGACAGTAACCATCTCCCTGGGCAAATTGGAGTCGCTGTTGCGCGGATGCCCCGGTCTGGCTACCTTGTCTTGCGTCTTATCTCGCTCAGGCGAAACGGCAACGTACATGGAGACTCTAAGCGAGTTACTTCGAGGACCCGGAGCGAATCTGACAAAGCTCGTATGCAAGGCAAAGGGTGCCGACCTGTGCATGTTCGCTCGACACCTTGCGATCTGCCCATTGCTGAGCGTGACTGGAACTCTTGACTGGAATCCACATAGAGGTGTCGCAGTTCCTTCGCCAATCGACGGCGCCAAAGTCGTTCACCTCTTTCTGAGTATTCAAATGCCGAGAGGATGGCTCGACTCGGTTCCCGGGCCCCTGGATGTAGCGAGATATCTCAGACGTAGCGTCCTACCCGGAAGCCAAATCACGATTATTGATAGCCTTAGCGAATATGGCGGCGATCATCAAAAGCTGTGGAAGACAACCCTTCGTATGACCTTGGAGACATTGGAAGATGACGACAAGAGAGGGAAAGCGCAAGCTGAGGACGCAGCGCAGCCGGTATGATAGACAGAGAGTGAGCGAGAAGAGCGGTACCCAAGAAGCAAGTGTGTTAGCCAGAGACTCCCTGTTGATATCGAAGAGAGGCTGACCCTGCGCTTTGCCGGTTTCTGCAAACAGGCTCTCCCGAAGTCGACCGACCGAAACACGCGATCCGACTGCGTGTCCCGAAAACAAACGAATCCATCGCCTAGCCAGATGGTACCAAACTGTCCTATCCATTCGAACTCACGATCTCTATCTCGACTTATGTCTGCAAGTGCACTTATTCCAAACCAAGCTCCATCGAGTTCTGGTATCCCTATGATAATTCACTATTTGGTAGTTCCAAATTTTGTCGTCTCTGATACATACAAGATATCGAATTTACAACTTTCCGGACAGACCTCCGATCTCGACAATACCCCCCTTGTTCTTGCCCTTGCCCATAACCTTGGCCATGCTGTGGGTCAAAACCATCATAGCTTTCCCCCCTTCCTTGTCGAGGACGATACGACTCGCGGCCTCAACAACCTCCTCGATCTTGGTAAGCTCCACATCGTCGGGTAACGCCTTGACCCCATCCTTCTTGATGATGTTGGTATCGACAAAGTAAGGGCAAAGGAGCCCGGGCTTGATCTTGATACTGGATTCTGGGTTGTTACGGTCGAACTTCAGGAAGTAATGGGGACGTCGCAATGTTCGGAAGAGCCCGAGTACCCCGTGCTTGGCAGCTGCGTACATAGGTTCAGAGGAGTACTTGAGAGAGGCCATGGAGCCGATCAGGAGAAGGGAATGGTGTCGGGGAGAGCCGGAAGATAGCGAGTCGCCTTTAGGAGCCGGCTGCGCAAACGCCCAGTAAGCGAGATGGGCGGTATAGATGACACCGGTCAGGTCGATGTCGATGGTCTTGACGTTGGGCTTGCGGAGCTCTGTCAAGACATGCCGAATCCAGAATCAATTTCTCTTTCGGTATCTCGCTACCCGATACAGCTTTTGATCGCACTCACTAAGATCGGCTTGGGGGAGGAACATCTCAGGGTCAGACTCTCCAATCCCGGCGTTCGCGACGACTACGTCCAGATGTTTGCCGGGCGATTTTTCCATGGCCTCTTTGAAGAGAGCCACTTGTGATTCCCAAGAAGTGACGTCGGTCTTGACAAAGTGGTGTCTGAGAATCACGAGATCTACGTAAGCGACAGAGACAAGGACTCTGAAGCTGAAAGGACCCACTTGTCTTTGCCAGAGATCCTACGCAATTCTTCGAGAACAATCCTGCCAGCCGTTTCGTCCATGTCTCCAATGACAACATAGGCTCTATTTAAAACCTGTGTGAGCTCGATCATGACGACCAAGACGGCGGAACGATACATACCCGCTCTCAGCCCATTTCCTCGCCATACCTCTACCTAACCCATTCGCCGCTCCAGTGATCAGAGCGGTACGACCCTGAAGCCAGTTCCATTCAGGTTCAGCGTTGAGATTCATTGACATGGTGCTATATTTCGCTGTATGACCAAGAGTATGGATACCGAACGCTCAGGGTGACCACGCACAATAGAAGGTGATTTATACAGATCACAGACCGACAGGCCATAGGATATGATAGCCGGTTGACGCGGAAGCAAATAATATGATCCCCGACTCTCAATAACCGGCCTCACTACCGCCTGACATTCAGCTCGAAGGATGCGATCCGCCATCGTGCAGACCAAAAGACTATGCTAAATTATATCGGCGCCTGGAAGCCTGGATGTGTACATCGTTGCCGTTATGCCTTCAAGCTTTTCCGCTTGGTCACACTCTCCGCCGATCCCACGCGGCAATATCGATCGGACACGGCGATGACATCGTACTCTCCCTGCTTTGAAGATTGGAGGGTGTAGCTATACTCTTCGATGTTAGCGACCGTCTGATTCGGGAGAGAAAGGTCAGTATCAAACTTTTTTTTTTTTGCATTTGTTCTGCACTTGATCTTTTACGCACGTCTGTATCCTCGATAGCGAGTTTCTTCCCGACCCATGTTGATCGCGTCCAGGTACTGTGCAGGCGCCGAAATAGGTTGTTAGCGTTTGTACGAAAGTCGATTTTCCCGCTACACCACATACAATGCAAAAGGTGGTGTCCCCTTGAATGTGATCTCGATGTCCGCAACATTGCCTGTTCCGCCCGCACAAAAGTCAGCCTTCTCGCCCACGACGATCTGGATGGCCCGTGCGGCAGCCCATCACACACCTTCATGCAGCCATGATTCCCCGTCCTTGATTTGCGCAGAGGGTAGCGGGTGGACTGTGGTGCTCATATCGCGGATAGGACTTTCGCACTGCGATCATAAGGTGAACGTGATCAGAAACGTTTGCGCGTCCGTGCGAGGTCGTGACTATACTCACATGAGCCGCTTTTCGATGAGAGACGGAAGTGATCTCAAAGGTGCCTGGGCGATCAGCCAGCCTCGAGAAGTTGGGCTTGTCCGTCTCTATCTTGTGCTTCTTGCCGGCAAAGATGTAGCTACAGGACCTTTCGTTGATCAGTACCGATCGTCTCCCCACGTATATGTTACCCATACCTTAATGTCCATGGTCTAGTTCCTGTATGATATGCATAGCTTAGCTCGATCCGCGTCAAGTGCCTCACGTCGACTCACCTTGTAACAGATATTCCAAGGTATCACCTACACAGTAGTCTGACCCCTCAGTGATTGCCTTGACACTGGCTGGCTCGACAACGTTGACATAAACCGATAGGTCTTCATCCTCTGGCGGCTCCCAAGCACAACCGTTCGCATCGGAAACGTTGACAATCTTGATTTGGTAAGTGCCAGCGTCTTTGAACTTGAAGTCCGGCACGTCCAAGTCCCACTTCTTCTGTTTGATGCCTGTTTTGTTGAAAAGCTCTGGTGCTCCCCTCCTATTGCCTTGAATGCTGAAGTGAATATCAAAGGGAGCTTTTCCCTTGAATTCAACCTGTGCCCGGTTCTTGTCACGCGTCAAGCTGTCGTGCAGACAGTACGTCGAAGTCGTTCTACTGATCATACTGGCCGTCGGTCGCTCAAGTACAGTATGATGGACGGAGATTCCGGATTTCTTGACGTTATTGTCGGCCTGGAAGTCATACGATCGATCCGCGACTTGCAGAATGTCGTAGGTGTGTTTGCCGGGTACGACTGAAAGAGCAAGGTGACTCTGCGATGTTGACGCCTCCGCATCATGCGTGGTTTGTGTAGTCTTGTGGCCTTCTCTGACATGTGTATGTGAGAAGCGGTATCGGAAAGGCGCTTGACCTGGGATGCGGAATGGCAACCCGCCTAATGAGCCAGTGATTTAAATATGCGAGATTTGTAGCTTGGTGACTTACCCTTGAAAAAGAGTTTGACAGTGTCTTCTTTCCCTGCGCATACAGCATCGCGTCGGGGGGATACAGAGCTGAAACCGTCAGACTCCGGTGTCAACGCGACTTCGGGGCGCGGAATGTGTTCAACCTCCACATCGGCAGTCTCAAGGGGTACCGAACCTGGGCAATGTTTGTCGTGCACCTAGAGGAAGCCCGTCAGATGTCAGCTGGGGCACTTTTGCATTTTTCTGGCATCTCGTCAAAATGACAGCAACAAGGTGGTATTTGCCTGCCGTTCTCAGCTTCAGTATTGAGTCGTGGTGATTTGACCGGAATGTCTCGGTCTGTCGATCACCATCGCGTTGATAGGTAACCTCCCATGGCTAGTAGAGGTTGCATTAGCGGAGAATCATGCTCAAAACATCCATCGAATAATACGTACTGCTGTTCCCGTCAGTTTGAGCGGTACCCCAGCTGACGACCCTTCCACGATGGAGAAGGGCACACCCGCAGTCGCATCGAACTTCGCGGTGGGCTGTTTTCATAAGCGGTCAGCAGCCCAGTAACGATATACCTTCTGAAGAAGCGACGTACCCTTTCTGTCCTGACGTCGAAGCTGAGGTTATGATCTGGAAGCGCGATCATGCAGCCATGACCATCCCAAACCCGGGTGAGGGAGACCGAGAATTGACCACCATCCCTTTCGAGTCCGGCAGGGGTCGTGACGGAGATCTTCTGCTTGCCTGCACTGCCGAAAGTCTGGTTCGCGGTCTCGGACTGATCTAGCCAGATGACAGCTCGCTCGACGATGAATGGTGCCGTCCCCTGCACGAAACGATTTCGACGTCAACATCAAAAGTGGGACCTCGCAGACCAGTTAACTGCTCGCTGGAACTAACCTTCAACGTGAAATGAACGTCGGTCGTGTTGGTCTGGCAGGTCCAGATGTCCTTGCGACCTGTACCTCGATGGTGCCGAGGGTCGAGATGGAACTCGGCCTGAGGAGATATCGTCTGCTCGAACCGATCCGCGGAGATCGGCACGTCTTTATAGTTCGAGTCGGAAATGCTGATTGGCACCTGCATAGGAACGAAGATGGTGTATTAAGCGGGTTGCGCGAAACAAGAAAGTAGAAAAGCACCCACAAAGATGTATTTCCCTGGTCGATCCGGCCGGACAATGATCTCCTCCTTTGCCTTGTATATGTTCGACTTGGTGTACTCTTTGTGCGTTTCGCCAGAGCGGTAAGATGCGTATTTGACGGTGTAAGGCGGTGTGCCTCCAACGAATTCGATGTGAGCCCTGAATCCCGTATCACCGGCACTAATACGATTGATGGGGTAAGTGTTATGCTGCTGCTAAGACAGGGACACGCGATGAGCTTACCAGTCACGCTCCGCAGTGTATTCAATCCGGCTGCTCGGCGGCGGCACTTCTTGTACAACGAGCGAGGCCAGTCCCTTGACGGACCCCTGACACCTTCCAGCTGAGATTTGGCGTAGAGAATACGTTCCCGGTCGGTAGACAGTATGTCCAAACACATTGCGCGAATCCGTCAGGTTTTCCGTGCGAGCAAGGTGCTTGGTGCCCGGCTCGGGCTCGTATTGCAGTTCGATGACGGCTTCTTTGGCGTTGACGTCCTTCTTGATTTCGATCATCAAAGTGACGTTTGCGTTCTCCTTCATGAAGAGATGGCTGCCTTTACGGCTAGCAGCAGGTTGACGCGGACTGAAGCCGGCGGTAGGTAGAGCTTGGACTTGGTAGACTAATTTGGCTTTTTCGACGTCGGGATGATGTACGTTGTGCAAACCATCTTCGACCGATAGAACCTGGACTTCGTACGTTCCGGGTTCCGAGTGGTCGATCGTCAGAGCAACATTGCGCTCATAAGGGGTGGCATCTATCCTTGGTGCTTTGAGGTTGAGTTGTCGTTTGCTGATTTGCTTCTCAGCGTCGTCCTGCCCGTCCACCTGAACCTTCGGCATATCGCGCTCGATATCGCGCCTCACATGCTGTGTCGTAGCTCCTCCCTGCTTGGTTACCGCCCATCGCACGGTCATAGGACCGGCTCCCTTGATCCGGACGGTCTCTACATCGGAATCGCCAACGCATCGGACGATGGGTCCTGATGCCTTTTTCTTCTTCTTTGACACTGAAGTTTCAGGACTTTCGACAAAGTGACCTGCGCTAGGACATTCAGCAACGATGACAGGACCGTTTGTTGCTTTGACGGTAAAGCCATAGTCATCATGGTCTTTTACTCCGAGTAGGTCGATGACTCCGGTCGCCTTGATCGGCAAATAGTAGAGGTTTTCGCCAGATCGGATGGCGGGAGGCAGAGCCGAGAACTTGTCGTCCGCCTTGACCGAACGGCCGATCTGGTTCGGTTGATCGCGAATCCGAAGTTGTTCCGCATCAGAACCAGCGGTGGAGGCCTCGACGACGACGTCCTCGTCTTCGTACCACTTGCGTTGCTTGTACGCCTTCTCCGTCGCAGCTTTTTTCGGATGGTCGAGATCTTTGGCGCTGATTGTGAACATTTTTGGTACGAGATCTTCGGGAGATCGTACAGCGTACTGCAAGGTGCTCGGCTGCGAGTTGTTGAACAGTATCGGGATGTACACCGTCTGCTTAATACCGGGTTCCAGGCAGAACGTAGCTCCGGTAGGATTGAAGATAGCATCTCTACACGAATCGAGAAATATCAGCGTGGAACCTGCTTGCAGGCACGAAGCATCGAGTACCTACCCATTCTCTAATTTCCGGATGGACCGATGCCCTAGCAGATGCTGCTGCTCTGCTATGACTTGATCGGGCTTGACCGATCGTTCAGTCAAGGTCTGTACGTTATCCATTGTACCCGTCATCACTATAGAACAGCCGCAAGGGAGAAGGCGAAGTGAGCCAAGAGCGCCTCGACCGCAACTCCAGGCTAAGGCTTACATTTCCATATCCACCCGAGCACTGCCAGCACGACAGCTCCCAGCTAAGTTCAGACGGTCTCGTTAGCTTAGTTCCATACCTAATCGAATGCTTTTCCTGCGAACTCACGTCGATCTGCCCAAATAATATCGCATTGACAAGTAGAAAGATCGGGAGATAGCGGGCTATCCTGCCTCGACTCTGCAGTAGTCCAGGGATGTGTAGCGATCCGATGACCGAAAGGGTCACGACATCCAACAAGGACCATTTCACCAGGTAGGTTGAAGCGAGCGATCCTTGTCTAGGTAGATGGCCAGAGACGTATGAGAATAGCTGGGCGACAGACGATGTCGGTAGATCTGCCTTGGTGGCCGGATCTAGCGATCGTAGTGACAGAGCCAACGCGTCGCTCAGCTTGTAAGCCTGACATACGGCAGGGCAGAAATCAGCTGTTGACACAAGCGGATGGCAATACCAAACCTGAGTCTACGAACCTGTGTTGCTAGCACAAAAGCATAAGCATAGTAGGACTGTTCGGCGGAAGGTATCCACGACTCTGGTATCCGCGAAGGACGTCGATTCGTGGCCGACATGCTTGACCGTTTCCTTTCCTTGTTACCTGCAGATCCCTAGGTAGCAGGAGATCCAGAAAGGCCCAGTCGACGATGTGATGTCTTTCTGTGTTACTATGTCCCCTGGAATAAAGGCAAGCGGAAATGTAAGAACATGTTTGGCGAGGTCGAGCAACTGAGCAACTGATAAGTTCACGACGATGGTTTCAACAATTCCGGGGGGTTTCGTCATCTTTCTCGGGTTCGCGCGGACATCAAAATGTTTTGGGATGTCCGCTCTGTGTCAAGCCTGAAGCAGATGGGGAGCTTTACCGGTTCGATCTTGGGTGATTGTGTGCGGGTGGTACATCGTTGGTATCGTTGACTATACATGGCGCATATGGTATCAGAGATGCACAATATTGTCGATGGCCTCCAGGAGACGCCGATGCTCAGCGTTGCATGCTATATCGCATCGCATTCACATGTGCGCCCTATGGCCCTCAAGACCCGGTCGAATCAGCTCGACCCGGATGATTCGACCGCAGATGCCTCGCATGTCCTCGGTATATCCCGATGGGCATGGATGATTGGACCCTGACCCTGGTGACGAACAAGATATATAATACGCGGGGGGAAACAGCGAAATCGAAAGGACGAAACACATCATTTCGACATCATCATCACCGCTGATCACTCTACCAGCTACCTATAACACCTGCTCGGATCTCTCGCTCCAAACATGCCTCGCCCTCACAAATTCATCTCTGACGACGAATACTATACTTGCGGGGAGCTGTACTATCAGATCGTCCCCGACACCAGTTCTGGGCAACGCCCCACTTTCGCCATCACCGGGATCATCCCTCCCGAGAAACTGGATGTTACCAAAGTCGCCTTGTACGTCACACAGCTACAGCAGCAACAGCAACAAGATGGCACAGCGGACAGTGGCGTCGGCGCGGTCGCTAGGTATAGCCTCCCCTTGTCGGACGAGGACGTCAACAAGGTGTACGATGCCGGTCTTCCGTCCTCCCATGGCAAGGGCAACGAAACTGTTTACGACCCCACCTACCGGCAGGCTCACGAACTCAAGGTGCGCTTCGGAACTTGATCGTCAGAGAGTACCTATATTCGCCTCACGCAATGCTGATCGAATCGAGAGACATGCTCGTTCCAGCCTCCCGATTTCGCCCTGTCCACCGACCTCATCGAAGCTTCGGACGTTCTAAACAGCCTGCCCACCACGATCGGTCTGGCTGACCAGCGATTGACGGTCAAGCTCCATAAGCTCAATGCTTATGCGACTGGCGGGTTCTTCAAGCCTCATCGAGAGTCAGTCTGTCGCCCTAGAAAGCGATAAGAGTCATCGTAACTGATACCATACCGTACCTTGTTTCGACGCGGCTACAGCACCCCTCGAGGTCAAGACCACATCGGAACATTGACCTTCTGTCTCCCTTCTCATTTCACAGGCGGTGATCTGGTCATCCGTCAAGATGCCGCTGAGATCAACGTCGATTGGTCTCGCCAAGTACTCGACCCTGCCACAGGTGTGGGATCTGTCGGTTGGTGCTTCTTATACTCGGATTGCGAACACGAGGTCTTGCCTGTTAAGAGCGGACTCAGGGTGACCCTGGCCTATGATGTGTTTTATCATCGGGAGGACCCTGCGAAATACCCTGCCGGAGAAGAGAAGTTTGTTCTTGGCGATAGTAGAGCCAACGAGATGCTAGCCATCTTTTCCAGGATGTTCGACCCTAGAACCTCGCTGGACTATTTCCCCGACGGCGCCACGCTCGGTTTCGGCCTGCGACATGCATACGCAGGGCAAAACGGTTGGGTGAAAATGAAAGACCTCCAAACCCGGCTCAAAGGGATTGATCGAGCTTTGCTAAGCACTTTAGTCCGCTGTGGCCTTCATTATGAGATCACGGCCGTCTATGAGGCAGACCAGGATGAGAAGGAGTGGTACGTTGACCAGCAACATCGGGAACACGGAACCGGAGGGAAGGACGGAGATCTTTTCGTCTACGTTCAAGAAGGCAACACCAAACATGGATACAATTCCAAGCTGACTGCCGAAGTCGACGAGCGGTCTTGGCCATACTATCAAGGAGTCCTGATTTCCCGTCACCCGCGCCTACTGGCAGGTGCAAGTCACGTCGAGGACACATACGCCGAATTGGTAGAGTCCGGTGCACAAGATCGACCGGACATTGTGTGGATCACCGAGCCGAGCGTCTATGAAAACAGGAATGACTACTGCGCATATGGAAATGGTTAGTCGCAGAAGGGCCGGCGCACCGATCGGATCCAACTGACTCACAACCTGCCATTCAATGTTATCAGAGGCTATGCACACAACCTGTTACACGGCGTGTGCGATCGTTGCCAAGCTGCCTCCGGCCAAGGACAGGAAGCTTCCCAAGGCACTCGAAAGGTTCCTGGACGATGACGATGACGCGGAGGCGATCAACACGCACGAAGCTGACGCCGCCATAGCCGAGACAAGCGTCTGATCTTCGACCAGTCAATCCTCAGCGATGTAGTCGTGCAAAGTCCCGGATGCTCTCATGGCCGATTCTGTAGGTGACGAGCATTCCTTTGGCCCTAGCCAGTCTACGCTGTCTTGATGGATCATGTCGATAGCCCCTTCCACGGCTCGACTATCGATCGCAAGCGATGAGGAGACTATTTTGAGCATCGATTACCACTTGTAATCATGACATGCATAACCTTCGATGTCAAGGATCCTGAAGAATTCGTTGGTCACTGTTCGGCTGTCGGTACGGTGGTTTGCTTGATCAAGATGCGAGATCTGCTATCGAACGTGAAGGAGCGAAGACCGGCGCGAAACCTCCTCGTCGCTCGAGCATTTCGGTATCGTCAGCGCCAACTCGCTGACCTTTCCTCGACTCGAAAGGGCGCCGCTGTGTCCAACCTTGCTTCAAAGACAATGCGGTCGAGATACATGGACAAAGAGGCGATGATGTTTCATCAGGAATGTAAGTGACGGACAAAGACGCCATCGGTTTCAAAAGATATTCACCGAAAGGCCGAGAGGCGTTTCACGTGACGCTTGCTCCGTGTAAGGTCTGGCTCGAGGTCGGTGGCGTTTGCCGATCAGCCGAGACCGAGCATTCGAACAGGCGGACAACCGATTCCGATCGGCCCGGCCATCGGCGACGACCGTGATGAATGGTTGTATCAACTCAAGTAGAGTATTTAACCCGCTCTCTGAGCACAACTTCTCTTCTCGAACTTTGAGTCTTTACAGTCTTTTCTCTCTCTCGCACGAAAACACCCCTTCGCTCTTACCTACAGCAAATACCAATCCATACGTCGCACGCCATGTCGCCTACCAACGACGCTGCTGCTCAACGATCGCCGGAGGAGAGGGCAGCCGAACTCCTGCCTCGCATGACCCTGAAGGAGAAGGCCGGTCTCATGTTCCACACCATCACTACTCTCGATCCTCTTGACGCCAACGCTTTCGGTCTCGGAAGCACCAAAGAATTCCTAGAGAGAGGGATCGTTCACTTCAACGTGCACGGCGCTGTCGATGACCCCAAGGTGATCGCGAGACATCATAACGAAATGCAAAAGCTTGCCCTTTCTATGGGCGTCAAGGTACCCATTACGATCAGCTCGGATCCGAGGCATGCGTTCTCGCACAATGTCCTAGCTTCAATGATGGCGGGTTGCTTCTCCGAGTGGCCCGAATCCTTGGGTATGGTCGCTCTGCAAGATGAAAAGAGGATGGAAGAATACTGCGACATCATGAGACAAGAGTACGTGGCCTCTGGAATTCGAGCCGCTCTCCATCCTCAGGTGGATCTCGCCACACAGCCTTTGTGGTCCAGGATAGCCGGAGGGTTAGGAGAGGATGCCGACCTGGCGTCCCGTTTAACTGCAGCCTACGTCCGAGGTATTCAGGGTGCCGTTCTTGGGACCGAGTCGGTGTCCGCATGCGTCAAGCATTTCCCAGGAGGCGGTCCTGAGCGTGATGGACACGATTGTCACATGCCCTGGGGTGCCGAGCAAGACTACCCCGGCGACCAATTCGAATACCACCTCAAGCCATTCAGGGCCGCCGTTGACAGCGGTGTACGACAGGTCATGCCATCGTACGGCAAGCCGATGGCCACAAAGTTCCCCGAGGTTGCGTTCGGTTTCAACAAGGAGGTTCTCGACGGCGTCTTGCGCAAAGACCTCGGTTTCAAGGGCATCATTTTGTCGGACTGGCTCATCTTGGAAGGCGTTCCCGGATCCAAAGATGATGCCCTGCAGGCCAAGGCCTGGGGAGTCGAGCATCTCTCGCTGGACGAACGGATCATCATGTCGCTCGATGCCGGCGTCGATCAGTTCGGTGGCAACACATGCGTCGACGCACTCGTGAAGCTGGTCGAGTCGGGCAAGGTACCTGAGAGCAGGATCGACCGCTCGGCCTTGCTTCTGTTGGAGGAGAAGTTCCGTTTGGGCATCTTTGACAACCCCTACGTTGACGAAGAAAAGGCCGCCACCATTGTCGGCAAGGACGAGTTCCGACACGCCGGTCTGCGAGCTCAATCGGACTCGCTCACATTGCTGCAGAACCGAAAATCGTCCAAGGACGGTAAACCTATTCTGCCGCTCGCAAGGGGGACCAAAGTCTTCCTCGAAGGGTTCGCGTCGGTCCCCGAAAAGTACTCTGGCGACGTCGTCTCCTCCGCTTCTGAAGCAGACGCTATCATTGTCAGGATGGACACCCCCTGGACTCCTATCGGCGAAGGGGAACTCGCCAGGCAGTGGCATCACGGGCCGCTCGACTTCAAACCTGAACAGCTCGAGCGCATCGCCGAGCTCGCCAAGCTAGCTCCCGTCGTCTTCGACATCTACTGTGATCGCCCACCTGTCCTCGGTAGTATCGTCGACTCTGCCTCCGCCATTCTCTGCAATTACGGGGTCCGAGAGGAAATTCTGCTTTCCGTTATCTATGGAGAAGCTTCGCCCAAGGGCAAGTTGCCCTTTGATCTCCCCAGGAGCAACGAAGCCGTTATCGCTAGCAGGTGTGATGTCGCTTTCGATACTAAGGACCCGGTCTTCAGGTTCGGCCACGGATTGAGCTACGAGTAGACAATCGGGTGGTTGGTTTATCGTCAGGGAGTGGATTGTATAAAGGATATCCCTTTTCGCTTGATGAACGTAGAAAGAAAAAGCTTTGCTTCGATCTCCCCGGCTTCCCTTTTCTCGTATCTTTTCTTCTTGCACAGGTACAGAACAGTCTTGCCTTTCGATTGACAGCATCGGCGCAAGTTCCTCATACGGATTCGTCCATCATTGACCGTTCAAGATGTCCAACTAAGATGCTCGGCTCACGAACACGGACTTGGCCATTCTGAGATCGAAGCGCTGACCTTTGCTCGAGCGAAATCATATCCCTTACGATGACCGGGATCTTGTGTAGTCTGGGCTGACCTTGCTCGGTCATGAATCGACATGTATTGACGGTACAACCTTCTTCGCGCTTGCAACATACACGCCGGGTCGGAGTTTGCATCACCAGGGTGCATGCTGTAATAGATCGTCCCTACAACGTGCAAGTAGGTCAAGTCAGATTTCGAGGGTGAACCAGCCCATGTGTTTGCTTACCAGTACGAGGGAACCGGAAAATTTCCTTGTTCAAGGTCTGCCGTGTCTAAAAGTGTATCCTTGAGGTGGCACGTAGAGATTTCTCAGACTCCCATGAGTGTTCGGCTTTCAGCGAAAGATCGGAGACTCACCAGTTGCTGCAAAAAATCTTCCGTGTCGAAAGACATGTCCCGACGGTTGCCAACTTCTTGATCGTCGGTCGTCGGGTCATACCCTGTTATCGTCTGTGCCTTGGCTTGTCGTAGTAGCCGAGCGTAATACCGTGCCACGTAGTAACATCCGGAATCGTTTCCGACCTGGCGGACACAGTCCGAGCAAAGCGTGTGTACTTGCAGCAGAATCTCCAATATCCGTTGACGAGACCTCGGTCGCACTTGCGATATCATCTGATTTTGGTCGTAATTGGTGAACATCAGTTTTCTCTGTCTCATCTGAGCTGACTGACCTGACAAAGGTAATGACCCGCCCTGGTGAAGAAAACGTAGAACGCATCTTGAAAGTAGATCACCTGGCCATCCAAAGCGAGGGCGCGTAGACTGGAAAGCCAGGTCTCGGCTCTTTCCAGCAACTGGTCGCTGTGATATTCTGAGGGAAGAGTCTCATAGCGTTGAGCTCCGAGAAGCAACTTGTTCAGATTGATAAAGTTTTGCAAGCGGTTGAACGTCTTTGATGTGACGTTGGCTTTTGTCGAGTCGCCACCGAGATTCAACGATTTGGTCAAGGTGTCGAAACGATCTTCGACATTCTCTAGCTCCATCAGCCGGGGAGATGCAAGACCACCTGGCGCTGCCCTCATAACCATGCTGAAAGTACCTTCCGAGCTTTATAGACCGCAAAAGCCCGCATTAGCGATCGATCCGCTCGCTCAGAAATCGCCACATACACTTACCCGAACGAAAAGGCTAGTTGCGTGTCGTTTTCAACGCCTAGATCGGCGACAACTCGCTGCCATTCGAGAGGATCTCTAAATGTACCAAAACGCATGGAACAGGGCAGATCGAACAAGGCACTACCGGATTGTAATCGTGCGGGGTCAACAGGTCGGCCAACGGTGAAAACGTTCGACTTTGTGGAAGTCTACGCACGAGTAGCTGGAATTTGGAATAAGCGAAAGAGGACTGCATGTCAGTCTCCATCTGTAACTGTCCAATTGCCTGCGGTCCTCCACGGCTTACTTACAGAAGCTCGAAGCCTACGATGTCACCGAGTTTGGCAAAAGATGACGATGTAACCCGATTGTAGGTAATGAAGGAGATTCCCTCTGGTATTAACCAGGACTTACAAGCCAAACCTGGGCATCTTGCAGAGAACCATCAGTCCTCGATCATGGCTCGATTTGCTCTGGCTTAACACTTACAGTACCAGGTCCGTTGAGCATCCTTCTTAAAGATAACCCGCGATCATATCAGATCGACTGATATACTTCCACCTAAGAATGTCACCACGAAGTCTACCACTCACAGCCGCCTTCCGTCTCTCCAGCTCGCTGCTTCCCAGAGGTGCGTCTTTGGCTTCGTGCAATCTCAGCTGATAAGCTAACCGGATGGCGATCCCGATCTTCAACCAGATCGAATCCGTCGGCGCCTTCCAAAAGTTGCACACGCAAATAGCTTGTACCATGTCGATCGTGCAGACTTCGCTGACGATAGCTCGGTTGATGACAATTCGGAGATGTTCAGTGAGCATGAGACTCAGATCGGGTCGGAAGAACTTCGCAGAAGATGTAAGAATAGCGAGGAACAGGATAGGCATGTTGTGCTTGAGATGATCGAAAGTATGAACTGTTTGAACCGGGGTCATTTCAGACGGATTTCGAGATGGCTGCAGTCGGCTCCGGGAGGGACTTGCACATGGGGTCCAGCAGCGCGATAAGAGGCTGAAGGTGTGTGAAGAACCTGAAATTGATATCAATCATTACGATGGGACAACGAAATTGCGCTGATGACAAGGTGACTCACCGATCGACCAGGTCTCGTGACTCGAGCTCTGTCATCATGGACAAAGTGACGCCATCGACGATCATCTTGGCATGCGGGTCGGCTGACGAACGGCAGTCTGAGGCGGACCCTGCTTCTACGGAAGCAGGATCGAGATGTTTGATAATACTGTAGCCGACAGGAGCTTGGCACTGCGAAGTTTCGCTGGCCAGATCCGTCTGCATTGCATGCCCGGGAACCTCTCCCATAGGCATATTCGGCCCAAGCAGAACCGACTGTTCACCGGCGTAGAGTCTTTGTGGGATCTGTGGGTTCTGTGCTAACGAGGACGGTCCGGCGAGAGGTTGGACATGCGGTGCGTTGATGTTGTAGATATCGAGGCCTATCATGGGCAACGATCGAGGCTCTTGGGGAATGTTAAATATGCTTTGCGAACTGCCTGGGTGTCGAGAACCATCATCGGAGTTGCCAGAGGAGTAGACCGTGGGATCGGCAGACCTTCTAGAAACACACGCGCAGAGATCAAGCAAGTCATCAGTGGATGAGATAATCTTTCCAGAATGCAAAAAGCTCGGTGCCTCTTGCCTTGTCTCATGAACTAGGCTCGGTGCAGCCTTACTGCCGGGATACTGTCTGACTGCCCTCTTGTACGTGCAAGCGACCCCAAGTCTCCGACACCGCTCACAATCGTCGGTTGCAGCAGCATCTCCCGACGTAGGAACGCATTTGATCTGATCGTATGATATGGATCCGGTCAGATTCGCCAAGAAAGACGTGGGCCGCGGGACACCTCGATGTCGACTTGCCTTGATACTTCGACAGGTCACGCATCTGCTCAACATGAGGGTCGAGACTTCAGCAAGAACACCAGAATGGGAGTCCGATGACAGAAGCTCACGCCTTTCGGGGACGCTGACGACTTTTTGACAGCGACGGCGCTCTGAGGGTCGATTGCGACATGGGTATCGTTCGGTCCTCTTGACGTTCGTCCGGACTCGCGCGGGGAGATCCAAGGCAATAATGTGTTGGTTATCGTTCTGGTCGAGTTGCCTGACACAGCTGTCGACACACAGCTGATCCTTTTGGCTGCTGCCTCTACCATGGACTGCAAGCTTGTAGATCAACCGGTGATGTACATACTGTAGTATACATGGTCGATGATCAGAAGACAAGACGAGCACGAGGTTGAGGGCCCATCGGCCATCGGTCATCAGTCGTTGATCATCCGGTGGCGGCCGGAGTCATGGCGTCGATCCGGATCCGCGTCGTACTACGTCACGTGACGTCACAACCGAGTTCGCGTTTCACCTCGTGCTGCCCCTGTTCCCCCTGGCGCTCCTGACGTATCTCAATGGAGCGCAAGCTTCTCCTAGAGATGATCGTCCTTTGTACGATCCTTACTAGGTCAAGGATGAGAGGCGATGCCGAGGCGTATAAGTATAGGCTCGGTCGGAACCTCTTGCGCTTCACCCTGGTTTGCAAGACTTTCATCTAAAGACTTTTCTCCAAACGCCTGCCGATTATACCCATCGACTCACTTGCTCAGCTCACAATGTCTCATCCTGAAGCTACAGGTCCTATCGAGGTCCAAAACCTTCCTCCAATCGCCTCAGAGAACGGCGGCTTCGTCACCGACGGTACGATCTCTTGCGAGGCGTTCAAGCAGCAATGTGACTCCACCATCCAAATGGTGAAGGAAAAGCTTGCCCGGCTCGAAGACCTGACTTCGACTCCTCCGACACGGGATAACTTTCTGATGCCTCTAGATGATCTGGTCAGACATATCGCCATCAAGCGCGGCCTTTGCTGGACCTTTGAATCTCTCCACCCTGACCCGGCGATGAGAGAGCTTGTCGCCGAGGTCCAGCAACGGCTGGACAAGCTGTCCATCGAGATTGATCAGTCTTCTAGGCTGGCGTATATCATGGATTCGGTGGATGTCGAGCCGTTGGACGCTCTCGATCGGCGATTCGTCGCTCATTGGAAACGAGACTTCAGGCGCGCGGGCTGTTTCTTGGCGCCTGATCAAAGGGAACAAGTGAAGCAGCTCAACGAAAGGGAAGCAGAGTTGGGCAGAAAGTTTGACAGGAACATCGTAGACGGTCACAAGTCCATGTTTATCCTCCCCGGACAGCTCAAGGGGATGTCGGACGAGTTTATGCGAAACCATCCAGTCCGGGAAGACGGCAAGATCGAGCTCAAGACCAACTATGCCGATCGGCTCCCCGTCTTGGAGTTTTGTGAGGACGATGGGGTCCGAAAGGACATGTGGTTTCTAGCGAATAATGTGAGACGATATTGCGACTCTCATTCATCGATGTATCAGGATTTGGCTGATATCATCGATTTCTTCAGGTGGCTGCTCCTGAAAACGCGCCAGTTTTCAAGGAAATCGTTGCGATTCGATCTCGGCTTGCCTCCCTGCTCGGCTACCCTAGCTATGCGGCTTTTAGTCTGGAGCCTGAGATGATTGGCAGTCCAGAGAACGCCTACAAACTCATTCAAGAACTTTACGACGGTACCGTCGAGAAGACCCGGCAGGAGCGAATGGATCTGCAAAGCGCGTTGGGGACCACAGAGCCTGTCCATCAATGGCAAGTGTTCTACGCCAAGACCTTACTGGGCAAGAAGAGACTGGAGGGATTCTCTCCGGAAGATGCAAGGGAATACTTCCGAGTCGTAACAGTAGTACCTGGCTTGCTGAAACATGCAGAACAGTTCTACGGTGTGAAGTTCATTCCCCGTCCAGATGTCAAGACATGGCACGAGACGGTCTTGGTCTTCGATGTCCATGACGGGGATGAAGGGAAGGGCTTACTTGGGCGAATCTACCTGGATCATATCTTACGAGACGGCAAACAAGACCACCCCTGTATGATGAACATCGCTCCGGGAGTCGAGGATAAGCAACTTCCGGAAGCGATTCTTATCGTCGGTCTCGGATCAGAAGAAGATGCTACCATGTCTTATTGGGATGCCACAGCTTGTTGGCACGAGCTCGGTCATGTCATGCATCAGATTCTGGGCGGATTCGGACAGCGCTACCAGCGTTTCTCGGGGATAGAGGTCGAGGCAGATTTCGTCGAAGCGCCTTCTCAGCTTGCTGAAGAGTGGTTGAAGCTGCCGGAGGTGATCAAATCATTCGCTAACAACAAGAAAGGTGAATCTATTCCGGACGATATGATCGACAAGCTACTACAATCCAACACATACACGAAATGTATTGTGCTGAGTGGCAGCCATCTCGTCACGGCTCGCCTGGCGGTAAGAGACTGTTGATTGATATGCGAAGTGATTCGTCAGGCTGACCGCTCCTGTTCAATAGCTGATGTACCACGAGATCACACCTGACGCCCTCGACGTGGACCTCGGCCGAATTTGGCGAGACGCTCAAGAAACGTTTTCCGGGTTTCCACACATTCCAGCGCACAGCGAATACCATCCCGAACTCAGTTTTGGACATTTCTACAGCTATGGTCCTCGTTACATCTCATACGACAATTCCTTGGCCATCGCGAAGGAGATGCTACAAGTCTGGAAGGACAGTCCACTAGGTCTCCATGACCTTGAAGTGTCGCGAAAGTACCGCAAGGCCATATTGGAAAAGGGTTCTACTGTTGACGCAACAGAGATGGTCCAGAACTTTTTGGGGCGCGCGCATACTACCCAAGGCTATCTGGCTTACCTCAATGAATGAACGAAGAGAACTATGCACCGGATGTGTGTGTGTGTAAGCGCGTTATATTTCCTAGTGCCTGTAGCAGCCCATGTTGTACATACCAGAACAGATCAAACGATCAACATAGCAAAGTACAGCGAATCCTAAAACCACGTCCACTCGTGAATGCGTGTCACAGAAGGTGTCAGCTTCAGACCAAGGGGAAATTTCTCGAAAGCAGAAACCCCTGCAACTACTCGTCATCATGACCTGACACAGAGAATGAACACATCTTAGGTAGACCTTGGTCTCCACCATCATGGCTCTCGTGTGCGAGTCAGGGGATGAAACGGAACCCCTGGTATCATGAAAGGATCATCCTGCCGACGGTAAAAAAAAGGGTTCTCAGTGACGAAAGAGGTTCTCGAAGGTTCGCTGGTTGACGTCTCCCTTTGTCTCCATTGCTCTTTGACGTTCTTGTCAGTTGTCGACTCCCTTCGAAGTCGGTATATATACTAGTCCTCTTGCCACTGGGAATAACCAGGCTGTGCGCTTGACTCACAGTTCTCGTTATTTTCGATCGACTCCCAAGAACTACTGCTCAAAACTACTAGCTCTCGAGATGCAACAATCTAGCAACTTCACCTTTGATGGATCAATCAGCCTGGACACATACCGTGTTCAATGGTGTGGCAAATTCGAGCAGCTTGAGCAAGACCTGGAACTCCTCAAACTTGCCAAAGACATACCCACAGCCAGTGATTGGGGAATTCACTTTGACAGCCTGAATAGTCAAGTGTTTGAAGGTATTTATACTGGAGAGGTTTTCAAGAACGTTCATCCTGACAAGGATTTCCAGAAAGAGGGTGCTACTGCAAATGATGCCTTTCAAAACCTGTCCTCCAGAATTGAAAAGGATCCTGCTCTTGCTGCCCTTGTTCAACAAATGACCTTTGTTGATCCTGCTGTGGATCCGCATGAACAACGTTTTGTTGAAAGGTGGCAGAGTATATTCAAAGACTCTGGTGCTACTTTGCCAGCAGAACAGAGGACCCAATTGCTTGGAATAGACAGGCATTTGGCAGACCTTCGCACTCAATTCTCAAACAATATTGTCAATGCTCAAAGGAAATGGCAAGTCCCCCTGTCTGACTTGGAGGGCATGCCAGATGACTTTCTCAAGTCTCATCCGGTTGATGTGGGCGGCCATGTCACCCTGACTACCCAGTACATGGACCTCCGCCGTATATTGACCTACTGCAAGACAGATAAAGTCAGGCAGAAGATCTGGTCTGAGTACTGCGCAAGATGTCCAGAAAATATCCAGGTACTCCAGCAAATCATAGAAGGGTGTCATACCAAGGCACATATTCTTGGATATCCAAACTATGCCGCATTTGACCTTCAAGGTCGACTCACTCTGAAGGGGCTTGACAATATCAATCAATTCATTGACGAGGCCATTGCTATTGCAAAACCCTGCGCTTTGCAAGAAAAGAAAGCACGGGCTCAGGCATATGGTGCCGACAACTTGAAGGTCTGGCAATCAGACTACGCCAAAGAGATACTTTCACAACATCACGCTGGATTTGACAGCTCTCAGATCAGGCCATATTTACGGGTTGGGAATGTCCTCCCCCAGATTGCGCTGTTGATCCAGGAGCTGTTTGGTGTGCAGTTTCACCATCGACCAGACATCAAAGCCTGGACAGAGACTGGGGTTGAGTGCTATGATGTTTATGACGATGAACAAGGAAAGCTTATGGGCAGACTCTACACAGATGTGAGTACAACCTCACAATAGCAATATACATCCCTCATTAATGTCATTTCACTGTGATTGTCAGCTTCATCCCCGGGAAAACAAGCTTGACCATGCTTGTGTTGATGTTGTCAGAAAGTCATATGGCAAAGGTAACTTGCCAGAAGTAGTCCTGTTGGCAAACGTGCCTGAAGGGAACGACTCCTTATTGACTTTCAATGAAGTCTCAACCCTCTATCATGAGTCAGTCATGGATCAAACCTGCCTCGTCCCACATTCTCATAATCATGTGCATTGTCTCACAGATATGGCCACGTGATACATGCATTATGCGCTAGCACAAGTGTGTATGGGCAGCTCAACAACTTGACCGTGGAAAGAGATTTTGTGGAGGCTCCTGTGAGCAATGTTTAGATATCTGTCTCATACTGCCCTATCATAGCTGATTCTCACTTTGGAGATTGCAGTCTCAATTTCTTGAACTGCACATACTGCAGCCTGAGATACTCAGACGTCTAGCAATCAACAAAAATGGACAAGTCATACCTGACGATCTAATCAAGAAGCTTTGCAACTCTGTCTATGGTGATGAAGTCATGTTTGCAAGTGAACAGATCTCATTTGCCAAGGCGTGAGTATGACCGCAAGCCTTTATAAAGAGCAATGATAGACTTACAAAAGAATCCTGCAGGGCCGTGACATTCTACAGCAAGGATATGATTGATGGCAGGTACCCAGGCTCACCTCTGGATGACTGGAAGGATGTCTTGCAGGACAACCATGCCTTTGGCTACGAAGAAGGGGATCTTTTCCTTGCATCTTTCCCTCATCTCGGTCAAGCTGGGTATGGACCAAAGGTGAGTTAGTCATATGCACTAAGATGCATGTTGTCCTGCTGAAATCTATCTGTCTTGCAGTATTACTGCTATGTTTATGCCTTGGCCATCCGTGACGAATTCTTTGAAGCCTTCAAAGCTGCTCCTGGTGGTCTATTGGACAAGGAAATGAGTCGCCGCTACCGGCGGATTATACTTGAGCCAGGAAGCTCCAGAGATGCTTTTGAAATGATCACTGAGTTCCTTGGACGGCCTTTTACCATTGATGCCTTCAAAGCTCGGATATCAAAGAAGATCGATGTTGATACACCATGAACACTTGGTAGTAAGGTCGATGGAAGAGCACCAAGCATCTACGAACTGCCGTCTGAGAAGGCGGGAGGCGTTGTTGTAACTACAATCTCGATACTGTATTATTGTCGCATGTTGAATGAGATAACTTGACAGTTTATTCATCCTTCTGGATCTGCGATGCACGCTTCAGACTGGTTTGCTCTGCCCCGATCGTATCAATCAGCTTGATCGAAGTTGCCATGAGCTGACTGCCGTCCGTCCTTATCGTCAATCTGCGTACGCGTTCCAGGTTTGCGTGTTTCCGAACACCATTTTTCCTCTTTCGTCTACAGTATGAGATCACGTCCCTCAGAATACCAAACGGAATGTACTACCAGTGTTTCTACTTCCAGCAAGAGCGGGCTTACAGACCTTCTGCCCGCGTACGAGATGATTGTCGTGACATGAAACACGGGCATGGGCGGGGATTCGATGCCGGAAGCCGAGGCACGTACGCGTGCGCGGGCTTGGTGCAGATCGCATGTCGTCCCTTTTGTGGTCCGAGCAGGTCGTTCGAATACATATACCAGCCAGGCAATTCCGTTAAGCTGTGATCTATGAGAGTATACAAAAGGGTGATACATCATCAAACAACGTCTACTCGCTCCGATCACCCACACAGGAATCACCACCATGAAATTCAGCTCGACCAAATTCGTCAAGTCCCAATTCACTACCCTTCCCGAGGTCGACAGCTTCTTGCCTGATCTTTCGGGAAGAACCGTCATTGTGACTGGCGCGAATACGTATGTTGCTCTACATCGCTGAACTCGAGGTTCGACATTGACTATTTCTACTCTTGTCTGAACACTGTCAAATCCTATTGTTCTCCAACACGTCTATTGTTCTCAGAACAATAGACCGCATGGAACAATAAAGCACATCCACTCTTCACACCTTTCCTTTTGTTCCCGCTTAGCAATCTGCGACCACAGTCGCAAGTTGCGACTACTGTGGTCGCATGTTCAGTCACAACTTGCGACTCTGGTCGCAAGTAGGCCTTCCCAGATTAATATATATAGCAGGCCATCCCGGTCTGACTTCCTGATCCCCTCTTGTATATTTTATCTTCATGCAAACTATACAACGGTGATCAACTCGATATCCAACAGATTAAGAGTCGGCTGCTCTACCAACGGAGCTCAACGGGCTATTACCTTAGTTTACATCAACCAACCCTCTTCAACATCGACTTAGTTTCATCATGGCCGACAGTCTCGACCTCGACACTCTCAAGGTTACCAAGCGGACTTACCTTGAGGGTCCCGACAATTACGCGGAATGGTCCCGCTCGATTCAAAACACTTTGATCGATAAGGATCTGGACGACATTGTTGATGGAACTATTCCTCGACCTAATACCCTACCTATCTCTACCTTGGCTGCCACCGCCGGCACGGACAACGCTCCAACTACTACCACTACCACGGTAACTACTCCAGCTACAGCCGAGGAACTTGCGAAATGGATCAAGAAAGACAAGAAGGCCTTCGGAATCATCGACGGAAGTCTCAGTCAGCTTGTCCATCACAACCTCCCGTCTCATCTCTCAACCTGGCACGCTCTGGTCCAAAGGGACTCCGCTCACACCGATGAGTACAGAGCAACGCTTCCTTCTGCTTCTGAAAGATTACTCAAACATCTTCAGGAAACCTACTCGGCCGCAAGGGGATCCAGACGGGCTGAACTTCTGGCAATCATCTGGCGATCCCAACTCGCGGAAGGAGAAGATCCGACTGTCCATACCGGAAAGCTCAAGTCGGCTTACTCCGCTATCACCGTCTCTGGCCGATCCCGGATGGACGACAAGGACTTTGCCTTTGCCATCCTCATGTCACTTCCTTCTTCCTATGAAACCCTCGTTCAGACCTATTATCTCAAGGAGGACTTTCACTCGCAGGACGTCATTGACGCCGTCCGAGCCGAGTACAGGAGGAGGATTGTTCAGGAAGAAGGAATTGAGACTACGGCTCTCATCGCTGCCCGTCAACAAGGACGGAACAACAACAACAATATCGGCGGCACCGGAAACAAGAAGAAGTTCATTCCTCGATCTCCCTTTGATGAGAATGCCTTCTGCGAGTTCCATCAGAAGAATGGACACTCAACAGCAAACTGTTTCACCAAGCCCGCCAACTTCAGTACTGGCAACAACGCCAACAGGTACACAAACAACAGTGCCAACATCGCCGCACTCGTAAGCAACAGGAGTCAACATCATGGCATCAACGCCGGCTCTGCTTTCATGGCAAGCATCACCATCGATCACAATGCCCTTCTGGCCCACTCGTCTGCACTCGACATCGTCGTAGACTCTGGAGCTACCCATCACATGGTCCACGACAGGAACCTACTCACTGGAATCAAACAACTACCGATCCAGGCAAACATCACCATAGGCAACGGCGCCAACCTCACCGCCCTACCGATCCAGGCAAACATCACCATAGGCAACGGCGCCAACATCACCGCCAGAGAATGCGGTCAACTCAAACTACCAAACATCACACTACACGATGTTCTTCACGTACCCGAACTGGGACGGAACCTTCTGAGTGTTGGTGCCGCACAGAGCACCGACGGACACTCTTGGACCTTTGCAAAAGACAAAGCGATCCTCAACACTATTGAAGATGGACCCAGCAAGCCGGTCATCACTGCAACACAACAAGATGGTTTGTTTGTCCTCGATCCGGCAAGCACTCCTATTCGACACAAGGCCGCACTCATCACGGCCACTAATACAGTCACAGACGAAAACATCCTTTACCACTGGCACCGCAGACTTGGTCATCTCAATGTTCGCTCGGTGGTTCAGCTCGGCAAGGAAGGAAGACTCGACAAGACTGTGGATTGGGCCAAAGCCGGAAAAGACATCTACGGTTTCCAATGCTCAGCCTGCATCCAAGGCAAAGGATCTCGTCTTCCCGCTCCTGCTTCCAACATCCGAGCCAGCAAACCACTCCAGTCTATTCATGTCGATCTCTGGGGACCAGCTCGAACCCCTTCCATTGGAGGATCCCTCTACTTCCTTACCTGTTATGACGATCACACTCGGAAGGTCAATCTCAGCTTTCTCAAGAAGAAGTCTGAGACCCGGCAGGCATTGATTGACTATATCAACCTAGTTGAGAATCAATTGGACTGCACGGTCAAGACCATCTGATCGGATCAAGGAGGAGAATTCGAGTCACATGCTCTTCGTGACTACCTCAAAGCGAAGGGCATTGAGCATCACTTCGTTCCGACTGCCGCTCATGCTCAGAACGGCAGAGTCGAAAGGGCGCACCTTACCATTCTCAATCAGGTAAGGACGCTCCTAATCGATAGCGGACTCGATGACAAGTTCTGGGCCGAAGCGGCAAACTACGCCATCTACACCAGGAACCGGGCTCCCACAGGATCCGACAAACAAATCCCGGAGGACCTCTGGAGGCAACGCGAAGTCAACTCCCGGCACCTTCAACCTTTTGGCTGTCAGCTCTGGTTCCGTGACCACAACAACACCAACAAACTTCACCCTCGCTACAAAGAAGGGCAACTACTCTCTTATGTCGAGGGGACCGACAACTACAGGATTTGGGATCTACACACCGAAAAGGTCACCATCTCTCGTGATGTGGTCTTTGGTAAACAACCAAAGATTTCCACCAACACCAAATCACTGGAAACCAAAATCCAGTCCACTCAGGTCGACATCGACATAGTCCCTGAATCAACATCAGACTCAGACTCTGAAACTGAAGAGGAACAATCGGCTGAAGACAACACCGATACTCTCAACCTGCCTGATCAGCCTGGTGATGACACGACCATCCCAAGTGATCAGGCTACCCAGGCCAAACAGAAGTCATCCGGCATTTGGAGCAAAGGATGGGACGTAGCACCGGTACCAGCACCGGAAAACCCAGTCTTGCCTGATGGCTCCCGACGAGTCCGCAAACCACCTGCCAAATTTGGATACTCCGCAAACTTTGCTACCGCTATCATCTGCGGTCATGCACTCGTCTCCACGGCTATCCCTCAAACATTTCAGGAAGCCCACCGATCTCCAGAATGGGACAAATGGCAGGAGGCTATCAAGGCCGAACTCGACAAGATGGATCAGTACAAGGTCTGGTCTGTCATCGATAGGCAAGAAGCTACATCCAAACCTCTTCCAGCCAAGTGGGTCTTCACTCGGAAGATTGATGGAGAGACCGGGAAGCCATCTGCCTACAAGGCTCGATGGGTAGCAAAAGGATTTCTGCAGAAGGAAGGAGTTGACTACAATGAACTCTACGCGGGAGTCGCTCACAAGGATACTATCCGAGTCTTCCTTGGTCTGGTCAACTACCTCGACATGGACTGCGATCAGGTCGACATCAAGGCCGCCTTCCTCAACGGAGAACTAGAGGAACTTGTCCATCTCGAACCTCCTGAGGGCAGCAATATCCCTGCCAACAAGGTTCTCCGGCTTCAGAAATCACTTTACGGTCTCAAACAATCACCTCGCTGCTTCAACCAGGCTCTCGACAAGTTCCTTCGATCTCTCGGTCTCAATCCTTCTCCGGCCGACTCCTGTCTCTACATCCGATCGACCAAGGATACCCTTCTCATCCTTTCCGTCCACGTTGATGACCAACTCATCGCCTGCAACAATCGCCAGGAACTGGACGACTTCAAGACCAAACTCAACGACCGATTTGAGTGCTCCGATGGAGGAGCGGTCTCTTACTTTCTTGGGTTCAATGTCTTCCGAGACAGGCCCAACCGGAAACTCTACATATCTCAGGAACACTACGTCCAGGCGGTCTTGGAAAGGTTCGGCATGCTTGACTCCAAACCGGCAAAGACTCCCCTTCCTTCCGGCTTCCCATCTCTTCCCGCTACCGACGCTGAACATCAGGAAGCCGCTCATGAGGAATATCCAGCAATGGTTGGATCGATCATGTATGCAGCCACCATCACCAGACCCGACATCGCTCATGCTGCCGGAGTCTTAGCTCGGACCGTCAGCAAGTGGAACAAGCAACACGTCCATGCTGCTCGCCACCTCCTCAGATACCTCCAAGGCACTATTGAACTCTGCCTCACCTATGACGCTACCTCTGGTCAAAGGATCATCCTGGGCTACGCCGATGCTGACTGGGGCGGATGTCTGGAAACTCGCCGATCTACTACCGGATACCTCTTCCGTGCTTTTGGAGGACCGGTAGCTTGGAAATCCCGACGACAACCAACCACAGCTCTCTCCACTGCAGAGGCTGAATACATGGCTTCCGCCGATGCCACCCGACAGGCAGTCTGGCTCCGCACTCTTCTCGAATCTCTCGGTCACCCGGTCTCTGGTCCCCTCGCCATTCTCAATGACAACAATGCCGCCATTCAGCTCTCTAAGAATCCTGTCGCTCATGATCGCACCAAACACATCGACATGCGACACCACTATCTCAGGGAGAAAGTGCTCAACAACACCGTTGAACTCTCCCATATCCCTACTCAGGATAACCTTGCCGATGCTCTCACCAAAGGTCTCGCTCATCACCAATTCCATCACCTTGTCACCGGGATGGGTCTCAGCGGCAAACCGGTAACATTCACAAAGGACGCTTGAGTGAGGGGGAGTGTCAAATCCTATTGTTCTCCAACACGTCTATTGTTCTCAGAACAATAGACCGCATGGAACAATAAAGCACATCCACTCTTCACACCTTTCCTTTTGTTCCCGCTTAGCAATCTGCGACCACAGTCGCAAGTTGCGACTACTGTGGTCGCATGTTCAGTCACAACTTGCGACTCTGGTCGCAAGTAGGCCTTCCCAGATTAATATATATAGCAGGCCATCCCGGTCTGATTTCCTGATCCCCTCTTGTATATTTTATCTTCATGCAAACTATACAACGGTGATCAACTCGATATCCAACAAACACAGCGGTCTTGGCTTCGAATGCGCCAAGGCGCTGACTCACCGAAACCCTGCGCGGATGATTCTTGCTGTCAGGAACACCATCGCTGGTGAAGCCGCTGCCAAAGAGATCGCCCGTACCAATCCTCCAGGCGTCAAAACGGTTCCTGAAGTCTGGAAACTTGACCTAAGCAGTCTGGCTAGCGTTAGAGACTTTGGCCAGAGGGCCGACAAAGAGCTGAACAGGTTGGATATAGTTGTGAGTTGAAAAGGCAAGTCGATATGCGTGAGCGGTAAAGTTGATTGCGTCTTTCTTGTCCTGTCAGGTCTCAAACGCGGGAATCTACACCGAAGTCTTTGAGCTCACTGCCGACGGGTTCGAGTCTTCGTAAGTAAGCTCCCGACTTGGCTTCATGGTTGCAACCTAACGGACTGTTGGGATTCGTATGTTTGACCTGCATGATAGCTATCAAGTGAACAACATCGCCAACTCGCTCCTCGCCGTTCTTCTCATTCCCCTCCTCTTGCGTACAGCCGACACTCCTCTCGGCAATCACACTCAACGTGAATTCAAACCTCACATCTCCGTGGTTACGTCGGAATTGCATCATCACGTTGGCGGCAGGCTTCCTGGATATCGAAAGGATTCCGGGAAGGTCAGGAACTACTTCACCGAAAGGGAGTACTTTCGCCCTAATCAGCGATACTCGGAGACAAAGGGTCGGTCACCTTTTCGCAACCAGCCTGCCACTTCGTGAAGTTTCGTTGCTGATTTCTCTCCATTCCATCACTCTTGGGTATGCCACATCAAATACATCATCACGCCCGTAGCCGTCAACGTTTTGAACGTTCATACCCTTAGTCAGCTCGCCGGTGACAAGATCATCATCAACCTCATCAATCCCGGTTTTTGCCACTCGGAGCTCCTGAGGAATCAGAAAGGGGCTCTCGGTTTTTTCAATGGGTGGGTCTCGATGCGATACGCTGCTGTGTCTATCATCGACGTCGACGGCAAGTATGAGCTGACCTATGTTTGCCGGTATAGGCTGATGAAAGAGATGATGGGTCGTAAGACCGAGGTCGGTGCGAGAAACCTGTCGTGGGGCGCCACCCAGGCCACTCCGACCGGCGCTTACGTTGGAGATTGTGGGATCTCTGAGTAAGTCTATCCTTCGTGTGACGTTTATTCCGGGTTCGTCTCGAGATCCGCCTTGAGACTGAATGCTGACTATCATCGACTGGGCTGTAGACCGTCCGACCTCGTTCTTTCACCCGATGGTCAAAAAGCCGGACGCGAGATTTGGAAAGAGATGAAATCGATCTGGGCTACCAGGGTCGGGGTGGACGCCGATGCTTTGCTCGGCTGAAATCTACCCGCTCCTCATCTCGCCTCTATCCTGCCAAGGCTATCATCATTGGTGGCGTTGGTGTTTGGTTCGGGAGGTCCATGGATCGACCTGATGATATCGAAGGAGGTTTCGTTTCGGTTCGACTTGATGCGATTTGACTTGACTGGCTTGTTTGGATGCTACGTAGCGGGGTTCGGCTTAATTTCGTGACGATCTCAGACCTCGATGTGGATTATGATACCATTTTGCTTGACATTTCCGTTTTGATACTTTCCGGTCCGAGCTCACGCAATACTTTGCGAAACCTCATACATACTGTAGACAGGCGCATTGGGTTCTAGCCAGCTATCGAGACAGCAACTGACGCCAAGTTCGCGAGAGTCCGTCGATCGATCAAATCGACCGATCCTCATAATACGCCTTCTAATTTGAAGGAGGCAAGTACGAACGCATGTCGGCAGCGTGAACGTGCGCCACATGATATGAATGAGGTAAGAAAACCCGCAGTATCACGAGGAGAAGCGCACACAGTACGCCTGTACACTCTTCTTCACAGTGATAAGAGCTGACTACGGTGAAGATATAAAAGATCTGACACGCCCCATCGATTTGTCCTGCCTGTCACAAAGGGAGCACGGTCGAGACAGGGGAGATGCTCTTCAGGCTGTCCCTTGCCATCCGCTTCAAGGACGTAGCGAATTGCAGACCGCCCTGAATCGGTGACACTGGGTAGAGTCGGAGGACATGCATGGTCCATGACCGTTCTGACCGATGGGTATCCAAAACAGCAGAAATGAAAAACCCCACAGCGAGTGTGATGGCGAACTCGTCTGGCCCTTTTGTAATCGTGGTGTCGATAGTCGTGTTTGGGTGGTGTGGGCAAAGCTGTTGCCCGGAATTTTCCGCTTCGATTGGGCTTGTTTGACTTGTTGACCCACATCTTGCGCAGTGTCTCAAAGGCTTTGGGTAGCCCGGAGATGATGTCCTCACTATGGCGATATTTTTGGCTAACGACATGGCCATCCCTTGCTCTTAAGGATCACATTGCCTTTGAGCAGAGGGAGTGCGGCTAGCGCGTCTTCCCATGACTTGACAGCTTGAAACATGACTTGACAGCTTGAAACCATTCCAGGACGCGAAAACCCTTTTCTAGCGCCTGCCCAAACGAGCTTTTTTCGATTGGTCGGCGAGCTCAAATCGAGGTTCAGGTCGAGTGTCACGTCAGGAAAGGTCTGTGCCATCAATATACTTAGCCTAGCTGAGCCTCCTCGATGTGCTGCAGCCTGGGTACATCGCCTGTCCAGAACGAGAAAATGAAGGATATAGAGGAAAGATGTAGACAACGAGGGAATACATACATGAGGACATTGTTTAATAATCTGAGAGGGGGATGGGGCGGGATGCGACAGAAGAGAAATGAGTTGAACAAGCAAGACAAGCCAACTCGTCTCTGCTAAGATAGGGACACGAGGACGATGTCAGACGGCCCCTACTCTTCGATCTGAGCAGGAAAACAAGCGAGACAAGCGAAAGGCAATGTATCAGCGCCTGCGTGCTTGGGCGTCTTCTATCAGGCTGACACGAAACTCACATCGCTCTCGGCGCCCAAACTGACTCCACCCTTGCTCTGCTTCTTGACACTCCCGTTCCTCGCCAACCCGCTCTTCTCGTCAAAGGGCGCCTGTGAACCCGAGACGTCCTTGATGTTGACCTTGTAGCCCTGCTCAGAACCGATAGCGGATCGGGTCCAGTAGACCAGGGATTCTAGGACGGTCGGGTTTGAAGCGGTGTAAGGGAGGATCGGGGTGATGTTCAGGTGGCTGTGATGATGATACAGGCCGGTCGAGTCGGGATCCAATTGTAGTGTATCCCACGTCAGTCAAGCACACGAAAATGCACGGACGAGTGGAGCGGTACTGACGAATAATCCTCGCTAAACACCCCGAACAACCACCGTTGATAATCCGTAAAGACAAAGTACCTGCATCCCAACCTCCTGGAAGCCTTGCAGTTCCTCGAATGGTACCAGGACGCCTTGTTCTTGATGTTGTAGTGGTAAGGTCCCTGTCACATCAGATCGACGCGCATACGAAGCGAAAGGAGACGGAAAATATGTCTATCAGCTACCGAAGTTTCCAAAGATGGTCGTCCTCCACCAGTCCGTGGGAATAAGTCTTGGAGTGCTCACCTCGTAGACATACTCTTCCCAATCCTCATTGGAAAACGCCGACGAGTTGATCGTCCTGACGACCAGGTGGACCTTTTCCGGGTTCTTCTCGTCGATCAGGAGGAACTCTCCCGAGCCTACGCCAGGGGCCAGGTGAGAAGGACGAGAGGAGGCGAAATGAGGGTGGTTGGTGATGTCGGTCGTAGTGAACAGTAATATGACATGAAGATGATGGGAGCAGCATGGTCAGCTCCCCATGTCGATCCTCCCATTCCCAACCGGTCACTCGAGTTATTCAGAATGGTGACTCACCTAACGGACTCTTGTTGAACCTCCATCCCCAACTAGGTCCGGGAACGTCCACCTTGGCCTCCTTCCCCGCATCCCCTTCTTCCTCCCCATGCGACTCTTGCTCGCCAGCACCTCCCTTGGCCTTGCCAGCCTCGTCCAACCTCGCTTCTTCCCCCCCGTCGCTCTCGTACCCGGCCGCATCGATCCTAGAGTTCGAGGAGAGGGAAGCGTAGTCGGTCCCTTGTTCGGTACCAGAGAGAGCGCAGAGGGTAGCGGCGGTCGCAGCCAGGGGCAGTTGACGGAGGTCTAGTTGGGTTGAAAGCGCGATGTGTTACGGGTTGGTACTGTGAGCAAAGGTCCCCGTTCGAAGCAGGATCAGGGCAGGAAAAGGGACTCACACTGTTGAACGTCTTGAGCCGATTTGAGCTCTTTGGGGAGTTTAGGGAGGACCGTGAGAAAGTGCGGGAAGGGGTGGGACGGGTGAGCAGCGATGGGCTTTTCGGGGAGGGTCTTTGCATCTACAATCCGTCGTGTCGAGGACCAAATGCGAGCGTTCAATGAGAATCCCTCAAAGCAAGTCGGTGGAGGTATCACTTGAACTGAAAGACGAAACTCACAGGAGCTGACGAGCGACTTGAAATCGTCGACGATCGAGACGCCGGTCAATACCCCGTCGTACTGTTTCCTCTCCCCCGTGGCACCCCCACCGGCGGGAAAGTTCTCCCGGACGGCGGGCAGTTGTGCGGAGAGGTACTTGTTGAGCGGGAGGGCTGGTTGAGGCATGGTTGAACAGGTATAAGATTGATGAGAGTCAGGAAGCTGGAGTTGAGATGAGTGAATGAAGGGTAGATGTGGTTGATATGTACAAGTGGTGGTATTTCAAGCTCTCGGTCGATCTTCGTGACGCGCAGCCACTCTCACGACTCTCCCCCTCCCCACGAACGTTTCGCCCGAGACCCACCGTTCCCAGTCTCACACTTCCGAATCCCGATCGCCGCAATCCCCTTTGCCCTCTCATCCAATTCCATACCATCCCATCGTCATCACCTCGCACCTCGACGAGGAGGACGACGCTACACGAATGAATGTTTCGGTTTCGTCCGATGGTCGTGTCGGGTGCCCCACCGTCGTGCCCATATAACCGAACATCACCGCCATCGCGAGCGGAAGCAGATTGCTTTCCGGGGTTTCGACTTCAGGGCGGAAGGGATCGTCGATCCTCCCCGTATAAAAATACATTCGCAACTAATTCAAGTAAGCAAGTCATGCAAGTCAAGATCTGTCGTCAAGTACTCCTTTTCAGTAGGCCTCGAGGCGATATGGCGGTGACTGTCTCTTCTACTGTTTCGGGAGAATCGGCGCCTCGCGAAAACGTCAAGATGAACGCAGGTTATCACCCGTAAAAGTGTTTGAGCTCGGATACGATCCGAGAACGTACCGAAAGGCAAGGTCTGGAACAGTTATTCTATATGTCTCGCCTCTTCCCCTCCATATCGCACAGCACTGACGAAACGTATAGCGAACGGCCAACGACTCGCCTGCCCCTGAAGAAAGAGGCGAACTTTGCTCCTCGGCTTCCGAAATTCTACGGGAATCCGAAGGTGTTGCGAGGTTGAACTGGACTTTTGAGGCATCTCCTCGCCATACCCTTGTACCGAAATCATGGGCAGACTACCGATGTCTCATGGGTGCAGATCGAGATCGAAGCGTGATCCTGCACCTTCGACTCTTCTCGACTGCTACTCGGCGGCTTTCGGTAGGCTGTCGGACATCGGACAAAGGTGTCTGAATGTTTCCTGGTCTACGGCACCAGCAACAGAGCAGGTCAGACTGAGAAGCCTCCTAGGTTTCGAGCGGCAAGCGGTGCGATTGATGCACGTTTCATATGGATCAGCATGGGATGTATGATCACGTGACTCGAGTCCGCACCTCCTCTGCGGGTATATCCTGATTGCCGCCGATGATGGTCGGGGAATGAGTCGATCCTGATTGGTCCCGTCGCCACCCCTTTGCCCCTGTTACGTCATCACGTCATCACGTACTCGATCTCGGACTTTGCTCGAAATATATATGGAGAGAGAGGAACTGCAACCTCGATCACCTCCCTTGCCTTTGCCACCACCCTTTGCATACAGATCAACCTAAACACACGATCTATCACGCTATCACACACCACCTCGCACACATCACAAACAACATGGGTGACAACACCACCACCACCCCCGCTAACGTCTCGGCTCAATCCGATGGCCAATCCCCCTGCCCGGCCAACCGAAGCAACTTCCCCCAGTACGAGTCCGATCGACACGCCAAGTCCACCGAGTGCACGTATGCCACTTCGAACGGCGTGCCCATGCCTCATCCTTACGAGGCGCAGAGGATCGGCAACGGGCCTCTGTTGCTTCAGGACTTTCACTTGATCGACCTGATCAGTCATTTCGATCGAGAAAGGATCCCCGAGCGGGTCGTCCACGCCAAGGGGTGAGTGGGCGAGGCCGCCATGGTTACATTCGGTATTTCTTCTCTTTACTAACACGATTTTTCGCCTGCTTTTCGATCTCCCGCTTCCCTGCTCGCAGTGCCGGTGCCCACGGAATCTTTGAATGCACCGACGACCTCTCCGACCTCTGTCTCGCCGACATGTTCAAAAAGGGCCGCAAGACTCCCTTGACTACCCGATTCTCGACTGTCGGTGGAGAGTCCGGTTCGGCGGACGCCGCCCGTGATCCCAGAGGTTTCAGCGTCAAGTTCAAGACGAACGAGGGTAACTGGGATTTCGTGGCCAACAACACGCCGGTGTTCTTCTTGAGGGATCCTGGTGAGTCGTCTGCCCCGTCGCTACACTTCAACCTCCTTTTCAAAAATCAGATACTCATCGATTCTCGTCGTTCGGTCTACAGCCAAGTTCCCTCACTTTATCCACACTCAGAAGCGTGACCCCGCCACCCACTTGACCGGAGGTGAGTCGAGACGCTTTAGCTCCATTATGTATCACGGAAGAACCCATCGCTGACATGAACTTGTGCTGAAACAGCCGACGACAGCACCAACTTCTGGGACTACCTTTCCAACAACCCCGAGTCGATCCATCAGGTCATGATCCTCTTCGGCGACCGAGGTATCCCGGACGGTTACCGTCACATGCACGGTTACTACGGCCACACCCTCAAGCTCGTCAACAAGGCCGGCGAATGGATCTACGCCCAGTTCCACCTGATCTCTGACCAGGGTACCAAGACCCTTACCGCGGAAAAGGCCGCGACCTTGTCCCCGGACTATTCGACCAAGGACCTGTACGAAGCCATCGCCAGGAAGGAATACCCCAGCTGGACGATGAAGGTCCAGACGATGAACGAGGAACAGGCGCAAAAGCTCTTCAAGGAGAAGGGCGTCAACGTGCTCGACTTGACGCATACGTGGTCGCAAAAGGACTTCCCGTTGAGGACTGTCGGAAAGATGACGCTCAACGAGAACCCCGAGAACTACTTTGCTGGTGAGTTGCCCGCGTCACAGGTTTGCAATGCGATGTACCACCTGCTGATGTCGTATTGTCGATTTGTGTCTCGATGTAGAGGTCGAGCAGGCTGCTTACAACCCGGCTCATATGGTCCCCGGTATCGAGCCTTCGGCTGACCCCGTCTTGCAGTCGGTAAGTTTACAGCCCAAGCATCCCGGCACATTGCATTGGACGAGCGTCTGATCCGTGTGATCTGTAATTTCTCTACAGCGTCTCTTTTCTTACCCGGACGCCCACCGACACCGAATTGGCGCCAACTACCAGCAGTTGCCCGTCAATGCACCCGTCTGCCCGATGAGGTGGGGTAACTTCCAGCGTGATGGTCAGATGGTACGTCATAACGTTCGGGTCTTCGAGCGGGACAGCCATCTTTCAGACAACTGACAAACATTACCGCACCACCTTCAGGCCTTCTACAACCAGGGAGCCCGACCCAACTACCTCTCGTCGATCGACCCGATCCAGTTCAAGCCTCGATCGGTCCGTCTCGACCAGGTTCACAACAACTTTGTCGGGGATGCCGTCACGTTCTTGACCGAGATCAGGGAGGAGGACTTCAACCAGCCCCGAGACTTGTGGCAACGAGTCTTTGACGACGGCGCCAAGGAGCGATTCATCAACAACATCTCCACGCACATGTCCACCTGCAGGGAACAACAGATTCTCGAGCGTCAGCTATCGATCTTTGCCATGGTCGACAAGAACCTCGCCGACGCCATCGCTGGCAAGCTGAACATCAAGTCTTACCCTGATGCAAGGGAGGTCACTTTCAACGGGTCTCACTCTGCCTTGAGCAAGGAGAAGAAGCCTGCCAACGGGATGGACTACGAGTTGAAGGGCGGCAATATGAACGCTGGACCCGCCGCTCCTGAGAGGGACTCGAAGCTCTAGACAGCGTGAACGCCCTCGATCGCTGTGAAAGCGCACTGTAGCCTATCTAATCGTCTTTACTTCTGAATATCATTATATGTCGTTATCGTGTCGTTGGATCCGGTGCATCGCTGGGTGTTGTTCGAGCGCCTCATGTTCACCGACCTTGAGAAGAGCGCGATGACACGGGCCTAGATACGAATGGCAAGACCGCTAGCAAGATGAAAAAGCACCACTGAGCCCCCTGCAGTTTGCTCACGCAGGTAGATGATGCGATCGATGTTCATGAAACAGATGTCAAACGATGTCGAAATGTCGGACAAGGTCGAGACGACCAAAACAAGACTGTCAAGATGGACTCGCCCGAGTCAGGGCTGTCTTGATAAAAACAACAGCAAAAACACCACCTCCAATATCAACCGTCTTGCACAGCGTGCGTCTCGATAATGATGCCTTGATGCCTCAAAAGTTTGGAAACGGATTGTTTTTCATATAACAGACCTTTACAATCTACACCTGGCAAGGCAGAGGGGAGCAAGTCGACAAAGGAGGGGGGCACTAAGGGACCGAGCCAACTTCCTTTATGAGAAGCTTAGACGATAATGTAGGTGAAGGGAGATGTACAAGTGATGCGTAATCGTATGCCTCAACGGTTTCAGTGCCCTCACTCGCTTTCAAGTGCTTGAAGATATGGGCTTTCATGTCGATGTTGGCGTCCGCCCAGATCGTGCTTCTCTTGCTGAAGGCCAGGTATATATCAAGCCTGGTGATGCGAGCCGAGTTGAAACCCTCCCATCGAAAATTCCCAGGTCAGTCTCAGATCGCGGCTCATGTAGCTTCATAGCTTGACATACTTGTCGCTCCTCTTTGATCGACGCAATAAACGCCTGCTCTTCGGGGTGTCGAGCTGCTTCACGTTTGTGGAACTGTGTCGACTCAACCATCCCGTCAGAGATGAATGGCCCCCTTAAACGATCGGCCGAGGAGCCAGAATCCTTGCCCTTCAAGAAAGCTTAACGTCAAACACTCTCCAAACGATTGGAACGGCCTAGGCGTTCAGTCGGAAAAGCTGATATCGCTGATCGATTGTCGGCTCACACGTTGCCATGGATCATGTGGATGGTCCACGGTCTCCTGCTATTGCCGGAGGTCAAAGCGGAATATCTGGGTAAACACTCAAACACATGCAACGTCCTAGCCGCACTTTTGACATTTGTCACCATGAGATACAAAGATTGCAAGGTTTTGGAGTTTGCGGGAGATACATGATGAAAGTTGGTTGCCATGGCCTACCAATATTTCACCTATCTGGCCTCACAATCCAGTTAACCAAAACAAGATTTATAAGATCACAAGCAACGTTTCCCTTGCCCATGAGATACGGGAGTGTGGAGCGGCGGCATACGTGATGCATAACCCTGTGATATCCGTATATTCCTTCCTCTAAAGTTTCTGGACTCCTCCAAGAACGGACCAAGAGAGGTCCGAGGAACTCCTTTGTACCGCTCCTATGGCAGGTCCATCCTCTGAGGCCTTCGAACAACTCCAGGGAAAGACGGCCGGGAAGTTCGCCTTCTTACAATCCATACGAGAGCTTTAGAACGGTAGGAAACGGATGGGCGTCCTCTTTTTGAGCTGATCAGAACGCACAAAGTCCTGAAATACTCGAGGAGACCGTGGCCGAGTCGAGTGCCGCGGGACATTTCTCTTGTCATCCAGTTCTCTTGCCATCCAACCTGATAACTCAGCACTCAAGGCGCTGGGCGGATGGTAGACAATCCTGATCATCGTGATTGTAACAGCTCAAAGCGAGGCGGGTGTAGCACATAAACAGTCGTTCGGAAAGACATATATGAACAACTTTATGCAACGATCTATAGAGCCTGACCTGTATGCGATCCGGCCGACCGCTCTTCCTTCAATGCTTCTGCCAGTGTGATCTGCCGAGCAGCCCTAGGCATCCCAGAGATACTGTCCAGGCTGGCACTCCTCGCTCTCATTGGTGACGGATCGGACTGCAGCGGCCGTCTAACGATGTCGCCCGCTTCCAAGTCAGTAGGATATGTGCGAGGCTTTCCCAGAGCGCTTTTACGGTTAGGCTTGAAGCCCTTGATTTTCTGTACCGCGACCGGCGCGCTGTTGAAGAAGCTGCGGCTGATGCGGGATTTCAGTTTCTGATCCCTCCGGTATTGCATCAGGATGAGGATGATTGCGACTATGGCCATAAAGGCCGTAAATGCGATGGTGACTGAATGAAATAGCCCACCGTTAGACTGATGACGTGAACGAAGATGAAGCGCGATGTACGCACAGTATACGCGCCAGTTCCATTCGAAATGTGGAGTCACCGCGAGTAGAGCCACCTTGGCAGGATCCAGCCCCATGTTCATCATCGCCTCACCCGGCGTTACAGATGTGGTCGACTTCCGGCTAGTCTCAACTCCGGAGGCAACGATCAAACCGGTTGGCGAGGGTTTAGATGATGTCGTGCTCGATACTGACCTAACCCCCGTTTCTCGAGTCAGCACTGTGGCGAGGATGTCCTGGAAACAATCGCCAAGGCTCACTGGTTGCCCACTACAGCATAATCGAAGTACATCAATCCGTTACCATTGATTAGGCGGAGACTGTGCGTTGTTTCCGCTCCAAGATCCGTCGTCTTGAAGATGGACGAATTCGTGATGAAGCGATCCGAATACGCGTTGATGGAGACGACCTCTTCTTCATCGATTTCGACTGTGAGATGCCCGGAATCCGGACTGCGTACACCGAAAATCTCGATCGTAGAGCCTCTGAAGGTGATGATATTCCATGCTCGTTCGGTTCGAGTCCATCTAGGTAGTTCGCAAAGGATCTCTTGATAAGTATTGATGGCGATGTGTGAAACGAGTATGACGGACTGACGAGATCGAGCTGTTGAAGAAGTTTTGCAAGCCAAATTCCTGCATTCGTTCCACCTCTGTCTCGTTGAGCATCTCAATCTGAGTTGGCCTAGCCATGTTCCAGCCGTCACTCAATTGTAGAGCATTCGTGTTCCATTGTGAATCATCAACGATGATTGCCGCGTTTGCGCGTGCAGAAAATCTGCGGCGTGCTCAATCAGCCATTAGTTTCAACGAGGCGAATTCGGTTGATACCCACAATGAAGTAAAGGCGAACAGGCAGCAGAGCGATTTCAAGACGGTCATAGTTCTGATCTCGAGTATGTGGATTGTGCAGACCTCACTGCAAAGCGCCGCTTGAGGAGGGGATCGAAGCTGCAAGCTGGCTCATCTATCTCGCCATGTATATACAAACAGTAGCAAAGATAAAGGGAATGCAAGAAATTGAGGGCGGGCCTGATAAAGCCAAAGGTGGTCACCCAAGGTACTTGGCTATCCTTTCGGTCACAAATTCGGTGAGTATGGGGTCCTTTCGCCGCCGTACAGCAACAGTGATCAGTCTATGTGTTTCGGCACAACGTGCTGGCGGTCGATCGAGCGCTTTGTACCACTGTATAGCTGATGTTCACTCCTGTTTTTATCACTCGATACGGCGAAAAGTCCATCGTTCGGAATGGCCCTCCCTGAAACGCGCGCCGGAAGCAAAAGTGGCGCGCGTACGGGCGATCAACCTCGTGGAGAAAGAGGAAAGATCTTCGTTTGTGACCTCGTGCTACAAGGATAGTCAGCCCGTCGACCAAAGGGAGTGATCTTATACCTTGCTAGACTAGAGTCGGGCAGGACTGAACCCTACCGAAACGCGCATGAATCCCAGGGTTATGGGATACATTCATACAAGCTTATGGCCTTTCAACCTTGTTCGATGTCAGATCAGCGAGTACAGCCGAATCTGAATCGCTTATCCTGACGGCTTCTCGGCAGCCGTGAGAGTAGACTGTCATTCCCAGGCCTGACTGGCCAGAACGATGTATCTCTTCACCGCCGTGTAAGCGCGCAGAACGCGGACGCTATGTGGCCGCTATCTGGCTTTGTAGTATGTCTCTCTCGTTCTTTAATCGCTGCTGAAACCCTTCTCTGTCTCCTGGTTTCATATTTACAACGATAGCATAGCCAGTTCCTTAGCACTACAAAAGAGCATATTCAAGGGATCAATACAAGCATCATAGGGTGCTATCCGGGGTCCGCTCTCAGTGCGCACCGTCGGGCCGAGCGACTCACAGTTGAATCATGCAAAATGAACGTGAGTATCAGGCCTCCAGTAGCCTGCATCCTTCTGATCAGAATCCCAGTGTGATTCGAACGGCTAACGTCATCGAGCTCGAGATTTGCTTGTGATTCGAGCTGATTGAACTGTGTTCGTCTGTTCTTCTCTTTCTGCTTCGACATACTGTACAAGATCGTATCTGAGGACAGCTTGATAGATAAGTACAGATGGCCGATAATATGCTCTTTCACAAGCAAGAAGCCCCTTCAAGCTTACTGATCGCACGTCAGGACATTACAGTCATAGAAACAGATGGAAAGTCGGTTTGGTGGACACAAGCGGGACCAGGCCACAGCTCTGGCGAGGGGCTCTCAATCTGATAGCAATCACCAATCCTGCGTCTCGTCACAGCGTAGAGCAGTGAAGGGACATGCTCAGAGCCTGTTGGGTGCATTCATCGATTTCTGGTCAATGTCATTGAAGCACAAGGAGATCAGGCTTGCTTGCAACCATTTACAGGTACATTCACGCTCAGAACCGATAGGAGGTTGAGGTTGAGTTGGAAAAGCCGGTGCCGGACTAAGATGTGGTATCCTGAAGGGTCATACATGACGACATGCAGCTGATTTGCAAGGGGATCAGGAGATTTTTGCCAATATGTCGAACAACGCTCGTGCACGTGTATATGGGGTAGTGCGTCTGTCCGCCGGATCAAGGGGTGACACAGGGAAAATGAGACGGATGATGCCGCTTCGCGGCAAGTGATCCGTCCGATTCAGGAGATACGAAGAAAGGCTCACTACAACCTGAAAGGGTTTTCCTAGCCGATGAGACAGTCTCCCGAGATTCGACCAGATGAAACAGCATCGACACGGAGTGAATGCAGGGGGAGTCGCAAAACAGGTCAGTCATAGAAACGCCGAAGGGGGCACGGGTTCGTCATCAAAGGATCTCCAGGGTTACAGGTCGGTGCGGCTGATCGCCGTTTCACCACACATGCCATTCGAAACGTATAAAAGCGCGTCTGCGCACTGACATTTCCCGATCGTTCGTTCATCCGTATCATCTAAACAAGCTATCCGCAACAGCTCTCTTGAGCGACCTCATACCACCAAACTAGACATACAAACACGCGAATCTATCGCAATTCAACACATTTTCACAAGCTATCATCTAGCAGACTCAAGCTATCGCCTAGCGCTTTCAGCACATTCACTACTACTCACCTTTACACGACAATACTGGGCATTCACTCGTCGCTAAACACTCTTTCAACCGATACCCGATTTCTGACCGAAAACACTCAACCATGATCAATTGGAAATCCAGCGCGCTTTTCGCGGTCCTTCAAACCCTCGCCATCGTCACCGCTTTGCCCGCGCCTGAAGTCAGCACGGGAATCGTGTACGAATGCAAAGGTGGTACCGAGTATAGGCAAGGCGCTACGCAGGGAGCTCTGCAGAGCGCCGCTTGGCAGCCTGTCGCTGCAGGTACTACGTGCAACCTGGCTGACGGACAGACGTCATCGGACAACCCTTTCGTTGCCGCGGACCAAGCAGCTATCGTTGCCACCGGCAGTACCGATGCGACCGCTTCGTCCTCCTCCATTCCCATTGCCTCAGATACCGGAAGTTCCGGTCCTCCACTTGAAACGGGGGACTCCACCGCTTCAGGAGATCAGACTACGACCGGCACTGGCGAAACCGCTGCCACAGCCGCAACCACAGCCACTACTACACAGACCCAGACCTCGGACGGCCTGACCGAAACCGGTACTGCTGCTGCGGCTGCTGAGACTTCTGCCTCTGGCAGCGCCACCCAAAGTGTAGCGACCGGTATCGCCACTGACTCCGTTAGCCCTGAAGCCACAGGAGCTGTCGAACCTTCGGTCAAGATTCCCACGAACTCCACTGGCCAAGCGGGGAAGAAGCGGAGGATTGGCTACTACGATGCCTTTGACTGGGCACGTCAGGCCAACGCGTCTCTCATGACCGAGACGTTGGTCTTCGACCACGCTACGGAGCTTCAGGACCTTACTCATGTGATTCTGGGTGAGTCGTCTTTTCTGCCTGATCGCAGGTGGCGCAGTCGTGTTGAGCGCCATGATACGTTTCCGCAGCCTTCGCCAATATGACATTCACCGGCGAGTCATGGATTACGACGGCTTATGACAAGCCTAATATGCAGGATTACATCGGGTACAAGAAAGCGCACGAAGGCCTCAAGGTCGGTGTAGCTTTCGGAGGCTGGGTGAGCTACAACAGAATTCGTCTTCAGTAGCATCCGACAGTGTTGACCTCTTAATAAATACATACAGGATCTCGGAAAGGTTGAATTCAAGGCGGCGATGTCGGAGGGATCTGCGCGAGTCAAACTCCTCGACGACTTTGAGAATTGGTTCAAAGAAACCGATCCCACCGGAGAGGTCTTCGACTTGATCGGTAAGCAATAGTGACACGAGGGGACGCAATGACTGGTTGAGCGCTTCCCAGGGTCTGACATCACAGCGTTGTTCCCAATAGATATTGACTACGAGTACCCTCAGAAACAGCCCGACGAATCGGCGGGTTTCATCAGTTTCTTGAAAGCCCTGAGGGACAAGTTCCCCGACAAGGAGATCAGCGTCGCCGTGTCTGGCCTCCCTAGTGATGGTGGCTATGCCAAACTAGGCTCTGTCAACGACGAAAAGAAGGTGGTGGACTTCTTCAACGTTATGACGTGGGTGGGATTGTCTCTCATACTTGCATCGGCATTGGCTTAACAAGATATGGTACTTCTCGTTTGGGCCCCATACAGCTACGACATCGTCAACCGAGTGTCCACGCAAGCCGGCCATCACTCGTCTCTGATAGAGACTGAGAATTCACTCAAGCTCTGGGCGGACGAAGCGTATGGTCTCAAGTATGAGGATATCAATGTCGGATTCGCTTTGTGAGTCCGTGTCTAAGACGTTTTTGAGCTATTCTGATGGGAAGCTCGACGATCAGCTACGCCAAATGGTTCGGCATCTCGAATAAAGACGAGTGCAAGAACGATCCCAAGAAGTGCAAGTTCGTCGTGATGCAGACGAAGCAAGAAGACCAATGTCCCACCATACCGTACAAACAAGAAGTCACCGCCGATCCGATGAGCGTCGTAGATTGCGGAACTTCTAGCGCCTTCCGTTTCCAACCCAAGAACAATGCCAACACGTTCTACCACGACGTGAAGCTGAAGTCCGGCGGGAACTTCACCATGTATGAGAACGCTCAGGCGTCGTACGGACGTGTGCCCTGGGACAGCGAGGAGAAGGGCATCTATGACAGTGACGCCAAAGCTTCTCTCTGGGTGGATGACCAGGCCGAGTTCCCCTTGCTCTGGTCGTGGCAATCGCCCAAGGGAATGAAAGAGACCTGTGACGGCCTCAAGGAGCTCAACGTAGGTGGCTATATGATCTGGAGCTTGGGAGGAGACAACGATAAGCACAGCCACATCAAGGCCCTGCAAGAGTCGTGCTGGAAGCACGAGTAGGTTCAACCTACTCTTCGAGGTGATGCCTCTCTTTTCCTTTCGCCTTCTATCCAAGATCATTTCGTGCTTCACGACATTGCTTGACTACCCAATCCTTGTATAATCCTTAGATCTTGATCATCGAGCATGCGCTGTGCCCCTTGTTGCTATGCATGTCTTGACGTCCTCTCTGACCGATTCTCGCTGGTCTCTGACAGTCCCTATTCCGCCTCGCCAGCGCTTGCGTAATGATATCCTGGTCATTTGCTGGTTGATCGCCGATCAATGTACAATTAAATGTCGTTCCCATCACTTCTCCTGTCTACAGACCGAGTTCGACCTTATTCGATCCGGTAATCTTGTTGATGATGCTTTGGCCGCGAGACCCGTCGGTCAGCCTTGTTCCCATCGAGTAGATCCTTTGAGAAGGAATGATTCGTATGCGACGGCTGTCTCGTTGATCGTCGGTTGAAATGTTTGTACCGAAGCGTAGGCGCGTAGAGCATATCGGTAGTAGCAATCGCTGGGATAGTTCACAAGTGATAGCAGATGATGAGCAGTCTGGTCTTGACATCGAATGTCCCGCTCGTTTACTGCTCACTTGGCAGCGGGCGATAGGTATCGCTGGAACAACTGCCACGAGTTACTAGCAATCCGTCTCGCCACCTCATCATGATCCTGAAGGTGCTCGATGGCCTTTGCCAGATGTCGTTCAAGGGATAACGGCACTTCCACCATGTTTCGGGCCGGCGAGGTGATATTTGTATCGAACAGATGGTGGAAATGCTGAACCCATGTCAATGGATGGGTCACGATCACCGAACGGCACTGCAAAAGATTTCTAGAGAGAGGCCATCGTCAGCTCAGTATCTGCTCACGTTCTAAGTATAATCTCCTTGACTTACTTCAATCGGCCAGAATAAGAGTTGCCTGCAGAAAAGCGACATTTGTCAGAGACGGACTATTGACACAGTGCTCCTTGTCTCACCCTCAACTTGTGCGAGATACTTGTAGTCACAGTGCTCAGCCGGAGAGAGGAAGGGCGTGTTTTGCATGTCGTTCCAATGTATCTCGGAGACGTCCGCCCAAGGCTGATCTTTCGTAGCCGCCAAGAGGTCCTACAACAGAATCGTATCAAATCCACGTCAAATTTCAGCCTGGGCATATCTTGCCGACCTGGATTGATAAAACGCACCTTTCGGATTTCAGTCATGGGGACGCCTCGCCATAACAGCTTGGGTATCTTGTTCGACCAGCTTTGCGGTTCAGCTATCGAACACATAGATCTTCGCTCAGCTCTAGGATATGTGGTCAGCATCAAAGCGCGAAGAAGGCTCACTGTGCGACGACCCTGCCCCGATGATGACATCTTCGCTCTGTGCCTCATCCTCATGGCTTGTCTGTTTTGCCGCTAACCGATGTTCGTGTTCCAGTGTATCCTGTCTAACTTCGAACCAAGAGGAAGCTTTAGGACCCAGTGCTTCAGGCCATGAATACAGGCCGAAATCAGGCATAAGCCATAGCTGAGACGCATTGACGACACGGGTCGTCAGCCAAATAGCGGGTCTGGTGGGGGACGATCAACACTGACCTTGTCATTGCCTTCTCGTCTGGATAGAGCGAATAGTGGGAGGTCGCCATCACTCATATCTCCCGTCTGCATGACCATGCTGTCAAAATGGAAAACAATCAAACGAGGTCTTCATCGAACAAAAGACCAGGAAGATATACATACTCGACGTTCGGTAGAGGTTCTGGAGACGTCAGGATGGTATCATGAAGAGCCGCTAGGACTGCTTGTGTTCGAGAGTGCCATCCCCCGGCAAACTTCTTGACGTATAACTAAGACGCATGTTGTGATCATACCTCGATGAGATCAGGTAGCGCGGGCAAGGACGATCATTCTGCTTCATGGCTCACCTTATTGTCATGTATAATCACTCGAGCATTACCGTCCTTTTCGGCAGCATCAACAGCATCCCTACTGATTCCTCCATTTTCGAGGTACCAGTCTCTGGCCAGATCGGCTTGACGAAAGAGCCGGGGAAACAATAGCTTGCATTGCTCCTCATTGTAGGTTCGCACGTCTTGCCAATTGATTGGGGTAGTATGGACGCTCCCGATAGGTGTGCCGAATGTCGAAAATGGCCGGGAGATATGTGCAGTAGTCGCCAAGAAGAAAAGGACCACGATCAGGACGATCGCATGCCACCTACGAATATTAGCTCTGTAAATCGAGCTATACTCGGAGATCCTTGTTAGAATCGTCATTTGGTGATGTTTTCAGGAGCAGTCCCATGGATGCGGGACAGATTCGAGGTCGGGGTGTCGACTAAAGAATAGATATGGAACAACCGGCGTGCTATTGATTGACTCAGCAAGGCGACTGGCCGACTGGCGACTGGGCAGCTTTGACCAAGAGTCGCTGAATACGTGCAACTTGCAACTTGCCAACGTCGATGATCGCCGGACAGAGCATGACCGAGAGACAGAGGTGAGACTCCAGGAACACCGCAAGACATGCGGTTTCATAAAGGCGAGATCCTAATTGATCGCGCCTCCCTACGATGACAAGTAGCGAGCAGGCTGAGGTGGGTCTGTATACCCTATCTACATCCCTGGAAGCACAAACTTCGAACAAGGTCTGGGAATCGTTCGATATTATTGCTTTTAGCATGCAGTCGGAGGGCTGCATCACAAGCTATGACCATTAAGTTTTGGTCTGGCGTTTTCTGCGTCAAATGGTGAGCAATTAATCAGCCAGAGCACGAGTTCGGGAAATCAAATCCCCTGCTCCCAAAGCTACTCTTCAAGACAATAGATAATGTGGACTTGTCTTTGGGTGCAGGAATTCCTCCAATAACGCGTTCGCCTGGCCGACTGGCAGATCTTGAGCTATGAGTATACTTTCTGTTCGAAAAATGTTGAGGTCGCAGACTATATCTGGGATGAGGTTCAAATTGACCGGTGTGCATCAGTAATATCCTGGCAATTCAGATCAAATACATGTGTCGCAGAGAGTTCAAAGAGCGCCCAGCGTTCTTTCCAATGGGCTTCGGATCGCTCGCTGTGACTGTGACTGAGGGCAAGGGCAAGGAGAAGGAGAAGGCTGAAGTGGTAGGGAAGAAGCAGGGACGTGCTAGGGAGATTAGCGAAAACTCCCTGGTCAAGGAGCTCGTCCCCCAAAAGAAGCGCAACGGGCCTGACATCGCCCCCCTCGCCTCCGGCTCCAAAACCACCGTTTCTGAGCAGCCCGCCGCCGGGTCTGGACCTGCTATCGAGCCGGTAGCCGCCCTCAAACGTCTTGATGCCGAGTTGGAGGAGGTTCAGTAGCACTTCATGTGCCTACCTTGAGGGCAGATATCTGCGCCAACCACTATACGGATATGTGGCACCTCTTGGCATCTGTTACAAAGGGTGTGCCATTGGGAGGGCCCTTTAAGGCTGACGGTCTTGAATTTACGCAGCACGAGAGTGCTCGGTCTGTAAGAACGAGGAACCCTAAACTGCGCAATAATGATATGATGCCGTTTTGATGATACGGGATCAATGAAACGCCTTCGGCCGTCGAAAGCACGAGCTGCGAGGACACAATGATCGCTCTAGCATCCCTCGACGTACCTGTCTAGTCAAATAAGGCAGTTACGAATTTAATGGCATGCCGGCCACGGGTGTTTCAGCGATCCTGCCAAGCGCTAAGTACTACATCAAAGGTCCTTTGACACCGTCGCCTTTGTCCAGCAACAGGAGACCGTACGGGTGGGCTGAGCCAGCCAAGACACCATGCTCATCGCAATTAGCCTCGCCTGCTACCTCTAGTATTCAATCCAACTATGCACTTCACCGCCTTTCTCTCCGTCTTCCTGGTTGCGACCTTCATCAATGCAGCACGTGTACCCGGATCACGTCAAGCACCTTTCCCCACTTGTTAAGGCGCAAGACAGAACCCAATGGGCAAGGGTTTCGCCAGATTCCAGTATGCAGCCGGCAGATTCGACACCTGGTCCGGCATCCCGCAATCGGAGCAATCGGAACACGCCGGGTATCTCCCGAATCTTTTTAATGTTCGGATGAATGTTGGAAATACGGACCCGGTAAGATATATACCCATGTTGATGCGAGATGCTCAGTGACTCAATCCTCCGTATACCTATAGGCTGCAAAGGTGTCAACTGGTTCGCTTCGGACGGTGGATGTATCTTGATGAAGAAAGGCGAATTCGGCGAAGTCCAAGGCAAAGGGCAATTCATTGAAACGTCGTGCGCAGACAATATACGATTCATGGACGCTGGTATGTCCGAGTCTCTTATCACGACCCAGCCGTGCAGTGATTGATCCTTGATACTCTTTAATAGCCCATGCCGCGATCGATTGTTGTAACGTCTGGATGTAACCGGCGTCGCGCAGGAATCGTCTACCGGCCGCATGGCTTCTTTCCACTTGGTCGTACAAGCGACTCTTCGAGTACGCGAGTGATCGAGTGACCCTTGCTGCCTCGCGTCATATCTCATGCGATATATTATTCGATGAAGCATGATTTGTCTGTCTACTACTGCCCTCGTAACATCCCTGTTCCTGTGCTGCTTGTTGTCTGTGCGAATGCGATGCTACTAGTGATACATTTGAGGTCATCGTGCGGAATCCTTCTTCTTTCCTCTTGTATTCTTGTCTTTTCTGTCGCGAAGCTTGGGTCTCAGACCGAGTTCGAGTTATCCGCACAACCCCATGGCGAGGTGGTGTCGCCAGAGTCAAACGAAGCCTTGATATCGAGGACAGAACCGTAGGTCTACGGATTATAGTAGCTTTGCTCAGTGTCTATTCTCATCACGGGTAGCGCGTCCATCAACTCACTCCTGCGACCATCAAAAACGCTCCAGCGAGAGCCATCACGATGTGAGCGGCGACGGCGAGCTTGAGCTTGGCTCCTCCCGTCCTCCATTCGGCTCCGTACAGGTAGATCCACATCAGAGACTAGTAAGATGGCAAGCGTATTCAGATAGAGCTTCGAACGCGACGCCACGACGGAATACCCACGGTGACGAGGATACAAAGGAACGCTCCAAAGAGGGCTCCAACAAGACCGACCTGCGCGGAAGTACGGCAGGTCATTGTCAGTTCGATGCGATGGGTCAGGCAAAGCAGGTAGATGATAGACCGACCAATCCATTAAATACAGGCACAGCGCTGCGGCATAGGTAGATCCAGCGGTTAGTTTCGGAAGGTAGACGTGTTCCGAACCTAACTCACGAAGCGACGACGTAAGAGAACAGGACGCAACCGAGCACACATGCAAACCAGGTGATCCAATGCTTAAACGTGTTCTTGGTCAAGTGTTCGGAACCCTTGAGGATGTTGACAAAGATCCACTTCGCTGGGACGTGAGTGTAGATGGTGCATGACACAAAGAGCGCCGGAAGGGCCAATCCGTAGGCGATCCTCTTGATCAACACACCGGCACTTCCCTGGAAGTCGAGCAAGTCTTGTCAGCAATGGGTAGTGATATCACTCGTTCTTTCCCATACTCACAAAGGCGGGACTGGCGATATATTGTCCGGCGTAGTAATAGGTCGTTGTGGCGATGGCCTGATGAGATCATCTCGTTCAGCTGAAAGGCTTGACGTGTACGCATAACGGCCCGCCGCGCCACTTACGATATAGAACGACATGCTAGACAGTTGACATAGCAACAACGACCGATTGTACATGTTCGGGTTTCTCATCTCTGATTTGATCGAGAAGCTGTCGGAACGGAAAACTTTACCGTAAGCGCGCGATGATCCTTCACCTCGAGCGGCAAAGTTTGACTCACAACGCGGGAGTCGCACCGACCGACAAGACCTGTTGCCCGATAGCTCCCATCGCTTGTCCGAAAGTCGGATTGTTGAAGACGTGCAAATCCTTGTTCCAAGGGCCCGTCTGGGGTGCCTCTGCTGGTCGATCAGCCACACCTACCCCGATCGTGACGACAAGCACTAAGAGTCATATCGCAAGCGGTAGGTATGTTCGACGTCAGTGACGTGAAATATGGCAGATACCCCTATCTCGCCTCGAACAAGCTCACTCACGGGAAACGACCAGACTGATGAACCCCGCATACGTAATCCAAGCGATCTTTTCCAGCGTCTGAATACTGGCGAGGATGAACGTGATGATCGTGGCGACGACGACGAATACGGCTGTACACGTTCCATGAAGGGACATCGAATTGAAGGCGATCGAGATGGAGAGCAAACCGGATCCGGCAATGATGGTCATGTCTGTGCGATAGACGTAGGTTAGATGGATCCTACGGTCGTAATCCCATGTAGTTGTAGACTCACAAAGCCAATAGGCGACCGCGCAGACGATCCGTCCAGGTTGACCAGCCAACATGAACCCGACATCGGCGAAACTGTCTGCGGAGAAATTAACGTCATTCGACAATTGGATTAGCACAATCGATTATCGTGCTCTGGAGATGATCTCTTTAGCTGTACTGACAGACTTGAGGATACCTAGACTTGAATTTCCCGGTGACATACATTCCCCCTATTTTGTCGAAGAGAAACCAGCCGGTCTGAAGGTTAGTAGGCTTTCTTCACCACGTAGAACGAGCGATCCAAACCTAGACTCACATGTACTCAAAGCTCCAACGGCGAGGAGGGTGATGGTTCCTGGAACGATCCCGAGCGTATGCAACACCGAAGGTAACGACAAGACACCCAGTCCGACCTGTGTCTTAAACATGAGCACGGCCGTAGCTATCCATCCGACCTGAAAGTTCGAATGGGTGGTAGAGAGTTCAATCCCTCATCCTCTCCCGAAACGAGTCGCCTTTCGATTACCCGTTCGTGAGACGATCCATGTACTCACGTTACGGTAATTCGGCCCATCTCCATCTGCGGTCCCAAAGACATCATCTTCCGGGACAACACCTACGACCCTAGCTTCAGGGTCCGAATCGAGGTCAGGGGACACAACCTTGGCCTGGAGTCGGTGTTCTTCAGGTTGCTCTCCGGCTGGACCCGAGTCTCGTTTGAATATGGGCATGCTTGAGCGAGGTAGATTTGGAGGAGCGTGCACTTGTGCTGAAGACGAATGTAGCTAGATGTCGGTCGAAGGGTAGATGTAATTTGACTTTCAGACGGACGAATCTAGGTCGATAGGGGTCTTGAATGTAGGTTCGAGGAGACGTGACCACCCGGGATGACGACTTGGACGACATCCTGGACGGTGAACCATGGCGATGGGAGGGCGATGGGGCAACAGGGTCGGGACGAGCGGTTGCAAGCAAAAAAGTTGGAGAACGTCCAGAAAGTATGCGGGGAGGTCGTTCCGAACTGGTGCGGATTTAGAAGGGGATCAAGTGTCAAACGATGATTTAGGCCTACGCGCTAAGCATCAGGCATCAGGTCACGTTGGCTCGGTGACGACGCAAGCCGAGGTCGACCGGTCCTTGCGAGTTCCGAAATGGCGAGCGGCTCCCACAGGTTTCAAGCGATGATACTGCACTACGCGCATACGGCCACCGAGAATCGCGAACTGATCGAACCCATCTCATCAATTGATGAGAAATGATACAGTGCGTACAGTGCCTCTCCATCAAACGGGATGCGCGGTCTGATCCGGCATTGCGAGGTGACGCGTGAGCTATCAAATTGGGAAGTTCGACACCTTGCGTTCCAAGACCGGCGGCCTAGACGACAAACGAAAGGTCACGACCTGCTTCTTGCAGCAACGTAGGGCTCGACTGCCGACTGACAGCTGGGAGTTGACAGAGTGTTTGAGATCGTACCGGTAATCGAGAAGTCGACGCAGATGTCGCTATGTCGATGCCGACATGATCGCGAATCGGCAAAGACGACTTTTAAACATCTGCCGTGCTGCACTCGTGCAGCAAACCAGCAACAAACAACGTTTGAGGACGAAGGTCGTGCAAACTCTCAAGTCACTTGGGTAGATGCAAGGCAGAATTGGGAGGCATGTCTGCAAGATACGAACCCAAATACAAAACATGATCCGAAACTCGGTTGCACGAGGCAGAAAGACTGGTGTTACGATTGTCAAGCCACAGATCACAGACCACTGATGCACCATGCCTGTGCGCAAAACGGCTGATCAGATATCTCGATCAATCCACGAACCCACCGATGATCTCGTCTGAAACAGTGATGCAGATATGCAGCGCGATGCAAGAGATGATGACGTGTCAAATCCTCGTCCGCATTCGGCGACGTCCGATCAATCACTCATACCCCCTCGGCAACGATGATGGTGTACCAACCACTTCTTGTTACCTCGTGATTGATACCTCAGCAAGACCCGCTTGCTTGTCTTGATCACGTCAATCTTCGACGCATGTATCTCTCATCATGAGTTCCACCACCTACGCTTCTGTAACGGCGCCGCCACCACCAGCTCGACGCCGTTCCAACCGCTCTCTCGCGACCTCCACCCTCCATTCCCCGGTTATGAGCGAGTACTCGCAATACCTCTTCCACAATGGGACCGGAAGGTCGACACCCAGACCGCCGGGGTCGACGAGGAGCCTTCCTTTTACTTTGGATCAGTTTGAGACGTTACAAGAGATGCAGAGGGTGCTCTACCGGGGCGGTGAGACGGGAGAAGGAGAGGGAAGCCAGGGGAATATCAAGCGGGTGGACGAATTTATCCTCGATAATTTCGATGAAGAATGTCGTGAGTAGTCTATCATTCCAGGGGGAATGTAATGCGTCCAGAATGACTGAAGATTGTTCCCTTTCGATATGGTGGGACACAGTCTACGAATCCCCGCTCTTGACACTCCAAAACACCCAACTCTTGCAACACGCCGTCAACCTCTCACATGCCGTCTCGGACGCTCAAATGCCCTCGCTCTGGCCGGGGGCAATGATCGGCCATGTATCTGGGACTATGAGATATGGGTGGAAGAAGTTCATGGGATCGGGGTCGTCGAAGACAATAGAGGGACAGACGAGAAAGGCGCATACACCGCAAGAGAAGCCGAAATCAGATCCTCGATCGGCACGACAACTAGATACTCGTCAAGGACAAGCTGCTTTGGCTTCAGCGTTCGCCCGTTTCCACAACTCCGCAACACCGGCGAGCTCAGCAACAGGGAGCAGAAGGAAGAACGAGGACGATGATGCGGGTGGGAATGGGAACTGGTGGAAAGCTTGGGATGTCAGGTCGGTTTGCGGGGAAATCAACGAGATGGAGACGTACGGTCAGTCTGCTAGGCACATTTGTCAGAAACACGCTGTATAGAATACTGATGTCTATCAGATCGTCCTTGTAGACGGGTTCCGATTTGGCTTCATTGAACAGTAGGCCCTCCACCCTTAAACGTGTATATGTGTAGTAGCTGATATCGGCAAGCTGTTTAGTACCCTCTTTCTCTCGTTATTACCGGACTGGCTCGAACCTGTCGAACAGGATCCACAACTCCAGACTACCAGCAACACAGCTCATGGATCTCCTTTCAATTCGTTTCCCAACCTTCCGTACACAACACCTGCGTATAACGGCCGATCGGAATCGATCATCACCCAATTCCGCGAGACGAAACCCTCGCCCTCAATGTTAGCTTCCACCCGGCACGCGCTCCTTCATCACCTCCTCCGGTACAAGCTCCACTTGCACACCCTGGTCGAGTTTAACGAAGCGGGCAAGATCGTTTACATACGGGATTTAGTGGATCTGCGGGATCTTTGGGAAGGCGTCGTACCCTTTGGGAGGGAAACGGCTTGGATTGGGAGGAGGTTGGGAGGACTGGCATTGGCAGGGATGGGGAGATTGGTCTTCGGATCTACGTCCGGTCCAAGACAGGTTGAGGGAAGAGCCAATCTGGAAGATGGTCAGGAAGGAAGAGAAGCGGATGGAAATCGGGTGGACTCGTTGGGACTGGATGTTGGGACGCTGACTAGTGCTCCGGATGTCGACAGCGGGGGCGAAGAAGGGGGTATCAGAGGGTAGGCGAGAAAGATTGTGCGTCGTGGTATCACTTGTGGGTCTATTCGGTCTCATGTATTGTGCAAGGCATCCCCAAAGACTGATCCTTCCTTCTTGCCGTTGCCCGTAAGCAGGATTTTCGCATCCTGACACGAACGCTATCGCCGCCGGGGTAATTGAAGAGCTATCTGAATCGTTCAGCTACCTCAGCGCCACATAATGATTTAGCTTGTGGGACATGAACAGGACTTCGAGCTTCACAAATCACCAAATATACGAATATGACGAACTATAATGACAAGTTTTTCTTGATGTACAGTCATCAGAGGGCAGACCAGGCGTGATGGATGCAACTTTATTTAGGCATCACGTCCAGCTGTTCCATTTACGAGCAATGAAGACCTACATGATGGGTAGCAGTACTGACAGATTGAGATGGCTAACTTGGCGGGACAGTGACGATAGAGTACAGGGCCAGAGTGAACAGGGTGACGGTGTTGCTTGACACTGTGTTGCGACCCGGTTCGCTCAACATCTGTGTGATAATGGCAGGGAACACATACACCTTCCCATGGTTCTGGATGCGTACTACAGATATGTTTGTTGTCAGCGGGACAGACAGCCTACTAAAGTATGAATTATGGGCTGCCCAACAAATCCATTGACTACATTTCCAAACTCTTGACCGAGTTCTGGACAGTTGGGCTCCTGCACCTGGCTTTGGTGGAAATGATCGACATGGACATGGATAGCGAGGCTGAAGAAGACGAGTTTAAGCTATACGTCCGAACGCGCAAAACTACCGTAAATAATTAAATAATGAAATCCCCATTATTCATTCTCCAAGCTCTTTTTCAAGAGAACGGCAAAGCCCTGACAAATCCCTGACAAATCCTTGAACAGGTTGGAGGCCCCCTCTGTCAAATCATAGCCAAGCTGAAGAGGACAAGACCAGTCAACTCCCCTTCTCTTATTGCTATGGAGGCGAACCTGTCAGGAATTGGCCCAGATGCTGTGATTTACGAGAAGTATATTGGGGAGACCATTCAATCTTCATCGGGGAGGAAGATAGAGGATCTTCAATCTGCTTCTTCTGGCAAAGGAGGAGGCAAGACGTAACACCGACAACCGTCTGATTCGTAAAAGAGATACCAGATCTACCCAAATCCAAACCTACCGCGTCGAACGATAACAACGAGGTTTCGACTTCCCATTGTACCATGACCAGCATGACCAGATATACAGCGACGGGAGCCTTGTTGCGCTACAATACACCTCGTTTGGAGATTTCTGTTCGCTTGATCATCTGCCCGAAGCATGTGAGCATGTGACCACCATTGGATTATTGGACAATGCCGCCTGAAGCTCAAACAAAACGAAACAAAAGGTTGTCCTCCTTTTATCGAGCCGGCCCTCGGGGAGATATATACCACGGCCGCACACGGGGAATCGGATTGCGTTCACAACCGCACCTTCTGTGAGCCGGACTACCCCACAACCAGGGATAAAGAAACAATCCACTGCCAAGACCCATTTGAGAGCTCTCCTGCGGAGGTAGAGATTCATCCACAGTTACCGATGGTCGCTTTGGAGTCAGCCCAGACCTAGCTGGCCGTCAGGAAGGAAGCCCGTAAGAACGACACGGCCTTCACATGATACATGAACGAAGTAGCTCTGTCAACTATTCTTATACGCCATCCGGTTTCATCAAGCTTCACTACTCCTCATACAAGGCACGCTTTCAGATGGAAACGGACGCACACATCAAGCCAGTCGTGCGTGACCTATGGACAACGTCAAACCTGGGTGCATCCGACCAGGACCGGACGTGATCTGTACAACCTGGCCAACTTGGATGACTTCCCTCGTTCACTAAACCTTGGCTTTGCTACGATACGTCAGCTCTGTTGAGCCTTCGCTCGCATACGCCGAGTAAGCCTCGTCGTAATCTTCGACATACGGCGCTGTATATCCTCCACCTGATTGACGTGGATCTCGATGGGATGGCTCATGCACCGATGACGTCGATTCGGAGGAAGACCTCTTCAAGTCGAACCTCACGGACTGTCTTGATTTCCCGGTCGGGTTCTTCATCGCCGATACAGGCCTGACTGGCATCTTCCATTGGCTCAGGTCTTGCATCGTTTCGGTCGTCGTAGGGGATTCGACATCCACGCTGGCAGCTCTCCGCGGCGCTGGACGTGATACTTGGGATAACTCGCTCGAGCTCGAGCTCCTGGACCTCCCACCCCGCTTCTTGGGAGGCATCAAGCGGGATTCATCCATCTTGGGGTTGACTAGTTGAGCCTTCGGTTTGCTCTTGGGGACCCCGGTGCCAAGCTCGATATCAATTGGACGATCAGGTGGGGCAGGGAAACTCCCGGCGGCCTCCTTGATCAGGGTCATCCGACGTGATCTCGTAGATCCATGAGACGAGCCGGACATGACGCTGGACATGGTCTGCGGCCTAGATCCGGACCTGGACCTTGAAGCGATCGTCGAAGGTGTACTCGGCATCAAGTTGATCGCCGGGACCGCCGAGGTCGACCCGAACCTCGGCCGTACGTCACGTACGATCCCTTGCAATTGGGGAGGTATCCCGGGCATGACTGCTGGCGGTGTGGGTTTGGCCTCTTCCAGGTATTCTTCGTTGTTGTCGTCGTCATCGGTCTCATCATTCGACCGCTCATCCCCGCGTTGCCGCCTATCGAACTGCTCGATCTGGCTCTTGGGATCCGTCAAACTCCCTCCAGTAAACGTCGGGTATTCGCCAGACCCGGATTCGATATCGCTTGCGTATTTCTCGTCATCATGGTCCTCTTCCTGATCACGATCCTGATCATCTTCCTCGAGATCCCCCATTCTGGCCTTGACCGCATCCAAGCCGTTCCGGTCGTACGCCATGATGTACGCCAATTCTGGAATCGGCTTCCAGAAACAAAGCCGTTGGCCAACGTTGAAGTTGAAAAAGACCTCTCGTGGTCGCAAATGAGGCAAAGACCGGGCTCGACGTTGTTTGAATGCCAATGGTATTGCCTTTTTCAATATGTAATCGTCAGCCAATATCGCAACGCTTTCACCCCGACGTGACTTACCATCAAGACATTCAGGACTCCCGAGGCGATCAAGAATTGTCCGGACAGGAGGAGCCCCGGGGCCACGCTGCGAGAGGAAGCGTCAGTCTAGCCTAGTCCAAGGAAGGATACGACAAGACCCACAAATGACGTTGCGCATCCACGCCAAACCTGACAGGGCTTTACATCAGCGCGCATAACCCAGACGACGCCCATCAGGCCGGGACTTACCAAATCTTCCCCAATCCGAGCCACAGCGGACTCCCGACGAGACTTATTGCACTCAGATGTCGCAAAAGAAATACCTCGGGAAGCCCGACCTCTCCCAGGAACAGGACTAGCAAGGCCAGAATGGAGAAAATTCGGTGCAAAATGGCGAACCTGGGTGCGGAAAGGAATGTCAACGATGCGCAATGGATTCACCTGCGGTCTCGCTGCTTACACCATTCCTCCCGGTTGCATCGGCACCGTCGAATCGACAAGGTACCGCTCCGTTGACGTGACCTGGGGTTGCGAGTCTTCGGCTCTCTTCTGAGGCACATTAAGGAAGTTGGAACGCGCGTTTTCGCTCGGAGCTGGCCCGACAGAAGTATACGTAGGAACGACAGGAGGCGTAAACATCGGTGCAGCTGCAGGAGTAGCCATCGGAATGACCGCGTCTGTAGCCAAACTCGTTGGCACAGCCCCTCCGGGAAACAATAACGATGGCACATTGCTAGGCGCTGGCGGTGTACCCATAGTGATATAGGTCACCGCGGATGTCGATTGAATAGAGTTATCAGGTTGATCGGTTCCGGTTGGGAGTTGCGTTGCGACCTTTTGGAACGGATCGATCGACCCCGGACTCGAGGTCGCGTTGGCACTGGTGGTGTTGCCGCTCGAAGTGGGTTGCGATACAGCGGCTACATCGCTGCGAAACAGATTGCATTAGCGGAATAAAGACTTTTCGAAAAACAAAAATCGCCACCAACTTTTTCAACAAGATGCCTTGTACGACGATGGCCCATAGTATGGCTCCGAAGCCGACGAGACGAAGGATATTCAGCGCGACCCAGATGGCCAGTGTCGCGCCCCGGCTTCGATTATTTGTTGTCATATGAGGCGAGATTTGAAGAGAAACGGTTGGAAAGGGAATTGTGTCTCTGAAGAGAGGCAACAATCACTATAGTTCACCGGCTAGGGAGGTCGTTACGCTTTTGTGATCACAGGCGGACTGAAACGCACCACCTGAAACGTTAACCGGGTGAAAGGAGACGCGGAGATATTTTGGACCGAACGAGGACCCTCACGAGATCGACTGAAACTATGCCCCTCTTTCTGCCTGATCGTCAATCGCTTGAAACTCTCTTAGCCGGCTACGTTGCCAGACGGGATTGACTCAAGGTTGACGGCCATCAGCACCATCATGTCCACACTTTTTCTCCCTTTGAGCTCCCTTTGTTACGATTCGTGACCGCCGGAAGGTGCAAAAGGACTCGACTGTATAAATCGAGCCAGAAATCGTTTGATCGACGATTGTCATGATCGTCTTGGGATCCACCTCGCTTCTGTGCCAGAGCCCAGCACACTCGAGATGATCAACGCAGAGGATTCTAAACAGCAGAAGGGATCGGCAGCCTCTGTTATGTCTCGAAAGACGGAGCATGATACCGCTTTGGAACGCAAATCCATCCTATCTGATCACCACCTCGACGAGGATGGACCCCAGATCGAGGCTCATATTGTATCTTCGCCATCGAAAGACAACGATGTAGAATCAGGCTCCAGACCTCCCGAAACAGCAGCATTCGAAACCACCTACCCTGAAGGCGGTTACGGCTACGTCGTTGTGTTCGCATGTATTCTGGTCGGGGCCTGCACAGCAGGATCCGTTTCCGCCCTGGGTATCTACCAGGCCGAGTATGCCGAGAGGTTCTCCCAGAAGTCATCTTTTGAAGTCAACTTAATCGGAGGTTTCATGGGATTCGTAAGAGATTCACAAGCATCCCACGATTTGGGCGCTGGTTGACAGTGGGCTACACATCAGTTCCTCGGCATCGGCACAGTGATATTTGGCAGGATCGCCGATCGATAGTATGTCTGAGCATGCTCCTATTTCACATATTCGCTGCTGATCGTCGCCTCTTGTTCGTGAACAGTGGTCACAAGGTGAGAATTCCGTCCTTGCCGTACGGGTCTTTATAGGTCTCCAGCTAACTCCCCCATACTCACAGAAAATGTCGGTCTGCTTTGCCTTTCTTGCTTGGATAGGCATGTTTTCGGCAGGCTTTTGCAACGAGCTTTGGCAGCTATACATTACCCAGGGAACCATCGCTGCCATCGGCCAGGGCGCAGGTGTGACCCTCTGCGTCTCGGCTCCTGCTCAGTGGTTCAAGAAGGTCAGTTCAGTCAAGGTCCCTTGTGATGATCTGTTTTGACCGGACGCCACATCGCAGAACCGCGCCTTCGCTATTGGAGTTGCTCTTAGTGGTTTTGGTTTGGGTATGTCCTTTTTCTCTGTTCTGGTACTCCAACTCCGTACTGACATACCGAACTCTGCAGGCGCTGCTGTTTTCTCCCTCTTGGTTCCGGCATTGATCGACAGGATTGGCTTGAAACATACCCTCAAGTAAGATACATCGCCGACTAAGGAGATCGCGCGCTGATCTGTGCAACCCGTTCGATTCAGGGTTATCGCCTGTACAAATCTCGCTGTGACTCTCTTGGGTATCGCTCTGATACGCAACCGCAACACTATCGAAGCCCAGCTCAGAAAGGATGCGCCGTTCATTCCCGTACAAGCTTTCAGAAGGCTGTCGTTCTGGTTGGTAGCTTTCTCTCTCCTAGTCGGTTTCTTCGGTACTGTCACGCCTGCAGCATACTTCGTAGGTGCCTTCACCATCGACATGTCGGTCTTGTCGACTAACGCTCTGTGAATATGACAGGTTCAATATACGCGCGAGATCGACCCGAACAGAAGCAAGGTCCTGAGTTCCTTGTGAGCTTGCCGAAGAATAGGATAAAACATGAAGCTGTCTGACATTTCCATGCATCGTCCGAACAGACCTCTCACTCTCTGGGCTCTGATCACTCCTCTGGGTCGAATCGGCTTTGGCTTCCTTGTCGACAGATTAGGCCCACTGAATTGCTACACTTTGGCGTGGTCTCTTTCAGGCGCGGCCACATTTGCCCTGTGGTACACTATGCGAACGTATGCAGGAAGCATTGCATACGCCTGTGTGCTCGCATTTGTGAGTCCTTGATCTAAGAATTCTGAGTCGAGTGACGCTATCGCTGACTGTCACGGACGCATCACAGTTCGCCACCAGTTTTCAAGTTTGCATACCCGGTGCCGTCACCGAAATATTCGGTCCCGAAGCCCTGGCTACGAACCTCGGCTTCATTCTGTTGTTCCAAATACCTCCAAATCTGTTTGGTGCTGCCATCGCCGGTGTCATTCGAGACGAGACTCAAGGTTGGAAGTGGATCATCACGTTTGCAGGTTGTTGCTCTTTCGGAGGTGGCTTGCTGGCCGGTTTCGGTAAGTCAAAAGATGCCGCTTTCACCGAATAGAAAGCTTACGATTCCGATCGGTGTAGCTCGCTTGCATACCAACGACAAGTTATTAGCGAAGGTATGAACGAAGAGCTACTAATCTCCTCTAGAGGATGGCATCAAGACGTGTGCTTGTTTAGTATAGGGTTTGTTACCTGAGATGTATAGATGCGTTCCGCTAGACTGATACCCTGCATTGTACGGTCACGTTACATGACCCTCCTCTGCTGTACAATCCACTACGTATTGATCATTTCTTCGAAGCAGCCGCCATCTTCTTCTTCCTGTCCTCCTCCTCCTTCTCCTTCTTATCATTATCTTCGGCCATATCCCCAAATGTATACTTGGGCACATACCGCAACATCGGCCAGTTCTTCCAAGTATCCTTCTGTTCGGCCTTAGCTTTGGCTTCTTCCCGCCGCTGGGATTTGCCGAAAAAGGCTTCCCATCGGGTTCCGGTACCGCCATTCTTGCGGTATTGCCAGTATCGCCACCGAAGGAAACCCAGTATCTACCATGCACCACCCGTTGTTTAGTGTATGAATGTGTATCGGTATTTCGCCTCGTCGAGCTAAAATACTGCTCCTGGCACTCACAGCTAGAACGAGCAGTCCAAAGACAACACCCACAGCAATCGCAGTACCCGAATCTGACCCTGTGGTATTCTTTTGACTCGCGCTGTACGGATCTTGTTGCCCAAAGACCCCTCCTGGAATGGCATTCGGAGCTGGACCGTACCCGTAAGCCCCGCCTGTCGCTTGTGCCGTGATCGTCTGCGTGACTAAAGGTCTGCCTGAGAGAATAGCTGAAGCTCCAGCCGGGGCGCCGTTCGGAAGGGTCATGGGTCCTGTTGGGGGCATCACAGGAGAAGGCGAAGGCGATACCTGTGCCTGCAGAGGTGGGTTGACCCCCTGAGGAGGTACCTGGGATGATTGAACGGGCATATTCCCGCCTGGAGGCATTTGAGGAGGAATGGACGGTTGAGTGTTCAGAGGTGGTTGTTGAGCAGGTGGAATCTGCGATGGTGGAGGGGCAGGCGGAGTTACCTGCTGCATACCCGGCTGGCCATACCCAGGGGGCAGTGGGCTAACAATCGCGTTCATTCGGCGTATGATCAGCTCTATGGTATCTCATCTGCGTGGCACTGAGACGAAACACTTACGCCGCCACTTGTCTTTGAGAGAGGTTGGGAGGTAGAACAGGGGCCATCGAGATCGAGGTATATGGCCGGGGAATTGGTGTCACTATCAGCTATGATATATTCGTAGGACGCCTTGATCGTCGTCTATTCAATCAATACAGGTCAATTCATGGTCTCCTTCCGGTATCGAATATCTGAAACTCGTTTCGACGGCATCAGATACTGGACAAAGGAGTGTTCCAGGGTGGACTGCTAGCTAGTTAGGTTTTGGTTTCAGCACAGAAAGTAGATGACTTCGAAAGGGCTTGTGGTGTGATGTGTTGAACCGTCATGGCGGATGCATCGAGACTTTAGGTACTACTACAGCTGATCAAGCCACCGTCGCGACAACGGAGTCGACTTGGAATTACAGGAAGAGCGTCACCGCTATATACACCGCGGGGTGGATGGGCTCGCGGAAAGCTACGAAACAAGCTTTGCGAGACGCGCGTCACTTCTCTGACAGCGATGGCAGGGGCGCTTGCCTTCACACCGATATTTCCATCTGTGGCATCGGTCACAGTGCGACTCGACTTTCCTCTTTTCAGTTTGGGCGGGTTCGTCCCATCTGAGATAATTCTCGAGGTCTCACCGACACATGAGCCGCAGGGGACCCCGATATCCCATTACAACTACCCAGACTGGCAAAGGGGGCAACGGCGGACTTTAGTCCTCGGCTTCGTTCCACTGATCCCACTCTTCAGACTGCCCTTGTGAGGATTTTCTTTCGATACGATGTTTGCATTTTGAAGATCTATATATAACGAGATTCGGACAAGACTGAGCTTGGGTCTTCGATAGAAGATTGCGATATATCCTGAGCGGTTGCGTTTTGTTTGGATTCCATGGCCCAACCGATCAAGTCGCTTTCGAAGGCTGCAGACTCACCGTTGCTGTAGAAGCGCATTCACACTAAAGGGGATAATTCGCTAAACAGGTCAGCACAGACAAGTGACACGACCACGACCACCTAATACTTCTTTGCGCTCGAGCACCCGGATCCCCAATCTCTGCCATTCCACCTAGCTCTCACAACTGTCATGCAGTATCAAAATGAATTGTACGAGTTCCCCTCTCTATCGCTGGAAACTACGTGATCTACAAATTCCTAAGGATGCACTTTGTGATTTCTCTCGCATGGATATACTCGCTCTTTCTCTGGGTACTTCGTTGCGGCCTGCTCGTATGTATATGGCTGCAAGATCGAATTGCTAGCGCAAGGTGTTTTGCTTACAGATGGGCGCCACTCGTTACGCTGATGGAAGCGATGCTCATTCACCACCCTAGGAATGGAACCAGCCTGCACGTGCATGCTATAAGCTTGTGCAAACAGGCCTCAACAAGACTTCCCCTTTAGTATAGTGGATTATGGTGCATAATGTTGACGGTTAGGTCAGTCAGGTCAGGTCATGAGTTCGACTCACGGCGCAGCCTGCTTTTCTAGAGTTTTGCCCTTTTCAATTCTATTTTACAGGATCCGCAACAGGCTTCTAGGTTTCCGCACCTAAGGTCCTAGCAACCACCGTGAACAGATGCCGGCTTAACAGCTACTTCTGGGTGGTTGAGCGCTGATTCTTTTTGTTATTCTTTTTGATTGAATGAGTGTCTGCCTATCTCCCACACCGCTCTGTAACACTCTACATCACACTTTTTGATGATTATATACTCGATTATACTCGCACATGTAATCGTATTTGTACTCATAATCATGATCAAGAAAATCAAGGTATTTGTATTCGTACTCATATTCACAAATGATTACGAGTACGATTATATACTCATGATACTCATAATTGTTGGCAGCACTACGTGCATCAGGCCTAAACAAGGAAGTCGGGCAGCCATTCGAGCGAGCTCCATTGAGAATGGCTTGTAGATTCTACCACCAGGAAGCTGAAGAAACCGATACGTATGGTGGTACGTTGTCCGACAGAGATATTTATGTGTTGAAGATCCACGAACGGAACGGGAAGCCTACGCACGAAGGCGAACAGTGTTTCACAAGAAGAAACGTGCCCTTGAGACCGCTCTGATCCATGCGAAGCGCGTGCACCTTGCAGTGATCTTCTACGAATCAGACTCTACATTCCGACCGCGAACTACAGCTCCTGTTCTGCAGTTTCATATTGTCCTGCTCCTGATGTCTCATCTTCCGCTGCCCCTTCCCCCTTCTTACTCGTCCTGTTACCCCTCTTTCTCGAGTCAGCCCAATGCCAAGTACATGTCAAGCCCCTTTCCACACACGACAAGCAATCAGAGGGCATGCCAGTGACATTACGCCCGCCTGAACACTTCGTCTTCCTCCTTCTGCAATCGTCGCAAGCAATATTGTTCTGCTTGCGCGTGTTGGATTTCTCCAGCGGTAAGTCTGAGGGAGCTTCGTAATCACAGGCTTGTGATCCTGTAGCTTTGCACATATCACATGGCTGGAGACCATCGCATTTGATCCTGCGTTGTCTGCACTGGATGCAGGGCACTACTCTGCGGGACAACTGCGACCCTCTTGCTCCGACAGTGCCTTTAGACCCTTGAAGAAAGACAAGGCTCTCATTGGCACGCTCTCCTTCTCGTCCAGAGGCTGCATACGGTGAGTGGCCGCTAGTGCCTGACGCGCAATTGCGGTCAAACTTAGACGTGGCTGGATCATATGTTCTAACTTCGATTGTCCGCCCCGCGGTCGACGGTGCGCCTTCCATCAGACCGGAGGAATCAGAGTTTGTAAAGACGGCTTTAAAGACGGCTGCGTCAGGAGACGTCGAGAAGTCCTGATCACTGGCGTTCCTGCTCGTTTCGTGCTGGGCAACCTGAGCTGCCCAATTGCCCAAGGCGTCCCGTAGTCGCACTTCGACTGGCATTGCCCATGAACAATCTTTCTTGTACTTAACACATCTATCACACCTTGGAGGCGCGCCTTTACACGGTCGCTTCGACTTTTTGCATTGATCGCAAGCAGTCCCGAGCTTGCGGTTCTTCCGTCGACCCTCCGGTGGCAACTTTGGACAGTTCTCAGCATACAGCTGGTCCGCAAGATCCCGACACTGTTGGCACGGATAATGGCCATCGCATTTGATTTTCCTTTCCTTGCAGAACTCACATGCATGATGTCCACTACGGGCGCCGGTCTTCAAGCTTTTTGCGCTTTTGCTCGGGAGACCGTCATCTTCACTAGTGAAGGTATTTTCACGGCCGTGAGCGAGATCTGATGAAGTTTCAACATTTGAAGGATAAGATGGAGTTGTAGCGGCCGAATTCGAAATGATTCCGGGGTCGGAAGTGATGCTCTTATCCTGAACGAGCGAAGAATCTCCTTCGAGCATATGTGAGGAAGAAAGCCTGGCGTCAAGGCAGAGTGTTCTTTTTTTAGTTTTGGCAGTTGCGATCTTCTACTCACGACGGGAATCTTATCCTGACCCCCTTCACCTCGTGCACTGTATAAATATACTTTACGCTCCAACATCGTTTGTCGATCTTTTCAGACCCCGTTCGAAACTCCCTTTCATGGCCCATTCGGATGAGGGAATTGGATGTTGCGCTATATGAGGTCATAATTTCCTTTCATTGACGTGATCCCTCTCAAGGAGATGCTGGTCAAGCAGCCTGTAGCTCCGCCCTTACTCCGGCAATCTTACAGCGATAGGGCGATCGCCATTTCCTGGCGCAATAGTATTCATAGCCAAGTAGAACCGTACGTACAATGGCTGACCAATCTACGAGTACGACTACTTGTGGATATACATGTACCCACACCCCTCTGAAAGCGTCTGATGTCAAGCTTGACTACTGTTTGAAAGTCCCACATTATCATCGTTAATTGGCCTCGTAATCGCTTTGTTCTTGGATGTCTTGGGTGTCCAAGTACACTTTCGAAGGCTCGTCTTACAACGCTGACATGTGGGTTTTTCGCCGTCACATCTGGTCTTATCTCGGCGGCACGCGTCACAGACAACTTTCGATTGCGTCCATCTCGGCTCCTGCTTCGGCTCTGTTGAGTTGGGGGGTCTGCCCAATTGGAACTCCCTAGTAGACCCTTCTTCGTGCTGAAAACTGCCACTGACGTTGTTGGATGTGAGATTGTCGCCGAGGGAAGTTTGGTTCGTAATGTGACTCTGGCCCCCTACTTCCTCATTTGGCGAATGCACAGCCGTGTCATGGCCAGATAGACGCTCGCGAGCGGTAATTTCCGACCACGCAGGCGTCATGACTCTGGTGGAAGTACCGCCGGCTCCTGATCGTTCGGGGTTCGTGAAAAGCTCGTTAAGGTCGATCTCCTCGATACCCGCAAACATCACTCGGAATCGAAAATCGAAATCGAGACTATATTGTTGCTCAGTGGATGTAGGAATATTCGTATGATCCATCACTGTACGATTCATCAGGGTTCGATGGTCGATGGCGATGGTATGCGCTGGCTGATTGAGGTCAGGTAAGAATGCAACCGGAGGATATGTCCTGCGCGCTCTTCTCCCGTATGTATATCCCTATATCTGAGGCGAGTTGGTCCATTCTCGATCACCCACGCGATCGTTCTTGCCTCATGTGACTCTTGGTAGCGCTGATATCTCTAGACTGCGCCGTTTTGGAGCCCAGAAAGGCGATCTCCGCTTAATTTCCGAAACAGGCATCTTACAATTCCGCCACGCTCTTCACCTTCTCACGATGTCGTACGTTATACATGTCGCTGCATGGCTCCTTTGTCTCTCATACCCCGTGTGTTGTTATGCTTCCATGCGATCGATCTGGTTTTTCTCTCAGCCCATGACTCAAGCGGCAGTCGAATTTGAAGGCAAGCGGAATGACCCTGTCGAATACACAGCAGTGAGGTCGAACGGCAGTGTCATGGAGAGCCAGTACAAGCTGAACACGACAAGCAAAGACGCCCATGAAAGATACTCTTCGTCGCTCCAAACCGCCATAGTCAGGTCCACCATCTTCAACGTCACATCTCTCGTCCTGATCACATCTACCATCGGCCAGGTATGTTCGCTTTGTAAGACTTCTGTCCTCGATTCATCTTTAACAAGACGTTCAAGCAATCAGAACGATTAAAAACGCGACAGGATCACCCGGCTTGTTCGCCTCAGCCGGAACCCTTAGTTGTGATTTGTCGTAGCACGAATTCTATCAGTGTGCTACTAGCTATACATGTCGATGTAGTCCACAATCTGCCACGATCTGCTATCTCATTTCTCTCCGGAATCGCTTTCAACTGTGAAAGCAGGAATTCGATCGATATGAAGACCTGATATTTGGCGCAGTTCTTGCGCCTAGAGATTCGAGATCGCAACTGGGCGCGCCACCAAAATGATTTCCTGGTTGCGTGCGGATGATCTCTTAGTTGCGCTGCACAACTTCGGCAACAGAAACACCTTCGTCCTTAAGCATTCACTTGAGTAGCTGGCGACCGCATAAGATCGAATGTTTGCTGCTTCATGCTCTTTTGTCCTGCTGAGTACCGCGCCCCTTCTTTTTGCATCCGACGCGAACTCGATGACACGCCGGAACCTTTTCTTCTTTTGTTCGAGAAAAGTCATCTTGCTCGATATACAGATGTGACTTTCTCGATATCGTCGACCTATTCTCACTCCAAAGATGCTTATTCACGTCTCACTCTGATACCAGCTCACGACACGATGCCAGACCCGGCCGTCGACCTAGCCCGTTCGCGCACGACCACCACCCTGCAGCCTTCTGAGTCCTCTGCCTCTGGTTTCAGGCGGGTCATCGATGTACCTCCGGACAATGGGAAGAAGAAACGAGGAGGGTTGTTCAAATGTAGGCCAGATCCTAGCGAGTACAGAGATCCTTATGAACAGGTCAGTGATGTTAGAGACGATTCGAGCGGATAAAGGATGGGCAAAGGACCGGACGATCGGACTGACGCTCAGCTTGGGTCGCATGTGTTGACATGCAGGGTCTGCAAGTCGGAGGTCCCACCCTCGAAGCCTACTATCCCAATCCCGAAGCCATACCCACATACGCTCAGCCAACTCCATCTACCGTCCCATCTAGCGGTCTCGGAGCATCAGATCCCATCTACTCTGGCGGGACTGAGATGGACCTGAGTTGGAACGAAAAGAGGAAACTGGAGAAATACGCCAAACAGGTTCGGAAGGATGAAGCGAGGAGGAAGAAAGAGAAGGAGAAGTGGCAGCGGGATATGGAGAGACGGGCGGCGATAGAAGAGAGGAAGCGGTTGAAGTGAGTCTTCAAGGTTCTGGCCGGTGTGCACTGCATCAGGTCGTTTGTCGTGATTTAGACTGTGAACTGACCGAGCCTTGCTGCTTCGCATACGCTCCTGTTCATTCTCACAATGCCACGCTCTGAACGGCCTCACTTTTCACCTTCATCACGCCCTGCTCCTCGTCACTTTTCATTTTCAAAACGACCAGAGACCAAGAGAAAGAACTCTCCGCCTACCGAAAGGCCTCCACCCACTCTCGGTGGAACCTCTTCCGACCCTCCTCTCATACCCACTTCCCGGGACCTCCCCCTGGTTCCGGGACGAACGTGGTGACACCATACCAGAACTATACACCAAACGGAACAGCTTGGGGTGAACATACGTACAGCTACCCAGCTACATATTCTGGTCGACCCTTACCGCTCCTCAAACCTACTGCGACGAGAGCAGAGACGTATACCGCACTCCCACTCCCTGTCGGACCGGCGGACATGGCTTCGGCAGCGGGAGCAGGGGCAAGAGGCGGGTTACAGCCGTGGGAGGGGTACGGGATCAGGAAGATCGGGGGAGAAGGGGGGTGGACAGGGATGAGTCGGTACGTACTTGGTCATAGCGCGGTACACCGTGCGATCAACGTTCCTGGGGAACCGAAGGGCTTGGCTGATGATATATTTTCGCTTTGGGTCTGATCACGGCGATGGACTTGCTATAGGACAATGACGCACGTAAGTGATCAGACCCTCTTGAGTTGCCCCGAGCTTACGAGACTAAATCATCCCGCTCTCACTTTGCTTCAACCCGTCTTTCGACCCCGATCGTCACCTCGCTTGAACTACGACTTCCACCGATCAACATCGGTTCCAAAACACTCCACTCGTACCCTCTGAATCCCCTTCGAATTCCCTATCGGTATCCTCCTTTGTCGCTACCGCAGGCCCTGGTGGGCATGGATCACGACCACTACGTCCGAGCTGGACAACGAGGATTCGTCGTATGACGATCGAATAATTTGCCATTCAATCGGTCTTGGGGCGGTCCGGAGAAACGTTCGCCATGATAAAAAAAGGTGAATCTGGGGAAGAATATCGACCGTCAAAGCTAGGACCGAAATCTGCTTGTATACGAAAACAAGATGAGGCTTGAGGAGGCGCCGGCGCCGAAGGGATGATGCTATGTGTTCTGAAGATACAAGAGGAGAATCAACAGAAGTATCCGAAATGATGCTGGACCCGATCAAGGGTAGTTGTATATGTTAACGTAGTCCCAAGTTATGCAACGCAGATCACATCGAATGATTTGAGGTCATATGAGCGGCGGGTCGCTTCCGTCGCATACGGTGAATCAGACTGGACCGAATAGAGCTTTGTATATACGCTGGTCGGTGGTCAAGGAAAAGAGAGTGGAATTGGAAAGGTTCATCAATGGACCGCGCACGCCGCGCTCATCGTCGACCATCATGCAGACCTCGTCAAGAGATTCGACTGGCGGTCGTCTCGCTTGCTTCAGTTTGAGATACCTTTGGCTTCCGCCTCGTGAATGTCGGCGTCTGAGCGTTAAGTCGGTCCCGGCCGATTAAAGAAGACGTCGACCCTGCGATCGCTGCGAGTCTGTCATGTGACTTCAAACCTGAAACGATATCCACCTCGGGCTTTGGCTCGTTTCGGGCGCCCGATGGCGTCGTCGGACAAAGCCGAACACCGGAACGTTCCCGGCCCGGACTCGCTCGATTAATCGGTGGATTACGTTCTATGGTGCCCCATGGCGGAAAACGCAGAGGTCGGGGAAACGCTTCGTGCTCTCGCTGCCGTTCGATCCACCGGGACATCCACGTGTGAAACCGATCGCCTCCCTTTGAAACAGATACGGGGTCGTCACGGCGGGCCGGTCAGGAAGGAGCTTGTAGAGATGACGATGGCCGAGCGCCCGAGCTTTCTCCTTGTTCTCCACCTCCTTCCTGCGCTTTCCACGAGGTCGAGCATCGCGGATCCGTCGAGGCGGATGCGGGATGGACCGGGATGACTTCTCGCCGTCTTGGCTGTTTGTTGCACGAGTGACCCCCCTGCCACCCAAAGTGAGGTATATAAACAATCCCCAGATCCCTCATCCATCAGCATCCCGCGCCCTTGATCATGTCTCGAAAGCGTTCCCTACCATAAATCCTGCAGCGCTCAGGTCGAATCATAAACGCGCCCCTGTATAATCGAATCAAACTTCTCGCCAACTCACCATGGCCTTCGGTTTGAACACTAATTCGGACCCTTCCGAGGGTGTCATCCGTAACGAGACCGGCACTGTCGGGAACCCTGCCGACTATGCTCATCTCGTCAAGGACGCCGCTACCGCCGATGCGGCCGAGCATACCATGAGCGTCCGACAAGCCTTCAAAATCCACAAGAAGGCTGTGTTCTGGAGTATGGCGCTTTCGGCCGCTCTGATCATGGAGGGTAAGACAGACACCTTTCGAACTGCATATCACACAGTCCAAGAAACGAACGCTCACCTCGGAAACAAATGTCCGGCTGCGCTGCAGGTTACGACGTCGTCATCATCGGATCCTTCTACGGCCACCCCTCCTTCCTCCGTCGATTCGGAGAGACCGCAGAGGACGGGACCCGTTACATCCCCGCCCAGTGGCAAAGCGCTCTGTCGAACGGTAGTAGCGCTGGAGGCATCATCGGTCTGATGATCAACGGTTGGGCCGCCGAGAGGTTCGGACCGAAACAGGTCTATCTGGCGGGAATGGTCGCCATGGTCGGGGCTATCTTTATCACTTTCTTCGCCAACAGTCTTGGTAAGTCCCCGTGTGGGGCCTCATTACGCACTGTAGACTGATTCCTCGTTCGTCTTTTTCATCATGTAGGTATGCTCGTCGCTGGAGAAGTCATCTGTGGTCTTCCCTGGGGTGTTTTCCAGGTTCGTCTCCCGACTCGCCTCGTATTCCGCGTGTCGCGCCTCGTGCTCAGCCTATCATTCCCCTCGCGATCGTAGACCTTGACTACCGCTTACGCCGCCGAGGTCTGTCCCATTCAACTGCGTGGATACCTTAGTAGTTGTGAGTATCATTCGTTTGTGCTAGTCTCTAGCCAAGTGAGACGAGAGCTAAAACGTTCGTCTGCTCCAGACGTCAACTTCTGTTGGGGAGTCGGTATCTTGATCAGTTCGGGAGTCGCCAAGGCCACCATCACGGATCTGTCCGACATGGGGTGAGTGGACTCGCATTGATACGCCACTGTGATACACTCGAGCTGACCTTGACGATGACGCTTAGCTGGAAGCTTCCCTTCGCACTCCAGTGGATCTGGCCGGTTCCTCTCTTCATAATGGCCTGCTTCGTGCCCCAATCACCCTGGTGGCTAGTCCGTCAAGGGCGTTACCAGGACGCCGAGCGATCCGTCGCCCGTCTCACCGATGCCGAACACTACTCGGAGCTCGAGGTGAAACAGTCGGTGGCCATGATGATCCATACGACCGAGATGGAGAAGCAGACCACGGCGGGCGCGAGTTACATCGACTGTTTCAGGGGGGTGGACAGGAGGCGGTCGGAGATTGCCATGATGGTGTTCGCAGGGTAAGTCACGGCTCACTGATGTTGATACAAGATACGTGCTGATCGTCGCCTTGTACGTCTTCACCACAGTCAACTATTGAGTGGTCAAAACTTGATCGGTCAGGGAGTTCAGTTCTTGCAGAGGGCCGGAATCGATACCGAGGCTTCCTTTAGCGTCAACATGGGTCTCAACAGCGTGAGTCCCGTTGCACTGATTCGCCATACGAGTGGCCGATATCGAACCTGTCATTTCGATCGTATAGATGTTCTGTATCGGTACCATCTGCTCTTGGTTCGTAAGTCACAAAACTTTTGGGGTCGCTTACATATGCCCTGCACAGCAGCTGACTCCACCTTGTATGCGTCTCAGTTGCTCTCCAAATTCGGTCGTCGAACGCTATACATCTCCGGTTTCGTATGCATGGACATCGTCCTCCTCATCATTGGCGGATTGGCTTTCAAGGATACCTCGGGAACCGCCTGGGCTTCGGGGTGAGCCATAGATTACCGTAGCCTGATTTCGTATCTTCTTATACTGATGAAAACCGTGTTGCTTTTGGATGCCACAGTATTCTCCTCATCTGCCTCAATTTGATCTACAACTCCACTCTCGGCCCGGTCTGTTACACCTTGATCAGCGAGGTTGGATCTACCCGATTAAGGCAAAAGACGGTCGTACTCGCCCGTATCTCTTATCAAATCATGAACATCATCTGTGGGATCATCGGTGAGTTCTACTTTTCCATGCTTTCTATGCTTCGCGCCCTTGACCTCGCGCTTACTATCTGCTGCTATACAAACTTGCTGTAGTCCCAAGGATGTTGTCGCCCGACGCGTGGAACCTGAGGTCGAAGAGTGCTTTCGTATTCGTAAGTCACGCCCCATCTCAGTACAGTCCTCCGGCGCTGATTTCGACAACGATATGGCTCTGCATAATCGACGAACAGGTTGGCACGTGTACTTTGACGCTCATCTACATGATCTTGAGGCTTCCCGAGACTCGTAACCGGTAGGTCCCGCGCGCCAGTCATTCCATGATAGGAAGGAAAGAAAGTTGAAGGTTCGGTTACTATTCACCAGATCCTACGGAGAGCTCGACATCTTGTTTGAAAACAGGGTACCGGCTTGGAGATTCAGCAAGACCAAGGTCGACCGTGAGTTGTTCTCCCCCCTGTTTCGTGTCCTCTCCCTCAACTCGGCTGATGTATTCGATGACATTCCCGATCGGTCGGCGCAGAGTTCAACTTGGATCACCAGGAGGAAGAGTTGGATCACTCGGACAAGCAGGATCTCAAGGGAGATACCGAGCATACCGAGTATCCGGCTCCTCGATGATCAGTTTCGTGCGCTTCAGATTCATATAGACTCGAGGCGTTTTATTTGGTCGACTGAGTAGTATGCTAGGTAATATTTCCCGTTACTTTGTATAATACGACTAGGCGTTGATTATTGATGAGCTGTGCAAGCGATCTACACTTTCAGAAGTGGAATGCTGTATGTTGATCTCGATGGTCACGGAGATGCGCGACGCCTTTGAAGCACACCGAATGGAGTTTCAGCGCGTCCAGGCGACGCGCAAACACCGCAGGCGATTCGAAACGAAAGCTCCTTGCCTGTCTCATCTGAATCTTAGAGTACGACCTGCACTTTATCGTATACAGTATACTGAGACGCTCTGATCGCCTGGCTTGATACAGAACGCGGGTACCATACAACATAGCCTGCCGAAAGATGCGCCGACCCGAAAGTCTGCCGGATGATTTAGGGGGAAGGATCCCCGCGCTAGTCCGCTCGTCAGCAGACCACTTCTGCCTAGTTGGACATCTCGGACTATTGGTTATATGCAATCGAAGGAAAATTGAGCAGCTTGAGGAGCAGCGATACACAGGGCCACACGAGACCTTCGCATCCTTGCTACCTACCTTTCCAGGTAGCCAGCAGCATGCAGAGAGGGGAAAGATCGAGATATGGAGCTAGCTCGTCATCGGTGGCAATTTACTTCATGCCGGCCGTCTGAATCCGTCACTAGCTCGTCAACTCGGTAGAATCCATTACGACCTTTTGCACCATCGCCGTACCCATCGTCCGCGGGCATCGTCGTCGATCTTCGATTGTGGAGATATAGTCGCTAGATTTAGGCGGGTCTCCATGGGGCGAGACTGTCGGTGATGGCGGGTCGATATGAAGAGCATATCGATGGGGACTTGGCATATATAGCGGGTGAGCAAACCGAGTTCTTGAGACGAAACCTGGGGACGACGAAACATCACCACAAACCGCAGCTAAATTCGGACACACTTTGCAAACATGTTGACCACCACCGTTCTGATCGCCATCCTCCCCCTTCTCGCCTCGGCTTCTCCTCTTACATCCCGTAACAACAACGGCAAGAACCAGAAGACCGGGCTGAACGGTCTCGCCGCCCGTACCGGCCGTTACTTTGGAACCGCCACTAACTCGTTCAACGTACAAGGTCTTACCCCGGTCGGACCTTACAATAACGTTCTGGACTATGAGTTTGGGGGAGCGTTGACTCCGGAGAACGAGGGGAAATGGGAGGTCATTCAACCTCAGGAGAATGTGTTCAACTTTACCGGAGTCGACATTGTAAGTCGGCATCAAGCTCAGGATCATTTCCCTCTTCGAGATAGGCGCTGACTGGCTTCCCTTATATTCTTCATAATCGTATTTGTCTATGCTCAATCTGTACAAACGAATCATAGATCGTTGAAGATGCCAAACGCATCGGAGCTCTGGTTAGGGGTCACAACTTCGTCTGGCACCAACAGGTGAGTTGAGGCGGTCAAGATATGACAGTGACGCTCACTCGAGCTGACTTCCCTCGACTCTGATACGTCAACGCAGACTCCTGCTTATGTTACCAACATCACCGACCCGGAAGTCCTCAAACAGACTCTGAGAACCCACGTCGAGGCGGTAGCTGGCAGGTACAAGGATGACTGGGCGTATCTCGATGTCATCAACGAGCGTAAGTCATTGGTACACCTGCCTAAGTGGAAAGTTCGAGGGACAGCTGACCTCGCTACTCTACATGACCCTCTGCTAGCCTTGTTCGAGAACGGAACTTTCAGGGATAGTGTTTGGTATAACTTGCTGGGAGAGGACTACCTGGAGTTTGCCGTGAGTATCTGGCCTACCTGTGCTTAGAAAACGGCGGAAAGCGTCCAGTATCTGATCTGCTACCACCTCTGAACTCGGCATCCAACAGCTCCGTACGGTCCATGAGGTAGCACCCAACATCAAGCTTGGAATCAATGGTATGTTTCGGGGCAAGACCGAATCAGCTGATCGAGATTAGTTAACAATTATCCCCTCGTGGATTCTCCCTCAGACTACAATATCGAGTCTGTGAACGAAAAGTCGATGGCATACGCCAGAATCGCCAAGAACCTGCTGGACAAGGGAGCACCATTGCACTTTATCGGTAAGTCAGACGGTTCCGAACCTGCTGCAGCCGTTGGCGCTTCTTTCCCTGGTGCTGATATCGAGCTTCCTGTTCCCTTTAGGCTTCGAATCTCACTTCGTCGGTGGTCAGAGCCCTCAGGACATCGCCGCGTCGATGAAGCAATTCACCGATCTTGGCTTGGAGGTCCCCTTGACCGAATTGGACGTGAGGGTTTCAGTCGGCCCTGAAGATGTGGCAAACGCAACCGGGTTGGCCGTCCAGTAAGTCTAGCCTGACATGCATCGAGGAGGGAGAATGCGGTCGCACGACAGTATCAGCGCGGACTGATCACCGCTTTTTCGCGCTTCCTTGCTACATTCTCCTCCATCCTGCTCACGTCACGCTTCTTTCGACGTAGGGCAAGCGACTATGGAAGCTCTGTTCAAGCTTGCGTTGACAACCCGCTCTGTCCCGGAGTGACGGTCTGTACGTCATTTTCTTTTCACTGCGACCAAGAATACGTTCTCGCCATGATACTGACCTCGATCTCGTGCCGCGCCAATTATTCAATCTACCCCGGTGTCGAAAACCACGACGACGCATTTAGGGCAATTCTACGACCCGATCTCCTGGATCCCTGGAGTCTTTCCCGGTGAGGGTGCAGCTCTCCCGTACGATGCAGCCTACAAGCCCAAGCCGGCTTATGGCGCTATCGAAGGGGTTCTCAAGGGTGCGAAGAAGAGCGCTCAATACAAGGGGAACAAGGGGAACTCGGGAAAGTAGGCAGAGTGGGGTAGATATGATGCTGATTGGGGTCTCACGATGGTCAGAACGGAATGACGTAGCGGCACATAGTTCAGAAGTCCAGAATTCTAGTAATAAGATGTATACATAATCAATATGCGATCGATACTGTCGCTCGATCGACCTCGTTCCTATTGCAGGTCTGGATCTGATGGAGCTCCGTACTGTTCAGGAGTCATGTACGATCGAGGCTAATTGATCTGCAGAGTGTCGGTGTTTGAATGGTAGTAGGACTTCGTCCAGACAATTAGTAAATCGGAAAGCACTTTTCAATCAAGCCCACCCAACGCCGTCATACCGACGCGATCAATACAGATCAAAATCATCGATCAGGTCACAAGCGCAGGCCAAAGTCACTAGGCTACAGAACTTCAGAGCGTTATATAACAGATGCATGAGAGTCAAAACATTTACCCCATGGAATACGATCTACCGCTCGGGATCGGGTGTATAGTATAGTCTCTATACTGTATAAAGTCTCCGTCACAGCCGTCTCGGTGTGCGAGACGACGAGTCGCTTTCTCGTAGAGATATAAAGCGTGCTGCTGATGAGTGTTGGGTTCTGGATGTTCAAGATGGCACATAGGAAGGTCGAGCTTGATGATGTGCAGAGGTCGGACCCGAGTGGTCGGATGCTGGTCTCGAAATGCTCTCGGTTGAATACATCGGTTTCTGCTTGATCGCCATATCGCTTCAAGGCAATGGTCGCACTGTCGAGCTATCGGTAAAGGAACGTCAGTCACGACGGCCGTTGTCGCTCGCTGATCCCCGTAACTTACGAGTGTTTCGCATGAACAGACTATCCGTCCCGGACTATTATCAATGGTCACGCGATTTCTTGTTCTGGTGCGAGTCTTCCCCATGTTCGCCAGCCGGCCTCTTCTTTAGCCCCCTTCCACGATGCCCTTGATGAGCAGCCTGATGACCCTCCCTGATTTCTTGGCTAGTCTCCCTCTCGCGTTCGTCCCTCTGCTCTCGTTCTTCTCTCTCCATGATAGCATTCTCCTGGGCTTCGATGTCGTCCTCGTCAAGCTCTCTGATAGGGGAAAGAGTCCCGGAGGAGTGGAGATTGGTGCTGATGGACTCGAAGGAGTCGAGAGGGGTGGCCGGACTGACAGATGGTCCTGGGACGGCAAGGAGGATATTGTCATCCGAAGATCTGGTCGAACTGGAGAGGGGAGTGGATCTAGTATTCTGATAGGTGGTCTCATTGATGGTCGATCCCGCTACTGCAGTCGATCTCGCAGCGAGCCTAGCAGTATCGGAATCGAGACCGGGGCTGAGATCCGATTGGCCGGGGTGATGATGAGTGGAAGCGGGGCTTGTCGAGGATGAGGAATGTTGGTACACGGAGCCTGAGGCGGCATCAGGGGCGGAACCGTTGAGGGGAATGGTGCCAAGGGATTCGGATCCGGGAAGGAGACTCGACGACGACATCGACCTCGGAACGCTTCGGTACGGTTCAGGTTCAAAGAAGGGGATCGCGATAGGCTCGTCCTGCAACGCCTCTGTCTCAGCGATACCGTCGATCTTCGTAGTATGACTGATGATAGACGGCTCAGTCTCGGCGGGCTTGAGCTCGAGCAAGAAAGAGAGCTAGATACAAAGCAGGTGGTGAATCCTGCGCATTGGGAAGGACAAGAATGAATCGACTTACTGTTATCCTGTCCAGCCGCTTCGTTGTTTTTCTGAGCGTCCTCGATGGCTTTGAACCTCTTGTCGATTCTCAAGCTATATCAGTCATTAGTGGAGACAAAGTGTTGAGGTGCATCAGGACGAAGTGTACGAGGTGAACCAACGCGGTCTGGTGATTGAGCTCGATCACATACCTGTCTCCAGCCAAATCTGTGAAAAGAGTAGTCATGTTGTGATTGTAGCTGGTCTTTTAACCTGCTAATTCGCTTTCCAAAGAGTGGACCTTTCTCCATAGTTGTTCGAACTCTGCCTCGTATTGCCTATTCCGGCTGAACATGGTTCAGAGCGAAGAGAGCGACCGAGCCGGATCGCGAGGGTAGGAGAGATTTATGGTATAGGAGGTATCCAATTGGCTAGGTATAACGTCTGGTGAACGGAATGATTGAAGGAAAGAAGGTGTAAAAAATATCGAGAAGCGAGAAGGTCGAAATCGCTCTGATCTTTCGATCCAACGGCGGCGAGGTTCTCAGCGCCTAGCAGACAGCGCTTTTCCAAGGTGACGACTACCCGATCGGGCAAGCTGCCCTTGTACGTAAGCGAGCAAGTCGGACGTACCTGATCGATCTCGAGCTCCGGCTGTTGAAGGGAAACATCGCGCATCGCGATCTCGTGATCGTGATTTGCGTTTTTTGCTTTCGATTGATCCTTCAAAAGGATTGATCGATACTTCTCCTGCTGCTTCTGCCCTGGGTCGGTGGCTTTTGTTTACTTTGTCGTCGACCAACAACCTTCTATCGCGCGTGGCTTGGCGCGTTTCACCTGCGATCGATCATGGAACAGGACCGGCATCCCCGGCATGTCCCGGTCGGCTACATGCCAGGAACTAGGGGAGCACCAGCTTAGCTGCTTAGCAGCATTAGCAGAGAAGTATATAACAGAATGACCAGATCCGCGGTGCAAGCGAAGATGGCGACCCGCCACCCCAGACCTGATACTCCCCGGTCGCCTTGCCTGCTTACCTGCGCGAGAAGCAACAAACAGGAACTCCACCATCAACATCATCGACCTCCAGACCGAATCCTCTGCATCACCTACGTCCACGTCTCGAGTCTGAGATCTGATAGGCCTTCTCACATGTTCGTACTACCAGTTACTGATCATTGTCCGCTACCTGTGCGGTTCGTCAGACTACCCGAGTTCGATGCGGGCTGCAGTGGGGGATCGCCGGAATGGTCCAGTAAGTCTTTTCGTTTCTCGAAGTTCATGCCCTCGCTTTTGCTCCACATCTCAGAACTCTCAATCTGATTGTGTTCTACAATATTTGCAGCACCTCGAGATAAGTATGAAGTTCTTGCGCAGAATCAACGACGCAGGAACAGACTTCGACCGGGGCCATCCGACCAGTGCCCTAGTCAAGATTAAATGAGAAAATTAGACCGAACCGGAGCGGCACCTCTGCAATCATAACTCCCGCTCCGTTCGGTCCCAGTCATCACAACCCCTTTCCCCTGCTCTGTCGTTGCGCCGCAGTGCGACTACTCGACGGCCAAGCTAGAGCTCGCTGAACATCAGTTGAGCTTCCGGTCTACCCCGAAGGGACGGATAGAGAATTGCTCGTGTTCCGGCTGGGAGCATCTTGGTCGACGGGCTTCAGGAAAAGCGACACGCTCGGGGGACGATCTGATTTCCCTTTCAAGCATCGATACCGGTTAAGGACGGCCGTCATGGCTTGAAACAGAAGGTGGAGCGGGAAGTGACGGACCGCTCTTTGGGCCACACGCGGTCTGAGGGGTGCGTGTCAAGTCGCCTGTGATGCCTGATGACGTACACCGTACGACAACACGATCTGCTGGAAGGACGGTCCCGGTGAGTCGAGTGTCTGTGGGTTCCTATTCGGTCTTGCATCGACTGATGTATCTGCGATCGTCATCATGTAGGCGTACACGAATTCGGGATTAGATCAAGGCTCGATATGAGATACAAGATAAGCACAACGCGTTGACGACACTCGCTCCGACAAGGCATTTGCTGATTCTTTTTTGGCATACATCGTCAGTCAGGTTCGATTGTCCGGACTGAACGTCTGTAAGTCCTATCTCCTTTCTCAGATGATGTCATCCACCCGCAGACCGCTGATCACTGCATCGAACGTTTCCCGCGCCACAGGGCAACAAGGGTTTGCACACGGCAAGAACGAGTTCCAGGGAAAGGTAATTCGACATTTCCGTTCTTTTGCTCTCGGCTTGTCCCCGTTGTGCTATTCCTTCGTCCTTTTACCGCACATACGCCTGGCGAATGCACATTACGTTACGACATCGATCAAAGCGGTATCTTCCAATGCATGGCGACGGATCCGAAAACGATCACGCTGCGATGATACGAATTCGGAGATTGTCAAGTCGTGTTATATGCGCAACGAACCTCCAAACGAACAACGCCTGCGATCGGGTGAGGTCTGAGATGAACACCCTCGGGCGCAATCCCTGGCGGATCTTTCTCGTTCGCTACATATTCATTATGGTCATGACAGCTCGGAAATCTATATTATCACGTATTACACCCGCAACAAGCGCACTAGGACGAAAAGTGAGGCGCGTTAAGGATGATACCCATCAACAATCCACCCAAGAGACCGGCGATCGGGATGGTCATGATCCAGGCGAGTCCCAAGAGACCGACTCGGTGGAAGTTGACCGCCTTGAAGGTCCCGTTACAGAGACCAACACCAACGGTGGCACCGGTGATGCACATCGACGTGGAAACGGGGAGCGAGTATTGCGAGAAGACGAGGACGGTCAGGGCGGCACCCATCTCCATCGACGATCCTCGGCTGGGAGAGTGGTAGGTAATCTTGTTGCCCATCACTGTAAGCGCGAGCGAAAAAAAAAAAGTTCAAGGTCAGTAAGCGAATCGATCAGGGGTCAAAAGATTGTGAAAGCGCCGGTATTCACCCTTCATGATGTTGTACCCGTAGGTGATCAAACCCAACGAGATGGTGGCCGACAGAACGGCGAGTTGCCAGACAGGAACAGGGGCCTTGGCCTTGGCCGCGGTACCAGTGCTCCAAGCCGAGTAAATGACAGCCCAAGGTCCGACACTATTGAAAGGAGTTTGCGTGAAGACAGGGCACTCGGTTAGTCGATGCTTTGGTTTTCGCGCATGCGGGGAAAACGAAGCTTACCTGTTACCAATGTCGTTAGCGCCATGGGCGAAGGAGGCGGTACAGGCGGTCAAAACCTGAATGAAAGAGTAGGTGTGCTCGACCTCGTTGGGGTACTTTTCGGCGTGGGCGTAAACGCGTTCCATACGAGCTCCTTCAGGGGTTCCGGCGACTCCGGTCTGGGCGGCGTGGATGTCGTAGTGCATACCGTACAGCGCTCCGCAAACGATCATGGCGGGAATACGTTTGAGCATGATCCGGATGTTGTGGAGTTCGTAAATGGCACCGGGACCCATGGGGTTCTCGTGCAGAGTTCTCATGGCCCATCCGATCGGTCCCTTCTTGGCGCGAAGCTTGGCATGCAATCGTTCCTCACCGGCAGCCATGAGCTCGTTGTAAGTCGGTTGGGGAGCTTCGCTACCGGCGTGAGTGGGAGAGTGGGGAGCGGGCGAGGTGTACAGGGCGTCCTTGATCTCGCGTTCCTCGCTGTTCTGACGGGTCTCATTGGCGGAGGATACCTCATTGACGACGGGCAACTGCGCTATAGCCTTCTCGTCCTCATCCTCGTCGTGCTGGACGACGGCATAGTTGGGAACGGTCGACTTGGAACCGGCGTCAGGAGGAGCGGGGCGGCTGAACAGGAGAGGACCGTAGACGAAGTGCCACCACTTGAGGGTGTAGTCCTTCTTGATCACCTTAGCATGAACGAAAGGAACGAAGAAGATGGCGGAGAGAAGAGCGACACCGGCTCCGGTTCCCATGACGACCGAGACGATCCACCACTTGGGCTTCTTGCTCAGCCCCAAGGAAGGAGAACCCTTATAGACGATCGACAGGGTGCACAGAGTACCGGCAACGAGGAAGAAGAAGGGCGAGGTGTAGACGGCCCAGGGAACCGGATCCTTTCGCATGTGAACAATGACCTTGATGAGAGTAAAGATGATGGCAGCGAAACAGGCCGAGATGGTAGGCGCCATTCCGAGTCCGGCGTAGATGGCACCGAGACCTTTTCCGTGGTTCCATCCCCATTGAACTTGAGAAGCACCGACCGTAGCGACACCGACACCGGCGACGGCAGAGACGAGCGAGTAGGTCGAGGAGACATGAGCCGAGTGACGAGTGCACCACATGACCCAGGAACTGGCAGCAGCCAAAGCACAGGCTGCAAGGTGAAGCAGACGGACGTTGATGAGCATCAAGGACAGACCTCTCACGGACACGAGCGCCTCTTTAGAAACTTACTGAAAGCCAACATCTGGACACCAGCGTCACCACGGAACGCCGAGTTGGGAATGATACCATTCTTGATGGTATCGGCCGTCCTGGCTCCGACAGTGATGGCACCTAGCATCTCGAATACGGTCCCGAGTACCATCGCCTGACGGTATGAGACGGATCGACTGGAGACCGAGGTAGCCCAGGAGTTGGCGACATCGTCTGGTAACATCAAGTCGAGGCGAAAGGTGAGCGGGCAGGCGACTTCGCGAGAGAGACATTGCGCAACTCACTGGCTCCGTTGTTGTAGGCATCCAACAGGGCAAAGAACGTGCCGATGGCAAAGACGTAGGTGTACTGATCGAGGACCGGCATGCTGGTAACGTCGTCGTCGGGTCTAGAGTCGAGTTGCTGATCAGGCTTTTGCTTGTGAGACAAGGGCTATCGACTGTAACCGTGGTAGGATGAGCCTGGAGCTGATCGCCCAACCCTTTATACCCTGAACCACGGATGGTCCACCGGGGAAAAGTCCGTGGCCCACGGAATTCTGTCGTCGACCTCCTCGTTCGTTCGCATCGACCGAACCATTTGGCGGTTTGAAACGTTTGTGAACGTGCTTGGCATTTCGACGGATGCATGTGGGGACGGGGGGATCTACAGAGAAGGCACGCACATGGCAAGAGACGCAGGAAGGAAGAGTGAAGAGCAGGAAGAGGAGAGAGCGGAAGGTCCCGGGGATTGTCTCGCTCGCCCCTTTGAATATGCTCCGTACGCCTCCCCCGGTGTGCTAAAAATGGAACCTGGCGCGTGGGGTCGTGCGACCGCGATCGACGGGACAATCATGCAGCAGTCGAATTGGTCCGATAGCGAGAGCTGAACGAACGTGCGACATCCCTCGCATGATACTCGTCGAGAGTTGAGCATTGTCGAACGTTCGTATCCGTCACATCAAGCATCGAATCTCCGTATCTCGCAACAATTCCATTTTTAGATACATCGATGCTCATTTCGCATCCGCGCGGGGTCTGTGAGGACCTGCGCATCGTCTTTTGTCGCTCTGCGATGATCCCCGAGAAGAAGCACGTTCTACAATAAACTGCATGGGCTGTCATGGGGCAGAGGACATCAACCTCCAGAGCGAATAGAGGCCAGGCTGAATCGCATGAATTGCATGCTAGATCGAAATGGCGACTGATCGTTGCCCTCAGCGCCTGAGCAAACACGCGCGCCCCGTGGACTGTGAAGACCGTGGACGAAAGTAACGGGTGGAGACTGGAAGCTCGTGACCATTTCCACTTCTCGATAGATTCGCAAATCGCCAACCGTTCTCCTAGCTTATAGACGACTGCATGCTCGTAGGATATCGTAAACCGCTCGCTTTTTCGTTAACCTCTGCGACACTACATCTTTCCTCGCTCCATCTCGTTCAGCTTTCATGCAACCAAGGGTCTTGAAGCAGTTCGGCTGCGGAGGGACGAGATTCTGGCTGTATTTTCAGGCACCTCAGCATGAAGGCGTTCCAACCCTCCAGCTCATCGTCGGGGAGACGGTCCTCGGGAGGTTGAGTCTCCTCCACCATGAGCATGGAGCCCTTGAGGGTAAGATCTTCTCCTTCGATACTTCGCAAGAAGTTACCTGTGGTTCGGTTCAGTCAGTTCCAGTATCCGACGTGTACGTTCATTCTGTCGCGCTCGAAGCTGGGTACTGACCATGTTCATCAAGGTACTTGTCCCAGTACTGACTGCGCTCGCGCATCTCGATCGGGATGTCCATCTTGAGCCGGTCACTCATATCTCGAAGCTGTGCTTCCTCGACGTCCCATGTTATCCCCGTTTCCCTGTCGATGCCACCCCAACCCGGTTCGAAAGCTTCTCCGCCAGTTACGAGCCAGAAGACCTTTCGAAATCGCGTCGTTATCTAAACGTGTAGTTGAAGCAAGAGTCCTAAAACATGGTGGAATGCTCACTAGACAGCCGAGCGACCAAATATCCAGCGCACTGGTGGCCGGATACCCTAGGTAGACTTCCGGGGCGCGGAAAGACATATTTTGTGCGGTCTCAGGAAATACCTGACCTGGTTCGCGGGCTGAATGGTGCGGTCCGCGTCAGCGCAGGAATCGTGGCACGCCATGTCGTAGGCGATGACTTACCTTCCCCAAAGTCGACGAGTACCACATGAAGCGGAACCACACCGATGTGATCGCCTGCCCCGATCCACGGAGGCAGAGGCTGTGATTTACATCGAACCGTACCCTTCGGGTACCGATGCGAATCCAGAGTGTCCGTTATAGCGGGCTCGACGACCATTTCATCCACGATGATAGAGGAGATCGCTTCAGGACGTATGAGGACGTTGTTAGGCTTGAGATCTGGCTCCCGTGAAGTTGTTGATCAGCAAAAATTCTCATTAATAACAGTGCGACCTCTTGTCGAACAGCACTAACCAGTAAACACGTATCCCATTTCACGGTGGATACCCTCGAGAGCGATCAATATCTGCCTCACAAGGCTCTTACAGGTCTTGCGGGGGAATCGACCTTCCGGTGTCCTCGACTTGAGGATAAATAAGTCCCATGCCAAAGGTTCCATGGTCATACAAAGATGCTCCACATTCTCTTCGGTGCGATGGCTGAAAAAGTCGAAAAATCGACCGATGTGCTGAGCCCATGCTGGTTGCCGTTCGTCTCTCTCGCAGAGGGCAATGAATCGCTCGATTAGGTCTAGCTCGTCACTTTCGCCATCTTTGATGTTCTCCGTTGCTTTCGAGGACAAAATCCTGAGCGAAACGAATGTATTTGTTCTATCATCTCAGTTTGACGCGTTATCAATACCTTACACTCTGTACATGGTTTCCAGGATCTTGATTACTCACTTCCGATCTCGTGCTAGCCAGACGGTAGTCCACGAACCCCAGCCCAGCTTTCGTACGATGACATATCTTCCTTTCTCGAATTGCTCTCCCAGTGGTACACTGAGATACGTCAAGTTGGCGATGTCCTCAGAGGGACACTCCCAGTCGTCTAGATCCATCCAGTTGCGTGGAAGATAGAGGCCTGCCTTCCAGTCAACTGGACTGGGCGGTCGAGAGTCGTCCGATGGCGATATCGAGTCCACGCCCATGACTCTGCGTTCGATAAATTGATCCTGATTCAAGCACTGGATCCGATGCTTTTGAGCCCCGGCGTTTTGTTCGAGGCACTCGTAGAGGAGCTGTATGATCACATATAATATAGTCGATCTGTTTGATAACGTACCTGCTCAGCTGTTCGCTCGACAAGCTGGATACGTACATCACGAAAGAAAATCTGCCGCTAACTACGTTGACTGACAGATTGTCCCGTTTGGAGCCGTAATGGTAGTCAGCAAGCGCGAACGCCACGAAATGACCGACGGGGTACCATTGCATGCGTCTCTTTCGGCAGATGCGAATGAGTACGAAACTTACACAGAACTTACGGTGAGTGATCTCTGCCACAGTCTTTGGTGTCGCAATTTATGCAGCGCGGGCGCAGGTTGTGATTCCATTTGCGTGATGATTCAGTCTGCCTCGACAACGTGATAGGAGGACTCATTAAATAAAGATCACTTGGAGAGATATTACACTGCTCATCTCGGATGGGGCGAAAGTCTTGTCGTTGTCGCAACTCTAGGTTCTTCTTAACGTCGTCTGAACCATGTCTTCATCGATCCCCGGAGGCAAAGGTTCAGTTTAGTGTTTTGCTTGTATCTGTGACGTTTAGCCTGAAGAATCAACGAGATCAACATACCTCAGAACGAAGCAAACAGGTCCTTCTGCCTGCGACTAGCAGGGGAAGGCGCTCCATCGCCATCACGCAACCTCTTGAGACGCTCCGAAGTGCGAACAACCTCCCCTGCAAGTGGAATGAATTAGTCATTGACTAGGCTCGCCGTTCTATTTGAGCGCAAAAGTACCTGTATGCTCGAACTCGGGTTGATCGTATCGCAAGCAAGGAGGTTCGGCCCCAGCCCTCTCCGTCAGAGGTCGCCAATAAGTCCGATTGATCTGGTTGACGTGTCGTCCATCGTTGAGGCGAGTGGCTCTAGGGACATCGGGGCAATGCATCCGAGCGTATCTCATAGTCTGTGATACAGTAGTATGTAAAACCAGTCGATCAGCGACTCGATTTGGCCTGTATCTTGCCCCCTCAACAGGATAGACGACTTACCATTTCGACCAGGTCACCATGGGCTGCATCGTCCTCTGGAGAGAGGTGAGCGCTCAAAATCTGCCAGAGCTGGCTGAGAAAGGCCTTGTCAAATGTGAGGGGTGCAGGACGAGGTGGAGCCTGCACCTTTGATAAATCCTCAATGATCTTGGGGCGGTGCTTTGAGAAATAGGTGATGTATCCACTCATCACCGTCATATGCGCCTCCTCAGATGCCTTGAAGACGGCCAAATCCTTGGCGTGATAAGGCATTGTAGCCTTGCGAAGCGTGTACCCATGAGCGAGAGAGTTGAACTGCTTCGATCCCCAACCTAGTTTGAAGGTGGCTCCCTCCAAGGCCTGATGTTTCGACGACCAGGGAGACGAGGAGGAAAAGAAGGCGACAAGCGGTGAAGGAATGGGCTCGATTGATCCGCAAGGACGTTGTTTACGAACGAGGTTGACGGAAGGGATGTTCAGGAAGAGCAAGCGTCAGTCACAAGGGTTGACGAATCGAATATCAAACGACGCACCTGGACCGGAGAGGCACCAGAAGGGAGCTTCTGAGAAAGAACCTTGACATAGTTCTCAACAGGGTGTTCTCCATGTAATTCAGTCATGGCCTGGTAGAACAGACCGCAGTCCCGATCGTTCCAGGTCTCTGTGTCGCAGTAAGAGATCCCTTGCGCGAGAAGATGAGGGTCGAAGAGAGGAGGCTTAGCGACCTGAACGGGTCTCGCAGCGACCTGGACGGGTTTCGCCGCGGCCAAGGATCGGGAAGCGGCAGGGGGCTTCCTGGCGTTGATGCTGGTGATGGGGCTCATCTGTGATGCGAGTATGTATGAGTCCCGCTCGTCCTTTTGAACCTGCTAGAGACATTCTCGGTACTTACGGTGTCGGGTTGAGGATTATGAAGGAGAGAAAGGTGGTATATCGCTAAGAATTAAAGGAGTGTACGAGTATAGGTAAATAGGTAGCCGATGTGTATGCAGAGTGTAAGATGCGGGATTGCTATGGAGAGTCGTATGTGAATGTCGTTCTAGTTCATATCGAGAACGAACAGCGAGACTGAGGAGAGAAGCAAGAGGCCCGAGGGCGAGCGTACACAAAGAGGAATGCCGTGATCCTGCCGTGACCCGGCTGCCAGTCTCGGTTCGGGCAAGACGACCGGGTCCGAAGCCGAAAGAACAATCAAACAACAACAACAATAAACAGGTTTCAGGCGGGGCGCGGCGCGGCGGGAGAGGGACAGGGCGCGGTGGCTAAGCGCGCGTGGCAAATTCACCTGTTTCCATCATATCACTTCGCTCATCACTTCGCAACAAGGCAGGGAGACGCACAGGATTCCAGCTTCTTCGGTCGTTAGAGTTTGATCAGCGAGACTAGGGAGGCTTCAGCCGGCCGTCTTGATCAGTGTCTCGGCCGTCTGTCTGACGTCAGCGAAAATCAACACTCGACTTGGATCAATCAATGATGCGCGATACAGAGTGGACGACGAATTCGATGCTGGTGCCCTGATCAGGATCTGGCCTGTCTCATTTCGAACGAGCCGCACCACGATACATCAGGTCATACAAAATCTGCGTCAATTATATCTGTGCCGGAAGGAGAGGTCCTTTCCCGGGGGCGATCTGCCTATGTTAGCAGAGATCGGTCGACTGCGGAATCCGGAATTAGCCCCTGTCTCGATGGGCCCCGCGATTTTTGTACTCCTGATCGATGCCAAGGCCACCCTCTGGAGATCTGAAGATCGTACGAATGCATGCGATCATGTGATCAGGTGACCACTAACGTAATCAGCATGGAATCTCAAACCCCGCCGCTGCAGAGCCGGCTGTGCTGTGGCACTGTGGCCCGGCTAAACAAATCCACTGCATGCACGCGGCCTTGGCGGAGACGAATCTGGCTGCTGGCTGGCCTCCTATACCTGCAGTCCGTTTCTCGATCCCACTTTCACTCATTCGACCTTGCCTTCTCGTCACTGACTCCAATTGCAACTACAACAATCGACATGGCTCACTTCCGAACATCAAGCAATTTATAGTGAGTCTCCGGTTCGATGTTTGTCGTTCTCGCTTCTCGTCCTTTCCTCCCATTCTCTGTATCATTCCAGTTCCCCTTCCTCTTTCCGTATCGAGATTGGGGCATCATTTGGGCGTGGGCAAGTTGAATTTTGGCGAAATATCATCGTCTCTACGCAGAAGAGACATGGGCTTCAGCGATGAAGTTCCATAGTACAAAATACCCCATCTCGCCTCGAGCGGTCTGCCCTGTGTTCACATGCAAGGTATATCGAGAACGAAGATGTCTGTCATTCAGGCCTTGAATGTCGGCTTCAGAAGATCTTTCACTCGAGGCCAGAAGCCATCGAATCAAGGGATAGGCCCGACGTATAGAACAAGTCTGGCTACCGCTTCCGCGCTCGGTAAACCTTACCCCTTCGCTCGAGTACGATGGCTCGGAAAGGAGTGGTTCGAAAGAAAGTGGCCTTCAACACCACGTATACGCTCAGACGTCCCACACCTTCCCGTCGTGGTCATGGCAATAAAACCTTTCCTCCTTGAGTAGGCGAGCCCTAACTGCAGGGGTAATCGTAACCCTGGGTCCCTAGAGATGCTTCACCGTCGTGATGAAGACTTCTGCTACCCGGGCAAATTTTCGATCATGCGGCATAAACTTCGAGCATATAGAGGGGACGGCTTCAGACTCCGACTTTTGGGAATGATGGGCGTGGTTGAACTCGGCTTTGTCGAACAATCCGATCGGTATGCGCGGGGGCCTCCGGGCCAAAGACAAAAAAAAACAAGGGCAACTTGGACTACAGTCGCGAGCGAGAAGTATAGGAGCAAGGAGGGTTGCGCGGTATACTGCAAAAAGAGGGTAATATATTTGTCGGACGTGAATCGGCAGCTCCGCCTCACTTATCCCTCGAGGGAGGGGACTCGATCGGGCCGAGGTGACGCTCGAGCACGGACCGGTGGTGACCCAATTCCTCACCTGGCGACATCATTGAAGGGGTGAAGCCCGTCGATCCGAATATGATTAAAAACCAAACGGCTCCCGGGAGCGGTACCAATACCGTCATCACATACCGGGCAACTCAAACTCAGCGAAGGCTTCCGGGCCGATGCTCCAAAGATCCATTCTGCGTGGAATCTAGTGTGCAAAGCAAACCGAACGGTATTATGATCAGATCGTCGCTTCACCTCTTCTTTCGATGTTCACGCAACCCCATCCCATTATCCTGACTGAACGACGTGATTGTAGTCGGGTTGCCTCATGCGATATAAATACATGCCTCCTATACCCGCGAGACACAAGTCGTTCGACCTCCATCTCCTCGTCCTTGCATTTCGCTTGTTTGAAACTGAACACAACGACCTTGATCGAGTCGGAGGAGGTAAGACAAGCTCCTGAACGAGCGACCATGGCCCGAAAACAACTCCTCAGTACTGCGAGATGGTCGACGATGAGAGTCTGCTGTTCGAGTTGTATCGATGTGCGCTGGATCCTGGCTCGATTGCTTGAGGTCGATCGCATCTCGATGACCTGTCGCAAATGACTCGGACCGATATTCGGCCTCTTACCGGTAGGGTTATCTTGGGCTAGGAACCCACGGCTTCGGAGCGACTGCGAAAGGGCGGAAGCTTGACGGGAATGTCGACCGCAACGCAGCGTCTTGCTGATCTGACCAGATGAAAGAGGCAACTCCGTGACACGATGTGTGGATTTCATTTCGATGAATCATTCGTCCATAGCCGTGACCTTATTTCGTGACAAGCAAAACCACAGTATGACCGGATCATTTGTCGCCTGTCGTCATCAAGCGTACCCCATTCCTTCTTCCGTCCGCTGTTACTCTCCCTCCAAGCTCAAGGCTTGGTGCCCTGTTCGCCGTTCCATGCTTGATTCATGTTTTCGCTCTACCGGCTCGCATTCACATTCTTCCTGCATGCACGGGTAGCTTCGTTTTCGTTGTTCACGCCGTGGCTGTAGCCGAAGTAGCTTTGTGTTGTTCGTTCGGGGCCAAAATACTTCTCGTATGATATCTTCCCTCTTGATCTTGAGTATCGAAGTCATCCTCCAAACTTCCAATTCTATGCGGACTCCGGGGGAACGGCAGATCCTGCTGTCGGCGCCGAACGAGATAAAGGTAGGACCAGAACCGATTGTCTATGTGGGAATATACGTGGTACTACTCGCTACGTCTAGCTAGCTCCGTCTTGATGTCTTCGAATCCTTTGAAGAGGAGCCGTGTATCGACGTCAAGAGGACACATCGTCTGCCACGCCAAGAGAGTTTGAAGATTGGCTCGAAGAGTGGCCAATGATCAGCCGGTCGAGTTGGTCTAGCGGAACTAGCGATGAAGGGGTCCGCGTGTGGAGATAGCTGGTATCGATCATCCGTATCTAGGTTTTGTGTCGAGGTCCAAATTGTTGGGAGTGCCGACCGTCGAGCCTAGGCGGAGAAAGGACCCGGGTGTCGATACGCAAACTACGTTCGAGAACGCTGTCCCCGCTTGCTCCACCTGCTCCGGAACCTCCACTCGATCGTGCACCTGAACTCTGATACCGGATGAAATGGGGTCTAGATATCTTCATTCACAGCCAAACCAGGCCCTGTAGTGGTTCTTGCTGATCACGAGCTTCTTTGAGCCGGACCGCGGGCAGGAAGAGGGCTTATCCTTCCCAGGATGTAGCTTCACAGGCTAACGTTCGGGATAAAGACTTCCCTTGTTGCTTTTGAAGGTGAGGAAGAGGAGAGAGATTTCTTCTGTGGCTCCCAGATCTAAGGAAAACTTGATGTGGTCACGCAAGGTAAGGGTGTCGAGCTCTACAGGTCGATGATTTTGTTGACGTCTTCCCTGAAGGATACGGTCGTTTACAATGCCGATTCGCGAGACGTGGTGGTCCTGCTGATCATCTCGTCCGAAGGTCGTCTTGCATTGGTCCTCCGATCGGCTTGGAAATCGAGACGTGTTCATCCTACCGTGATAGTTCCTATACGTCCCTGGGTGTTCCTCTCTCTTCCATTGGCTCGATGCCACCATACGTGTCCTTTCCCTCGCCCTCTACCGTTACTGTCAGTCCCGATTCTTCTTTCGATCTTCGTACGAATGCTCGACATAACGAGGCATAAGATTTAAGTAGATTCCCATGGCGATCCTTCTATCGAAGAGAGATATCCTTTGTTCGAACTCATGCGTATCCAACTATAGTTACGGGTGCCCCTCCCACCGCGTCGTGCGGCCAGGCCGAGTAGTGAACAGTTCGATCAGGATCCTAGATCCCAGACTCGGTCTGAAGATACCGGATTCACGGCCCAAGGCATACGTTGGTCGACCTGAGCCATCGCTGTCTGAATCATGACGGGACGGCTGACGATCGAATATGCTTCCGGGATAATTTTGATTCCAAAGATCAGGCGCAAGCTAAGCGCAGATCAAACCTAGAGCCATTGTGGTCGATCGAGATTAGATCTCTTGAGCCATCTTGATGTAGACGGTCAGAGTGAGAGGTGCCTAGATGCGAATTTGATCTTCTCAGAAATGCCGTCCCGGTGAAGAAACAGACACGAATGACAGACCAGAAATACGAGGTGCGACGTAGAGCATTGGGTGGCATCCATCGCAGCGCGACAAAAGCTACCTACCATACCCGCGACAAAAGCTACCTACCATAACCGCTAACCTTCGATAGTTTATAGACACTCCTTCTCAGCTAGATGCTGTAAGGAACGACCGAAGAGATTCGGTGCACTCCAGATTTGAGTGGTCTTTCCTACATGATGTTAGTAACGCCATTTACAGCGGAAGCCGCCGGGCGGGCTGATGATTCGACACAGGGGTCTAGAACATCCAGTCACAAGCTCGCTATATCAACTCGATCGATTGATGAACACGTAGGTGGACCCGAGAAGCGGTATCGATAGACAAGCCTCCAGTGTCAGTAATGCAGCGCCGCGCTTGCTCTGTTACGGAAACTCGCTTGATCCGAGCTGTTGTTCATACACGTTATATCGAGCTGTATGATGCCTTGGATTCAACATATGTCGATTAAGCTACAAACGTCCATTCATCCAGACCGTACTGGTAAGAGAAAATTTGATGCACAAGGACAACGCGATCTGATCGTACGTAGTACGGCCGACTGACGTTACGCCTGTCTGGAGCATCTGCAAGCGCTCTCGCTTTGCGATTAGCCAAGGAGGAAGAGGATCGAGGACAAAGGCCGCTTCCGCTACGCCCCTCGTTTCACGTAAGCGGTAACTCGCCCGTGATGCGCGATCCTCAAAGAAGAGTCCCTTTGAGACATCCTTTGTTGTATCACGTCTGCTGTCGTGATCGCTGTATGTATGTGTGTATATAGAAGGGTTCCACAAAGAACCATAGAAAAGACTCTCCGCTGGTCTTCAGCATGAACGGCAAACCTACATCGTAGCGATATCTAGACATATCTACCGCCTTTTCATCCGACTACAACTCTCAAACACGAATCATCCGGTCATCATGGGATTTCTACAGCCCAAGCCAGCTCCCATAGTCGACAAAGGGGACTTGATATCTCCAGAGAAGACGAGCAACTGGTTCTCCCAGATGACCTTTGGCTGGGTGTTTCCTCTCCTGAAGGTCAGTTGACACGACTCATTCGCTTGATATCGTTGTGTGGTCCTGATTTTAATGATCAGGTGGGATACTCCAGGCCCCTCGAGTTCAAGGACCTCTGGCGGCTGGAGGACGAACGTCTCTCCGCTCACCAATCAAAGCTGTTTGAACACAACTTCTACGATAGGTACGCGCACATTGATGCTGCTTATCGTCGACCTCGATACGAGAACGTCCGCGAGCAGGATATCAGCAGCCAAGCCTCAAGCGGAACAGATGCGCCACTCGCTGATGTTGTAAGCGATGATCCCAACGAGGAAAGACTGCACAACATGCATCCAGGCACCTCCCGTGCAGATCTTCCAGGAAACGAACCCAATATCAAGGAAGCATCTATCAGGCAGGCAGAGAAGACATTTGTTCCATCGATGAACCGGTGGGGCTGGATTTTCCACCTGTTGAAAAGAAACCCCAAGGCAAACAATCTGAGTCCCGAACAGTACGAAAAAGCTGCGACGAGATCCCGCTCTCTGCGCTTGTTCTGGGCCGCCTTTCATACCGTACGAAAGGACTTGATCATGGCTTTCTTTGCAAGAATCGTCTCGCGTGAGTGCACTGTTCTCATGAAAACAGACTAGAAGCTGATTTCCCTATCTATAGGAGGATCATCTCTGGCTGGTGCAGTCGTAGTGAAAGAGTTGATTCGTTTCGTGACGCGAGCTCATAGGTGGCACGAGGCATCCGACTTGGAGAGAACAACCCTACCTCAGCCAAAGAGTCTTGGAGTAGGCTTTGGTCTAGCAATCGGTCTTGCAGCACTACAGCAGTCAATCTTCCTCTGCAATGGCTTCTACAGCTTTCGATCTATCATGGCCGGGTCTCTCCTACGTACAGCAGTGGTTGATCAGGTGGCCCGCAAGTCTATGTGTCTTTCAACAAGGGCTCGGGTCAGGCAGACCACAGGAAGGTTGACCTCTGCAGTCTCAGGGGATGCCCATTTCATGGACACTGCCACCTACTGTGTCATTGACATTGTGGTTGAACCCATTGCCATTGTGGCAGGTTGTGCACTGTTGATCTACAACCTGAAATACAGTGCACTTGTAGGCGTAGGCATTCTGTTTGCCTCATCACCAATCTTGACAGTGATGATGAACAAGCTCATTGCCAGCCGTAAAGCTCAGATGAAGCTGATAGACCAGCGTCTTAGGCTACTTACTGAAGTCTTCAAGGCAATCCGTCAAATCAAGCTGTATGCATACGAGGCTTTCTTTGGAGAACGCATCATTCAGGTCAGGGAAAAGGAATTGCACCATCTCAAAGCAAATGTTTGGAATCGCAGGTGAGTTGACTAGTATTAAGAGCCTACAAAGTTTACTGTATTGAACTGTTGGCTCTCCTGCAGCCTGGTCATTGCCACCATGACATTTGTGCCAATTCTGGCTGCTGTCCTCACCTTCATCACATATGGCTTGACCAACAACAGTTTGGAGCCGGCCGTCATCTTCTCTGCATTCCAGCTGTTCAATATCATCCAGACCCCAATGCAGAATCTACCAGCAGCTTTTGCAGTGCTTACAGACGCTTGGGTAGCTCTTGGCCGGCTCTCAGATATTCTTCTTGATGAGGAGTACACAAGCGATGTTATAGGTTGTCCAACTGCAAAATATGCAATCCAAGTGAATGGCAGCTTCACCTACGAAACAGCTGAACGCCCAAGCAACAACACCAAAGGCATGATTGATAGTAAAGCCGAAAACATAGGACGGGAAGGGAGGAAACAGGATGCACCGGCCAAAGAGGCTGCGAAGCTCACCCAAGAGGAGGAGTTGCCTCCGCTTGATAAGGAAAAGGAGAACAGCCGACCCCCTTTCACACTCCATGGAATCAATCTGGCAATTCCCCAAGGGGCCCTTGTTTGTGTAGTTGGCCGGGTTGGGACAGGAAAGTCTGCATTGCTGGAAGCCTTGATAGGGGAGATGAGGCAAACAGATGGAAGTATTGAGCTTGGAGGAAGTCTCAGCTATGTTGCACAACAATCTTGGATACAGAATGCAACTTTGCAGGAGAACATCACTTTTGCAAATGAACGTGTTGACGAGGAGAAGTTGAGCCGAGCCATCCAGAGCTGTGCGCTCACAACCGACTTGGAACAGCTACAGGATGGACTTGATACAGAGATTGGAGGTAAATAAATTTCTATCTGAATCAATTTCAATGCACAACACTCAGTGTTTGTTATTTCAGAACGTGGTATCAATCTGTCAGGAGGTCAAAAGGCTCGAATTGCATTGGCACGCGCAGTGTATCACAATGCTGATATAGTACTGCTGGATTCTCCGCTTGCTGCTGTTGACAGCCATGTCTCAGCTTATCTGATTGAAAGGTGCATCCTAGGCACAGAGGGATTTGGCAAGAAGACCAGGATCCTGGTCACACACCATCTGGAAGTCTTTCCAAGGGCTGATCTGATCCTTGTTATGGAAGGAGGACACATAGTACAGAAGGGTACTTATGCAGATTTGGTGGCAACTCCCGGTCTGCTTCAAAGTCTCATGGAGGAATTTGGTAGTCAGTACAATGATTCTAGAGACACAGAAACCAAGGAGGCAGAAGACCATGGGGACAAGGACCTAAAAGCTAGTCCCCAGAACAGGGTTACTAGAGGAGTGGCCCAAGGCAAGCTGATAATGGATGAAGAGCGTAATACTGGTGGCGTGTCTTGGAGAATCTACATGGCATATGGCCGTGTTATGAGCAAGGAATGGTGGTTCAGCATCTCAATCCTCGCATTGATCTTGGGGCAGGCAAGTTCAGTCCTCAACACACTGTTTCTAGGGTTCTGGAGTGGACAATCAATTTCTGGGTTCCAGCAGGGCCAGTATATGGGCCTATACGCTTCTTTTGGTGCTGCCAGTGCACTTGGGGCTCTGATAGCAAGCTATACCATGTTTGTTGCTGGCATCAGGGCATCCTTCATCATGTTTGACAGTGCTCTAAAAAGTGTCTTGAGGTCACCCATCTCATTCCATGATGCAACCCCAGTTGGCCGGATCATCCACAGGCTCACCAAGGATGTTGAGAAGCTGGACGACCGCATGTGTTTCCAATGGTACAACATGCTGGTGAACCTGGCTGCTGTCTTTGGAACCATCTTCCTTGTCTTCTACGTGTTCCCATTTCTAGGGATACTCTTCATCCCCTTGACAATCATATACATTGTGATTGGGAAGTTCATCAGCAAGACTTCAAGGGAAATCACAAGGCTGGATGCTGTGCAGAAAAGTTTCATCTACTCAGCGTTTGGCGAGCAACTGGGCGGTTTGTCAACCATTCGTGCTTTTGGATTCCAGCAACAATTCCGCAGAAGGCTTCAGACATCAGCAGACCGGCAGATAAGGTCAGAATACATCAATCTGGCCAGCCGCAGATGGCTGGTGTTACGGCTGGATAGTCTAGGCACAGTCCTTGTACTAGGAATCGGACTATTTGGAGTTGCAATGCGCAATCAGGTTGATCCTGTCAAGCTGGGAGTGGTCTTAACCTATGCAATCCGCACAGTATTAGTGTTTGGCTTGATGGTTCACTATACAATCCAAGTGGGACAAGAGATGAATACTGCAGAGAGGGCGAGTGCCACTTTCTGCATCTGGGAGATGCATACACAGCTAATCGCATTGTTTATGTGATCTAGGTACTTCACTATATCGATCTAAACCATGAAGGCCCTCCCCGACTGGCAGGAGACCCTCCAGCTTCCTGGCCTCAACAAGGACATGTAGTGTTTCACAATGTTCAAATGCGATATCGACCTGATTTGCCATTTGTTCTGAAAGGCCTCACTTTTGAGGCTCAGCCTGGAGAAAAGGTGAGTGGCCTGACTACTCATACGATGAGCGACATCTGACTTTTCCGATGGTTTCTGATGGCAGATTGGAATCGTAGGCCGTGAGTCTACTCAATACTTGGTATGAAATTGATAATCTGATCCGACTAGTATTTAGGCACCGGTGCTGGGAAGAGCTCTCTTGCTCAGACTTTGTTCAGACTTGTGGAACTGGCAGGAGGGGATATTGAGATAGATGGATACAATCTCCAAAACATTGGCCTGGACACCTTGCGGTCTCAATTATCGGCACTGCCTCAGGATACCCTTCTCTTTTCAGGAACTATGCGGGATAACCTTGATCCTACTGGCATCAAGACAGATCATGAGCTCAATGACATCCTGCAGCGCTGTGGGCTGAAAGCAACTGGTAAAGACTTTGAGCGTCTGAGGAAATTTCAGCTTGATTCGAAAGTCAGTGACGATGGGGACAACTTTTCGTGAGTTGTTCAGGTGAATATCCCAGCTCAATTGGCTGATATAGTCGAGGACTGTGTGTAAAGGGGTGGTGAACGGCAACTGGGTGAGCCAACAGAATTTCTTCCAATAGAAGCAACAGTATTTGCTGAGACGCATTTGAACAGTGGCCTTGTGTCGTGCTCTTGTCAAGAGTTCTAAAGTGCTGCTACTTGATGAGGCAACAAGCAGTGTGGATCCTGAGACTGACATCATGATTCAGGACTGCATCCGGAAGGAGTTTTCTAACGTGACCTTGTTGTGTATTGCACATCGCCTTGCAACAATTGTATGTGAATGTTCTGCCGAGATCATCTAGGCTGTGCTAACTTCCTCTTGGTTTTCTAGGCCTTCTATGATAAGGTAATTGTGATGGATGCTGGTCAGATCAAAGAGTTTGACAGTCCTCTCTCACTCTTTGACAACCCTAATTCAACCTTCCGCTCAATGTGTGAGGCAGCCAAACTGAGCAGAGAAGCCATCTTGCGCATCAGGGCCGGAGATTATGTCCATGAGGTCCAGGAAGGGGTGCAAGCAGATATCGAGACGAGGGTATCATGCAAGAGGTGATGTAGACCTAATACGACTTGTAAAGGGATTTGATGTGATATTTCCGTTTCTAGAACTACGTGAATTACTGGTGAGGAGCAAGATCCTTCGCTTGTGATATCGGCAGAACTTGAGGATTGGAATATTCGATGCGACTGCTGCGCATGGACGGACGAGATCGGCCTACCCCCGAGTCGAATTTGAGTAATGGCTAGAGTGAACACACGTATAATCAGCAAGAGCGGTACACGATTCGCCTAGCTCCTGAATGGCGTTTCATAGCATTCTGCGCGCGCGAGCCCATCGCTCATACGTCGATTGCGAATTTGCGGGGGTGATGCCAGACAGGCGTGGGATGTATCCGAGCGAAGGCGGCGTGCCCGTTCGTTATTCCAACAGATCAAGTTCGATAATCCAGTCGCCTAAGTTGTACGGACGATCGTTGCTCGAAGCCCCCGCTGGACGTCGGAGATCATTCCTCAATCGCGCTTGAACCTGCGGGATGACGAAGGTATTCAATACCAATCGCATCACTTCGTGCATTCAGGTGAAGTGAATTTGTAGGGGGCAACTTTCCAGGCTAGGTAGGTAGATATCAGGGGATTCTGACACTGAGATCTTCGAATACCGGCTCCGTTCCTCAAGAGACCTTGAGCCGATCCAGGGGTGACCCGGGTTCGGTGCGTCACGAGTATTAGCGGGTCGCGCGTTGACGACATTTTGTTTGTTAGCTCAACATCCAAGGCTCTGACGGCTGTGGACGAACACCCTGAAATGCACGCAAGCGCGAGATCGCTGAAACCAGCGGAGTCTGTGGTATTTCGTATACATAGTAGCATCCTCAGTTCGTGGTGGACACGCGCGCGGGGCACGGGACGCGAAGCTAGGGGTTTAGGATAGAGATACCAGTTTGGAGGCCGGATTACCGCCCCAGCCTACGACTCTGCAGGGAGAAGGCACTGGTCGAATGCAAACTCTCCGCCGAGAACCGAGGACCTGTCTTCGGACTGCCATCGCTCACGATCGCAATACAGTATTCGAATTTGGTGGATGACAACTTGATTAGAGATTAGATTGTACACAAGATATAGCTGATATTCGATTGTCCTTCCGGAAGCGCAAACGGAGCTCGGGGTTTGAGAGTAAGCGCCTACCAGGCCTTGCCCTCAGCCTTCAACGCCTGTTTCCTACTGACGCTCTTAGGGTCAAAGTAAGGCTTCTCTCCGACCGAGCAGACCCTATCGCCCGCCCGCTTAGCATCGTAATCGTAGGTCGCCGTATGATATGTCGATCGGTTGTCCCAGATGGCGACGGCATTCTTCGTCCAACGGAATCGGACTTGAAGATCGTGGTTCAGCGCGAGAAGGTCGTGACAGTACTTCATGAGGAAGCTGTACAGAGCAAGAAAATGGTCCCGTCAGTCAACTAGAACATGTTGATGGGGAAAGGTTTTCAAGACTGAGCTGGGTCCTGTCTGTACTCACTCATTCTCGTCCCGCGTGACATCGTTAATCCTCTTCGTAAACGCATAGTTTACGAACAACCCTTTCCAGCCCGTGACCGGGTTCGTCCTCACAACTGGATGAACCGCCCGGAGGTCTTCTCCCTGGTTCATGGGATGACCCCTGCCGACGGCTTTAATGGGGATTCCCAATCGTCGAGCCTCGTCGTGGAAAAAGTTGGCATCGTGTGTAGCGGTAAGACCTTCAAGGAGTTTCTGAATAGGGGGGCTGATACGGTCGTAGACTTCGTATGCCGAACCTGATAGAAGACAATATCACCATGGACCACCTCGTTAGCTGGACAGTCCGGGACTAGAATGGTCTCCTTCACTCAAGGTTGCCACTAACCCCACATAGTGTCGCCACCAGTCTCGGGCAAGGTGTGCATTTTGAGCGCCGCATAGTCCGAAGGGTTGTTCTCGAAAGTGATATCCGAGCTGATAGTGACATCAAAGTGGAGTCAGCTTCGGGGGTTCGATGCCGAGCAACCAAGACACGCGCAGGCAATCAAGACTCACTGCCATCCGGTACAAGCATAAGTCGACTTGTCATCATACGCCTGCCTCAACCCGCCGCCCTTCTTCTGCTTGTCGCTCGAGATCTCGGCCAAGACCCCGCTTCCCAGCTCTGGGGTATCTTCGGTCAAGGGATGTACATGAAGTCCGGAAGCAGAGGGACGTCCAGAGAGCTGACCGATCTTGTGACCAAGCTGGATAAGCTGCTCGCCGGAAATATCTTGGTCCCTGAAGAAACAGACACCTCGGCGGGAGACTAACAAGGCGAAAATCAGTTGTTGTATCGGAATATATATGTAAGAGGGCTTACTCAAGACGGCCAGGTCACGGATCAGGTCGTCCGAGTTGTCGGCGTTGAGGATGTCGACAAGCTGCAAGTCCTTGGCGAATTCTCGACCGATGACAGGAGTGACATCGAAATGCTATCGATTTGCAACCCGCGTTAGCGTTTGATCCATCTCTCCAGCATATCAAGCTGTCTTACCTCGTACTGCTCAAGTGAGCCATTGTATTTCAGAGGTCCGACGTTTCGAGATCGAGTCAGTTCGTCCTCCGAGCCTTCACCTCGCAGGTTGAGGACAGCGTAAGGAATTTGAGTGGTGGTGGTCTGAGTACGGTTCATTGTTGCTCGGATTGTAGTTGTCAACTGTGGCTGTGATTGCTTGGTGGATGTCGAACTCTGGTTGTATAACTTTGACATGCCATCGTCGACATCGATAAATACTTATATTTGATCGTGCTCCGACCTTCACGGCTTCATGCTCAACGTCGGCCATGTCGGACAGTAATTTGACCACTCGAGGTTCGGCCCACAGTTCCCGATGACAGACGCAGGTCTTCGGGCAAGGTGATCACATGCTGCACATCGCTCGAATGACAAACCGAGCGAGAGCACGATCACGACGTCGTTGGACATTTTCGTGCGACGTCTGCGTTCGGCGATGCGGTGGTTGCAAATGAAGAAGCCGTTCCCTCGATCACGTCAAGGGGCAAGGGGTTGATGAAGCCGTACCCTCGGTGGCAAATCGACGCGGGTCACATCGGTCCGACCCCCGAGGAACGGTTACTTGGGCCAGCCCTTGCTTGCTTTGCATCCACGTCGTGTCGGGAAAGTTGGGAAGTCGAGCATTGCTCTCGACAGTCTCGTCTTGAATCAATCGAATCCTCTCTCAACCATCATCTGTGACAAAACGACACCATCCACCAGGAGTAGCAGCGTCTCGATTCATTTGTGCATCATGTCGTTCGTCAACGTACCCACCCTCAAGCTCTCTACCACCGGCGATGCTATGCCCATCGTAGGAACCGTAGGTGCTGTCAAGACGGATTGCACAGAGTCAATCTCGAAGCTGATACATCGCTATCATCTTTTGCATGACTACAATCAGGGTCTCTGGAAGGTTCCCGAGAACGCCTGCGCAGAATCGGTCTACCAAGCCATCAAGGCTGGGTACCGTATGTTCGACAGCTCTTCCGACTATGCTAACGAACATGAGTCTGGAAAGGGTCTCAAACGGGCCATTGACGAGGGGCTTGTGAAGCGGGAAGACGTCTTCATCGTGACCAAGCTCTGGAACACTTTCAAGGTGAGTTACGCAGCTCGGCCAAGAGGCATGCAGGGTGGGATAGGGGAAGCTCATGCTTCTGGTCAATGATCGCAGAAAGCTGAGAACGTCGAACCGGAGTGCAAGAGGCAGCTTGCCAACTGGCAGACCGATTACTTTGATCTGTACGTACAGGTTGGGCCTCTGAACTATTACATGACAAGACTGACGTTGGCTGTCTGTTATCAGCTATCTCATCCACTTCCCTATCGCTCTGCAATATGGCAAGTGACCTCTCCTCGTTGCGTCATCGTCAATGGGTCTAACATTCGAGCTGACCGACAATCTTCATCCGTCTCAGTCGACCCTGCCACACGATACCCTCCCGAATGGTTCGCCGATGGCAAATCCGGTATCGTCACCGAACGATCCCCCCTTCACCTGACCTGGCCCGCCATGGAATCGCTCGTCGACAAGAAGCTCGTCCGAAACCTCGGAGTGTGTTCTTTCCCCGGAGCGTTGTTGATGGACCTGATGACATATGCCCGGATCCCGCCTTCGGTGCATCAGGTGGAGATGCATCCTTACAACGTACAGGAGGATCAATTGCAGCTCTGCAAGGCGTTTGATATCAAGATGATGGCGTTCTGTTCGTTTGGGCCTGCCAGGTGAGTAGGCTCGGCGGCTAAGATGGACTTCTTAAACAGGTTGGCAATACTGAATTCAAACCGCTCGACATGACATTGTTTAGCTGGGTCGAACTGGACGTCCCCACCGTCAAACAAGTCGACCCCCTCTTCACCCATCCGATCATCACCAAGCTCGCGTCCAAGCACTCCCGCACGCCCGGACAGATCCTCCTTCGATGGGCGACCCAGCGCGGGTTCATCGTCATCCCCAAGAGCGTCAAACCCGAGCGTATGGCCGAGAACCTGAACAGCACCGACTTTGACCTGGAGAAGGAGGACATCGAGGAGATCTCGGGGCTGGATCGGAGGTTCAGGTTTGGGGATCCCAAGGCTTTCGACCCAAAGTTGAGCATCTTTGCATGATTGATGATCGCGCGTAGAGACCGGGGCGGCAACCATATCCTTGCAAAGACCATCAAACTTGTAGCGCATGCATATAGAGGCCGTATTCACACATGCAGACATGCGTGAATAGAGATACAACGTCACCTGACACAGAAAATCTGGAGATATCCGGTTGACCTATGACCCAGGGGAACAAGTGTTTCTCCCGATGTCACGCGGGCGGAATCTTTTCAAATCCGATTGGTCGACCTCGAGCGCGAGGACGAGCGAACGGCTTTTTACCTTTTTTCCTCCAACCGATCGACCGTTGCATCATTCGCTACGGCTACTTTGCATCATACTGTGGGGGCCCTCAATGCTGGGCACTTGGCAATTTCAATCGGGGGCCCTAATTGCAACAATCCCGGACTAGCCGGACAAATCTGTATTCCTGCGTGATCGATTGGGTCATTGCAACATTGCTCATTGAGGATGGTGTGACGGGATCAGGATCGCTATGAATAAGGCCTCGTACTCTCTGTGACCGACCATATATACCCAGCCTCGCCGATCAAGTTCAGGAGGGGAACCGGCCACCTGAATCAAATAGATCATCAATCGCCGTCGTTGCAATCCTTCGGAGGCAGACACTCGGAGTTACCCGCTCATCGTCGCAAGCATGTCGTTGGCACACCGAGAAAAGGATGACATTGTTGCTCAGGAAGAAGCGTTCGATGTCAAGCCCACCCTATCGGCTGACGAGTACGCTCCGGTAGGACGAGAAAACCTTCGTGAGTGGATATTATGGAGTCGGTTCGAGTGATTAGGTTTGATCGGAGTTGTTGACATCATTTATTGATCGCTTACGGTTATAGACGAGAAGGTCGTTCCGTAAGCTCGACACCTTTACCGGATTCCATCGGAACCGCAACACTCATCTGTTTTCCTTTACAGTAACGATGATTACTATGGAGCGAAGCACTTCGACCCTTCCTTCACTTGGGACGCAGCCGAGGAGAAGAAGGTCCGGCTCAAGACCGACTTCATGTTATTGTGTATGTGGAACGATCAAGACCGGCGGCTGTTGAGCACGATAGCTGACGAATGTACAACAGCCGTAATCTGTCTCATGTTCTTTGGTCTGCAACTGGATCGAGGAAGTGAGTAACCCCTACACAACCTCTTCCGGATCCTCGTCGTTGACCTCCCGCCCCTTTTCAGACGTATCCAACGCCTTGGCGGACAACCTCCTGAAAGACTTGAACCTAACACAGGTGAGATTCAGGCTTGTTTAATCGGAAGATTATCCGCTTTACTGACCCTGATACCTAAACTATAGAACGACTACAATAACGGAACAACGATCCAGCTACTCGCCTTCCTGTCGTTCGAGTTCCCCTCGCAGGTAAGCAGCCGGGCAGAGTTAGTGGCAGCGAGTCGAGGGTCATGCTGAGCTGAACTATTCGATGTGGTAGATTGTCTGCGCTCGAGTAGGATTCAAGAGATGGTTGCCGTTCTTGTGCGTATCACTTCCCGTCCGGCATATGATGTGCTCGACTGATCTTGTGCCGTTGTTACATATATGCAGGATGATGCTTTGGGTACGTCGGAGTACTCTCACTAGAGCCATTGCCGCTACCTGACAGTTCCGTGTGGTACTGTTCACAGGGACTGGTCAGCCTCTTCCAATGCTTCATGACCAACCGAGCCGGTTTCTATGTCACCCGACTGCTTATCGGAGGTTAGTCCTGTCCATACATATCATCCAAACGACCGAATGCTAATCTCTAGATCCGATTGTACAGCCTGCGAAGTCAGTTCGATCGAGGTGTAACACTGATTGCGTTTGCTGACGAAATGAGATTGCTGCATTGCAGAGTGGATTTATTCCTGGAGCGGTCGTGATGACGAGTCACTTCTATACTTCCAAGGAGTTGGCAGTAAGTTCAAAGTCCGGTCCTCTGATCGTTCATGCGCGGGCTTTCCGCTGACATACTTTCCCAATGGGTAGATCCGTCTTTGTTGGTTCTGGTCGACCCTTAACGTCGCACGAGTATGCTCGGCTCTCCTGGCGGCTGGAATCTTGCAGATGAGGGGGATCGCTGGCAGGCCCGGTTGGTTCTGGCTCTTCGTGAGCATCCTATTTCTACCGCATTCCTGCAGTAAAACAAGCTGACTCACTTTTCGCCTTCTATCTGTAGGCGCTCGAAGGTGCTCTGACCTGCGTCATTGCCATTTTTGCCTACTGCTGGTTGCCTGAAAGCCCTACCAAGACCACTGGTGTCTTTTGGCGCAAGCCCTGGTTCACCGAGCGAGAAGAGAAGATCATGATCAACAGGGTCCTCCGTGACGACCCCGCCAAGGGACTGACGGCTCTGCACAACAAGATCAGCTTTGCCGACATCAAGGACGCCCTCTCCGACAGGCATCTGTGGCCCTTGATCTTCCTTGGTCTGATCGCCTATATCCCTCAGCGAGTCCTGCCTCTAGCTTTGGTTCTCGAATCGATGAAAGCTAACCGCCCCCGTGCTTCATTCGTGCAGGAGTCCCGTTCAAGGATATTTGACTTACAACCTGAAGCAGCTCGGATTCTCGACTTTCAACAGGTGAGTATCATCAAAAGAAAAATGTTGAAAGACCCTTCGCGCTTACGCATTCGCTATTACAGCAACGTGAATATACCTCATCGTATTCCCTGGATGAAATGATTTATCTCTTGCTAACGCGCCATGTTCTTTCTACGTACTTGCAATAGATGCTCACGGTAATCCTTGCGTTGCTAGATTCATTTAGTCAAGTCCACGTTGCTAACTCATGGCGTATGTATTGACTATACAGGTTCCTTCCGCTGCCCTGCAAATCGTGACCATGCTTGCCATCTCGTGGTCGAGCAACCATTTCAACGAACGACTCTAGTGAGCGATACCTCTCTCTCAGCGAAAAACGGCGTTCGTGACGCTGATCCGTTCGCGTCTCGTATCAGCCACTGCATGTTCGGAGAGTTCTGGGCCATGCCTATCTTGATCGCTATGAACACCTTGCCTGATGGTGGAAGGGAATGGGCGCGATTCTCGATGGTCACCCTGATTGCCGGCTGTGAGTCGAGATGACGAAACCATATCCAAGGGAGACCGTCTTTGAGGCCCGAAGCTGATCCTATATGTTCACCTAACAGACCCTTACTTCCACCCCATCCTCACGAGTACCATCTCGGAGAATAGTTTCTCTACGAAACGTCGTTCGATGCAGATCACTGGCTACAACGTCGTCGTCCAGATCGGCTCGGTCGTGAGCTCGCAGATCTACCGCAAGGACGGTAAGTTGCGGCGCGCTAACCATTTGAACATGGTCCATGTGAGCTGACTTGATCTCGGGTTCCGATAGATGCTCCGTACTACCACCGTGGAAACAAGATCCTGGTTTCTATCTGCGGTCTTGCTCTGATCACCTTCGCGATCACCCGCTGGTACTTTGGATACCTTGTAAGTTCTGATACTCCTGGATTTGATGCAAAGACATCCCGCTCATACATTCCCCACGCTAACAGAACAATCAGAAGGAGAAGATCTGGGGCGCGATGACGGCGGAGGAAAAGTGGGCTTATCAAGAGGATATCACCGCCCGTGAAAAGGAAGGTTCCAACAGGCTCGACTTTAGGTTGACCCGTTGAGCGCGCAGGGCGGCAAGGGGACTCGGGATCACGATCAGGACCCAGGTGCAATTGACTTTCGGTTTGTTTGTTTTCGCTTATTGTCCATGATCAAGGCTGTTCGCAGTGGAATACGAAATGTAAAATAGTCAGGATTGGTAAATGGAATGTATGCTGTACTACTGGCTCGCTTGAGCTTCTGCCCAAGAGCCGATGCATGTCTGATGATACAAATCACCGCCGCCAAGTCCGGACGTACAGCACGTACAGCATTTGTGTGTTCTTATCCTGCGAGCGAACAACCTGAGCTAGCTCGATCATAGGTCTGTTGAGGTGTTGTGAAACGCATCGACAAGCCCTATTTTAGCTGCTTGGCCTGTCAACCTGATTGCCCTCGGTCGTCATCCGTGCGCGTCGCCCGACCTTTGGTCGACCTCGCTCCAGCAGGCTGCATAACTTCTCATCCTCTACGTCCTGTCACATGCGGATAGTCTCCGTTTCCACAGAGCCTGCAGTCACCTTCTGCTCCTGGAAGTGACCGAGCTAGCACCTCTCTCCACTCTGCCAGCGCCCATCCGTGGTGACGATAGCAAGCGAGCTCGGCCGGACTTGGCTACTTTGGCAACGTCCGCCCTGCAGCGTGATCGATAGCGATCCTCATCCTGTCACCCGTTCGGCAAGACTATCAAGATCGGATTAAAGTCACCATCAGCCTTGGAAGATCGTTACAAGGTACACGCGGGTCTCTGACTCGTAAAAGTTGGTGCTCGAGATTCTGACGCTGATTTTTTCGGATGCCTACCCGTTCTTACCCAGCCAGACATTCGTAGCATCGGTTGATCGTGAAAACTTACCCGTTCACCGTTTGCGGTCTTCGGAGTCATAAACTGGTCACGGTACGTCTTGAACGCCGTGATACAGAACAATCTCGGTTCTTTTGCTGACTGTTGACATCCTCAGGCATCAGGTCTTTTCCTACTCCAGCATCCATCCCCGTCAACGAGAGCTTCAGAGGGATCATCAAGATGCCTCTCACTTCGTTGGACGGCCTCCTCAAGTTCACGGTACTTGTTAACGGCGATAGAACTCCCCTCGAACCGCTTATGCTGTATCGAACGTCGCAAAAGACCGTAGGGATCGTTGATTTCGCTCCTGATCAACGGTTCGAAATCAAATGGGAGCTGGTCGCAGGCTGGAACAGTCTACCCCAGGATGGGTCAGAAAAATACTGTGATTACCTGCGAACCCTTGCATTTGTCAACGAAGATGATGCTGGGTTGGCAGACTGGCGAAGGCCCCATTTCCGTGGCTCGTTCCCTCTCGACAATGACCGAGCCTTCCACTGCAAAGCCCATCTCAAATTCGATCTCTGGAGGGGGTACAAGGGCCGGCGATTGGGCTATCAAGAAGACAAGTTTCACACCGTCATTCTTCTCTACCGGACCCGGCCCGATGGACACCGTCAGAACTGCTTGAGTTCCGACTATTGTCCGGCTTTCTTCGCTGAGATGGCTCGAGCAGATAGGCACGGGCTCGAGCAGCGAGAACGGCAGGCGGCGGAACAACGAGAGCGGGACGTGGCGGATCAGCGAGCGCAAAGGGAATTGGAGGTTGCACAAGGCCTCAACGAGCGAGAGCGGTTGCTTTTACAACGTGAGCTGGCGGTCGAGGAACGGGAGCGGGAACTAGAACGGCGAGAACGAGATATCGTCCACGCTACTCCAAATCCGGTGGACGAGGATCGCAAGCCCGTGATTCCCGAAGTCCAGGATACCGAATCCGAGTCTCGCCTCGAAGGTCGACTTGCGAAGGTGGAGCAGGAACTTGCTAGTCTGCGGAGTATGATCAGGAGAAGGGACAGCAGGAGCCCGTCACCCTCTGAGCCATCCGGTGCGCGCAAGCGACCTCGTCGAAGCAACGGCGCTTTGTGATGAACAATACACTTGTTCACGGACAAGCGTCCCGTCAGCGTTCCATGCATCACGGTACCTTTTCACCCCCACTTGCCCGACCGACCATTCCTTGCCTTGGGAACAGGCTTCCCTTTGACGGATCTCATACGCCTTACGATGCTAGTCTGTACTCACGATACAATACATGTACCTCTAGACTATACCTGCCATACCCTCATCACGCTCCCATGACCATCTCGCAGCACTACTACCGTGACATACTCGGTCGTCGTCCGTGCGCGTCGCCCGCGAGACTCTCGATGGTGGTAACTTAGGCTGGGTACTGCCACATCACGATCACGAAGATTTCACTGTTCAGTCCATGGTACGACCTCACAGCCAGAGGGAGTCCACTGGGAACGATTTTGATCTTGACAGTGAGCGGTCCAAGGGCCCTTCCAAGTCCGACGCATAAGCTCTGCTCTGCTGAACTCGGTCCTTTCGTCAACTTGCGATAGTATCGATCATTCATTATTGATCGTCAAGTCATATCGTGAAGAATCGAAAGGGATCAGCACCTATCGAAAGCTCAACCGAAGTAGAGGTTTCAGAACGGTGCGTCGAAGCCTTTTTGCAAGCTTGTTCGAAAAGTGTAGGTTTCAGTCCTAATCACATCGGTTTTCATCAGATCTCGTCAGGTCGTCGTGATTGACCAGTCTCCAACCGTTATCCCCACCCGCACGAAAGAGCGGACAAGTACCCAGGCTCGATAACTGTGAGTATGAACATGTTATTGAAACTAGGCATTTCGTTCGCGCTTCTGATCGCAATGATTACGACGTCGGCAATGTCAGTTCCTTCATTACGGAATCAAGGATGACTTTGAGTTCACCAAACAACAAGCTCAAAGCTACCGTGATCGTCAATGGGCAGGCGGTGAAACCCTACGACATAGGACACAAGAAGCCAAACGAGACCTTCGGCACCATCAATTTGGACAGAAATCAACCTTTCAGTTTCAATTTGGACATGTCATCGTGCTTCCTAGACAAAGAATTGCGGCTTCGTCACCGGCCTGATAAGGAAACCATAGATCGGAACCGAGCTAAGCCGGTGCTTCAAGATTGTACAGACCTGCGTGCCGAAGTCTACCTGGACGAAGCCCATGTTCTTAGTGTCAGCTTCGCGTGTACGGAGGGGCAGAGTTTTTGCGACACCTGGAGCGTACCAAACCACCCAGCTATCGAGGGGAACGAATTTTCCCCGACTCGCTGTAAAGGTCTCATTGAGATCGACATCTTCAGGACGCTGCTCGTACCAGCTTTCGGGAAGAGAGTCAGCCGGATCGAACACATCGATGGCGAGCCCAAGAAACCGGAACCCTGGGAAATCTTTGCCCAATGGGACCACTATGAAAAGCCCTATCGCTCTTTCCACTTCCGGTACCGGGCTATTGAACGTCTGAAGGGTCAGACCGTTAAGGGACAAGAGCGAGAGAACCATGATGCTGGGCTCCAGGAAGGGGAGGGTTCTGGGCAGCAGAATTCCGATATTGCTACTCAGCATCGGGGGCGGGTGACGGTGGTTGCCAACCAGCGAGGGATGGAGACTGCTCAGAGAGAGGAAGAGCATGTCAATGTTGGGTGTCACTGTCAGGAGCTTGACTCCGCTGGCGGACGAGATCGATGGCTACAACAGCAGCGTGAACGAGATCGACAGCAGCTCGAGGTCGCTCGTGGACTCAATGAGCGTGAGCGGCTTCTCGAGCAGCGAGAACGGGCCCTGGACGAGCGTTTACGGGCCTTCGAAAGACGAGAATGAACGTTCGATGCTGAGCGGGCTCGTACGGAAGAGGACCGTAAACCGGTGATTGGCCAAATGCAGCGCGAGAGCTCTGCAGTAGAACAGAGGTTTGCGAAGCTGGAGGAGGAAATGACTAGTCTACGATGTCTCCTCAGCGAGAGGAAGGGGAAGGATAGAGCTCCGTCTCTTTCTGGATCTTCCAGCAAACGGGCTCGTCCAGACGATACCCATCCCGAGCATTAGCCAATGCGTCCCAGTCCGGCTTTCCACCATATTTCCCAAGTACCTCCATCACGACTTATCAGCTTAGACACGACGTATCAGCTTCCTTACGACATTTTGACCTCCCTACGATATCGATACTTCCTTCCAACGTCCTCACGACAATCCGGTTCCTCTACGTCATTTCAATGTCCCTACCACAGCATTTAGCTTGGTCGTACTCCGTTCTATATACCTTACGATCTTCTACGCATTCTGTGACTCGTCCTGCCGAGTCACTTGTTGATATCAGAATATCTACGCTGCATATACGATTTCATTCACCTCAGCCTTGCTTAACCACGAGACGGGTTAGCTCGCATCAAGGTCGGCCGCGCTCGATTCATACAAAACCGCAGAATGGAAACGCTTTCTTCTTGATCAATGGCATCGTCTTCACAGATTCTGATATACAACCTTCGGACCATCCTCGTAGACCTTGTATATATGTAATCCCTGATCTACTGATAACGCGAGCTGATCTAACCTATGATCGCTACTTGCACCTAAGTTGCCATTTTCAGACTTCCGCTAACTTGACCTGGCGCGAGTCCGCTCCTTCCGGCTGCCCGAGTACGTCGAATGCCAACGGTTTCGCCCGCCAAGCGGTATGCACGGTGCCTATGCTGAATGAATGCTCCTCGTTGGTGCTCAAAGGACCATCACAGGACATAGCCTCGGAGTATCTGGCTGTATCGATGCGCTGCCCCCGCTCGTCGGACGTCGTGGGTGTTACGAAGTTGTCATGATCCGGCAGCGACACGATTTCTGTGGACGGGGAGAGCGAGATTGTCCGGTAAAGTAAGGATGGCGGACCGTCCTCACTGGGTCTACCTCGAACAAAGAGCCCTTCGCTAGCTCCTCTTCCAAACGAGAACCCGCTCCTGTTCAAGCTCGACTTGCGTCGAGGCGGGCTGACCGACATCTTTTTCGCTCTCGGCTCCTTGCCCGGCGGGGTCGGCGTACGGGGCACCGACATCCCGATATCATAGCCCGCCCGGTCGCCCAGGAAGTCTCGGTTTCCGAGAAAGGCGTATTGCGAGTCCGCAACGGGGGAGACCAAGCCGATGCACGGCGCGTCTTCCTCCTCGCCAGGCGACTTGAGCACCTCCGTCGATCCAGATTCCGCAGTCATACCTGACGCCATTCCCGTCGAGCTGCCCGGATCGTGCCGGAAATCAGGAATGTCCAGCGGTCTTAGGTCTTGGTAGTACATCGGAGCGTCCACCGATATAGACCGGGGCACCTGAAGCGCCGACTCCATCGAGGGTCTTGATTGCTGGCTTCCGTCGAGTCCCTTGTCGAGGGTCATCAAGACTTCCCCCACCCAATCATCTCCGCCTAGTCCTTCCGGCCGGTCGGTCTCAAAGCTCAACTTGATTGTGGAGAAATTCTTGATCTCGGCGCTCAAGCTTTTAACCGGCGTAAAGGCCGAGTATCCAGCCGGGTCACTCGAAGCTGGACCGTCTTTGGGCACGTGAAGCAGTAAGGGTGAATCTTCCGTCCCTGCACGCCGTCTAAACCGTAGCGGTCGTTTGGGGTCGGCGGCATCGTTGGCAGAGCTTTTAGCGTCATTGCGATGTCCAGGTTGCAATTGATGTAGGTATGACACAGACTTCTTATGTCCATGCTGGATTCCGTTAACGACGCTCTCAAGCAGATTCTCGCTGGATGCTCGGAAATGTTTCGCTGGTCTCTGTTCGGCGGGCGATCGCAGCAGGTCCCGGTCGATCAAGGTGCCCATGGGCGTAGCGAATCGCGGTGGGGTGTCTGGTAACGTCTTGTCGATATCCAAAAGGTTGTCTGTAGGTCGAACAAGTCGGGGCGCCGGCCGTAAAGGCGTGGCAGCCGAATTACCGCTCAAGGTCAACCCGCGTATCGTCTTGTCCGCAGAAAAAGGGGATCTGTCGGGCATGATTTCGGGCAAGCCGTTACCACGCAAAGCTGACCCCATCTTCACTCCAGCCTTCGGTTCGACACCTTGCAAGCTGGAAATACTGTCCTTTTGTCGTCTACCGGACATGATCATTTCCATCTCCTTTTGCCCTATTCCCTGTTGCCGGAGTTGTTCGATCCAGGCTGGCGGCAGACCTTTGAAGGAGGCCGTTACGTGGAGGTCATGCTACAAGGAACGGGTCGTATAATTAGCGATGACGGTAGCAGGAGGTATCAGATCTAGCAAGCGACTCACCTGTACCAGCATCGGCGTTCCGATCCCGTCGTCAACTTCTTTCACCTCATTCTTCCCGGCCCGCCTCCAACTAGATTTTCGCTTGACCTTGCCGCCGCGTTCCATGCCTGGCACGCTCAGACAACCCGGCTGAGTTTCCTCTCTTGATTTCCCTGCCGCCCTACCCTGGCCATTCGGCGAGGTTTGCAGAGGCGAAAGGTCTCGAGGGACGATCTCTCTAGCAGAATAGCCTTCTTCGGACCACTTGCGCTCTTCTGCACTAGGTCTTGCAGAACCTGATCCTGACCCGGACGCTGAGGCTGACCCGCCGACAGAACCGGACGACCTTCCCGCATCGACTTCCACTCGACTCGCCCGCATCATATCCCACCCAACACCGTCCTCGCGATCTTCTTGCTCGCGACTGCCTTGATTCCTCGAAGCGAACTTGTCCAGCATGTTCTTGATGCTTCCCTTTCGCTTCAGACCCGTTCCGGTGATGACAACCTCTTCTTCCGCTTCGTGGCCTGCAAATCTGTCCAGCATATTCTTGATGCTGCCTTTCCGCTTCACACCCGGTCCAGGACCAATCAGGACGACCTCTTCCTCCCCCTTTCCGTGTCCAGCGGAAACATCACATCGACCTTGATTCCGGTCTCCTCCATCTAGCCCTTGACTGCGGCCAGTGGGTAAAGCGTCGGTAGTCATGCTCCTCTTCCCTTTAGGCCTTCCCGACGACCCAAATCTTCCTCCCGATCCCATTCCCAGTCCGAGCGGTCTAGACGAGCTTTCGGACCCCGCCCGTGTGTGCGGGTTCGAGTGGGTTCCGACAGGGCGTTCAGGATACGGCGAATGGCGTTTAGGTTTAGGTTTAGTGAACGGTAACCAACTTCCTTTAGTCCCTTTCACATGCTCCTTAGCAATGTTTTCTTTATGGACGACATTCGCTTGCTGCCCATTCTCTTCGCCATCAACCCCGTCCACCCTTCCATCCCCGACTTCCATCCGTAGATCGTCCAAGAGGTCCACACTGGACGACCTGAACAACCTGCTCAAAGGCAACCCTCCAGCGAGGTTGAGCCTGCCTTTGGTCTTTCTCCTCTGACCCGTCCCCCCTTCTAGCAAAGGTTTGGGACCAGCTTCGACCATCGCCTCGGCTTCGGGCGAGCCACGTAGACTGCCGCCCAATGCTGATCCCGACCTCGATGGCTCCGCCGGGACTCTACGGAACCCCATCTCGGACCTCGCAGAACTTGCTCCTTCTCGGCCGTCGGCAAATCCAGCTCTAGGTGGGAGCGCCAACGAGACGCTGGACTGATGAAACTGATATCCAGGCTGAGGCTGAGGCGAGGCGGGGTAGAGGTCCCGGAAAGGACGTCTGATCGGTGATTCTTGTTGCTGGACTTCGGCTTTGGAAGGTCCAGATAGATCAGGTGTAGGCAGTTTCATTGGAAGGGTATGGGCGTGCTGGACCGAGCTGTCAAGAAAGCAGCGTTTGTACGGGGATGATATGATCGAGATCAGCTCACCGGCGACAATCGTTGTACTCGACACCGAGAACCGAATTGGTCGTCTGGCTCACCTAGCTGAATGGTTATCGCCAGCGATTCCTTCCTGACTGCCCTTTCTCCCGACCAGAGCCTCATCCACGTCAACGTCGACTGGCAAAGACGGCAATGCTTTCAGGCGACTCTCCATCCTCGTCGTGTTTGGCATCGTCTTCGTCGGCATGGGTCGATTTGAGTATCCGATGCAGTCCTTCAACAGCCAGTATGGATCGGGAAAACGCAGGGGTCACTTGTAGAGTCGTGGCAGTAGTGTTGATATGATCTATCGTCCGGTATGAGCAACGAGCGTACGTGGTGTCGATATCGGGTAGTGATTGGTATCAAGAAGGTTTGAACGACCAGGGTCGTCGATCGATCCGGCGACGATGATCCCGTCGAGTTCGTCGCCAAAGGGACCTTGGGGATCTCCTTTACTACTAACCCGATAGAGGAATACCTTTTGGCACCCCGACGAAACCGGTCTCTCTTTCTGTCCTTGGAGGCAGTCCTGGTCCAGAGCGTGTGCACAGCAGAGCGTTCGGTGTGACGGTTTCGTCATGACACATGGGTGGTAGAGTGAGCAAGTGAGAGGGTGTAATAAGTCACATGTCCCCCTCTCTCTCGCCCGTCGCCCGTTGTTTATTGCACCTTCGACCCTCTCGCTCTTTGCGTGTTTCAATCAAGAGACCCCTTGATCCATCTCCCCTCCCTCCCTTTTGTTCGTGGATCTGCCGCGTTCGATCGCGTTTGGGCCAACGAGGTCTTGTTTCGATGATCATACAAGATCCAATACGATTTTCCCCGTGATCCGCAGTCGACCGACATCGTTTGGTGGATTTGATGTCGTTCTCTTCGCCTGCCGTTAGCCATTCCGCCGTTTCGCCATAGTCGTCGTCGTGCAAACAGGTTGATCGCCCGTGAGTCCCGACGCAACATCCTTGCTTGGTTTTCTTGCCCTTTGTATTCTGTTTTATGAATTTCCTGCCGAGGGAGATCCTGACAGAACTTGGTCGTTCAGCAACATCTGCCCATTGTCTGTATCTATTCAGTCAGTGAGTGAGATCATTCCTGTCGCCTGTCGCCTCTGATGATCTGATGATCAAGGATCAAGGATCTCCATCGCATCAATCACAATCGCTCTCGTTCATCATCATCGGCCAACCGATCATTTTGCTTCCGCTAATTACGTCACCCTTTCGTAACGACCGCGATCGAGGTGTTTCATCGTGAAGCATACCCGGAGTTGAGCTATGCAGCCGTGTAGCGATACGTGGGTATCTGACCCGCTGATACGTTTGCGTATGAAAATCGATGACCACTACAACGACATGCCAACTTGTGGTATATACATCTACTAGGCCGCATCCTGCGACCCTTTGGAGTACTTGTTCCAACTTCCATTCTCGTCATCCCCTTCAGCTCCCTTGATGTAGATGACCTTCATTGGAATCCTGTATTTAAAGTCGATGTCTTCGAAAATCCCTTCCCTGTAATCCCAGATCGTATAGCCTCCCTTGGCTCCGTCGAAATTTCCAGAAGTAACGGGGAAGACGCCCTGGTAATCCACGTGGGAATTCGGAAGAATCACAATGACGGGCTACATCCAAGTTATAAACGTTCAGGTTCAGTTTGCATCTCCATACCCTCAGGACCGTCTGGAGACAAGTAGAAGCTTACAGTATCGCCTGCTTTCCCAATGATCTTCTTTGCGATATCCTGTTGAGCTTGATCTGTGATATCTCCTGTCGCAGCACATTCTTCTCCAGTCAAAAGGCTAAGGTAGGCAATAGCATGCTCCTCCAAGTCCTCGAGCTGGACATCTTGTTCTCGACTCTCGTTGTAGGGGTGCCACTGTCGCATCGCTTTGCCCAACAGGTATGCCCAATAGGTTGCACGTATCTGAACAACCTGACCAGGTAAGCCGCCCTCTAAAGGTTTACCGTTGAAGTCTTGACGCAAGCGAGTGGACTCGAGTTCGGCAACCAAGTCCTTGTACGCCTGACCGTCAACCTTGTATGGTTCGACGTCAGCTTTGTTGGCTTTGATGGTGAGATTGGTTCCGCTCCTCAAGAGGCACCATTCCCCAGGTTCAAACATCTTGACAAGGTCATCCTGAGCCACCTACTCTTCCAAGCTTTGCAGACTCAGCTTCATTCACTTGACTGTTACCTTACTCGTCTAGCATAGAGTACAGGACTTACGTCACTTACGTGGCTCCACGCGGCCAAAGCACTCAATCTAGCTCCATACATCCAGTCCTTAGGGGCATTCTGGGTCTGGACCACATCCTCGATGTGAAACGCAGGTTTCAAGTTGTAGAAGTCATAGTCTCAGAGGTTTGGGCTTGGAATAACTGACTCCGGGTCAAGTACTCCTTCCATCCAGCACCTGTCTCCCGACATGTCGATCTCATCGGGTGGCTCAGGGGCCGAGGCTTCCTGTCGTTTCGTGATGACGTCGTTGTCCAGAGGAGTCGCAGCAGCGCGGACTGTCAATCAGTAGACGAGTGAGCTGCAGTAATATGTCATCGTGATTTTCAGCTGAACTGACCAGCCGAAATTTTGCAACAGCAGTAATCAAGGCGGATATCAACCGGTGATATACCATTTTGCTACGGATGTGCGTAATCCCGTCAGCGGGGCACACTCGAACAGGCGCCTGTCTCGTCCCTTACAATGTATTCTGTCCGAACGATAGCGCTGTGAACAAGGTGGAATTTCAATGCAAGTAGAGGCCCGAGCTATACTTACACGGTTGGGCCGGTGATCTTCCAGATATAGAACATGTACATGAAGACGCAAGCCGATATTCGAAACGCTGAGCATGGAACCAGGAGAACGCAGGGGAGGCGGGGCGCGAATCAAAGGAAGGTGATAAGCGGCCCGCGAATGATGATACAGGGTGATATGGGGTGAGGAGCTTGCTAGCACAGCCAAATGAAAGGACCCATGCGAAACGCAACCTCTGCTCCTCCTATGCAGTTGTAGACGGTATCTCACCGCCAGTGGCAAGTGTCGAAGCGGCCCGAACAGGGAAGAAACACACCTTCGAAGCTCTAAGCGTCAGGAAGGATCGGCGCGCATGGAGATTTCCGGCTATCCTAAGCATACGACGGTCAGTTTCGAGTTGCATGATCAAGCAGGATACCTGGGGCTTTGTTGCCATTCCGGACGTAAGCGATTGCATTCGATGTGGCATCTCGATCGATTTCCTTGCCTCTCGCGCCAAAAGCGATTCCTTCGGAAGCAATTATGTAATCGGAAGTATATCATCGCTCTTGGCCGAACGTCCACCCCCTTGAGATATCGATCGTATCGCAGCAAGTCTACTTGATTTGATCACATTGCGGCTTGCGACTCTCAAATCAGTCAGGTATCAACTCAACATCGTGCGATAGTGAAGCTACTATCACGTGAGACCAGGTTTCTTCTTCAGTCATGCGGTTTCTCCGCATCGTGCACGTCACCAGCATCATCGCCTTGCTACCTTTGATCGTCAATGGGATACTTCGGGATTCGTTTCGATCTCGAGTTGGGTGGAATAGTATCCAGATCAGCAGGGAACATGTCAGAGAGGATGAATCACCATCAAAATCGGACGTAGATGCGCTCTCAATCACTATCGTCGACCTCCTCAGCTCGAGCACGCAACATTCTACCCTCCTTCATCTGCTGCAACGATGCAAGCTCGTGCCTTCTGTTAATCTGATGCAAGGTCTCACCTTGTTCGCTCCTACCGATCAGGCGTGGGATGCCTGGGCCAAGTTGATGCAACTCGATGAACAGAAGGGAACAGGTGCCCAAGAGGATCTCGCGAGATTGATACTCGGTTGGCGAATGTCGCGGCAAACGAGTGATTACGTCGACATCGACGATGGCTTCGCGGACAACATCATGTTCGACACTCGCCAACTCTTGCTCTATCACATGCTCAACTACACTCTTCCGCTCCAACAATCTCTGACAGACGTAGACCCATCATATCCGGCCAGTCGCGGTTTGCCGAGGTGGATCGCTCGGGATAGCAATATCTCTACCGAGACAACCCTCCTTTTCCCTTCACGCCATCATCATCCTCCCGGCAACCTTCCACCCGCTCATCCGCCTTGGGCCCCAGAAGGAGGAACAGGTACACTTGGAGGTCATTCTCAACAGATCAGGCTGTTGTTCGATCAGTCAGGGCCCAGTAGCGTTGGGGTGGATGTGACTGGTCGAGGTGGGGCCGGGGTATGGACCAACTGGGAAGGAAACACGACCGATAAACATCCTCGACCAGTAGCAGGTGACAGGTATCGATTCGGGAGTAATGGGATCGTAGTTGGAATCGACCGGGTCTTAGATCCGCCTGTCGACCTAGGTAAGTTCCTTGGCCCCGCAACGGAATTTCTCACAGCATCACAATAAAGCTTGCTGACCCTCCTCAACGGTCATGTAACTATACAGAAAACCAGATCAAAGCTGACTCGGACCTCTCCTCCTTCATGGATCTTATACGCACGACTCCGATCGCTTTACCCGCGAGCGATATTCGACCGGAACCATGGAATCTCAGCCGAGCGGAACACATCACGATCTTCGCTCCAACGAATGCGGCATTTGATAGGTTCGATGAACTTGAGAGGCGTTACCTTTGGAGCGAATTTGGGGTCGAGGCGAGGAAGAAGATTCTGGAGGGTCATTTGCTGGTGGATACCACTTCGAGCCATACATCGTCCAGGAGCCAGCATGCCGTTGATGTTATAAACAAGGAGATGAGATTGCCTTCGGTCGGGTGGCGGAGTGCCTTCCTCAGCAAAGATTCTCGCGAAGGTAAGCTACATCTTGCTTGTTGTGCGAGGTTGTGACCTACCTCCAAGTCAGATCCGGCCCGCTAAATTCATGGAAATTGTATAGTTCTCACTATAGACAACTCGACCCTCAACATATCGGTCGATCACAACACGGGCGACATGTTGGTCAACGGCACAAAGATCTTGAACCCGGACGGTTTCGCTTCGAACGGCGTCGTACACCGTACTGAATCTCTGATTCTCCCTCCTGATTACAAACTCCTCAATTCGCCGGAAAAGGTCATGCTCTCGCTCAACGCGAGCAGGTTCGTCAGCTTGTTGAGGCGGACCGGTCTGGCCGAAAATTATACGGATACCAAGGGGAATATGGGAGAGGGGAGGACCTTTTTGGTGCCCACGGACGATGTTCTTGAATCGAATCCGGGTTGGATGCAATCGAGCGCTGACTTCTTACGAGGGGAAGAACAAGAACAAGGAGCGAGGCTCGCGGAGACTCTCAAGTATCATATCTTGCCCGGTCGGATCGCCCCGAAAGACCTTCGAGACGGCGATCTCTTGATCACTGAGCTTGAGCTAGGAACTAGGAAGCCGAGTGAAGGCGATACTGAGCAAAAACAACGTTTGCGAGTGCATGTGGACTCTGAGAAGCATGAGGACGGGATGGACGAGAAGGTTACTCCGTCCGACATTCGGTTCGGAGGCGCTTCGGTCATCGCTAAGCCCTGTGAGTCCGTTCGCTTTGGGCACGCGAAGTGAATAACTACCGTTTCGTTTAGCTGACAATGGTGCTATTTGATTTTCAGTCTATGCCGATAACTATATTATCTACCTCATCTCCGCTTTGAACGAACCTCCAGAGGATGTCATCCAGACCGCCGTCTCCAACCTTGAACTTTCGACATTCGTGGCTTCCCTGTTCGCAGCGGGTCTAGATAAGCTCGTTCGCAGAAAGAGCGGGGTGACCTACTTTGCTCCGACCAACCAAGCGTTCAAAGATCTGGGTCTCGTCAGCCGTCATCTTCTCGGGAGTGAGGGAAAGGATGATCTGAGAAAGATCCTGAAATATCACGCTCTCGACGAGCTCGTCTATGGGGCAGATATGCAGGACGGTATCACGACCTTTAGGACCCTGACTGGTGAAGCTATCCTCGTGGACAAGAACCATACTGATATGAACGCCAACCGGACATACGATACCATCCGAGGTCTTGCAAGGAATATTTCCGGCTTGGAGATCCTCACGAACGGGATGCGGCCCAGTGAAATTCTTGATACCGATCTCCTGTCGGCGACGGGCCCCGTTCACATCGTGAACGGCGTCCAGATTCCACCTCGTCTCAACATCACGCACGGAAAGCTACTACAGGGCGCAGGCTGTTCGACCTTGATCGACCTGTTGACGAGAAGCGGGATGGACTGGCTCTTGACTGGTGCCAGTCCTCCCTCCTCTTCTGACGTGCCGGACTCAGACGCTCAGGACGTCCGACCCCTCAAGCGGCCTTTCACCATCCTGGCCCCGTCGGACGAAGCGTTTTCTCGGATCAACTTGACGTATTACCTCAACAACGACGCTGCGCTGCTTTCACTGTTGAGTTTACACATTATCACCTCGGGACAAGGGCAAGATGGTGGCGTCTTTGCCGAGTCTGCCAAAACCAGGCCCTCATACCCCGTCATGCTACGGGACGAGAGTATATTTTCGACCTTGCACTCTGTGCAGCGTTTCGGAGATGTGATCTTCCGAAACGACGGTCATGGATCATGGGTGGTCGGAATCAATGCCGCTCGAGGTGTAGATCAGCAGGCCAATGCAGCCCGAGTTGTCGAGGCTGGAAGAGCGTCGCCGATCTGGTTGACAGCAGAAGATGATGACGATGGACAACTAACCTTGATTATGGACGAGACCGGGACCGTCTGGAGGGACGGGCAGAGTCTCGGTGGCGGGGTTATCACTATCGACAGGGTTTTGATACCTTACGAGCCAGGCTGGTTCGCTGACTGGGGCTACCTGGCCTGCATCCTCGGATTGGCTGGACTCGTTCTCCTGGGCCTGGCTGGATATGTAGCGTTCGGGCGGAGAGAAACCCGAGGCAGGATCAGGTTGGAAGGGGAGGCCGACGAAGAAGAGGAAGACGCGACCGCTCGTGAGATCGATCGAGAACGAAACGACCAGTGACGACAATAGCTATGGCTACCACTTCCCCACGGACTGTGTAACTGCATTACAATCATTATAGAACCCTTAGAGCGATATTTGTATATCCATTAGAACAATTGTACCCCGAGATCCCTTTCAGAGTAGCGTGATCACGTGATCCAGGTTGCATCGGTCCAAGCCGACACACCAGCTGCAGGTGGTTGACATGCAGTACCAAGTAGATCCATCGTCCTGTAATCCCGTGTGTCCGCAGGTCTTGGTGGAGGGCTTGAAGCTACAGAACACTGAAGTTATCGATTGGATCAACGGCCAAGTACAGTACCTCTCGAAATTACGACGGCTGCAACTCGACATGTCAGACGGACCAGCGAACGGCCCGCAGCCTCGTCAGGTCATCCTTTGGCGATCACGAAGTAACGGTACGGTCAGGGTCAGCGATAATCATGTAGCGGACGGCACACCATTGCCTGTACAGACCAATCAGGTTGAAGCCAGTGACCTGCCTGAGATTGCCTCAAGAGGAGACCTAGTCGTCGGCCGGCCTCTGCCGCTCGAAATCAGACTGCCTCGTGAAGAAGCTCCACCAGTATTAGAGACCTGTCCGTACTGCTTCCAGATACTGCCACAGGATGACGCAGAATCCTCCAGTAATCGCTCTCGGACTTATAGCCAGTCATGGGACTCTGAAAGCACGGCAGCAGCTTCCGTCGCTGCGCCTCGCAGCCACATCCTGGGAGATCTGGATGAATCAAGAATTCTAGCGGTGGATCCCTTGCGAAAGAAGAAGAGAACCCAAATGCTTTTGACCCGGCCGTATTTTCGGATGCTCGAACGGGTCGCTATAGGAGATGCCCCATCCGGTACATCTAGCGGGCCGTCAAGCTTTCGAGGTACTCGGGAATCCTCAAGACGCAGTTCTATCGATAGGGTTGTTGATGGCGACGCCGACGCTGCCGCCGATGGGAGCCAAGCGTTTGCCGGAATGGAAGGTTATTACAAACGGTGTGCTGAACTGTCATAGTATGAAGCTATCAACGACTTCCGTCTAACACTTATGTGCCTATGATACTAGGTTCTTCGTCGAGGAGAAGCGTCTTGGGATGGGCGCTCAGGGCACGGTCTACCTTTGCCGTCATGTCGTCAACGGGAATCTGCTATCGTGAGCAGCTCGGCCGTCTTACGCGATTCTGCTCATATCCCTGCATATACTGAGATCGAGCATATGACATATACAGATATCACGCCATCAAGAAGATAGCGGTTGGCAATTCGAAGGAATACCTAGCAGATATGCTGAGGGAAGTTCGGTTGCTGGAAGGTCTTCGTCACAAGAATATCATTCCGTATGAAACCGTTTGGGTGGAGCCTGCCAGCTTCTCGAGGTGAGTCGAGTGAAGTCATGATTTTCGTCCGTGTCGTTGATGTATACAATTCCTCTCCCAGGTTGGCCCCTCCTATCGAAGCTCTGCAGTATGGCATATTCATTCCCATCTAAGGTCCATAATATCGCTGATGCGTTTTAATTTGCCCTTTCCAGCATACTTATGATGTACGCGAACCTTGGGAACATCGACACCTACATAACTGCACGCCATTCGATGCCCGAAGACGGACAAACTTTCGATATGTCAGGACAGGCAGACTCGGAAGCAGAACCGCTATCAAAGGATGAGATGAAGAAGCTATTTAAAAGGCGTCGTCTCAGTTCGAGAGCTGGCGAGGGTAGTGCCGCTCGCCGTCAGGATGTCCGTGGGATCTTGCTCTTCAGTCGGGAAGAGATCGAAAGCCTGTTTGGTGATATTTTGGAGGGACTCGAATTCCTGGCAAGTCGCACGAGGCGCTCGCTTACCGCGATCTTTCGTTTGCTGAACTTCTGACCTCGAATAGCATGCGAAAGGCATCGTCCACCTTGACTTGAAGTGTCAGAATGTTCTACTTCACCTTTTCGACGGCGATCTGATGTGAGTTGTCCGGGCGACCAGGAACCTCATACAAGCTTGGGATGCTGATATGCAGGATGTCTCGATTGCAGCCCAACATGCATGATATCAGATTTTGGGAGCTCACGGGCCGTGTACCAATATAGCGACCATAGACGAACGGGAGAGACCGGGACTATGGAGTAAGTCAGAGCGGACGTCATTGTTTGAGGCGCCGCTGATTCGAATGATCGACACCATAGGTATCTCGTAAGCTTAGTAACCGTCGGGAAATGTGGTGCTTGATTGACAGGATCCCTCACTCAAGGCACCGGAAACTATCACTCCGAACAAAGAAGGGAAATTCCTCGAAATGGATTCGAAACTCGATATTTGGGGCTTAGGTGAGTGAAAGCAATCTGACCTGGAACATGTCACCGAGGCTGATATTTGGTCTTTGGCTCAACCAGGGATGATCCTGCACAGAATCCTATTCTTCAGCCTTCCCTACGGCGAAACGTCAACGTACGATGAACTGAGTGACAAAATCAAGCGATATCCAGGGTCAGTCGGGTCACGTGTAGCCAGGTTGATGATTACAACTGATGTACCTTTCTCGTGCCAGGTATAAAGCCAGTCCGGAAACACGAAGGGCGTTCCGAAGACGCGGTATTCCGGTGGAGATGCTGGATGTGCTCGAAACGTTGCTACACGTGGATCCTGCTCGACGACCGAAAGTGTCGAAGTTACTGAAAACCTGGAAATCGATTCAGGTAGGTGTCTTCCACCGTCACATCTGCTGATTCGTTAACCTCCCGCAATCCACAGCTTCAGCGTGATACATCGCCGCCTGTCGCGGTCGAGTTGGTCAAGGGCGCAGACGATTTTGCTAGCCCGCACAAACATGATCCTCCTGTTCTGAATCCGCCCGGAAATAGAACTCTGGCACTACCTCCACCGTTCAAGGAGAATAAGCTTTTGACCTTACGAGTTTGGGAGGGATGTCTCCAATACGCAATAGCCGCCATAAAAGTGAGTCCCGTCCCAAGGCTGGGAATCATGATCATTTTACCGAGCGAGTCAATCTGGGCTGTCTAGATCATCACCGCCGCTCCGCCAATACGTGCCAGGCCATTAAGCCCTGCTAGGTTCTACTTGGTCGTTCTCCTCGCTTTGTTCGATCTGGCGCAGAGCCACGTGAAAACCTCAGTAGTCCTTGGCACGGCTCATCTTGTGCTCATCATGCTGGGATAGTACCAAGTCAGCTGCCGATGCCGTTGGAGACGAGACTGACGAATGTACAAGTTTAACGAGCGCAGAAGAAATCTCAAAAGCGTAAACATTCCATATCACAGGGATTCATATTGTAAATATCGCATTAAGAGTCATCATGAGGAGTTCGTAATATCGACACCAAGCCCGTCCGCCGTCGTAGCAATACCCAAAGCCTTCTCTTTGCCTCTGCGTGAAATATGGTCAGACCAGTTTAGAGCGCGACGCCAAGCAAGACCGCAGCCAAACTTCCGAGACCAAGGGCAACGGGCTGGATCGACGCCACGGCCCCATTGCTGGGCGAGCTCGAGGCAGCTGCACTACTAGCAGCAGCGGCGGTGGACGAATGGGTGTGATCCGAATGATCGTGGTCTTCCGTGGCGGTAGCAGTACCGGTGACGGCAGCCGTGGCGGCGGTCGGGGTCGCGGTGACGGTGGCGTTGGAAGCGAGGGAATCGTCCGAAGTACAGGTCTCGTTCGATGGGACTTGAGCTCCGTCGACGAGGACGAGGTCGGAGCATTGGAAGAGGTTTCCATCCCCCTTTTAGATGCAGGTACACAACCGAGATGCATGCTGATTAGTGTTCTTCCTTCAAGGGGTCATCCTCGCGAGATCAGGCCTGCTCACCCCGTTGTATTGGACCTGAATGGTGACCTGAGAGCCGTTGACGAAATTCATACCCAACGAAGAAAAATCGACATTGAAACAGGTCTCTCCTTGAGGCATCTACAGAAAAGTTTCGCCATAACCGTATGAAATCAGCTATCGTCTTTAGAAATGCTTGCCCGATAAAGGTTGTCCCGGTAAAGACTCACTTGGAACCAACTTTTAGCGAGGGTAGAGCTAAAGTCGTCAAAGTTTTGGGGGTCCTCCTTAGAAGAGATGAGGAGGGCGACGGCAGCGCTCGCGTGGTGGGAATCGAGGTGGACTGGGAGACGAGGCTCGACGGTCAGCTGTCCCGGACATGTAGTTCTTGTCGAGAGGGGCGCGTTGCTCACTTGGGACATTGCCGGTCAGGGGCACAACGTTTCGCGGACTGCTGGGATCGGTGAATCCACCGCAAAACTGTACGAAGATAAAGGACGGGTTGTATGGATTTCAGACTTGGCATTTCCTTGAACCAAGTAGCGTACTCACCTCTGGCTCCTTGTCGTCATCAAAGCCTCGGGTAGGAGGGTAGTCAAGGGTGAAATGAGCAGATACGGTGGCAGCTGCAGCCAGCGCGGTGAGCAGAGCTGTCGTGGTAAACATTGCTTCGAGGGTGCCTTTGGAGTATGTAAAGTAAAGTAGCTGACTTGTGACAAAAATCTCGTCAGCGGGAAGCGGCTGGACGACCTATACAGGACCCCGCTTCTGTTCCCGCCTATATATGGCGATTCCAGCTGAAAGGGAAGAGTAGAGCTATCTTGGGGTCATCCGACGACCTCGAAAGGGGTGACACTCCTTGCACCTTGGTCGGTGGCGTTTCAGCCAATGGCAGACAAGGCGCGCGATCGATATGCGCGATTTCTTCAACTCGCGCTGAGCGTTTCGGGACCGATGTGGTGAGCGATTTGCGCGGGAGTGAGCCGTTTTCATTCAAGCTCTCGAGCTGTTGCTACATTCTCCGTGTGGCGTCTTGATATGAGACATTTTATGCGAAATCCTTGTTAGTCATTGCCGACGGATGCTTGATACATTTTGATGGCATGGACAGGAAGGGCAGCTGAGACTCGAGCCGGACATCCTGAATGGGGTGCCATGTCCGGGATCCCCGAGGTTGCAGTTGATGACGAATCAATCTTCCGGACGCGAGCCTCGGCCATCGACGTCACGTCTCGACCCATGAGATATGCCATATGCTAACATACGTGAAGGACGGCCTCACTTGATTTTCATATTGTCACAGCTTATCTATATGCTCTACAATCTCGGATAATGATTCGACAACGGCGACGCCCCGCCGTCGCAAAGCCGGGTTTTCCCAACGCCGCACCGACTTCACCCACCCGGCTACATCGACTATGGTTGCAATCTCGTACGCTCGACGGCGTGACGCAGCGACCCTTGACTGCACGCCGACTCGATCGTACCAACTTGAAGATATGCCTCGCGCTACTTCGTGTCGAATTCACCGCCATCTTTAAGATGTTTGGCAAGACCGACCGGCTGGTCCTCGGGCGGTACATCATCGGGCAGTTGCTCGTCGGATTAGCCCCTGCTGCCAAGGTTTCGACGATGGCCTCGCTGATGAACCTCGTCCAGGAGACTCTCTCCTCGACGTCCCCGGTCGCACCCTACCTCGTGGGTTGGCATGCCGTTCTTACCCTTGCTGCTTACTCGGCAAGTCGGATCTTGCCGACCCTCACACGGCCCGACTTTGGCGAGATTCAACGCAGCTTGGACCAGTCCATTCAAATCGACTATATCCGGCGCAAACTTTCCCTTGACATACCCGTTTCGGTCGATCCCACCATCGCAGCCTTGGCCAGAGAGTCCGCTGTATTTGCCGGATTCGAATATATGGAGTTCGACCTCCCTGGAGGCGACAATGATGGATTCTACTCGGACGGTCCATTCAGCTTGCTCCGGGACACCTTTTTTGCTGTACTCATATCCCTGACAGAGTTCGCATCCACTGCCACGCTCCTCTCGATCATCTGTCTCGATATTATACGAAACCCTGTTCTCGGCTTCTGGGCATCGCTCGCTTGGATCACAGTGGTACTCGTCCTCGCTTTCTTGCCGATCGTCCTCGGCAGTCTCGTCTCGGCTCTGATCTCGGTGTCTCTGGGCGCACCTCGGTCTCTCTCTTCAGATCACGATCATGGCTTTTGGATGCGACGCGAAGGCATCAGAAGCCTCATCCAGGATACCACAAACCGCGAAGAGATCGTTCTCTTTGGGCTCGCTGAGTGGATAGCGTCGAAATGGAACGCTGTCAATCATCTGAAGAAACGCCGTCAAGACGACTCGCTTACCGGGGAGTGGAAGAACGCCCTGCAAGAGCTCGTACAATAGTCCGGTCAGGTCGTTTTCTACGTAAGTGCTTGGCATTCAATCAGGCTATTGATCATGGGCTGACGCTCTCCTTCGTTACAGTCCCTGATAGCCCTTCGTGCGCTTCCCTTTGGTCTCACACTCGGCTCGATCAAGATCTTCCAAGGAACCGCCGATCAGCTCTCACAAACCACCCGTACCCTTCGTCGCCAGCTCTACCGATCATTTCAGGCGGTATTCATCGTCGCTGCATGGCTCGCATTTGTCGAGATTTGCGATGCGATAAGAGAAGAGGGAGCGTCCTCGGTCATTACCTCTGGCAATCGTCCACAGCAAGAAACGGAGGAGCGTCCTTCTAGGATCGATTATGAGCAGACGCGAATTCGACGCGGCATGAAGATTCAGGCTCAGAACCTCACCTTCAAGTATCCGGGCGAGAGTACGCCTACGCTAAAGAACATCAATCTGACCATTGAGCCGGGTGAATCCCTAGCGATTGTGGGATACAATGGGTCAGGTGAGTTGATCTTTCTGCATCGCTGTACCGACCCGATCTGATACGTCACGTATCTATCGCAATCGCAGGTAAGACCACCCTACTCAAAGTTTTGATCGGCCTCTATGATCACGGCGGACGACTCCTGGTCAACGACGTGCCAACGCAATACTTCTACGACGGCCAACTTCATCGACGCACCACGGCTTGCTTTCAAGAGTATAGCAAGCATTTTCTGTCCCTCCGCGACAATGTCGCTTTAGGCCGAACCACTCTCGACAAAGCTGGTGATTCCCGTATCGTCGAAGCCCTCTCTCGGGCGGAGGGTAAATCCATCCTCGACAAGTTCGACCTGGATACGGTCCTCAACCCGCATGGTGTCGGAAGTGAAGCCTTGAGTGAAGAGCTGCAGCAGGAGCAAGACGAGATGAACAAGAGGATGGGCTCCAACGTCAAGTCACTTTCGTTGGGTCAATGGCAAAAAGTCAGCTTGGCTAGAGGTTTCGTAGCGAGCGAACAGGCCGATCTCGTCGTTTTCGAGTGAGTGGACTGTCGATCTACTTGCCGTTCTAAACAGCTTGCCTGAATTTGACAATGTTGCCTCTCGTAGTGAACCTTCGGCATCTCTGGATCCTTCAGCTGAAAAGGCCTTGTTCAGTAAGATTCGCTCGCTTTCTGCCAAGCGCGATGCTGGTGACGACAAGGAGATCGGATCGACGACAACCATCTACATCTCACATAGATTTTCTACCGGTAAGTATATTCTCACCTCACCACTAGTGAGTTTGATTAATACTTTTGCCTTGCCAGTCCGAAATGCCGACAAGATAGCCGTTGTGGAGAACGGAGTAAGCCATCACAGCAGACGATGGATCAGCTCTTGCGCTGATCGTATAACTCATTCTCACAGACTGTTTTGGAACATGGTTCTCACGATAATCTGATGGAGCGCAACGGAAGGTATCGCGAGTTGTTTGAGATCTCGCGAGAAGGCTACGTCGATTAGCGGTGGCTCGTCAGCTAGAAGACTAGGTTTCGTGATGAATATGTACATAGATGATTCGTGAGTTCGAGGACATCTTTTCGAGTGATTGATCGATGTGACCGGTTTCGTTATCGTATTTCGATGCAATTCGTCGTTGACCGTGTCGACGGGGTATACTCAGGCGATTCTCGATCCAGCGCGTGCGCTCTCCCGATTCCCTTATCACAACAACGCCCCGTGTACATCCAACCCTTCGACCAAGAACAGCCTACTCTCTGCCATGCAGACTAGACCTGCTGGTATGAAGCAGAGATTGGCACACCCAGCTTGTCCGCCAGTCTCGTCCGATAACAAGCTATGGAGTCGCTCATCAGTATTGACGTCATACCTCGATCTGATCTCTACTCACATTTTGCCTAGCAGCGTTCCGGTTGAAGCTTTGCATTGTTTCCAAAAGTTAGTTGGCTTGATCTTTAGATGTCTTCTCCCCAGTAGCTTTACTCACACCAAACCTGAACAGGAACGAAAACCATCAGCGATAAAATTTCTCCATGGAGACTTGTTTGAGACCGCTTACATGTACGCCATCGAAACATCCGGCGTAGACGTTTCCCTCGGTATCCAATTTTACTGAAGGGACAAGATAGACGTCGGCTGAAGTAGCTTTCGGGTGATATGTTTTTCTGACTTACTGCCGTCTGGCGCGCCTGCGAGCCATGAAAGGAAACGAGGGTCAGTCAGATATTTGCTGTGCGCAAAAAGCTAATATGGCACTGACCGCAATCAACGGAGGCGAACAACCGTTTGTTGACCAGTTCAAAGGGAATTCCTTCGTCACTTCGAGGTTCTATATCGAAGACGTGACTTTTTAGACGATTGGGGCTGATCAGCTCGCGCCCTTTCCAATGACCACTCGCGCAGACTCACATCGTCCCAGGGCGTGTTCCACATGTGCTTCCGTCTCCCCGTATATATCCCGTATCCGTGATATAACACCTCTTCCTCTTCTCGTCCACCACGATGCCATTGGGTTTATCGAACCCCTCCGCCAGTGCCTTTACTTCGCCCGTGTTTGGATCGAAGCCATAGATCTGGTTAGGCAAGCGCGGAGCGGGTTTGAAACGCTGTTCGTACCCATAGGAAGGGTCTGTGAAGAGTATCACATAGCCTTCCGACAGGCCCAAGCTGGCAGCATCGTCTTCGACCTCCTTGTTTCCCGAGCACTGATAGCCAGATTCGTGTGACCCATTCGAAGCGCTGCAGACAGGCGGGACTACGACCACGTCGTTGAGACTGTTGAAGGGCAACAACTGATGATTATTGAGTACGGGTCGCGGTCGTCGCTTTCCGGTCGGATCCACCACGACGAGCGATGACAGCTGATCATCACCTCGACCTTGATCGCAGAGCAAGATGTTGCCATTCGGCAAGATGGTCCCGCCGTTCGGAGTCGGGAAAGGGTATTCGTCCTGGTCGAGGTCTTGCCACTGAAGCAGTCTGCTCCCGGCTCGCGCACGCTTGCTGAGATCCATGCGACTCAGCGTGGTATACGCTTCTCCTCGTTCGTCAACCCGCCTGTTGCTAGTGAAGAATAGACTCTGGGTCTGTTCGGACCAAACTCCCGCTTCGTGGAAGCTGTTCCCGTGCTCCGTCTGGTCCTGGGCGAGAACTCGAAGCTTCGGACCGGCCGCTTGAAACAAGCGCCAAAAGGCAGGGTCGCATGCAACGAAAGGTGAAGCCTTGCGCGCGGGGAATGGCACGCAAGACGAGGATCGGTCGGACCGTAAGTCGTGCGGCTGAACGACATTAGGATACTTCGAGATGAGTTTATGCTGACGATAGGTGCCGTTAGGTCAGCTGTTCGACCGCATGTTACAGACCGGTCCGAACTCACCTGAGACGCGCAGCTGATCGGGAAGCAGGACATGTTGACGCGCGCGTTTGGCTAGGTTTTGGGTCCAACATTTTCGGCAAACGCTGGAACGAGCGCTGGATCTCGAGTACGGCTTCATATGTGCGTCCATGTTGTGTCGGGGACTGTAGGTCGGACCGATTCTGCGTTACCAGGAGTCGTCGGACCGGAGAGGGTCTTCGAAACGAAGGGATGAATCTGCAACGGATCCGAATTTGGACACAGCAATATGATTCGAAGCAAGGGGAGATGATGAGATGGGTGTGCTCGGTGGCAATTGGATGGGGTTAATCCCGTCCGTCCATCTGACCCCGTCCCCGTCCCAACAGAGCATTCTTGTTATTTTCGGTCCGGCGATCTGAATCGATTTCGGTCGATCCCGAGGCGATCGTTCACTTCCCCAGCTGCCTCGTAGGGTCCAGCTTGTATGACCTCTTGATAGATATAAGAACAGGCCGTGCGTCCGAATGATGGTAGCATTTGGACGAATACCCCACAGAACGACCCCACAAACAGCCAAGTAACCAGCAAAATGTACAGCGGCGCTCTCTTCGCTACCATCGCCCTATCCGCTTTCGGATACCTCTTGATCGGTAAGTCGATCAGAACCATGGATTAGGCGGATGTTCGCTCACGCATCCGCTCGATGGCTACAGGTTATGACAATGGGGTGAGCATCAATGATAGTCTGGATGTGGTGTCTGCTTTACTCATTTCGTTCCCTCTTACTAGGTCATGGGTGGAATCATCGAGCACAAGCCTGTAAGCATTATGACGTCTGAATGCAGCAAGCACATTACTAATATTGTTACCTCTTCGCTGCTATCCAGTTCCAAAGCACTTTCTTCCCCAAGGGTCCTAACCCCTCTCTGCTCGGGACAATCGTAGCCATCGTGAGTAACCCTATGTGTGTAATGTACTCGATTCGCTTCTGATCGTTACGACCATCCTCAGTACGAAATCGGATGCTGCGTCGGTGCTATCGCCACGGCCATTGTTGGAGAACGACTCGGACGACGCAAGTGTATCGGGATCGGTTCCATCTTCATGCTGGCAGGAGCCGGTATCCAGGCCGGCGTCTCTAGCACCGGTCCCATGATCGCTGGACGCATCGTCTCTGGACTCGGGATGGGTTTCATCAACTCGACCTGCCCCGTCATCTTGGCCGAGGCGGCACCCTCCGCTACTCGAGGCAGGTTCCTCGCCGCCCAGCTCTCTTGCCTCAACTTTGGTATCTTCCTGGCCTACTGGGTCGGCTTCGGATTCTCCTACGTCTCTGGCTCGGTCGCCTGGCGGGTCCCCATCGCGCTCCAGTGCGCTTTCATTGTTCCCATCGGACTCCTCACCTTGATCGTCCCTGAGTCCTCTCGATGGTTGGCCGCTCACGGCAAGGAGGAAGAATCGTTGCGATCGATCTCGAGGCTTATGGGCAGGGATATTTCGGACATTGCCGTTCGACAACAGTACGAGGAGATCATGGGTACCGTCGAGTTGGAGCAAGCTATCGGTACTGGCAGCTGGAAGGCTTTGTTCAAGGACGACGACCTACAAAACCGAAAGCGATTCTTGATCGCGTGCGGAATCCAGATCATGCAGCAGTTGGGCGGAATCAACGGTATCATCTATTACTCTGGAACCCTGCTTCTGACGACCGGTTTGAGCAACTACGGCGCCAGTCTCGTTTCCGGAATCCTCTTCACCGTGAGTAGAAGCGATTGTAGACGGTTTGGATTCTTCTGACACCGGCTTCGCTCGTAGTGGTTCTTCCTAGCCTCCTTCATCCCCTGGTTCCTGATCGACTCTGTTGGACGACGAAGACTTTTGCTGGTTTGCATCTCGCTCATGGCTGCTTGTTTCGTAAGTCTTCGCAGGCCACTTACGGCTTCGTGAGTTGCGCTTTGACTAATCTGGCCTTTTATCTCCTGAAATTTTATAGGCCGCCGAAGCCGGTCTCATCTGGAAAGTCGAGAGCGGAAATGGCAAGGCTGCTGGTATCGGTGCTGTTGCCGTCTTGTTCGTCTACATGGGACTGTTCACCACCGGTTTCCAAGCGGTAAGTCGAAGCGAAATGGTCTTGTGACCCAGTTCCTGACCCATGATGCGCCGAACAGGTCGTTTGGGTATACCCCTCCGAGATCCTCAGTCTGAAGTACCGACAGAAGGGAAGCTCGATCTCCACCGCTTGCAACTGGTAAGTGCGCAAATTCCGATTGGCCATCGCGAGTTGAAACGACTTGACGGATGTTGGTCCTCAAACCCTCACTGACGACGATTTGATGACTATTACTTGCATATCCAGGATTATCAACTACATGATCGTTCAGATCACTCCTATCGCCCTCGTCAGCATCCACTACAAGTACTACATCGTGAGTTTCATCGAAGCACGTCTTTGCAATTGATCTGCCTGACTGACCGGGATGGTACAACTTGAACAGATCTTTGCCGTGATCAACGCCAGTTTCGTTCCCATCATCTACATGTTCTTCCCTGGTACGTCGACGTGATTCTGTGCTTTCTGTTGCGACCCCGCTTACCAGTTGACCACTTGCAACCCATAGAAACCAAGGGACTCACGTTGGAAGCCGTCGACGCCATCTTCTCTCGAAGTGGTATCGCCCCGGCTGGTACTCACGCCGAGCCCTCGCTCTCTTACCCGGATGGTGACCTCAAGGCAGAGGCCGATCACGTTGATTTCGAGACCACCAAGTAGAGAAGCCTGTCGCGCATGATCGGCACACCATTGAAGGGAGTCAGGAAGCGTTCTTGTTGCACAGTAGGAAGCAATCCGGTTGTAAAGAATATTACTCAGCCGTAGTTCTAGTCTTTTGTTTCTCAGCATTATTATTGTACGTGACAAGACATTAGGAAAATGACGATAGATAGTCGATGCTGTTGGTGGACGGGTGGGCCGCTTTCGAAGTGTCACGTGATCCGAGTTTATGTTCTCTCTTCTCTCCAAGCAGCCATCGCGCATCTGCATGACGCCACGGACACTGGGCAGACTTGAAAAATGCGTTTTCACAGAGACGCCAGGACAAGGATGGAATTGGTGAAGCGGGAAGGAAAGAAGACACATACAAGAAAGTCTGAATGACTAGCAGTACAAGGTACAACACACTATCAGACGAACACCTCATGCATCCAAGGACCGGTACAGCGTCAATGTCCCGATGCATGAGTCTGAACACTCGAGGGTCCAGCGTCGATCGAGAGCGATCGGTCTCGGTCGGATTGCTCGGGCTTCTCAGGGAATTTGGTATCGTTGCAACTCAAGAACCATTTGTAGTATACGGTCTGGTCTTCTGAGATACTCTTGGAAGCGGCGAGGAAGCGTTCTGCTTCAAGGTCGATCTCCTTCTCAGCGAGATCCGTGAGCGGCTGCTCGTTGTGGCGGGCCCACTTCTCGACCTCTTCGACTGTCTTGTGGCAGTGACTGCGAATCAACAAGATGATCTCGCCTGTCAAGTCATATCTGCATTCAACCATCCCCTTGGTCGCGCTCATGCTCAGGATGATCTCGATTCGATGGGAATTCCCACCTCGCCCAAGCGGATCGACTCCAAGCGACTGATACATGACCCAGTGCGTACCGATGATGGTATCCTTGTAAGGGTAGTCTTGTTTGCTGAGCATAGCTAGAAGGTGACTGGTGAATGACTTGTGCGGGAGAGGAGCTCGTAATTATCGAGTTCTGAAGCCTGCGCTTAGTACCAGCTATCAAGCGCGTTTTCCCTTGCATATATATATACAGAGCTAGGACGAATAGCTTCTGCAAGTATAGGCTCTTTCACACTGCCCCAAAGGGCTTTGATGAACTTCAGCAAGTTCAACTGACCAGAACCTGATCATTTCGCCGTACTTCTCAAAGGGACTGCCACGTGCAGCATGCAAATCTTCCTCTCCGTGTTACAGTGCATCGGAAAGCTAAGGGCTTCTTGCACGGTCACACGAGTCATACGACTCAAGCTCCTTTGTTCTTCTACCGTTAACCAAGGGGGAACCGGGAACGCAACGATTTTCCCTTATGGTCCGGTTGATTCTTCGGTAAAAGAAATGTCGTCGATATCGGCGTCGGCCATCCGTGCGTGCAGGTGACAAAGATTCCTAGGCTTGACGTTTTGAGGGTAAAATAGGCAGTCCGCGCCGTCTTTTTTTTGTTAACAGATTGATATGCACGCAGAACGTCAGTACAGCAACGTAGCGCGGACGGACTGTTCTCCTTTGATTACGCAGGCTTTTTCCCTGAGCTTGAGGCCTGCCAGGTGAGGTGAGAAGCGGGAATGCTCAGGAACAAGCCGTGAACCCATCTTTGTCTTGATTCGAAAACGTGAGTAGATCACCACTATTGTATAGTCTGCATAAAGATGTAATTACAAGATGGTTATTGAAAGGGGATTGCGATGCAAGCAGTATATATATTTTGATGAGAACAACAAGAGCTGTCGACAAAAGAGTGACGATGGCAGGTCTTATTGGCAGTTTGAAACTTGGAACATGGGAAACAAACAGGTGAAGAGTGGTTGTTGTGTTGTCTGGTGAATCACATCACAGAACAATAGGATTCGACACCTGTCTGAGGAAGCGATGATTCCAAATCTCCCCAGTCACTGTCCAGGAGGCTGGACATCTCGTCGCAGAGTAGCTGGATGCCGCCCTCGATGTCTTTGCAATCCGCCGGTTCTTGTTCTTTGAATTCCACGAGTTTTTGGTCGATGATTTCGTGAAACTCATCCAACCAAGCTGAAAGGAGATTGCGATCGTTCTTGGTGCCTTCTTCACCGTCTGGGGCGAGGACCTTCATCTGTTCCTCCCACCCTAAATCTCTGAGCTCTTCGTAGTCCTGCTTGGGAACTTGATGACAGTAGCTCTCGACAGCGACGACTATCTTGACATCGGTGCCGTAAGATCTGCACGCGATTCTCGAAGGCTCTTTTCCTGCCGCAGGAGTCATCCCATCGCCAATGGTCAGAATACGGCGCTCCCAGCGACATTTTTTGTTGTCAACTTCAAAACGGTGAGGACGAGCGGCCATGATCTCTTTGAGTTTGTCTGTAGTGGATTCGAAGAACGGGTTGTGATTGCGGTATGATTCCCCCCCATCTGACTTACCGACCACTGACTTATCTGTGGTCTTGACTCTGACAGACTATATACTACTGGTTGGTATAGGCATCGCTTCCTTTGATCAAGACGATGATATCTTGCGCCACATCATCGTGACTACCCCTTTCATCACGTGCTATCGCGTGAACCAAGCTCGCCTTGATTCGTTACTAGCTTACTAGATACATCGATATGCCGCATTTATTCAAAGCCTTTGATGTCGCAACTTCGCTGATCAGCCGCGCCATAGCTTCTCATCACACAAGGGAGAGACGATGAGCTCGCCATCATGCACGAGACACTGGGCGAAAGAATACATCTTAATGCCTCAACTACGACGCAAGCGTGATCTAACGCCGTTTCACCCGGAAGCAAGCTCCCGCACTCGAATCGAGTCCGATATTCTTCTTCCTGATATCGAAACAATATAGGTTTCTATTTTACATCCACCGCCGACCTTGGACAATCTATTCCCAGCCTTAGCCCTACCATACCCCTCAACTCGCATACTTCCCGCTGAAGCGATCGCTTAATGAGCCGACGTCGCAGCCTCCTTTTCCGCAGCGGAGAACATGGGGGGCTGTATGTCGCATACGAACGCGAACAGGTATCATTGCATGAGTAAGGTGCACGGGATACGGGGTAGACGGTGAAGATGGGACTTACGGGCAAGTTTCGTTCCCACTTGGTTCCGTCCGGGTAGAGGGGCGCTGTCGGGACGAAGGGCGAGGTAAGGAAGACGTCGATTAGCATCGGCATCCAAAAGTCGGTTGAATCAGTTAGATCATGGCAACAGCTCGGAAGCCTTCGTGTCCTTGCCCCAGAAGCGCATCACCCAGCTGGCGTCAACAAGTGAGACAGACGAGCGGAGGAGTTCGAAGCGTTCTGGGCTTCTCGAAAAATCTCTCCGTCGGCTTGTATATTTCCAGCCAATTCGGTACCAAGGTGACTGATCCCGCCTTGTCGTATGAGAAACCAGTGATGCATCGACTCGGCGATCATCCCTCCAAGTCGACGACCCGTACCCTACCCCGTGTGATCCCCGTCGCTCAGAACAAGCTTTTCGCTGTCATGAGGTCATGCCACCAGGCCACCTCCTACTGCACATCCCACGAGACCTTTCGTGGCGTCCGCCATCTTCCGTCAGCCCTGGCGGATCGTCTTTCGGCTCGCCAGACGCCCAGCTTCACGCCAGTCCCCTGCCCCGCCTCCCTAGAACCATAACCTTTCCCCTTGAAGGCTCAGAGCCACCCCATCCCCAAGTTCTTCGCAAGCAAAACAAGTATCGAGCAGCGAGTAACCTCAGCCTTCAACTCACGTCGGTAAGGATCCGGGTGTTGAGTTCGTTGCAGCTCGGCCTCTGCTTTTTCGAAGAGGGTAGCCAGGGCTCGAGGATCGGTCACATTGCTAAACCATTCGTGAGAGGTTCCGGTGTTGTCAGGTCGACGAGAAGAGAGGATGGATTGTCCATGTTGTGAAGATGAATCGATTCAAAGGATGATATGTCGATGAGAAGGTGAAGATGACGCAGATGAAGGAGATAGAGGTGTCAAGGTGATAGCCCCATTGTGGGTAAATCGCGGCCAGCGCGTTGTTTCCAGAATTTCGTGAGCAAGTGTACGTGTCGAGGACGTGTATCGTTGTCATGGCCAGAAGGCAAAGCCAGAGTAGTGGATAGCAGAAGGCGATAATTGATTCAGGTAGGAGAGATGAGAGAAAGCAGCAGTCAAAAACGGGTGATCAGCACTGCTACCTCGACAGCGAGAAGCGTAACCTCTGCGCCGGGACTCACCGGTTTCTCTCAAACTCGGCCCTGATCTCGATCGCCTTGTTCCTCCAAAGATCTCGCCTGATGTACCAATTGAGCGAGTTGACGAGAGATCGCTTGTACAACGATTTAACGTAGAGCCTGACATCGTTCGGACGTCGAATCAGACCCGGTCTTCAGTGATCTTCGTGCACTGAGAGGCTCACCTGTGCGCGCTGGTGAAGGAAGGAGCTACGCCGGACATGTTGCAGAGTGGTCTAGTAGGTTTTGAAGCTGCAGTGCTGCGAAGAGATGCCAGTCGAATACAACGATAATCAAGAACCATATGGGTCGCCCAGAAAGAGACCTGAGGGGTTAGGTCGAGCTTAAAGTGGTACTTTTCCCCCGAGACCCGCCGAATTACGTAATGACAATATGAAGCTGAATCTAATCTTCGTCGACTAAGTGGTCGTCAAAGCAGAACAAAGGAACCGGATCTTGGTTTGATACAACGTCATCTCAATCGTAAGCTATATGACATCAGTCCAGCGGACACAGAGAATGCTATCGGCGGTAATCATTTGCAGATCTTGTAGCGATGTGAAAGTTGAAATCGAATACCCCATGTCATGGCCCAGATGTAGGGGTCATTCTCGCCACCTGGACCTCGCCCAGAGACTTCTCGACGGCCTCGAGCAAGACCTCGGCATGAGCCTCTCCAAACGTCAACATCGGTCTCAACCTGACCGACAAATCCCCACAAGGTCCCATCTGGACCCCGTTCTTGCGCATCGTTCCCGCAAACAAGTCCCTTGTCTTGGCATCATGGAAATCCCAGGCGATGAACGTCCCCATCCCCTTGCCTCGGAGGTTCTTGACGACATCCTTGTGCTCCTTGAACATGTCGTCCAGGCGTGAGTACAGCTTGTCGCCCGTCTCGGCCGTGTGCCGGACCAGATCGTGTTCTTGGATCACGTCGATGATCTTGTTGGCCTGCATTGCTCGCATGGGGTCGCCCTGTCGAATTGCAATAGAGTTAGCCGTCAATGCCTATGACCCATTCCAGATACCATAGCTCACCATCCACGTGTTGTAGTTCCTGTACGGCGCGTTTGGCGTCGTCTCTGCCTTGTGATAGAATCCAGCAGCCTGCATCTTCTTGCTAAACGTGACGAAGTCCGGCTCCTCCCCCTTCGAGAGCCCCCACTTTTCGTGCGCCCAGAACGATCCCGTGGCCCCGACACCGGTCTGTACCTCGTCGACGATAAAGAACGCTCCGTGTTTCTTGGCGATCGAACGGATCTGTCGGAAAAAGTCGTGCGAGGCGTGTTTGTCGCCTCCTTCCGAGAGGACCGGTTCGACGATGACGGCCGCGATGGGTTTCGTCGTTTTGCTGTCAAAGTTCACGTTCGTCAACCCAGCTGATCTCAGGCTTAACCAGGTTCACGACGTACCTCTCGATCAAGATCTTCTCGTAAAACTCTAAACACCTCTTTTCCTCCTGCTCGTTCGCCTCGACGTTCTCCTCGAGCGGGTACTTTAGCTGCGGGAAATCCGCTCCGGGCCAATCGTACGCCGGAATGTCCAGCTAACAGCATGACAGCTCAGCCTGCCCTGCTGTCAAAGGATACCATCTTTAGGAGCGTCGTGCCCACCTTGTGAATCGCCTTGCTCCTAGTCGCGCTCAGACTCCCCAACATCCTCCCGTGAAACCCGCTCTTGAAGCTCAGAATCGCCAGCTGAGGGCTTCCGGGAGCCTTGTTGTCCATGCACGAGTCTGAGATGGTGTCGTCATCAGGTCAAGCGACAATGCGGGGTTTGGAGCAATGACCGAGGATACGAGGTGTGCAATGTGAAACGCGAGAACAGTCAGCCCGTGCAAAGGTCCAGAAGAGTCGAGTATGAATCGGGACTGACCGATCTCCTCCTGCGTGAACGCCTGATTATCCCCCCTTTCCCTCGCTCGGTAAGCCATGAAGGCCGCCTTGAAGGCGTTTTCTGTCCAGATGAGAATGGATCAGGTCTACCGCCTCGTCTCGCCCTCTTCTCCTTCGCACTGCGCTCTATCCACGGTATCGTCCAAAGGAAATCCCTAACGCACCATTCGCACTACTCCCACAAAGCGTCGTCACCAACCTCCCGTCCTCCCCCTTGAACCCCCTCGGCGCGACCCTCCTCAACCCTTCCAACAACCCCTCCCACTCTACAGGCGGGAAACTGCCCAACGCCGGCCTATTCACCGCGGCGCATTTCCACTCTTCCGTCCCGGCGAGCTCTAGTAGAGGAGGAGCGTTGTACCCCAAGGCGATCGAGGAGATCTGAGCGAAGACGTCCAGGAGGGTGTTGTTGTCGGCGTCGAGGATGTAGTTGCCAGAGGATTTGGGGTAGGAGATGAGCAGGGTGTGGGTGCGGTTATCTTGGTGCGCAGAGATAGCTGTCGACTGGGTTTTCGAGAAGGTGGCGGTGTCATGAGGTGGTGGTGATTCAATTGTTCGGAGAGGTTTCGAGTATGACGGTCGAGATGGGTAGACATGAGTACGAGCCGAGCAGGACAGGTAGTGATATTTGCAACAAGGTCAGCTTTTTGACAATCGCAACGCCAGCAAATTACGCCACGAAAACGTAGGGAAAAGGCTTTACTCACCATCTCCCGACCCTTTGGCCCCGGAACGGCCTCGGTCTTGACATCAGGCTTGGTAGGTTCGTTCGGAAAGATGTCTCTCGACGAGAACCACCGGCTTACTGCCCGATTCGATCTCAACACCGTCGGGGGATGAGATGCCTTGGCAATCCTGGTTCGGGACAGGGTCAAGCTGAATCTGAGAAAGTGGGTTGACATCCTTTGGACGAGTTGGGAAGTCGCACTACGTCGTGTCGTTGGCGGGTGCTGATTCTAGGTCGCGATGTATGGATGTCCTATCGCCTATGGTCGCCAGCTGCGACGATCTAGCACGATATGGATGTAGCCTCTGAACCTATCGAACCTACCAGCTACCAATAGCTATATGCACTATATGGTCATCTCTTCTAGCTTCTAGGTGGAATGTGCATCCTGACCGCTCCGTTATCGGGTCCGACAAGAGTAGATCGAGGTCATGTGACTCCCCCGTACCCCGTATCTTGGATACACAACCTCGGCTATACCCCGCCACCGGCGTTCCCTCCCCTTTTCATTTCTAGCGATTTGGAAATTTCGAACCAACAGGGGGAAAACGCGACGGATTCAAACGGTACCAAGAGCCCCGGAGAAGCGGGCGTTAGACAACTTGAGCTTGACACAGTCGTTGTTACATGCTGCATGTTGATTTGGGAAAAGTTTGCCTGACACTCGTGCCTCGTTGCATCTCGTTTGTAAGGTCAGAAATTCAGGAAAGTAAAACACCGCCAAATTCATGTAAAAGCGCCCGCATTTTCCCCCGTTTTCCTGTATTTTCCGATCAAACGCGTGGGACTTCTAGTTTCATGAAAATACGCGTTTTCTCGGTTATGTCGGGTGATCAACCCCCACATCTTCGGCCGATGGACACCGTGTGAGGGGAGGTGCGTCAAGTGATCCAAGAGGGGGCAGGGAGGTCGATACAAGTACTACGCAACAAGCAACTAGCCAATACATAACAAAGTTTAAAGTGTGCAACTGTCAACGCAGGCAGATCAAACATATTTGCATCTTGAGCAAGTACCTCTTGCCGAACGTACAGGGGTGTAGACATCCACATCAGCTGGATCGAGCGCAGAGATTTTGTCGATAAACCACCACCGGTTATAAAACCACTGCCAACAGGGGGACTGCGTTACCAACATCGAATCGCAAACTTCTAAGTCGAACATCCGACAAACATGCTCATCAAACGCCCGCCTACCATCCTCCGTTCGAACATCAGCTCGATAAGGAGCGCATCCAACATCGCTCAGACGAAAGCGGCTGCCCAACAGGCTGCCGGGTGGAAGGGGACCCGGACGGATGGCGGGGAGACGAAGCATTATATCGGTGGGGAGTGGGTCGAGGTCGGAGAAAGTGGGGCAGAGAAGTGGTTCGACGTCAAGGATCCCGTGAGTCGCGAGTCGTCTGCTCATATAGGTACTCTTTAACCCGTATCCCATATACTAATGACGATAATATTTATTGTTATGCTCGAAACGCTCAATAGTCCACCCAACAAGTCCTCACCCGCGTCCCTCAGCCGCCCCGTTCTCTCTTGACCCAAACGGTGGACAAGGCGCAAGAAGCGTTCGAGAGTTGGAAGTTGACGAGCTTGTTGAGTAGGCAGGGGATCTTGCTCAAGTGAGTCGCTCAGATGGGGAGAGAGAAAGGCATAGGAGCTGGAGAGCTGATCCGGGTAATCGCCTTGTCCTCCCTCTATCCTTATCTCCGCTTCCTTTTCCCTCTTCCTCCTCTGGTCTAACCTGCCCGTCGCTCCTCGCCTTTCGCTCACAATCTCGACAGGTACCAAGCTCTCATCCGTAAACACCACGACGACCTCGCCCAATCCATCGTTCTCGAACAAGGCAAGACTTTCGCCGACGCCAAGGGCGACGTCCTCCGAGGCCTCCAGGTCGTGGACTCGATGTGTGCTCTGCCGCAGATGTTGACGGGCGACAAGCTGGAGGTCTCGACGGATATGGATACGTATGTCAGGAGGAGCCCGTTGGGGGTCGGAGCGGCGATCTGTCCGTGAGTGCAAGTGTAGGCGTTGTGGTGTTCATCATCTCGAAGTTGACGACGGGGAGGTTTCACTAGTTTCAACTTCCCTGCGATGATCCCGTTGTGGACTCTGCCGATCGCCATCGGGACGGGAAACACCCTCCTCATCAAACCCTCCGAGCGCGACCCAGGCGCCGCCGCCATGCTCGTCGAGTTGGCCTCTATGGCCGGCGTCCCCTCCGGCGTCGTCTCCCTCGTCCACGGTGGTCCCGAGACCGTCAACTTCTTGTGCGACGACCCTCGTATCAAAGCCATCTCCTTTGTCGGATCCGACGTGGCCGGGAAACACATCTGGGACCGGGCTGGCAAGAACGGGAAACGCGTCCAAGCCAACCTGGGAGCCAAGAACCATGCCATCTTGATGCCGGATGCGAACAAGGAACAGGCGTTGAATGCCATCGCCGGAGCGGCGTTCGGGGCAGCAGGACAGAGGTGCATGGCCTTGAGCGTTTTGATCACGGTGGGGGATAGCAAGGAATGGGTACAAGAGCTCATCACTAGGGCCAAGGGTTTGAAGGTCGGTAACGGTTTCGACGAGGGTATCGACCTGTGAGTTCGGGCCGCCTCTCTACCTGTTCCAACTGCTCTCTTACGTCCTCGCTTCAACCTTCACAGCGGCCCGGTCATCTCGCCCGCGGCCAAGAACAAGATCGAAGGCCTGATCGCGTCGTGCGAGGAAGAGGGCGGCAAGATCTTGCTGGATGGTCGTGGTCACAAGGTGGATGGGTATCCGCAGGGCAACTGGGTCGGTCCCACCGTGCTCGAAGCCAAGGAGGGCATGAAGTGTCACGAGTGAGTGCATTAGCCTCGAAATGTCGATAAGCGAGCTCGTCAAGCTGACCACGTCCGACCTCGTCTCCCTTAGGACCGAGATCTTTGGCCCAGTGCTCACGGTCCTCCATGCCGAGACGCTCCAAGAAGCCATCGAGCTCGTCAACCGAAACATGTACGGCAACGGTTCCTCGATCTTTACCAACTCGGGAGCCACGGCCAGGGTGTTTGAACGGACCATCCAAGCCGGTCAGATCGGGATCAACGTGCCCATCCCGGTCCCGCTTCCGATGTTCAGTTGGAGCGGGAACAAGGGGAGCGTGCTGGGTGGGCATAGTCTGTATGGAAAGCTGTGAGTGTCCCCAAGCATGAATGTTTCACTATTATCGAACTGCGCTGACGTGCCGCCTTCCATCCTGTGACGCTGCAGGGGAGTCGAATTCTGGACCCAAAACCAGACGGTCACTTCCCTCTGGAAACAAGAGGACGCGCTCAACACCCGGGCCGATGTCTCGATGCCGACGATGCGATGAGAAGCCTTTTGGAACTTTGTTGAAGTATGCGTTCAGGGACGACGGAACTGATGTAGGAAGAAAAGACCAAGAAAGCAGGAACGGAAGCGAGAAAACAAGAGCGAAAACCAGATTGTATCAGTGCACCAAGCAAAGAATGGTCCGAATGTGTACGTGCGGGAAATACACCTTTAGTCATCGAAACATGCGGTTATCAGCTTGGGGGATAAAGGAGAACAGGGCAGACTCATGTTTGACCGGTCCTGCTTGTTGCTCCTATCCACATGTTGTTGACCACAACCTATGCGACTCGACTCGACCTATTAGCTATCAGTGATCTCGGACGACATTTCCCCGCGAGTTCGGAATCTCGGTCTAATCAATGAGCCGTGGGTGGGTTGACCGGGTGGGGCGAGGCGGGGCGGGTCACAGCGAGATAGGGGTAGGTAAACTACTCCATGACCCATATCAACAATAATACTGTACTCTGCACCATCTATACATACGACTGCTCATCTCTATCACAACAGACGCATACCATCGACAGTCTTATTTACTTACACCATGTCCTACGACGCATCCCCTAATGCATCCACGTCCGCCGGACCTGGCATGAAGAGCAAGGCCTTCCTCAAGAATGCCTTGGATGCGGGCAAGCCGGGTATCGGCATGTGGTTGACGTGAGATTGAGATGGATCGCCTCTCGCTGAAGATGTCACTTACTGATGTACGTGTCCGGACTCATAGAATGCGAGGCTCTTTCTTGGCCCACACGTTGGCTACAGTCCCAGGATTCAACTGGTTGTTGGTCGACGCCGAACACGGTCAGATCACCGACTCAGACATCTACGACGTATGTGTACTGGCTCCCAGCAAACCGGTTCGAATGGATTTTAGGGCGGAACACTTCGCTGATGATGTCAACCTCTTCTCCATATGCCAGCTCTGTAACACAATCACTAACCGAGGCATCAGCCCGATCGTCAGGATCCCGTCGGATGAGAGCTGGATGATCAAGCGTGCTCTCGACTCGGGAGCGTCCGGTATCATGACCCCCATGTGCCATACTGCTGTGAGATCAGAGTCTCGTTCACATATCTATAAACCTCAATACTGACCATCCGACCTGCACCGTGCCGCAGGACGCCGCTCGAGCCATCGTGGCTTCCAGCAAGTTCGCCCCTCAAGGCACCCGAGGCTGTGGCTCCCCCTTCACGCATACAGTGTTCTCCATCCCGGCCCGAACTTATGAGCTGGAATGCAACAACAACCTACTCGTCATCGTTCAGATTGAATCCCGCTCTGGTGTAGAAAACGTCCAGGACATCGCTGCCGTCGATGGGGTGGACGTGCTCTTTGTCGGTCCGTTCGATCTGGCCAAGAGCATGGACATCGAGTTTGGAGGGAAAGAGCACGAGGATGCGATCGCCAAGACTCTGAAGGCTTGCAAGGATAACAAGAAGTATGCTGCCATCTTCTGTAAGTCGACGCTTGAAGTCTTTTCTCCTGCATGAGACGCCCGGCTGATCATCAACTTTGCTGTGGGTCCGGCTCGGCTTCGACGGGAAACACACAGGCTCATCTGGCGAGATCGCCAAGAAGCGTCTGGATCAAGGTTTCGACATGGTCTCGATCTGCACCGATACCGGATCGCTCGTCAAGGAATGCACCGCGCAGGTGCAGATCACTCTTGGTCAGTAAGCGCGGTAAGATTGGAAGTGGAGACTGCTTTGACGGTAGCGCAAGACACGCTCGAATATGAGGGATCTCGAAAATAGGATCATTTGTAAGAATGTCATATTAGGTGACTTAAGGAACGGTAGGAAATGCCCGGATTCATTGCTCGTTATGACTGCGATGCAATACCCGTGTCAAAGGGACCAATGACACAGCTTTCTGTCGCATCTATGCAAATATCTTCACCCGTTGACTTCTCGTTCCCAAGCTTGCGAGGCAATCATATTGGCGTCACCGAAGATCTGCATGCTTCTGGCCCTCTACGCGAGCACATACAGTACATCGCCCGCTTAGGCCGCCTACCTTCTCCATCAAAGTTAAAAAGTCGTTGATAATAGGGGGTTTCAAATCTGGCAGGTTGGCCCGCGCGGCAGGTTGAAGATTTATTACGTCACAACCTGCCAAACATGAGTCCCCCTGTCGGTTTTCGCGTGAGAAACGGTGGAGCTTTTCGGCGACTAGTTACTTCCGGATTTCGGATGCTTATGACGTTATCGGAAGTAAATTATGACGTAAAATCTTCTACATGGACATGAAAACACGAACATCTCCGCTTTCTCGGCCCCAATCGCCGAGACTCGCGTTCGACTGCCTCTAAGTTGATTCACTTACTTACTAAGACCCCCCGAACAACGAACTCTTGACCTACAAACGACGTTCTCCCTGCTACTCACATAGAAATCGGTCCTGGAATAGATGGTTCGCACATCAAAACGACAGAAGACCCTTCTTGGGCTCCGAAAGATGGTCCAGTGGGCCGCCGTCCACTGGGTCATTCAGGACTTCAGTTGCAGCGACGCGATGAGAAGGGTTCGGACTGCAGACGACGACGATCCCGACACGTTCGACCTTCTGGTTCGCCGCTGGCAACGTGAGGTGCGAAGGGTTAGAGAGGCAGAGGATATCCTGGTTGCTGTTATGTCGCAGCTGTATTCGGTGATGAACAGTCGATATCTCAGCCGGGGAACAACGCGTATGCTACGCGTTCGCCGAAGCAACACATTCGAGACCTACCTACACATGTCCGATGATTGGTTCAAACAGATGGTAAGCCCTGACCTCCAGTATCGTGCTGCTCAGTCACTTACCTTGACTCTGGGATGGCAGTGTCGGATGAATCACACGATGTTCGATCGGCTACACGATCGCATCAAAGGGGACCCTGTGTTCTCGAACAACAGCAACCACCCTCAAAGCCCAAGCGAATATCAGCTCGTACTCACGTTAAGAAGGCTGGGCATGTCGGGCAACGGGGTTTCTGTCGGTCAGATGGCTCAACACTTCTCTGTATCCGGTATGTCGAGAACCCTCGACTGCTTGGCGTACCCGTCTATTTGCAGAGCTAATCCGACCTTCAATTACTCATGCAGAAGGCACTGTCGAGCTATGGACTCTCAGGTGCATCGCAGCGATAAGCCGACAATTGGGGAACACAATCAGCTGGCCAGATCGACAAGAACGGCGCAAGATAGCTGCTGAAGTCGGAAGACGCTCACCCTTCCCCGACTGCGTGGGTTTTGTCGACGGAACCGCTGTGCCTCTAGAATACAAGCCGGGGCTGCACGACGCGGTGGACTTCTACTCCTACAAGGGGTTCTATAGCCTGGCTATGATGGCGGTCTGCGATCAAAGCAAGAAGTTCAGATATGTGCTTCTAGGCTTCCCCGGTTCAGCCCACGATGCTAGAGTCTGGGGCTTCTCACCTGTGAGTACGTGCCGTTCGTCGATTCTAATCGCTTGCTTACGATATCCTCTCTTGCTTGTATTGCCACGCCGGGCTACAGATTGCAAACCGACCGAACGATTACCTAGATCAAGGGCAGTGGATCATGGGTGATTCGGCGTTCCCGCTGGGTGACCATATGGTAACTCCCTTCAAGCGCCCTCGCGGACACAACTACCTGAGTGCCGACAAACACAGGTTCAATCAAAAGTTAGCCAGTTCGCGTGTTGTCGTCGAACATGCGTTCGGTCTCTTGAAGATGCGGTGGCAGAGTTTGCGTCGTCTTCGTACCCAGATCGACTGCCAACTTGACCTTGATCGTGCGCTGCATTGGCTGAGAACCTGCGTCATATTGCACAACTTCATGCTGGAGGACGACGAGGACGACTTCTGGGATGGGTACGACATGGTTCGTCTTTATAGACAATTCGAGGCGGAGGCCGCCGATGTTGAAAACCTCTGGCACGATTACATCGATGGCGACGGCGAACCTGGCAATGAAGAACGTAGAGACGATGACCGGAAAAGACAATTCATAAAAACCTTCGCCGAAGACCGCGCATATCAGTCAGCCTATGTAGATCTCGATGACTTGTAACTCCAAACATACCACACGTATACTATCCTCCTACTGAGCAGGAGCACTGCTTCCTGACAATCCGGCAGCTTTGAGCGCATCAACAGTTCCCAAACCCGCAGTCCTTAGTTCCTGAAACGCCTTCATCTTCTGTTGCAACAGTTCGGCTTCCATCTTGGCGGTTTGCTGGGTTCTTTCCGCCTCCCTGTCCTGTTTTTCCTGTTCAAAACGAGCGATTTCGAAATCCAGTCGTCGTTGTTCCAATGCGTTCCTATCCTGCTGTTCTTTCTCCTCCTTGGCGATACGCCTCTGCTCCATCTCTCGTCTCTCGACCCTCTCCTTCTCCTCTCGCTCTGCCTTATCCTTCCGCCACTGCTGGTCCGCGGCCGCATTCTCCCGGTCCGACTGTACCCTTTGCTCCATCACCGCAGCCAAGCTTGCCATACCCATATCGTCTCCTTTCTTCTCCCTAGTCCTCGGTTGTTGCGACATCGCTGTAGCTCGGGCGGTGGGATCACGGATGGCAGGAGTAGTCGGCTTGCGAGGACTGATCGGATCGACTGTCCCGGCTCTGGTAGAGACCGACGCCAGCGAGTTGCTCGGGGAGGCGATGTACTGGCGTAGGCTAGAAGAGGCCGGAGTCGAGATGCCGTTTGCCAGATCATCGTCAGTCTGGGTCTCGCTACCCAAACCAAACGCCTCTTGATATTCAGGTGTATCCTCGATCCTTCCCACGTTGGCTATCTCTATCTCGTTGAAGATGGTGGAACTAGATGATGGCTTGGTTGGAGAACGATGTTGGGGAGGCAGAAGATGGTCACCGGCGATTCCAAGTCGATCCTCAATGGAGGCAGCAGCGTTGGAGGGGTTGATGGAATCGAGGAGGGTTCGGGGAGCGTTCACCGTCCTTGAACCTAGGACGGGAGCGAGGGTTTGGTAATAGATGTTCTCCTGGTTGAATTTGGCTGAGATAGCGATGGTTTGAGTGAGCAGGGACCAGTCAAACTGCGGAGGTCGGCACGACTCACTCATAAACGCAGCACGCTCTTGCTTCTTTCCCCATCGTCTCTGTCTCTCCTCTTGGTCTTGAGTTTCATCATCTTCCAAGTCAGAATCGGTACTCCCGTTACCAGTCTGGTTCAGGTTTTGATGAGCTGTTTTCCAGGCTTCAACGATGGTGCGGATCTAGTAGAACCCAGATTTGTACCTTGTCAACAGGGGCGCAGGAGCAGGGCGATGGCTGAACATACCTTTGACACGACCATCGATGGCTTCTTGGTGATCGGAATCCCAGCTTCCCTGATCCTGTTCAGAATGAGTTCTCCATGTGCTTCCTTTCCTTTCGGCTTAGATACTTTGTATGATGCGTAATTCGTTCCCTAATAACATGCATGATGAGCGACAAGCTTGGTATCAGGACCGATGTGGAACTCACTTCGGTCAACCACTCCACGATGAAGTCCTCAGCGGTCCTGGTACCATCAGGCGTTACATAGGACTTCCAATGGCCGCTGGATTCTTCCTTCTCGGCCACTAGCGGCTCATTCGATCCTCCTGGCCTAGACGGGGTTTCGCTTCGGTCCCGCTGTCGAGTGTTGCGAGTGGACGGCGAAGACCCGCCTGGGGTTCTACCTCTCTTCGAAGCGGGTGATTCATTGGATAAAGATTGAGCACTGGCCTTCCGTTTAGCCTGGGTGGGTTGAGGACGTTGAAAAGGCGGAGGAGCGTGGGTGGGGTATAGCGGAGCAAAGGGAGGAGGCATGTTGGTAGAGATCGGTCTCGACATCGGTAGGCTGTAGTTCTGGTTGAGTTGAGCTGACGGCGAAGCGATACCGTTTAGGCTAATAGCTGGATCGATGGGGATTGAATCCTATTCAAATTGGGTGGTTGAGGGCTATGTTAGACTTGTAAAGGACATACGTTTGACAGTCGACAGAAGTCAAAGGCACTTCGAGACGAAGATGGCGGGAACGAGGTGAAATGGCTGGTTTTTCGATCTCGAGAACTACTTACCGGATTCATGATCCCGAACCATCCACGGGTAGCCCTACTGATTTCAAGTGATTTTATGGTATCGACACAGTCGTCAAGTGATTTGTCTACGAGATACACGACTTGCAAGGATGCTACATGAGAAGCTGAAGGGCTCTGGACCTCGTCAGGTTCTGGTGCGAGAATTCAGGTTATTTGATGCGGGGCCCCGAAATTCTGCAGCTTTTACGTAATGAAAAATCCGCGCGCTGGCAAGTCACCGATTGATTTTGAAACCCCCTAATAATAGGCATCCGGCGCGTCATCAATTTCATATAATCTACTGTTTCTACGAGACTACAGGTGGTCTTTCCTATCTGAGGAAGGTTATCGTAACCGCGACGATACAACAAGTTGATCACAGGTTTTCCATGTTGACTTTCTCTCCCACCTTGCGAACCTTCTGGAGCCTAACGCGCCCTCCAATGTCGGTTCGACGAGGATTGTTCCAGGCTTCCCAAATGATGGGAAATACAGTGCAAACCCAAACAGAGTCCTCAGTGGAGAGGACGACAGAACTACTGGTACTGTCGCTTGACACTGCTTTCGCTGTTGCCTTGTGGTAATCTTTGAATATGCGTGCTACCCGCCGCATCGTGACTTCCTTGAAAAAGTAATGCCATTCCTCGTCGTCCTTTCCAAAGAGCTCTACAACGCCCAGGATAGTATCTTGAGCATAGAGCGGGTCTTTTTCCCAAAGATAAAGGATGTCAGGGGCCTTTTCCCGCACAACCTTGGCAGACACGGAAGCTTGTGCCTCTGTAGGCCCAATCTCATAAATGTGAAGTCCATTGTTGGTGTGACAGTCCAATGAGCCGAACTTAGTCTCCGCTTCATTACGCCTGATACTTTCTCGCAAGAATGTTGGGTTTCGTAGGTTACGGCGCTGTTTTGTCTTGCTGACACCCCCTTTGATATCACCACGTGCTGTACAGGCTGACCTCGATGCACCGGACATTTGCGTAAAGGCCGGATGGGAGTCCATGGACAGATCGCCATAGTTCGCAGTCCTGTCTTCAGCAGATGAAGCATCGTATCGCGTCGTATGAGTCCATGGCGGCGGTCCGTCAAACTCTGTCGCTCCGCAGACTCCTGGCACAGATACGATGGGCCAGTCTCCGACAAGACATAGAGACGGCTGGCTGTCCGTAACAAGGGGGCGGCGATACTGACGAGAGACATCGAGTGGAGTCAGCGTAATTGAATCGAACAGGGATGGAGCCATCTCAATCCCAGCCACACCGGGCTGGAGGTCAAAAGGATTGTAGAGGCCGCTAGTGATATTCGCTTGTCCACCATGATCCCAAGGTATAGCAAGCTGTGGATCACAGGCGGCTACACCCGTTGAGATCACCTGCAGGCACTCTCGACCCTGTTGATACGTAACACCAGAAGTATCCTCTTGGGGGGTCTGCATAATCTGCACAGGCGATGGATTCGCCAAATCCCACACAGGCATGTATCCATCAGAAAGAGTGGAGCAAGGCGCTAGAGCCGAGTTAAAGGAATGATGCATAGCGCTCTCGGGGGGAAACTCAGGAGGTATATTGTTGGAGACCATTGCACCTTCGAACTCTGCAAAGGAATTCAACCCGATGAAACTGTTCGGTTCTTCTGTGAAATAGGTAGATGCCGGATCGAAACTATAGGGATACTGTGCCACCTCTTGGGAGGAATGCTGAGCATCTCCATCGGCATAACATCCTTCCTCTCCAGATCCTCTAGGTCTGCTTCCCTGAACCATCCTCGATGCGTTGTAAGGTGAACTCTCGATTTACGCAAGATGTTGAGATATCAGCTGAACAACGGAAAGAACAACCGATTCCCTCGGTATGTCGTCGGCAACCTGATCTATACTCGATTTTGAACGCTGATGCAAACGCTCATGAGGAAGGTCGGCGTGGGGGGTTCTCTAATATACATAGTGATCCTTTGTGCTCTCGTAATTTAGACTCCTGAAGCTTGACTGCCGGCAGCACCTCATCACGTGATACTGTCAGATCGTGGGTCATACTCCATAATGCCTTTCACTTGCCAAGCGGTATGATCGGCATTGCGAAGACGCAAGGGCTGATGCGTGTTGGATCGTCCTTTGACTTAACCAGGAGCAGGACTCCTCTCACACTACTGGGATAGTAACGTAGATATGGTATTGAGACCGTTATGAACACACAGTCTGAGGCCGTAGATCATGGATTGTTTGGGGAGGCGCGATAGAACGATACGCAATAATCATTAGATCTTTCCTGTGCACGGCGGCATCTATTGTCGGGAATCTCCGCGTTGCATGTCTCGAAGCGGATTTACACTCCTACCGATATCAACGAACTACAAGTACAGAAGGATGGAAGATCGAGCGCGATGTATGCTTCTGCTGGATCTGCTGCCAATGATCCGTTCAGACGGAGTGCATTGTCAGTTCGAGAGCGCGGTAGCGCGACTCATTTGGTAGACCTTACTCGCCATCGACCATGGTCAAAAGGCTCCATCCTGCCGAACAACAGTATCGCTCTTCTGAGCTTTTGAAACCTTTCACGATATCGACAGCCAGCGGCCAGAACGAAGTTCGGTCTTCATCCGATTGTCGACCATGTTCTTCGTCTTGGCGCGTTGTTAGCGCCCGAGGGTATCACGTTGTTCATATTCATCTGGGCCTCACAGTCGCCATAGGGCGCGGTATATACGACCCGGTGTTCTCACTTATATAATAGCCTGCAGCTGATCAAATGAACACAGCTTGCGAATGTCCAAACGGAACACACTCGCTGCCCCGAACATTCAGCTCTTGACCGCGATGATGCCTTCGAATTTGCCCCCATCTTATCAACGCGTACCTACAACCACCTCGATCGACCTCGAATTGGAAGATAGGTCAGGCTACACCAAACGGCCAAACGGTCAAGAATTCGACCATACAAGCACACCTCTGGCTGTAAACGCTGACGCGGAAGGAAGTAGGAGTAGGAGGTTGAAACCGACCCGATACTTCTGGGTACCCGAGAAACCTATCGGAGGGCCAGCATTGAGCATATTGGCGGACCCGGCCGATTCCTTAGAGGCAAGTTTCTAGGATCGATCCTTTTCCTAGATCAAGAAAGGATCACAATATATCGCCACCACGCGCTCGCTTGGATTGGTCAACTGATTACCTGTATCATGTCATCTCTTATAGGTCGTCCTGGCAATAACCCGTGAGAATTTTGACCTGCTGCACGATATCCCAGACGAACGTCTCGTCTTCCTAGCAGACGGGGCTACTATCTTACCTTCCACCTGGCGATACTTTGCCCATCATCCACCCGAGACAATCCGAATTTGGGTTGACTGGACGGCGGAAGAGCGGAAGCTGGCGAAAAAGCAGGAGGTCGCTGGTCAGTACAACCTCAACGCCGGGGTCTGTTGACGCCGGGCTTGGCTGATATAAGGAAACCTCTGATGGGCCGTTGTCTCCTGCGGATAATGATTCAGAGATACGTCGGGTCCTACTTCTTAGCTTTGCGACCGCCTTCGCGATTCTAGGAGGAGGATGCCTGATCGGATTGACAGTTTCTATGCTTGCACCCGGAAGTCGGAAGGATTGACGAGCATGAATAGGAGACTGTATGATACGTGGGTGGCGTTCTATATGCACTTGTAGTAGGTGAAAACCGCCTGCCGTGTTCTGAAAGGAGACCTGTCCGTCGTGAATGTCTGCGACACGGGCCCGCTACTCGGTGGGCATGGCTCGTCGAATACGAGGAGGGCGGAACACCTCTCGATGCATCTCTCCACGTCAACTATCTTCTCAAGGATGACGTGAAATGACTCCGTCGCTGTGAGGTACACGCACCCACGCGAGTCGACAAACCTTAAAAATCGAACATTCTTCCGGAAAGCCCCCTTGAATGTGGAGGAAGCAGGCCCGGCATGAAGAAGGAGGAAGCAGAAGGAGAGAAAAAGACGACGGCGTCTTTCTCGCATGACATCGACGGTCATTGTCGACCACGCGAGCGAATCGGGGTTGGTCGAATGGGTGGGTACAGTATCTACGTATCTACAAAAGCAAAAGGGGGGTGTCGTTGATTCCTGCTACACTTCGTTCGATACCAGTCGACAGCTCAGCAGCCAGACTCATTGTTACCGATTTCAGTTAGCCTCGACCCCACCATGGATCCATTTCCAGGTTCACAACCGGTCTTTCCACCAGGTCAACCGCCAGACAACACGAAAACAAGCACCTACGCGACGTCGTCTTCGTTGACGGATCCGATCGCATCAAATTCGCAGGAAGTAGCCCCCATCCGGCTGCAACATCTGAGCAGATTCCTGGCCTGCCAATCGTGTCGGTGAGTAATCCATCCTCGTCCTGGATAGTGCATACTCGATGCCCAACTGAAAGGACATCCTGCGGCACGATCCTTAGGCGAAGAAAGCTGGTAAGAACGACCTCACATGAGCCTCGATTCCTCCACGGCGTATCGAGCGCTGACAACCATATCAACATACGTCCATCATTTCTTGATCGTCCTCTTTCTTAGCGATGTGACGCCCAAAGACCGACTTGCGGTCCGTGTGCTAAACGACTCTCCACCGCGCCTTCCAACTCGAGGGCAGGTGCAACGTCCGGGACACAACCACAGACGCAAACGGACGGCTCCGCTGTGGAGCAAGAAGTATGCGTTTATGATGAATATGTGCCCAAGAAGAAACGATCCAGGGAGAGTGGGAATGGAAGAGGTCCGAGACGGCCGGTAGTTGGGGAGGGACACGTTCCAGGTAGATCTGGCGGAGGCGTTGGCGGACGAGAACGGGAGCGAGATCAAGTGAGAGAGCTTCAGAATAGAATCCGTAAGTGCCGAGCAGAACCGGGTCCTTTTCACCTCGTTTCTGTCACGACCGAGTTGGAATCAGCTAATGGTTCTCATTCCGATGGACGTTGTAGACATGTTGGAGCGACAACTGGAAGCTATGAAGATGCAAGGAATAAGCTCGCCGCAAGAACTCGGAGAAGGAAGACCGAACCACCATCAGGTTCATAACCCTACAAAGCCCACCGACCCAATCCCGGGTCAAGGCCTGTTCACCTTCTTGCCCTCGACTTCTACCGACAAATCCCCGGGCTACTCGCTTGGAGGTGTTCAGCCGGGCGTCGGGTCCCCTGCGCACATCTCGCCAAATCAGAATCAGCTGTACGATCAAGTCCAATCGTACTTTCCGCCTCCGGCGCCAGCGTCAACCGAGCAGAAACCAGTGGAGAAGCTCAATCAGCCTCAGATGGTGCACGAAACGATCCAGCCGTTCGCATACGTCCCCGAAGCGAATGTTCCTCCTCCCCAGAGCACTGCAAACCTGCAGTATCCTAGGTACCGTTATCCTATCACGGCAGTGCAAGCACAAAATCAAACGCAAGACCCGAGGGACGTCTTTCTTCAACCAACGGGTCAGATAGTCCCCAAGCCGGACATATGGGCGCTGAACAGCGTCAAGCCAGTGCCGGTCGGCCTCAACTGGTTTCAGGCGGTGAGTAACCACATGATCGCTCGTGAGCAAAAAAGCTATGCTGATCGCGATGTCGTCGGTATTTGTTCTGGTCTCGTAGCGAGATCTCGTGCAAGACCAGGTCAATGGAGCCCGCCTCGGCTACAATCATGACGATCTGAATCAACAGATTAAGGCTACGGGGTGAGTTCGGTGCTCGAAGTTCCTGGAGCCTGTAATTACCGCAGCCTATCTGAGCTCTGTGGCGGCCAATACTTCGACACGTTTGCCTTTTAAACATTTCACGCTTCAGATACGCGGCGACATTGCCACCGGTAGAGATTCTGCATCTTCTTGTCAGGCGGTATTTCAACAAGGGAAACTATATGGCAAAGATCATGGATCAGGGACGCTTCTGGCAGAGGTTGAGTCTGCCACCGAACCATCCGGATTATCCTGTGAGTGATGCATAAGTACAGTAAAGTCGGCAGAAGCGATAATTTTACCCGACTGGATCTCGACCAACAGTATTTGGGGACATTGCATGCCATCTGCGCAGTAGGTGGCAATTACGGGACAGAACCGCAGCGATTCGCTAACTTCATCAAATTTCAACCAACCTCATACAGGCCGCTTCCCATTTGACGGCGTCCACTGGTATCAAGAGGCAACCTCCTCGACCACTAAACCAAGCAGAATTGTCAAACGTGGTTACCGAGACCGAGGTGTATAATCCGTATGATACGGGCAGTCTCGCTTTTCGAGATCATCATGCAAGACTCGCCACGGCTATCTTGCAGGTCAGCTTGGCGCATACCCATCCGTTATATAGCGTGCTCGAGGGTGAGTCGGTCATCGAAATTGATCGTCCACCAGATAGCGTGTGCTGACGGCAAGTCTCCGATGGCAGCCTCAATCGTTTTACAATACCACTGGATGCACGAAGCATTGTGAGCCCAGAGTTATAAAACCCATCAATTCGGGATTTCCGGTTGATTTCGAGTCTTCTACCACTTCGACAGCCTGGCAAAAGCCTGGATCACTCCTGGCATCACCAACTCCCTCTCGGCCTACCTCGCGCTGAACGAGCGTCGTCCGCCAGAGCGAGCCGCGAAGATGACCGCCGTGGAGATGCGCGACGCCGACATGGTCTTCTGGATCGGATTCTGTAACGAGAAGATGGCATGCGCCATGAGCAGCTGGCCCTCGTCATACAGAGAGGAAGACATAACTGCGTACTTACCGACGTGCGCCGGCCCCCATGTGAGGGATTGACAGGGTAAACGAACGATGACCGGCTGCTAATGAGCGAGACTAGGGGGAATATCTTCACCCAACCCAATGGATGGGCTCAACGGATCTTTATACGCATCATCCCGTTCAGCATTGCGATGTGCGTAAAGATAGTCTGATGACCTTGGCGAGGCGCTGATCATCGCTCGCACGGTTCAGAGCACAATCTTCTTCATCAAGTCGCAAATCTTGCTATCCCGCGTGCATACGTTGATACGTGATTCCAAAAAGGCTCAATTGCAAGGGTAAGCTCATGAACCCCGTAGCACAAGTCGAGAGGCTGACTCGCTTGGCGTCGCTTGTGTGAAGACTGGGCGTCTCTGCGCAAGCGTTTCAGCAACAGCGTATAGATATCGATAGCTTCTTGCTGAATATTCCGCGTTACTGGAAGAGTCTATTCAAGCAGGATGGCGTAGATTTTGACATGCTTCTCTGCCTATTCTCGACCCACCTGTTAGTTGATACTTCTCGAATCCGCAGTTCGAGTCTGACTCCCGACGATGTGCTTGCGGATGTTTCTAGCGCTACGATTCAGATGGCGGAGCTCATCCCACTGGTAGATCCACCTTTGCCACCGATGTACAAAGTTGGGGCGACCGATGCCGCTCTCTCGGTCCTCGCTCTTGCCGAGTCTCGTGAGTCCTTGTGCGATAACGTAAACACATTGGGTCATTGATTGTGTTCACCTTTGTTGCTACTAGTCATTGGTACATCGCTGGATCGTGAGTGTAGATATGGCCAGTTGTAGATGGGAAATTCGGCTAACTCTGACGGAAACCATTGTGTCAGTGCGTGTGCTACCCATGTTTGTCCCATGCGTCATGTTTCATTCCAGTCGGGTCCTTGTGGGAGAGCTTCAGCAGGCTCTCCTCCGGGCTGATCAGATAGCTGCATCCAGGTTCGACGCAGGTTTGACTTCCATCGGGTGAGCCGCCTTCACCGTCTTATTGACCAGCGCAGAGAGTGAATCAGCGCGCTTACCGGTAGTTTTCCATCTTCACAGTTTGGCGATGGACATCTTCGGCGAAGAATTTAGTCAGATGTTCTCCATCGTCGATGGGGTTCGGGAGCAAGCGCTCGCCGACAGTCGAATGACCGATTTCGCAAAGTCGTCAGTGCAGACTCCTGGATTTTGCTTGGTTCACTCTTAAAGCTGAACCTCTCGCTTCTCCTTTGCCTAGGTACGAAAAGGTTGTCGCCGGAGAAGCTAAAGGAGGCGGGGTGGTTGAAAGGCCTGAAATCCCCCCGCCCGGCCCGATGGTACACGTGCCTAGGTACTGAGCGTCATATGTGAAGGTGTCATGCGACTTGAGCGACTTGGCTAGGTCGATGTGACGACAAGTTCTTCATCATGTCTCTATCGGAAAGCCAATTTGTTTGTGGAACTGCCACGGACATGGGGCGGGCGGTCGAGATTGGGCCTGATCCGGCGCGGGACCTCGGCGGAGATAGCTCAGCGTCTGCCTCAGCTCCTCACTCTATCATCATCATCGTACATCGTCACCAGCTCATCGTTGCGGTTTGCATTCCTTGTAGCTTGGCAAAGAAAGACTAAAAGTATAAGCCATCTAGGATCAAAGCCCATCTTGTCGCTTGTCGTCAATAGATAATGATGCAAACAGGGTAGACAACCAGCTATAGTCGCGCGAGCATACTTCATCCTCCTAACTGCTAGCAAGCAGCAAGTCTGCGTTCAACTCGAGCTCAGAATCAAGCCACTCAGCTCGAAGCCGTATCCGATCACCCGATGACGTTCCAGCCGTCTCATATCAAGCTCGCTCGGCTTCTCGCCCCCTCGATCGCCCTCGCTACGTCTGGGGGGATCTTGGCGTTGTCGTACTACACCTCGCCCATCTTGCGGGCCATCATCACCCATCCTTCCCAGACCTCCCGAGCTGCCTCAAGGTCAGCCGGAGGAGCGTCGACAGCTTTGGCTCTCTCGGAACTTCGTCGACTCTTCTCCTCTGGGTCTCACGTTTTCCCTCAACTCGCCGGCCTCTCCTCTGCTCTCTCCTTTTACCTCGCCTACTCCCTCCCCGCTCATCGAGCAGGGTACATCCTGGCAGGCGGGTTAGCTATCGCGATCGCCCCGGTCACGACAGGGATCATGGTCCCCGCCTGTAATGGCCGATTGATCGAGCTGGACGAGCGGGCCAATAAGAAGAAAGAGGACGACTTCGAACTCGACCCAAAGGAGGTGGTCGCGTTGTTGAAGACCTTTGAACAGCTGAACGCCGTTCGGGCGTTTTTGCTTGGGATGGGAGGATTCGTTGGAGTTTGGATGGCTCTGTCGTAGGCTGGACATGAGAAGCTGGACTGCTCCTCTAGGTCGTGTATCCGTTTGCAGATATGAGCCATGACTAGGGGTCAAAACATGTAGAATACACCTGTTGCCCCGATCCGTCGTTCCGTCGGGATTTGGTCCGAAACCGGATTTGACCGTGTCACATCGGTTGACTGCTCATCTCTTCGACAGATCTTTACCTCCCCTACCTCCTTGTCAAATCTATAGCAGTGATCAAGATAGAAGTCGGTGGATTATTGCGCAAGCACGCAGCAGAGCTACGAAGACCATTAGCCTTTGTCCGTCATGCATGCCAAGTCCCAGCCTACCATGGACTACCCTCCAGGCGTCCAGGTTCCAACATTCCAAGGTATTCAAGAAGCTTACAAGCGTCTACAGTCAGTCCTCATGGTTTCCTCATCGTAACACATGAGGAATCTCTCGATGTCATGCTCATCAGCTGTGACTTTGTATTTTTAGACCAGTCGTCAACCGGACCCCGCTGTTGACCTCGAGAACGCTGAACGAGCGGGCTACTCAGGCCTTCCGGCTCGCATGTCAAGGTCGGGGTGGAGATGACGGAAAGACGCGGATTATCCAGGATAGCAATGATGTTCAGGGTGGAACAGATCACCAAGACGTCAAGATCGAGGTGGCCTTGAAATGCGAGAACTTTCAGGTGAGCCTGGGGGTTTGGCGTTGTCCCTTCGAAACTGACTCGATATGCCTTGCGTATAATCGGATTGATAGAAAGTCGGAGGTATGTTCGTGAAACAAAACCCTGTCAAGATTGCATCGTAACAAGCTGAATCAAACCCATCCTGGCTGCCTCTGTGACGACTGATCGATCAAAAGCCTTCAAATACCGAGGAGCGTCAAATGCCCTCCTCAAACATATCGACAAACTCCGCTCAGGATCAGACTCTAACCAGGATCCGAAGGAGCTATGGGTGTTTACGCATTCTTCTGGCAACTTCGCACAAGCGGTGAGTGTTTTGTCGTTTGTTGTGAAGCCCCTATCTTTTCTTACCCCTATCTAAGCCACGACTTCGGTCTGCTTCTCTCTGTTCGACCTTCTGCTTCATCTATGGCCCATGATCGCTTCGCTTACTCAATCGCTTCTTGCCGTCGCAGATCGCCTGTTCAGCGAAAAATCTATCCACCCCCTCCCTCCTCGTCCACGCAACGATCATCATGCCCCACACCGCTCCGCCCAGTAAACGAGCCGGAGTGATCGAGTACGGAGCGAAAGTTGTCGGGTGTGAGAATGCGAAGCGGGCAGAGGTCTGTGAAGAGGAGATGAGCAAGGTCAGTTGGCCTCTCTGTCTCTGGGTGCTATCAGGCAGAGGAAAACAGAACGAGGACTGGTAAAAAACTGATATATTTCCCTGCTCGTATAACACCGTCTTCTCAGGCCCGAGCGGAGGGGAAGACAGTCCTCTTCCTTCCTTCATACGACCACGTGGACGTGATAGAGGGCCATGGCGGGCTCATGCTCGAAGTTGAGACCCAATGTAAATCCTCGTCCGTTTGGGGCCAAGCAGGGAAACCGGACGTCATTCTCTGTCCGATTGGCGGTGGCGGCTTGATTAGCGGGGTCAGTTTGGGTGCGAAGGGAGTTTATGGGGATGAAATGGTCGTCATCGGGGTTGAGCCTAGTGGTGAGCTTCCTTCCTTTCCCTCGCAATAATATTTGTGCTTTTAAGCCATGCTGAGCGAATAAATGGCGCTGTCCGATGCTAGGAGCGGACGACACCTACAGGTCCCTGCATTCGGGTGACTGGCAGCCCGCAGTCAATCCCACCAAGACCATTTGTGATGGGCTCTTGACGGCGACGGGCTTCTTGACTTTACCCACCATAAAACAGAACGTGAGTATGGCTACCGGGTCGGTGTTCATGTCAGGCAAACGTTCTCGAAACCGGCTGATTGACGGTCCGAGATGTAGGTAAACGAGATCGTATTGGTGGATGATGAGGCGACGATCAGGGCCATGCGTTTCGTCTGGGAAAGTGCGTTTTGCCCTTCATGCCTCATCACGTAACCGCAACATCTTTGCTTACGAACTCGTCCGAACCGCCTATCGATTCAGGGATGAAAATCATCGTCGAACCCTCCTCAGCCATGACTCTCGCCGCTATTCTTGGCCAATCCTCGATCTCTGATAGTGCAAGTACGGTATGGCACCGGATTGTTTACGATACCCTTGCTCGACGTCAACAGCGACGACGAGAACGCGCTGACCATCATTACACAAGGCGGACCAACGAGCCTGACAGAAGCAACACCGATCAGGAGGAGGATGACGACAAGATATTCCGCGCTTGCGTGATCGTGGGCGGGGGAAACGTCTCGTTCGAAAAGGTCTTCGAGTGGTTTCGAGGTCACGATTGACACGTGCAAAAGACGTCGAGAACATGGTCGCGGGTCGCAACCAGGTGGGTCGCATTCCAGATTGACAACACTGGTCATGCCCTAGGCATCGTAGGCAGGATATACAAGCCACGCGATGCTTTACAGTTTCGTATGCCTCCGTTGCAAGCGGTTCTCGAGACAGATGATATCTACCGTCCATCCGTAGACCTACCGCAACACACATAGGACATGCATGTTTGCTGTTGAGGTTTTTAGGACAACACCGGACTGTCTTTCACCGCTTTCAGTTTAAGTTGGGTTGAGGATGAACGTTCACCTTATCCAGTTTCCACTCGCCGATCAGGGCATATGCTTGACTGATCGTGAACAAACGGTCCTCCATCCAGATCATGTGTTGTCTGACCATGGGGTTTTTAGTCAAAATCTTCCGTTCCTCCGGCGTTGCAGCGTCTTCCTGATTGACAGGTGATTGTAGTGAGTCGAGCAGTCTCCTCGCTTGACTTTCCAGTGGGATGCGAGTATTTTCGTCGAGGATCAGGCAAAACTCCTGAGCATTAAGACATGCGAGAAAAATTCGGAGTTGATTGGACATTTGGATCGAAAGTCCGTCTGGGTCGTCCAACATCTTCTCTGTCTCATGAAGGAGGCCTGTCAGGGTCTCTTCCAGCCCGGACACGCTCGATTGCGCTTCGAGCTTTTTGTCCGCCTTGAACATCACGCCAACCGCTCTCCCTCAGAGATCACGGCTGGCTCTGTCTTGATCAAAGGAGCACGGATCACATCACTATATCAGCTGACGACAGCGGGTGAAGTATTGACATTGCACTAGACGCCGGGCCGTTGCAAATCCGGGGCAAAAGTTTACAAGCAAACCGTTATACTTGGTATGCGAGAGCGATGAAACGGGTAGCCACAGTCGTTTCAGTTGATCGAAGCGCAAACAGAAGCGAACCCCCGAAACACGTATGGTTCTAGCGCGATCTCCACCTTCGATCACGATTTGCATATTTGCTCTTGCGTAGGAGCACTCCGGCTAGAAAGTCCCCTCGTACGACCCGACTGCCGACTGACAGCTCAGTTCCGGATCGACCCGACATGCACTGCATACCGTTTCGAATGACGCCTTTCCGATCGCGCCGATCTCCCAAGCTCTTCCCAAAACCTTATCTCGACCTTTTTCTCGAAGGAAATTCGGATAAACTCGCGATCGCCCATCTCCCGTCCTTGGGACGGAAGCTATTTTGGATCGATCTCGTGATGGCGAAGGAATTGCTTCCGGTCTGGCGATGCCGTCACTCTCGCTCGCGGACAATCCGAATTTTTGTGATCTCGAACTTTTTTGTGAAGTAGGTCGCTAGGTCGACGTCGATGATGCAGGTCACCTTGGAGGCAGGCAAGCACTGATGATGATGACTTGGGTAGCCTACGGTCTGGGAGTCACAGAAGTGCGAAATTGCTGATGTGTTATCGAAGCTTGCTCGGGTGAATGCGACGAGAAGTATGGATCCGGTGATTGGGCGCATGTGTGTGTGGAGCCGCGGGGGCGATCTGCTGCTGCTGGCTGCTGGTTGCTTGAGAGATATTTCCAACTTTTCGAGTCAAGCGACCTAGCGACCAAAGTCGAATCGAGATCGAGATCGTCACAAAACATACCACCTCTCGGTAGACATATAAGAAGGAGTACTCCGACTGATACCCTCGTACGTTCCGTCATCTCCACCTGATCCCCCGACGAAACGATTAATTGACGAAAACAACACACGACCCACAAACTTCTTACGATCGACCATCGAAACCTCTCGCCCCGTACATCGATATCATCACTCGAATACGACAGACACTTATATCTTAAAAACCTCAAGCACAAAACAATCATCGAAATGGACTTTGCTATTCAGGACAAGGAGGGCAACCTCTCGCTTCCCAACGGTACCACCGTCAACGGCACTAGTAACGGCGCTTCCACCCCTTCCACCAACGGCAATGCCAACTCGCAATCCGCCTCCATCCCCCTGCCCGTCCGATCGGACCCTTCGACCACCCAGAGGTCTTCCCACACGGGAACTTTCGGTGTCAAGTCCGGTCTCGCCCAGATGTTGAAGGGAGGTGTGATCATGGACGTCATGAACGTCGAACAGGCCAAGGTCGCAGAGGAGGCGGGAGCCGTCGCCGTCATGGCGTTGGAGAGGATCCCGAGTCTGATCAGGAGTCAGGGTGGAATCGCCAGGATGGTCAGTTCCGGGTCTTGTCGCACCTTTTTTGCCGACGAGGATGAGAAGACTCACAGTTTCCCTCCACTATTCCCGCTATCAATACGATGCCGTACAATACACCACATATCACGATCCTGCCAACTGCATTGCTCATGCGATCACGATATCTTATTTCACGGCCCACAGTCCGACCCTACGATGATCAAGGACATCATCGACACCGTCTCCCTGCCCGTCATGGCCAAGGTCCGAATCGGACACTTTGTCGAGGCTCAGATCTTGCAGGCCATTGGCGTCGACTACATTGACGGTGAGTTTCGTTGATTCCGAGTCTCGAATGGGGGCTTCGAACGGACAAGAGCGTGCGGAGTGCGGGGATTACGATCGACGCTTCTGCGGTTAAGAGGAAGCCAGTGGGGGTTTCGAAACCGAGACAAATCGAGAAGCAGCCATGATGATTCGGTCGACGTATCATCCCGGCAAGAAGTGTCGCGAATAGGCGTTTTGCGCAACCCCATTTTTGTCTGTCACGAGACTGACCTTTTCAATCATATTCGGTCCATTCTTTCAGAGTCCGAAGTCTTGACCATGGCCGACGATGTTGTGAGTATAACCTCCCCTGCACCTTCGATCATCCTCATCAATATGCTCACCGATGTTTTGTTCTTGAAATTCCGCAGAACCACATCCACAAGGCTCCCTTCAACACCCCCTTCGTGTGTGGAGCCAAGAACCTGGGTGAGGCTCTCAGGAGGATCGGTGAGGGTGCCGCCTTTATCCGATGCAAGGGAGAGGCTGGTAGTGGAAACGTCATCGAGTGAGTCAGGTTGTCTGCTTGGATTTTATAGGATGGGGCTATATCTTCACAGACGTGGACGCTGACGAGCATTGGTGTCCCGGATGACAGGGCCGTCAAGCACGTCCGAACGCTCAACTCTGAGATCAGGAAGGCTAGCACCCTGTCCGAGGAGGAGCTTTACACTTACGCCAAGGTGAGCGAGTCCTTTACGATCGATCGGCCGTTGTCGGATGACTAATATCGTGATACCGCGAACCGCGTCCAGGAAATCTCGGCTCCTTACCACTTGTTGAAGGAGACTGCCAGGCTGAAGAGGCTGCCCGTCGTCATGTGAGTCGATGAGCGTGACCTTTACGACGCGTTTTGCAGCGCGCTGACGTTTCCTGATCTGTTAGGTTCGCTGCTGGAGGTATCGCTACTCCTGGTAAGTCCGCCTTCCCAAATCGATGTATAGCTAGACCTTGTAACTGACATCGATCCGTTCCTGCAGCCGACGCCGCCTTGATGATGCAGCTCGGATGTGATGGTGTCTTTGTCGGATCCGGTATCGTGAGTAGACGTTGCTACAGGAACTACCTTTTCACGTTCATCAGCTCACGACCGCATCACGATCCATAGTTCGCCTCGGGCAACCCCGCTCAGCGAGCCAAGGCCATCGTCCAGGCCACCACCCACTACAACAACCCCAAGGTGAGTTTCCCGAGCGCTGTCATCCCACTGTCGAGCCCTTATGCTAAATGATCGCAATCTGGACCCGCCTTGCAGATGCTCGCCGAGGTCTCGGCCAACTTGGGAGAGGCCATGTCCGGAGTAGACGTTGCCGACAACATGCCCGGTGGAAGGATGGCTGGTAAGGGCAACTAGGGTGGATAATTTTGTTGAGGTTGTTTCAGATTATCGTAACCTGCGATAAGGGGGTTCGTTTTTGTCTTGTGCATCGTGCGATTATACAAAAGTCATACGCAAAGCCTTCTCATTTGGCATATGGGGATGCTTCAGAGTTTACCTGGAAGTTCAAGTTGTGGGCACGAGAAGGAGGCTTCCGCACATCGTCACGACAAGTCATTTATGGGGCAAATCCCAGGCTGACCTTGTTTCAACGATGGTCGAAGTAGACGCTCAGGTTGAAGAAAGATTGGTTCAATAATATATCAGGGAAGGTGACACAGGCGGAGCGACCAAGCTATTCAAACAGTGGCACAGAGCTCACCCCCGACTCTTGTGAGTTCTAGAGCTGGTGAAATAGCGGTTGACAGATGACAGAAGTGATGATAACATCTCAACGCTTTTGTAAAAAAATCGCGACGTTGTTTTATTACTCCAAACTCATTGTCATTGCAATCTTCTTTGTATTCTAGTACTGCAAATCAATCAGAGGTCAGGCAACATGCTTGATCGCAAGTCGTATAAGTCGGTGTTAAAAGAACATGTTGTCGGTCATGCCCCATACACGTACACGCCCTGATAAAGCATCTCGAATTACGACGACATGCCAACTACCACCCATGCGGGACCATCAGATGCTCCTCGAATCCTCCCCTGCCCAACCTCGTCCATCCAACATTCCCGCCATCGACCACGGCAACAATGATTGTCCTGTCCCCCTGTTTGAGCGAGAGGAACGTGTTCACTTGCGGCGTCTCGTCTTGCTTGCTTATGAGATTCTTGCCAAAGACCTTCTTGAGCCACCCGGGAACCCAAGAGGTCGCAGTCGTTGATGAGGCAGGAGCGGGTTCCGGAAGGGGCGTGCCCGCTGGCGGCGCTCGACGACGAAGGTAGGGCTTAGGTACTTCAGGAACGATATCGAAAACCTCTGTCATCTGCGGCAAAGTCGGGAAAGGCACGCTTCTAGCACTACGCACGCGTGCCAAACGATACTTATCAGCGGCATTTCCCTCGACCCGAAATTAGCCGTGTCGAGACTCACTCGACCACGCCGATCCAGAATGCGGGCGGAATAGCCTCTAATCCTTCCGGGCTCGCTTTGTCCCATTTGGCCATTGTCCAGTGCGTGTTCGGCTTCCATACGTGATAGAAAGGTAGGTATGGGTTCTCGACAAGGGAGGCGAAAAGGTCTGTCTCTTCCGTCACTTCTTGCTCATTCGCTGAGGTCGTGCTTGCAATCGAAGGTGATATAGTGACCGGATGAGAATGCCCGGCAGGAATGATCCGCAGTTTCTCATACAGCGCACCTGTACCGCAAGACTCTTGATCAACTCCACCTCTAGCGTGCTTCAAAACCAGATCCGCTCTACTGACCATAACTCGAAACCCCAGCCCCGTTCAATAATCCACCCGAACCTTCCCATCTTCTTCTGCCCAGGACGGCGCCTACTATTCGACCTATAGACCTGGCAAATGACCGCCATATTGATCCTGGCAGACGCATACACCCACTCGCCCATCGTCTGCAGGCCGACATGAAGCTTTGAAGGAACGATCCCGATATTGACGCTCTCACTATCGGTGCGATCTCAGTCTGACCGGGATTAATAGGCGGTTGTTTGCGGAATCGATGAGGCAAGAACTGCGGGACCCGCTGAACGGTGTATCCTAATCGTCTCAGACCTGCATATACCTAGAGCACGGCCATCCACCCAAAAAGATCTTGGTTCAGCGTTCCCCTTCTTCAGTCGATTCTGCATCGTGATCTTGATAGTGACCGTAATGTACGTGGCGACGGACTGCTCACCTGATATCGCTCCATAATCAACCCGTCCATCCCGACGAATCTTGCGAAGCCCTCCATGACCGTCACCTCCGTGCATCCTGGGAACGTTTGCGTATCCTCGTCAAACTCCATCTTCAGCTCCTCATCACCGCCCCCGCCAGGTTGCCAGATCTGCAAAGAGCCTCTCTCGAGCAGATAAAGCGCCTCTTCTGGCAACAGCTCCACATTGCTCTTCAACGCCGGTACATCCTTTCCTTTTCCCTTCGCGTTCAACTCTGTCTTGAGTTCGATATGCTTCTTGACCTGGTCGGCGGACGGTCGAATAGTATGCCCCATGGTCAAGAACGCTTGACCTTTGATCACTTTGACTTGTGGGTTAGGGGATTGAGAGGGGATCCAGATTGCATGCGACATATGCTTGCTGTCGATTCAGTTTCGCACGGATAATCAGTTTCCAGACCCTCTCGTCGTCTCCTCGTTCTCATAGATATCCTGACGGCATACCTGCTGGTGCCTCGAACCCCGCTCAATCCATCAAACAAAGCCTGCCTGCTCTCCCTCAGCATCTTTTCCTGAATCGTCTGCGTCTCGTTCAAGGGTTCAAAGTCCTTTTCGCCTCGCTTGGGGATGACTACCCTACTCGGAGCCTTTGCGAATGGGGTTGAAGGTGCTTGTTGCACTTGCCTAACGAAGACACCGGTGCGGCCATGGTCAGTCTTCGATCTTCTAAGTCCTCGATTCGCTGGAACTAGCTCAGGAATGGTATTCTCACTTGGCGAACGCCTTCATAGCATTCAAATCGACCATCTCCTCGTCCCCTTCGTCATCTGAATCTCCAGGTCCAGCAGCAGCATTGGTGCCAGGTGTGGACTTTGCGTTGGGGGTAGAGGGCCCGGCCTTATTGGCAGTGGTGGTCTTTCGACCCGCTGGCGTGGACGGCAGAGAGGCGGAGTCCTGCATTGCAATAGTCTCTCTACCACCAGACTTGTTCTACGATCCGTTGTGGTATATGGGATTGGCCTTTGAAATTGAAAGAGGTTGAACCAGTGTCCCATCGATACCATGTCGTTTCAACAATTTCGCTTCGACCTCGCTCGGGTTCGTTCAATCAACTTTCGGAAGCAAATCTCTCATCGTAAATCGTCAAATTCGCAACCTCTAATACAGGAAACATCTGTACCATCATCTACAGTCCCCTAGCGTCTGGGCTGCACGTAGGTACGGGTGATCAGGCCGCCACCCCCAGAGGTCCTTGTCCCCTGCTCAAGGTCGGCACGACCCCTCCGATCTTGTCGGTCCATTCGCTCAACCTCTCGTACAGCGCTCGCGACTGGTCGGCATCGAGCACCCTCGGCTGGACCCAGTGGATGTTGGCAAGCGAGTTGACCTGGTCGATCGAACCCTTGATCAATCCGAGGCTGTGCGTTAGCGAAAGAAACAAGGTTGCACAAGGGTGAAGGAAAGAGTTATGATCAGCATCTTCGTCCCTGTAACCCTTTTCGCCTCGCTGCCAAAAGCTCACCTCAGAGCCTTCATAACCAGATGCTCAACCTCCTCGACGGGCAACTTGGTCTCTCCGGCGATCGCTTGGAACGACATGGCTCTCTGGCTTCGCGGTCGACGGAAAACGGCCTCGATGAGCGCCATCAGGCAGATCTTTTGACGGAGGAAATCAGAGTCGGCTTGGAGGATGGGCTGTGGCGTTCGAATGGCACGAGCAGTCAGATGTGGATTTAATTAGCTCGTCTGTCCAAGTCTGATAGGTATGAGCCCGGACTAACCTCCTCTGCCAACCTGCCCTGCAGGGTATCGTACTTTCCCAAATCTCCCGCGTTGAACACAAAGAGCAGGTCCTTGATCCACTCGTACTGCGATCCTTCGAGCGCTTTAAGGATCGGATGTTGCAGCTGCGCCGACCCGAGCAAGGAAAAGTTCAGTTGTGCGGACCTGACGGCGGTTGGAACGACGAGGCGGACGCGAACCAAGAACTCACCAATTCCCCGAAGTTGTAAATGCTGTCACCCAAAAGTGCCGCTACGCCCAGGTCGTGCGCCCGCGTCACCCGCTCCTCGGCCGAGAGGTCGGTCTCGAGATCGATGCACGCCAGAAAGAGGAGGGAGGATTTGTAGAATGGGACGTAAGAGGCCTTGATCTGTGACGAGAATCGAGATGGTCATCAGCGTTCGTCTCGGAACTTGCTGTACATGGACGTTGTGCGGGAACGAGACCCACCTTGTGATAATCCGCAGACACCCCATAGAACCCTCCCATCACCCTCCCGCCACCCTCGACCCTGTCCAATCCGCTCAAAACGCCCTCGGCCTCGTCCAACTTTTCTTTGCTCCCCGTCAAATCCCCTCCCAATAGCAACGCATAAGCCAAGTTACACAGCGACAGGGCGTAAGCTTCGGAAGCCGGGGGTGGGGGCGGGGTGTAAGATAAGGAAGGGTCGTAAGATTCGGATTTGGGATCGGCGTGAGGAGGGAGGTGAGGTGAGGGGAGACGAGAGTGAACGGAGTTGAGGAAGGAAAGAGATTCCGGGGGGTCTATATAGAGTGTTTAATAGATCATACGAGATGAAGGTGATCATGGTCAGCTCAAATTCTATCTCTGCAAAGTGCAAAGAAATAGTACTGAGAGCAGACTGGAAGGAAAGCGGGACTAACTGGGATATTCCCGAGCTACACGACGAGCGAGCTCGACCAACCTCAGAGGATTCAACTTTGATTCGATCGGTCGTACGAAACTAACAATCCGGCAGGGGAGAGTTCGTTCACGTTAGCTGGAAGAAAGCTTTGCAAGCTTTTATAGAGATGAAGGCATGAAGATAGAAACACGCTCGGAATAGAAGGTTAACTTACTTCTCAAACAGCTCGACCAGGTACGGACTTGAATCGTCCCTTGCGGCGAACCTCATCAGGAGTACCGTCACATTATGCCAGAGTCTAGCCAGCGACCACAGAACGCAAACAAGGCGCAGCACGCATCAGCTCTTTTCCATGATATCTCGCAGTCCGGAGACGTGGTCGGTAATCAGGGAGACCCGCTGCTCACTTTCGATCGTAAGCCTTTGCCAGGTCGTTCCACCATCCCTTCAGCTGATCCGGTGCTCGAGCTTGCTGGGCGTCGAGGTAAGCGTCTGGTGTGCTATCTACTTGCATCGTCAAGGTTTCTCCCCGCGTGTTGTGAATTATGGTTATGCTTCGGGCTCTAAGATTGAGGGCAGGCCGATGGAGTGTAACGTTCTCTAAATCTCTAAAGGTTCAAGAGGATATGATATGATCTCTCGCACCTCGGACGCTGGCGTCATCCAGGACAAGTTCAAGATGAATGATTAACACGTCATAGTCAGAGAGCTTACGTCACATCACTAGTAATACTTTGATAAGCAGTAATCAGTCAATCCGCTTCCGGATAAGCTTCCGAACATCCTCGAGGGTGTCTGCTGCTGCTTCTCGTTGTTGAACAAGTGGGAATGCGATCATCGGGAGAGTCCTGGACTCGGTCCATTCCAGTGTTCCTTCCTGGAACCAGAACATTAGGATCATATTTCCCGGAGATGACCTCTCCGTCAACCCCGACGACTCCCGGCCAACCGGCGAATCAGTACGCTTCCCGAGTGCCGACCATGATCCAGCAACCTCCTTCGACCCAACAACCCCATTCGCGGGAAGACTCTACCCGGCCGACCATTCCGGGTCTGCCTCTCCAACGGTTGCCTATGGGAGCCCTGGCTTCCAAAGTGGTGGGACCTGGTCAACCCAGCCCTGGGGCACAGTCGGGGACGAACGGAGCTGCTATGCAAAGAGGGTTGATCGATAGTATGAACCTGAAACAACCTCCGCCTATAACGCCGGCCCCAAAGCAGAAGGTGAGTTTCCCACATGGATTACAGAGAACTTGACACCAAGTTACCATCGGCTGATACGTTGTCTTTCACCTTGTTCGTATCGGCAGCAACAACAATTCACATTCCGGTACGACGATACCGACACGCTCATGGCCGAACTCCAGGAATTCTTCCCATACGTCGAGATGGATTTCATGCTGAGGGGTCAGAAACATCAGTTCGAGCGGGATTTTAAGGAATGTGAGTTGGTCGTATCTGTCAGCCTCCATCGGCAATGCTCCTGCTGCTCTTGTTCTGCGATTCCGAGTGCCATCTCATCCCTAGACCCCACTGACATCACTTTGCGGTACTTCACGCTCAGCCTGGACAGAATCCTCTGCAAAGACCCGCCAAGCCCACCTCCTGACTCTCCTCCATTCCCTAGAATCGTCCTCGCCTTCCATCCGCCTTCAGTCGGCTTCCCACCTGCTTTACCTTCTCCAGGGCGCTTACGGCGACCCGTCCATAAGCTCGGAGGAAGAACAGTTGCACTGGGCGCAAGAGAATGCCAGGATGCTTAGGGGATTAGATGGGGTGAGCTTGGCGGTCGGGTGTTTGATGGATGTGGTCAGGCGCCATGATGCGATCGCGTGAGTTTCGTTCCTTGACTCGTTCCAGACAGTCGGCCTAAGCCCGCTTTCTATCCTGTTCCTATACTTCAGGACAGACACCTCGCACGTCAAATCCGACGAAGAGGCCCTCGAACTAGCCTCTGAGATCGACGATCTGAATCACGAGACGGGGGTCTATTTGGGTATCTTGTACTTCTTAGTGGAGATCTGTCGGGCGGACGAGGAGTTTGGGGAAGAGTTGAGTGAGTTTGTCCTTTTCCCTCTCCTCTTGTACTTTCCTCTTTCCTGCCTTTTTACCCGCCAATAGTACGATGTGGAGTTGAGGAGGCTGACTGTGTGCTCAATCGGAATGCAAATATCGGTAGTGGCCCTCGATCCGCCATTACCGGTGTATCTGCTCCGGACGGTAGCAGGACTGCGGGAGAAGAATACTCGAGGGTTTCCTGTGAAGAAGGTTAGTTCCTGCGTCACGTGCTCATTTCGCTACCGACCCAAGCGCGAGAGTCAAATCCTTATTGAACATTCGATGTTCATGTTGTGAGCAGTTGTTGTTGTTGCTCTGGAAAACCCTGTTGGCGTGTCTCGGCGGGCTGAACGATGCGAGACGAGCGGTAGACTTACAGAGAGATCTAAGCGGGTTGCCGCCTGTACGGCGTAGTGAGTCGATTCGGATGCCCGGAAAATAGATAAGGTAGTTGATCTGGTTTGTGATTCCATCGTTTAGGATTCACTAGGGTCACACCAACTGGGATCAAGAATTTCCGCTCGGACTTGTCTACGAAATACCCGACTTTCATCGCACCGATGACTCCCGAGGCATTACAAAGGGAGAAACTCGCCCAAGCCATCGAACCCATCCCGATCCGGTCGAACTACCACAGCTCTGTTGAGGAGGGGCTACCCCCCGCCTTCGTTTCTAGGGCTGCGGCTAGGCAGGCTGCAGCACTCCCTCTACAGCCTGCTCAGGCTCAACAAGTAGGCGCTCAGCAGCAGGTTCAAGCCGGTGGTCCGGGAAACCCACAGAGTCTACCTCAGGCCGGGACACCCGCCCCCTCACCGCCTCCTTCGCCGCAGGTCAAGCCGAAGAAGCAGCAATATCAGACGGATCAGACGAGACCGTTCGTCTTCCCCTTTACGCGGTCACAAGGTGGTTCGACCTCTCGCCTAGTCCCGAGGGCCATAGACGAGGCGGACCAGCTCTATGAGAAACACGTTTACATTCCGCTTAGTCTACACCAGCTGTGCAAGACGCGAGACGAGTATATACGGGAGGAGGCCGGGCTCGGGTTCGGCTTGGGAAGCTTGTCCACCGGCTTGATGGGTATCGAGCGGAGTCGGGACGTTTACGAGGACGAGGAAGGGTTTGATGGAATGGGCGAGGGAGAGGCGGACGACGAGGCGTGGACGGCGTGGAAAGTCGATGATTGGAAGTTGGAGGAGAGACAAATCGAGCGGGAGATCGCCGAGGATATGGCTGGGGTGCGAGACATAATGCAGAAACGGAAAAGTCTGAAACGGCTGTATCGGGTCGAGGTGATCTACGTGAGTCGGAACCCAAAATTGTCATCGATGTAGCCGTCACGGTAGCTGATGGGTCTCTTTCATCTCTAGCGCTCGATGTTGCCGTACGCACAGAGCATTGTCGTCGTGCTCCTCAAGCTTCTTTTGGCTACCGTGACAGGCAACTCTGTCAACCCAAACCCGCCTGGTGGACCTGGGTCGCCTACAGAAGAGAAGCCTATCACTGGTGAGCTGCCTTACCCTTCGCGAATGACATTATGCTCAATGTTGACGTATTCCGGATTTATCAGCCATCGAACAACCTGTAGAGAAGCAAATGTCTCTGGAAGAGGTCGACGTCGCTCGGCATCGGGAGATCACTTCCAAAGCAGTATCTGCGATCTTGCTCCTTTTGTTGAAATGGTTCAAAGCATCGCGTCAGTCAGGTTTTGGATTGCCGCTGCTACGGCAAAACTGAAACTTGCATCCTATCTTACCAGATGTTCTCAAGTTCCAGCACCTGTCAACGCTCCTCATCGACTCGAATTGCTTGCTGCTGGTTCTCAAGATGTTCGGGCTGCAAGAACTCCTCACTCTCATACAAAGCAAACACGAAAAGGAGGATGACAAGTAAGGCAAAATCTATTTGCTATGGTGATAGACAGCTGAGCTCCATCGACCTGCAACAGCCTCTTCCGATCATGTCACCTACAATTCCACCGTAACCGGACTCCCAACAATAAAAACTCTGATAGTCCCGCTCAACGACCGGCAACGACAACTACAACGACAATCGACGGCGAAGAAATCGAGTTACTGAACGATTATTCCTGGCGCAACTTTTTCTACGTTATCAACTTTATGAAGATTATGCATCAGTTGACGAAAGGACGACCTACCAGGATCAACCTGTTAGTACAATACAAAAGCAGCGTAAGTTTATGGCGAGTTTCAGATCTCTTGCGACACCGCTAACTTCCCTGCAATGTCGAATTATAGCAAATCCTGAAGCGGATGTTAAGGGTACCCCATCCCATGTTACAATTATCGATCCTCAAGGTTATCAAAAGTCAGATCCCCTTTCTAGGACGGAAATGGCGGCACTGTAAGTCCGGAGTGGTTGGCAAGACATGGTATCAATCAGACTAAATCCAATCCGAAATAGCCAATATGAAGACCATCACATCAATATACCTGAATTGTCAACCCGAACTTCGAGACGAATGGCTTGCCTTGGCAGACGCTGAACAAGAGCTCGAGGAATCCAGCGCGGTCGAATCGACACTACGTACACTGGTGAGGTTCTATCACAACAAACACTACGACTCGGTACTCGGTCATATCGGCATGGAGTCCATCTCCGCTGCCCATCGCCGTTCAGATTCTCTCGCCGCCGGCGGACCAGCCGAAGTCACCTCTGCCTCGAGCTTCCGAGAAAGATCGGATTCCGATGTCTTCCCGCCTAACAAGACGTTGCTGGAACGTCCTCCACAGAACAACGAGCAGGATTACAACCCGGATACGATCATGGGTGCCTGGATGTACGATTACGAGGCCGTCATTGAGAGCGTGTTGGGAGCGGATAGCGCTCAGGAAGCCGTCCGGGATGCGTTTGCGACGTACCCGCCCGTACCGCACTCTCCGGGACGACAACAAGACTTTGGATTCGGCTTCGGGAATGCTGCCTCGAACGAAAACAAAGGGGCCTGGTCGAGGTTGGAAGAGATTATCGGAGCTAGGTCTGGGCAGCATGATGATGCGATCAGCGATTCGGAGAGCGTAGTTAGTATCGGAGAACTTGGACCGGACGCCAGGTTGGCTTTCGATGATCAGGACGACGTTGAGGAGGATCCAGTCAAGGCGAGGCAGAGGCGGAAGAGTACCGGGAATGAGAATACGTGGGAGGTGAGTTCCAGGGCTTATGCATGGTCGACGTACTGTATGACAGCGTGGAATTGCTAACGACGGACCGCGTCTACATAGCACATCTCGCCGGAAATGTCCATGCTGCCAAAGTCCCCCGGCGAACATCCTCGCCGTCGGTCGTCCTCGTCAAACTCTTCTCCGCTACGACCGGTCATACCGTCTGGCACGGACTGGCTTCTGGATCAGCCTTTCGAGGTGGAAGATGATGAAGAACCTGGGCCGATGCCTATTCAGGAAGGGACCGAGGATGAGTTGGCGCGGGATCACATGCCCGCTGATGAGGTCGAGGCGTTCTATCAGGTATAGAGCGTCTGAGGCAGTGGAAGCCATCTTGATTCCCTGATCGTACGGTTGAGTTGTAATGACATCTGCTTGTGGATCTGTGCGAGGAGGTGTCGTTGTATTTACTCGTACAAAGAGTGATGAAGATGACGAATCGCATTTTTGCTTCCGTTCGACCTTTCCTCAGAGGTTCAGAGGATAAACCATCGAAGCCTCCTTGCTAACAAGTTGTGTAGCTTGATAGCTGCTCATACCACCTTAAATTGGCTGATGGTTCGAAGCTGATCAAGAATACACATATAGGTCCACACACCAACATTTTGATCGTCTTCAAATCGCATCGTGGTCCAAGGGATGAAGCGGGCACGCTCGTCATCGGCGGCATCCTCGATATCGTCGAGCTCAGCTGGATCTACTTCTCAACCCTTAACGAGCAAATACAGACGAACCGACTTGTTGCCCCAACCTACCGACTCACATCTTACCTGCCAACTCCCGCCAACATGTTCCGATTCTCCGAATACCTTCAACAGCACATCTGAGCTGCAAACCCATTACAGCCACTGTCATCTGCATGGCTGTCAAGCGGAAGCGTGCAATAAGGTGTTTCCCGATGCGAGATTGCTCGAACTGGTAAGTTGTCTACAGTATCCCTCCGTCCCGATTGCGCTCACGATGCGCTGCAGAGTCTCTGATTGGGTTCTACGTACGGTAATACAGCACGAGATAGAGAATCACGATCCATTTTCATCAGAGCAACAGCGAGCTGGACAGAAGATCGCAAGTTCAGTTACACCAAATCCGACTCCACCTGACTCTAACGACGAACCGGGGTTTCTTGGTTGACCAGTTCGAATGCTTTCTGCCACGGGACGTATGCGGTAAACGATGCTCCACCCCAAGAGGACGCCGGAACCATATGATCCAGATTCATCGTAAGCTTATCTAAATGTTTCGCCAGTATGCCTTACTAATGACGCTGATTCTGCTTGGTGTACAACTGTTTTGCCCCTCCCTTTTTATTGTCGAATTTCTCACTGAAGATTTCTCCAAACAATACTTCTTCTCGGTGACCAACCATGGCGTAAGCCCTCAGCACGCTTACCGTCAGCCAGAAAATCACGATGCCAACGGAATGAATTGTTGTTATAGATCGGGGATATGGTCAAGCGTTTTGGACCCGGAGCGAGTATGATCCGGCCGCAATGGAAAGGCCCGAAAGAAATCCTGTCTTCTGGCTCGGGTCAGAAAGAGACTCTAGGTGGGCACGAAGGAGGGGCCGCAGCGTTACAACCGGTAGCGACATCCACCAGCGGGGACAAGACAGTAACCAAGGACCCGGTTGAGATGATGTCGAAAGAACCCGCGCCTCAGGCGGATATTGATATGGAGACCTTGACTAGCTCGCTGGCAATCACCAGCCTGGGTCTTGTCCCTCCGAGTGTCGCTCGAAAACAGAAGAAGAAGGTGCAACAGTCGTCGTAATAATGCCATCTTGGACTCTACAACCATGCTTGAAGGAATCATCTCGTTGTAAGAGGATACAAGGGGATTATATCATAATATCGTTACGATGGAGTGCGTTTCACACTACGTCCGCCAAGGCGGACTCGACCAGCTGTCCAGCTTTCGCCCGCTCGGCATTGGACATCTGCAATCCGTCAATGGTTTGGATACCCCCGCATGCCATCGCGACCAGACCTCGGTAGATCAATCGTTTGCTGTACCACTCGTCCGGGAGGCTTCTCCGGAAGTTGACGTCCATGCTGGCCCATGAGGGCGAGCCGGGAGTGGTCCGGTCGTCTTGCGTACGAAGCGCACAAAAGGCGGCCGTATCGGTGACGATGACCGGGAGGTAGAAGTTGAGGGTGCAAGGGTTCATTCTGCAATTTCGGGGACCAGGTGTTGAGAGTCTGCACCACAAGGTCACCTGCTCTAGACTTTCAGCTCACCTCAAATCTACGCTCTCTAGAGTGCCTAAATCGCGCAAGTCCGCTACCACTCCGCGAGTACTATCGGTCCCGAGCCGGCCTCCGATGACGGACAATTTTCGCAGGCCTTGCAACCCACGAAGTCCCGCTAGGTCCTCGATAAAATTGTAGTTGAGATTCAAGTGGCGCAAGTTCGGAAGGCGTCGCGCAAAGTCCACCGGCCAGTCAGATAGCTTGCAGGCTGCGGCTTCGAGATACGCCATCGAGTAGAGCGCTTTCGAGGGGAAAAAGTCGATTGCCAGAGGATTGCCTACCGCGTCTCTATTCTTAGTTTGTGCCGTTGTGCAAGGTGTCGATAAGGGGATGACCGCGACTCACCAGATATGTATAGCCTCTTTACATCCCGCAAGTCATCATAGAACAGTCGGAGGGTTCTACCCCGTTGATTCCGCAAACTCAGATTCTCCAGCCTTGATATCGTCCGGGGATTGCTTCGATCCAGTCCGGACAGCGAGTTGTTGTCAGCGTATAGCGTTCGTAGACGTGGGAATGATGACAGGTCGACCTCTGCTACGTCGTTGTTCGAGATACGCAGGATCCGCAGACTCGGCATGGGCTCTGCTACCACCAGCTCGGTCAAGTTGTTCGATTCTGATGAACGGACACAAGTATTGGTGGTAAGCCGAGACTTCAAAGCGTAAAGTGTGCATGAGGGCTTACCCAGATTCAGGGTGACCAAGCTGCCCAATCTTTCCAGAGCAAAGACCCCGGCAATGTCATTATCGGACAAATCGAGCGTCTCCAATCGGGGCCATTTCGCTTGACGCAGGTCTAGCTCCGCGATACGGTTACCGACGCAGCTCATCTTGACGAGAGAATCCGTCTGAAGAAGGTCTCCAAGATCGGTGATGCGGTTGTGGTCGATCTTGATCTCCCGGAGATGTCGTAGACAACTCAGAGCTGTGGGAGTGAAAGGAACAGTGAGCGGCTTGATACTTTATGAAAGAAGCACGTCAGCACCCACCGCTGACTCCGTCAAGGTCATTCCTCGACAAGTCCAAGTATTGAATGTTGCTGAGGTGGTTGATGGCCGTGAGGCTACTGATCTTATTACCCGCAGCAAACAATGTTCGAACGGTGGATGGAATTCCGCTCAAATAGCTGATCTCGTTGTCGTTGAGGTTAACTTCGTCCAATTTTGGCAGGAACTCCTTGAGCCTAGCTACGCTGGTTGCACCTCGCTTGGACAGGTCGATTGCCGTCAAGTCCTCCCAGTAAGGTTCAAATGGTTGTACCTCGGTGATGATCTCAACCAGCTTGTCATGCGAGACAGCAAAGGAGCATTCGGTCAAAAATGTAGCATTTCCTACGTTTCTCGATTCACGTCGTGATGCGACATGTACCCGTCCGCTGTCCGATTCAGTTTCGGTATGAGCTTGCGACGCTTCCAAAGATTCGTCGGATTCGGTTAGTGTCTTGTTGATTGCATTGGATACTCTGGTCGGGGTCGGGTGTCCTGCGGTCTCGCTCTCGATATCTTCAAGGAAATTGCGAATCCGCTGACTCCGGGCCGAAGGTAGCTGCTGTCGAAGCGATGACGATGCACCTCTTGATGACGTATCGTTGAAAACATCGGCCTTTGAGGCGTCTACCTGGTTCAGACCGGACCTGACAGAGCTATCCCGGTATTGACCGGAGTCGAAGTCCATGTTAGGGAGGGTTGCTTTGCCTGGTCTTTTTCCATCCGAGAAACTGACGTTGCGCTTCGTAGCGCTATCAGTCACATCCTTCATCGGGGAATCCCATAGGATTGAGTTCTTCCTCAAAGCAGAAGCGGGCGTCGATCCTGGAATACGCAGAGCTGACCGCAGCGGGGTCAATTCCGCGACAGCGGAAGCCTGCAGAGGGGTTGGCGCGCTTTGAGTCTGGCCAAAGGTAGGTCGCTCCTCCCGGTACCTGTCTGGAGACGCCCCTGATGTTCCTTGGCCAAGTCTTTCGTCAATCGGCATCGACCTCTCCTCCGCGATCCTGCTAGTGGTAATGGATCGCCGTATACTCTGCTCGTCAATCTCAACCTCGACATCGTCTAGCGAGACGCAGTCTTCCTGATCTGGCTCGCCGTAATGCTCTGATGGCTCTCCACGAGTCTCCTCTTGTCGTGTCGCCCAGCCCTCTTGATTGTCAACCTCTTTCGGATTATCGAGCTTGGCAGTGGTCGATGATCGCCTGAGCGATGCATGCGCAAGCGACTGATTCGGGGCCGTACGATCGTCACGGAGCGATTCTAGTCCGGCGAACACGTCGAAGCTGCTCCCTTCGCTACTTTCAACTTCTTCTTGGACAGTGTCAATCCCACTAGCACCTCTCATGCCTGATGCGCGCACCCACTTGAGGTGTTGTCGATCGAAGATCATCTTGCCTACCTGCGACGGCATTTGAGGAATATCGTCGAGACCCATACTCTGCAATCCGCGAGGCTTCGTGAGCGCAGCTCGAGGCTTGACGGACGATGCCGAAACGGCAGTAGCAGTTGTGCGGTGTGTAGTTACAGTAGTGGCCGAGATGACGCGGCTGGTGCTGTCGATTGTCGACTGAGGCAATGCAGGCGAAGCAGGCCCATCAGGGTGCGGCGACGAAGGCTTGTTGCTGACTTCCAAGCCAGCCACAGTGGACGAGCTGGAAGCGACCGATCGGATTGGTCGAGGTTGGGATGCAGATTGAGCGCGCAAAGACGCCATTCGCGACCTCCTCAGATCGGCAGCAGCTTCGTTATGGTCATCTATATCCTGACAGTTCTGAGACTGCGAACTCGCTGGACGTCCAGCACTGGAAGACGACCGTGCGTCTCCCTCGTGTTCGGGCCCCGTCTGCGTTCCGCTACTTTCGCTGAATTTCCTCTCCCTGATCCTGTCCATGATATCCATCCCAGCGCTGAGGTATTTCGAGGTTACCGTACTACTGCTTCCGCTGGTTGTGACGGTACCTCCAGAACCCGAACTGAGCGAGTTGACTGTCCCACTCGGTCCCATTGGCGCTCGGACAGTACCGCTGCTCGTCGTCTGAGAAGCTACCCGATCGGGTCCGACGTATATGGCTGTATTCGCGCTACTCGTCCGTGTAGCAGGAAGGTTTGTAGCAGGTCTTGCGGCGTAGAATCGCTCAGCATCAGGCGAAAAATCGTTTATGCCGATCGACAGGTGCTCTTCTCTGCCCTCAGACCCTGTAACTCATGCATGGTCGTTAGCTTCTTAAGCCATATAAGATCACCATGTTGTTGTAACCTACCGCTTCGCTCGCGCATAGTTCCGTCATACGAACTCTCTCGCCTACCCGAGCTCTCTGGACTTTGCTCGCTCCCGCTGTTCGTGATTGTACTAGGACTCGCAGCGACGCTTCGATGTCCATTCCCATCGACTAACAACCTGCTCCGAATATGCTGCAACATTTCCACTCCTCGTTGTTCCCAACTCTGCCGATTGCCTGCCGCTTTAGCACCTTTCTCAGGTTGAGGTGAACTGAGACCGATATGGAATTTCAGGCGCTGTGTGTCGTTCAGGGACACAGAGACGGGGGAACGATCGCTGGCGAACGAAGGCGTCGAGGACAAGGATCGATGCTGTCGGCGAGAAGAAGCAGGACTAGCGCGATCGCCGAAAGATCCTTGTCTGTCACTCAGTGACGAGTGGGAAGGAGATCCGGATCCGGATTCAGAGGCGATAGAGGGCGAATCCAACCTAATTCTTTTCGGTTTCCTCTCCCTCATCTCCTCGTCTGTGCTCATCTCTTCCTCACCTCTTGGGTCATCCTCTTCCCCACAGCTTTCTTCCCCTTCCTCGTGGTGATTCGCTTCATCCTCCATCCTCACGCCTCGACTGCGATCAATCAGATCCGCGCTACCTCTACGATCATTTCCGCGTTCCCAACCGCCGACCATCGCGGCCTGCTTCAACCTGTTCTCTTCCCGCTTCTTGCGTCCGGCAGAGACCGCCGCTAAAGGCGTCTCCAGCCCCTTCTCGTCGTTGACCGGATATACAGCGACCGAATCCCTCAGGCTGAAGAGCTTTAAAGATGCTTTCCCTGCGTGTGCCGGTGCCGGTGTCGAGGTCGACGCGTTCTGGCTTCCTCCATACCCGAAGTGAGACGTGTCTCGACGAGGCGAGAAAGTGAAAGAGACATCCTGCATAGAATTTTTCTGCCCGGAGAACCTCCTCATCTGGGTCATGCCCGACTCAGCACGTCCTCCCTGTTGACTCAACCTAGATCCTCCGTCTTGTTCGATCGAGTTCCCGTACTCTTGTTCTAATTCCTGCTGTTCAGACTCGTGCACCGATCCGGCCACAGACTTTGAGATAGAGCTTTCTGGCGAGGGAGAAATGCTCTCGCTCAACCGACTAGGCCTAACAGGGACGTATGAATGTGATGTCCTTCTCAGTCCAGCTTTTGCTGATCCTCGTAGTGAAGACGGGACGGGTGATGTAGGGGATGTTGATCGTGCTTGAGAGGAAGCACCGGGACTGGGGTTTTCTGCTGTTTCCGACCCTGACCCCGATGCGGAACCAGACCCAGTTCCCGAATTCGACCTAGATCCAGATGTAGACCCGCTCGGCTGTCCCAGAGAAATCGAACCCGACGTAGCAGCCGGAGGGGGCTGGAACATGCTCTCCAACGCCAACGGCTGAAACAACCCCCCGACAGCACCTCCTGCTTGATTGTTCAAGAACGGGTTCCTCAGCAAATGCTTCGGCGGTCCTTCTTCCTCATCAGTCTCCTTGACCAAAAATGTCCCGATAGGTCCTGTCCCTTGCGGGCTGTTATGGTATTCGTCCTGTTGCGAGGCATCTCCGTTCTCCCGCGTCTCGTCGCCTAGTTTCCCGCCTGAAGACCCCCCTATGGAATTCGGCGGGCTCAACCCGCTCAACCGTCTCTTTTCCCGCTCCGCATCCTGAGGGGTAGTACCCACTGCAGGCGGAGCGAGAAGAGAACCCATAGAGTTTTGGGTATGTCCGGATACTACTCGAAAGGGGGTGCGTGAAGGTAAACCTGAGCCCATAGATCGAAGACTTCCGAATTTCTGAGAGGTCTGTTCATGGTTTCGGCTTGATGACGGGCGACTGGAGGAAGTTGAGCTAGAAGCGGATGATGATACGGATAGTCGATGGGTAGATCCGGGAAGAGAGGTATCGGGCCATTCTTCGTCGAGCTCCGAGGTCTGCCAGCCGGGTGCGTTCATGGTGAGGTGATGATCGCCGTCAGTGGGGTATACCTTTATATTGAGAGAAGGTGTTAGCTCTAGATGTTCTCGGAAGTTTCGTCTACTGATAGCGTACCTCTCAACCTACTAAATCACTATGAAGTCGGCGAGAACTTGTTTGGCTTGAACAAGTTCGGTCAATCAGCTCTGATGGTTGTCGTTCGTTCGTTGATGTTTGTTGTTTGTTTTGATGTCCGCGTAATGACCGTGTAAGACGTGATCGTGTCGTTGATTCCTGCCTCCAATCGTCCTCTATTTCTACAGAAAGACAGGTCTATCTGGTGAATCTCCCCTCCAGAATTTTGAAAGGTTCATCCCCCATAGGTCAAGTCAAGGTAGTTGACAACTCTCTATACATGCTATACATCCAAAGCTGGTTTGTCGTGCCGAGGTCGCACCGTCGCTCTGTTTGTTGATCAAGTGAGGACGACAAACGCGCGCGCGAGATCACGTAAGACGGTCGGTCACGTGATCGCGCCGCTGTGACGTACATGGGTGACGGCAGGCAAATGACGGCATCGGTCAAACTGAAACACCGTAGGCCACAGGGTCGTCAACTTCTGGAGACGACCTGCCGACGCACGTCAAGGTTCGCAGGTTGAAAGCCGCGGGTTCTGTATCACAAGTGTTATCCGGTTCCTGCTCTGTCCATTTTAGACTTGGGACTGCGCCGCTATACGAGGGGTGACAGACCGTGTTGTCTTGGCGACACGTGGGCCCGGGCGAGATAGGGCGGAAACATCTTTTCGGGTCGCTATCTGATTAGGATTTTCCCCTCGAGTCGTCCGAGTCACCCCTTCGTATGCTCCATCGGGTCAACTTTATCCCTAGATATCGCTACACTTTCAGAAATTCTTGGTGCTGGCGTGCGCCTTGCGCTCGGTCCCATGTGTGTCGGCGAGTCTTTTCCGGCTCGGCATGCAGAGTTGTCGGGAAGGGCCAGCGTGTCTCAAATCGTACAAGTATCGCTCGGGATGAAAACATGCAAGGCTTCCGGGTGGAGCTATACTTTCAACATCGAAACTTCATCGAGCATTCCTGACCGTTGACGTACAACGATGTCACGCCAACTGCAGAGCCTCGATGCCATCGCGCAATCAAACACTGCCTATTCGCTGTCTCATGATCCATCGGCGACTCCCGCTGAAGAACGCTCCATCGACAAGGACGACAAGGAAGCCGCCAGTCCCGATACCGAAGTCGAAGAGAACGTGCGACAAGACGACGGTGTGACCAGAATCGAGGCGCTGTGTAAGCGCGGGATGGCGTCGTCGTTGTCGTCCAGCCCGTCTCATGCTGACGTTCGGCTGTCATCTCCGCAGATGTCGTCTTTGGGAAAGGATGGGGTCTCTACACCCTCTGGATCTCCATCGGATTGATTGCCTACGTCTACTCGTTGAGTCGGAGCACCACGGCGTATTGTGCGTGCCGTTAGCGCTGCTTTCTTAGCCTGAACTCATTTATACCGATGATGTACCCCGGACAGACGCTCAGTTTGCTACATCGTCCTTCGGCGAACATACGATAATTGGGACGATCGGGGTGGTCAACGGTATCATCGGTGGAGTCGCTCCTCCGTTTATCGCCAAGGTATCTCAGTTCGCTTCTCTGGTCTTTGTCGCGAAAAGATGGCTGACAACCGGCTTCGTACGAAGTTGGCCGATATCTGGTCTCGACCTCACGCTCTCACCCTCGCCGTGGTGCTCTACGCCGTAGGATACGCTATGTGCGCCGGCGCCCAAAACGTGGAGACCCTTGTCGCAGGTCAAGTCGTTTATACCTTGGGCAACACTGGAATCACCTTCCGTGGGTCCGGACTTTCTGCTGTTCACACTTCCACGTAGCTGAGACTCGTCCTTGTGTGCTCTTTACGCAGTCAACAGCTTGCTGATCGCAGACATCACCTCGCTACAATGGCGATCGTTTGTCAACGGGGCCGTTAATCTACCGTACGTTCCAAACGCCTTCGTAGCGGGTTACATCGTGTCCGGTATTCAAGGGTACAGCGAAAACGGGTGGCGATGGGGTGTGAGTGGCATTCTCAGATTGTCTCGCTCACCACGTAGTGGCTGATCACGCTAGTGGTGTTCAGTACGGAATGTTCTGTATCCTGCTGCCTGTCTGCGTAGCTCCTGCTTTGATCGTGCTGCATATCGGGGACCACCGTGCCAAGAAGCTGGGCGCCGTTTCCCTCGCCTCGTCTTCAGCAACTCGCCGTGAGCAACTAGGTCAAGCTGCACCTGTCCAACACGAAACAGCACAGCGGACAATGTGGCAGAGTTGTCGCTTCTACTGGACCCGACTAAACGCGTTCGGCTCGCTCTTGATGGGTTTCGCCTTTGCTCTCTTGCTTACACCGATCACGCTGAGCACTACTGCCGAGAACGGATACAAGAATCGTGAGTATGGCGGTTTCTTCCCTTTCAATACATAGCGTGGCTGACTTCTCTCACGTCCATAGCATCTCTTATTGCCATGCTGGTCGTTGGCGGAGTACTGTTCATTTCGTGGGCGATCTGGGATGGATTCTTCGCCGAGTATCCGTTCTTACCGAAAAGAGTGTTCAACCGGACACTTGTGAGTCTCGATCAACGATTTTACAGTAGCTCGGCGCGGCGTATTGAGCCCGAACTCTTACAGATTGCTTGTGTTGGTGTCGATTTCTTCTACTTGTTCTCGGCTTACCTTTACGATGCGTATTTTGCTTCCTGGGTTTGGGTCGTCACCGACTATAATGTAAGTTTGGCATTCCATCTTGGCCCAGCTTTCTGATCAGCTCACACGATATGCGACAGCAACGAGACTATACGTTCTTCAACAATACGCTCTCGGTAGCGCAGTGCGGTTTCGCCGTCTTTTTCGGTCTCTTCATCCGATTCAGCCATCGATACAAGTATATTCAAGCCTCAGCCTTGGCTGTTCGCTGCCTGTAAGTCGTAGAGCGGTGTTCGTATTCGCAGGCGCCGATCATTCAGTTCCTTTCATCACAGCGGGATGGGTCTGGTTTATTACGCCACCAAACGGCCCACTACGGCGGTCCTCGTCAGCTCGCAAGCGCTTATCGGCCTCGGCGGTTCCATCTCAGTCATGACATCGTACATCGGTGTCCAGGGTTCTGTTCCACACCAAGACATGGCCATCGCCACTGCAGTGCTGAACCTGATCAGTTCGTTAGGAAGCTCGATATCTATTGCCATATCGGCTTCGGTCTGGAACAAGCGAGTGCCAGAGCATCTAGAGAAGTACATAGGAGCGACGCACAACTCAACCGAATTGGCATCTATCTTTGGGTCGATCTATAAAGCGCGCGAAGCCCAACCGAGAGAGCTGGTCAAGCAAGGTATGATCCTGGCTGACGATGATCCATCTGAACCCCTGACTGATCTCGTACGGATATCCTGCTAGCCTACCTCGATTCCGTGGATGGCCTTTTCCTTTCGGCCTTGATCGTCTCATTTGGGTCCCTCATCTGCGCGATGTTCGCGTCCAACTACTATCTCGGCCAGAACCATAATGCCATTGAGAAGCACAAGATTTTACGTTGGAGAGAGCCTGACGAGATAGTCCGCAAGGAGGATGCACAGGATGCCAAGGGAGGAGACAAGCGGCCGATGTAGGCTTCTCGATCACGCCACTGAACGACCGTTGGTGGCTAGGTTACAAAACCTATAAGTGAATCGGCAAACGTATGCTATTAATCCGCCCGGTCAATCAGCCATACAAGCGATGGGACCAGTGCATTCTGTAGTCTTTGCTCCAACCGTCTCATTGCGGTTCCGATCTAGCTCGTGATACCTAACCGGCCAAAATGTATTCTCCCATGCACAGAGAATAAATGAACCTTAATCTATCAAAGCTAGCTTGACACTTGATCACGTCGAAGCAGCTCGACGCCTCCTTATCGTGCTTACACTGGCTCGACCATGACCTAACAATCAGTCGAGACTAAGGTTGTGGTTCGGATCGATCGTCTCGAAGCTGGCTGTCTCGCAATGTCCGCCACACACATGGTATGCTGAATCGACGGTCGCTGAGAGAAGAGATAAAGTGCACATGGCCTTGTCCATGAGAAAGACTGAAAACTCTGAAAACCAACGCCTCAGTGCTTCTTACTCTCGTATACTATATATTGACAAAGGCTTCGACTCTAGGAGCTAAAACGAGAGCCCCGGGATGTCTATCCTTTGTTAACCTTTCACACTCAGCTATGCCGCAGTCGTGATATAGCAACTCATGGGGCGTTCTATACGCCAAAAAATAGGTTGTCGCGGCTACATTGCGCTTAGACGACAAAGGTCGCTGATTCCGCCCTATGCCCGCCTCGTCTCCCTCGCCAAGTAAGCCAAAAAGTCCGCCCCCTGACTCGTGCTTGCTATATCCTGCATATGGATGTCCTGATCCCCCTCCTGCCCGTCATCCCTGCCTTCACCATCGCCGTTCGAGTCCCCATCTCCGCTGGCCGCGCCCGCCGAGTACATAGCGAGGATCCTCTGCAAGTTCTGCTGAGCCTGGGCTTCCTCATCTTGAGTCCCCGTCGTGGCGGCATTGTGTGCGTTGACAGCGGCAACCAGATCAGGATCGACCACGTTGACGGTATCGTTTTGCTCCGGCTCATCTCTCCGCATCTCCTGGTCATCTAGGTTGATCGCGATATCCCGGTTTGCGTCTGTATCGACCTCCGGCCCACCCTGACCCTGACCTGTACCATCGGCGAGGGTTTCCAAACCCTGATCTCGCCTCTTTGTCCGTTCTTTACGCGGTCGAGCGGTCTTGCGTGTAACAGTCGGGACGGGCAAGGGAATTGCATTGGGTCGTTCCGGTGGTACTTGTAGTATCCCGGTCTGGAAAGCTCATCGGCGTGTCTTATCATCAGCAACAGTACTCGTGGTCAGGGTACGACCAGAGTGCGACTCACCGCCGTCCACGTCTTCAGTGCCCCGTCGAGCCACCCCCTCAGCTCCAACAAAGCCCTCTCTACCCCCATACCATCCGGTGCCCACTTGCTACCTTCAGCCGCGGACGTGCTCCCGTTCTGCTCCGCCTCGTCCGGCGGCCTTGACCTCGCTCGACTTTCAAGCAGCACTTTCCTCTCTAGAATCTCCCTTTCTAGCGTCTTTCGTTGCCGCTCGATTCGGTCATTCTCTTCTTTCAAGTATCGGACGTGAGCGACGAGCGCTGTTTTCTCCTCGTCGAAGACAACACTATCGCTTGCACTCGCACTGCTGTCACTCATGGCTACCGCCTGAGACTCGTCACCATTGCTAAGTGCCGTCGATATCTTTCCTTTTTCGAACCTTTGCTCGAGTCGCCGTCGAAGGTTGTCGAGTTCCCGTTGCAGGGGTAATAACCTTTCCAGATCCAGCCCCAATTCTGCAGTCATCCCAGTCGATATCGGATTCTGTTCAGATAGATCCCCTGACCATGTATTTGTACGCAGTTGTGTTTGCCCGTGCGTCTGAGCTTGCGTTCGTGGTGACGGTGATGCCGGTCGTGCAGAGTCGTTGATGCCGCTGTTCCCATTAACGACCAGATCCTCCATATCCCCCGTCCCTTCCCCGCTCTCGCCGGGTTCATTTTCGACCTGTCTCCCGCTGAGATCGAGGTCGACCGACACCCCTTGCCCTAGATCTACCGTGGTCGTTACTTCCCGGGGCTGAGTCTGCCCCGTGGAATACGACGATAATCCCGCAGACTCTGGCATGTGACCTGGCTGTTCTTCCATGTGACTTGGTCGTCGCGATGGCGATGCTTGATTACCCGAGCCCGAGCCTGAAGCCACTGGTTGTTCGGCACGTAGGCCACCTCCGGCCCCCGCTAGAGGCCCATTCCCAGCGAGTGCCAACAACCGTTCTAGTTTTCCCCTGAGCCTTACATTCTCTTCTTGGATCGTGGTGATCGTTTGCTCCAGTACCGCACTGATTTATTTGTTGGATAATGCAAGAAAATAATCGGTAATTGAGAAGCGAGGTCGATGCCAAGGAGCGGATGAATGCCAGATGTCGATATCGACAGAGATCATCATCAGCATTATGATACAAAATGTTGTAGCCATACCTCTCTCCGAATCAACTCTACTCACACTTCACCCTTCTTCTTGCCCCGACTTCTCAACGCGGCCAACCGATTTGCTTCTCGTTGCCGAACCCGCTTGGTATTCGGAGATGGAGATCTCTCTTGTTCGATGGTCTCGGAAGTCTGGGGTTTAGCATGAGCGTGAATCGGGCTCGGGTGATCGGTTGGGTTTTCAGTCTGGATGGAAGTCAAGACATCGGTGGGCAGAGGTTGATCGGGGTCGATAGGGGCTTGTGTATGCTCGTGGCCATGGGTCTCAAGGTTATCGTTGTGGTCGTGGAGAGAATGAGAGGGTGAACGGCTGATTTCGGGGACTTCTGGTCTGTACTCTTCCTCTTCTTCGTCATCCAGGTTTTGAACTTGAACCTGATCTCGAAGTGGTCGTTCGGTATCGAGCTCTTTCGAACCCTCAGGGCCTCTGCCCTGTTCCTCGATCTCGACTCGACGACGTTTCCCTGTAGTCCCGTCGGCTCGTTCCTCTGCATCCTCCTCCAATCGTCTTGTGACTTGTCCCACAATTCCGTCTCTCCCTCTTTCTTGGTCCTTCCTCGAATTCTCGACCTCGACTCCCTCATTATCGTCATCCCCGTCGACTCTGGGTTGGACCTCATCGCGGGCAGGCAAGAACCGGTCGAGCCCGAAACCGTCCAATGTCGAGAGGTCAATGTTGTGCAAAAGGTCGTGATCCGGGTCCGTAGTGTGACCGTCCATGGTTGCTGGCAGTCTGTAGATTCGTGTGTTTTCATCTGTATATGGGGGTTGAGGATGGAAGGCTATATATCGATCCTATCGAGGTGATCTATCTGGACCCGTACGAGGGGAGGGGGGGAGGGGAGAGGAGGGGCGACGCGCATAAAATAGCGATCTCCCGCGTTTCATGAGATCGCTACCCTCCCCCGACGCTGAAATCGAAAGCCTGAGCGGAGTTCATGTCCAACGGCTTGAACTCGTATGACAGATAGAACGAGGCGCGATAAGCTTGACCATGTGACCGCATGCCTTGTGTCTTCAGACGCCAGGGGGTGTCAGCCCGTTCACAAAGTGTGTTACGAGAACGGCATTGCGAAGCGGGCCATTGTCAGGACTGAACACAAGAACCGCTTGACAGACGAAGCGGCTGCTAGCTCCTAGTACGAGCTGACAATATCTAGCAGATGCAACGTTAGCTGGCTCCTTGGCTCTAGTACAGTAGGCTTCTTGATCGGGACATGTGACCACCTGTCACCTGGTAGTAAGTGTTGATTCAAATCGCAGACGTAATTCAGTGTCATCCTTTGTTTCAAGATCTCCGTCACGATCTGTGATGGCGAACATGTTCTCTCCTGATTGACCGACCGAGGTTTGTACCTTTGCGATCATATCGATATATAGAGCAGCAATGGTCCCCATGCTCGGAACGGTAGAGGTGATACTAAATCTAGATAACTTGCCGTTGAAACAAATAGCAACCTGAATCAACACGCCTGAAAGTATCAATGGACGGCCAGCAACAGCTCTCGGCGACCACGCTCGGAGGTTCCACAATTCCCAAAACGGATGGAATGTCCGGGCAGTCCGGCTACGAGCAGTACAATCTGTCCGCTGGGGCCGACGACGAGCTCAAAAGGCTTCAACGGGAGAGGAAAACCCGCCAGCCATCTGTACCCCTCCACGTCAGCAAGCGTATCTTCTATGGAAGATTCATCGATTGCGTCTTCTGTGCCTCACCCACCATCTCTTCAGTCGGCTTTGGTAGGCTTACAGTCTTTGAGGGGGACCAAAAGGCTGGCGGCGACGGAAGCCAGCAATTCCCGTGCATCGATACTCAGTCTGCGCCCAAGAAATGTCGAAGATCAGTGGCGATATCTCGCCGAGACTCGTCAGGATAAGTACCACCCGACTGATCAGCTTGAGAAGGGTCAACAGGCAGCACTCGATCTGGTCGAGCTGTTCAAGAGAAATCGTGACACCGCGCCGGATCTTCTTCAGAGCATGGAGAGATACTCCCAGAGGCTCAGCGAACCGAACTTCGTCCGGTTCGCGCAAGAAACTGTGCAGCAGACTTCTCTGGCTGTCAATAGTTACCTGGAAGCATTAAACAAAACTCCTGAAAAGGGCCGACAGTCAATACCAAACCACCGCTGGATGATGCTAGTGCTACCTGAAATCCTATCGGCGTGGGAGACTGTCCTTCACACGCGCTGAGAGGACGCCAATCTCGTTTTGATCGAACTTCGAGACCAGTATGGGAAGTCTTTGTGGAAGGTTTCGAATGATCTTCCAAGCTGAAAGCGCAGAGGCATAAGCGGGGATTGATGGCTTGAGTGTACCCCGTGAGAGCAGTGTGGGCATATTCTCGGGGACCAATTTCAGATAGATTTTTGGTCGGTCGTAGGCAAACCAGATCTTATAGTTTGTAGAATTTGTAGATACATAGAGAAAGCTTACAGGAAAACCTAGGCATTATATGACCACCACATGAAGCTCGGGCCCGTGCAATACGGGTGTCCGACGTAGAACCCACAAAACAATCAATCCTATTCGGGAAACGTATGAAAACCCACCTTTCGGCGTAACTTTTTTCAAGTCTAGTAGGACTGCCTGTGCCTGGTCTCGATCGGCAAGAAGATCAAAACCAGCATCGAGAGCCAGATACCTCCAACAGCGAGCCAGAGCACACCGTTACTTTCCTTGGCCAAGAGGTCCTGAGCGGCGAAGGGCGCAACGATCTGTAGACCGTGGTAAATGAGGGGGAAAGATCAGTTATACATTACAGGCAGAGGCAAGGCACAGCAAGACTTACACCTGACAGTCGCCCAAGGGTCGAAGCCAAACCACAAGCCGATCCTCGTACGTAAGCCGGGAACTATGGGTGCACAGCGCAAATGCAATCAGCATTCACATATTTGCAACTAGTTGGATCGAAAACAAGCTTACAAATTCCGGCGTAGTGGCGTAAAGAATGGCATTGAAGAACGTTTGCATGACGTATTCAAAGGCCTAACGTAGGAAGCATGAAAATCAGTTTGTCATCCAATATCGGCCTGTGACTCAAATCAACTTACGTTCAAGCCGACAGCACTACATATCATGGAAAGACAAGAGAGAAGCGGCTGTTCAGCTTAAATGGTGCTTTCATTTGCCCCGCTTCTTCAATCAACTTACGCGGCCGGCGTGTTGACGGCGGTATAACAGGCCATGCTGACTCCCTGCAATGCCGCTCCGATAACCAACGACCACTTCCTTCCGATCACCGGCAGCTGAACGGCAAACATTGCCATGATCGCACCGAGAACTCCGGGAAGGTAGATATAGATGTATTGTCGGTACGTCTCGGTGACTGAAATCTGACGGTCGAGATTTCGTCGCTGCAGAATGATGGGCAGGAAAGAACCGGCAATGTTGAATGACCAGAAGTCTCCGATGTAGGCGATCCAGAGGACGATGGTGGTAAAAGCCATGATCTGCAGGCGAGACAGCGACATGTCAGTTCGGTCAAAGTCCGTTAAACAGTCTAGAACGAGGCACAGCTTACAGGAGTCATGAACAGTCCCTTTAAATGCGCGGCCCTCTTGAGCGACTCCTTGACAACTCGCTTGGCAGTCTCCATGACGGTCAACTTGCGTCCCAAGAGCTCCTCGTCCGAGGCGACCGTGACGACGCTCATCTTGGTGTCGATATCGTTGAAGTGCTCCATGGTCAACTCGGGGGGTGGCATCTTGTTGAACCTAGCAATCTTGTGCAAGACGTCGATGGCCTCCTCCTCCTTTCCACGACCGATGAGGTACTTGGGCGACTCGTAGAAGTTGAAAACGAAGAATCGGACGATGAAGACCAAGAGGGTGATACCACCGAGAACACCGCAGCAGACCCTCCATCCGTAGTTGCTACTCGGGGAACAACAAGGCGCGCCGTCGGCGACCTCGAAACAAGCCGGAAGAGGCGGTTCGGTTGTGGGACATCGGTACTTTGGGACTGTGCCAAAGGTGATGGCCGAGGCGACGACGACACCGATGGGCTGCCACATGGAAAGCAGCGAGAGGAGATACCGACGGTTCTGAGGCAGAAACTCGAGGGCTGCGAGCGGACGCGATTAGATCAGCCTCGTGTTCACTACGAGGAGATGACTACCGAAGACTCACTGATGGTCGCGTCGATTGGAATCTGGCCTCCCAGCCCGAATCCACAGAGCGCAAACATCGCGCAAGCTGTCGCATAATTTTGACTGGCCGCAACCAGCGATCCCTGTCGATGTCAACAGCCCATTCCGAGATCAGCAACAGTAAACCGAAAACAGGGGGAAATCATCACCTCACGAAAACACAGGTGATCAAGACGGTCAAATTGAACGCCCATTTCCTTCCAATAACATCAACCGCCAAACCCCAGAAGAACGCGCCGCCTGTAAGACCGGCGGACATGGCACTGAAAACAACACCCTGTCTACCCTCGGGTACGCCGAACTCTTGGTAGAGAGCCGTGGCGAGGAGACCGAGACCCTACAAGTTTTGACGAATATGGAAGAAGAGGTGGAAGGTGGTCAGATGCATATCTAACCGGGAATGCGCTGCACCGCCAACTCACCTGCGACCACATCAAGTCCACCTATTTGAAGTACAAGTAGGTAGGAAGACGAGAAATCAAAAGTTTGGCCATGTCAGTTAGCCACATTGTTGAATCATTGCTCTTCAGTCGTGGTCGTCAGGGGCACACATACAAAGTAACCAAATCCACCTGTTTGAGGAATAAGTATACAGAAATTAGCCAAATTTCTATGATTGTCGGTATTTGGTCGTAATCGTGAAGGCCCACATACACAACAGCCAGATAGCCTTTTGGTACCTTCCCAGGCCCATCTTGTCCAGCTCTCTGTGAACAGGTTGAAAGCACATCTACGAGATGAGCGATAAAGTCCTCGTAGAGCGCAAACGACAAAGCAAGCAGACTTGCCGGTTGACGAGCGCCGCCTTCATCTCGAACGGGGTGGATGGCATGGTGTGGCCTGGTGAGCCGGACGGAGCGGAATGTCAGCTTTTCTATGGGCAGGGAGGCATGACCAGCTCTCACCAGCATCTCCCTTCAAGATCGCCCCCGCACTCAGTTTGTCGCCATGTCCATGGTGGTCCCCTTCCCCGTAGATGGGGTTCGGGTCCATCTCGACCTTTTCGCCAGGGTTCGGACGGAGGAGTGAGGATGGGTCGCCCTTCTCGGCGGAAACGGATGCTTTGACCATGGTCGTGCTCGTCGTCGTTGTGTTCGGAGAATTTGTGTTGGAAGTGGACTGCAGGTGATGTCGAATATTGGCAGTCGATCACGGTCGAAAGTTTGAACGATCGCAAGGTGAGGGTAGTTGAATGAGCGAATGACCCGCTCGCTGACAGTATATCTATATATTATACCGGAGACCCCTCTCAGGGTGGATCACGGCGGAGAGGCGACGATTGCGATTGCGACGACGACGATGGATCAGCTCTCCCTCCCTCGGGATCGACCCGCGACCAACAAGAAAAATGTACGGTAATCTCATGCTCATGCCGTACGACCCCGGTCACCATGCTGGTCCCTCGGGCTCCAACGACGTAAAAAGCCACTAGACCTGAGTGGCTGCGCCCTTGACCGAGGGTTCGCGGAATGGTCAGCCGAGGTTGTCTCGATCGGGAAAACCCAGATCGACTAGCCAGGTACGACGAGAAATGAATTCCAGCTTCGGTCAAGCCAAGACAAAACGGGAATGAGAATGACGTCACCGCCGGTCTTGTCCTGGTTCGGCTGCGAGTATGGCTTACGATTCCTACCGTTGTGGCTTCGGGTCACGTGAGACCTCTTTTGATCTTCGAAGATCGCCGATCGTCGATCGTTGCTCGCATGGAATGGATCGACGTTTCGGGTGCGAGTGCCGTCGGCATGATGTGGCAGGTTTCACCTATCCGAGAACGCCAGAAGCGATCCGATAGGGTTCATAAGGGTGGCGATACCGCCGGCTAGAGCAGGTCGATCCTCGTATCGACGATTTGCGATTTGCCGTCGCCACCCCAAGCCCGACTAATCGCCCGATTCAATGTAGTTTGGCTCTCTTTCATCCGCCCCTTCTCGTCGAGCGATTTGCACACGAATATGCGACAAGCAACGTTGGATTCGATGGAAGTGACTACATGACTATCGCCCTGTCGTGGTAGGTAGGCGGTAAAGAGACGCCTCAATGATAGGGTCAAGCGAAAATACGCACCTGATTCAATCTTCCAGGGGGAATTATGCGACTTGCTGCTTAATCGGCCTGTGAAGCGGGTTGTGTCCGCTGGTGACCGCAGGGTGGCGAACTCTCGAACGGATGATTGCTTGACATTCAGCTCGATCAGCGCACTCGTCAGGTGATACCAGCCCGAGAGATTGATTTGCCTTTGGGCAGGGGTCTTTTCTCGCGGCACCAAACAGAGGGCTGAAAACCAGGATGTGGCATTGAAGCTGATTCCTATAGGTGACGCTCTGACTTTCGAGCTCCCCGGCCAGACACCGCTTTTCTGGTTTCAGACGCTTTCGTCATGAGCCATAGTCTCGAGACCTAGGCTTAGTGACAGCGAAGATCCTCGAGGAAGCGGATACAACAGGACAATGGAAGGCCTCCTGAAGCCATGCTTCTCCGTCTTATCGAAGCTTCTCGTTTTTGGTAATGGTTAAATATATCGTTTACATATGGAGGAACTACAACTCGAGATGACATGTCCAGTAGCTTGACAACTATATTCTGCTTCAATCACAAGTGTCATCGCTCCCATGTCCAACAGCCCGCACAGCACCTATGTCTGTTATGGCTGGGCAGACGAGACAGATCATGCGGATCCGAATTTATGCGCAATGCCTTTCGCATCGACGTACCAAGGACAAGAAGGGCATGGAATGTCAGCCATGTTGAACACTAGTCACCGACCAACAGATTCTGTCGATGACTGTGACTGCGTGAAGGCTTACAGCAATCACACGGTCCCGACTGGACCATTCAATCGAGACTCTGTGTTTCCACAGCAGCCACTGGTTTCCCGTCAGGCTGATATGTCCACAAGGGGTCTCACCAGCTTCACACGGATGGCTGATCATGCGGGTCTGCTGACACAGCCTGGAGATATAAACCAGACAACCTCTCTGTTTGTCCAAGAGCCCGCTCATTCGCCATGTCGGTCCGTTATGGATGCCAATTACCCATGGAATTATTCTGTTTGGCCTAGTACGGTCACCGTTCCCTCTGCGTTTGGTCCCTTAGACCAAGCTCCAACTTGTTTCCAAGAAGAGTTTCCAGACTCGGCTCGATACACCCTACAGTCAAGTAATCCAACGGAGGACGAGCCCAGTCAAAACTATCCTGGCCATTCTTCTGCATCCATGAGCGCAAGAGGAAATGGCGGGTCGAACGCTAATACGTCTGCCGTCATCTACGGGGGAATCACGAAAATCCATGTTCGCCGCCCGAAGAAGGCGGTGACACGGCGAGGACCGCCCGACATATCGGCAAATGACTTCGTCGCCTCCAAGATAGACAACGCAATGGAATACAGCGTCTCCGCATCACAATCACGAAGTACGAGATCTTTCGACAAGGTCCGTAGACGGATAGATACGCTTGGGCGATTCTATAGTTACGCGGCAACTGACTTCGCCAGCCATGCTGATGCCGTGCGAGTTGCAATCCTCCCGTTCCTGTCGGATCCGAATAATGATGGCTTCAGAACATTTCTGGGGGAATTTATATGTGAACGCATCGTGGTGCTGTTGGATCCGTATATGCAGGTTGTGGAGAAACGGATGGTATGGGTAGATCCGAATTACCAAGGAGATCTGACGGAACAGCTGCGCAATAACATACAGAAGATCAGTCGAGCTCTCCGTATTATCGCGGAAGCTTGGGAAGTCCAGCTCGGGACAGGGACGCAAGGTATATACAAGATTACTTGTATCAGAGAGAAGGACGGGAGAACTTCCGTGCTTTAGATTCGAGACGTGTATGTCATGAGATGAGACGCTGATTACTGAACGGTTTCGAGCATGTATCGGCGGAGGATGTGCGACGATCGCGCTTGCATTTTGGCTGCGCGTCTGACATGAGAGTAGGTTGTATCCCAAGACCTTATCGTATGAGACTGATTTCTAGGGTACCTGTAGACCCTTCTACGATCTGTGCTACGACTTCGCACGTTGTTCCAACCTGACATTGTACCTTGCGCGAGTCTCTGCCATACGCCTCTGCATCAATCTGTTGTGATTGAGAACACCTAGTTGCAGAACCAGGGGACGTTCATAAACCAGCAACACTCATTGGACTAATCTTCGATTATGTAGCTGTCTCATTTTAGGTAGTAGAATATGAGACGAAAAATGCCTGCGATACGCGTTGCCTGTAAGCCCAGCACCGGCACTGCGGGTTCAACGAACACAAAGGCTGATGACAGACGCCATACCCACTCGTTCCCAACTTGATGCTACCATCGGTGATCAGTCTCTCACCTGCACTCGGAGGTATAGACGTATAGCTTATGGACATGCAAACGCACCCCCCCCCCCTCCCTTTCTCTTTTGTTCTCACCTGAAACGCGTTTTGGGCGCTAGACACGTTCGGGGTCGTTCTCCAATTACGTGATGCGTGCGTGCGCACGACTGAGCTCGATCAACAAAACAAAGAGAACGATCCATCATCATCCACCACAACGTACAACGACCCTCGAGGCATATAGCTACACATGCTACACCTAGAGCAGCGTATATATACACTGCACACACACGCTCGTTCACACCACCATACACATACACTCCGACCACCAGTTCTCTTTCCTTTGAAAGGCCAAGAAGATCCGATCGACTGGAACTCTGCACAGACGGGAAAACGCGCGAACGACTTCCGACGATCATCATCAATTCACCTTGCCCCGAAACAACCTTGACCCACGTTCAATCTCACGACCACGACCAACATCCCTAGTCATCATTACATTCCATAGAGTTTCCCCTCTTCTGGATATTCATCTCCCCAGGATTATCAGGAAGAAACGCTATCTGCTGGTTGAAAATCGGTGACGAATTACGACCTTTCGACTATCACCTTTCACCGCTATCATCACGCTCGTTTTCTCTCCATCACGACCTCGTCATTCTCGGCCATCTTCTCTTCATTAGCCTGCCTTTGACCGGTACCAGTCAACTTTACGAATCAACACGAATAACGAGGACAGTAAGGACTCTCCAAGATGACGCTCTCCAACAGGGAGAACCATCACGTCCACCAAAAGCTTGTTAAGCGGTTCAACAAGAGCCTCGAGGTCGATACGGACAGTCTGGCCAAGAGACAGGCTCGTGAGTCGTCTAGCCTTTCTGATAGGATCTTTGGGTTACATCCCGAAGACGACCTTCATATATCCTGTTTCCGCTCCCTGTACCTGATTTCGAGATCGTGTCAGACTGATCTACCATACGGCATCACCTCTTACCTGCAACAGAAGCGACCGAAACGCATTCACAGCGCGTCGTCGTGGTGACTCGCATCGTCGGTACGACCGTCGTCACCGGAACTCCGCCTGGGCCGAGCTCGAACGGGAACGCGGTCTCTACTTCTGTCCAGGTGAGTCTCTAGTCACTCGTACGCACGTCGCTCAAGTGGAGTCGAGGGTGTTGATGACAGAACTTTTGCACAGGTCGTGACGCCGTCGCCTACTTCTCAGGCGCCTGTACCCACTACCAGTGAACAGCCAACCTCTTCGTCTACTCCTCCAGCCTCGACCTCTTCTATACCTACTCCTTCGCCCGATCCCACCCCAACCCCAAGCACCAGCTCGGTTAGAGAGGTCGTCTCGGACACCCGTTCCGTCCCTTCCTTGCTGATCGGCTCTACCCGAATCACCGCGAGTACTCGATCCAGCAGCACCTCGGCGCGTAGCAGCTCGGTCGCGATCTCATCTTCGTCCGCTTCTTCTGCAGCCGCAGCGGTGGTGGTCAGCAGTCCGGCGAGCTCCGCTAGTGTAAACGTGAATGCTGCTGGGAACACCAAGGGGGATGATGGGAAGGAAGAATCTAGCGGGTCAGTCCGAGCCTTGTCGACGTTGATACGGATACGGAGGAGGGATTGGAATTGACGCTTGCTTTGTTGGGATCTTAGCATGTCGACGGGTGGAATCGTGGGAATCGTCGCAGGCGTGTTGCTGGGCATAGCAGCGCTCTTGCTAATCGCCGGTGCTCTTTGGGTAAGAGATATACGTGAAGGCCGAGTTTCAGACCGATCCTGTTCTGATCGCCCCTGACATGCCCCGCGCAGAAACGCAAGAACCGTAAACAAGCCGCTCGACCGTATTCGACCATGGCGCCCTTCGGGGGCGGCGAAAAAGAACGCCAAAGGTACCGCGATTCCAGCTTGCCTATCAACGGCAAGCGGGAGGACGGGGACTTTGGCAACGTCAACACTTACGATCCGTTTGGTTACCCACCTGGCTCGGGTGAAAAGCCTTCGAGGAGACCTGACACGGTCTTCAGTCAGACTGGCAATTTCGCCGGGGTCGGGAGGAGCAACTTTGTCATTGCCGAAGGTTACGATGACCAGGACGCGCAGTACGTCTCGCAGGGCCAATTGAGGGAAATCGGAGGCGCCGGGACAAGGGATTTGACGGGTGCTGGGGCGTACGGTCGATACACGGACGTCACACCCCCCTCTCACCACTCGCCCATGTTTGGTAGCGAGTCGGCGTACCCGATCCAGCACGCATACTACCAGGACGGTCTTAGCTCGCACGGCCATGGCGGGTACTCGGAGGATGGTAGGCATACGCCGACCGACTATTACGGTCAGGCCATGTCCCCGTCCGGAGTCGCCGTCGCGGAAGAGTTTGCCGATTTCCCGGCTCACATGTACGAGGCGAGTCAATCGACTGCTGGCAAGGCCCCAATTCAGGGAGGATGGCAGGCTTCGGCTGGAGTTGCTGGTGCAGGTGCTGCAGGCGGGTTGATGGTCGCTACAGGACTCGGCCTAGCCAACACCCGCTCCCTCAGTCCCGTCGAGCGCGCTGGAAAGAACGAAAACGATGTTTACGCTCAGCAACACGCTGGTCGCGTTCAGCTCCAGGATCCTCAAGGTGCACCCTCCATGCCCCAACTCCCTCCTCTCTCGCTGGACAGCGTCAGCTCGCCTTTGTACAGCGGATTTTCGGATCCGGGCAATGCCAGCAGACGTAACAGTGCGACGCAGGAAGTCGAGATGAGCGGCGCCAATCTGCATCGCAAGTCTTCCTCTGCTCAGCCCACTGCCCTCATGTACGGATCGAAAAAGACGGAAGAGGAATTGAAGCGGGGTTACGCGGACCTTGCTCGAGCGGCCGAAATCGACGCACCAATCACTAAGAAGGATAACGACCTGATGCTCCCGCCGATGATGCCTGAGCGTTACGTCCATGGAAGACCGCTCAGCCCTTTGTTCGAAGCAGAGTCTCCCGAACTCGGCGCGGCTACCACTCTGCATGATGAAAGGAACCCGTTCGCAAGCGGCGGGCCGAGGGCTAGCAACGGCGATGCTAGGCCGGCCATTACTGTCCGCCAATCCAGTGACACTCGACCGGCCTCGGAATTGCGTGCCAGTAACGGCATCCCGTCGGCCAAGTTCCCACCCCCTTCGCCTGACATGTCGCTGCCCGAATCGCCTGCATCGTATGTGGCCAGTGGACCCGTCACTCCTCGTGTCCACAATTACGGGGCCGATGACAGCGTCAACTCGACCCCGGAATACTCGTTCAAGGTTCACCCTCCCGGCGCCTCTGCTGTCAGCCTTGAAGCTTTCCCCACGACCCCTCAGCGACACCCGTTGGCAGTGTCCGGGGGCCCTTCCCCTGCCTCCATTCAAAGCTCGTCGGGCCTCCCTCGTCCGCCACCCATTGGAGCTAGCCGGCTCAGCACTGCATCCAGCTTTAGCGATGCTTACGACGGTATATAAACGAATCAGCTCGCCTTGATGGCTTGAGCGACCTTTTTCTCCAGTTTGAAACCTTTTTCCGTTCACGACCGTCATGACGACCCCTTCTCCCTGCCTTGCACCAATGTATTTCTTTATTCTAATGATGCTACAACTCGGATGCACAAAACAGCGGGTCTATCATGACCCAGGTCTACAATGCTCAGTATCGATCGCGGAATTGCCCCACCAGACCGCCGCACCAGATCCTGGAACGACAATCGAGAACAACATGTACGTTGTCAAGGCTTGTAAGGAAGTGGCCGAATCTAGGGCCGCACTGATCACGTAGATGAAGTTCGCGTAGAATCGAGGATATCGCTTGCGTAACCAGACGTTGGCCGACCAGGCCACACAGAAAGATGTTAGGATAATGTTGGCAGGCTTGAGGGGGATGGTCAATTGGTGATCTCACGGTCCTTTCTAACCTCGCATGGACTCACAGCCTGAGGTACTGTGTTACCACCGTCGAAAATGATCGGGAAAACGATTCGATCGAACATCTTGTCGGGGAATCGTTTGTGCAGCCAGTACGCCATGAAGGGGAGCAGTGCTCCAATCGGAAAACCCAGGTACAGCCACTAAGAGAAAAGATCAGACCAATGGATACATGAAGTTAACTTGAATGTAGACAGCTTACGGTGTACTTCCCAGCGAAGAATCTTGCCGGCGCCACCGCGCCCCAAATGCTATGGATGCGCAAGTGAATATCTTCGGCGTCATTGCCCAGACGAATGTTACTCACACGGAGGCACTATAGAATATTTGCGGCTTGCGTCCGTCCCATTGTCCAGTCGGATCGATCGCATCGCCATTGAGGTAGGAGAACTTCGAATCGATGACCTGCGTGAGAGTGACATAGTTGACCACGCAGCCTAGTACGGTCCCGAGAGCTTGGGCAATGAACATCTGCTTTGCCCAAAATTGAGTGCGCACGACTACAGGTCATCGTACAGATCACTCACATTCTTGGGGCTAACATGCATGTAATGAGCTAGCTTTTGGTCGCTCAACAGCGCGATCGCTTGGGACATTGCCATGTAACTTTGCAGGCGTGTGGATAGAACGCTTAGTTAGTGACTTGCTACGAGCGCATCCCGTCTGAGTGCGAACCTACCCATAACATTTGAAAGTGACGCTTTACAGGATTGTATGAGCAGCTTGAGCGGCGCTTAGCTCAGGACAAACTCAAGACTTACTTTCCGATCGGTTTTCCCGGCATAATGATCCCAGCAATAAACTCCGTCAAGACGTTCAATCCGATCGTCGTATTGGAACATGCGGCAATGATTCCAATCTTTCGATAATTCCGACCAAGTAAACAACATGTTCAGTGTCTTTCGGATTCAAGCTGTGCACATACCGGTATCAGGAACATGGCAGCGACACCGATGGCCAACGCAAGCATCCACGTCGGGGTCTGCAGAGGACTAGTCTCTACCACTATCACTGTAGATAAACCAGTTCTAAGCGGCTGCGCCGGGCGAGACCGTTTTGATGTCCATACCGGCAGCCGCAAACGTCACCGCCAAGATGGCGTAGTACCACGAATTAGGGACTGGAGCATATGCCAGATTGAGTTGATTATGTATGTCATTGTGACGTGTGCGCTTGGCCAATGCTGAATGGAAGACAAAAACACCGCCTAGTCAGTACATATTCCCGAGCCACTGGAAATGAGGATTTTACCATCGAATATCTCTTGGCGATGCCATATCCACACGTGTGACAAGACTGCCGTCAATGCCGCAAACGACAAAGCGTATGATATGGCGCTGTCGATATGGCGCATCAGACATGACGTCGAATCCAAATGCTCAGCCGCTTACAAATACGGTGTCAAGAGCAGAGGCTTGGCATCCTCCCATATCGTCTCGTTCAGAGTGAGGTCCTTGTTAAGAACAGTCAGGACATCGAAAGGCTGAAAAGTCGCGTTGTAGAGGTGAGAGGAGGTCGGGGAGGGAAATTCGCGTGCATCCCTGTCACAGCGATCGCTCCGTTAGGGTTGCCGGGAAGATCATCAAAAGCAGTACTGAACTTGCCAAAAATTGATTGCCAGCATGATGGGCATGACGATCCATACTGATAGAATTATCCCGGCGAACCAATTCAATTGCGCGAACCAAGGCGTGAAAAGCGGGCCATTGTAGCCGATTGTCGACCAGTCCAGGCTAAAATTGAGCATACCGAGTCCTTCATAGCCAGACCCGAGCGTGCGCATCAACCAGGATTGATTGTTGATGTAGCATAGAGTCGCAATAGATGTGAGAGTCGGAAAGAACGTCCCCGGCAGGAACTGTCAATGCGTAGTGACGTATCGTTAACGTCGTCTACTGTCAATCGGTGTGGTCGTGGAGGAGGATCGAGTTCAGCTTACCTGGTAGAGAAAGCAGCCAACGGCAGTATAGGTGAATATCTTCAATCGTGTCTGTGTCAAGGACGTCGACTCGTCGTGCAAGGTGTTGAAAAGTTGGATCAAGACGAGGGTAGCGGGCCAATGCATAGCTCTCGGTCGCACGAGAATATTCTGACAGAATCCTAAGATCCGGACGAATTTCAGTCATCGATGCTCTGATAAACAAATTTGAAAGTGGCACGGACCTGCCAAACCGAATCCAATCGACTGGGTGGTGATCAACAGCGTGATACTTGACAATGCACCGATCGTTTCGTGGTAGTACAACCTCAAAATGGCAACTTGAATCCACACCCGACGGGATCAGCGATGACGGACGCTTTACAATACGCAAGACCTGCTTACCAATATCTGATGCATAGGCCGAAGTCCCGCCAGAAGAAGCAATCACTGCACTGTGATCAATGTACAAATGGGTCAGTTTGGCGGGCCATAAGTATGGACGTTTACATTCTGGCTCACACCAATAGATGCTCCTAAGAATCGTCATCGTCAGTGAATTCTGCCGTTTGATTCCGATAACGATCGACTCACCTTGACATTGAACTCGCCTGGATTCAACTCCACGCCCATGAATCTCCGACGAGGCAGATACCGCGCCATTAGGTGTCCCAGAGGATGGGACACGAGAATTACGAAGTACACGGAGAATGAGGGCGCGCTGGGAGGAAGAGGGTGGAATGCGATCATCAGCTTCGGGTGCAAGAAAGGAAAGGCGTGATCCGGAAGGAGTGCATACTTTGATTCTGGGAGAGGCAGTCGAAGCGGATTTGGAGTGAGTCGATCACGATTGTAACGCCATTGATCGCCCCTCACTGAAGTAGAACACCTGACTGGCAGCAGCGCCCAGGATACAAAAGATGACCCCGAGGACGACCGACCGGAACGTCAGAGATTCCAGAGCCGGGTCATCCGTACTAGGCGTTATCTGATTATATATGTTTCGCACGTTCAGCTTCGAACGAATCAACGCTTTCGCGAAAGGTGTTCAAAAGCTCACTCGATTGATCATCTCTTCCATGTCGTCATCCCTGTCTCCCGTGCTATCCGTGCTCTTTCTCGGTAGGTACGGCTCGACCCCGTCGAGACCTCCTTGTAGCTGTCTGATCTCTTCCTGTAATATCTCGTCCGAGGTCTTGCGTAGAAGATGTTCTCGTTGATCATTCACATGCTCTTGACGGCCCAGGCCATCAAGATCACGGAGTTCATACGACTCGGTCATCGTCGGCCCAATCGACGTTGGTGCGGGAAGAGCAGGACCAGTTGGATTTCGAGGCACGATGATTAATCGATCGCAAGAGATATTTTGGTACTCAGTCGATTCCTCAATCCGGTCAATCCCTGATAGCTGACGACACGAAGTACGAAAGTGTCAAAGTGTACAAGCCTACAAATGGCAAATGGGTTCATGTGTACCGTGCACGCTTAGACCGGACAGAGTTACGTTATTTGTTGACAAAGTGAGATCACGAATCACGTGATCTTCAGAGTGACCTCAGTGTCTTTGCCCTTCCGCGTGGTAAAGTACCGAGCTGGCCGAGCCGCGTCTCCACGTATGACGTCGACGGCGGCGAACGATCAGAGGCCAGGTCAGAGCTGATCAAAGGACGATGGGCAACGGGATGGGGAAAGTGCTTCTAGCCTGTAGCGATTACAACAGACCTGGACTCCGTCCACCTGGCCACCTGGCATGGCGCATGGTAGCTTAGCAAAAATCGGAAGAGCAGGCCAGAGATCCAGAGAATGAGATGCGGATTGCGACGGCCTGGCGAGGCGGGAACCGGACGGGGGTTCGTTTCGTCACGCCACCGCACGCGAGCCTCCTTTGATCCCTTCTGTCTCTCTCTCTCGCGCGCACACCCGCTCCCCCCTCTCCTGGCCTCCCACCGCTAGCTAACAGGGGCCAGGGGTCTGTCACTTCTTTGCTGAATTGCTGAGCGATCTTTTGATCGAGGACAAGCAGCTCTCGGTCTCGGAACTCAGATGCCTGATCGTCCATCCCGTTATCACCATCACCATCCCCGTTTTATACTATACCATCCTATCCTCATCGACTCCCCTCTCTTGACAACCTAGGGATCTACAGATCACAGATCACCCTCACGAACTACCCACTCGCTTGCCCAGCTCTACACCCTCGAGGAGCAGTCCCCCCGCTCGATCCCGAGTCTACGTTGCAAGCCTTCCTTTCCTCTCAGTAACCATATCGATTTGGATTCGCCTCCCAACGCCAAGATACATATCACACGTGCGCAATCATGTCGTCTGAACACAAAATCCCTGGCAAGAGCGAGCAAGGAGGCAAGGCCGGCGCTCCTGCAGAACGAACACATAAGGACAAGAAGGAGGTAAGGCTTTACGCAAGGTCTTTGACGGCCCTTGCAAAAGGTCATGATCGCTGACCACCTTTGCACTCTCTTACCATCAGCCTCCTCGTGATCCAGAGGGGATCATCGATATGGACATCCTAGGTCAGGTCTTTGAGATGGACGAGCTGGAGGACGAGGATGACGAGGATGGCGCCGGGGGTGGCCACGAGTTTTCCAAGGGGATCGTGTGGAACTACTTTGAGCAGGCCGAGAGCACGTTTGAAAAGATGTATGCCGCTTTGTGAGTGTTACGGGTGGACAAGGAGAACCGACGATCGAAATCCATTCCGAGCTAACCCGGCATCTGCTTGCCATGCATGTTTCTACCCTCGTGCAGAGAATCCAAAGATCTCCCCCAGCTATCTTCGCTCGGTCATTTTCTCAAGGGTTCTTCTGCCGCGCTCGGGGTGAGCAAAGTCAAGGACTCGTGCGAAAAGATGCAGCACTACGGCAACCTGCGGGACGAGGAGGCTGCCAAGACGTTGAGCGATGCCGAGGCGTTGCAGAAGATCAAGGAACTCTTGGTCGAAGTCGAGGAGGAGTACGAGGAGGCTGCTGAATGGTTGAAGCGATACTACCGGGAGCAGGAGGAAGACCTATAGAGACGAGGAGCTGGACGAGAGCTCCTCGGGACACGAACGCCGTGGACGTGACCGCCGATCGGTCAGGCTTCCAGCAAGGACACCATCGATCGGACAACATCGTCCACTGCCAAATCATCTACCTTTTGTCGAACGATCACCCGATACGAGTTGTAACATCACATCACTCCCTGAGACGGGAAATACGTCGCCGGATCACCTTGTTTCTGTCTGTCAATCGAATATAAACGAAAGCCGCTCATGGGGCAACCTCCCGCCTATTGCGTCTTTTGCCTCGTTCGAGACAACGGACACCTGCTGTCGGGTTTGGGATACCTAATGACATCGTTCGAAATGCCATCTCACCACTTCCCACGAACCTAATGTTGGGCCTCCATCCTAGCCGACGAATCACCTCGCTTACTATCTTCTTGCGCTGGATGTCCGGGCCGCTGCCTTGCCTACCGATTTGACGTGCTCGGTTTCGACATCCATCGTATTGATCGAGTCCTCCCTCTGCCGCATAATGCATGCGCTTCTGATTGGGTTGGTTAGTTTTTCTTTCTGTAAGCGCGCGTCTGGGTGTAAAAAAAGGAGCCGAAGCCGAGGGCCGGCAGAGAGGGGGGATCATATTTCTAAGTTCTAGACGATTCCGACAACTTGAAGAGCTCAGCCAGCAACCAGCAATAATAGTAGTATAGAGTATAGACAGCATACCAGCACACCACGATCAGACCGATCTACCTCGAAATCAAAGACCATCGACCGTTACATCGGCCAACATGCCACCTCGTCTCCCCGTCGCATCGCTGAGGTCGCTCTCGGCCATCCCGGGTCAGACCGCTCCTTTGGCGGCGGTCCCGTCTGCATCTTCCTCGTCCTCGACAACATCTACTTCACCTTACCAACCACCTTGCCGGCAGTTCGCATCTTTCACGGCTGCTCCTGGAGCCAGTCGCCTGCTCGGTTGGAAAGGGAGACGTGCCTCTTTGCCTGACTTGCGGGAATGCATGACCGAGCGTCAATACGGTAAAAGCGTAAGCGTTCCATGTTGATGTACACAAGTTCCAATTCATTTCCAACCCAGTACCCTTCACGTTCGTTTGTAGAGACAATTTCATACTAGTCTTACAGACCAAGCAGCTGCTTCCAAGAACCCTTACAGCGTCCTGGGTGTAAAGAAGGATGCATCGCAAGCCGACATCAAGAAGACGTACTACCAGCTCGCCAAGAAGTGGCATCCAGACACCAACAAGGACAAGGCTGCGCACGAAAAATTTATGGAAATTCAGGAGGCATACGATGTGAGCGCGATAAATTCCTTCACGGCATTGCTGCATGTAGGACATGAGCTGATTCGCCTGAACCTAATTTCGCGTCAGACGCTCTCTGATGAGACCAAGCGAAAGGCTTACGATCAATATGGTTCGGCGTCTCAGCAACCTGGCTTCGATCCGAACGCTTTCGGAAGGAATCCCTTCGGTGGTGGTGGTGGTGGCGGCGGGTTTGGGGGTTTCCAGGACTTTGGTTCTGCTTTTGGAGGAGGTGCAGGTGGAATGGGTGGCAATGCCAGCGACATGTTTGAACAGCTCTTTGGCGCTTTCGGAGGAGCTGGAGGCAGATCCGGACCGTTCGGTGGAATGGGCGGCGGAGCTGGACCTCGAGCCCCCGCCCGTGGAGAGGACATCGAGACGGTTGTCAGCATCTCGTTCATGGACTCTTGCTCTGGTACCAAGAAAAAGGTCTCCATCACGCCGATTGTGGAGTGTTCAACCTGCACGGGAAGCGGACTCAAGGCTGGAGCTAAGCGTGACACGTGTACGACATGTAGGGGAACCGGTCAGCAGACTTTTAGCCTCCAAGGGATGTTGATGGCTAGCAGTTGTCAAGCCTGTGGCGGTGCGGGAAGCGTCGTCCGACGAGGTGACCGCTGTGGAGGTTGTGAAGGGGTCGGCAGGGTCAAGGAAAAAAGGACGGTCGAAGTGGACATTCCAGCTGGAATCGAAGACGGCATGAAAATTCGCATGCCTACCGCTGGAGATATCCCGTTGTCAGGCCCCGGCACGCCAGGTGACGTCTTGGTGCGCGTCAACGTGCAGCCTTCAAAGCAATTCCGTCGACAGGGCTCCAATCTTTACCACACCTCTCAAGTCCCTGTCCATACCGCTCTTTTGGGTGGACGGATGCGCATCCCCACTCTCGAGGGAGATGTCGAAGTCAGGGTGAAGGGTGGAACAAGGGATGGGGAAGAAGCGGTTCTGAAGGGACGAGGTGTCAAGAGCGTTTATGGACGCGAGAGGGGTGATCTTGTTGTCAACTGGAAGATCGTAATTCCAAGGTGAGCGATCGCGGCTTCCAGTGCCCGACCAATCCCAAATGCTGACCGCCTTTTTGAGCAGGTCATTAACGTCACGGCAAAAGCAGATCCTGCAGGCATACGCAGATGACGTAGAGGGTCGACCGTCATATTTCAGCACGGTCCCGCCTTCAGCTCCTTCCGATTCGGCTGACAATGGTACGAAGCAAAGTCCATTCTTCACCCCTTCCTCCGAAGATCCCTCTCGCAGCCCTCGCTCTGGTTCACCATCGTCAACTTTGAGCGATCCCCCTGCTCCCAGTGGAGAAAGCCAGTCTGACGATGGAGGACCGCTGAGCAGTTTGTGGCGCGGGGTCAAGGGTCTGTTTGGGGGAAAGGGCTAGACGTCCACGATCGAAAGCAAGAGGATCTAACCTTTATTCGTTTGATTCACTTTACATGTGTGTGTATGTGCGTTTTGTCTCTTCGCTCTCACGGAAATACCGGTCGTTGTTTTGACGATCTCTGCACACCGGACTCTACCTCGCACCAAAAGATACGACGGCCCCTGTCTCAGAACGACCCGATGTATCTATGACGACAACAACGACCGACGAAACGAAAGGCTCGGATGAGCCGGAGCAGAACGTTCCTCCCACTGATGCGGCGCCAGAATCCACGGGGGATGAAGCGAAAAAGACGGCCAGTGCTAGCGGTTAGCGATCGTGGCGCGGCTGGACCCCGCGTCACTGAATCTTTGTTTCTTTTTCGCAACTAGGATATCGCTCTTTACTTGTAATGTTGGATCTTGGCAGAAGAGATCACTGTACAAACGTACAAGAGATTTGGAGGGATGACATCATGCTCACTTCTCTCTTCATCGTCTCCCTACTGATACTCGACCGAAATACCCCTCGCTCCGTGATTTCGGAGCTGATCTCGCCCAGTAAGGTCGGCGGATAGGAAGCTCGGCAGCTTGTGTTCTCGATCATCACGGACTTGACTATTTGGTTCCGAAGACTCGCTTTGTTTACGTTGTCGCGTTGTCCCCGTCGGAAGCGAAATTCGAAGATGTCCTACCCTCCTCCTCCCCCCCCTCATCATCGTCATCGTCATCAAATCCGATCAATAAATCAGAAATGATAATCTTCTAGCTTCTTGCCTCTTGTCGTTCCTACTGCAGTAGTGTATCATCCTCCACGTCTCCACAAGATATCATAGCGGGGGCGAAGTAGGAACTAGACTCTCTGCATCGATTCACGTCAAACCACGCGCACCAATGTCGCAAGGACATCCCGACACAAAGGACCACTCGCCGCTCACCTTCAACTTTCCCTCATCAGCCAACTCTTTGGCGTCAGACAAGTCTTCTAAAGGGACGAATTTTGGTGGAGATATCGAAAACCAGCATCCCACGGTCAGTTCGGATTCAAAAATGATCACGGACCCGCCTACCGGTCTGGCACAGAGGCAAATGAGGAGGTTCGCAAAGAGCGCAGACAAGCGACAGTCCGTTCACATGCTCGGAAGTATCGAACACCTCCAACGCCATTTCGTGAGTTGGCAAGGCGAGGCGGTCTGTTTGGCTCAACTTACATGTAGACCACCTGAAAAACTCCAGCTCAAGTTTGGCTTAGCTGCAAAAGAGGCGTAAGTGTTACAACCTTCATCGGTTTGAATAGTTATGCCGCCGCTCACGATTTGCTGACTCCTGCTTATAGACCCAGTGTCAAAGGGGCAACGCAGCCAGCTTTGGGTCACGCGTTGAGATATCCAGGCAGCTTCTCAACGACCCCTTGCACAACTCCTCCTCTTCCTCCTTCACCTCTCCTCCCGCCGACCGTAGCTCGTCCGCCTTATCCGATTGTCGAAAACATCAAGATCGATTTAGATAAGCTTCGGTCGGACGGCAGGGAAGCCATTCGTACAGTCGAAGAGGCGTGGGGGTTGGGAGGGACAGATACGGCGGAGGTGCTCAGATCTAACGCTCACGGTTCACCAAATCAGGTCGATATTCTGGAGCTGCTCAAAGCTTCCATAGATGCTATTCGATCAGTCCGAGCTTACTCGATGGCCCTGCCGACCGCTATGTTGCCGTCTTGTGGGTCAACAACGCAATCGACGCTCAGAATCCCGTCTGGTCAGGGTCGAATCCGCCAATCTCTGTCTACACCTTCTCGGCCGGCGCCGAGATCGGTTTCATCTTCCGGATCTATGCAAAGCGGTTCCATGCCGGCTGTTGATGAGGATCCGTTATCCGAGGTTAGAAAGGCTGCGCTAGAGGTCTTGACCGGGTTGCGAGCCCTTGAGGAGCGATCGAGGGTGGTGGACAGCACTGCGTTGTCAATGCAGCCAGAGAATAATCTTACCGAGACTGGGCCGCCAACACAATCGCGAACGTCACAAGGAGATGATGAGCCAGAAAATTCGCGGCTCGCCCCTCACACACGTGATTTCGATGATCAGCCCCGTGTCACGGTCTCAATCGACGAGAGCGAAGAAGAGGAAGACCTCTCATTTTTCTTCCCCACTGAATCGGAAGATCAGACGGGCGTAGTGAAGGACTCTTGGTACAACCGCTTGAACGATGCGGATCGGCAAGGATGGCTCTACAGGACGGACATGACGATCGATCCCGACCTTCTGGAAGAGCGACGGCTGGTGAAAACTTGGCTACAAGCGGTCGACCGCCGAATCTTCGGTCATGGCAACGGGTCGAGAGGGAGCAACGTGGATCCTCGTCGAAATTCCAACAGCTCTGATCATGGTCTCGAGTTGGCGACTGAAGGATTGACCTGGCTAGACCCGGAAAGGAACCCCGACCCTCTTGGTGAGTCGCTTGATGATGGTAACAGCCTGTAGCGTACTGAGGCCGGCCGACCTTCATTCCGCCTGATAGAGCGCACTCGTCAGTTCTTGGGACATTATCTTCCACTGGATCTGCTTTCCCGTGTGCCGTCTCGTAACGATGAAGATCACAAAGACGCTCTTCTGGATCGACTTTCGTATGTGTTTACCTCTATAACAAATGACTAACGGATGTCAGATAGAGGTCGGCATACCCAATTGACGCCTTTATTGATCTACAGTGATGGCTACTTGTGTATCATCGCATTCAATGCCTTTCTGCATCTGTCGCCTTCGCCTTGGGGATTCGTGCCAATGGACGAAGTTCACGATATCCTTGGTCTCGGCTCGACTACAAGAGAAGCGGCCTCGGTGATAAACAGCAAGCGAGAATGGACCTTCAGGCGAGCTGAAAACATCCGGTGTTTCGGAGCGTAAGCCAAGCAGAATATATCGCTCGTGCGTCAGAGAAAGCAGGCTTATCCTTGCCGGTCTGAGGTTCTGCCTTGTAGAGCATTGAAACAGCGTTATGGCATCCCCATCAACTTTCCTTACCGCGCAATCCCGCTGAAGCCGGCCGGAGTGCCGCTTGCACCATCCAGTTCATCGCAGAAAAAAGCCTCTGAGTTATCAGCAGTCCATATGGATAGCAAGAAAAATTCGGGCGACGGCGTAGCCTATGATCCACTTGCCCTTGCAAGGCGGGATCCTGGCTGGAATCAGACGTTGCAGCGAGTTTTAGACTTGTGGCTCAGAAGTGTGTACAAGGAATCTTCGCCAAAATAGAAAATTGTATGCGATGGAAGGTTTCATTATGGTTCATGTGACATGCGGTCTCGCGACTGAAGGTTAAAGAAGGAGCGAGCGATCTCCGAGCGATTCTGTGTGTCCAAGACTGGATGGGTTGACGGATGGCCTGCTATCAGGGATGTATGGCCTGATGGGGATGCACCGGAGCACCTGGTGCGGTCGGTTCCGCGGCACTTGTACGTTGTCGGTCCAACATGTCTTGACGCTTCTCGGCGCTGTATCACAAGAAGACGGGTCGATTCATGCAGTTTCAGCCTCTTTGTGGCGGCTTGTTCTCGCGGATGGTCTCTTACATATTCCAGAAATGTCGACGCCTCCCAGTAGCTTGTATCGGTTGAAGTGCCCGTTGCCTGTCATTCGTATCAGTCCTGGCCTTTTTGCGGTAAGGTCCAAACATCCCACAGCAGGTGAGGCAGATGGTAAAGGACAAGAGTATCTGCAGACAGTTGCACGCATCATAAATTACTGGCCCATACTCATCAAGCAGGCAAAACTTACAGCTGCAGCGAGAGTCATCCAGATGGCATTTCCGAGGCTTCCCTTCAGCGCACCGTCTGTGGCGTTGTCGATGCGGCGCTTCGCAATAGTGAACGCGGCTATGGCGATGAAGAAGGCGAGCTATATGAGTGTATACAGTGAGCGTGCATGATTGTTTCGCTTGATGGATTTGAGAGATCTAACCCAAGCGACCTATCGATTAGATCGTCGAAACCGGTCAACCACTAGGCAACATCGACATCCAAGTGAATCAACTCACGAAAGCGGCCAACCATGAAATGAGGAATGCGACGATCTCGGCGATTCGGCTCCGGAAGAACCAGGCGATGAACGTGCACACCAGCACCCCACCAGTAAGGCCGGTAGCTGAAAAACGACCAGATGCGTCAGAATGACTTCGAAGGAAGAAACGGGTACGTCTGCTGACCGATTGGGTATAGAACCAAAACGTAGGTCAATTTTCTGATGACAGCGCCATTGATGTTGGAGATTTCGATTCCTGGCACCTCGTTTAATGTATCGACGAGACTGTTAGGAATGTCATAACCTAGTCTTCGACGGGTGCAGCCGATCGGTCCGACGACCTGGGTGCCGAGAAGACTAAGCGCATCGACAGTGACAGAAGCGATCCCGGTCGAACAATATCCGAAAACACCGGTACGAATCTCTCCTGTGGAGATCAGGTCCTTGAGTGAGCTTTATCAAGGTCAGGAAGAATGACTTCCGTCAGTCTTGCATCACATCGACGTGTTTGTAACAAGGCAATACTACTGACTCGACGTCGACGTAGATCTTGAAGAGGTAGATACTTTCGATAATCGGAACTGACAAGGTGACCAATAGCAAGAGCACGAAGCTGGCCACTGAGGAAACCTCGATCCATTTGCTTGGTTAAGTAAAGCTCAACCGGACGGAGTACGCTACTATCGAACGTTACTGACAAGTCACCGCGAGGGCTGGAAAAGCGATTGCGGCACCCATTCTCGTCTGTCTGGGTGTTTGAGGCGAATACGGTGGTGGTGCTTGCTTTAATACGCTTCTGCCTCGATCTTGAGTTGCCGAACTGGTTCGGGGATTATGAGCGAGTTCTTCAGGCCCTAGCGGGGAGGTCGGATAAGGTTGAATGGTCGGTGTCATGGCGAAATGTGATCCGTCGAGATCAAGTCGTGGCTGGGCGAGCTATGATTTTATATGGAGAGGTCGACCGGTCTACCCAGCATTCGAACGACAAGATTGCGAAATTTCGAACGCTCGTGCGATCACGTTGTCGTCGTCTTCCTTTATAGTAGTGAGCGCGATCGACGATGTCGAGATGGACACAGCTGGAATCGCGAGATGTCGTTTCCGGGGTGGGGGGGGGAGGCATGTCAAATGACAAAAGCTCACGACGGTCGGTGGCTACATGGGAATGCAAGGGGAAAATTTCTTGACGTTCCAGATCCATCAGGCCATCAGAACGACGGCACACGTCGACACCAAATGACGACGAAGAAAGGAATGTTCCTCCGATTCTCAACACACGAGACGAGGTGAAACGCGCGCGCACGGGCTCGAATCATCATCATCGATCATCATTTTGCTATCGTCGTGTTCGCTTTCCCCGCCCGCCCGCCCCTTTCCTCCCTCTCGCATGATGTTGCACAAAGATGGCAAAGAACAGTTTCAGATCGTGATGCGTTGTCGTCGTCGTCCTCTGTCTATGAAGTCCGTCGTCAACACGCAACACGATCATCATCAAGATCATCATCAACAACAACAACAATCAACACAAAGCGCGTCGCCCTGCCGCTGCCTCTTTGATCCCTGCCTCATGCCTCATCCATCCTTTTCGATCAGACAGATCAGGAAGGAATAACATTCGCTCAACGATTTCAGACGTACACACACACAGACAGACCACCAATTCACTCGTCTCGTGCATAGTCTCACGCTCTCTGTCGACGTCGATTGTTCCCCGGGTCCAGAGCTCCGGTTGTCCGGGCCCTCTTCCCTTGATCCTCGACTCTAATCTCGCTCCCTCACTCCCTTTCTCTCCGGTTCACCCAGACCTCGCCTCATCGAATTCTCTTCGGCGCTTCGTTGTCCTCCGAGTCCTGCTCCAACGTCGACGGTATTCCAGTGTGATACACTATTATTACGCTCAACTTCACATCTGGCCACAACTAGGCTGATTCGGTACAGACAGACGCGAATTCATCACCCTGAGCCATGTCGACATCTAGACCTGACAATCTAGCCCCGAGGACCAATACGAGAAAGAAGAAGAAGTCGGGTCTTTCAGGACTTCTGGCTGCCATCTGTGGAACGGACAAAGGTCACGAGACAGAGAGCCCAAGGTCTACCACCACGCCCAGACCCGCTGCCGCTGGGACCACCGAGACGACCAAGCCAGAGGGGATCAAGGAGCAGGACAAGGTTAACAAGGCCGTCACGCCGCAAAGCTCGGGAACTGTCGAACCTCGGGCGAGTGGATCAAAGACCATCGAGCGACCCGAGGCCGTCACATCCCAGACCACTGCGAACGAGCCGTCGGCATCGGACGTCGAGGTCCTGCCTGTGGCACCCCAGACCATGCTTGCCGTACCGTCGCTGCAAGAAAAGGATGAGAACGTTACCAAAGGTACCGCTGGTATGGACATCGTCGACCCATCGAAAGGGACGACTCGATCGTCTGCCGCTGCCGTCACCTTAGGCACGGCTTATCCGGTACCCTCTCAACCCCACTCGATCCTCCCCATTCCTGCCGTCAACGAGATGGCTCAGGCGGGCGGGGTCGGTCGAGAATCTCCCGCTCAAGAGCTAGGTATGACAGATGTAGAGATGGGAGCCGAACATGATAGGTCGGAGGATGGTGTCATCGTACCTGCAGGAGCGGCGACCGATGGCGTCAGAGTACCTCTCGAAGAAGTGAGCCCCTCCAATTCGCCGCTTTCGCTGATCTTGTAGGTAACAACGTGCTGACTCTGCGATACCTGCAGACCGAAGGGTTGCTTTCAGCTGCCGTTCAGCCTCCCGGGTCGGGCTCCCATTTGAGCTTGCCCAACACGGCACATCAGCACGGATCGTCTTCTCTGGCGCGTGATCAGCATTCGGATATGCCATCCACCACGGGCAGTCATAGCGTAGGCGATGACTCGGTCGCGACAGATGCCATGACCGAGTCCGAAAAGACGGACGGTTCGGCAAATGGTCAGGGCGAGATGACCCAGGCGGGCGGTGTGTCTCAGCAGGAACAGGACGTCATCATGTACGACGAAGAGCCAGACGAGGACAGATTAATCGCTCAGGGCGGCATTGGCATTCCAATCGGACCGGTATGTCTGACGTATATTGCGAGTCGACCGGGTAAAGTTTCGTGGGCTGATCCCGCTTCGAGATGCCCTGTTTAGGACGGACTCCCCGCCCCGCTGCTGCCTCCGATCTCCGCCGAACACGCTGGCAGGAAATGTCTCGTCCTGGATCTTGACGAAACGCTGCTTCATAGCAGTTTCAAGGTATGTGTAGGCTGCTCTTCGACCAGTCGCCTTGATGGCTCAACTTGCATCTCTGCAGGGCATCTCGTCGGCCGACTATATCGTGCCGGTCGAAATCGAATCGCAAATACACAACGTTTACGTGGTCAAGCGTCCTGGAGTGGACAACTTTTTGCTCAAGATGGGGGAAATCTACGAGGTTGTCGTCTTTACCGCCAGTCTAAGCAAGGTACGTCGCACATCTATCCGTGCCGGTCCGCACACCACTGACTGATGGGTTTGATTTCCGTTACAAATACCGTAGTACGCAGACCCCGTTCTCGATATTCTGGATATCCACAAGGTTGTCAAACACAGGCTGTTCCGGGAGAGCTGTTATAACCACAAGGGCAACTATGTCAAGGTGAGTCCGAGTGTACAACGGAAACCTTTCGTCGGCACTGCCTTTGCCGCTTCCGTTTGTACCGTGACTGAACCCACAAACGTATCACTAGGACCTATCTCAACTCGGACGGGAAATGTCCAAGTCGATCATCATCGACAATTCGCCCGCCTCGTACATCTTCCACCCTCACAACGCCGTCCCGGTCTCTACTTGGTTCAACGACCCGCACGACACGGAACTCACCGACCTATGCCCATTCCTGACTGATTTGGGAACTGTGGACGATATCCGAGGCGTGTTGGACGGCTCGCTCTGACCGACCCGGTCCCCACATGGCCTCGTCTTCGCTTCAACATACTCTTTTGGCAGTCGAAAGGGCGGATCTCCCGTCAGCAACACCTTTTCATGCTCATTTTTCGCTCGGCATATGGCGACCCCATTCGGCGCCCATTTCACTGTTTCAACGTCCCAGATTGGCTAATAGGAATGCCTATCTGTGTATACCCCATTCGTCCCTGTCATGTGTATTCCTCATCGACTTTGTTGTTCTTAATCCGGGATTACCGCCTCTATGTCTCTCATGCATATACATGTTTCACGTTGCAGATAGAGAGACACAACAGCATCGCTCACAACCTATGTTCAGGAACCTAACAGAGCGAATGAACGTATTAGTGTTATCTCCACTCACCGAGCTGCGATTGATGATACTAACCAGGTTGCGCAAGGTCTTCCCCGAAAGAGCGTCCAGGACGTTCTGTAGTACCACGATTCCCATCTTGTGCCTACTGTCGCTAGTTCTGGTTCGAGAATTGATTGAGCTTCTGAACGCCCCTGCCACCTGCCGCTGAAACGCTTACTCGGTACCCATATGAGGAAGAATCGATACGTTGTCGAACTTGAGCAACTCCGGGTTAATGTTGGGCTCGTCTGGGAAGACATCTAGGCCTGCGCCGTACAGCTTGCCATCCCGCAAGGCGTTGATGAGAGCTTCCTCGTCCACAACGCCACCGCTACGTGACAATTAAGGTCATTCAGCCACGGGTGACAACCCCTTCCATAGAGGAGCTAAACTCACCGCGCAGTATTGACCAGCACTGCCCCAGGCTTCATGGCGTTGAATTGATCCTTTGCAAAGGATTTTTCTGTCTGCTTACTCAGCTTCATACCGAATACAACGTCAGTCTAGTCACCGACAAAGCCGGTAATCTAAAACCCCTTACCGGCATGTGCAAACTGACAACATCGGCTTCGGTCAGGAGTTCTTCTAGGGTTGCTTTGTACTCGCAGGGAAAATCGGGCTTCGGTGAGACCTCCCGCCTGTTGTGATATATGACCTTCATGTCCCATGCTAGAAGGCGCTTAGCCACGACAGAACCTATTCCGCCCATACCTTGTTTCCAGTGGAATGGAAGGGGGGGAGGGAGAAACATCAGCCCAGCTACGAGAGCCCACTTATCATCAACATACCGACGATCCCCAACACCTTCTGCTCTGGATCCCTAGCCAGCTCGAGGTGATTCTTCCATTCTCCTGCTTTCCACATCAAATTGGTTGTTTCGAACGCGCAGTAAGTAGGAAGAAGATGACTGACCTCGTCGGGCAGATGCTTCAGCCTTGGAAAATTGTCGCATGGCGGCCAATATGAGATAAATAGCCGTGGTGGCCGTGGCATCGTCCACCGCTCCAGGGGTATGCGATACAGCAATACCGTGACGCTTTGCTTCGATGACATCGACATCATCATAACCAGCTCCAACTGTACGAGACACAAATGGGATCGCACATTAGCTTCCAAGAACAAGATGGATTTCTAGAGAGATGGACCGTACAATGGCATATGTACGAGCAAGTGTCAGGTAGAGCCGAGTAGAAATCTGCGTCCAATCTAGCAATTGGATGCGAAGGGTCGTGAAAATGACATATAACTTGAAGTCCTTTGTACGTTGTCTCTCGTCGCTGGGCAATCTCGGCGACGCTTTGAGCGTCGAGGTCCTGGAAAAGAGATTGCAGGGCTGAGTAGCTATCCCGTCTTGAGAAAGCTGAAGCAAACAAACTATGATGTCTGCAAGTGCGCCGACCTGATCATAGAATTCCTCCCGCGCATACAATAGCTTGCCTGTAAGGTGATCTCGTCAGCGCAGCGTAACGAGTACCGACTTCAAGGACGAACCCATAAGCAGCACCTTTGGCCTGGTTTGATCGCTCATGACGTTGCGTCGATGTTCAATGGTGTTTGTCCTATGACACTGTGATTATGGAAGCCAACAGATCCGAACGAGCGGGAGACGGCGGTCGATGCAGATTATCATCTCGATGAGAATCGTCGAGAGATCCGAGAGGCAGACAAGAGACTGGGAAGTGCACGGATGCGTTAGTGGTCAGCGTACCGGCGTTGCCGGTCCGGCGCGCGGAGATCGCCGACCTCGGAACAGCTGTTGTGACCAAGTTTGCATCATCAGCCGTTTTTGATAGAGTTCATCTGGTGGCGGCAACTTCTAAAACCATGGCGGTGAAATACTAGCGTTTTTGGAATGCGCATGCCTTTGTTTAGCGGTGAGACATGACTACAAGCACATTGCCACAAGGAAGCGAGTTTGCTTCCTGACACGCCGTCAAATATCGATCTCGAGTACCTGGACAACTCAACCTTGCATCTGGCTTCAGACCACTAGTGAATCTGGGGAAGCAGGATAAAATGTGCAATGTACCAAAATCTTCTCCAGAAACAATTTTGAAGGGGGTCTCCCTAACAATTTTAGCTGAGCTGGGATAGGGCAAAAAGATGTGATTCCGAGATATTTAGGTTTCCATATAGGCAGAATGTGCTTCTGAGCGCCTTTGCGGCTTTGATTTTTGGGATTGCATCTGAAACCCGGGAATCACATATCTAAAAGTGGTAATCGTGTTTTTTAGCAAATACCGCCAAAGTAGTAAAAGTTGCTGCCACCAGCTGAATTCCATTGTGATATCAGCCTAAGTTGGTTTGTAGCTGTTCCTTTGGTGGTGTTAATCAATACTGTCCACTAGATTCATTCCCATTACCTTTACCTTTCACTTCACCCCTTTCACCCGTTCCCTTTCCACCTTCACCTCTTCAACATCGACAAGGACTAGCTACCCTTGTTGCATAACAAGCAAAGGATATCAAGAATCACCAAATAGGATAGTGTTGAGACAACTGCAATGTATCCGGTTATAAATTCATTTGTGAGATCCGCTCCTCTCCCACATAAGAGTTGGCTTACTTCAGACTTGGGGGCGCTTCCCGGACAACTTCGCCTTCACTTCCTAGTTTTCTTGACCTTTGTCAAACCGCTGGACGCAGCGTCAAGTAGCAACATACTTGCAATCTTCAACAACACTTGAACACTCCTGCAGTTAGGACACTGCGAATCGATTCAACACAGACACCTCTGTGCCTCCCCCAAATTCCGTGCAGTTTGGAAGAGCTGTTGCAACAGTTAGACTATAGGTCTCAGCCCCCATCATCAACAACCAAGAACAGGTCCAGTCTATGTCAGACTTGCCAGACCCTCTTGCTCTAGGACTTGAGAACAGTCCTCATTCCAGCCCAATCCAAGGAGGATTTGATACTGTTGGAAATAGGCATGTGATGATTAGTCATCAGCACATGGAAGCAATCTCAACCACAAAGTAAACAACAGGAAGCAGGAAGCAAACAGGAAGCAAAAAGCATGAAACATGCTAGAAGGAATAGATTTGAAATAAATCACCGATATTGTTCGCCAAACAACCGATATTGTTCGACCACCGAACAACCGATATTATTCGCCAAACAACCGATATTATTCGCCAAACAACCGATGTTGTTTGATGTTTGCCCCTTCCCAGAAAAGTATATACAGCAGGCCATTTGGGTCTGACTTTCTCTTTCTCCTCTCATGTACTACTTTACTCTTATGCAAGCAACATTGATTCATATTCACAACAAGACAAGATCAGCACTAGTAACACACCATTACTATCGCCTAGGTACATCAAGTGTGAAGTAAGCCGACTCTTATGTGGGAGAGGAGCAAATCTCACAACTGAATTTATAACCGGATACGTCGCAGTTGTCTCAACACTGTCCTATTTGGTGATTCTTGATATCCTTTGCTTGTTATGCAACAAGGGTAGCTAGTCCTTGTTAATGTTGAAGAGGTGAAGGTGGAAAGGGAAAGGGTGAAAGGGTTGAAGTGTGAAGTGAAAGGTAAAGGTAATGGGAATGAATCTAGTGATAAGAGGTCTGCGTCCTCATAAAAGAGAAAAGGGATGACCCATTCCTCCTTTTGGGGACTCCTATATATACATGAATTGTCTAGTGGTGTGGGTACAAGAGTTGTGACCAGAGTAGTCGCAAATTGTGACTGCTAGTCGCAAAAGTGTGACTCAGACGCAAATTGTGACTGCTAGTCGCAAATTGTGACTGCCAGTCGCAATAGTGTGACAGGAGTCGCAATATGTGATTTGTGGTCGCAAATGTGTGATCACAGTCGCATCTTTACATCACCCGGCACCTATTTCGAAGCTCTGTCCCAGAGCTACCAGGCAGAAAATAGAATAACTACAATTTGACAGTCAACATAGGGGATAAATCCCTGTAGAATCAAATGGGGCATATCTCGCGAACCCTACGCGCCGCAGCCCTATCAAAAGTGTCTTCCGGCATGTTTCCGAGTACCTCGTCGACCCTCGCTTGAATTTCCGGGCTGCCGTTAATGAAGGGCGAGTAATAGGCGAATTGAGAAGGGCTAAATTCGTCCATGAGGGGGCTGAAGGTAGCAGGGTAGAGGTCATTTAGGATGTTGTCTGCTGGGTTGGCCGCTGGAGGTAACGCCAAAATTCCTTCGAGTGTGAGCGTGTCGTCGTGCGACAGCCCTAACTCGTCTTGAATGGTACCGCTCGGACCAGCGATGGGTGAGATAGAGCGAATTCGAGTGAAAGGTAGATTGGATGATTGCGCAGGAACGGCTGGCGATAGCCTCGAATTTCCTTCGAACGCAGCTTGGTGAACGTGCAAGAGTTCTTGATTGTCTTGGTAGACGCCGCTCGGACCAGCGACGGGCGAGATAGAGCGCATTCGAATAAAAGGAAGATCGTGCTGTAGCTCCTGAACGAATGGAGGTAGCGGTGCGAAGTTTGATTGAGCAGGACGGTCGTTCGGAGGGGCACGAGATTGCTGAAGAGATTCCGGATTTTCGTCGTTCCTAGCCTTCAGGAGAGCCGCATCTATCCATTTCATGCCAGGAGTCCATCTGTGAACTAGCTGGTTCGCTTCCAGCCATTCTAGGATGTCTCCCTGGCTTCCTGGAAGCTGCTGCCATGCTCCCTTGTTCGCTTCAGGCCCTCTGGCAACCAGCAGAGACTGAAGGAACGAAGTAGAGATGCTGTGATTCCTCCAATAACCCTCTAGCATCTCCTTCCTGTTCCCTAGGAATCGCATCTCCTCCTCTGTGAGCCTCATGGACGACTCCTGGGCTGTCCTAGACGTCTTAATAAGGACTCTGTATCGTAATTGAGGCCTAGGGTCCTTCTTAGAGCGTCCTTTCTTCTCAGAATCGTGCCTAGTGATGGCTGTGATGAAGGGGAGAGGGCTGGAAATGGGTAGCATCTTGTTCGAGCTGTTGCGAGTGCCGTACGGGTGGTAGCGGAGAATTTCAACGTTGCGGAGAGCAGTCGTCGAGTGGAGCATTGTGTGTCGAAGGAATTTCCGGTTTAGCGTTACTGAGAGGCGAGATATAGGACGATAGTGAAGCTGTCTATATGGACAGATTAGAAGGGGATGGTTCGATTTGGGCTGTTCCAAGATTGCTTTATATCTCGATATGTAGAGCCGGTAGCGGGTTGATTCGACATGGTCCAGGCCGTTCTACGTGTATTGTTCGTGGCCGCGTCTTTGTTTGGAACAAAAGACCCAGGGAAGGCCGAGTAAACCCCTGTTTGAGATCGATTCATTAACCCCTAGATGTGTCTATGGTGTTTCGAGTTTGAGTGGCAGCGTCGAATTCTTTGTGTGTACAAGACGTTCTATTGTTCCTCGTTCATATGTGGCCAGTTTTGCGCGGATCCGGCCAGTGGTTGTAGAGAAAACGCGTAATTGAGAATTCAGAGATTTTGGCAATTCCACTGGTGAAGTGCTATGGTTCCCCTCAGATTTTGAGCAGTCTCCCAGGTAGCATCATGGAGCTCAAAACCTTTCCATTTGACAAGGTATTGTGTCTTGTTTCTTGATTTGCGTTGTGCGAGAATGTGCTCAATTTCCCATTCAGGTTGGTTGTTGACCAAGATAGGGGAAGGATTATCTGCCTTGTCTTCCGGTGTGATAGGTGGATAGTACGCTTTCAAGTACTCCAGGTTGATAGTAGGGTGAGCTTTCATATGTTCAGGAAGATCCAGCCGGTATGTTGTGGGACTGATCTTGGCCATAATGGTGAATGGTCCAATCCAGCGGCTCCTCAGCTTTTTTGATCCGGGTGTTTGTAAGAAGGGAGGGTGAATGTACTTGGTGCTAAGCATCACTTTGTCACCTTCTTTGAACGGTTGAGGGCTTTTCCGTCCCTTGTTATAGTTCAAAGCTTGAGTCTGTTGGGCGATCTGAAACTGCCCCTGAGCGATAGCCATAGTTGTTGCCTGCTGCTCAATAAACTCCTCGACTCCCTGCACCTGCATCGCATTGGTATCAGTGATCTGATGAGGTTGTCGTGGGTGATAGCCAAGGTCCAATTCAAATGGAGTGTATCCGGTGGTGGGGTGCACGGAGCTGTTATAAGCAAATTCCAGTGCAGGTAATTGCATAGCCCAGTTGTCCTGTTTCTGGTTTATGAAGTGCCTAAGCATGTCCTTCACGGTGCGGACCATGACTTCAGACTGTCCGTCTGTTTGTGGGTGGTATGCCGAGGACATGGCGAGTTTCGTTCCAAAGCGGCTGAACAAGGTTGTCCAGAATAGAGAGGTAAATTTGGCGTCTCTATCTGAGACAATGGTTGATGGAAGTCCATGAAGTCGGACTATGTTGTCCCAGAATCTATTCGCTGTGTCCGTGGCCTTGTCGGTAGTATGGCTAGCAATGAAGTGGGTTCGTTTAGATAGCTTGTCAACCACAACGGTGATTTGATTGAAGTGGCTGGATTCCTGGAATGGTCCAGCGAAATCCATTGTGACTGTGTGCCATCGTTGAGGTGGTATGTCCAGTGGCTGTAGGAGACCTTGTGGTCCTGCAGAAGGGTTCTTGTTCCGTTGACAAGAAGAGCAGGATCGAATGTAGCTCTTGATATCTTGACCCATACGAGGCCAGTAGTATGTCCTAGAGATGGTGCTGTATGTCTTGTTGTATCCGAGATGTCCCGCAGACACTGCATTGTGGAAGTCATGCAAGATGTCTAGCCTGACTCTTTCATGATCCGGGATACAGGTTCTCCAGTGGT